AGGATTCGGAGGCAGAGACGGGGATAGGAGGGTAGGCTATCCCATATTGGTCGTTGATGGGAGGCAGAGAAGGGGGATAGGAGGCGAGGCTATCCCAGATCGGTTGTTGAGTCGGAGGTAGAGACGGGGACAGGATGACCGGATATCCCAGATCAGGTCGGTTGTTGAGTCGGAGGCAGAGATGGGGATAGGAGGCGAGGCTATCCCAGATCGGTTGCTGAGCGGAGGAAGAGACGGGGATAGGAGGAGAGACTATCCCGGATCAGAGGTCGATGCGGAGGCAGAGAAAGGGAGAGCCCGTCTTAGCTTCACCACAAAGTGGCTACTAGACTCCAACACCGCGATGAGGTGCGAGCTCATTGTTGGAGGGGGGATAGGAGGGAGGCTATCCCAGAGCAGAGGGAGGCTATCCCAAAGCAGGGGTAGATGCGGAGGCAGAGAATGGGACAGGAGGAGAGGCTACCCCAGATTCCAGATAAAGACAGAGGAGGGGATAGGAGTAGAGGCTATCCCGGATCAGAGGTAGATGCGGAGGCGGAGGCAGAGGCAGAGGCAGAGAAGGGACAGGAGGAGAGGCTATCCCGGGTCAATGGAGCAGAAGATGAGTCGGTAGAGAAAGGGATAGGAGGAGAGGCTATCCCAGTTTAGAGTCGACAGAAGATGAGTAGGTGTAGAAAGAGATAGGAGGAAAGGCTATCCCAGATGCCAGGTAAAGACAATGAGGGAATAGGAGGAGAGGCTATTCCAGACAGGAAGAAGTGGCAGAGACAGAGGAAGGGCAGACGCAGTTGAGGGAACAGATGCAGTGGATGGGGCAGTGGCAGAGACAGTGGAGGGAAAAAGAGGCAGTGGAAGGGGCAGTGGAAGAGGCAGTGGAAGAGGCAGTGAAAGAGACGGTGGAAGAGGCAGTGAAAGAGACAGTGAAATGGTCAGATGCAGGGGGGAGGGGCAAGGGAGGGGGCAGTGGCAGGGAGATGGGGAGAGGCTATCCCAGAGACGACAAAGGGAGAGAAAGAAGATGGGGAGCAGGAGGAAGGGCAGGGCAAAGAGAGGATAGAGGGAGAGACTATCCCGGGTAAGACGATGAGAAAAGGCGAGAATAGGAAGACCGTCTATCTCAGAAGCGACTGGGTAGAGGAGATGGGAGGATAGTCCATCCCAGAGCCAGAGAAGGAAGAGAAAGAGAGTAAATATAAGAGAAAGGAATGATAACAATAATAGAGGAAGAATGAAATGAGACGACAGGAACGAGAAGAGAGAGGAGGAGGGAGGTGTAAAAGGAAAGGTTATGGAGAGAAGAAAACTGGGAAATGGGGGGGGATATATTCCCTTGCCCATCAGACAGAACTCTCCTTCCTTCATCTATATTTAGACCGGGAACTGACGCATGACGCCGTAAGTCCAGCATGAACCATGGGAATATTTGCTCAAGAGTCGAGGATGATATCGCGATTACCGCAACAGGAGCCAACGCGGGTGGCAGACACTAGAGATGCGAGAGGGAACCCAAAGGAATCGATGATTCGGGGTTGAACACACAAAGTATCGTTCCTGATAGAAGAATAACACATTATCCTTGCCTTCGCTGTGTAGTTTCAACAGAAGTAAGACACCACCCGCCTCCGTCTTGCATCAACATCATAGCTTGATTGCCGGAAGAAAGCCATAACCATACTGGCTAGTAGCCAGAAACATACTCTCCCCGCATAGGACCAAGAATAGTAACACGTATACTTCTCTAGGGTAGTCAGCCGACAGCCAAGGAATGCTATAGTTGAGCAGACTGCCTGTTCCTGGACGTTCCAGGGGACTTGAGCCCGGAAGCTTTCTGCTGGAAACTTTAACCTCGTCCAGGCCCTTCTGGACATGCGTACGTGACCTAATGCCAGGTTATTTTTGGCTCTTCCATCGCGTCATAAGTTGTCATGGTTAGAGGGAGACGGGAGTGTTGGGAAAGGTGGTTCTGTATTCGAACGCGTCACGCGTCAGTGACAGTTAAGATATCGAGAGGCTCGCAAATGGAGCTCACAAATAGACTCGCCTTCCTATACACTCTCATCGTATAAGCAGGAGTCGAAAGATGCCAAGAATAGCAGTCGAACATACCACGAAGGTAGTATGCAGCATGTGGAAAGTGTCAAGTGTACGGAAGAGAACTCCGCAAAACAATGTACGGTCTCGACGGCGGGGCCCCACAACCTTAACCAGACGCCATGACATCATCCGCCTGACTTCCGGCGAGCTGGACTTTCGACTTTCGCCTCGAAAAATCCCTGAACTGAACAGCCCACGCACTCAATTGACCAGCACCACCATGTCCAAACGAATCAACACCTTCTTCAAGCCCCTCCCCTCCAAGAAACCCAAACTCGATACCGAAAGCACTTCCCCCCCGCAACCTACGCTCACCACCCCAATTACCCCATTCCGATCCGCGACCTCCCACCCACCATTTCCCAGCTCCTGGCCAATTTATCCAGAACAACACCGCCGAAAGCCATCACCGACAAGCCACACCTGGACCTTCTTTACTTCCAACCGTTTCTTCCTTCTTCTCTTGCTCGAGACCTCTTCCGCTTCCTTCGGAGCGAACTCCCCTTCTACCGCGTCAAATACACCATCCGTCGAGGTCCAGCGGAAACCTCCATCGTTACGCCCCGTTTTACAACGGTGTTTGGGGTAGATGACACATCAATATTCATTCCTGATCCGAATTCCAAAATACCTGACGAAACTAACGCGACAGCGACCTCCTCACTGATCTTGGCAGATAGCAAAACACGCATCCCTCTCCCCGCCTCCGACAAAAAGTACCACCAACGCCCCCGACCTATCCCTCCCTGTTTAGACCTCCTCCGTCGAGCCGTTGAGTCGTCGACCGATGATGGAACAAAATACAATTTCGTTCTGGTGAACTACTACGCTACCGGTGATGATAGTATTACCTACCACTCCGACGATGAGCGCTTCCTCGGTTCGAACCCAAACATCGCTTCCATATCACTTGGTGGGAAGAGGGACTTTCTATTGAAGCATAAACCACCCACCGGGAGTGATGCTGATGGAATTGAAGGCATGAAGCCACTCAAGTTTCCTCTGGACTCGGGCGACATGATGGTCATGCGGGGCGAGACACAATCCAATTGGTTGCATAGTGTTCCCAAGCGGAAGGGCGGACAAGGTGTTCTGGGGCGGATAAATATCACCTTTCGGAGAGCAGTGGTGCCAGGGGGTACGAATAATTACTATCTGTATAATGTGGGAGATGGGGGGATATTTCGGTGGAAGGAGGACGAGGGGAGAATGATTGCGGCTGAGAAGCCAGTTGAAACGTGAGATCAACTCAGAGAGAAGAATACGGTTCCGATGTACCCGGAAGCGATCCAGCGGCTGCACTCTGTTGAGGATTTTTGATAGGAGTGTCTTGTAGTCTCATATGATAGCTGTGGCCGCGAGGATAGTTAGACTGGCTTGGTCTTCGCGACCTGGGAGTCCTAAATAACGGCTCAACCCCATCAATCTGTCGGTGACTGGACATCCATCTGATCGAGTTATCGAAATTTGCACAGACCTGCATAGTATTTCGATGGATCGAGGTCGCGAATTAGCCGATGACTGCCTGCTTGAGGTTCTTCAACTGAGGTGCTATTGATGGAGGAGAACAGAGCTGGAATTGCTAATAGGGATGAAATGTTGGAAGATGAAGACTACCTTCTTAACGCATTGCTTTGGTGCTCCTAAACGAGTAACCGCGCCGCCAACTCCGCCCGCCACCGTTCAAGTCTCTCCCATTCGCGTGGATCTAGGCACCTGTGGACAGCAACATCCTTGTCATACTAACAATGGGGCCGGTGAAAACCACCGCGGATGTGTCACTTGCATTAGCTTGGTTACATCCAACGGTGCTGCCTCGACTCAACAAGTCTCGACCGTTCTCTCAGCCATGTACCCTGCGTGGAGACGAACACCAGTTTCACGGCAAGTGACATCGAATCAAATCTGTTCCGATCCTAACTAGACAAGGATTCCCCTCACATAAACTAAGAATCAGACTAACACACTACATATACAGAGAGATATCATGCGACCCAGCGATCAACGCGCGTTGCCCATCCGTCGTCTCATGTCCTTCAGATAATACTCTTTTGGATACGTCCGGATAAACATGGGAACAAGGGGGTAGGTCGCTCTGATCACTTCCAGCGTTACACGATACGCTCCCCGGCGCAGTACTGTACTCTTGAGCCCATACGCCTCTCGAATGCGCGGCGGTAGCAGCTCTGCCGTAATAAATCTCATCCACGGCATGAGCGCCGCCAGATGTACCGGCAAATTTTGATTGTACAGAAGATCGTGTGCAACGTGTCTCGCCTCTGGGGTCACTTCCATCGTCGCGATCTGCCTATCCCAGTAGGCCCAGAATGCCTTCCGATTGATCGGCCACATCTCCCCCGATACGCGCAAAGACTTGGCGAGAATGGCATACTCCAGGTACAAGGCTTCAGCGGTAGCTTCGTCTATCCGCCCAAAGACATCCTCGTACATGCCTACGCCGACCGCGTAGAGAGTCGCCGCGACCCAGAGTTGGAGGTGGATGTCGTCGGCGGAGTAGTCGGCTCCCTGGACCGGAGAATGGGCGCGGTGGACCATCTTCACGATAAATTGCCTCTCTTTGGCCGTGCCGAATACCATGCAGTAAACGAAGGTCATCGTCGTGCGGAGCCGGTCAAGCGGGCGGCGGGAGAAAGTGCTGTGGTGGTTGACGCCTTTTCCAACACCTGGCATGGCGACTTGGAGAAGGAGGGCAGCTGCGCCACCAGCTAGGAGGAGGCCCTCACGAACAACCATTTGGATGTGTCTTGCGCCGTCCAGGTTCGGCTTTCCGGTCTGGATTTCTGATATGAGTGACTGCCTGGGTAGCGGCGATGCTCTTATGTGTGGCATGAGCCTTAGGGAAAGCAAAACCACCAGGCAAAAAATAACCATACAACTGGATACCGCCATGATGAAGCTTTGTTACTTGGACGTTGCTAGAAAGAGGAAGATCTTGATCGCCTAATACTGGGATTCTCAGATTTGTCTCACGATGCCCTGCAGAAGCAACCATGAATGTTAGATACTATCGACTGTGGCTGATCCGAACTGGTTGATCACGGCGACAACCTCGAGGTGTCACGCGGGTCGCAGGATCATGAGCATATCGAAGGTCCCGATTTTTAAGGTACTTGAGTATACTGTGGATGACGGGGCGGTCTAGAGGGAGAGATGAGCTTTCCTTTTTCCCCTAGTGAGCCTAACCCCGACCATCTAAAACTTAACAACTGTCACCCATACAGTGGAAGACTCTCAGAGAATGATATTTGGGTTATCATATCAACACGCTGGGGGTAATGAGGCTATATACACCCACCCAAAAAAAACTACTAGATACAACCAAAAGCAACATGCCTCCCTACCAACCGACAAAACAGACAAATGCATTACAGCTTGGGCTTCCACCCTCTCTGGATCTCCTTCTGGCTCTCCTCCCGCAACACCTTCTTCAGAATCTTCCCACTGGCGTTCTTTGGAATGGCCTCGACGAACTTCACTCCGCCCGTAAGCGCCTTGTACCGGGCCAACCTTTCGCCCAGGTACTTCATCACCTCCTCCTCCGTTAGCTTCGCACCCTCTCCTGGTCGCCTCACCACGTATGCGCGAGGTAATTCCGTCTCGGGGACGACATTTCTCAGTCCGATGACGGCGGCATCGACGATAAGCGGATGTGAAATCAAGACGGCCTCCAACTCGGGCGGCGCGACCTGAAACCCACGTACCTTGATCAGCTCCTTCTTCCGATCCACAACGTACCATTTCCTTGTGTCCCCATCGCAGTACATGATATCCCCCGTGTGAAACCACCCGTCGCTATCAAACGACTCCGCATTTGCGGCGGAGTTATTGAAGTACCCTGGTGTAACCGTCGGTCCACGCACACACATCTCGCCACGCACCCCATAGGCAGATATATTCTTTCCGTTGTCATCGACAAGCCTGAATCAACCCGACCAACCTTATTAGCACAGAAGACCAGTCACAAAAAGGGGCAGAAAAATGCCTACTTGGCCTCGATGTTCGTAATCAGCCTCCCGACCGACCCGGTCTCATCCTGCTCATACCACGGAAACATCGTCGCAATGCAACACGTCTCGGTCATTCCCCACACTTGCGTACATCTCGCCCCCTCACCCAGTAGGGCCTGGAACCGTTTCTGTGCAGCTTTATCCATCGGCGCGGCGCCAAGGAGACTCGCTCGCACCGACCGCAAATACCCTCGTTCATACGACATGGGGTTCATGATAATGGCCAGAGCCATGGGCGGAACGACGGTTATCTCCGTGACTTGATACTTCTCCATGGTCTGCAGGAACAGAGGCAGATCGAACCGCCGCATGACATAGTTGACGTGACCCGCCTTGAGACTGCCAAAGTGACTCGAAGGAGCTGCAGCAGCATGAAAGAGCGGCATCGGAATCACTCGACTGACCTGCCCATCCATCAGCATTCATCCACCACCACCACCACCAAACCACCACCACAACAGCCCACATCCTCCCCCCCCCCCCCAAAAAAAGGATCATTAGAAGGGGACAAAATACCGGATACGGCCTCCTCTGCGACTCAAAAGCCAGTTCATGCTGCGCGACAAAATTCCGATGCGTAATCGCCGTCGCCTTAGGAAGCCCCGTCGTGCCACTACTAAACAGTCTAGCGGCGGTAGTCGTGCTCGCCACCCGTTCATCATCAAACCGCACCCAATCCTCCTCGCCGTGCTCGAAAAGCTCCTTCCACGACAACTGGCCCTGGGGCAAATCCTGGCCCATGACATCGAACACCCGGATGCGCGACTCAGGGATCTTGACCTCCCTCGCCGCCACGCTCGCCGGACCGAGAAACTCCGGCTCCGTGATCACGAACTGCGTCTGGGAGGCGCGGAAGTGATGGGCTAGTTCCATGGACGTGTATGCTGGGTTAGAGCCTGTGAAGATTCCGCCTGCGCCGACGATGGCAAGGACGAGCATTGTGTAGTAGATCTGTGATTTTCTCCCCGGTTATTTCAAATTGGTCGCCATTTCAAGCCCATGTAGATAAACCGTGGGAATTGAGCGACAGAATCACGAGAGAAATATGAAAAACAACAAAAAGGTATAAAGGGAAGGAGAAAGATACACACATCATTAAAAGAGTGAATATTAACACAATCGCCCTCTCGGACACCCCAGGCGCGCAGACCGGCGATGAGTTGGCGGACTGCTGTACGAGCTTGGTTGTAGGAGATCGATCGGGACGGGTTATGGACGTCGACGTAGATCTAGATGTGATTTAAGGGGGTGATCGGTTGTTAGATCGATTGAGCTTGGTACGGGATTCGAGTTTATTGGGGATTGGGTAAATCTTTTCTCTCTTTTTTTTTTTTTTCTTGGGGTATATCATAATAGTGGTTGGTGAGCGGGTGGGAGTGATGGTGGTGGTAGTGTGATGATGGCGGGTAGAAACAGGGGAGGAGTATAGGGAGTTAAGAAGGTGGCAGATAGGTGGATAGAGGGAAGAGAACGAACAGGATCATCGTGATTGTAGGGCGGGTTTGAGAAGAGGTAGGAGATCACATCGGAGGAGGGGACGGGGTCCGAGAAGCAGGTTCGAAAATCATTACGCAGGTCAGTCAGGTAGGTAGGGTTGTAGTATGGCAGTATGGAAAGAGGGAGAGGAGGAGGAATATGTGTATGGAAGGTAACGCAGGGAAAGGAGGAGGCGATGCGCGATGATTAAATGCAAAAAGCAATGCTTGATATTGAACGAATGAAAGGACAAGGGATAGACTGTTCCAATTAATAATGCATAATTCTCAGTTTAAATAGATATGGAGGCAAAGGGGGATTAGTTACTATGTAGATAGGAGGAAGAGAGGAGCAACGCAACGCCACGCCATAGTGGCATGGGGGGGGGGGGGGGGAGGAAAGCAGACGATTGATTCGCATAAACCCCGCTTGGATGGACAAAGGCGTTGTCTGACGGGCAGCCAGCCAGCCAGGCGGCGCTGCAGGCCGGAGAATAAAGCAGGGATTGGGAGAAAGTCGAAAGTAGACAGACAGTTGAGAGACAGCCGTTGGGATGGAAAACCGGCAGTCAGAGGGTTAGTGGGTACACTGGGTGTTAGTTAGTTAGTTAGTTAGTGACTGGCAGGTTAGTCACCGCGACCCGCCCGGCCGCAGGGATGCTACACCCACAGGCCAATTATTACTCGAACCGGCGGGTGGCAGCGGCTCCAGGGGGGGATAATAATCATCGTGTGTGCTCATCACCGATCACAGCCGAAGCTGGAACCGCGGATGGGTCCGAATCCGCTCGCCATACCGCCAGAACAGCAACGGGCAGCCGCACAGCACCAGCGCAATCAACGCCAGCAGCGAATTGCCCCAGCCGTATCCCAGCTTGGCGTACATCCCCGGCCGCCCGCTCAGTGGCAGCACTGCGCCCGCCAGCGACCGCAACACCGTGCTGCCTCCTTCACATACGAGTCGACCCGGTATGTGTTGGACGCCATGAACACGTTCATCGGCCCAATATCGAACACCCCAGTGTCCATGATGGGCCCGACCCAGTGCGTCCGTGCCTGCGCCGACCACCCGCACCAGAAGAGCCCGATCGGAATCAACAAGCAGCTGAACACCATCAGGGGCAGACGACACTCATGCTTGAACGTCACTTGCGCCGTGTGTTCGATGGCAAGGTGATTCAACACGATGCCACACGTCACCAGTCCGATCATACACCCAATTCCAAATCCCAGGCTCGACAGAGGCCCATCCATACGTGTGCTCGAAGATCAGCGTGATGGTGGTGAACATCAGATATAGATAGCCGTACGTGACGGCTTGGAACAAGGAAAGCAGCAACACAGTTGGCGAGAACAGAAGCATCTTCAGCGGGCGCAGCAGGATATCCAGATGGTGTAGTACTTGGACTGGATGCTCGGGTTGCCTGTCTCCTTGCGCAGCCGTGCGGCTTTCCGCTACAACAGCACGGGGGCATATGACTCGCGCTAGGCAAGGAAACATCCAAATGAGATGACACCTGTCTGGGTGCGTGTTTCGTCAGCTTTCTATCGGTTCAATCCGCCCCGGGGCAAGGGACAGAGCTGCGTACGGCAATGGCAAGCATTCAGAACACCCATCGCCAGCCGCACACGGCCATGATGCCGGCTCGCTTCTTCTGGTTGATCATGTCCGCTACCGTCCCCGACTCGATTGCGAGCGGACAGGCGCCTCCATTTCTGGCCAGCAGGCGGAAGACGATGAGCTGCGGGAGGTTCTGCGCCACGGCGCAGGCGATGCTGAAGATCAGGAAGATCATGTTGCAGACGTGGTAGACGGGGACCCGACTGTTAATTTCCGATAGCGGCGTGATGACGAACGGGCCGACAACATAGCGCAGGAGGAAAGAGGTCACAATGAAATAGCCCATCATGGTACCCGTCATCGGCCATCACGTACGCGATCCCGGGGGAGAACATGGACGAGGCGAGAGGACTGTCCGGTCAGCTAAATTCCTTGACACGAACCCTGGCAGACTCACGTTATAAAATTATTCCAGGACTTCAAGACTAGCTGGATGGTTTTCCTGGAGGTGGGCCAGTCCATAGGATTCTCCGGGTCATCAAGCCCGTCCCAATCGACCGTGACACTTTCGCGGATGGGGGTTGAACGGTCCTCATGGCCCTGGTCCTGATGCTGCGACCTCTTTGTCGAACCGTTCAACTCTTGGTCTTGCACGACCTGCTCCCTCCCTTCCTTCTTCTCCACATCTATTGCACTTGCGTTTGATGACATGCCAGTCAGTTTGTCTGTCGCAGTAGGAGAATGTTGATGGACCCTACGACGATTGGGGGCATCTAGAAATGGCAAGCGCGGGAGGCAGAGGCAGCCATGGCGATGCGATGGCAATGGAAAGGGCAAGATTTATGAAATCGCCAGCCGCAGCTTCATTTGCAATTCATTCACACAACTCGGCCAAGCAATGAACAGTGACCACGAGGCTGCTCTTCCCGGCGGTCAATTCCCTGCTGAAGTCATTCTGATGTACCGATTTTATCCAAGTTATCCTGCCTCTCAGACCAGCTATGCAGTCCATTATTAAACCTGTGTCACTGTCCGTTGTGCCCTTGTGTCCCATGGGCCCCTTGGCAGGCTCGTCCCGTCGATCTGCGTGGTGGGCGACTCAATCAGCAACAGGTCTGGGGGAAAAGACTGGGGATCAGGACCTGGTTGCTTTCCTCCCGGTCGCATCGTTGGTTCCCCGCCCCTATTCTCCTTTGTCCCGGCGTCGGAATGCTGTCTCCATTGCCCCGAGCCTTCCAAGGCCATGATCGATGTTGACATATCTGTGCCGCACAGTCTACCTCGGATCGTCTACGATCGGCAGGAAGTACTTGTGTAGGATAGGTGCGTCCCCGATAAACTACAGCCAGGGTGATACGCCATCCCTCGCGATAGCTCCCGGGCTAAAAAGAGGGGGGCAAGGAACCTGCCGCGGTCAGGTCAGGTCAGGTCAGAAAACTTTGCCTGGCCCATCAGAACTCTATTGACATGATTGTGTTTTGTGGGCGCAGTGCTACCGTGGCTCCTCAAGTCTATCGTCGTGTGCCCATGCAATCAAGCCCTCCAGACTATGTACTCCTCCCGAACAGCGCGAACGTGTCAAGGCTCCAGACTCCAGACACCGGGTCTATACTTAGTGTCGAGAGCCAGCCGTGCCGAGAATAGCGTCACGCCGGGCGTGAAGAATCGCGAAATTCGCCGGCGTTACGCCGAACCGCGATTGTGAACCCAACAATCATATTGACAACGGTCGCGATGCAACATCAGAGTCGGGCAAGTTTGGCCGTGATAAGCACCGGGGTGTTGCATTACTTTGAATGTCCTCCCCCCTCTCCTCCCCCCTCCCCCCCCGAAAGACGAATTGGGAAAATAAATCAACTGGCTAGTTGATTAATCTACTCGCAGGACACAGGAGGTATAGAGCCGTGAGCCCTACCCTATGGGAAGTGCCTCACAGCCAGAGTCTAGACTCAAAGTGTCCTGGCAAACAGAATCAGGCTTGATGAATAAGACCTGCATCAGCAGCCGCGAGTTAGAGCGCGTCTACATCCCCTTCGAAGGCGCCACCAACAGCCCGAGTCGAGATTGACTGGCGCCCGCTGGTGTTGTCATATTTTAGTCGGTGGGTCTGGATTAAAGGGGGGGAGTGACTCCGTAATGCGTGGTGCGGATGGCGGATGGCGGATGAGCCGTGACCTTCTGGGAATTTTCGACCTGATGAAGAGGATCGTCCATGTTCAGAGATTCATGTTACTCGGGCTCCGTTGTCTGTAGACGGCGAGTCATCTCAGATCAGCGGTTGCGTGCAGCCGAAGTGATTCAGATCAACGAGACGATGGTGGTGAGGGACGATGAAAAAGGTCTGTCGCGGCCAGCTTCAGGAAGTGCACTAGCGTGGCTTTCTTTCCTTTACTGCCCGCGGGAGACCAGACAGACCTGAGCTCCGCCCCATGAGAGCTATCTACTATCTATAAAGATATTTGGGTGTGTTGGACAACGCACTCGGATTCTCCGGTTCATTATCCGCCTGCTACTTCGCAGGATTGTAGGTTGCAAGAAGCATTCGGATAGTAGATAGATAGATGGACAGACGGAGAGATAGTAAGTACATGGTAGATAGGAATCTGACTGCGCACACCCACGGCCAAAAGCAGTGGGCATTAATCACCTTCTTCTTTCGGCCTCAATACCTGGTAGATATTAATTGCTATCCCGGTTGATCCGGACCTGGAATGATTGATTGCAGTCGACTTGCAGTGCATGACAGACAGCGCGGAATCATCCGCCTTGCCGGATCGAGTATTCTTGACGGTGACCAGATTCCGAGCCCCGAGTCTAAGCCAGCCAATCGTTGCCTCTACGGGCATAGTAGTATCTATGCAGGAGCAAGAGCTTAGCTTCGAGCTTTTCACAATTAGGGAAATAATAATAATAATAATGATAATGATAATAATAATAACTACGTCCAAAGTATCATAGTACCATAGTCCTGTGGAGGGCTGTGGAGCCAGCGAGGATCATGGACTGAGGCGGTTAGTTCCAGACGGGAACATTATCAAAGGCATCATCACCATCAGGCGGGCTTAAGTCTTAACTCTTAACTACTAAGGATTTAGTACTTACTCTAATGGTGATGATCACCAGCAGAGTATCTTTTTCCCGGATGATCAATAATGCTTACATCCGATAACCTGCGGTATACACGGCTCGTAAGGAGGAAGTTAGTACGGGAGGTGCATGAACCTTTTGCTAGGCAGGGCAGGATAGGGCAGGGCAGGGCAGAGCATGGTGTATCAGTCTGTCAGTCGCTCTTGCTCGCTCCACCTGTCCGGACCGTGTCTCCGTTCGCCAACGTTCGCTGCAAGAACGGGAAAGCCCTGATGTACACATACGGAATTATTTCGGTAAAGCCCGCTGCAGGGCGGGGGAGAGAGATAATCTTCAGGGCTTCAGGCAGGAGAAATTAGGTACTATTTTACTGTAGGCCAGTTAGTTAACTAGCACACAGTACTTATCTAAGTCGAGTAGAGTAAATATGTGACAAGCCCCTGCATCTGTTTATGTCCTGGGGCGGTGCAGATATATTATTCTTAGCCCGAAGCAAGGGCCTTACCTACTGTAGGGTATCTATTGCCCACTTCTCACCCTGCAGGCCACGCGAAGACGTCAAAAATAATATTAAGATTAATAATAATAATAAACGTCTTTTTCTAAAAAATCATTATTTAGGCACATCTCCTAGGACGAGACGGCGCGACCGACGGACCGTATGTCCTTCCAGTCTCTGGAGCTAAGAGCCGGTTGGAGAAGGGCAGGTTCGGCGACGGACTCGGTGCTTGTCTGCTAGTTTATCTATCTGGCTGGCTGTCTGGCTGGCTGTCCCTGTTCCAAGTAACTGGTTACTGATAGACAGATAGATGGATAGATAACATTCACGTTTTTGGGAATGTGCAGGCAGCGCTACCACAAGGCTACTGCATGACACGCATTTGCTCCTTGCAATGCGTGCAAACAGCTGATAATGAGATTCCGTAGGGATGTAGGGCAGGTAGGAAGGTAGGAGGTTATCCAACATCATGGCATGGATGTCACACACATATGTAAAATGAAGTCAGCTTACGGGGAAAGAAAAAGATGACGATAGTCCTTGCTTGCTGGCTTGCTGGCTGGCTTGCTCGTGTGTACCATGGTGAGGGTCAGCTCGCATCAGGCCATCCAGCCATCCCGTTGGAAATTGGGAACGGAAGGATCAGCTTGAGTAGAGTGAGTCGTAGTACTGTATGGAGTTTTGCGTATAGTAGTAGGAAGCTGTCATCGGGGACGACTGGACCGAGAACGACGACGAGGAGTTGCCTAGGGAAAAGGAACCAACCTGTTAGCTGTTGCGTGGCTGCAATAGTAATCCCCCCCGGGGCTAGGACAGGAGTCATCATCATCACCATCAAGCCTTCGAGGAACTTCGATTCCTTCCTTCCACGAGCGAGTTGCGCTGATGCGCGACGAGGAATCCTGCCTTGCGTGGGAACACGAGGTTTGTTTTGTTTCCAGAACCGACCAGACCAATCGGCGCGGTCAGATGACCCCCGGGCTGGTTGCCCACTTCTTGTACTACTGCCTCTTCTGTCTTCATCCTCTTCTCTCTCTCTCCCTCATCACTCCGCCCGGTTTTAATCTCGCGCCCCTTTCCTTTCCCAGGGAGGGCTGTGTCACTGCCCCCTCTAATATCTGTCTATCGATTCCATTATTCCCATTCTCCCACTCTCTCCACTCGGGGATCGCCCTCGATCCGCTGCCACATGGGTGTCAGCTCATCCATGACCCGGCGACTCGGCGAGGTCGGTCGGTCTCGTCGTCCTCCACCTAGTTTTGGCCCCCATGGACCAGCTGGTCCAAACCCACTAACCTAAATCGAGCCTGAGGATCGACGTCGCGTGAGTGGGCGTCATATTCTAATCATTCTATATCCCCCCCCCCCTTCCCGGGAAATCGGGATTCCCATTGCCTGGCGGACCTTTCGCATGACTCGTGTTTCCGTTCGCTGTAAGTAACTCGGTTTTTCTGAGGCTCCGTGGGTGAGGTTCGGTCGGGGATAATACCGCCGCCGCCGCTAATCCGAGTCACGGAAGGTGCTTAACGTGTGGAGAATGCTCCGGATAGATGACTACAGCCTACTGGAACTCGACTGGCTCCCCCCCCCCTCCTTCGGATGCCGACCACCATGCAATCGGGACGAGCGGAGTCCTGCATCCTCCCATTATCCCCCCATCCAGTCCCCTTCTTGACAGTTGACGTGCAACCAACATCAGTTATCATGCAGTTGCACTGGGTCCAAAGTACCGCGGCTGCAGACAAGCAGCTAGTGACAAGACTAGTACATATTTCGCACCATGTCCGATGCAGCTGTCTCTGCTGCCGACCTGCCAACCTGCCACCTGCAGAAGAGACCCTCTGCCTGCTGGCCGGATAAGATCGAAGTCCCCGAAACGACGCGATCGAATCAGGAAATTGGCTAATTCGTATTCAATGGCCCGGGAATGTGCCTCGTATCTGTGGATTACGCCGACAAAACGGATGCATCGCGCAATATCCGCGCCGTCGACTAAGATCCCATTGCCCGCAAGGCTCTGGTCCACTGTGGCACACTCCGTCCTCGTTTGTTTCTACCGGCCCCAGGAACCACGTTTCCTTCAGGAATGGGCTCTAAATTGCAGAATTCCTTCGTAGTGGGGTAGCGTTTCTCTCGACGCTAGCGTCGCCATCCTGCGACATGCTCCCATAACCTCTGGACGGCACTAGTTTGCGGGCCATTCCGCTGCCAACGTGCTCCAGGATGGGCAGTGCCCTTTTTAGCTCCAAAAGGCATGCAACCACAGGACCTCCTGGTATGCTGGGATACCGAAAAACTGATACCAAATGCCCACTAGCAGACCTTCCCCTCCCCCCCGGTCCCAACTTCCGTCACAGTGTACGCGGGTCTGACGCCGTACTTACGGACGGACAGGGATATGGCATAGCGGCATCACCAATCATCGCGCGATCAAGTCTGATAGGGGACTAGCTCCTCATGGGGGAAGCGCTAAGCCTGTTAATCGGTGGAGGTTTTGGAGTCGAAGCCAAACCTTCCCTTACTTGCCGCTGCGCGTGGCATTACGGAAAGTTACAAAAGGACGTGCTTTCTGCGGCCACGTCCCCTGGGGGAAGGGGGACTCCCGCTGAAAATGGGGGCAGGTAGGATCAGGCGGCGACGATGGCTGCCTTTTGAACGGTTAAAAAGCCCCATTATACATGGCGACTAACGCGGGTGGGTTTGGGCTTGGGCGATCTCCGCCTGGTGTGGCGTTGCGTTCTGGATGCTCCGCGGGAGATCGATTCCAAGACATATCGAGAGCAGGGGCGCCGAAGACGAGGCACACGGGCCCTGATTGGTGACGGACCCTCCGCGGGAAACAATAATATCAAGGGCTGCAGGGCAACTTCAGATTAAGCCATGCATTCAGAGCGCCGCGCCATTTGCTGTCCACCTCCCTGAGCAGGAACTAGGGCAGACCTCACTGGGGCGGGCGAATCTTAATGCAGATGTCCCATGCTAATAATATACGCAGCAAGCTGTAGTATCGGCTGATTTCCGTGAATCTGCACCTAAAACGGGTATATTCAAGAACCTCGACTCGGGTCAGATGTACGGCAAAAGGATCGGAATCCTTCCATTCGCTTCCCCCCATCGATCTTCTAAGTTATCCTGAGCGATCATTGACTAATCAGGCTGATTACCCCCCCTCTCTCTCAACGTTCGCCCCGGATCCGAACGTATCATACTTATCGACTCCATTCCCTCGGCTGGCTTTATCTTTCTATGATCTCAAGTGACTGACCACTCGGTGTGACACCATTACCACTTCTTTACTTCTTCTACCTGACGCCTCGCCCTCTCTCTCCCTCTCTCCCTTGTTCCCTCTTCCCTCGAGAGAGCTTCGAGCCCTTGGTTGCCTCACCTCCTTTGAGTGCAGCTGGATGAAGATGCCTGCGATGACCATGCTGCCGGATGGGCGGGCGCCGACTGATACTTCAGAGACCTCGTCAGAAAGAGACAGTCTCTCTGTAACAGAGTCCAGGAAAATGGGTGCTCGACAGAGCAACGCTCAAACGGCCGATCAATCACTACCCCCTCCACCGTCACAACCCACTGCCGATGGAGATTACCGTTGTGGAATTTGCAATAAGACATACAGTCGACGTAGGTCTCCTTGGCTAGATTCTCGTGCTATTGGCACACACTTCTCTACTTTATCGTTGATTTCCAGCGTTTTTGGGACGGAGCAATTTGGAAATAGACGTGGCTAACAAATAGCAGGTGATCTGCGGGACAGGCACCGGCGCCGTTGCATCAAGAATATCGGCCAGGAACGCCAGTCCAAGCGCAAATCCTGCGATGCCTGTGCGCAGAAAAAACTGCGGTGCTCTATGACCCGACCCTCTTGCAGTCGGTGTCTTCAAAGCCGACGACCATGCGTTTATCCCCAGTCATCTGTGCCCGTACAGGCGCCCAACATCCTTCCTGACCCCCAGGAGACTTCTAATTCTCCCCCTTCTCTTCCGGGAGTAGCTGGCCTGATACCTGGTGGCACGCCATGGATGTTGCCAGGGCACCAGTTCGACCCTCCCGGGTTTGATGACGTTAACGATATTCCCACTGCTTCGTGGAGTCCCGGAGCCATGTCAACTGCCGACCTTGCCGTTCATGCCGTTGGCGACAACCCGTTGCTACCTATACACGATGTCTCGTTTCTCAACTCCCCGCCCTGGAATGACGATTTTCATGAACGGGCCGAGCCGCTCGGGCTTGACGATTGCTTCCACGGTTCCCTTGACAGCTCTTCAAGTCGGTCGTCCCAGATTCTATACATGCCACAACATGGCACCATGGAGTCGTCGCCTGCAGCCGTGGTGCCCCCCACACCAGCTGCTTTCCCCGGTGACTCTTACAGTCTGGCTCGTGGCCCGGCTATTACGTCCCTAGCGTCTGGCTATTTCGACAATAGCTGGTCCGATGGCGTGACTACTAGCGACGACGACGATACCTGGCGACTCAATACTTACCCTGACGGCGTAATCGGATCGGTATTCGGCCAGAGTTTCCTTCCTAAGACAACCCATCAGACTCCGGGCGACGTTAGTGACTTATACCAAGAGATGTTTAGCCTGTTGCGGGAATATCCCAGTCTGGCTCTGCAGCGACAATTCTACTCGCCCTTTTTACATCATCAAATGTACAGTTGCGCGATACAATCAATGGGCGACCCTCTGGGCACTTCCTTGGCCTCGGTAACGTCGTACGCCACCTACTTGGAATCTTGCGATACGTTTGATCACACGATGCACAAAGAGGAGCGACTCGCGGTCGCTCCGGACAGCTGTGTCGCGGCACTTCACGCTGTCTGTGTCTACCAGATCTTGAGCATTTTCGGCGCCAATTCCCCCTCCGCTAGCATCATCAAGCTACCCGGGTTCGACGAGGACGATAGTCATCATGACAAAGATTACGGGTCGATGTCAGAGACTCCAATTGTCTTCCTCTTGAAGGTAAGACAACAAGACCCTCTTCCCCAGTTCTAGCCCTTTCCCCATTTCCCCGCCCCTTCCCCCTCCTGCATCCAAGCTCGCATTGACTAACGCGCAATTTCCCCCAGATAATTCAGCGGGTCTACAAACTTCACGAAGACATCCTCCGCACCCCCCACGAAGACGAAACAAACTGGAGCCGCTGGAAATTCACGGAATCGCTCCGCCGCAACATCTTCTTCGCCAACATCATCAGCACGCTCGCCAGCAAAACCCGCAAATTCAACACCAACGGCATCTACCCCGATCCCCTCGACAGCTCCATACTCCTCCAATTACCCCTACCGGCACCGGAGGAAATGTGGCGAGCCCGCAGCGAGGACGAATGGATGATTTCCCGCGCCCAGACGCTACGGTCTTGGACCCGAGCCCTGGATGGCAATATGCTTCCTGCGCCCAGGACCTTGCAACAGCTGCTGGTCTTGGAACAGGTTGGCAGTGTTACCGTTACGTTATTACCACCAATCACGCGAATGATTCTCGCTTGCGCCAAGCTAAACGGCCAGGCGTCGTATGGCTGAGCTGAGACCCAAGAGATGAGGGGTTGGTTACGGAGTACTTGGTTTGGCTTGGGGTCTTGGGTGGTACTGGCTGCCACTATGGCGTATTGAAGGTGGGAGGGGGCGCTTGTCCACTTTGCCTTTTATTTTATTTTATTTTTTTATTTTTTCATTGTTTTTGCTTTTTTCCCCCTCTCAGTCGGGTGCTTGATCTCAATTTCTTTTTTTTTTTTTTTTTTACTTTTTCTTTTTACTTTTTTTTTGGATTTGGGCCATTTCAACCGAGCCATACACGGAGCGCATTACACGCCCCGATCTTGTTCCACTAGAGACTTAGACTAGACATGGGCTGGTTCATTTTCTATCTATCTACTATACAGAGACAGACGGACAAACAGACATTGAGAACCAACACAACACACTACTATTATTGATTGATACCCACATTTTTAGCTATCATTACCCACTTTTCCACTCCGTAACTACCTATTATTACTAAAGTCGACGACATCCTTAATAATATTAAAGGAAGGGAGGGGCTGAGCAAGTTATGACGAGGCCCCCCCCCCTCTTAGTAAGTCACTAGAAGCCGCCCCCATAGTAAACAACCCTGACTACTACTCCGAACTAGTGAGTTAAAACACAGACAGGCGCTTACGACATCGTATATCTAGTGGATGTGGATATATTATTATTGTTATTATCTAGGGGGTATCTAACTGGTAGATAGATAGTCGACGATAGATATACGGGTCGTGAAGAACGCCATCAGCAAGTCTAGATACCTAGCTAGTCTTAAGTAGTCGCATCATCCAGACGCAGGGCTAGTCGCAGTATGATTATTTGCGGACTCCACAAGGGCCCCAGATACCAAGACGGTCAAGTTTTCCGAGCGGGTAAGGCAGCCCCTCCGAGGCGGGTGAGGAGTGGGCAGATAGTGGGTAGATACTCCGTAGTCTCTAATAGACTACTATGTCGTCGTGAGTATGCCAAATTGACATTATTGCACTATGAGCCAGCCGGTCACTGAGCCGCGATCTACATTGAAGGGCATGTCTCCAAGTCCGAGCAGGAATTTTTTTTTGGCTCTAGACCCCGTTGATAGGCGACCTGTCACTTCCGAGTGCACACACCATCTTTTGAACTTACCCTATCTTCCCCCCCCCCCCCCTCCGCCTCCCTATGAATTATGGAACCCAAGCCCATCTAGATTGATTTCTCAAACCCAACATGAACAAGCCCCGTAGATAACAGATACTCACCTACATTAGTCTCCCCAGTTACAGGAGCACGCACCACCAACCAAAGTCAATCCACAAAAGAGGGGTGATCTCGATAAGCGCAGGACTATATTGCCAAGCCTGCAGGTTAATTTACCTTCGTCTGGCGCTTTCGTACCGTACGGACTCCATACATACCCAGCTGCCCCAGGCCCCCCGTGGGTACTTCTGCAGGGAGCATAGACGCGTCTAGATCGTTCTGGGAAGGTGAGACGATGAACTGTATATGATTGACTCTTTAGATTCGGTCTGGCCTGCTTGCTTGGCAGTATCGGGTGGATGTTCTCCGGCTGCGGATCCGGGAGCGGTTCGGGATAGGATGCGGTGCGGCCGCTAGTGGAAGTACTATGGACATCCCCGTTGCCAAGTGTCTGGAGGATTCTGGTGGAGAGACATCCTTCATCCTGTCTTGAAATGCTTGAAGAGTGATCCTGACCTGGTGTTTGGGTTGAGGGGTTGCGGTGATCCGCTGGAGCTAGTCCCTGGACGATCACGGGCTGGGAGGATTAGCAAACATTACCAATAATTTTTTGACATTCCCTTAGATTGAGAATTGAGAAGTCTCCAGGGTCTGCAGCGCCCTGGCGCGGTTTACTGCGAGAAGATAGTCCGTCGCTTCTTCTAGTGTCATCAGCGAAGCAGGAATAGTGGCGGATGTCCAAACCGCCTAGGTTATCTCCAGCTATCTGGGATATTGCCCTCGATGGATGATGGCCAGAGCAGCATATCTAGCGCCATCAGCAAACTATATTAGCACTAGCCGTTTCATAGGAGCGGAAAATATATACATACTTTTATTTTGCTGATACCCCTGTCGCGACAAGGGATCTGGCCGAACAAGGAAATGGGCTACCTTTCGTGATTGGTGGATCGAGAGACATTATACTGGTATTTTGAACCAGTCATCTTTGAATAGGCTTTCTCGTCTGTTGCGCAAAATTGCTATCCCCAATCGTGTGCCTTGCGCCGGAGATGAGTTTTCGGATGGCGGTTCAGAGATGGGCACGGGGAACAAATTCCGTACGGATAGATACAAGTCGGCAATCAAACAGGCCATCGGAGTTACTGCAGACCCTGACCCGGTCGCTCGTTCTTAAGTCCGATAATATCCTAGAGATACAGAACTGCGAGCATCTAATCACCGAGGACGCCTGGGTTTCAGGAGGAGACGATTGTTGCCCGAAAGACGCCGACGGATGGGGAACTACTCTGGTGGTTCTGGCAAGTTGCAATTCGACAGGCTGGAGACGAAGTAGCCTGGTTGCGACAGCAGCCACAATCAGCACCTAAGATTTAGGTCAATCTGCGCAGCCGGGTGCTTCCTGTGGCCCGAGAGAAGAGGATCCATGAGATCCAACGTTGGTGGCGCTGACGCTTATCATGCAACAGAGTCGGTGATCCCGCAAGCCCTTTCTCTTGATAAGCAAATGACGATGAATAATTCTGCATTCGCTCGGGCTCTTCCTAGGGCAGGTAGCCTCCCTTGGATCAGGTTGTCCGTGTAGATCTCTTGCAGGTAGGTACTGTGCGCTCGAGATAAGGTTCGGAATACCCGCCTCAGCTATAATGGAAGCCTGATATTGATCGGAAGCCGAGGTAATACTCGTGATTTCCTCCACGCGTAAGCGTTAGATAATATTGAAATGCGGGTCGGGGATGACCGAGGTGCAATTTCTGGCTAGAGCATGTCAACACGATGCATTGCTGCGTAGGGACCTCGGGGGAATCAGGCCCTTTCAGACCGGGATACCGGAGATCCGACGGTGCTTATAGAGTGCTTTGAGGGGGGTAACAAGGGTCGAGGCCAACCCTTTCCCAACTGTCAGCTGTGTTGCAGACGTGTGGCCAACTGCGGAGGTGGCTAGCTTAACCCCTGCTTGTGCTTTGTCGTGGCTCGTCCCCTTTCGCTGTCCTTCCCGGTCTTCGTTGTCATTGAACATGATGACTCCGGGCGTTCCTCATCCCCGTACGGAGCGGATTCGGATCATATCTCGGCAGACTGCTCGGATAAAGAGAAACCCGCTGACACTCTTCAGCCGCGGGGGCAGTAAGCAACTGATTGGCCCATTCGCTTGGTGCTTGGGGTCCTGGCGTCTCCAGTGTTAAGTAGACCAAACGCCAGGCTGAGTCCGTCCCTTTCACCACATGCAAGTACACGCATATTAGCAACGAATATAATCGAAACCACACATGGGTATGCGTCCAACCTGATCCTCCCGACCAGAGTAGTTGAACTTGTTTCTCGACTGACGTTTGTAAGACAAGGTGCACTGATAGTCTCGGGGGTGATGTGCAATGTAACTTCCTGCAAAGGGGCATTAGATCACATTCCCGTGCCGATATGGACTGTCAAAGACCGGGTTCGAAGGCATGAGGCTACCATAGTCCCAATTCCTTCCAGCCGGTCGGTGCTTCATGTCAGAAGTGCTGCTTCGGTCTGCCTCGCATCCGCGTCTTTCCGTCCTTATGTTCCTTCCGAGATATCTTCTCCTGACATCATCCATGGAGTCAGTGCTGACATCAGAGGCAGGCAGGTATTGCTCAGCAAGAGTACTTCATTATCTGAGACGAAAACGCCGGGGGAGTTCCGGTTCCAACCAACGCTGTTCCATGATTGATTGCGAAGGATTCTGCATCTTGGGACAAAATGCAAGGGGGGGATTTGAATGAGCATGTGCTTTGAGCAGAGAGCCGTAATTCCAAGGGCGACTCAGAGATACGCGTGGGAGTCGGAGAAGGTCGGCGAGGTCATCGTGGGCGCCCAAGTCAAGCCTGGCTGTCCAGAACGGGCAAGCGCGTCTTCGTCTTGGACACCTCCCTTTTCAGGTGTCCATTTCGATCCCTGCCTGATATGAGGATGACACATGAGAGGAATCAGCCATGACATAAGAAATCTATACCATTAAAGAATGTCTAATCAATGTCTGCTAATGTGAACAAATCTCTGCAATAATGCATGCACAAAATAAAGATACCCTCCCAACCCAACATTAATAATCATTACTAGTCGAAGCTGCTATGACGTTCATCAGGAACATCGCTATTTGTATCATTCACCATCTCCACCGTCTGTGACACGTCCACAGTTTTATGAATGCGCCCTGGATCGGCGTTTGGCGCCATATCGACGGTTCCAGCGAAGGTGATGAGATGCGACTGGTCGGAAGCAGACTCCACGCCATCAGCGCGTCTGGAGTTGCCCAGGGAGAACCGCTTGCTGTTTGCGCCCTTCATCTTGCTCAGTTGAAGAGACGAATCGGCCTCGTAGTATCGTTGGGAGCTGTATTCCTTCTTGCGGAGCTTGTTGATGAGAATATTCACGGTGGGGAGGCAGGCGCAGATGAGGGCGACGCCTCCTTCGGCGTTTCTACACCATGGGTTAGTCGATGTTGTTGGATTGGGCATGGGGCAGAAAGGGAAGCGACTTACCCTGACAGAATGACACAGACGAACACAATCGTCTGGTCCGGGGAACTGCCGTCCTTCACAACCAGAACCAACCGGTATAAACTGAATGCCGTGGCCAGACCTCCGGCTGAGAGCATGCCGATCACGCGCAACTTCTTGCTCCGCGACATTTGCAGCGACCAGGTGAGCGGGAGAGGGAGGAACAGGATGATGAAGTCCGCCACCACACTGATGACAGAGTCGGCGATTAGGGCAGCCCGTTGGTCGAGACATGAAGCGTTTGGGTCGCCCGTCCAGTAACCGGGGATGGGGTCACACATCCGAATCTTCACTATCAACGCAATGACATAGTATACAGCAAGGCAGCCGAGAAGGACGTAGATAAAGAGGACTTTGGTTCGGTAGGGCTTGAAAATGCGGATGAGGATGGAGAGAAGGGCGACCTTGACGAGGAGGGCCATGGGACAGTAGAGAATCGTGGCGATGTAGCAGAACTGGTGATTGTAGGTGGGTGTCAGAAGGGGTCTCTGGGTATCAGTGGGCCTACGTACCTTGCGAAAGAGCACCTGATGTGCTGAAGAGACATCGGTGATGTGGAAGCCTCCGCCATACTCACCAACTGTTGGCATGGGGTTAGATTGAATCGCCTCAGAGGGGCTAGGACATGCGTACCGACAATGGATACACCACAATATCCCATAAACAGTAGCTGTCAGTGTTAGACGTGCGCATCTGAAAGACAGTCGTCCGGACATACCCATGCGACCAGACATGAAACTGCACTGGTTAGTATGCAATCTTGAATCCTCGAGTCCAGGCAGACGTACAGTCTTCAACTTTCACAAACTGCTTATAGTAGATGCGAATGGCAAACCGCAGGAGCACGAATATGCTGACGACCGGAATACAGAGCACTTGCGTGACGAGATTGACGGTATGCAGAACATCCTTAGGGTCGTTGAGGGTCATGGCGTGCCGAGGTCAGTGTCGCATTGTCGGGTTTCAGCAATATGGAGAAGGCTCAGGGCCACTCCACCGTGGGAGGGCTCAGAGATTTTATAAATAAGATGAATTTGATTCCCCATCGTCAATGCGCGTCCCGCCGTTCCCCGGGCCCAAGCATTCAGCTGAACCGCGTATGATAGGCTTGCCATCCCACTTGGAGAAGCTCATCTTTGGGTCGGAAGGTGGAAGAGGAAGCCGAAAATGACCCCCGTGTGTCTGCGTCGTGATCGCCCCGCCCAGGTAAAGATGAGAGAAACCTTAAGGCAGGAACAGCAACTCCCCGATGCAGTTGGTCTGGGTGGCAACTATGGAGCATCTTGGCGGATCGATCGTGATAGGTTCCAGGAGGCTGCAGGAGGTCATAACGTCTACCCATTTTGGGATATGATGCGCAGGATGAGGGAGACCTGAAGCTTCCGCTGGAGTTTGAATCGCTGCGAGTTCCACATTGTCACGGGGAAGTCGCAGGGCACAACCGACCAAGGACGATGCAGCCTGCGAAGGGCGAAGATGTCCTGGAACCGTGGGAAGAGCGTTGCTCTGAACATGACAGCGAGACCCAGAAGCCGGTTACCCGCAATGTCTCATTGTGACACCTAGATTGACTTTTTCTGCTGTGGCCCTGTCGGCCCTGGCAGCGCCGAACAATTCCATTATATAATTAGCGCTATACCAAGCCAGCTGCAGGGCGTCGGAAGATTCGCGGCGAAAGAATCGCCAGGAGTAAGAAGATAATAGCGATCGCCATTCCGCCACCACCGGAAGCTCGATCCAATAGCTCGTCGAACTACCTATGCAGCCGAATCCTGGGTGCCCATAGCCGCGGAAGACGAGAGCCACTACGACCGTGGCTAGATGATAATGGCCATCGACCCCTACCTAGTATCTGGGATGGCTGCCGATAGGCAGACGGCAGCGCGCTCGGGAAGATCAACAGGACCAACCCAACGCAGGAAGAAGAACCGAATGAGACGCTCGTAGCGCAGACCTGGAGATCAACCGTGGTAACCCCAACGGGCCACCGATGGGAGTGTCTTGAGTGTTCGAGTGAGTCTGGATAGCGGCAGAGACGCCGACCCGTGCCTTAGTGTGGCCTAGTGTGGCCTAGCGTGTCTAGCCAGCCGCTAAGCGTCGCGGCTGAACCTTGTCCCTTTTCCGTCCCTCCTTTCGCTTGCATCGGAATGGTGTGGATCAATCCATCCATCCCTATTCTTCCTTCGTGCTGAGCATGCCTTCCCCAACCACGTCTCCAAACAAGGGTGGCGGACTTGGGTTTTCCTCGAGGCGTCCTTCCCCCAGGAGCTAAACTTTCCGGACTCGATCAGCAGGCTTCCAGAAGGCTGATAACCGCGTGGACACTGCAGGGGGGGGGTACGAAAAAGTCTCAGGATTGCTCATCAGCACATACCCCTGTGACTCGTGATCGTTACCAGGGACTGCGGAGCATTTTGATCCCTACGAAACTGGTTCAACCCGCCAGACTGCAAGTGCTACACGCGACACAGACCAGGCTGATATCCAAATGCGGCAAAGTGTCATTATCACGTGGACCCGTCAAATTTCAGCCAATGCAGAAAGCAGCCGGCTCGCAAAAGCAATCAATGGATCCGTGGTACCTGTGCAAGGCATTTCGTGGTTATGCCTCCACTTCTCAAGGTTCAACCCGTGCCTGCCCTCCATAATTTCTCGTGTCGCAGCCTCGCAGGCCCTCTGGCTGGATTCCCGTCGCCTGTCAGGATCCATCTGTCATTCTTCTTAGGCAACGTAGCACTATTTCGTATGGACCCGCTGCTTCCCGCTTCAGTCCACCACAGGAGCGCCGGACACAACATAGATAGGGAGAGCTCAGTTATAAGGTCTGGGTTTACAGTAAGTAAAATTAGAAATGACCTTCAATTGTGTTGAATTCCCTTATCTTTTTCGATCTTACACTGCATGGGGAGACACGTAGCGAACTCGGCTAAAAAGCTTACTAGTGATGTTGCACTGCAGTACTAAGCAGACCAAACGCCTTACAAAAACATCTATAGGTGACAGAACAAGGCAAGTTATCACTGTTCTGTGTCTCATATACAGAGGCCTTGAATAGCCTTCTTATCGATATTGAATGTTTTGAATATGGGATGTATTCACTCTATGTCCCCTGATATCTAATGCCCTTGCAGCCCCCTTTCATTCTTATCTTCTCCCCCCTCTCGATCCATTCCATCATGTCGAATCGACCCCTCCCTGAGTTACTGCGGACGCTTATTATGAAGCGCAACCAGGCATCCTGATCATCCTACTAACCACAATGATAAGAGAATGCCACACCAACTGATAGTGTGTACACATCGCACAGCACTGCCCCTATATTGCACATCCTGCATACCACTTTTACTTCACAGACAGCCAAAGCCATGGAACTCTCTAGGGGCCAGACAGGGCCATTCTTCCAAACTTCGGTTCAGCCCACCCGAACACCCGAACTTAACCTCCACTGAAACAGGTCTACCTTTTCCCAGAAGAATTACTATATAGATCTTCCAACTCGGTAACCTTTTCCACCCCCCTGAAAACCTTATCTTCATTCAACAACATTCTGTGTCGTCAGCTTTCTCGCTACCAAACGAATGTTCAAAAATGCCAAGCTCCTCCGACTATATCTCCATTTCGAGAAAATGATCCCAATGTTAAAGATAGAAAGGCGGAAAGAATACGAGGCGAAGCTTAACTGGCGATAGAGGAACCGCACGATCGATGAGTGTGAGAAGGTAATGCATATTCTTCGATCAATCTCAGGTCGGCTCACTGATGCTGGAATACACAATGCTCTTCACTGCTTCGAGGAAGAACCTGTGACTCTTATCGACTTTGAGCTAACAGTCTCATGATCTGATCGTCTGCGAGATGATTATCAGACAGCCAGCAACCGGTGGCTAGATTCTTGTCATCCTGCACCTGAGATTTGCCCCTACTCCGTCCATGAAGCTCGGTGATGCAGAGAACAGGGCGAACAGAATCACTGACTTGGTTGTTGTCTATACAGTAATACATAACAAGCCTGTTACTCATCACTGCAGGTATCAAGTTGCTCACATATGAACCGACCGATGGAAGGTACATGGTTGGATACTACCTTACATATACTGAGTCTCTGCCTTCCAGTCGAATATTATCTGCCGGAGGTACTCCTCAGATAGAGACTAGGTAAGTACTGGGTATATTTATTTAATCTCTTCCGTCATATAGATGCAAGGGCAGGACCTCGGGGGATTATCTTCCTATTCAATCATGGGATACCCCAACGCACTTCCTGGGCGAACCTACCCGGAATGTGAAAGAAAGCTCCATTGCCTCCGAAGTCGAAGGAACAACACTTACGAAAGCCGTTCGAGAACGGCCACGGCATTTTGAATACCTTGGATAAGACTTAACATTCAAGTACGAAATTTTAAGTGATGGTGTTGGCTTCATGCAGTAACAAAAGAAGTTTCTTTTCTGGTCATCTCAAAGAGCCACGATGTGGTCATGTATCTTCCTTCCTTGGGAGGTTGAGTTCATCAACATGTTGTATATGATCTCAATTCAACCAATTTTACTTTTATCAACTCAGTGGTTTATCTTTATGATACTAACAAAGTAAACACTCTCCCGGCGAAGATCCATACTCCTCAGACCTCGCAGTAGAAAAAGCTGACAAGTAACATCCAGTAACCGATGCCCGTCTATTGTAATTAAAGTTCAATGAAAGGTGACCAATAGTAGTGTCCACTATGCATGGAATAACCCGTCTTCATAACTGCCAGCCAATCAAGCACGAAGAGAGCAAAAAGGCCCGTCGCCGATAATTCCGAGGCGGCCGCGGAGTCCGCGGAGAGCACGGCGAGCGCGGATTTGCCCGGAACGGCTCCGGACGGATCAAACCTGGAGGTAAGTAAGTAGTATATACCACAACAGTTTCTTGAGGTGTTATAAGGGTGGTGCTCGTCGGAGATTTAATGGAGTCATTATTGTCTCTGAGCGTGCTAGTTTAAGCAATAATGTCAGGTGCGAGTTCACGTGCGAGGTGAGTCGACGTTTTCGCGTGTATGGGGTGGTGCCGAATATATACTTAGTGGAGTGTCTGTAGCTAACAAATTCCAGTCGGCAGGCAAAAATGTATCAATCCAAGGGTCCAAGTTCTCAAAGTTCTCAGGTTTCCTACGAAGATGAGAAAATTACCTTCGAGTTCGGTGGCGCCCCTGGAGTGACGCTTCTCATGCTCGGATTCCCCCTTCTCATGTACTACATGTTTATCGGAGCGACACAATATGACGGCCACCTTCCCCTGCCACAGGACGACCAGTCGATTCCGGAGTTTCTCTCTCATCTAGCCAACCTCGTCTATACGCATGCCTATCCGAATCGAAAAGCCTGGATTGTCTACTGGAGTTTCCTCATACTGGAAGGGGCCGGATACCTCTACCTTCCCGGCGTATACGGGAAGGGGAAATGTCTTCCACACCTGAACGGAAAGCAGCTGGACTATTACTGCTCCGCTGCTTCGTCGTGGTATGTGACCATAGTCGCTGCACTGGTACTGCATTTTTCCGGACTGTTTCGGCTCAACACACTGGTTGATGAGTTCGGGCCATTGATGTCGGTGGCTATCTGCTCGGGCTTCCTGGTCTCGGTCATCGCGTATGTGTCGGCGCTGGTACGAGGCGCGCAACATCGGATGACGGGCTCACATCTATACGATTTTTTTATGGGCGCGGAGCTGAATCCTCGTTTGTTTGGGTGGCTGGATATGAAGATGTTCTTTGAGGTCCGGATTCCATGGTATATCTTGTTTCTGTTGACGCTGGGGACTGCATTCAAGCAGTGGCAAGAGTATGGGTATGTGTCCGGTGAAGTGGGATTTCTGCTCATGGCGCACTTTCTGTATGCGAATGCCTGCGCAAAGGGAGAAGAATTGATCATCACTAGTTGGTATGTTTTATGGCTGCCATGTTGGGATATAGCTGACATGCAGATAGGGACATGTACTATGAGAAATGGGGATTCATGCTCATTTTTTGGAACCTTGCTGGCGTTCCTATGAGTTATTGCCATTGCACTCTATACCTGGCAAACCATGATCCGTCAACGTATAAGTGGAACCCCGTGGCATTGACCGTGCTATTTGTGATGTACCTCTTCGCATATTGGGTGTGGGATACTTGTAATAGCCAGAAGAATCTCTTCCGAGCACAGGAAAGAGGCAAGGCTGTGGATCGGAAGACGTTTCCTCAGCTGCCGTGGAAGTCGGTCAAGGATCCCGTGTCGATCAAGACAAAGACGGGAGACTCAATCTTGTGCAGTGGATGGTGTAAGTCTATTGCTGCTTTTGTTGTGTCGAAAATAACTGAAAGGATGCAGATGGTATGGCACGCAAGGTTCATTATAGCTGCGACTGGTTTTTTGCCTTCTCCTGGGGGTTGATCACGGGATTCCAATCGCCATTCCCGTGGTTTTATTCTTGCTTCTTTACAGTTATGATCATCCACCGTGCCCTCCGGGATATAGAACGGTGTCGAGAGAGGTATGGAGAGGCCTGGCGCGAATATGAGCGGAGGGTCCCACATTTGTTTATTCCGGTGAGTGTGATGCCTCGGGCTGCCTACTCTTGAAGCTAACGGTGCAAAGTACGTTTTCTGAAGTACAAGGGAAAAGACGGATGCTGAACGGAAGGCAACCCAGTTCCAGGAGGTTGGAAAATGGTGGCACATGGACATGACTTGGTTGTAATTATTGAATGGCTTCATTGATATAGTCAGAGCTCAAAATATCCATGACAGACCGATTGGTGCCGATGAAATCGTTTAGAAACATGGAAATGTCTGCCTGATTCATGCTCGAATCGATCATGTCATCCGGCCATGGAACATTTGGCAAGGCAATATTTCCCGGCCCGTCAGACATAGGCATGAAGAGAGACCCGTCTTGATGTTGTTCCAGCCCCGTCAGCGTTTGTTGCGAGTTGACTAAAATTTGAGCTGCCCTGACAAATGCTTCGCAGACGGTGTAGAGGTGCATCGAGCCACGTGAAAGTCCTTTTATTAGCTCCAAGGAGCTTGTGGTGTCTTGTAAGAGAGCCAAGTCGGCTGTACTGGCTGTCGTAATTGCGTGGGTAAAGACGATGACGAATGGGGTGAAAGATGGGTAGAGGAGGATCCTATTGTCGTAAGCGTCATGCACTCACAATGCGACAGTGACCTACCAGTTGACATATTCTGTCTGCTTGTGAGTTTGACGGCCACGGAAGTAGGTAAAACATTTGAGATGACTCTGCAGTGCTGCAGTTGCAGATTCATAGCACTGGGACGAAATTGCCATAGCATCCCGGGGGCGTGTTTGGGCCCGGTAGATGACTGTTAGTACAGAACAGGCTATGAAGTCAGCACAGGCAGCCATCCCATGCAAGGAGTCGGCATAAAGGCCCTGGCTGACATCAATCTGAGCGAAATATCAGCCATGTAGAGTTTAACCTGATAAGGCAGAAATACCGCGAGCAGTTTATCTCGTACTGCCATCAAATCAGAAGATAGCTTTTGTATAGCAGTTGACCTTTGAGCGTCGGTTGCCCTGGATGCCGAAGTAGAATAAAGCTTATCATAGACCCTACCCTGAATCCCTGCAAATTCAATGATCACGAGGCTCATTAAGTCCCAAGGACGTTGCTTGGGATTGTTGGAAGGACTGAAAAGGTCGGCATCAACATCATGGTCTTGGAAATGAGAGGTCACGCCAATGTTCAGAGATATATTCTTGTCAATGGTGTACAATGCCCAGAAAGCACGTCGTTTAGCTTCTGCAACCGCAGTATCATCCGTCTCCAAAGTAGAACATCGGTGCAAACCCATGCTCTGGCACATATTGAACGCCAGCGCGAGGTAAGTCCAGCAACGTTGAATGTCAAACTCCTCTTGTGCTTTGGTAACCTACAGCCGTTAGAGAAGTGCCTATGTAGACATTTATCTCAACATACCCCGAGAAGCAATGACTGTATCTTTTCTAGTGTCGGGTCAATCATGAGTTCAGGATTGCTTAGCCCTGCAAGGAACTGTTGTTCACAGAGCTCAAGGCTCGAGGGAAGATCAAAATTTGCAAGATCGTGGTCTCCGGCATGCAAATAATCACGGATTATGTAGAACAGTAGACCGTAGAACAGGGTAAGGGACCCAGCAGGTACAGGGTTTAAAGGGAAGTATATTGATTGGCACAAAAATTCCACTCTGGTGGAGTCTACCCAGGACTGACTGACCAGGAAAAAAGGAGGCTGAGCTACACTGCGTCAGCTAGACATTTAAATGGACAAGAATATACCTACATTTGACCTTCTTCACCACGGCTACAACAAAATCGACTGGAAGTACTTGTTCCTTTGTTTGTACAGACGATTGTAGCCCGCTCTGAGCGACTGAGGCATGGTGTCTGTCCAGACTGCTCTTCAAGGAAGAGAGGGCCGCAGAAACGTAGTCATCCAGTTGTCCATCTCGTGACGTGGTTGCTGCAGAGTAGGCTGCGTCTCTAGCCACGAGGGTCTCGTGATGAAAAGACGACTGTCCTTCAAACGGTGGAGCTGTCGGACCGGTAGAAGTTGGTTCGGGCGCTGGTGGTAAGGACATCGAGGGTTGCGTTATTTGCTGGAGCGTTTTATGAATGGTCTCAAGCTGCTCCTGCATTGACGAAAGCCTTTGCTCGCTGAATACCGTTAGCATATACGGCTGTAATCATCTAAGCTCCTTACTACTCGTCAGAAGCAGCTATTTGCCGAGTGGCTGGAGTACTATTCAGCGCTGTACCCGCAGGACTACATGTAATCCCCAGAGCGCTGCAGCCAGAACAAGGAATCGCTTTGTCACATTTGATCTGGAGAGCAGTCAGTGTGCATCACAGATCGATTTTATATGGTCACGAGCACCTTCCGAAGACGACAATTTTCACACTGGTCAGGATTAGTGGTTGTGAATGAATTGGATACGAGGACGCCAGGACCGTACCGCGCGAGCCCGGAAGGAATTGCGGGCAGTAGACGGAGTTCTGGTAGCCATTTCGATGTTGCGCTCTTGAGGAAGCATTCGTGGATGGATTATTTGTGCTCTTTCGCCATCGAGAGGTAGAGTTAAGAAGCATATAACGTGACTGACATACCAGAAAGAGTGACGGAAGTAAGCTGAGGTTCTCTTTCGCTTCCAGTTCCCGATCGGGCAGCGCGACAGACTAGTCCTGTTGAAGCTAGACTGGAAGGATACTTTCGGACTAGCGTTCCCCGTGACGCTATCGGCCCCTCCTCAGACCTCAACCTTTCCCGATCGGGAGTACGTTGGCGCGTCACCACAAGACAAGTCGGGAGTGGCTCGGAGATTTTCCGTGGCCAACAATCACTTGTCCAGATTTGCAACAGAATTTCATGACAGGCAGGGAAAACCCGGATATTGTCCACATGGCTTACCGGCAAAATAGCTGTCTCCTGCAAGCTTACATCCGAATGAGGATGACAACGCCCCACAAAATAAGCTCTTTCGTGGAAACCGCCATAGTTACTAGCTTGGCTATTGTGTGCCGCTTTTTGTATGCTATTTCTCCCTGAAGTTGCTCCCTGAAACTTTACATCACCGAACAGATGGCTTTCAAGATGACGCTCAAGATCAAGGATCGTCGCCATGTTTTACCCCGACAAGCAACAATAGCCTGAATGCACATTTAGCATGAAACCCATTTCTTTTAATAGTAATATTATAAGTATTATAAGAATTATTTCTTTTCCTAAAGATCATAATTTTCAAGATATTCTTATAATAGAGTGCCGTGACTCGATTCCTGCAACAACGCGCTTGATCTTTACTTCGTTGATCCTTTCTCTTCTGGTGTTTTCTACTACTGCCGAAGATGGGTACGATGGCTGGCTACGATACGCGCCCGTGCCTTGCGATATGCATTGCCAACAAGCCTTACCCTCCCGCATCGTGTTGCTGAACAGCACCAGAGGAAGTCCGATTGAGACCGCAGGGCAGGAGTTGAAACAAGGCCTTGACTTGATTGTTGCAAAAAATGCGTCTGTCTTGCAGTCCGGCTGCGATGCTCCCTCATTGGTGCTGGTGGCCACCGTGAACGAGTACCCCAAAATATGCATTGGCCAAATCGATATACCTGCGCTGGATGAAGATGGGTTTCGGTTACAGTCTCAGGGGGGCACCGTTCGAATTCTAGGACAGAACGCCCGTGGAACCTTATACGGAGCATACGAGTATCTGTCTATGTTAGCCCAACGCAATTTCTCGCATGTCGCCTATGCCACCAGTCCGCACGCGCCTATTCGTTGGGTGAACCAATTGGATAACATGGATGGGAGCATCGAAGGGGGATATGGTGGTGCCTCTATATTTTTCAAAGATGGTACAATCGTCGATGACTTGGCACCGATCAGGCAATATGCTCGACTGCTTGCATCCATCCGGGTTAAAGCAGTTGTCGTCAACAATGTCAATGCCATTGCAACCCTGCTCTCATCAGAGAATAAGAAGGGTCTAGCTCGTATAGCAGATGCCTGCAGACCATATGGCGTACAGATTGGTATATCGCTTAACTTTGCCTCCCCTGAAGACTTGGGGGGTCTGGATACCTATGACCCGCTGGACCCCAGTGTCATCTCATGGTGACAAAATATCACCGACAGCCTCTATGGAAGGGTGCCAGATATGGTCGGCTATCTTGTCAAAGCCGATTCCGAGGGCCAGCCAGGTTCTGATACATATAATCGCACTCTGGCACAAGGAGCAAACCTCTTTGCGCTTCGACGATAATGTTGTCGTGCAGATCAAGTACGGTCCAATCGACTTTCAAGTGCGTGAGCCTCCATCGCCTCTTTTTGCCAACCTCTACCACACCAACACAGCTATCGAGCTGGAGGTCACACAAGAATACCTGGGACAGCAGTGCCATTTGGTCTATTTGCCTCCGCTCTGGAAGAATGTTTTAAATTTTAACCTGCGTGTTAATAAAAAGCAGTCAGTGGTTCAGGCTATCATCTCCGGGGAACGGTTCAACCGATCGCTCGGTGGCTGGGCCGCAGTTGTTAACGTCGGCACTAATAGAACATGACTGGACAGCCACCTGTCAATGTCTAACCTTTATGCGTACGGTCGTCTTGCGTGGAGTCCGACCATCGACTCTGAGCAGATTCTGACAGACTGGACTCGCCTCACCTTCGGACAAATCGACAATGTGATCAACACAATAAATGACATGTCGATGGCATCCTGGTCAGCTTATGAAAACTACACCGGGAACCTGGGAATACAAACCCTCACAAATATGCTATATACGGATCTTTCCGTGACTCTAGCACATACGACCATAGGGTGTGGAGAACAGGGCTTCCCGTCCGCTCAGCCGTACTTAAGCCACACGCCGGGAGGTTAGTAGTTGGGTGGGTGACCACCAGCGAATCCCTCCTGTCGTATGTGTTTTTCCTGATTTTGATATCTTTTTATCATGTCTGGAGGTGATGCTGTTGCTGTTTGTTGTGTATATGAAGGGTAGAAGGCGCGGAGTACAAAAAGCGGACGGTTAATCTGATATGATGTTGTGTGTATCTCTTTCAACTCCCTCTACGCGTTCTCCTCCTTCTCCTCGCCTGCGTTGAAACCATCTCTTTCGACTTACTCTACGGAGGTGAGTTTCAAAAGTCATTGGTAGGCACTACCGGCTTGACTGTATTTGCCTGTTAAGCAGGGCGAATGTGTCATCGGCACAAACATCTCCATGATAGCCAACCGAGAACGCGGGGGCAACTGCGCCGAGGAAGATACTGATGGATGCGACGCGAACGATCCTCGACCGACCAGCTTCGAAACCGCGTTCAATAACAACGGTGGCGGCGTCTATGCGATGGAGTGGAAGCCCGATTGGATGCGCGTTTGGTGTTTCCCTGGAAATGACATGCCGAGTGGCACAAGTGGACCTCTGGGGCCGTCCCCAGACCCGAATACTTGGGGACCTCCGACGACGAGCTTTGACAGCCGGTATGGTACCGACTGTAGTATGGTGACGCATATAAAGGAGCAGAGGATTATCATTGATACGACCTTCTGTGGTCAATGGGCTTCGGTGACTTGGTCTAGCTCGGGGTATGCGGCTAGTACGGGGTATAGTACCTGCGAGGCTTATGTCAAGGATGTGCCGAGTGCATTTCGAGATGCGTTTTGGACATTCAAGTTGGTTAAGACGTACACTTGATTCTTCGGGGTCTGCATACGGAGTAGGTATCAGAGGCCTGAGCTCGTGCTGAGAGAGCGATACGCACATTGTTAGGGGATTTATTACCATTTTAATGATTCTGACGCGAGTCATTCGCATTGATGTTTCTATCTCACCTGGTTGGATGGACTGATATGATGTTGAGCACTATTGTCTGTGACTGCTAGTCTAACAACACCCCGTCGAGATCAAACAACTTCCATATCTTCCTGTTATGGCTTGGTTAGATTCTCGGCACGTGACCTGAAGTATTCCCCATCCGGAGTCAGCGGTGTTCCCCGATCAACATCAATAGGGCAGACAAACCGAATTGCAAATGTTGGGATACCCACGGTCGGAAAGAGACTTGGAAGGTACGTAATGGCTTCCTGGTCTCACCGTCTCACCCGCAAGGCTGTAAGCCAAATGGCTATGCCAGGCTCATTAACAACTGCCAGGTTGATGTCAATGGCCCGGGTAAGCCCATTGACCAAACAGATTCTGAGACCTGTTATAGATGACTGTGGCGGTAGCATCATGTAAATACCATTGGACCGTTGGGAGAGGTGCCTGACAAGGTACTTAGTATTAGTTCTTACTGTTTGTTGATCATGTCAACGAGGCTGTCCAATCGCCGGTGTCAACAGATCCCACCTCCCCGCCCCTCCCCCCCCCCCCCCTCTCATCTCTCATCACTATATACTTAAACCTCCTTCTTCCCCCCCACCTTCATTACCAGGACAATCAATTCCCTCTATCGTTTTTCGTCTGATCTCAACCTCTCAACCTCTCAATCCACCAACCACCTACCAAACCAGCGAACCAAAATGCCCCTCACCAAACTCTGGTACTTCACCCTCCTCCCCTCCACCATTCCCACGGACCCTCACCACTCTCCTTGCCGAGATCGCCACCTTCTGCGACAGCTACACGAACCCGACCGCCTCGCCCTCCGTTCCCGAGATGCACGCCTTCTACCACGATGTCCGAGACCCGCGCAAGATGGTTATGATCACGGGGTATCCGACCATCGAGCTGAACGAGGAGGCGGATCGGGCCTACGTGGAGAAATACCTGGGGCGGATGATGGGGCTGGTGAAGCATCAGTGGCTCAGGCAGATTGAGCTGGATCTGGGAGAGCTGGGGCTCGGGGACGAGATGGAGGTGGCGTGTGGTGGGGAAGAGAGGGGCACGGGAGGGTGGGATGTGTGGAAGGGGAAGCCAAAGGATGAAGGGAGGGTTTGGGTTCAGGTGGACGGGGGAAAGGGAGGGGAAGGGGAAGTGGATGATGAGTCTGAGTTGGAGGGGGGGGAGAGGCTTGTGTTGAGGAAGGTGGTGGGGAGGTAGGCAGTACTGTCGATTGGACAGGAAATTGAAGGCTTACAGGTAAGTATGCTGTCTCTTCTTCGCATCGCATTGCACCAGGGTACATTGCTAAACCTTACGCCAGCTATCCCACCATCGTGTCTATAATTTGGCAAATCCCATGTTGTCACCCCGAGTTGCAATGTGGGCTGATGCAGACAACGCCCTGCCGAGACCTAACCTTGGTAGAGATCTATGATATGATGTATGGTTGATGGATGCGGCCCCTCCCCTGGTCGAGCATGTCAAAAGAGGCTCAACACCCAGGCGTATTGAACAGGATACTTAGCTTTCCGTCAAGGCCTGTGAGAGTGACGATAATGCTACCTTACCTAGAGCAATGACACCGATAGTACTACTGTACTACTATTCACACCCTCCTCTGCGGCGCCCTTTCCCTTCTCGCCCACCGGAACAGGCAGGCACTGGGCCCTCTCATCATCACTTCTCATCCCCCCCCCCCCCCGCATCCGACTTGACTCTCCATCATTCTACACATCATTGTCATTGTTACTCTACAGATAGCCATACTATCACAGCGCGTTAATATTTTGCACGTCGTTTGGATCATTCATCTTGCCATCATGGCAAACATTCCCCAACCACTCACCGACCCCAGTAATCCTGGAGATGGTCTTGGAGGTGGTGCTGAAGGGGACGAACAGGGTACTTATTCTGATGAACATGGTGACGAAGGTGGTGAACGCGGTGATGAAGGCGGTCCTGAACATGTCCCTTTACATGGAGCCTCTCCTCTGCACGGTAATGATCCTGCTACCCTTCCAGCTCATGCTAGTCTTGGTCAAGAGGCTATTGCTTCTGGTGCCGGTTCTGGCTCCGGTGTTGCGGCAGAGACGGAACAGAGGAGATCTGGAGGGTTTTTGGATCCAAGTGAGCACCAGGACCAGGAAGAACGTGCGGAGCTGATGTTACCCCCAACGGCGCTGGACAGAAATGGGAATCCAGCCCGAGACTGTGTTTGGGGATGGGTAATGGATTTGCCTTCAGGGTCGATACGGGGTAATCCGCTCGTGGCTGGTGACTTGCCTGCTGCCATCTATCCTTTCAATGAGAGCAGCAGCTTAGAACGCCTTGCCTTAGCTGTCCAGATGATGCGCACAGACCCGGCAATGCAAAGCCTTGAATTCTACATCCATAGACGTCCCTTACTTTTTACAGATAATGCTGATCGGAATAACCCAGCCCACCCGCACTTCGCAGAGGCGAGGGAGATCGGCCACACTGTTGCCGAACTTCACCAGGATACTGAGGGCAAGCTCTGGTGGGGAGCAGTCTCTGTAACCCGACGACTCACAATGGCCTGGCACTACTGGGCAGTTGCTGCAATCAAGTCGAAACGCGAGGGTGCGGCCGACAATGAGGTGCTGCTGCTCATCTACGACTCGGCTCCTGTAACCCCCCCAAAGGGACGCCGGAATGCGAAGTTTTGGAGGTCTTGGTTGAATCCGGAGCAGTGCAGAATGGTGACGGAGTTGGGCAAGTACTGGACGATTCACCGGCTGTGGATCAACCGAGACACGGTCCAGCTTCCAGAGGATACTGACCAAGTACATATGACTCTGTGGTGGTTGTGGAATATCGCTCGCTACGACACGCAGGACTACCGGGAGGACCAAGACACAGAGCTCATGCCCCGGGAAGACCCTCGATGCCGGTGGACGCGGTCCGTCTGTGTCAAGATCACGAGAAGTTCCTACCAGCGCATGAAAGCGGCGTTTCGGTGGCAGCGCCTTGGGCTTGGGGGGATTTGGGGTATGCTGAAGCGATGGGTGAGATGTGCAGGACGTGCTCGGCATTAGATATAGTACTTAGACGGCTAGATCATCGCCCATCGATGAATACAATTCTTATCTCTGGCAAACAGTGCTTCACCCGAGTGCTCAACCGTCCTGGTATTCTTGAAGATGTAGATGTGGTTGGGCAGTCCTCGGTCCGACTCCAGGGCGACTTTTGTCTAGACTCGGGGAGAGTTTCTTCGGCTTCTGTGGTGGCTGAATCTGGAAGCAAGGCAGTTGGGCATCGGGCGATGCTTAAATGGACTCACTCTTGGTTTGCTCGAGAAAGTGGTATGTGATGGATGACAAATGCGAGCAGATCCTTGAGGCGTCGGTCTTCTCCCCCTCCTTCTTCCTCCCTCCTTCTTCCTCCCTCCTTCTTCCTCCCTCCCTCACCCCCACCTCTTTCTTCGAGACATCAACCAACCTATTCAGTCAGAGTTGCTACGGCCAACCTCATTCCCACCTTGTCAAATCTAGATCTACAAATCTCATCGTTTCAGTCTCGGGGGTCTTCTCGCAATCCTTATATTACTCACCTGGAACCCTGGCCGATTACCTTCAAGCCTCCGATGGAAATGGAGGCAGAAGCAGAGGACAATTCCTTGTTGGAGGCACGTACCCGTGGGTAAATCGATGCAGTTGGAGGAATCCATGTCGTCAATGTGGGCCCAACCGCGAGGAACCATGGTCCCTCTCCCTGTCATGCAGCCGAGGCGCTGAGCGCTTGACATCAGAAACCTTCCGCCACCACCGGATGGGGCTAGAATCTGCGACTGGGGGGTCTTAAGTCTTTATACCCCCGTCGCATTGCCGGATTCTTCGTCCTGCAGCAATGTGCCCGCCATGTCTTCAACCCCCCCGACTCCCCTCACTGAGCGGTCCCCCCCTGACCAGGTCGACGCCTGGATCTTGGGTAGTGGCATCCCCTCGTTGACCGCCGCCGTCCATCTCATCCAAGAGGGCCATGTGCCTCCGTCGCGGGTTCACATCCTCGAAACACTCAGTCAGGCCGGCGGGGGGACCGTCAGCTCCGGCGATCCAGTCAATGGGTACGACTATCGAGCCGGGGGGATGCCGCCGTTCAACGACTCCTGCGTGGAGGAGCTCCTCGAGCTGGTTCCCTCCCACACGAACCCGGAAAACACTGTCCTCGACGATATCCACATCTTCTGGGAGACCAAAGCCGCCCGGGAGACACCGCATACGCGCTTCTTGACCCGCCACAAGAACAGGATTGAGCGCGTGGACGCCAAACGAGCAACCCTGGGCTTGCGCGACCGAGTCGACCTCTTCATGATGGCCTCGAAAACCGAGAAATCACTCGGTCGCTCTCGCATCTGCGATCACTTTAGCAAGGGCTTCTTCAAAAGCGGCTACTGGCTCAGCTTGTCCACAACGTGGGTACCTCCAACCATCCATCCCTTACACAGCCTCTAAATCCGAGATCAGCTTCGGCATCAAACCCATCCACAGCGCCACCGAATTCCGGCGCTACCTCCAACGCTTCATGCACGACATCCACGGCCTTAATCAAAGGCGCCCGCTCGATTACGGCCGCTACAACCGCCACGAATCTATCGTTGCCCCGATCGCCTCCTTCCTCCGCTCCCGCGGCGTCGACTTCCGCTTCCACACGACCGTGACAGACATCGTAACCTGGCCGTCCAGCGATGACCCCCAGCGCGTCTCCGCAATCCGGGCTGTGCACGAAAATGACCCCGAACACCTGATCTCCCTCGGACCGCAAGACATTGTCTTCGTCTCGCTGGGCAGCGTCATGTCCGGCTCGACGACCGGCACGAACGACTCCCCCCCCTCGCTCGAACTGATGGACATCGAAAAGGACCTCGACGAGAACTGGCTCCTGTGGCTGGAGCTTTCGACGAAAAACCCCATCTTCGGGAACGCGTACAATTTCTGCACGCGCATGCCCGAGTCCCGCCTGGAGTCCTTCACCATCACTCTCAAAACCAAGGAATTCTTCACCCGCTTTGTCCAACTCACCGGTGATCAACCGGGGACTGGCACATTCGTGACCCTCAAAGACACCCCCTGGTTAGTGAGTCTGAGTCTGCCGCAGCAGCCGCTGTTCCCGGATCAACCAGACCACGTGCAGGTGGCGTGGGGGTATGCGATGTATCCGGAACTGGAGGGCGGGTATATCAAGAAGCCGATGCTAGAGTGCTCGGGACAGGAGATCATGGAGGAGATCCTCCGGCAGCTGAAGCTTCCGCTCGAGGGGATCCTGGACCATTCGGTCACCATTCCGTGCGTGGTGCCCCGCATGGCAGCCACTGTCTTGCCTCGAGCTGGACAGGATCGGGCGCAGGTCATCCCTCAGGGAATTGAAAATCTGGGGCTTATAGGCCAGTTCGTGGAGATCCCGGGGGAGGTGGCCGTGACGATGGATTATGGGGTGAGGGGGGCGCAGATGGCGGTGCAGAAGCTGATGGGGTTGCATATGCAGATGAGGCCATCGAAACGAAGTTCGGCGATCAATTTGCTGGGTTTACTATAACAGGGAAGAGTGATCTGACGCTTAAATAATCTGGGTCGCTGTACAAGACTGGACGTGGACGTGGACGTGGACATGGACGATATTGTGTTTCATAGATTGTCTGTCCGCTAGGAGCATGAGGAAATAGTATAACCGCTCCATATATAATACCCCTTTATTACTTCTTTAATAAACGATGGGGAACCAAGTATCTGCATTTCCCTTGGACACGCCTACCTATTCCCTTCCCAGAATCATGGAACAAAAAACGACTTCACCTCACTCGGTTCAAAGAACGAATCCAGTGGACTCTGCGGATAGGCCTAAACAGTAAAGGCAGTAATCAGCATACATGATAAGTCCTAAAAAAGGGATCACCTAGGTATATAGACATCAAGCATACTAAATGCTCCGGGGGAGAGAAGGGAGGATAGTAACAACCCACCACATCTGTGATATTATAACTCTCCTGCACCGACATCCATATGCCCCCATAATACCCTGCACCGACAATACAGTCACCGAACACGGCAGTCAGGCCTATCGAGCAAAACTCCAGCGGCTTTGTCTTGTTCGTCCGCTTAATGATGCCCATGTAGTGTGACCAGTTCTCTCCAAATTTGGGTTGTGTACTGAGGGAGGGGTTATTGATATGGAGGAGAATGAGACAGAGGAAGAGTGTGCGGTTACTTGGGAGAGAATGGATGTGGAGGCTTTGGAGGGGCAGGAGTGCGTGGATGTGTTTGCTAGTGACAATGTGACGTTGCTGTTGACAAAGCGGAAGAAGCGAGAGGTTCCTTGTTTCTTTGGACTCATCTAGTCTGTTTGTTTGAATTGGTATAGAGCAGGACAATGCGATTGTTTGTTGTTAATTCTTACAAGGAGCACTCTATCCACATCCCACTTCCCCAATTAGGACGCAAGTGCTCCGCGCGCCAGCATAAATCCCCAGCCTGGATCTGCAGGCAAACAACCTCTTCCGTGTAACCTGAAAGTAACTTATGCTGGCATAATTTCCCTCGCAGCCCTAACTCCTCCGTACATCTATCAATCACCCTCCACTCCACCTCCATCCCAAACACCAACCCCACCCTCCCCCTCCCCCACCGCAAACCTCCCCGTCCACTCTCCCTCGCCACAGCATCAAATATTATCCTATCCTCCACCCACACCCCTCCCCGCCTCCACCCCAAGACTTCCCCCCCTCTATCCCCATCCCCAGATCCCCCACCATCGCCACAACCGACACCAAAATGGTCCTCACAGAAAACGCGGCCGACCACTCCTCGCCCAGAATATTCAAGCAGATCCTCCCCCCCCGCATCGACATTGGGAAGCCACACCCTCGTCCGGAACACACACTCGGGGGACCGGTCGGGACACGATGTCGGGATACGGTCGCTGTTGTTGTTGTTGTTGTCTGGGGGGGTGTTTTTGAAGGCGGCGCGGAGTTCAGCGCGTCTGCGGCGGGAGGCGTGCGAATACAGTAAGTAATGGGATGAGGTTGGGAGGGGTTGGGGTTGGGATTAGTATTGTGCGACTGCGGGGTGGATGAGAGTGAGATACTAGTATCATACTAGGCGGTGATGGCTGTGTGGTTGGTCTGGTGGACTTTGTTCATGGTGGTGGGAGGGGGAGTGTTGTGGTTGTGGTTGTGGGGGCTACGAGGCTGTTGGATTGTGGATTTTGGATTGTGGTATATCTAGTGGTCGTGTTATAGGGCTCTGGGCTGGAGGCTGATTGGGGATGACTGTTGGAGTATATAGTATATGTGTGTGTGTGAGAGAGAGAGCGTGCACGAATGGCGGAATCTTCTTTCGCTCCACTCGATGCACCGCATTCGAAAACATCAGACCGTCGGTCAGATCAAACGCATTCAACTCAGGAAGCTGATGAACCTTGATCTGGCCTCCAAGTCTGATCTGGTTCTCCGTGAGTTTATCAACGCAGGCTTTCAAAAGACGAACCAGGTCCTCGCGGCGCTTCGTCTCTTCGGCATCAGACAAATCCTTTAACAGAGGCTGAACAAGGGTGTTGTCCAGAAGCTCATCTGCAGGCTTCTCCGCCAATGTCGCCTGCCGCTTTCTATTATAATCTCCAAATTCGTAGGACTTTTGGTCCCGGTGAAGCTCGGCGAACTGATCTTTCTTTATGTTGGCAAGACCGAAGGTAACCGTTTTCCACCAGGTCGCATTAAGAGGGCTTGCTGGGAGTCCAAGAATAACCACCGGTCGTTAGTAATGCGTCTATTGGATGGCGGGCAGGAGAAACACTTACACGCACAGAATCTCTCGAATAGATACCAGAGTCGCTCGGCAAATGACGCATCCCCATCCTCATCGTCGGCATTGGCTTTCCCGTCCAGGAACCAGAATGGCTTGTCGAGCCAGCGGGTGAAGATAAATTTGTTGATCATCGCGATACATAAGTATTGACCAAACCAAAGACGAGACAAAGGCGAGAGTAGTGACTGGATGGTATCCCAGTTCTCCTGGATGCAGTATCCGTCTAGACTTGCAATGATGCTCTGCCTCTGGTTTTCGGAAAGTGAGGGTGTGACTTGGCAAGCGAAGTTATCGATCCAGTTTGAGATAGAATCTTCGAGATTAGTATAGTTGGACTTGATATCGTCTAGGGTCGGTTTTTATCCAGGGCGGCTGATTTTCATAAGATAACAGTGGTCTATGTAGGCTTCGTATTCCTCGGCCGTCAAGTGCACAGATGGCCGTCTGGATGACTGCCCTTTGTCGTCTGCCCTCTCCTCGTTGGTGAGTTGATTTCATGGTGGTGAGGGAGGGCTGGTCTGGGCTGGCGCAGCCTCTCCAGACTTTCCAGATACCACACCCTTATGCACTGCCTGGTCTGGCAATGGGTCTGTCACTAATGCAACTTCTTCTTCCTGGGCTTGAGCAACCGACTGATTCTGCAACAAAGATGAGATATATGAGTGAGTGGATCGGTGATGGTGGTTCTTGTGGGGGTACCTCTTTCTTGGTCTGGCTTCTTGTGCGCACCATGATGATGATGATTATCTTGGGGAGAGGGTGAGATGGAAAGTGGTGGTATGATGGTATGATGGTATGGTAGATGGAAGTAAGGACACAGAGGAGAGGAGAGGAGAGGAAAGAAGAGGAGGGGCAAAGGAGGTGAAGGGCGTTTCTTCATGTCGCTTACCGTCCGTCCGTTTGGCGTCTTTGTCTCTACCAACAACAACAACAACACAACTCCCTTGTTCTTGATTTTCCACACTTCTTCCGCCAGGTCCACAGGATATTTCTGGCCAATATACAACCGCCTCGATACCATCACCTTCTATCATCGGTTCTATTCAGCACCATGGCCGAACTCAAGGCGAAATTGATTTGTGGGAATTGACTATGGCGCAAGCAAGACTGGTATCGTACAGCAACATACTCTATCAATAGATGGATACTTACACCCTGCTCGCCTTACTGCGTAGTGGTCACATACAGAGAGCCCGGGACCCACGACGATGACATCAGAGTGTTCTCCTTGCACGATGATACTACCATTCCCTCAGCAATCGCTTACCAGCCGGATGGGAGATTCACGATTGGCCGGCAAGCTATGCAAGAGCACAACTGCATCTTCTGGATGAAGCTCTTGCTAAGCAATCATCAGATTTTGAGCGATTACAACAACACGTCCCTTACCGAGATCGTCCGGCGGGAGTGGGTGCGACTCCCCGAAAACAAAAAGGATGTGTCTACTGTCGTGGCAGACTTTTCACGCAGCCTACTGGATAGTCTCCGGACGACTTTACATCAGATCCCCTATCTCACCGACCCGCCTACAGTATATTACTTCACAATTCCGGCTACCTGGTCGGAGTCGGCCCGCATGGATATGAAAAAAGCCGTTCAATTGGCGGGATTCGAGAAGCGCTCGGTTCATCACTGAGACCGAGGCTGCTGCTGCCTTTGCAGCCAGTGACCACAGGCTCAATATTGTAACCAGACCTTGTTTTCCCCCTCTCATACTCTCCTTGATAATGACAGAAGTTTCTCTTATAGGCAGACGAAGCGGTCCTTGTATGCGACTGCGGGGCAGCCACGACGGTAGGAGATCATATCTGTGGCGGAGCGGATCATTTTCATACTGATGGCTCGTTTAGGACTTACTAACAACATTCAAATCTACCTCCCGAACGCACTCTGCATTGGTCGATGTCTTACGGCAACTTCCGCCTGGTTGGCTACGCACGGACACTCATGTCGGGTTTGGCTTGAAAAAGCCTGCGAGGAGTATTTCGCTACCGTGGATATGAGTGAGAGGAGGCGGGTGCTCGAATATGCTGTCAGATGATTAACCCCTCCTCCCATTATTTCGGCTATAGGTATGCAGTATGCTGGTTCAGCATACTGGAGTGGAGAAGTGGAGATCCTGTCGCATGATTCATCCCTCTATTCCATATTCATATCCATTTCCTCATCTTCTGCTCTATTTTCTTGTCTATTTTGCCAACTTTCAGCCGTCTCGATGTCTTCTAATCTATCATACAGTCTATCTTTAAACCTTTGAATCCGTTCACTAGCCCATCTCCTAACCCATACACTCGTGTCTCCGTCCTCTCTTTTGTGACTATCTATCTGAACAGACAGAAAACAACATCTCTCTTTCCCTTTGTTTCTTATGCTAGTTTTGGTGTTCTTTGGTTACCTTTTTCTTTCACTGCAGGACGCGATCCGGATACAACTGTCTTACCTACCTTACAAGCCTCACGCATTGTCTGTCTCCGTGTTTGAAACCCCTATCCAAACAAAGAGAAACAAAGAAGACACCACACCACTTTTCCTATCTCCTTTCGTTTCGATTTTTCGGTTCCTCTTTTTGTTTTACCCTGTGCACATATCATTCTTCCCCACTACATGTTGTGCGTGAGCAATTAGAGCCATGATGTCATTGTCAGCTTTCTGCTATTCGCGCATACTACTACTACTCTCTAACTCAGACACTTCCTGTCTATTTGAAGAATTAAAGCCTTCAACTGTGGGGTGGAATTAGAATATAGAGTTACTTGTACAAGTCCCTTTCTCTTACACTCGTTAATCATTTATGTCCATCAATTTAGCCCTGCACATCCGTCAAATCCCATGGACATCTGCCTGGATGAGCGTGCGACCGACCAGGTCTCCGAGCCCGACTCGGCCACGGTCACAACGGCAGCTCGGTCTTGCACCTCCTGATCAATGCAAATCTCCACCGTGATACCCCCGAGTCCAAGCGGGCAATCCTTCTCAGTCATGCTAGCATGCGTACTGTACGCTTCTGCATGCACCTGTGAGCACCCGTGGGTGGAGTGCAACCACGGCCACGACTTGACTATCTGCACAGGATCAGAGAAGTGGCTCGACGAGGGGGCTATCTTGCGCGATCGCCAACAGTAGACGCTGCAGAGCTCGGCACAGCGGTTGAGGAGCGGTCGCATCAGGATGAGAGACGCGCAGATGATGCCGAGGTCGAGTTCGATGATAGACCAGACGGCCTCCGGACAGCCGCTCGCTAGGTTATGTCATGTCAGCGGCTATGCCGTTTTAGATTGAAGGGGTGGGACGTACAGGTCAGATTCATGGCCATATAGTCCTTGAAAGTGATCAACCGCAGAATGCCCACCACACATGCTCTGGAGTCTATCAGTGAGAAATTCATTGGGCTTGCGAATGGGTACATACAGCCCTCCAACCCCAAACAGCACAGTCAGTTTCACCTTCTGCCGGGGCGTCAACTTCAACCTCCAAACGGCCACGACGGGCATCAGCACCAAGGCGAAGTTCTCGACCAATGAAAGCGATCCGATGACGATATGGAAAGCTTCTTGTCCGCCCATACAGCTCCCGTCGATCTCCTTCCGCCAAAAGAACTGCGGCGGCCAGCACTGCAGGACATTCCCTGCCATGGCAGCGATGCCCCAACCAATGGTCAAGGCAATGAGTGCGGTGGTGATGTTGCGCCAGTGCCGAACCGACCCGAGGAGCTTCCGGAAGAGGATGATGATGGATAGCTTAACGAAGACTTGCGAGAGCGGCCACAATTTCTGGGAAATCCAGAAGAGCTGGATGCTCAGCACATGTGTGATTGTGCGTAGCCGATGAATGCTTACAAGAGTGGCTCTTTGTCTGGTGGATGGGGAGAGGGACCAAATGTCATAGCTGACACCGTTGTATCCGGCTGGATCATACCAGTGAGCGCGTGAAACCATAGCATGGCAGGACGGGGACTTACCCATAGCGGTGCAGATGGTGACACCGTAAGAAAAGAGAAGTCCAAGACCCATGAAGATGTCGTCGATGTCCATCTTCCGGGCCGTCAAGCGGCGGCTGTATAGCCGGAGGAGGAAGAACAGAGTCATCACGATGGACGCGATGATGGGGATAACGATCAGGGTTCGACCCCAGTACTCGTCGGAGGGCATACGATGATCATTGGAATGCTGTCGCGTGGACGCTCCGATCAAGGAGAAGATGTTGGGCGAAGGAGCTTCCTCCGTCCGTCCCAGCGCGACCGCGTCGAGTATTTATCTCCATGCGCGTCGATCGTAGTTTAGCTCGGCGACGTGATTAGCTCCAGTCGGACGGTCCCTTGGCGAACCGAAGGACCACATCGATCTGATCGGCTGCAGTGTTGATGTCACCGGGCCGATGGGTGGCGACTGCTTAAAGCTGTGGGGCCCAAAACCTGTCAGACTCGGGCGGATCGAGATCGTTTGGCATCTGGTCGGCGGTCTGCTGTCATCGGTCGCGGTGGGAGTGGTTGGAACTGAATCCCGAGGTGGGTCGAGCCATCAGATCATCGACGGGACAGTCCGAGGTTATTTGCCTGACAGATCGATGTTCTCTAGAAAATGGGATGCGGTGATGAAAGGATGAGGGAGGAACGGGAGAAGAAGATGCGGAATCGGGGAATTGTTGGGACTCCGCCTGTCCCGCCACCCACCGTGATTCCTTCCCTGCCTTCCAAACAAGGCAGTCACCGTCTCAATCTCTGCGAGGTCCTTGGCCTCTGCCCAGACAAAGAGCCCTTCTGTGCTGGTCAGGCCTCTTCCGCCGGTCGTCGCTGCCTTGTCGCCACCAACGCCAGCAGCCGCAGTCAGGCATGCCTTCTTCTTACCCTGGGCAGTGACATGCTCCATGCTGGACTGTCTATCGACTGACTGCTACACGATCTTGCTCCCCTCGTTCTCTGTACCCGGTGGCATCAGACCCAGGCCGAGGGTCTGACCAGCGCTTGGACCAGGCAGGTGAGAGGTTATATCGCGAGACGAGAGGATGCCCATGCGAAAGACTCATCTCAGGACATCGATCCCCGTCAATCTCGCTCCCGGACAGAAGAGACGGATTCATTTACGGAGACACAATTGCAGACGAAACCTGGCTGGTTAAGGGCCGACGTGATAAACGTGGAGCGGGAATCTGAGAGTACGAGGCTAGATATCGAGGGATTGTCAAGAGAGATCGAGGCGATGGGGATATTCTCCAATCGCCCAGAGGAGGCGAGGAATGCCACTAGGGCCACGGGGGCCACGTTATCCTCGGCTGCGAGAGCCGTAACTACTCCATCACGCCGTATCAACCCCAGCATAACCGCCAGCAGGGCCCGTCCTAGCTCCACAGGCTTGTTCTCTTCTCCAAGAACTTCGACCACGCCCAGCAGTGCAAGCAACGCAATAGCTACAAGAGCCACCACTAGACCCCATAGGGGAGGGCGACTCCCAGTCACAGAGGCCCCGAGAGCCAGCAGAACAAGCCATCCGAGTCAGAATCCTGCAGGAACTTTTTCCAGAAACAGCAACACAGGCTCCGTCGCAGAAACAGTCCCCAGGGTGAGAAACACAAGCTATCCAAGATCTGGACCGGTTGTCAACAGGCCATCCACCACGGGCTTTCCTACAGCTTCGGAACCTCTTAGAGCAAATAGTACAAGCCATTCGAGCCAATATCCTGCAAGAAATATCGCTAGAAGCATCAACACAGGGAACTTGCCTGGAGGAACCTATCCCAGATTCAGCAACACCGGCAACCCCATCACAACAGGATCTTCCACCAATAACAACAACACCAATCTCCCCAGAAACCCTTGGACAGCCCCCCGAGTCAACACCACACACACCACTACAAACGCAAGAGCTACTCTCACCCCAACCATACCCCGGGGTCCAGTCATACCTTGGGGTTACCATCAGGTTACAAGACCCACACCGATGACCCGAAGCACAAGCAATCCAGGCAGAAGCACAAGCAATTCAGGTTCAAGGACTACGACAGCTGTCCCTAGACCCAGCACGACAAGGCGGCAAACGACTTCAAGAACCACCACCACCACCACGCCCAACAACACAGCCGCCGCCAGAAATGCAGCCAGACCCGCAGTAACTCCCGCTGCCACTACCACCACCAGAACAAACATCCCAGCTTCTTCTACCCCGACAGCCCCCCGTTCCTCCCCATTCAGCGAAGCAGGATCCCCAGATCCGTCTCTCCCCGCCTCACCAGCCATAGCCGTGTCTCCCTCTGATTCTTATGGCTCACAATCCTATGATCCATTCTTTCCTCCGACTTCTTACCACAATTCATTCTTCTCCTCAGCATCATCCTCCACTCTATTATCATATACTCGGTCCCCCGCTACCGCTCCCGCCACTGCCACCCGTCAATACATCGAGGGCGAATGCAGCATCTGTCTAGACGACTTACTGTACGAGTGGGATGATAACATGTACAGTGTGCGACGCAATGACCCCCTTGTCTGGTGCAGGAACCAATGCGGCAGTAACTTTCATGCTAGTTGTATAGATAGGTGGTTTGCGGTATTGGAGACTGCTTCCAGCATGACTTGTCCAATTTGTCGCGCACGATGGGCATTTTAATGGGTGTTTGTTGTTGGCTTGGTTGCGGGTGATAATGGGGGTGAGTGTGCTGGTTTGGTTGCTTGTCGCTTAATGGTACTGTTGTGGTTTGCTTGTTGTTTTTGTTGCTGTTGTTGTTATTACTGTTGTTGTTATCGCTCAGTGCGTGGCTTCTACTGTAGTATTTGCTATTGAGGGTAATGGATGGTACTACTTATTAGGCAGGCTCCAGGAGGTATGATTAAGATTAATTAGGTGCATACCAAGCAGTATTCCACAATCAAAAGAACCAACTCGGTCACAATTAAATTCCGTCCTCGAGCGAACAATAATTCCATCAAACTTAATGTCCAAATTACCTGGTTACCAATTCCAACAATGACAACAAGATGTCAGACGTACCGGTACGCCCTTATTAGGTACAATGGAACAAACAATGAACAAGCCCAAACCAAGACACAAACTCCTCTATCCCATCCAGCTCAGCCCCGCCCAGTCCAGCCCATCCCATGTCGGTATACAATTTGATTTCCTTCCCCGCTATCCAGGTGGCAGATGACAAGGCCAAACTCCCTCGTGCCCAAATTTCAACCCAACCGCAAAAGACAGCAAGCAAACAAACAAGCAAGCAAGCAAGTACAGAATCAAACCACGTTCAGAACCAGTCACCATACCACTTGACCAGAGTCAAAGTGTGTTTTGTCCACCTGTCTACCACGGACGAAGGTGAGGCGGGACAATGTTTGCAGGGTCCCGTCTCCACTCCGGGCTGCCCCAGTAATCATCGGCAAAGCTGCTGGGGTCGTCCCAGTTAATCGGTCTCAGATTCCTGGGGTTCTTGGGGTCGGGGCGAATAGGCAGGGGATTGGGGTTCGGGGGGTGGGGGCGAATAGGCATGGGGGTCTGGGGGTTGACAGTAGACTGTGTATTTGGAGGGTTGAAGAAGTCATTGGCGGCGCAATATTGAGTCGAGCTGCCATTGATACTGTTGGGGTATTGAGGAAAGGACGGGAGGCCGACGAACGGGGTATTATTAATTTGACGCAGGGGAGAACTGGGAAACACCGAGACCTTGCCCGCCCAGAATTGGCTGGAGAAGCTGCTGGGGTCGTGGAATTTGGGCCGGGGGGGTGCGCAGGGCGGGGTTTCTGGGATGCTGTCAACGTGAAGGGGGGTTTGGGGGAAGGTGAACTCCTGACGTGCCTTGGGGGACTGGAGGATTGGACATAGCGATGCTCCGCACCGAAGGGGCATAGGGGAAACGGGAGTTGCTACCGCCGGTGGTGGTTTGTGCGGGTTGACTAGAGAGCCTGTCTCGTCCCAGACCATGCCCTTAGCAGGACCATGAGTCCCGTATTTTGGCGGAAAGTGAGAGTTCAGGAGAAACGGCTTCAGTGTCTTGGATTCGAGCAGTGGCTCCACGGGCTGTGTGAGGAAAGTCATGACCTTCTGGTGGCTATTGACGGGGGTCGATTGCGGTCCAAAAAAACTGCTCGCCCTCGAAAGCGTGCGCCTGGGATGGGGTGTCAGAAGAGCCGGCACCTTCGGAGTATCAGGGTCTCGAGGACTCATTATCTCGATGACGCGGCAATTGTCCAGGCCTGGGGGCTCGATGTTCTCGGGATGGCTCAGGATGCACTCCTCCTCGTCATACGGATTCGTGATGACTGACGCCGTCGAGGTCGGAGATGGCGGTGCGAGCCAGCTGGAGCCCTGACGCACCGGACAGGGAGTGTCGAGTGCTAGAATCTCGGGGTATAGGGGTTGACTGCTGCACATCTCCGCTTCGGACTCGCTGGCATACTCAGAACTGTGCTGGTCATCGTCGTCCTCCTGGGAAGATTCGGACATTTCCTTGTCCTCATTTTCATCTCCGTGGCCAGCCACGCTCTGGATCACCGACAACGGCACCGGGCCATGCGGCTGGGGATCAACCTCCTTCCTTTCGGTTCCCTCGCTGTAAACATCAGACTCGCTATCAGACTTCTTCTGCGTGAACACCATTCTAACAGAGTCGACGATGATCCGGGCTTGTCCTTCCAGCCCTTCTAGAGGGGTATACGGCCTCTCCGCAATGACGGGGATATCCTCAGGGGCCTCGAACCTGCACTCACAGACTGCAGTACTGCTCTCGGGCAACAGGTTGTGGGTGTTTGAAGCATCGATGCAGGGGAAAGTACTGCCGGTCCTGCGCAGCCCAGTGATCATACCCCTGCACATATCCAGGGTGAAGGACTCGATATGCCCACACCCTGTGTAGTGGTGATAGGTATTAATGCACATGTTGGATCGACTTGCCTTCAAAATAGAGTGGATATCAGAATTTGTTTGTAGGCTGCAATCAGATAGATCACTCACTCGGTTCCGAGGTCTTCCATTTCGTTCTGCTCGGGGGATTTTATACCCAAGCACCCGAGGGAGAGCCTTGGAAAATCGCATTGCTTCTTCTTTCTTCAAACACAATAAGATCTGAAACATCGGCATTCATCTCTTGTCTTTGTCCATAACAAACGGACGACCATTTCCACCAGGGGTTTTTCCCTGACTCTGAAAAGCATCAATCGTCGTCTAACTCCCCCTCCAAATCAACGAGATACTTGACCCCGGAGTCCAACAACCACCAGGCAGCAAGTTCATGAAAGAAACAACGAACGGGGTTCTCCAAAGGCAATGTACTCCGTTGTTCCTCAGCGTCTTCATTCATGGTCTTTGTCCACATGGCCGTTTCACTGGCAAAGACCACATCCTTGTCCTCGTCCCAAAACCCAATCGACATCCGCCCTTCAATCCCTTTGTGGGCTATTCCGAACTCGACTTTGCTTGCGCTGCGTTCCAAGACACGGTAGATTCCGCAGACAAGGTCACCTTTATTGTAGTCCAAGGAGCGGATGTGCGAGGCCTGGAAAGTCTCGCGAGTCACGGCGGGGGTTGTCGCCCAGAGCATGTAGGCTTGGGGGAAGTGTGCGAAGGCGGCCATATTGCGACGGAGTAACAGGGTCAACATGTCTCGGTCTTTGTGGTGGGGAGGGAGGAGTTGCCGTGGAACGCGTTGGCTGGCCCTGTCGTGCAGGACATAGTACTTGGAGCTGTAGACATCGGAGGGGATGGTGGCTATGGTGGTTGAATCGGGGCCAGGGAGGGCTCCGTGGTGTTTCTCATGGTTGATGCGGTTCTTGAGACAGCGGTGGAGGAAGGAGAGGTAGGTGATGATGCTGAGGGACGCGGCCAGCACGAACGAAGAGAGCGACAGGAGGGGCATGCTGCTTTACCGCAGCGACTTGGTGCGACCGCGGGAGGAGATGCTCGATTGTGCAACAGGGAGATGGAGGAGGAGGAATCAAGCTGGCTCTCAAGAGAGTGCAGCTGGAGCTCGGAGAACTTTAATGATCGGGGCAAATACGAGAGGCCCATGGATCCTCATTGGCAGCCTTGCCCCCAAGGCTCTCTATTCTGATGTTGTGTTGGGCATTTCTACCTTCTTTCTCTCTCTCTCTCTTTCTCTGTCTCTCTCTCCCTCTCCATGTAACAAATACGCGGCGCATGCATCTCTACCACACGGTCTGAGAGCAGACACGCTGATCAGAAGCAGGTGGTTAAGTTTATGTATTTGGTATGTATACTTATTCGCCTCTCGGGCAAATTAAATCAGACTTATCCCAACACCATCTGCACTCTAGTCCAGCACCGCACCAAAAACAGGATTGGGTATCCTTGCCGGACGGACAAAGCACAGGAAGAAAGAAAACATATAAAAGATGACAACCCGATCCTAGAAGCAAAACGCCCTGTCCCAAATAGCTCCTCTCTCGCTCTCTCCAACAAGTGATTCCACTGTCGTTCATGTTTGCTCCACCTCGTATGACTGTCTCGCTGCTTTCCGCGCCATACATTTCCGGTAGATGAAGAGGGACACGATGCCCACGGCGACGATGAAGACAATGCAGAAGACCAGGACCACGCCGGGGTTTTTGCTGGCCCAGTTGCTCCGTCTGATAACTGCGCGCCGCGCTTCAAGGGCAACAAGGTCGATGGCGGCCATGATCTATCTGCTCGCGCTTTTAGTCTGCAGTCTCTGGCTTTCACCAAGATTATGGTACTTACTGGTTAACGGCCGCGCCGATTCAGGGAACAAGGCTCAGCAGACAGATGGAGGATGCCCACGACTCCGACACAGACGAGGGCCCGGGAAGCAGAGAGACGACAGCGCGATGAGGATAAAGAGAAAGAGGGAGAGGAGCAGGACGAGTGGGTGAACGACCAACCCTGGTTACTAGCCCGATTGTTCTTGCATCGGGAGCTGCGGAAGGTCATGACAGCAGGGATTACAATGACGTGGAGAAGAGCACATGCATGCAACGTTAGCTGGCTGGCTGCCCACGAAGCTTATTTCTGACAGGAGGGGGAGTGGGGAACTGCGACTTTCCCTTCCCAAAGTAGTACAGTTATCGGTTGGGTCGATCGGTTGAAGCTATCCGGGTGGATGCGGCAGCACTTGGGGCCGCCGATCAGATGTTTGTCGCCGCATTTTTGCACAACTACAACCCCATCGCATGCTACTTGGATAGTGTCCTTCGACACTGAAATACCGAATTGCAAGGTACAGTCCTGACATCAACTGCTATCAAGGTTCAGCGATCCGCTCGTCCCGCTGGCGTCACCACTCGTTCATACCCGTGGTTCTGTGCGACCCTGTGGCCGTATCATTCGTGCCCGACCGGGATAGATGCGGCATAAAAGAGTCGGTGCTGGAGTAGGAGACTCGAGCGTTCACCCATCAGCAATATCAACAGCGCTGGGGGTAGTCGACCGGTGATTCACCATTTGTCTTGACAAGGGATGGTCGGAGGATTCTTGACGTCATGCACTCCCGGCCGTCCCATTTCTAAGACTCCCACGTGGAGGAATATCCTCATATCTTCCATCTTATGAAATGTCCGGTGAGTCCCCGCTGTCCTGCGTCAGATTCGGCGTGAAAGTTGATGCATATGCATGCGCATGCTGCGAGGAAACGCCATCTCCACCGTGGCCGAAGCACCGGGGATTATCTCCGGTCGGATGGACTAAAAACGACCGCAGATCTGGAAAAGGCGGATCGACCCAGGAAAAGATAATATCCGGAGCAACCTCTCCTTCCGCTTACATCTGCTAAGCACCGAAGGAACACAGATGATATATTGCAAGCTCAGCCTCAGCCTCAGCCTCAGCCACGACCAACGTGGTCCAGACCATGCGCTGAAAGTTGTGAAGAGGAACGCGCAGCTGCCGAGTGCGCAAGCAACAGAATGCACGATCGCGTAGATCTATTTTTTGCATCAACTAACGTGCAAGCCACGATGGTAAATAACCCGCCATAATATATACTCCGTAAACGAGAGCGATATAGCGTCGACGCAGCGATCTCACCGAGTTCGAGAAATCCACGACTTTCTGGTGCAACAGGTCCCCATCCAGGAGCTGGTAGGCAGTGATCCCCAATGATATGCTTTAGCTACAGATTCCCGTGACGATGATAAAATATCGTGTTACCTGATCGGGTCGTATGGTTTATAGCTGTCACCTAGATAGGTAGTAAATATGGGTATAGCAAAGAGCCCATCACCGTTCTGATACCAGAAGTCCGACTCATTCTTGGATTGTTGACTGGATGCCATTGATTTCCGGCAATTCATTACCAGTGAGTGATGGTGAAACTATTGATTGACCATTCGTTGATGTACTGGAGGAACCACTCGTGACAGTTGTCATGAAACAACTGAAAAAACACCTTGAAATTCGAGTAGTATATAACTGTTTAACTCAAAGCATCTTAGTCTCGGGCTTGGGAGCGGAATTCTTTGCTCTTTCTTCGCAGAAAAACTATTCCTTTGTCTCGCTCCCGATTGTGTACAACAGCCGGGCAGCCCCGAGTGGGATTCTTATTACTACCCTCTTCGATGATCTCGAGGGGATATAGGAAGAGCAAAGAAAAAATAATATGACGTTATGGAGTATGGACAGCGGTTAAAGTATGAAAGTATTTTCTCATTATGTATATCATCAAATCGAATAGTTATGACATGACGCGAGATATCATATACAAACCAAAGGTATCATGTTGACCAAAACAAATAACCCAACCAAGCCCACAACCCGAAATCAAGAACTTCCAGTCAGATGCACCTCATTCCTCCCACTCTTATGCCACGTCGCGAGCAGCACGCCACACTGTCCACAGTGATGGGTCGTGTCCTTCAGTGACGACATGAGATACGGGACGCACCCGAGACAGCAGCAGCAGCAAAGCACCGCGGCCCAGCCACTAGACAAGACAGTCAGTCAGTCAGTGTCGATCACAATCCGATTCCCCCTCCATAGTAACAGGCACATACTGTGTTGTTTTCCCCGATTCCGCCTGTACTTTCGTCATCTGCCGATGTCCGCAAGCCGGACAATCCACCGGCCCGGGTTTCTTCTGCAGCGCATGCAATGGCGTCGCACTGTTGTACCCGCTGGGATGTTGTGTGCCAGCGTAAAATGACTGTCTGTGCTGCTGTTCCAATGGCTGTAACAGCGGAGGCTGCGAGTATGATGGGGAGACTATCGGCGCGGGTTCTTGGATTTCAGCCGGTTCCTCGTAGGCAGGGACCGGTTCTGTGGCGGTTAGATGGGGGGATTTTATTGAGGTGATGGGCTTGGAATGGACGTACCGAGGGGAGTTTCCTCGGCCATTGTAGTAGTGGTGGTGGTGGTGGTGGTAACAACGCACGCGATAGCAAAAACACCCGATTTAGTCAAGTCGGGAGTAAACACCGCCGATCCTGGGAGCTCAACCTCTCCGGTCTCGAGCGACTCTTATAGTCGGGCGTACCATAGCCTCGTCTGCGCGATCGACCGCTTCAACAAGTTTTTTTTTTTTTTTTTTTTTTTTTTTTTTCTTTTTCTCTCTGGTTTGTTTTGATTGCATGTTGTTGGCGACAGTAATGCGAGCGAGTTGGAGCTTCGATGCGCAGCATGGACCCCTCAGACGGGATGTGATAGGTTGGTGGTCGGCCGTTGACAAGGCTGAGAGCTGCGCCTCACTAGCAGGATTCTGCCCGAACGAAAAGGAGTCTGCGGGGTTGAACTGGTCGCAAGGCGTTTTGCTCCGTCCCTACTCACTCTGGCGCGACCGACCGCAGGAGACGACAAATGGTGGAATACGAGGGAACTGGCAGCTTCCGTGGGATAATGGCATGAATCCAAAGGGTCCTTTGTTCGGACACTTGACATGTTGTTTTGGATTCTTTATTGTTCTGGTGCGGGGCTTCTCGAGAAGGCCACTTCTCGACCGCTTCCTGCCCACTTGCCTAGCTTTGATCGGAGCGGGAATGGCCTCACTGCCTTGTTCTTTGCTGGCTCCCTCCACTGCCGCACAAGGAGTACTCCTCCGCCAGGTCTTCCAAAGGAGGCATCAAATAGAAAGCAGAAGGATGTCGAGACACCTTTTTACTTCCGTTCTTTAACGGGAAGTCCTGAGACAATTTACAGTTTCTAAGGGTAAAGTCGATGTTCCTCAAAATGGCAGGAAATGTCAAACAGGAAGACAAAGTTCTTCCTAGGCAGAGAGGCCTGGTGGGTCTGTCCTTTGCTATGAATCTCTTCTCTTCAGCAGTTTCTGCTTGTACTATGCAAAAGGAGAATTCCGACCGACTCAAGTCAACATAATATATATGTGTGTTCAAGACACCTCTCCGCTAATTGAATGCAGTCTTATTGTCCTCAAAGCTGGCCCTTTACTACCTGCTCTCATATCACTCCCCTACATTAACATCTGCAGGCCTCATCGTCATTACTATGTCGCTGACTCTTGGAGATGCCGAGGTGGGGAGTTATTTGGCCTTAATCGCCCGTCGTTATTACAACCGACTCGTGCACCCAACTGAACCAAAGACCACCGTCCGCAGGCTTCCAAACGACATATTCGTCATCATTGGCAAATTCGCGGACTACCAGAGCCTTAGCCGCATGTCCCAGACATGCCATGGGCTTCAAGATCTCTTTGAGAAGGAATTGAAATCTTGGGCTAAAGCTCACGCCCTACCGGCACCAGAGATCTACGAAATGATGGCTCAGAATAGTATTGGTCCGGGTGTTGTGCATCTACCTGGTACTGAGTGGGCAAATTTGGAACTGTCTGACCGGGAAATATTGTATAAGCACTTTCCACACCCCCTGTTTGAAGCGGTTAGTGCCAGTCGATATGATGTTGTCAAGGCATACCTGGATGCCGGTGTCAGTCCAGATTCTTGCGACGTACTAGGCTATCCATTGTTGTTTGATGCACTGAACCGCGGTGTCGATATATCTATATTGAAGCTCCTCCTACAATACGGTGCTGACGTACACGTAAAGTCATTATTCAATGATGACAGTGTGCTTAAACCGTTCAAATGGGGATACCCCACCTCACGCTTGTTTCATGAGGATGATGTTGGCCGGATTCTTCTAGAAGCTGGCGCCGTTGTTCCTCCCCAGGGTTCTATGGACATACGAAACCGCTCTTTGCTGAAAGATATTATCTGTTCAGAGTCCAGCGTCTACCTCCTTGGGCTTATCATCAAGAATGGGACTGACATGACTGAATTGTTCGCTCTGCATCTTGTTGCCGGATATGGTTCGCTTGAGACGCTTGAGGCCCTTCTTGAGTACGCCCCGGACCTGCTAAATAGCACGGACAGCTATGGCAACAGAGTACTGGAACGACGGAGTTGGCCTGTCAAGCGCGAGAACGCGTTGTTTCTCATCCAGAAGGGGATTAAAATCCGCCCGCTGCATCGTAATAATTCGCATGGAAACAGCGTATTGGCGAGATACCTCAAGGATAAAGAAATTCTACAGGCGCTACTTGCCCTCCCCGAGATGGGGACCGAGGAATGGGACGCGGAGTATAGTTGGTGTATATCTGAGCTGGTTCTTAGCGGCGACATTGAGACGTTGAAGCTTCTTCTGGGATCGTGGAAGCAAACGGCTCCGCCTCAGATAATCAGCCTGTATAGAGGCCAGTTGGTCCTTGGGGGTAAATCGAGGGCGAGCCTTCCTCATCATATTAAGATCTACGAAGCAATGAAGCAGATAGCGCCTCTGATAGATGAAGATGCCTGGTTCAACGAAAGCACAACATCTCCATGAATTGGCGGAGGCTTTTTTGGAGTTAGAATTGGCAAGCTTTCAGACATCCCAGAAAGGTCGAATTTACATACATTTCTGTTATAATATATGATTGAATGGGCTTTTTTTTTTCTTTTTTTTCAGACGGATCCATACCTTGGTATGCACGTAGAATTTATTGTTCGGGTTTCCCTTTCTGAAAGGGTAGGTGTCACCCTCTCACTCTCACATGACCCTCGTTCTCTTCTTCTCTTCTTCTCTTCTAAGTTCACTTCTCTTCTCCCCCTCCCCTCCCCTCATCTCAACCCCACTACTTCATTCAACTCTTCCACCGTTCGAAACAAAACATACAGAACATGGGCATTTCCCACTACCAAAGGACGCAGCTCGACATATCAGCTGCTTCCAGCAAACACATCGTATTTCGCCCTTGAGGCATCTAGCCTGCCTCAACACGAGGGCACATCTGCCCATTGAGGATGCTCTAGCAAAACTCACTCGGATTGACCTGTCGGGGTAAGCTTTACTTCCCTGCGCTAGAGCTAACGTGAACTGACACCACACCTTCTTTTCCAACTAGTCAGAAAATCTGGCTCGACGGGTATTGGCCTTCTATCTGGCTGGGCCACAGAAGATGTCATGGCATCCGGGCTGGTAGCAGCCAGTGCAAACGCTGGCGCCCTTGGGGGCATTCGCATCCAGAATTATGGTAGTCTGAAGCATGAGGACGGGGGGCGCTCGACTCGGTCAGATGTTCGTCAGGTGGTGGCTGGGGTGGGGTTTTCTATATGGGTCGGGGATTGAGGCTGTGAATTGCGTCTTTATCTGGCTGTGGCGTATGAAGTTATTTCCCATATTGCAGATTGGTATTGGGTGACAGAATTTCGCGCGTCGATTACAGAAACTATCGCCGCAACGCACTCGGAAGCTTCATGGAAATTGAGACTCTCCTAATCTGAGGTATTTTTGCTTCAAAGGTAGGCCAATGCTTTAACGGATTGCTCTAAGACGAGAAGCTGATGACTGCTTCAGAGGTTCAAGAATATTTCGCACGAAATGGTCTTTCTTTGGAAAGATTACCTTTCCATAATCGGTCCCAGAATTTAGTTGAGTGGGCAATCTTCTATTAGCACGACTTGGGTTTCATTCGGTACTCCAGTGTGGAATACACTTGCCGCTATTCGTTCAGGAAGTGATGAAACCAGACAGCATGCGAAAAGATTGCAGGGACATCAATACTGGGAGAATGTTCTGATCTCCAGTCTGTTGATGGATCATTGTTCAAAGGCCACTGTAAAAAAGGGGGAGCATATGGGGGTACCCGAGTACTACATATGGCGATGGCATCACGAGACTGATCAAGTTGAGCTATAGTGAAATTGAGCTCGAAGTAAGGAATCAATCTAGCAAATCGTTGCATTACTCTGTTCGTGTTGACCGATGAGATATTGTCAGCAACATAGTTTCCTGGGTAGTTCACCCTCCAATTCGACGTGATAGCATCATTTATGGATCAGGGCGCAACACCCCGACGGACGTGCCTTGGATGATTTAAGTTCCGAGATAAGCCTGCAAAATATCCACCGGATAATTGATGTGAGCCCATTCAACTTGGATCAGTCAACAATCCCAGATCCTGGCTGAATCGGACCACCTCCGGACCCCCACACATCCCACTCGGACTTCCCTGCGAACCACTCCCTCCATAAATTGCGTCACATCACTCAACAAAACAACAAAACACAAACTCATTGGAACCATAACGCCAGAAATGTCTAAATCGGCCATTGGTTTTGTTGGTCTGGGAGCCATGGGCTTCGGCATGGCCACCCACCTTGTCAGCGAAGGATACCCCGTCCACGGCTACGACGTCTTCCCGGCCTCGGTGCAGCGCTTCCAAGCAGCGGGGGGCATCCCCGCCTCGTCACTGCGCGAATCCGCAGAGGGCAAGCATTTCTACGTGTGCATGGTTGCTTCCGCGCCCCAAGCACAGACCGTGTTGTTTGGAGATGAGGGCATTGTTCAATGTACATCGATCGATCCGATCACTACCAATGGCTCTGCGGTTCTTAGCTAACCGGTTCGTTCGTTCCATAGATCTCCCCCAAAACGCGACCCTCCTCCTCTGCTCCACTGTCTCGGCCTCCTACGCCCAGTCTGTTGCCGAAGAACTCGTCGCCCGCGGCCGACCGGATATCCACTTCGTCGATGCTCCTGTCTCGGGTGGTGCGAAACGCGCTGCCGATGGTACCCTCTCCATCATGGCGGGTGGAGCCGACGCCTCGCTTCAGATCGCCCGCGATCTGTTGCAGGCGATGTCTGCGCCCAGCAAGCTGTACCTTGTGCCTGGGGGAGTCGGGGCCGGGAGTAATATGAAGATGGTGCATCAGGTGCTGGCGGCTATTCACATCCTGGGGGCTAGTGAGGCGATGGGGCTCGCAGCGCAGCTGGGACTCGATGCGCGGATTACAGCAGACCGCATCAAGGACTCTGAGGCGTGGACGTGGATGCATGAGAATCGCTTTCCCCGGATGTTGGAGGAGGAATGGAATCCCGGGGCGAGTGCGTTGACGATTATCTTGAAGGATGCGGTACGTTACTTACTGGCACTGGTCACCTCTTCATTCATTGCTGTGTACTGACTGTCAGCAGGGGATCATCACAACTTCCGCCCGTCAAAGTCACTTCCCGACTCCGCTCTGCGCTACAGCAGAACAGATCTACCTCTCCGCTCTCCTGCAGGGCTACGGCCCCAAGGACGACTCCGCCATGGTCCGCCAGTACTACCCCACCCCGATCAAGGATGTAACCCCTGCTTCTTTGGCAAACGAAGACCCTGAGGCGGCCACACAGCTCGTGCTCGATCTCATGCAGGGCGTGAACCTGGTCGCGGCCGCAGAGGCCATCGCGTTTGCGCGGTCTCTGGGCGTCGACATGGCGCAGTTCTTCGAATTGGTCAGCGATGCTGCGGGCGGTAGCAAGATCTTTGTAACGCGCGGGTTGGAGATGATTGAGGGTAGGATTGGGGCGGAGACACTGTCGGGGACACAGACTGTAGATGAGGTGGTGAGTCGGTTAGAGAGGGTCGTGCAGAAGGCCCGGGATTTGCATTGCCCCGTACATCTCGGAAATGCGGCACTGGGCGTATTGTTGATGGCTAAGGGGAAAGGGCATGGAGGAGAGGGAAGTGCCAGTGTGATTCAGGTTTATCCGTAGTTATCTATTGTTTTTGCCGTGTGTATCCGAGTCGACAAGGCTGCCTGCCGATGATCTCATATCGGAGCAAGTCCGGCCTCGGATCTATACGCGATTATAAAATAGACCACTTATCTACCTACCTCCTACCTACCTAGCCACCAACCAACCAACATCACACATAGTACTCTCACTCTCAATCTCACACACTCTCACTGATACCCACCCACCACTCTCACGCCTCTTCCAGCCAATCCCACCATCTTCCCCCCCCCCCCCTCAAAATGACCCTCTCAACGAACCGGGCCATCCCCCTCCTCAACCACGCGCACGCCCACAAATACGGCGTACCCGCAATGTGCTGCTACAACGTGGAAGGAATCCTCGCGACGGTCCGAGCGGCCGAATCGCAACGCTCACCGGCCATGATCCTGCTCTTCCCGTGGGCAATCCAATACGCGAACGGCATCCTGGTGCACGCGGCGGCCGAAGCCGCCCTGAACGCCTCCGTCCCGATAACCGTGCACCTGGACCACGCCCAAACGCCCGACATCGTCCGACAAGCGGCCAACATAACGCCCGGCTTCGACAGCATCATGATCGACATGTCGCACTACGAAAAAGCCACCAACCTATCCCTGACGCGCGAGCTCGTCGCCTACTGCAACGAGCGGGGCATCGCGACGGAAGCCGAGCCGGGACGGATCGAGGGCGGGGAAGACGGCGTGGCGGATACGGCGGACCTCGAGGGCCTGCTGACGACCCCGGAGGAGAGCGAGGAGTTTGTCGCCACGGGGATTGATTGGTTGGCGCCCGCTTTTGGGAACGTGCATGGGAGCTATGGGCCCAGGGGCATTCGGTTGGAGTATGATCGGTTGAGGGCTGTGAGGGATCGGGTCGGCGATCGGGTCAGGTTGGTGCTGCATGGGGCGGATCCGTTCGATGAGGAGATTTTTAAGGCGTGTATTGAGGCCGGGGTGAGTAAGGTCAATATTAATAAGGTGTTGAATGGTGAGTGGGTAAGGGTTTTGGGGGACGGGGTGGCTCGGGGTTGGGGCGTGACGAGGTTGATTGAGGAGGCGACGGATAAGATGCAGGCCGCGGTGGAGAGGTGTATGGTTATGTTGGGGTCCAGTGGGAGGGCGGATTGAGCTGGGAGGTCGTGGGGATGGATTCTGTGGTCGGTGGTGGGGGTGGTTGTTCTTTCTGTCCTGTCCGTGATATCAGTTGGTTGGGATTGCGAGTGCATGTGAGAAGCCTGAGAGAACAGAACAAGGGGTTCGGTGTCAGCCTAGGTAGAATAAGACTGGGGCGGCAATATTCTTCCAGGTCGGATACAATCGTTGGTGGCCTGCTAAGAAAACTTCTAAACGTTACTGGTTTAGCTCAAACATATATATATACCCAATAGATTGGCTGATTAAACCACCATGGCTATAGATCACATTCACAATTTACACCTATTGAAACATCCGACATAAAGACCTCGGAACGGAGGGAATAAAGCTCGAGACACGAAACAACCAGAAACAAGGGAAGAGGAAGGGGAAGAGAAGAAGGAAGGAATCACAACACATCATGCAAAGAGAAAGCAGTTCTTTTCTTTATCTCGTGTCATCTCTAGTGAGAAGCCATCATCTTCTTGATCTCCGCAATCGCCCGCGCGGGGTTCAGCCCCTTGGGGCAGGTCCGCGAGCAGTTGAGAATCGTGTGGCAGCGGTACACGCTCATGCTGTTGTCCAGGGCGGCCTTACGCTCGGCCGTCTTCTCGTCACGGGAATCGGCCAACCAACGGTAGGACTGGAGCAGGATGGCGGGGCCCAGGTACTCCTCGCTGTTCCACCAGTACGAGGGGCAGGAGGTCGAGCAGCACGCGCACAGAATGCACTCGTACAGACCGTCCAGCTTCTTGCGCTCCTCGGGGCTCTGGCGGTACTCAAGACCCTGTAGATGGTGTCGTCAGCGACCGGTATCGCGCCGCAGGGGGTGGGGGGATACTCACGTCCTCGGTCTTGGTTTCACGCTGGAGGTAAGGCTTGATCGACTTGTATTGCTTGTAGAAGTAGGTCAAATCGGGGACCAGGTCCTTGACGACGTAGGTGTGAGGGAGCGGGTAGATGCGAGACTCCTTGGCGGTATCCGTGGGGATGCGGCCTATATATGTGGTCAGCGCCACCGAACACCACGACCTCATCAAGGCATCCAGGACAACGTACACAGGCAAGCCAGGGTGTTGACACCGTCAATGTTCATCGCACAACTGCCGCAGATACCCTCACGGCAACTTCTCCGGAAGGTCAGGGTGGGGTCCATCTCGTTCTTGATGCGGATCAGCGCATCCAGCATCATGGGACCGGTCTTGTTCAGATCCAGCGTGTAGGACTGCATCTTGGGCTTCTCGGTGGGCTGATCGGGGTTCCAGCGGTAGACCTGGAAGGTCTTGATCTTGGGCGTCTCGGAGGGGTTGGGTTCCTGCACGTTCAAAAGTCTTAGACTCGGGGGTTGGACTTCCTGCTCGCGTGGCCGGATGCGCTCACCTGAGACACGGCATCGACGGTCGCATAGGAGCGAGCGAAGACAGCCGGGCGAAACAGCGGCTTCGAGGAAGCGAACAAGCGCGAAGTCGTACGGAGGGCGGCCATGGTGGGCGGGCGAGAGGAAGATCGATTTGAGATCGAGGGGGGCGAGAGGTCAGACGATTGGCGAAAAATGGGATAGGCGCACGACAAAGGAGTCAATGGGACGAAGGAGCGTCGACAATGGCGGAGAGAGGGGAGAGAGGTCCAAGGACAAGCAGCCAGCCAGCGGCAACGACGAGACGCAGACCAAGAGAGGCACGAGGAAACGAAGTCGATCGGTTCTGGCGATGTTTTGTCGCCTTTGGCAGCTCAAGGTAACCTCGGGTCTGGCGGCCGGCAAACGGCTGACTCAGCGCCCGCGGGCCAATCACGTAAAGGCTAATTGCAAGCGTCGGGGATACACGGCAAGGCGCTGGACTGAATATAATTCCACTCGACACCACCCCCGGGGGAGGAGAGGCGATGAAGGGGTCTGAAATGTGATTGTTGTGTGTGGAGGAGTGAGGAGACCACTCCATCTACGGGGTACAGACCCCCCGCGACCTTCTCTTCCCCATTACATCAGCGCACCCCAGAATGCCCGGCCAACAGGGAGTGTCCCAAAGGGGAAATGGAGCCGAATGCATTTGCCGTTCCGATGGTCATGTGGTCGGGGAGGCTCTCAGGCGACAAGGCATAAATGTCAGGCATGAATGTTCAGGCAGTCAGGCAGTAAGGCAGTCAGGCGGTCAGGCAAGAATAAATAAGGCATTAAGGCATAAACTCCTTTCAGGCACTCAGGCATGAATGTCCAGGCACCCAGGCAGTCGACTTGTTCGCCGTCCCGCGCGCATCGAGCGATGGGGAATTTAATCTCGGACTTAATCCATCCTCCTTCCTTCGCGCGTGACGGTGGGAATATGCATAACCCGCGTCTTATCACATTGCAGTAGCCTGCTCGGTGGCGCAGAACAATGCCGGCCGCAGGATGAGGATGACGAATCTCGAATCTATAACTATTGCTCCCGCATGTGTCTTGGGGAAGCCATTCCCGACCTGGTGTTTGTTTTCTGGCCCTCGTCACTCACCCCCCTTCGGGACTTGGCAACTAACTAACTACTGACCAACCCAGCTTCACTCTTGAGAACCTCGGCGGGCGATTCACCACTTTCCTTGATTCATTTGTCTTCAGAGGGACTTAGGTCAAGGAATCTCGTCGTTTGCTGTGATTTCGATGACAAGACTGGAGCCAGGCCCGTACCGTAGCCCCGGTCGTCTCCGGTGCTTCCGAGAAACCCCCTCCGAACAAACAAACCCCCGGGCATTATCACCAAACGCAACTGTCCTTGTCATTTCTCTTCGTCGTAACCTTCCCACATCGACTCTCGACACTAATCCACACGGACTTGACCTGCCAGAACAAGAACCAGCCAATGTCGAAGATGCAGGCAGTACTCGCACGCGGAGGCTACAGAGATAGATACACACCATTACAAGGAAGTCCTACACTACCTACCAGCAGTTTCGGCCGACTTTCTGATTCTGGTTAAGAGCCATCGATGCAGAGGAGCAACAATCTGACCCCTCGACCGCCTGTCACCAAGCGTCCCGATAGCCCTGGTCTAGCTCGATAATAAGATGGATCTCGTGGCACCGTGCGGTAGCTCATTGGAGTCTAGACACCTGTGACAGGCCATTCCATGGATGGGGTTAATATAACGTCCTCCCCATGTATTCTGATTAGGTGCCCTGATTCGGGCGGAATAAGCTCCTTCCACGGCTTCCAAGACTTCAAGCTTAATGAGCCAAGCCCCCGGATACGGGAGTTTAAAGGGGATGTCTCAGTTGCGGTATGCTGCAGATGTGTCAAGGACAGGGGTCAACGTCAGTTCATATCTCCCTAGTGATGGATTGTTACATGCTTGGGAGTATGGCTGACGACTTGGGTTCCTACGGACTCCGAGGTCTTCTTCCCTTGCCACGGCCACCGCCCGACCAGACTTGACCAGAGCATCAGTCCACCAGACCATATCTAAATCGGGACAGCTAATCTCGTGTTCTGCTTCTGAGAGCTGTAGCCTGCTGAGGGGTGGGCTGGGTGGGCTTTCTGATATCGCCGAGGGAGACCCACTGTGGGTCAGCTGTCCAGCGTTCCTGAAGCCTTGCCGAAAATGCAGGTTTTTCACGGCCTTCACCAAAGGACCGGCTTCGATGTGGTCAACTAATAATAGAGGCGGGGGGGTTATTTGGAGCCGTTGATAAACGAAACGGAAAAAGTATTAGTAAAGGAAATACAGAACTCGCCAGGGGGGGGCAACGAACTGCAACTGGAACCGTGATGCCATACCCCTTCCCCCTCTTGTTCTTCAACATCGCTGAATAGCCCTAACTGTCGAGCACGTCCAGACTTCGTCCCATCATCGCCTCTTCTAACCATCTTTTGGTCGAATTCGGAATTTTCATGGCTATCATTGCCACAAGAAAACAGCCAAGACGGAGGAATTTCTTCTTTACGGAATTTACATCCAGTATCCACCAGCCGGAGTGGATGGACTACTTTAGACTACCGAGACTAATTGCGCCGGCGTGCATCATGAAACGCCGTAAATCCCCTCCAATCGCTCCACAGTCCACTTATGGCTTAAAATCATCAATGGCAGTGGAGCATCGGGCTCATGGGCAAACGGGTTCTGAAGAGGGCCATCGCCGGGCACCACGACCATGAGCAACCATGTGGCTACTCCCCCCTCCCCTTCCTTCCCATCTGGGTCGCAAACAATATCCATCCATGGGCCAATCCGGTGGATGCCCCAAATGTAAACTCCTCGGCCAGTACCGAAATTAGCGCCGGTGGACTAACTGAGAGGAATCAACGGCTTTGCTCTAACTAATCATGGATGTCCTGGGCGTTTCACACCGATGACCCGTCCAATTTCATCTAGCTTATGGGCCTGAGCCATCTAAGCCAGAGGGGGAGCTCTATCAGAGCTTTGTCATGACGCTGTTGACCTGCCGATTGGCATTCTTGCTATATAAACCCCAGGCCCATCGGGTCGGATCCTGTCTTCTCCATCAAACCACTCTCTTTTTTCTTTTTTCCTATCCTCTATCTTTACCCTAGTCTTTCTTTTCCCACAGCTGGTCTAACACTTCATTATGAAGTACTCTACTGTCTTGGGCGCTGCTGCCGCCCTTTTCGCCGGTTCCGCCGCTGCTGTCGGCGTTACTGGCTCTGCTGAGGGTTTCGCCGAGGGCGTGACCGGTGGTGGTGATGCCACCCCCGTCTACCCCGACACCCTCGATGAGCTGGTCTCCTACCTAGGTGACGACGAGGCCCGTGTCATCATCCTGACCAAGACCTTCGACTTCACTGACAGCGAGGGTACCACCACCGGCACTGGTTGCGCTCCTTGGGGTACCGCCGCCGCCTGCCAGGTCGCCATCGACCAGGACGACTGGTGTGAGAACTACGAGCCCGATGCGCCCTCCGTGTCCGTTGAATAGTACGTTTTGACCCCTCACCAGCTTGATATATGGCCCATCTGACCATCGCAGCTACAACGCTGGTATTCTCGGTATCACTGTTACCTCCAACAAGTCCCTCGTCGGTGAGGGCTCCGAGGGTATCATCAAGGGTCGTGGTCTCCGTATCGTCAGCGGTGCCGAGAACATTATCATCCAGTATGCAATGCTCCATCCTATCCAAGAAGTCCCTTTCTAACAACCCCAGGAACATTGCCGTGACCGACATCAACGCCAAGTACGTCTGGGGTGGTGATGCCATCACTCTTGACGAGTGTGACCTCGTCTGGATTGACCACGTTACCGTACGCATTTATCCCATCCATTCGCCAAACGACTACAGCTAACAATACATCCAGACCGCCCGCATTGGTCGTCAGCACATCGTCCTCGGTACCAGCGCCGACAACCGTGTCTCCCTCACCAACAACTACATCGACGGTGTCAGCGAGTACTCCGCCACCTGCGACGGCTACCACTACTGGGCCATCTACCTTGACGGTGATGCCGACCTGGTCACCATGAAGGGCAACTACATCTACCACACCTCCGGCCGTTCCCCCAAGGTCCAGGACAACACTCTCCTCCACGCTGTATGTCCCCCTCCTTCATCCCCTTCCCCTCCAATCCACCGCATCGCTAACCCCCCAACCCCACAGGTCAACAACTACTGGTACGACATTGACGGCCACGCTTTCGAGATCGGTGAGGGTGCCTACGTCCTCGCCGAGGGCAACGTCTTCCAGAACGTCGACACCGTCCTTGAGACCTACGAGGGTGAGGCTTTCACCGTCCCCTCCGCCACCTCCGGTGAGGTCTGCGCCGCCTACCTCGGCCGTGACTGTGTCATCAACGGCTTCGGCTCCTCCGGCACCTTCGACGAGGACAACACCTCCTTCCTCTCCGACTTCGAGGGCAAGAACATTGCCTCCGCCTCCGCCTACACCTCCGTTGCCGCCAGCGTTGTCGCCAACGCCGGTCAGGGTAACCTGTAAATCATGAGCTCATTGATTGTCTCGTGATTCGGTGCGGGGATGTCTTTGTTGTGTGTCTCCGGCCTCTATCTAGGCCGTGGCACTGGATGAAAGAGGTTGATTTTTTAATCCTTTCGTGTAATTATTCTTGGGGTGTTAATATGACCTCGCTATCTATACTACTACTACTACTACTACTACTACTACTATTGTTGGTTGGGTTTCAATCGATGTTGAATGACAACGATTGTCCTGGTATTTTTTTTTCTTTCTATTTTTCTAGGCTTCATAGATTTTTTTGATATGTGGAGGGAAGTTACACGAGGAAAAGAGCCGTAGGAGTTGTGTGTTGGTTGGTGATGGTGATCGGCTAGGAAAGACCGCATGCAGTCACTGGCAGACTGGCTGGCGGGAACCTCAGGCACCGCTGACACGACCCACGTTGCATTTTGAGCGGGTTTACACCCATCGTCTTCCGTTTCCGCCCATCACTTCTCCGTTCCCAGCTCCCAAATGCCCTCTACTTGTTCTCTGCGCAGATGAAGGGAAGAACGATCTCTCCCAGCCCATGCAGATCAGCCAGTCTACAGTCTAGTTATGGTCTACAAAGCGATAAGCAGGTGATAAGATAAGATGGTGATAATGATGATCATTGCTGTATTGACTTGCGATCTTCACTACTGATCGTCGCGATCATCATCTTCCTTCTCCGCCATGACTAGCTAATTAACAATGATCAGCCCGGGCCCAAACAAGGTCGCCTCCGCCACAGCATTGACATCCGCAAACGGCCCCTCACTGCCCGTCACTGCCGCGATCGTCAGTCCGTTCAGCAGATTGTCATCGTACGGAAACAGTGCCTTTGCGACCACCACTCCCTCCTCCTTGTCAACCTCGAACAGCCCCAACGGCTCTGTGATCGGCACGTTCAACTGATTGACATACGTCAACCACAACTTTCCATCCGCCAGACTCTGCGCTTCCTCTTTGCTCACACTAAACGAAACCAGAATCTCCTGCGTCTTCGCCTCGGGAGGCGTCACAATGTTCAGCGCCGGGAACGTCTTCAAGTTGATCAACTCGATATTCGGGCATGTTCCCGGAATAACAAAGCTCTGGATCGCTGTGAACGCGAAGTTGACGTCGCTGGTTGTCAAGGTGGGCGACTCGCTGGGGATCTTGTCCTGCAAGAGACGGAACCAGCCCTGCTGCTCGCCTTCGTTGCCAATTGTCGCGGCGATGATACGCGTCAGATCAACGTCGTTGGCGGCGGCGAAGCGCACGATCACGTCTTGTAGGGTGCCCAGGACGACGTCGGTGAAGGTTGCGGCGAGCGCGATAGCCTCATCAAAGGTGGACACGGGGAAGGTATAGTTGCACGGTTCGATGGGGACTTGGTTGAAATGCTTCAGGCCGGTGTTTGCAGTGAGGGCGTGGACTTCCTCTTGCTGGAGAGGGGGCAAGTGGGTTAGGTTAGTCTAGGAACGGCATCGGGAAGGGGGAAGGAATGTGGGGCATACGGCGAGGATCGCAGTGAGGACTTGGATGGTGAAGTCTCGATCAGCATCGTTGGCGATGAAGTAGCCTTCGACGTTGGTGGTAATGTTAAGGAGGAGCTGGTTGAAGAAGGCAACTTCGAAGAGCTCGTTGAAGGCGATCAGCTGCAGGTTTGTGATGCCATTCTGACTGATTGTCGCGGGGAGAGGAGAATTGGGGGGAGTGCCGTGAGCATTGAGCGAGATCTGCTGCAGCTGGCTGTCATCCGGATTGGGCATGCCATCGGGCAGGGGGGGGACGTCGCGGGCCCGGAGACCTGGTGCTGCGAGCGCAGAGGGCAGGAGAAAGAGTGCAAGGGAAATTGGGAACTTCATCGTGGAGATACAGTATAGGATATGGGATGCAGGTGAGAGCTAAGGATACGTGAAGAGGATGTCGATGTCGACTGACTGGGGTCTAGGAGAGATAGACCGGGGTCAAACGGCCAGGGTCTCTATATATAGCTGCCTTTGTTACACGAATTCGGAGCAAATGTGCAGCTGCGACTTCCTCTTCCGGGACGTCACGGTTGCTTCCTCGGCGGATGGCTGCATTTCTCCATTTCCGGTCGATCTTTCTGAGTGACGTGCTGTCAATATCACGTTGTTCCTGTCTCGGGGTTGTGCCCTCTCGAAGCCATCAAGCCATCATGATGACCAAGCAAGCATGGACATCTCAAGCATACTCAATACTATCGACACTCCTCCGGCATCGAATCCTAAGGTGTAGGCTACCAGCTATAGTACCAGCCATGATCACCCCTTTATTGAGTCAACAAGTTGTCATCGGTTATGATGTATATCTGAGATAGTGTCGTCCCCGGAGGTGCAAACCCATTCCTTCAGCATCCTTCTGTTTTCTACTGGAGATCTTTCCATCCTTACGAATAAGCTTCTTTGCTTCACGCTCCTTCTGCAAAACAAACAAATCCACTCTCCTTCAAACCCACCTTGGAAACTTCCTCCATAATGGGCAAAGTCTCCTTCTCCAAGTTGTTCGAGGTCATCCTGCCAAAGACCACCACGGACAACGGTACCTCCCCAGAGAGGGTGCACTTCGCCCCCGAGCCGAAACATGATCCTTCCCCTGAGGACAACTCCTTCGGCAGCAAGTTGGTACGGGTGCCAACTCCCCATCCGAAAAAGTCCGACAACACGGGCCATAAAAGACAGTGGGACTTGATCTGAAATGTGCGTTTTATCTTTTTCATCTGGCGCTGGTCTGCATTTCTGGTCTTGCATGGATTTTGAGGGCTTCGGGCGTGTATTTTGTCGATGCGGCTTGATGGGTTGATTTGTTTGTTGATTGGCCGTATGTTTGGAAGCAAGCATAACAGGGTTGCTTGATGCGATACCTTTGCTATGATAGAAAAATTTGAAAGAATCGTATTCAACTGTTTCTTTGAAATCAATGGCTCTCCTGTAATTTGTCAGGTGATGGGTGCCTGAGACTCCCGCCCAAACCGGGTAACACATCATCCTCTACCTCGGCCTCTACGCTCTCATCTCATCTTGATGTCTTTCCAAGTTTGCCCTTCTGCCCTTTCTCCACGATGAAGACAGCATCCATAATAGGATATTCATTTTTGCTCAAACTACCCACAGAACATGGCATTCTCCCTGTCCTACCTCACAAACAGTGATGTAACGCCCCCGAGAGCAGCAGCCCCCATCAACACGCGCCACAAGATCTGGAGCCCATCGACAAGCATCCTCCTTAGCTGCTCCTCCACATCACCAGGTGTCGCTGCGTCATCTGCGTGCATGCCGTGGTTTATCCTCTCCTCTCTCACTTCCCCAAAGACTCGATTCAGCAGGATGGCCCCGCTCAACGGAACCGCGATGCACATGCCCCACGCGCACAGAATGGAATATACCAGGATATGGGAAGGAGAAGAGCCCCGATTCCTGCGTCTGGGAGGCGATGGTTGGATCTCTTTAGGGGCGTTGTGCAGGCATCGGTGGTATCCTGAGGCAAGCAAGGCGTGACTGATCCCTGTGCCGAGGAAGATGAAGACCCATACTTGCGGCGGGGTGTGAGAGTCCAGGATGATAAAGAAGACTGTGCTGAGTGTGCTACACATCCAGCCAGCGCGTATGGTCCACGGTGAGAGCCGAGGGCTTCGCAGCAGTCGTACCCTTTCTGTCAGGACCAGGAGCATGAGTGCCGGACTGGCGATGGTTAACAGGCTGAGTCCTGTGAGGGCTGGTGGGAGGGTTTTGATTAAGATCAGGTACAGACAGCAGTTCAGGAGATGGCAGGAGAGCTGGCACGGTTAGTGGTGGTCTCTATGGCTGTGGGCTCGTTGGCTTACCAGAAACCCGTGCAGCAGACCCCCCGTGTACAACATCAGCCTTGGGATGCTGTATAGTACTGCCGAGGAGAATATCGACCGGTTAGCCCGCATGCACTCATACAGCAGAAGCGCAACCATTGCCACACCCCCTGCGCAGAGAAGGACCAGTATGTGCCAGTTGCTCCAGCCATACAACGTCCCTCCCCAGCTGGTGCCGATGAGGAGGCAGCCCATTCCCATGAAAGTCAACACGGCTGCCAGCCAGTTCAAGTCATGCAGCTTGCATTTTGGTATGCGTCTGTACCCTCGCAAGTCCACCGCGAAGGGTATCACCAGTAGACTCAGCGCACAGAACACGAAGCTGGCATAAAAAAGCCATGTCGAATGGTCAACGAGCACTCCTCCAAAGACGAGGCCCAGCATGGCTCCGATTATCCACGTCTGTGCGACGTACCCGAAGAAGCGAATCTTGTGCACTCCTGGGATGATTCCATCTATCATCTCCAGCGAAACCGCTCTGACCCCTCCACACCCCATGCCTTGCACGAACCGACCGGCAACCAGACAAGAAAGATTCATGGAGCCGCTGCATACGCCCGTCCCCACGGTGGCGAGCACCGCAGCACCAAGGACAATAGGACCGACTCCGAAAAGCGCAGCCAGCATGGCAAAAAAGGGCTGGCTGGCCGCACTCGCCAGGAGATACGATGCTTCGATCCATAGCGCGCCTCCAAGAGGCTGTTTGATCGTGATCGACAGGTGCTACGCAACTCGGTTATCAGTGGCCATATGGGAGCTTCAACAGACATACTGGCACGAGTGGCAAGACTACAGTTGCATTGAATGCATCCATCGCCATCAGAAGAGAGACACAGACCAAGACCAGCCATTCTCGGACGCCAGGTTTCCATTCCGCTACCACTGAATCTGCGTCATAGTCTTGGCCCGTGATCTCGACCAGGTGTTGAGTGTCTTTGAGGCCATCCTCTGCATGGCTGATGTCGATGAATTCCGTCCCCATGGGAAAGTCAAGGACTCGGGCGGCGGTGGAAGCTGCTGAGACAGGGTGCATGGCACGTGGAGGGATACCCCAGTCAAATACAAGGACTTAGCTATCGTGTCTATCTTGCAAGGGCACCTGCATCGTCCAGACATCAAATGGTAGATTCCAAACGCAAGGGGCAGCAGGGCACAGACCGCGTGGTGAAGGCCCTCTTCGTCTCTTCGTGGGGGGGTGCAAACTCTTATCCTGGAGTTACCCTTCGACGTCCGGTTACTGGGCAGCTGGACAATTGGCTCTGGCAGGTATGATATTGAGCTTTTGTGATTGGCTACGGCACATTCTTCGTTTGGAAACACAAGGCCCCCTGGGCCAAGGGCTTGCCGCGCAATGTGGTATGTGAGCACAGACAGACAGACCTTACCATCCAGCAGATGGAGAATTACTATCAAACCTGGAAGTGAGATAATCCACGTGAGTGAATGCAATCCCAATCTACCTCTCCCTTCTCCGGGGGAGCACATAACCCCCGATATCTGCGAAAGACTGCATTGCATGGCTTTCCCCATAAAGCCGGCGATCTCCTCCCCCAGCCATAGCGGAAGCAAGGCTGTTCTGGTCGATTCCATATCCCGAGTATACTTCCCCGCGACCTGTGCCAATCCTTCAGTCAGTCAGACCTCTTCACTTAACCTCCTTCAAGGTCCAGACAGACACAGACAGGTACTCACGAGAACACACTCCCCCCCCCGCGACTCATCCAGCGCAACCTGCTCGATCACCTCGGCCACCCGCTCAGGGGTATTCGTCTCCAGCCCGGCCTCCTGCCAACGCTGGGCAAACCCGTTGCCGTTATACCCGTCGGGGTCAGAAACGGTGCGACGCCATTCACCCGAATGCCATACCGTCGCGCAACCTCCTGCGACGCCCGCAGCAGTCCCACCACCCCATGCTTGGACGCCACGTAGGCCGCGACCCCCGTGCCCCCGAAATACCCAGACGTAGAGGTAATGAGCACGATGGATGGGGAGATTGGTTTTTCGCTGTTGTTGTTGTTGTTGTTGTTGTTGTTCTTCATATGGAACATGGCTAGGCGGAGAGCTATCCCATCATTAGTATTAGCATTAGCCCTCAATCCTCAACCTCCCCCCCAAAAAGAACTACACCAAATTAAAAAAAAAAGAAAGAAAGAAAGAATACGAACTATTAACCACCCCCCCCCCCCCCCCCCCAAAATTGACCGCAATAACCAACCCTCTGTGCCTCCACACTCCCACTCTCCCTCTCCCTCTCCCTTAACCTCTCTCCCTCACCCTCACCCTCACCCTCATCCTCATCGATATACACATCCACATCCACATACACATCCACATCCACATCCACATCCTCCAAATCCAACACGCCCCCCTCCCCGGTTCCATAATCCCCGCATTCGCAACCACCACATCCACGCCCCCGGAACCGCTGCACCACGGTCTCGAATAACGCGCTCATTTGCGCCCCGGATGTCACGTCCACGGGGATGAAGAGGGCGTTTTCGGGGTGGGGGAGGTTTTGCGTGATGGGTGTGGGGGTGGATCAATTGATTGAGAGGAGATAGATGGGAGGGGGGTGGGGGGAAGAAGAGGGATGAGAGGAGAGGGATGGGATATATAGATGGATAGATAGATGGATGGATGGATGGATGTAGATGAGAGTGGGTGGGTGGGTTTGTCGGTTGTCGGTGGTCGGTGGTCGGTGGTCTGGTATGTATAGTATGAGGGGAATGAATAATGGGATAGGATAATGAGTAAGGAAGTGGTGGTGCATTTACAGTTCGATAGAATAAAAAAGCTACGTAGGTATCCAATCTTGTGTCATAAATCAGATACAGATATCTCATTCAACATAATCTACAATTACTATCCCATCACTCCGTCTTGTCCCTCGACGGCGGTCTCGACCACCTCGACACCTCAGCCGACGACTTGACACTGTGGGCGGTGCTGATGGCATGGAATGAAAAGTCCAGCTCGCCCACCAGGGCTTTGACGTCTCTAAACACCCACGCAGCGCATTAGCATAATCCATGCATTATCCATTTTCGATCAGAAGAAAGAGAATGAATGATAATAATAATAATCAATAACTCGCTAGACAAACTCACCTCATCAACCTCTCCACATCCCCCACGATACACCTCGTCGAGATCTGCAGCACGGAGAACGTCGCAAAGCCCGGTTCCGCAATATGTCGCAGACTGAGAATATCCTTATCCAGGGCCTCGAGCCGCTTGGAGAAGCTGTACGGCCGGGGGGTCTTCAGGTAGGGCGGCAGGGGCTGCTGGTTTGTGATGCTGGCTGAGAGGAGACACAGGACGGTGGTGATCTCGTGGGTGGTGACGCGGGCGCTGGAGACGAGTCTGCGGAAGTCGTGGAGCCAGATGGAGTCGGATTCTTCATCGTTGCCGAGTTGGAGGAGGGTGTCGGAGGCGTAGCCCAGGAGACTTAGGTAGCTGACGATGCTGGTGATGGGGTTGGTTGGTCAGTTGCATGAATGCATGGGTCTATGGTATGTGATCTGGGACGTACTTCTCGATACATGTGATGATCGAATTGTATCGCTTTTTAGGGAACCGTCCGCCGATGGCGACCTCCCAGTTGAGGAACCCGGCGTAGGTGCGCAGGTTGTTGAGCATGAGCATTTGCTTGGAGAAGACTTTGTTTCGCGCCTTCATGAGTCTGCGGCCGGAGGAGGTCTTCAGGGCGAGATCGCCCTCGTCGCCTCGCATCCGCGCAGACACGGTCTCGTGGATGACGGAGTAGTAGTTGGCCAGGAGGTATAGCGAGGCGCCCAGGCTTTGGCGAAGCACCGAGTGTTCGGAGATCGGGTACGGGAAGAAGGTCCAGATGAAGGCTACGGCGATACCGCCGGCCACGGTGGCGAGTCGGTAGGGACCAAGGAGGTAGATCGGGTAGTATTGCTGCCCGTTGGAGGTGGCGACGTCCTGGCCGATTTTGCGGACCTCGAGCTCGTAGCCCACGATCATCGAGGTCGAGATGATCGTGATGATGCCGATGATTCGGAAGCGGAAGAGCTTGATCGGCACGTAGAAGACGCAGGTCAGGAAGATGAACAGGAAGACGATGATCCCTGGGGTCTTCTGTCCGGGGATATACCAGGCCAGGATACTGAGCACCAACGATATGACGGTGCCGAGAATCCGGAGAACGAAGCCGAAGATGCTTTGGCCGGACGTGGGGGACATGCTCATATTGACCATGATCATGGCCCAGACGAATCGCTGCTTCACGAAAAAGTTCTGTGTATCGTGGAGGAGGGCGACAACGGCAACGGTCATCGTGGCACACGCGACCCGGAAGCCATACGCCGACTCGGGAGAGCGCAATGCAGAGGGGATCAGTCGGACCTTGTCTCCGATCTTCTGGAGCGTGTTCTCAGGCGGGAGGTGTTCCGGGTCCTTGCGGTGCCTGTAGGCCTCGCCCAGCTGGAGGATGTTGTTCTGCGAGCTGATGTCCCCCAGGTTGTCCTCCTCGTGCGAATCCTCGGCCTTGAAAGCACTGATGACCCATTTTAGCAAGCGCTTCGAGCCCGGGATGATGAGACGATTCCGTGCCAGCTTCCCACTGGCAATCTTTTCGTCTGCGAATTGGATGAAATCGTGGACGACATGGCCTGTGGATTCGAGAAGTTGTTCCACCTAGGTCGGTCAGCATCGGTTATTATCACACAGTGCAATCAGACACCTACGTAGAGAATCATATACAGCTGTCGCCTGCTGCGGTCTCGACCAACTCCGAAGCTATCGGCAGGGATATCATCCACATCCAGATGGACGGATGAGGGATGTTCAAAGAAGTCAGGCGGCAAGGTGATGCCCTTTTCCTCACTCCACGACCGCAGGGCGATCCGCTTCGCATACTTGAAGTCACGGATCTTCCTCGCATAGTACGCAGGGAAGCCCTTCTCCCCGGGCTTGGGGTTAGCGGTTGCCTCCACGTCCGAGTCGTCGGACTTTTTGGCCGGTCGTGTCAGTTCAAGGGCGAGCGACACATGCCGAAGGCCCTCATCAATCGTGTGGATCATGGAGCTAAACGGATCATGCACCGCCCTCATGATCTCGTTCCATTCCTCTCTGACCCGCTGGCGGACCGTGTCGGGGATTGCCGCGCCATTGGCTTCGATGGGCTGATTCCACTTGTTGTAGTCCGAGAGGCGCTGGAAGATATCCACGATGAAGCTGAGGCCGACGACGGGGATCATAATCTGGCGCAGGTATCTGAAAGTCCCCTGGATGTCGTCCGGTCCCAGCTTTCCGATGGCAAACTCGCGCTTCGCAAAGGTCAGGTCTCCGTGGATTTTGGCATGAAGCTCCGTGACCTTCTGACAGGCCGTCCGGATCGCCTGTGCTTCGGGACTATACACCTTGCCCTTGTCGGTCACTTTCTCCACCGTCGAATCGTACGTCTCTGCCCGACCGAACATGTCATCCTTTTCCAGCGTCTCGAAGTATGCCGTGTGGGCATTGAGGGCAGCCCGGAGGCTCTCAATGTAGGCCGCCATCTGGTTAAAGACGACCCCCCTGGTGCTCATGGGAAGGATAAACAACGAGACACCCGTGGCGATGGCCAGGCCCGTCAAACTGGCCTCGAGCAATTTCAAAGCCAGCGTAATGGCGGCGGTCATGTTCGCCAGCCGGGAAGCATAGGTGAAGATGACATTGGCCACGATCGAGTAGATAATGACGGGAAACTGGAACTGCTGAAACTTGGCCCGGAAGGTGTGCACGACGTAGATCTGGAAGAACAGCCAGACAGCACTGACAGCCGTAGCGGACGCATTGTAGGGGGCCGACGACGCACCCCCACTGGCAGCATCGGCGGCCGACTCGGTGTGCTGTCGGGCCTTGACACACGAGTACATCATGAGCAGAGCCACGGCCGTGGCGACGCAGACGGCCAGGATATCGAGGACCATCATCTGGATGAACTTGGCTCGCGGCATGATGGAGAACCCCAGCACGGAAATCACCGAGACGAGATACCCGACCGTGTTGAACTGCGAGGAAATCGCATCCGACTGGTAACTTTTCATCGCCTATCCGTCAGCTTGCCCGACTCCATACGGATCCAGCAAAGACCTACATAGCCACGCAAATCGTCGGCGCAAGCGCACCCCTGCATCAAACCCCATGCATTAGTAGTCTTCTAGCACGCGGTAGCCAGACAAAAAAAAAAAGAAAAAGTCCCACCTACTTCATCATGAGCAGAAAAGTCGGCCTATCGATCCCCAGCCCCTTCCAGATCGATTTGACCTTGCCGAAAAATTTCCATTGGCGCTTCTGCTTCGCCTCTGCTGCTGCTGCTGCTGCTGCTGCTGTTGCTGCTGCTGTGGCTGCTGCTGTTGCTCTCGCTGCATCCTCGCCATATCCCAGCGACGAGGACGAGGAAGAAGAGGATTGGGCCGAGTCGAGGGGCGAGGGCATTCTGGAGTCGTCGTGCTGTCGGTCGGGTTCGGTTTCATCCTTTCCCCGGATGGATTGCCAGCCTCTGCCTGCCTGATAAGATCAAGGCATCCACGCCTTCCCTTCCCCAGACCACGTGATCCGATCGGCGACAACCAGATTCGGGGCTGTTGGGACTGGCTGAAGAGGAGGAGGAGGAGGTTGCGGGGAGCGATTGGACTGTAGTCGAGGGGGGTTTGGGGTTTTGCTTTCTTTCGCTCGTGTCGGTGGCCGATAAGCAAGTTGCAGGTCAGTGGCGATCGGCACCCGACTTTCCCCAAGTGGGCCCCTACCAAGGCCACGACTTAAGTTGGCCCCGTGCCATGGATGGATGTCATTGTTGTTGACAATATTAATCATTCTCCGCATGAATCAAGGATCATTGATTCCATGCTTGTTGTCAGGGCGGGACGGGATGGGATACACTGCCTGGTAAAGCCGCAAAGCCGATGGGTTGACCCGACCCACCAGCAGGCAATCACATCATGCAGCTGAGGGATGGATGTTCTTCTACCCGGATTCTCGGGTCAGGGGGGGCTGCCTGGGATGCCTGGGATAACTACCCGGTTGCATGGTTGATCATCATCGATAGTTGGAAACATGATGGAGGCATTTTCTTTGGGGGGGGGGGGTGGGGGGACAGGCTATGAAGATGAGTGTTCAACAGCTCTTTCTTTGGGGAATACTGTATATTCAACTGTCTGATTCCCTTGGAGAAGCATCCCTAGACTGTGAAACCCTTCTCTTCAAGTTGATCATGATTGTCTGTCTGTCTGGTGCGGAGGCCAATATATATATCCCCAAACACAGACACCAACACCGTCACAGTCACACAAATAGTAGTAAAGAGTGGAGACAAGCACAGCATGCACTCCCCATCGAGTAAAATTTCCATTCAGCCACAAACCCCCAATTCATTTAGAATAAAAAACAGATAAATATTCAAATTTCAAATTGGTCTCGTACTATCACACATGTTCCACCACTACTTCGTACCGGGCGATCAATTGCTCTCCCGGTGTGTGTAGAATAAGTAGCGCCTCGCACACTTGTTCTTTTATGTTAGCTCCCCAATAGTCGAGCGGCATTCGATGGCCTGACCATTTCTCCACCTTGTCTTGCATCAAGATGACGTGCGTACGAATCCCATCTGGGGATTTGCTTTTTATTTTTTTAGATAGATTATCAATTGTCTTTCTCGTGCTTTGTTGGACTTGCATTTCTCTTTGGAGTTTGTTTCATCGGCGCTCTCTAACATCTATCATAATATCATTCCTCATGGTTTCTCTATCCTCCCATCCCCTATATACATATACACCACCAGGCGCAAATCTAATACTCCGGCCATTCAGGATCAACCTGTTCTTTCCACGCCCGGAACCCCCCGCGGAAGTCCGCCACGACCCTCTGCCCGTCGCGATCCAGCCCCAGCTCCTTCAGCTTCTTCACTGCGATCTGCGAGTCGTTGCCCAGTCGACACACCACGTACACCGGATCGGTAGCCTCCGACGAGGCGAGATCCGACGGCACCCAGGGAGGCAGCGCCGTCGACCCATCTGCCGAGCCGGCAGTCCCGGTCGGCATTCTCGCCGACGCCAGGATCGTCGACATCGGGATGTTGATGCTATTCTCCAAGCTACAGATATCGAACTGGACCTTTTCCCTCACATCGATGATGGTTGGCTCCCGCGTGTCCAGCTCAACCGAGGCTTCGGGGTGTTTGGCGCGATACTCCAGCGGCGTGATCCGTTCCTCTGCGGAGAGCAAGTTTTCCGGGTCTGCCGTCCCACAGAAGAAGACGTAGTCGGTTGACCCCGACCGCACGGTATCCAGCGTTACGGTCGCCTCTGCGGAGCACACGGCGCAGTTCGGACGGCGGGAGCGCAGCTTGATGGTCCGGAACAAGGGCGAGGAGTATGCGGAGAAGATGTGCAGCGATGGCGCCGGTGCCTCTTCCGCTGTGATGACCTTGATTGCTTCCAGTGCCTGCAGGACACCCATTGTCCCAACCACAGGGCCGATGATGCCGCCGTCCGCGCAGCTCGTAACCGTGTTTGCTGGAGGTGGCTTCGGGAACACGCAGCGGTAGCAAGGTCCTCCGGTCTTGTCGCCCATGGGTCGAGGCGGGTTGTTCAACACCATCAGCTGGCCCTCCGTGCGCAGGGCCGACGCGGACACCAGCGGTTTTCCTAGAAGAACGGCGGTATCGGAGATGAGGTATCGAGTCGCGGGGTTATCGGTACAATCGAGGACGAGATCGTAGTCGTTGAAGATATCCGGGGCGGCTTGGGGGGTGAGGTGTTCTCGGTGGGCGATGTACTTCGAATGGGGGTTCAGCCTGGTGTAGCAGTCATAGTCAGCACTGCACGAACACGTCCAAACATCCCCCCCTGCGAACAAGATACTCACTCCTGTAAATACTCAATCGCACTATCCACCTTGAGCTTCCCGACATTCTTCGTCCTATGCAACACCTGTCGATGCAGGTTCGACGACTCCACTGTGTCCCCGTCCACCAGGCCCAGAGTGCCCACGCCCGCGCCAGCGAGATATAACGCTGCCGGGCACCCAAGCCCACCAGCTCCCACAATGAGAACCCTCGCCGATCGGAGCTTCAATTGGCCTGTTTGGAGTAAGAACTCGGTCGGTCAGCGAACCCAGCCTCGCTCATAGGTTATGCGCATTCGTGTGGTCCACCAACCTTGGATGCCCAGCTGTGGCACGATCATTTGTCGCCCATAGCGTCGGTATTCGTCCTCCAGCAGCGGCCACTTCCTTGCAGGAGATCGATCGTTGGTCGGATTCGGGTCCTGGGTCTTCTGGGCGACGGCGGCTTGTTCTGCGATCTGCAGGTCTCGTTTCAGGCCCGCGAGCTGGGCCTCAGTGGCGGCGATTTGCGCGCGCAGGGACGCGCATGTCTGTTCGAGGTCATCCATTGTGAAGCAGCGAACAGTGGCGTCGAACTGGTTTGACTGTTTGACTGTTTGACTGTTTGATTCCCCGCGCCGAAGACTTTCTCCGGCCATCTTATCGGGCGACGGCGCTAAGCCCGTTACGGACAGACCTCCCCGGGTTCCTTCGCGCGTCGACAACTACGGCCTCGGCCTACATTGTTGTTTCCATTCATGTCACCGGTTGAACCACAACCGTGAATATGCTATTATGTCTCGTCCGAATCGAGAAACCAGGAACCGAATTATCTAGCGAATTGCCGGACTTCGAACCTCCACCCCGTCCCCGAACCTAATAGTCCTGCCGGCCCAGCTGAAAGCGAACACGAGTGCGCTGCTCAAACGCATACGCCATCCCGATCAATGCCTCCTCACTCCACTTTGGACCCAGGAAACTGATACCGAAGGGGATCCCAGGGGCTTTCTGGACAAGATTCCCACGCGCGTTGTGCTCGATCGGAGTCCCCTCCGGATACGCTCCCAGCGGGACGGTGATAATGGGCGTGCCGACAATCGCAGGGATCTCGGACGCAACGAGGGTCGGAAGGATGATGGCGTCCAACTGGTTCCGGGAGAGTGCGCCCAGCAGGCCACCCTCCTCGCCGAAGTAGAGGGCCCTCTGGTACAGCGGCCAGAACGCGGGCGATGTGTTGTTGATTCCGGCGGCAATCACCTGGTCCCAGACCCCGGTGTCGCGCGACGGATACTCTTCGTCTGGGCTGTGCTGGGTGAAAGATCGGATATCCTCCACATTGCGAAGGCCGTGGGGGTTGGTTTCCAGGCTCGCTAGATACCCTGCAATGCCTGACGTGAAGTCGGCGGCCTCAACGTATGTGGGCTCCTGGCTTTGAAGGAAGGCGCTGTATGCTGTGAAGTTCGTGTTATCGATGATGGTGGCGCCCGCGTTGCTGATTACAGAGAGTGCCGCGTCAAAGGCAGCGACTACCGGAGCACCTGATGCCCCTAGGCTGTCGATGACATTTCGAGCGATACCGATCCGCTTGCCGTGCAGCCCAGACGTCTTGCACGCCGCCGCATAATCCGGAAGATTGTCACCGAACGGGGAGGCCGTGGTGTAGTTATCCTTGGGGTCAGGACCAGCAATGGCCTGCAACAGCATCGCCGCATCTTTCACCGTCTTGGCCATGGGCCCGATTGTATCCTGGCGCTCACTGATGGGGATGACCATATACCGCGAAACAAGGCCGACGGTCGGTTTGATACCGACGATGTTATTCCGCTCACTCGGAAGCACAATGCTCCCACTTGTCTGCACATCCCTGAGTCAGCCCTATTCCAGCAGAAAACCGAAACTTACATACCTCTGTCCCCAGAGCAAACAGGATGTACGACATGTCAACCGCGACAGCGCTCCCACTGGAACTCCCACTCGGATCCTGTCTGGGATAGTACCCTCCATACGACTGGATAGTGATACCACACCACCCGTTCGAGGAATTCAAAGACCGAAAATTAGCCCATTCCGACATGCTCGATTTCCCGAAGATGATCAGGCCGTTTTCCCTGAGCTTCGCCGCAACAGTCGACTCCGCAGAAGGCCTCGCTCCAACCAAGGCCCAAGACCCAGCTAGAAGCACCCGTCAGCCACAACCTCCCTCCCCAAACAGACTACCAGAGACATACCCGAGGTCCCCATACCATCACGCGTAGCTATCATATCCTTGATCAAGACCGGCAATCCATGAAGCGGACTACCCACCCATCCATCTCCATTAGCATCAACAACCAACCAACCAAGAATGACCGCACAGAGTACAGTATACAGTATACAGTATACAGTGTACATGTACATACCCTCTGACCTTCTTCTGCCGTCTCTCCGCATCCAGCTGCGCCGCAATATTCATCGCATCGCGATTCATCTCCGTGACTGTGGTGAACGCCGGATCATTGCCCTGAAGCCGGTTGTCATATGCCTGCGCGTCGCGATTAGCATCCACCACACCGCATTGCACCGCACAAGGAAACAAAGGGGATACAGACATCCACCAGATCCACACTGTAGAAGCATTCGCCCTTGAGGAATCCTCCGAGCTCGTCTGCGGTCGTGTTCTCCAGGGGAGGAATCAGACAGTCGTTCCATCTGGCGTGAGCGGGAGCGGGAGCGAGAGCGAGAGCAGGGGCTGCAACCCCCACAGCCCAGAATTGGGTGTAGATGAGGGCTGCGAGGATCCAGATGTTCCAGTTGGAGATGGACATCGTTGTTGGGGGTTGAGGGTTGAATTGGAGATTGAGGTTCGGAATATGCAGGGTGTAGAGGGGAACTGCGCTTCAGTTTGCAGTTTTCAAGGAGGTATGTGGTGAGGAGGCAAGGGAAGGAAGAAGAGTAATGAGAATCGGGATTAGGTAGAGGGTCAGAATTAGAAAGGAGAAGAGGTTAAAGTTGAAGAAGATAAAGATGATAGATAAAGACCAAGAATAAGATGCGAAGCAGCAGATGAAGACCTTACCATACCCACCCAGGACGATGTCTCACCCAGATGATCCCAAATAAAACCCACTCACCCTCTACCCAATAAACATGATATCTAACTCAACCCCACCTCAAATTCAAAGCAACAGAATCAAACGTGAATAGTCTCATATTTTTCTCCATCTCTTTCTCTCTCCAGCTTCACGCCCACCAATCACCTCCCCATTACTTCACCGTCACATCCAAGTCCGAACCACACTACACACTACACACTACACACTACACTACCCTACCCAGTCCAGCCCTATGACCAGTACTGAAAGGAGGTAGTAAGTAACATAGCCCAACCCTCAATAACAATCGGCAGTTCCCCCCCCCCCCCCCCAGCCTAGGTAATCTCCACGTGTTTGATATACTCCAGCCCATAGGTATACCAAAAATAGCAAGGGTGATTGATTTTTATGTACGGAGTACTCCGTATTCTGTACTTTCTTATTACTCTACCCCACCAAGGGGAGAAAAAAAAGCAAGTGGAAAAAAAAAAAAAAAGCAAATTGGGTGGAAATGAGATCAGTACGGTAGACAGAGACATAATCATCATCCACTTACCACAGGTATCGAGATACCCAGGTAGGTAGGTAGGTAGGTAGGTATCTGATTGAGATTACTATCTCAATAGGGCTGGGAGGTTGTGGCCCCTCCACTTTCTGTTGTAACTGTGTGATTTTGGATGGTTTTCTGTAGTTAGAGATATGATATGATATGATATGATATTTACCCTGTATCCGTCCGTACCTTGGATGGATACCTAGAGGGGAAGTTGGATGTAGGCAGGACATAGATAGGTAGCCTTGGCAAATTACTTTGGGGCTTGGTGGTGGTACAAGTTCTTCCTATCTAAGTATACACTAGGTCTGGAGCAAATGTACTAATACTAGTTCTAGTCTAATTCGGATAGGAAGTCTGCCTTTCTGTTACACACACACACATACAGTCAGGAAAACTGCTGTAAATATGCAGTCAGAAAAAAATAATATTGCTCTGCAGTGACACCCTCTCTATCCAGTAGTTTTGGCTGTTCCCTCTGCTGTAGCTGCAGCTGCAGCTGCAAAGTCATGACCTGCATATCCCGCATATCACATATCACATATCATATATCACACAGCATCCATCACAGGCCAGCCGGAAATAATTCACAAACAAACAAAGCAGCAAACAGAGCAGCCGCGAAACCCCCGTCTGTCTATGTAGCAAGTTCTATGTACTGTAAGTATGCAGGTGGAAATCTAATCCTTCCCTTTCTGCGGTATCCCGTTGAAAATCATTTCTTCATACATGTATGGTTGGGTGGTTGGGTGGTTTGATCTCGATCTCGATCTCAATTCGATGTTGGTCTAGCCCAGCTAGACCTTGTCAGTTTCGTTGCGGACGCGAACGCGCTCGGCCTCCGTGTCCAGGTCCTCGATGTGCGTCGAGCCGCGTTTGTGCACCGAGTGTTTCACGGCATCGCGGCGGTCGTTCTCGTCGACAGCGCCGAACAGAGCATCCATGTCTTCCAGGCTGCGACCCTTGGTCTCTTTGGCAAAAAAGATGACGAAAATACTCATCGCGGCACAGAAGATTCCGAACATGAGGAACACGCGCCAGCCGATTTTGTTGACGGCCTTGGGGGTGATTTCTGTGACGAGAAAACTCCACAGCCACTGCGAGGTGGCGGCGAGGCCGACGCCGTATGCACGTAGCCGCGTGGGGAAGATCTGTTGTGGACGTCAGCTTGGGCAAGTGTGGACCAAAAGGGAGACTCTTACCTCGCTCACGTACACCCATGGGGTCGGCCCCCAGGATGCAGAGTAGCCGATCACGTAAAGATAGATCATGACGACCATGGCGATGGAGGCCTGCGAGACGCCCCCGGAGCTAGTGTCGGGGGGGTTGGTGGCCAAGACCGCACCAATGATGAACATCATGCTGGCCATCCAGAGGGCGCCCCCGATCAGACTGAGCTTGCGCCCCCAGCGGTCGATACCCACAAACAGGAAGATGGCCGTCGCGACGACCTTGACGGTTCCGTATACACCCGTGGCAAACAGAGACGAGTTGGTGGCACTAAGGCCGATGGTTTCGAAGATCTCAGGTGCGTAGTACCCAATCGAATTCGTGCCGGACCATTGCTGCCAAAACATGAGAACGAAGGCGAAGCCAAAGCGTTTGAGGTTGCTTGGTTGTGTGAGCTCCTTGAATGTCAGCCCTTCAGTGGCCGCGGCATCCTCTTCGCTGGCAGCTCGGATTTCAGCTATCTCTGTCTGAATCGCTTCGCTGTCTTCGGGCTCGTTTCGGATGTATGCCAGGGACTGAAGCGCCTCTTCGTGGCGGCCCTTGCCGGTTAGCCAACGGGGAGACTCTTTCAGGAAGAACAGTCCAATGAGCATGAGTCCGCCAGGGATCAGCTGGATGGCGACAGGAATACGCCATTGCTTTGTGCTCGTGGGGATGTGTAGGGAGACGCCGTAGTCAAGCCAGTAGGCAAAGGTGCTTCCAATAACCAGGAACTCCTGGAACATGCCGGCAACCCGACCACGGATATTGGCGGGGCAGTTTTCGCTCACAAAGACGGGTGTGATACTGGACATCCCTCCAATGCCTAGGCCGGCGATGACACGTCCGCCGTAAATCTGCCCAATGTGATGCTGGGAGGCAACTTGGATGGCCGCTCCCACAAGAAAGATGGCGCAGAAGATCATAAGAGAGTAGCGTCGTCCAATGCGCTCGTTGAGGGGAGCAGCGAAGATGGCGCCGAAGAAGCAGCCCGCGGTAAGCAGAGATACGACATTGGACGATATGTCGGCGTTCTTGGACGATGCAAACCCGGAAGAGCCAGTCGGGAGTCCGAAATCTTCCTTGAAGCTGGTCAGTGAAAGGACACTGCCCATCACACCCGTGTCATATCCTGTCGGACATCATAAATTAGCTCCCAGAACCTATTCTGACCTAAAAGAAAGCATACCGAAGAGCAGGGAGCCTGAATAGGCCACCGCCGTGAGGATGTAAACACGGTAGTTTTTGAAGAGACCCATGGTGGGAGAAGTGTCCAGGAACTGTTAGGCACTAGGGGATAGGTCCTAGCAGCACAGGGCATTCCTAGAGCATTGGACCAAGAGAAGCCCACCCCCGGAGTTCCTGGTGATATTTATCATGATCGCTCCCATCTCCACTCGAGAGGGTGATCCATATACGAGAGACCATCCAGCTGAGCCAAGCAAACATGCGATAGGCCATGGGGGAAGAACCCCGGGTATTGGCGAGGACGATATCCGCACACCCGCAGGACCGACCCCAACTCTCCCCGCACGTTGTTCTTGATCGAGCAATTCCGGGGGATGGGAATGAGTTGGAGACCCGCGGTGGATACATCCGGAGAAATTGTGCGGAGGTGATGGGTGGGTTTTTCCGTCCACTGAAGAGCGCTGCAACACCACGCTAGGGACCGGCCCTCCTGCTACTGGCAGCTCGGGGTAGCAATGGTGGTCATGGCAGTAATATCCTCCGACTATCATGCCATGGGGGCAAGCAGTCATTGCTGCATAGCGGGCGGTCCATTATTGATCCACCGTGACGATATTGCCGCCGCTCCATCCATCATACCAGAGAGGGGTAAGAGGATGAATGGTCCTTGGCTGAAGTATCCAAGCCAACTGACGCAGTGTCGGTGAGTAGGTGCATGGACTGTCTTATCCTTGCTTTCTAATTGGGTTCACTCCCTGCTAATCGTGGACATACAACCCGAAATATGCATCCGGGGCAACGAGCGACGGAATCCATTACCCGGCTCCGTCACTGTCAATAGATGACTAGTCTTAAAGAACGCTGCGGTAAAGACTTTCCTTGCATGATAGCACGGAGCGAAGACCATAGCTAGGTAGCTATCGGCTAGGACAGTCACCAAGTGGCACGCCGGTGGTCATTATCTCGATGATCGAGGTGAGCAATACCCACCTTTAATGAGTGTTTGATTCACCCAAGCACCACCCACGTCACCGATGCCATCCTGTCATTGAAGGGAGTCCGACGCTTTCCGGAAATGATTTCGAATCCATGTTGCTAAGCGCCTATACATCGGGTGGCTTCCCTTAGAGCGCCATGTAGCAGGCTACCGTCGGCTCATCCGTCCGAATCTTCGGCATTTCTCTTTGCAATGGAGGCATGGGTTCATCATTATTCCGTCGGAATACGCGTAGCCCAGAGAGCGGCTCAGCGGATCAATCAGCACGAGACGTGGAGTTGTTGAGACGCGTCCCCATCCCGAGATGCTGTGGCTTATGCAGGCGTTCAGCCCGTTTCTGCCGTCTTGGGCCTTCGGCATCGATGTTCAGCTGTATGAACACAATAGTAATTGTGGAAGAATTGTGATCGATTTATTTCCCTTCCTCGGGGATTCTCTGGACACATTCTCATGTTGAACAGCAGTTCGCGAGCTGGCTAAAGTTCTGACTGAGTATTTGCTATGCATGTACCCGAAGCGGTTGTGATTGTATCATTTGCCAGGTTCCTCGTTTCGAGGCGCCCTACATATATATGTTAGTGGGAAGCGTGAATTGCAGATGAACTCAAACTAATGGCACACCGCTCTTCCAGTGCATGACCAAGCATTTACAGGTTTTCTTCAGGACCCCAGAGGATGACTCCCAAGTCGTTGACTTCTAGACTCGAGTGGTCCGAAGGACGGCCTTATAGTGAATCATTTCGGCCTCCCAGTTGGGTTCTCTGCCTCGCCGTACTTAAGTTACTGGCTGTCATTACATAAGCCAGTCGCCCGTGACCCTGAGCTGCCGCAGCCAATCAGGTCGCTGCCCCGGTGCCCCTGAACCGGATTGACCCGCGTCGGCATGTGGGTGGATCATTGGCTGAAATGATCTGCTCGATATTTGCGAGTTCATCTTCAGCCAGGTACGGGTGATCTTCACTTTGAGACCTTGGTCAGTTGGTAGGGAGAAGCGCTATGATGTCGCTTTAGCCTCGCCAGAGAAGAATGCAGCCGGTGATCCCCATGGTGGGTCAGTCGAGCGATTCATTGAAGAATGACTATGGGGGCATGTGCCCTATCCGGGCTCATGACTGGCTGTCAGGGTGCGGCATCATTTGGACATGCTCCCTAGCCCCCTCGCTTCCTCGCTTCCTCGCAGAATCTTGTTCTCGGATATCAGTCGGATCTGATATGAGAGTCGATACCAAATCATGATGACTCGAAGCTTCTTTCTCCTTGTGTCCCCTGTATCCCTTAAGGAGGCATACCGACAACGGCCGGTATGCCGTTGTGTAACAAGCACTGTCGCCGGACCCTGTGCTCCCTATCTAGGATCAATAATGTGGACTCAAAGCTCGAATTGCGGTTCCGCATGTGATGGGACACACGGATCCCCTTTTAGGGATCCAGCTGCAGACCATGGATGTGCATATCCAAGATGCATCCATCCCTACTTTTCTCGTCCACCACTCGCCGGCCATCGGGACCAGAGAGCCCTTCACACCACCGGTGATCACAGCATGTGCTGGCTGCGCATGCGTTCAGTGGACTAACTATTTACCACTAGAGGCGATTCACTCTTTCGCCTGTCCATTCATTATCGCAGACTTAATCTGGATCCCCGCTCGAGCTGGATCTTGTTCTCGTTTTTGGAAATCTGTAACTTGAGCTTGATGGCAACGGGAAAACGTCATTGTATGCTGCTATTTGTCGCATCCACTCTCTCGTGGAATAAATATCCTTAGATCTCCACTGGAGAGTAGACCTGACTGCTTTCTACTGTTCGACTTTCATTGCACGGTCGTTCGCCATGGGGCGTTGGTATACCATGTTGGTCTTAAGTTTGCTCGAGCCAGCCGTCCGTGCTGCAAACTTGACCTCGCACGTAAATTTATTGTGAGTCGCGAGTCGAGGACCCATGTTTTTATTCGACCCTCTCGTTGAACCAGGAACTGCCGCGAATCTAACCATGCTCTAAAGCCTGGGAACGCAAAGTGGTGGGAATGACTTCCCCGGGGTTGCTCGTCCCTTCGGGATTGTCAAGCTTGGACCCGATCTCTATGTCTCCGGGACAGATTCCTATTCGGGGTACTTGTCCAATGGCAATTTCTCGGGGTTCAGTATGATGCATGAACAGGGCACTGGCGGAGCCCCGAAGTACGGGACAGTTTCCCAGCTGCCTCTAGTCGGAGATGTCAGTAACCCGCTCTCTAACATAACCATCGGCCGGTCAGGCGCAGATGAGGCTTCTGTGGGATATTACAAAGCGAAGACAAGTGAAGGAACGCTTGTGGAGCTGAGTGCATCTGCCCATGCCGGAATTTATCAATATACCTTCCCCAAGGACACAACGGGCAATATCCTGGTCGACGTCTCACACGTCCTACCCTCCTATAGAGGGCAAGGCCTCAGTCAACATTACAAAGGTGGTAACATCACCATTTTCCACGACGGGCACTATGAGGGCCATGGCGTGTATGACAACGGTTGGAACCGTTCGCCCGATTGGTCGATTTATTTCTGTAAGCCTTTGCACCCTTTCGAGAAGCTTGATGACAAGACTGATTAGTTTGTCAGGTGGTCACTTCGATGAAGCTCCCATCAGCAATAAAACATATTCCGGAACCGATGCGAAGGGCAGCGTCCAGCAGAGCAGTGGTCATGCATCTTCTTCATCGGGCTCAACGCGAGTTGGAGCTGTGTTTACCTTCAAGGACACCACAGTAATCTCTCGCGTCGGAATCTCGTGGCTGTCCACGGAGAAAGCCTGCCAAAATGTCGAGAACGAGATACCGGAAGACACAAAGTTTCAGTCAGTTGTGGCAGATGCTCAGTCCGAGTGGGACTCCGAAGTCTTGTCGAAGGTCACCACCAGTAACACGAACGAGACGACTCTCGAACTGCTCTATACTTCTCTCTACTTCATGCATCTGATCCCCACAAATCAAACCGGGGAGAACCCAAGTTGGACATCTTCGGAGCCATACTACCAGGACATCTTTACTTACTGGGTGAGTAGCCTCCCTGAATGAAGAGCTCACGTCACTCATTGTTTGCAGGATCTCTTCCGCTGCTCTACTGCCCTCATGCAAGTTCTGCAGCCTGTCGCTTATGAAGAGCAGATTCGCTCTCTCATCGACATTTGGCGATTCGAGGGCTACATGCCCGATGCGCGATCTTCCAATTACAACGGACGCACTCAGGGTGGTTCGAATGCAGACAATATCCTGGCAGATGCATATGTGAAAGGCGTGCGTGGTGCCGTGAACTGGGAGGATGGCTACAAAGCCATGCTCAAAGATGCAGAGGTGACACCGCCCAATTATCCAGTCGACCCGATGGCCCCCGACTCTTCGACGAAAGAAGGAAGAGGGGCACTGCCAGACTGGTTGAGCTTGGGCTACATCACACCTCGATTCAGCCGAGCTGTCACGCGAGCGGTGGAATATTCATGCAATGACTTTGGGCTGTATCAGGTGGCATCGGGACTCAAGAAAGAAGACGACGCAACAAAGTACCTGAATCGTTCAAGGAACTGGCGAAACCATTGGAACGCCAACCAGACCTCTCTAGGGTTCTCCGGCTTTGTCGTTCCTCGCAACGAGTCGGGCTTCATTGAGACCGACCCCCTGAACGACAGCGGTTACTGGGGGGACCCTTATTACGAAGCCAGCTCATGGGCCTATTCGTGGGCGAGCATTCACGACATGAAAAAGATCATCGAGGCGATGGGCGGAGACGAGACCGTTCTTGACCGGCTCAACACGATGTTCACCGAGGGAGCCAGCGGGTCCAGTGGAATCATCTTTGATCCGACCAACGAGCCGTACGTGTGACCTAGACTTCCCTTTCACCGAAATTAGACATTCCAAGAAAGTTCGGCTAACCAGGTGTGATTTAGCATGTTCAACATCCCGTACCTGTATCACTACATCAACCGTCAAGACCTGTCGGTCTCGCAATCGCGCAACATTGCCAAATCGTATTACGGCGTGGGAGTATCCGGTCTGCCCGGAAATAGCGACGCCGGAGCAATGCAGACATGGCTCCTATGGAACATGATCGGTCTGTACCCGGTCACGGGACAAACGACGTTTCTAATTCACTCTCCCTGGTTTGACTCTCTTACCATCGACCTCGGGGACGGTAAGCACTTGAATGTCACCTCCAAAGGCGGCGACGGAAACGGAGGAGGAGACATCTATGTGCAGAGCCTTCGAGTGAATGGCAAAGACTGGAAGAAGAACTGGCTCACATGGGACGACATCTTCGTCCGAGGAGGGACGCTGGAGTTCGAGCTAGGAGAGAGTGCGAGTGGCTGGTTCACTGGAGAGGTACCACCTAGTCCAGCCTCGTAGATTATATCCGCCCTTGAGCGTATGCTTCTTTTTCAAATGTACATCGTTAGCGCTGTTAATATCCCACAGTGGAAATACTCTCACCCCGGCTCGATTCACTAGCACTCCTTACCTCCGTACGAATAAGTTCGACAGGGAGAGAGTTTCCGTCAGCCCGACAGACACCACCGTAGCTGAAAGGTGGATATGAGGACGAGCTGACTAGTATACCAACAGCGAGCACCAGAGACAGCGCACGGTATATTCGTAGGATGGATGGCATTTGCTGCATCCAGACAAGAGGAACAGCTAAAGACGACTAGAAGCCGAAAGAGAATGTCATCGACGATAGCATCAACTTAATATCGAAGATCCCGATGATCATCATTTCAACGCCGCTGGTCCCTCCGGGGGACGGCGGAAGAAGCGAGAGGCTTTCGTGCTTCAGAGAGTGGATGAGTGTTGACGGACAGTACCAGGGTCCCCGCTAGTCCCCATCCGGGCAGAGCAAACGGTAACTGATACCCGATTATACAGTATCCATACAATAGTCGTTTCTACCGGTACCTCCTCCTTACGCCGCCCCGCCACTAACACGGAAGTATCCGGCGTATGGTTCCTTGTCACTGCCGTGTATTCCGTATTGCTCAGGTCAGGACCCTGCCGTAAAAGCAGTGATCGTCCACTTTGATCTCCACAGTATTCCGTACCTGGTAGCAGTTAGACGACTCGACACTGAGCCTGTTGATCACGGCAAAGAGTTGAATGATCCATCCATCGATTGTTTCCCCCGTCGGGTGGCAAAGGGTCGGTTAGGTTTAAACGTGGTGGTGGTGGGTAAGGCAGGAACGGAACTATAGGAACTGCCGTATCTTCTACTTCCGGGGAAGAAAAACAAGCTCCTGATCCCCTGAATATGGACGACATCGGATTACTTGCCTACTCTACCCATCCACGAGAATCCTTCTTTCATGCAATCCTTTCACACTGCATCTGCAAGCCACCTGAATTTCAAAGATGTTCTGTGCAGATACTGCTTTTGAGTCTCTTGGGGTACCTACCTACCTACTTACCTACGATCGTCATCCCACCCCACCCTTGCTGCCATGCGCATATACAAGACGAGCGAATCCGCCCACCCAGCACGTCTCTCTCTCGCGTGAATCGGCAATCCTTGCAAATGAAATCCGTTTCCGATGTCCATGCAGCGGAAGACGAACTCAAATCTCGATAGAATCGACCCGCTAGCAAAGTTTATCGCGCGCGGCATCTGTGGCGGACATACAGGACTCGGTTCGGTGGTGCGGCTTTGAGGAGAAAGCTGCAATTGCCGGGTGGGGACCGCGGAGAACTCAGCTCGTAGTGCGCTCAAGTCATTTTACAAAGTGGGCAATTCCTGAGTGGCTCACAGAGAGGTTGCGGGTGCCGCAAAGGCAGAGACGTCGAGCTTAATGCAGCTGTATCCCATGGATTCCACATTTCCAGCCCCTCTTCATTTGATGCTATGTGCGGCGCTTTGGGGGATAGCGTAGGGACCAATACTTGGGGAACTACTATTTCCGGTTGGGATGCGTTGCTGCGGGTTTTGTGTACGGAGTGCTGTGTGCATACTAATCGGAAACGCCCCTGACATCGAAGACGCATCGTTGGACGGTTGGCCTGCCACCACTGCCTTGCATCATGCATGCATGGCCGTTATGATCGAAGGAAGATAGGCTTTGAGGTAGCATGTGTGTATCGTCGTCGCTGCATAGGCGCAGACGCAGATAACGAATCAACGATGGCTGGCAGGCTAGCAGCTTCAGCCACAAACGGAGGGCTTGTTGACTTGAACGGCTCTTCTGGTGGCGATGTCCTTCTAGAGCCTAGATGGGTGACGATCGCCAGGGACTTGTCCTAAAATCCTGTGGTCTTCCAAGCCAAAGCATCGAATCCCCACAGTATCCGCCATGTCGAGCTCGTGTCTGGTGGTCCCGTAGTCTGAACACATGTCAATAGTGATTGTATACTAAGGGTCATAGTAGGTTAGGTCCCGTTGATCCGAAATATGCAGCCAAGGAGCTCTGCGTGGTGAGATGAGCATGCAGATCACAATGGCAGTGGCGGTAAATGCCCCGGTGGCTTTTTGATCCCTCGACGCCAATCAGCGGATCAACGTGGCTACCGATTAAGAGACCAAGGTTCGCGATTATGTGCTTAGAAACCTTGCCGTTGATGTTCATCTGCGTCAGCCTGCGACTTGACAGCTTCAAGGGACTGCATAGCACTATCGTGACCCTGCGTGGTACTGCCATGCGTGTAGCAGGGGGAATCTGTTTGCCTGTGGGATAGTCTAATCGATGAAGATCATATCGTCATTCGCAGAGGTGTACCTGATGATCACGAAAGGCATTCGAAATTAGCCTATCCTGAAGGGGCAGTTGGTCTTTGATCTCCGAGCTGTAGCCTGTATCCACAATTGAGCAGTGACTGACTCCATTCAGGATACACCTTTACTCTCCTGAGCAGGAACATCACAGACTTCGACCCGCTAGCTAGTAGCTATGCTGCTCAGCCGCAAGAGCCTGAAAAGAATGGGGGAAAGCGATGATCCTCTGAGAAACAATGGTATATAAGAGTCGACTTCTTTCGCCTCCAACTCTTCTCTTTTTCATCCAGCAGCGCATCATCCATTCCTTCTCACGCTTCCACGCCAGTCATTCTTTACCAATACCTACCTTATTATAATCTTAATACCCTCACTCCAACCTTTTCTTCACGAAACACCATCAAAATGAAGGCCTCCTTTATCACTGCCCTTGCTCTGGCCACCTCGGCCATCGCCGCCCCCGCTGGCATCCTCTCGAGCCTCACTGGAGTCACCAAGAGTGTGTCTTCTGGCTCCGTCACCTCCAGCAGCGAGGCTTCCAGCCCCGTTGCCAGCCCCGCCGCCAGCGGTCACGTCGTCCAGGATGCTGGTGACAGCGTCGACCAGGTCCTGACTGTCACCGGACCTGACGCGAAGCAGCTTCTCATCCAGCTGAGCCCCAATGTTGCCAGCCTCCTCGCCAGCCTTGGTCTGCCCGGCGTTGGAACCTCAGTCGGTTCCGTCATCGCCTCTGCCTCGTCCGTTGGCGATCTCGTCAAGGATCTTGGTCCCTCCGTTGACGGTCTTCTCACCGTTGTCGGCCAGGACGGCGGCGCTCTTCTGATCCAGCTTGACCCCGATGTCACCGGTCTCGTCTCCGGACTTGGCCTCCCCGGTGTTGGTGTCCCCGTGGGCTCTGTGCTCGCCACCGTTGGCTCCAACCTGAAGCGTTCCGCCGACGGCGAGATTGTTCAGGATATTGCCCCTCAGGTCAAGAACATCCTCGAAGTCACCGGCCCTGACGCCAAAACTCTCCTCGTCGAGCTTAGCCCCTCTGTCGCCTCGCTCGTTGCCAATCTCGGTCTTCCCGGTGTCGGTACCTCCGTCGGAGAGGTCATCAAGACCGCCGGCAACCTTGGCGACCTCCTCCAGGACCTGTCCACCCCCGTGGAGGAGCTCCTGACTGTTGTAGGCCAGGACGGCTCTTACCTCCTCATCCAGCTGTCTCCCAACGTTGCCAGCCTCGTGGCCAGTGTCGGTCTCCCCGGTGTCGGTACCTCCGTGGGCACTGTTGTCAACACTGTCGGTGAGAACCTGTAAATTGTGAGTTCTCCTCCTGTTGTTAGTTTCCGGCTATGGGATCCACGATGCTAACCGACTGCGGGACTCAGGGTCTCTAGTGTCAGTCACAGTGTCTGCACTCTACAGCGATGTCCCTCAGACCGGGTCCGGATGGCCTCTGGTCTGAGATGATGCCGGCCTGGTTGGCGAGCCGGCCATGAAGAGCCACGAGAACCCCCCATGTATATTTATTCTATTTGTCCTGTACTCTCAAGCAGTGTTGCACAGTTGCAATTGATGGGGAAAAACCCCACGGTATAGATTTAATCTTGAATCCACGAGTTGATTAAAATGGTTGTTTCTGGTTGTTGGGTTGGGTTCCCAAGCCACGTGGTTTTGTTCGCACGAAACCGTAGCAGGTGTGCCTAAAATAGTAGAATGAGGAGACAGACGAAGTGCCATGGAAGTGAAACGCCCGGTGTCGGCGGGCGGACATTGGCAGAACTACGGGGCGCGAGACCGACCCAAGACGACGCCGTCCCGGGCGGACACACAAGGGGATTCTTTCTGGATGATTAGCAGGGAGGGAAAGTCTCCCGCGCTTTCCCGCGGATCAGATGAGATGCGATGAGCGATCTTCGGCCCGGCAAGGCAACACCCCAACAACCACACGGATGCTGAGATTAAAATCTATGCAAACTGGATTGTCCATATTAACATCACGAACATCTGCCTGGCAACTGGGGCGCTGAGATTGAGCGCAATATTACTGATTATGTGTGTTTAGCCGCGCCAATCCCCCATCCCCTGATCAGTGCTATGGGCCCTGGAGCAGTCCCGCCTTCGACATCGGGCGTTTCAGATTGAAGGTCCACCCTCCTGTTGGGAACCTGGCATAGGGAAACAGCCCAGGGATTCTTTCGGCACTTTCATGCTAAGACTGCTTAGCGTTTTGCCTATGCAAATTGACTAATAATGGAGAGTTGAGCGAGCTCGTTAATATTGTCACTGATTACCACCTGCTTACTAGCCAGATGCAAGTCTGCTCGCCCTGTCTGATATATGCCAGTCATCACAGACCCTTTACCCGTTCCTACCCGGTGGCCCGATCAGGAGTGCACGGTAGGCCTCCGCCAATCTACCTGAGTCAATCGCCGGCCGTCGAGCTCCATTGAAATGATCAAAGGCAAACGGTCTAGGCATGGAGCAGCCACCAACCGGGCGATAGCGCATCGATCCCGCGGGTGTGATGTTTTGGATTGTGCCGCTATCTCCCCATCGAGGCAAATTGCCTGGATGGCTCCCACAGTCGAGGCAATAGTAGCGTCTCCTCCATGTTCCTCCTGTCTCTGCCAGCGGATGGGCTAGAGAGGGATCACCGGGAAAAGATTCTAGGAATGGTTTGGGTGACAGCGGCCGATGGCGTACCGTTGGAAGTGCTTTAAAGTATAAAGAGGTACTGTGGACGCCCCTCCCCCGGTGGAATCGCCCATCCATGTTCATTCTTTAAGTGTGCTTAGTCTCACTACTCACTTTCTGTCGTTTTTTTTCTTTCTTAATTCTCACATTCCTTTCAGGCTCGACCGAGCACAATGGTCGCTAAACTCTCGTTCCTCTCTTTTCTAGGCCTGGCGCCTCTCTTTGCTGCTGCGCAGCTTTCCGGTTCCGTGGGACCCCTCACGTCGGCTGCGACCAAGGCTGCTACCAAGACCTGTAACGTTCTCGATTATGGCGCTGTGGCCGACAAGTCGACCGATCTGGGTGCTCCCCTGGCATCTGCCTTTGCTGAGTGCAAGTCGGGTGGTCTGGTCTACGTCCCCGAAGGCGACTATGCCATCTCCACCTGGGCGCGGTTGAGTGGTGGTGAGGCCTGGGCTCTGCAGATTGATGGTATCATTTACCGTGACAGCGACACTGGCGGAAACATGATCTATATCGAACACTCCACCGACTTCGAACTGTTCAGCAGCACTTCGGCTGGTGCTTTCCAGGGTCTGGGCTATGAGCTCCACGCCGAAGACAACTGGGAAGGTCCTCGTCTGCTGCGTCTGTATGAAGTCACGGACTTCTCTATTCACGATTTCATTCTGGTCGACTCTCCCTCTTTCCACCTTTCGCTCGACACCTGCGCCAACGGCGAGGTCTACAACATGGCTATCCGCGGTGGTGACCACGGTGGTCTGGATGGTATTGATGTCTGGAGTACCAACATCTGGGTTCACGATGTGAGCATTGAATCAGAAATTCCAGTGGTTGTCAGATCGCTCACATGTTCAATAGGTCGAAGTGACGAACAAGGACGAGTGTGTTACCGTCAAGGTATGTTCTTCGTGATACGTGCTCCTGGTCATGGAGAAGGCAAGCTAATTGGGATTTACAGAGCCCTGCGAAGAACATCCTGGTTGAGAGCATCTACTGCAACTGGAGCGGTGGCTGTGGTATGGGCTCCTTCGGATCCGACACCAACGTCAGCGATATCGTTTACCGGGACATCTACACCTGGAGCTCCAACAACATGATGCTGATCAAGAGCAACGGAGGAAGTGGCTTCGTCGAGAACGTTCTCCTCGAGAACTTCATCGGTAAGCCAAGGCGTCCATTGGTGTAGGGGTCAATGACCGGAGGCTAATCTTTGTCTGCAACCAGGCCATGGCAACGCTTACTCCCTGGACATCGACAGCTACTGGTCCAGTATGAGCGCTGTGGAGGGAGATGGTGTTCAGCTGAGCAACATCACCATCAAGAACTGGAAGGGAACTGAAGCCGACGGTGCGGAGCGTGGCCCCGTCAAGGTGCTCTGTGCCGACGGTGCCCCTTGCTACGACATCACCATTGAGGACTTTGCCATGTGGACCGAGGAGGGTGACACTCAGTGGTACTCTTGCGAGAGTGCCTACGGTACCGGATTCTGCCTGGAGGACAGCTCCAACACTGTGTCCTATGCCGTCACCACCACGACTGTCAGCAGCGCCCCCTCCGGCTACTCTGCCGCCAGCATGGCCGATGATCTGACTGCGGCCTTCGGCTCCACCGTCTCCATCCCCATCCCGACCATCCCCACCTCTTTCTACCCCGGTGCCACTCCCTACAGCGCTCTGATGGCCGACAGCGCTTCCTCTTCCACCTCTGCCAAGGCCCACCCTGCCGTTGGCACCAGCAGCTCCGTCGCCACTGCTAGCGCCAGCGTTTACGTTGCCGCCGCGAGCGCCCCGGCCGTGACTTCGGCCGTTGCCCCCGTTGCCCCCGTTGCCGTGTCTAGCGCTGCTGAGAGCGCCCCCAGCGCCGCTGGCCAGGCCCAGAAGGGTCAGCAGGGCCAGCAGGGTCAGAAGGGCCAGCAGGGTTTCAGCAGCGGTGCCCACACCCCGGAGCCTCCTTTCGGTTCCGAGGAGGAGGACTGCCAGGAGTAAGGGACGGGCGTCACCCCAGCCCTGCCGGTAACCGTGCTCCTCGGTAGTACCGGAACGACGGCGGTAATTTGTTTGCGTGGAGGTTGTATTATATAGGCGATGTACATAGCTTTAGCTCAGTTATAATGGTAGCTGCTGTGCCAGCATTGTGGGACATCAACATTGGCTGTAAATGGGTTTCATTCACCGAGTCCCGGGCCCCTGCATTGAGAGCCCCGTCTATTCCTGGGATTCCTTTTGATGGCAGCGCCGGATTAGGATTTTGTTAGCTGGCGGGTACCTGTTCCGGAACCGGAAAGTGGCTCTGATCAACGTTCAACCCGCTGCAGAACCAAGTCAACTTCTCCGACTCTCATCCTCACAATTAATTCATTCATCGATCAATCAATCAATCAATCAATCAATCAACCAGGGGGGCGAAGAACAAACTACTTGACAGGGATTAGTGAATGGGTTGGGATTCAACCAACAAGGGGGGGGGGGGCTGGGGGAGGACAAGCGGCGGGCGGGGGTGATGTCACGTCGAGAAGCCGGTTAAGCTGGAGCTTGGGCCTCGACCCTCCCCCGCATGGCCCTCAACCATCCTCTCCTCTCCTCCTCTCCTCCTCCTTGGGGTCTCCCAGTCTCCCAGTCTCCCAGTCTCCCCCCTCCCCTTCTCTTCCCCCCTTCATTCCCATTTCCCTTCCTTCGACCCATCCATTCGTTCCCCGTTTCAATTCCTCCGCTCCACATTCCAGAGCTTAATCGCCCAACACTGCTGATTCGCCCCCCATGGCGTCTACTGAAACCCAGACTGACATCCCAGATGGCACAGGTGAGTGGCATGGCTTGCGACAAGCTCAATGACGGGCCGGAACTGAGCTTCAGTAGGAGTGATCAAGCTGGACCCGTGGCTCGAGCCTTTCCGAGACGCTCTGCAGCGCCGCTTCAAATTCGTGGACAGCTGGGTCAAGACCATCAATGAAACGGAAGGTGGCCTAGATAAGTTCAGCAGGGTAGGTCGTGTGTTTCCCGCGTTGGTTGTTTGATCTGGCGCGACCGATTCTCAACGCCTGATAACTGACCGGACGTCTTCTAGGGCTATGAGACATACGGCATCAATGTCAATGAGAATGGAGACATCACCTACCGGGAATGGGCTCCCAATGCGGTTCAGGCCGAGCTAGTTGGGGATTTTAGTACGTCCAGCGGCGCGGAGGAAATCAGCTGGTGAGAGAGCTTTACTGAGACTGGCAGACAATTGGGATGTCACGGCCCATCCCATGACGAAGAACAGCTTCGGCATCTGGGAGATTACGGTGCCAGCAAAAGACGGCGTCCCGGCCATTCCCCACGACAGCAAAATTAAGGTGAGTTGTTCGAAAGGCCCTCGATGGCAGAAGCTGGAGTTTTCTCACATCGTTATTCTTGCAGATCACCATGGTGACGCCCAGCGGCGAGCGGATCTACCGACTTCCTGCCTGGATCAAACGCGTCGTACAGGACCTCAGTGTGTCTCCAACGTACGAGTCGGTGTTCTGGAACCCACCAGCGGCGGAGCAATATCAATTCCAGTCGCCTCGTCCGAAAAAGCCCAAGAGTCTTCGCATCTATGAAGCCCATGTGGGCATCTCGTCCCCAGAAACCAAGGTTGCGACATACAAGGAGTTCACAGCCAACATGCTGCCTCGCATAAAGGGTCTCGGGTACAATGCGATCCAGCTCATGGCGATCATGGAGCACGCCTACTACGCCAGCTTTGGCTATCAGGTTAACAGCTTCTTCGCGGCCAGCAGTCGCTACGGGACCCCGGAAGACTTGAAGGAGCTGGTGGATAAAGCACATAGCCTGGGGTTGGTGGTGCTCCTTGACGTAGTCCACAGTCACGCATCCAAGAATGTTCTGGATGGGCTGAATATGTTCGATGGTACCGACCATCTTTATTTCCATTCGGGAGGGAAGGGTCAGCATGACCTCTGGGATAGTCGCTTGTTCAACTACGGGAACCACGAGGTCCTGCGGTTCCTTCTGAGCAACCTCCGCTTCTGGATGGAGGAATACAAGTTCGACGGATTCCGTTTCGACGGTGTCACGAGCATTCTCTACACCCACCACGGGATAGGAACGTATGTGATCAGATTCCACCCCCTTCTGTCTTGCTTGCACTAACAAGAACATAGTGGCTTTTCCGGCGGGTATCACGAATACTTCGGACCTGCAGTGGACGATGAAGGTGTAATGTACCTGACACTCGCCAACGAGATGCTCCACAACCTGTATCCCGAATGCATTACTGTGGCGGAAGACGTGTCTGGGATGCCAGCACTGTGCTTGCCACACGTCCTTGGTGGTGTCGGGTTTGACTACCGACTAGCCATGGCGATTCCAGACATGTACATCAAACTCCTCAAGGAGAAGTCGGATGATGAGTGGGACATTGGAAACCTGTCTTTTACCCTTGTCAACAGACGCCACGGCGAGAAGACGATTGCCTACGCCGAGAGCCACGATCAAGCGTAAGCCCACCACGCCCATCGAACCCTAAACAGCAGCTAACCCCCCACAGACTCGTAGGCGACAAGACCCTCATGATGTGGCTCTGTGACAAGGAGATGTACACACACATGTCTGTATTGACAGAACTAACCCCCATCATCGAGCGAGGCATGTCCCTCCACAAACTGCTTCGCCTCGTCACCCACGCCCTCGGTGGAGAGGGATACCTCAACTTCGAAGGCAACGAGTTCGGACATCCGGAATGGCTCGACTTCCCTCGCCAGGGAAACAACAACTCCTTCTGGTATGCGCGCCGCCAGCTCAACCTCACGGAAGACGATCTTCTCCGGTACAAGTTCCTGAACGACTTCGACCGCGCCATGCAGCTGACCGAGGAGAAATACGGCTGGCTGCACGCACCCCAGGCATACATCAGCCTCAAGCACGAAGGCGACAAGGTCCTCGTCTTTGAGCGCGCCGGCCTCCTCTGGATCTTCAACTTCAGCCCCACCGCCAGCTTCACCGACTACCGCGTGGGCGTCGAACAAGCCGGTACGTACCGGATCGTCCTCGACACCGACGACAAGGAATTCGGGGGCTTTGGCCGTAATCAGAAAGAGACCCGCTTCTTCACAACGGACTTTGCGTGGAATGGTCGCAGCAATTACCTCCAGGTGTATCTTCCGACCAGAACTGCCTTGGTATGTTTACCCATTTATCCATCCACTAGCCCACCCAACAACCTCACATAGAGTTATACAACCAAAATGCTAATCCATCCCACACAGGTCCTGGCATTGGAAGACACCCTATAGGTCTATCTTCCCAACCCAATCCAACCCAATCTGATCAGTATACCTCAACGTTCACACGGACGGACGGACATCCAAATCGATTTTATTTCCTTTTCTATGGTACCCAGCCATATCACATCACTGCACTTGCCTTTCACACTAACCTTCTGTGAATATGTTGCACAGAAACACATCTGTCATGTTTCTTTCGTAGCGTCATATCTATCTATTTATCAATCCATCTATCTCTTCTTAGATACATCTATCTGTCTGTCCACCTATCTATCTATCCATCCCCCTCTCTCATCCGCTACATAGACAAATCAAGCCCTGGCTAGATACTATACCTCCCTATCTGGCCGTAACATCCCTCCCTACCTGTAAATATTACCATACAAAGGGTTCACAGGGCTGATTGATGATCACCTTGTTGGCTGGTTGGTTGGTAGCCTAATTGTCTGGTTATTTCTTTCTTTCTTTCTTTCTTTCTTTCTTTCTTTCTTTCTTTCTTTCTTTCTTTCTTTCTTTCTTTCTTTCTTTCTTTCTTTCTTTCTTTCTTTCTTTCTTTCTTTCTTTCTTTCTTTCTTTCTTTCTTTCTTTCTTTCTTTCTTTCTTTCTTTCTTTCTTTCAAAAAGTCACCTTCCTTGATGGAGATCGATTAGTCTTGTTTAGGACTATGTATAGTAGTATAGTAGTATATCTATAGTACGATTTCAGGGCTGTTTATGATATGATGAGGATAGTTATAGCATAGACGCTGACACTATCACTGGCACTTACACTTACACTAACGCTGACTGACACTGATACTGGCACTGACTGGCACTTACACTTACACTAACGCTGACTGACACTGATACTGACACTGACACTGATACTGACACTGATACTGACACTGACTGACACTGACACTGACACTGATACTGACACTAACACTAATGCCATTCTGCTGTACGGATGGATGTCTCTGTCTACTTAGTACCTTATCTACTACCTAGATCCAAAGCCAAAACCACAAACAGACCAAGATACTGTTACAGAAAAAAGAAGAGAGATCAAAAAAAAAGATAAAAAAAAGATAAAAACACTTAGTTATACATCATTCATGATATTATGTTTGTTTATATTTTTATTCAAAAAAAAAAAAAAAAAAAAAAAAGTCTACGACAGCATGGAGACATTCCTGTCCCCAGCTACAACTACAGTAACAGTAACAGTCTCCAGCTATAGCTTACACCTAAAATCAACACCTAAAATATACTACATCTACTACTATCACAACTACATCTACATCTACGTCTACAATACAAGGAAAAAGACAAAAGCCCCAAGCCAACAAAAGAAATGAGTACAATTGTCCCAGCCCAGCGGGTATCAGGCTGATTTGTGGTCATTTTAACTTACTTACATGAGCACGTAGTAGTAGTAGTGTAACACAAGCGCTGGAGTATTCCATCCAGGCCTTAAGAGAGGTGGAGGCTTTTTAAGTGCTCTCTCTTCCTTTTATATAGGAGGGACTTGGCCTTTCTTTCAAAACTCCCTTTTCTCAATTCGAGTACTGTACACGCATCGATGGAAAACGGAACACGGATGAAAGGATGTCCATGTCTAACAAAAAAGGAAAAGGGCGCTTAACAACAATATTACATTTAGGCGGACTTCTCGAGCTCGGCCAAGATCTTCTCACCCTTGGCACGGGCAGACTCCAAGTCACCAACCATGTAGAAAGCAGCTATAACAAAGAATTAGCACAGATTCGGAACAGAACATTGACAATAAACTTACCCTCAGGAAGGTCATCACCCTCGCCGTTGATGATAGCCTTGAAACTGCGGATGGTGTCCTTGAGGTCGACCAGCTTACCCTCGATACCAGTGAAGACCTGGGCGACGGTGAAGGGCTGGGACAGGAAACGCTGGAGCTTACGGGCACGCTCGACGGTGAGCTTGTCAGCCTCAGACAGTTCGTCCATACCCAGAATGGCGATGATGTCCTGGAGGGACTTGTACTCCTGGAGCATCTGCTGGACGCGGGTAGCGGTGTTGTAGTGCTCCTCACCGACAATACGGGCGTCGAGCATACGGGACTTGGAGTCGAGGGGGTCGACAGCGGGGTAGATACCCAGCTCGGAGATACCACGGGACAGGACAGTGGTGGCGTCCAAGTGAGCGAAGGTGGTGGCGGGGGCAGGATCAGTCAGATCGTCAGCGGGCACGTAGACGGCCTGGACGGAGGTGATGGAACCCTTGGTGGTGGTGGTAATACGCTCCTGCATACCACCCATGTCGACGGCCAGGGTGGGCTGGTAACCGACGGCAGAGGGAATACGACCCAGAAGGGCAGACACCTCAGAACCGGCCTGGGTGAAACGGAAAATGTTGTCAATGAAGAGCAGCACGTCCTGTCCCTCGTCGTCACGGAAGTACTCGGCGATGGTCAGACCAGTCAGGGCGACACGGGCACGGGCACCTGGGGGCTCGTTCATCTGACCGAACACGAGAGCGACCTTGGATTCACCCTCGAGCTGGATGACACCAGTCTCCTGCATTTCGTGGTACAGATCGTTACCCTCACGGGTACGCTCACCGACACCACAGAAGACGGAGTAACCACCGTGAGCCTTGGCGATGTTGTTCTAGAGGGGGGGACAGAAGATTAGCCATGGAGGGCGAACAGATGGTCGACAGCGATTCAACTTACGATCAGCTCCTGAATGAACACGGTCTTACCGACACCGGCACCACCGAAGAGACCAATCTTACCACCACGGGCGTAGGGGGCAAGGAGATCGACGACCTTGATACCAGTGACGAGAATCTCGGCGGTGGTGGACTGCTCGACGAACTCGGGAGCCTCAGCGTGAATGGGGCGGAACTTTTCGGCCTTAATGGGACCACGCTCGTCAATGGGGTCACCAGTGACGTTGATGATACGACCAAGAGTGCCAGGGCCGACGGGGATAGTGATGGGGGCACCGGTGTCACGGGCGGCAGCACCACGGGTCAGACCCTCGGTACCTAAGGAATGCGATGTTAGCCCAGAAGGGATAACGGGAGGTGAGGTTGGTGGTGAAAGACCACGTAGAAGTCGTAATGATCGTGGTGGTAGTGGTGGTGGTGAGAGGGAGGAAGGGGGCCAGCTTACCGTCCATGGCAATGGTACGGACGACATTCTCACCCAAGTGTTGCTATAAGAATCGAATGTTAGCTATCAATCAAACACAGCTTTGTTTGTTGTCATTGGGGCGATGTTTTTTTTTTCTTCTTCTCATAGGTGATGGTGTGTATACATACAGAAACCTCAAGGACGAGCTTCTGGCCGTTGTTCTCGGTCTCAACAGCGTTGAGAATGGCGGGGAGCTTGTCACCCTCGAACTTCACTGCAGGCGAGAGTCAGATTCTGATGATAGATCGTGTTTTGATAGCCATTGAGTCGGATTGTGATGGGTTTTGGGATGGAGTCGAGGCCCGGAAAAGATTTTCGCGGGTAGCCGCGAAACCGGGTCGAGGGCAGCAGCCGAGGGAAACGTACCGTCGACGACGGCACCAATGACTTGGTGAATCTTGCCCGCGGACGTAGCCTCAGTGCTGGCCAGACGGGCCAGGGAGGGGAGGCCATTGGTCTTGGGCTGGAAAGCGCGACGGGCGACGGAGGTAGGTCGAGCAAAAGCAGCCCTCCCGAAGGACCGGGCAAGACCGCTATAACAAGGGAGGAAAGATTAGTGGTAGCTTATGGGAAGGTGTGAAGAGAGAAGGGGAAAAAAAATCAAATTGGATGGAAGGTCCGGGGGGGGGTGGGTGAGGCCGAGACCGGGGGGGGGGAGCACGCACCTCTTGAACATGATGATGGTGTTGAAGAGCGAAATGGGGTATAGAGGGAGGTCAAAGGGAGAGGATGGGGGAGAGGGAAGAAAGAGGGAAGGGAAGGGAAGAGGTTGAGGTTGAGGTGGACTCGGGCGACTGTGTCCGGCTTAGCCTTTCCGGGGCGGTTTTGCCGACGATCCCGTGATGTACCGAGCAACGCGCTGTTGTTTCTGCGCCGGACTTACTCGCAGGCATTCAAGAAAGACAACCAGACATCCGTGGCTGCAGGCCTGCAACTCCTCCAGCTGCATCGGCCAGCTGCCCGCCCTTCTGCAGACCGCAGCGAACTCCCAGATGTCCGTGATGCTCACGGCTGGGTGGCTGGAGAGCTCTTCGCAGCTTGCCCCGTTACTAGGGGGAAATTCGCACACAAACGGGGAGAGAGGGTTCTTGGCGCCCGGATGCACTGGAACCATCAAAATTACGATACCGTCCTACGTTATTTCCCTTCCTTACACCTTCCCTCCGTACACCTCCTAGATACTTCTTTACTGACGATTATCTATCTATTTTTGATGTCTCGAGGGCAATATAATATCGCTCGTATATCCAATTGACCAACTAGAAAGAGAGTAAATAGACAGACAGCTAGACCGCTAACCAACCAGTAAATACATACCTCTTCCTCCGCAGCAACGGAACCGCGACCGGACGAACGCAACGCAGCAGCTCTCGCAGCGAAAAAAATTCTGACGTGTTCCCGTGATGGGACAGTCTGGCGGTAAACAACCGGGCGGCCGTGCTCGACCAGCCACCACCCATTCATTGGGTCGGTCAGGCCAATGGATCTGTATCTGTCTCTGTCTAGTCTAGATAGATAGTAGATACTCTACATGTACATTGTAAGTACGTACACCAGTCAATATGTATCCAGACTAGTCCAGAGTACTAGTAGTAGAGTCCAATCCCTACAGTAAGTAAGTAACTATGCATTGACACCAGCCATACACCCGGTACATCCCTTCCAGTCCTGCGTACTCCGTGCTACGTACCCGTTCCAGTGACTACCGTAAGTCAGTAGCTAGCAGCTACATACATAGTAGGTCGATGGAATATCAAAAAAAAAATAACGTCATTCGCACTCACAATGAAGAGCCTAGATAGTAAACAGGTTGATATGACACGGATCAATTGCCCCCACACAGCCATCCTGACCGACTCAATGCTGCTGTGTTGCGTTGCGTCGGCCGGAAAAGGAAGTATCTAACAGACACCGTGACAGCACACACTACGAGCTACGCCCAGCAAATCCCATCTATGGCTACAAAGGAGATACATTGGATTATTGCACAGGACGAGATACAGAGGTCTTTTGGGGGTGAAGGGGGGCTAACATTGACAAACAAGTAGAACAGGGGGAGGAGGGGGCGAAGGAGTGTGTCCAAAAGGGAATCAAATAATGGGCACAGAACCGGCGTCATCCAGGGGGGCGCGCAATGGGTGGAAGACCGAGACCCCATCCCAGTGCCCGCCCGGTCGTTATACCTGTTCCTCCCGAGGAAGGGTGGTCACAATCTATTGCTTCTCAGCGGGGGGGCTCTGGACGAAACCCTTGCCCTCGTAGCCCTCGGCGCTGATACCGTAGATGGGGTTCATCTTCTCCTTCTGTTGATGGGTGAAAAATTCCCCCGTTAGTGATCGCTCAATTGGCAGGTCACGGATGCAGGTATGAGCGATTGTTACGTACCAGGGCGTACTCGTTGGAAGCCTCCTGCCACTCCTTGGTCATGGTCTTGGGGAGGGGCTTGGCGAACAAGTGAATGACGTAGAAGATACCGAAACTGACCAGGGTGAGCTGGATGACCTTGAAGAAGATCTTCAGGTTCTCGCCCTTGGGGGGGAGGGAACGGGGGCCGTGGGAGCCGAAGGAGATGTAGTAGGCTGGACGAGAGAAAGAGAGAGAGAAAACCTCGTTAGCAAGCAAAATTCTGATGAGGCAGCGGGGAGGGATGCGAATTGGCGACGCAGAGCAGCATACCGGCCTTCTTCTCCTGGAGAGTCATCTGGTGCCAGTCGACCTTCATGCGGTCCCTCAGCTGCATCCACAGCTCGGCCTGCTCCTGGGGGGGCATGGCCTCCCAGCGCTTCTCGATACCGGCGAGTGTGGGGTTGGCGATGGCATGCTCGGAGGCGGCGCGGATCTGCTGGGGAGCGATCGACTTCTTCTCAGTCTGGGGACGAGCGTTCAGGGAGGCAATTGGGCCCGAGACGGTGCGGTAGGAGCGAAGGGCAGTCGAGGGCATAGCCGAGCTGCGAGTGGCAGCGCGGGTCACGGAGCGAAGGAACATCTTGTGCGAGGGGCTTGCGCGCGAAGTACAGATAATTAGCGATCAAAAATGACTCTCCGGAGATAGGAGGGCGAATTCCTCGGAATTGAGGATAGAGGGCGGATGGGGGGGGGGTGTGGAGTGGAGGGGGGTGGGTGAGCAAGACTCGCGATGGGAGACGAAGACGACGTTCGACTTGTGGTTTGAGGTGGAAGTTCGAGGATCCGGACGGGCTAGCTTAGTCCGTTTTACCGCCGCCCTCATTGGCCCACGTCCAGTGCCCGTCCCGACCGTCCGCCGTCGCTTTTCTCCCCCCAAACAACTTACGATGATGCCCTTGGATGCCCTTGGATTTTGGGGACTACTGCTGATAAGCTCGGGATTCGACAGAGTTTCACCTTCACCTCATAGGGTGACCCTCCCGACTATCTTCCCTGTGCACCGTCACTGATCGCGCTTACTCGCTATCTACACCCGCCCTTCCTACTAGCCGACCGCTACAGGCCCTACTACTCCAGTGCCTTGCCCCCCCAAGTCGGACCTGGTTGGACCTATCTATCTACAGCGAGGGACAATGGCAGGACTCCCTGGATGGAGGTGATCTCGTCTTTCTACTCTACATCGAACCGCGTCAATCACACACACACACCCCATGATGGGCATAACAGTATTCTGTACAGTCTCAAACGCTGAAAAGAGAAAAGGAAAACCCTCCCAGACGCTCGTTCACGGAAAGTGCCCCGATTGCAACATGATACGGTCACTAATGAAAGCAGTCAAGTCGTAACGATCTGATATTGAACTAAAGAGGTGCAGGGGACCTGGGGTGAGTTAGTCCTTCCGGAAGACTCCGCGAAACGACCGCCACGACGCCCAAGTCACCTGGGCCCGGGCCCAGCCGGCGCCGTTGTTTATTTGCCAGCCTTGCCACCGCTGGCCTCGGCCAGAACGGTCTTCCACTCGATGTCGGACTTGTCGTCGGCGTGGATGGAGGTGTGGATGTTGAGGGCGTTCTTCAGGTTCTCACGGGTGCTGGCGTAGATCATGGACCACTGTTCACGGAGTCAGCAACCGATCGGGGACATCCACGATGAGACAGAGAAGAGAGTAGGGGGGAAAAAGAGATAAAAACACATACGAGGGTAGGGGTCTCGCTGGGAACCCAGGAAATGAAGATGATCTTGCTCCTGCAGAGAAAGGTGAGTGAGCCAACATGTCTAGTGGACCCGTAAGCAAGCGATCATCATACCTCTTGCCCTCACCACCACCGAGGTCGTACTCGACGTCGTAAACGGCATAACGGGGAGCGGGCTTGCCCTTGTCATCACGGGACTCCTCGAGCTTGGTGCGGAAGACCTCATAGTCCTGGTCGTGCGAGACGGTGTCGACGACAACCTCCTTCTTGTTGTCGGCGATCTTGAAGATGATGAACTTGACCTTATCACCCTTGGAGCCGCCGCTCATGCGAAACTCGTTGAATGCATTGACGCACTCGTCGGTAATGGAAACACTGTGGTCGGCCACCTGGTCAGCTGGGTCCCGTAGTCGCCCGGTCACTCGATACTCTCTGGGAACGGTCGAAGACGGGGGGAGAAGGGAGGCGAGCAGTCAAACATACCCAGAGGCAAGCTGCAAAACAAAAATAAGCGATCAGTCCGGAACAAACCCACGGGGAAGAGCATCACGCACCGACATGGCTGGTTATATGGATAGGAAGTGAGATGGGGGGTGGGTAAGACGAAGTCGACAAGTGGGTAACCTGCGCATGCACGCGATTGTCAGTAGGCTGTTTTCCCCTATTTGTCCTTTGTTGACTGGGGCGTCCGGGGTCGACAGAAGGTCGGGGCGAAAGAGGGAGAGGGGTCACTGACCAAACACCGGGGAGAATGCTCGGGGTGTTTTGCACAGGGGGATGCGAGAAAGGGACGGGGTCAAGATGAGGGGATGGGAGAGGAATATAACGGGGGAGGGAGGGAACCGAGATGGAGATAGAGGGGCATTGAGTTGTGCTTGCGCTGCTGCGGCGGCGGCGGTGGGGGGGGGTCCGGGCACGTGACCCGCCCGTCGCACCACCGGCCTCCCGTTTAATCACCCTGTCCTTCCCCCCCTGAATCTGCTGGATGGGCGATGACGAGGGCCCGGCACTTGCTAGAGGAGGGCTTAGGCTTAGGCATCATCATTGCAAAAAAAAAAAAAAAAAAAAAAAAAAATGTCACCGCCTGCAGCCTTGCGCATACTCTTACGGGGTGGGGTGCCTATTGGTCTCTGTACACATGTCCAGGCATCCGCGGGACCAAACATAGATACATGAACTCTCGAGTGTAGACGTTCTTCACTTCTGTCTACTCCGTAAGATTAATATAGTAGTAGTATCAGGCTGCCACCGGGGTGGTCTATTCTTGGTACGCTGAGCGCAGACGGAACTTGTTTTCTGCCCGGAGTAATCCGCCGTTGATGGATTCCCAACCATGGAACTAGCCCCGGCTAACCGAGCGACATCACGTCAGGGCATCAGACCGTCCCGGCTGACATCAACCCTGCCCTTAAATTGATGCGCTGCGCAAACACGAATGCATATCATAAATCAAGGGACCTCAGCCACCCAGGCAGAACTCCTCGACCTGATTGGAGGTCTCGTGCCAGCACACCATGCACACCATGTTTCTTGGGAACGGAAGGGAGACCTCGATCGGGGGGCGTTATTAGCTGCCAAAAAAAAAAAAAAAAAAAAAGGTTAGGCACAAAATCAAAACACACGCCTTCGCTTTGAAAAGTGACTTCGAAATCATCCAGAGCCGCGTAGCGCGTGACCCTGATGACGCATATGTATGGGATGCAGTAGAAGAAAAGAGTAAATTCGGGCACGAAGCAACTAACTCGTCGCCATAGAATGGGGTATATAGAAGCTAAAGTAACTGAAGAATGGAGGAAGTGGGAATGAAAAGCGTTGAACATCGTCTCGAAAGATTTCGTGGGAGCAGCAGCTCGAAGAGGTGTCATCGATATCACTCCAAAGCTTTCGCAGGTGCCTTGCATGAGGTGGAGGCATCCACGCCCTCTTGACTGCAATGCACTCGTGCGGAGTGGGGTGAAACAATTCGACAAGGGTATGATCGTCAGGGCATAAATCCGGCATTCAAGCAGATGAGCTTTGAGAAGACGGTTAGGGCGGGCAAGGGCCTCCAAGTGATCATGACCCGTCGTCAGCCTGTCCACCCTCGATGATCTTCCTCCAGTGCTGTGGAAGACATACACAAACCAGTGGGAATGCCTTGATATCGCCAATGGGGGTGGGCGATGTGACCGCACGCTGCGAACCATGTGATACGCCACTATCTCGTTGCTCACGGTGTCTGGCATCGTAGTCCTCCGCCGTTTCGGGGACACGGATACCGGTAGCCCACCCATCATCCCAGATACCAATGACCTTCAACATCTCCCCACGGTCCAGAGCGAACTCGTCGCCCGCCCGTGGTTGATATGCCCACAGAACAGCAACTTTGTCTCCAGCGTGAATATCATCTTGCGAGTAATAGTCCTGGAACGCGGACAACTGCTCCGATTGCCCACTAGTCATTCCATCGGGTGACGAGTACTGGCCAGCCATACCTGAGCGAGGGGACGAGTCACTGCCCGCGCCAGCCAAGGCGGAATTACTGGAAAGGGAGCCATGGCGTTTGCCTGTTGTCGGAGGGATCTTTTGTGACATCGCTCCAGGACTGGCTCCGTATTCCGAGTCAGAGGAGTCGCTGTACTTTGTGCCCCCGAAAAAGGCAGCAGAATTACGAGAAGGCGGCGACGAAGTGGGTACTTCACGCAAGGCAGACATTCTCGTAACCCGTCCACCGGGTATGGCAGTAAACCCTTGCTGGCTTTGATTCTGACGCATGAACGGGGAGCCTTTCCTTCGCGGACTGGGCTGGTTCAGAGAGCCGTCATTCTGAGCCCGACGCTTTCGTCGCAAACAAATCAAACCCAGCACGGCCAGGGCAGCTATAAGTGCAAAAGCGGCAACAGACCCTATCACGATGCCCGCAATCTGCCCTCCCGAGAGACCGTGAGAGCTAGTCGCATTGGACGCTGCCGTGGTAGTGAAGATCGGGGGAAGCGTTGAGGACGGGACAGTGACGTTCGAACAACGAGTAGCGGTGTCTGAGACTGTGCAGCAGGAATCGGTAGAATTGGTCGATTTGCAATACGAACATAGACCCAAGACATTCGATCGATAACCGCAATTTTCGGGTTCGTTTTCGGCCCCCGTGATGCAGGTCGTGGTGAGCGAATCGGCAGGAAGAGCGCATATTGTGAAGTCTGAGCGGATTTGAGCCATGTAGTCGCTGGCCTTCGCGGAGCAAAGGTCGGTGTCTGTAACTATCGCCTCTTCACTTTCTGCCATCGATGCCTATCGGGAGTCAATACGCGTGCTCAAACGATTAGCGGCGGGATTACGAACGCAAGTTTCAGCACAGAGTGGTCTCGACTCCTCCGACGATAGGTTGCAATCCGACGTCGAGCTTTGAACCAAACTGCTACATAGCACGCTGGTGGTATAACGTGCATAGTAATCACTGGTATCGGACATATTGACGCCCTGGCATCCCAGGTATTCGACATACCTAGCAGGCGACGTCCGATCAGCATTCTTTCCCCGCAAATATGCAACTGAAAGACTTACTTCTCTTTGACATATGTCTGCATGACATAGCTGCTTAATTCATTGTCGAATGATGTCAAATTCGACACATATTCCATGAACGGGCTGTTAGGAAGTCAGCGTAACGGATCCTTTCCTCTAGGTACCAGGGGGGGAGGGCGCACAAATCGGTGTAAAGACTGGAGTTGGTTGAGACCGAGGAGCTGTCAAAAGCAGGGCATTGGGTCGAGCCCGACAGTGAAATGCAGGTGCTGGACATGGCTGGACCCCACACTGGCTCGTGCCAGGTGATTCAGGGCGCAAGATGATGCCGAGCTGGCGCGTGGGAGATTGAAGCGCGAGAACGATCGCAATCGGGTATTGAATCTCAGCAGGCCAATCGGTCCAATGCTTCCATGTTCTTTCTCTTATGTCGCTTTCCTTCCCTTCCTCCGCAGTCGCTGTGGGGCAGGTGGACAGTTGGGGGTGCGCAGGGACGGTGGGTGGGTTGATTCCAGTCAAAACGATTGTGAGCGCGTCGGTGTTTGGAGAGAGCGAATGAGCGATTTATGAGCAGGGGAAAGAAAAGAAGGGATGAAAAAGGTCGACCAAAGTCCACCGTCGGGGTCGAGAAGGGAAATGAACGAGTGACTTGGGTCTATAGCAGACAATGGTCAGAGGGCACCCCAAACGATGGAGGAGAAAAGAGCCAGGAGCGAGCGAGTCCAGAATCCCGCAGTCACGGGAGGAGAGTGAAATGAAGAAAAGCGTCGATCCAAGGCCAAAGAGGAAGGCACTAGACAGGGAAGCTGGAGCAAGGCCGTGCTTCGCTTCCCAGTCCGGGACGGTTGTAATTGCCGCTTGGCTCGAGGCCTCCCGAGACGAAGATGTAGACCCACGGAACCGGCGAGAGTCTGGAGGGTCTTCGCCAGTGGATTGGATGGGATCAATGGACCAACGGTGCCAAGTAAGGAAGGCGAGGTATGGGCAGAGCAGGGGAAATGGACGAGACGAAATGAGAGGACGGACTGACTCAAAAGGGGGACGGACGGGCGGTTCGCAAGAGAAGCCGGCGTCTTCCCAATTAAACCGCTCCACTGCAATGCGGTGCGGTTCTGTCCCTCCGCATGAAAGGTTCAGTTGCTGTTACCGATCGAGTTAGCCCACTAGATAGATACTTGTCGCAAGCAAGCGCTCTTATCAAATTAGATTTGGTCGGGGCTCCACCGTCTCGCGGAATTGAGGGGACTGGAGTCGATCCCCGACACGGTCCAAGTCCAACATCCAGCATGCAGATCGGATGGAGGATCAGTTGACGTATAGATGTATGCCATCGATAAATCGATCGATGGATATTTACCTTTTTTTTTTTTTTTTTGCACTTCAAACGAACCCTTCCCTAGAAACAGTAACACAATGATCCTGTCCGGAGAAATCCGCAGCGATTTGGGGGACTCGTCGTGTAACACTCGGGGGGGGGGGGGGGGGGGTAAGAGGAGAGAGAGGAAAGCAAGCAGACAGTCAAACGCAATTTATGCGGTGCTGCAGGGAGGCGGACCAAGTCGTAAGGGAAGGGAAGATTCAGACGCAGGAACGGCAAAGTTAATTGTCCGGATTTTCGCGAGGGTTTTGTGATGCATAGATATTAGATAAATGGATGGATGGATGGATAGACAGATAGATAGACAGGAACATCTTCATCTTCTTATTGTCTCTGGTGGTGATCGACTGACGTGGCACCCCCTCCGAGTCGAGGCTGTTAGCCTGTTGGTGCGGGCAACACGAATGGCCCAGCCATCGATTATCCATCCTCCGGGTGCAGTCGCGCCAACACACTATCTATCTAGTAGGTAGATACCCAAAGCGCACCCTCCCTCCCCTTGACTCGCGCGATGCATAGAGTTTCATCCTGGGAAGCCACGCGGGTGGGACGGACTCCCATGGAAGTTCGAACACGGGAACAAAGCGACGCCCTCGGCTTCGTGGTACGCTAGAGATATAGTCTGTAAATAGACCGGGGGGGGTTTTGGCTTCTTGTGCTGAAGAAGAGTTGAGGAAGTTACACCTTCAGCATGGTGTTGGTGTCACTGACAGTAGTACTACTGAGCTACTCTGTAAACACACAAGTAACTACACCTTGTTGTCTAATCCACTTTGGGCCGATCACTGTCTTCGCCTCACCCTCTTGGCAGTTGATACAACCCGACGGTGGTCTATCTATCTACTGCATCACTTGTCCAGGGAGATACCCCGGCGAGATAAATACTACTGGTACTCCGTAGGTTACCCAATAAGCTCAGTCTTCGTAGTCTCCTACCCAAGCTCTCAATGCCCAGGAAGTATCTAGATAGCACTCCGATGGATGGAGGGAGTACATAAGGTTCAGGTACCTACGCGCACGGACACATACCTACTTAGTACACAACGCACACTGACCGGGGTAGGTACGGAGTAGGTATTTACCACGCCCTATCACTATCAGCCAGCAAGCAACATGAAACAAAGCTGTTGCATCCGAGGATGTAACAAGGGCAGTGTAGTCTTCCCACCCTTGCATGTCGCCGCACAATGTTAGGGAACACCGACTTACTACTCACCTACATACCTACCGGAAGCGAGGAGCTCGCTTCTCGCAGGATACTACTCCCACGGGTGTGTTGGATGTCTCGTGGGTTCCTTTTCAACCTGTACTCTGCAGCATGAGTTCTCCGTAGGTGGAAGTATCAGTATTGTCTATCAGAATCCAAAGTGTTGTTTGTTCGGGATACGAAGCACCGTTGTTTGATACTCGAAGGTCGGCGAATTATTGCGGATCTCTTGTTGCGCGCAAAGCCGATCAGGCCGCCAGGGATGAATGACTCCACATACTTACTTATTCTCCGCTGGATGGTTCAGTTGTTGGTCCCTCCTTCCTCGTGGGCGATTGTTGATGGCCGGCTGGATCGCCATCACATGACACAAGTCTGCCTTCTTTCTCTCTAACATGGGCCATTTACGGGGAAGCAGTAGCAGCTAGTAGCTGCAACCTTTAACCCGGTAGAATTTCACGCTGAATCTTGTGCATTGAATTTGCTATATAAACTGGTACCTGTTGTCCCCTGTATTTCACTTCAACTCACTACGTGCTGCCAAAAGACTTACTGTGGTTTGGTTAAGTTGGAGGTTACTACATGCTCTTCCCCGAGAATATTTGTCGGTTTTCGGAGATGGTCATGTGCTTGAAGCGATCACTGCACCCTGGATAGTGACTTCTTCGGTGTAGAAGGTGGGAGAAAAGAAGCATCTCGCCCGTGCTAGGATTCGAACGCGGGCGGGACCCCCCCCCCCCGCAGATAGCCCGGGGGGTATGTATGTCCCTTCCTCGCCGGTGTACGGCTGCAGTACCGCTACACCATCACCCAGCAGAAAGGAAGTTGGGGTCTTCGTTTGAACGACACCACGCAGGGCAGCCCCGCTACTTGCCAGTTCTTGCCTGGAGGTTGGAGAGGGGATGGGAGAAAGCAATTCTCATCGCTAAGCACCTCCAACCACAAAAAAATCATCATTCTGGAGGGTTCAGCGGTGTCCTTGGCATCTGAAGTCCTTTCTGGTCTGATAAAAAAGAATAGCCATGTTGGGTGCTCGAGGGAGAAAAAAAAGATATTCCCAGCGCCAGGAATCGAACCTGGACTTGCCGCGCCGGTGATCCTCTAAGAATATAGTATTAATGAGGGCCAGGGCAGCCGTGCTCCCAACTACACCACGCCGGGCTTTTGTTGGTGAGTGCTGGCTACCACTGCCTGTATCGGACGGTTCCCTCGATTCTGGGCCGGCAAAAAAAGAATTCCCAGCGCCAGGAATCGAACCTGGACTTGCCGCGCCGGCGATCCCCTAAGAATATAGTATTAATGAGGGCCAGGGCAGCCGTGCTCCCAACTACACCACGCCGGGGCTTTTGTTGGTGAACGCTGGCTGTCACAGCCCACATAGAACGGGTCCCTCAATTCTGAGTCGGCAAAAAAAGAATTCCCAGCGCCAGGAATCGAACCTGGTCTGCCGCGCCGATTGCTCCTAAGAATATAAATCATGAAGGTCAGGGCGGCCGTGCTCCCAACTACACCACGCCGGGGCTTTTGTTGGTGAACTATGGCCACCACTGTCCATGTCGATCGATTCTCTTGGTTCGGGGTAGGAGAAGGAACAAGGTCGCAGGGCACTAGAGACGCTGAATGGTGGTTAGCAACAGGAGGCCACGGCAGCACAGCTAGGATTTTTTTTCTTGATTCGAGACAGATAAAAGAAAGAAAATAAGAAAAGAAAAAAAAATTTGGATCACATTATAACAGAGGCTGGATAGTTGTTGTATGATAGGTCATAGCAGCTCACCTAGTTCCCTCGCTGCGGAGATCTGGAAGGAAATATCCGGGGTGTCCTCTTGGTTCATGGCGAGAGCGAGAGCATGATCACATGATAACAGGACAACGGATGCTGGATGTGTTCATTTGATGTTGTCATGGCAGCGCATCTAGGACGATTCTCAATTCAATGCAGGAAAAGAAAAAGATCCTAGGATAGCAGGCGCTGTGCGGTTGTTAATGAAAGGAGACGATGTGCCGCTGCCCACTCGGTCGCTCCTTCGGTCGCGCCGTCCCTCCTGCGCTGGAGCGCCCTCGCCGCCGCCGCCGCCGCCCCGACAGCTCACTTAGGACGAGTCTCTTGATTCAGGGAAGAAAAAAGGGTCAACATCCTAGGTAGGATAAACAGGCGCTGTATCGTAGCTGTTCATAATAGGAAAGGGCGTGTCTTTTGGCCAGTCAGTCGCTCCTTCGGTCGCTCCTTCCCTCTCTGCACCGTAGCGTCCTCCCCTCCCTCTCGTTTTCTAGACTCGGGTCAGGAAATAAAATTTCCAGTATAACAGAGCTGTTAGTGACAAAAACCCGCCTATTGCAGCTCGTGTCGAGCAGCTTTCTCGAGGGTGTGTCTGGTGTAGGGGAAAAAAAATGAAAAAAAAAAAAGAAGACCCCGGTGCTAGGAATCGAACCTAGACTTGCCGCGCCGATTACTCCTAAGAATATAATCATGAAGGTCAGGGCGGCCGTGCTCCCAACTACACCACACCGGGCTTTTGTTAGTAGGCGCTGGCTATTTCAGCCCTTGTTGAACAGTCCCTCAATTTCTGAGGCAGAAAAAGAAAAAAAGAAGCCCCAGCGCTGGGAATCGAACCCAGGCCTGCCACCTGACAACCCCCTAATAATAAGTCACCAGGAGTTGCTAGGCAGCCGCGCTACCAACTACACCACGCCGGGTTTTTGTTGGTAGATGCTGGCCATTCAAGCCCATGTCGAGCAGTCTTCTCGGATTCTGGAGCAGAAAAAAAAGAAAAAGGAGCCCCCAGTGCTGGGAATCGAACCCAGACCTGCCACACTCAACCCCGCTCTAGAGGCCATGAGTAGCCGCGCTCCCAACTACACCACACTGGGCTTTTGTTGGGAGGTCCTGGTTATCGAGGCTCGCATGGGACGGACCCCTTAGATGGCACTTGAGGAGGCAGGGGAGAGCGAACCCCATCACTGAGTATCCAGATCCGAGACTGCTATCCAGGATGAGACGATCTGGGTGTTGTAGCTATGCTCGCGGTGAGCCAGGAGGACAATTTCCTCAAGGCAGGTGTTGATGCTGGAAGAAAAAAAAAGACGGAAAAAATATTTCACCGGCACTGGGAGTTGAACCTCAGATCTGCGAGATGGGGCGGAGGCCCGACACCCATCTGCCGTGCTGCCCCTTGCACCATCACCGGGTAATAGGCGGGAAGGCTATTCTGGCTTATGTAGGACGGTCGCCTTGGCTGCTTTTGGTGAAGCAAAACGTATTCACTCGGTGATAGCTGACGTCTTGGAATGGCTCAGACAGTATCTGAATGTCGGCAGTTGTGTTGTTAGTGCATCAGACTAGGACAGTCACCTCCAGCAACATAATGCTGGTGAGTGTGGAAAGAGAAAAGGATAAAAAAAAAGAGAACACCGCTTCATGGGCGAGGACATGCAAGTAGCTTAGAGCTTGAATCCTTCACGGTCGCAAGGCAGCGACTGGGAGGCACTTTTTCCACTCCTCACAGTCCTTGCGCCACCATTGTGTTTATCTTTATTCGTCATCTTTCGCGTCTCCCCGGTCATAAAAAAGGGGAAAAAAGTATACGGTCTGTATCTGGTCAAAAATTTCTCATCAAGATACTGAACTTCAGAGATTCTCGGATGGATGTCAGAATGACGTATGGGTGGTGGTTGGGGTTGGGGATGAGGATGGTTGAAAAGGGTTGCGGAACAAGAAGAAAAGAAGTGCCAGGCGAGCTCCGGCGGCGGGAGAAGGGGGGGGGCCTCCTTTTATATGAGAAGGTGGGCCTGGGCTAGAGCTCAAACTGCTGGACGCTAAGTGGCTGGACTTGAACACCCCGCTGCGATGGACCAGGCCGACCGCCTCCTTTGGAGATGAGTGCGATCATTTCCAAAGGCAATTCGAGCGCTTAAACGAGTGAGTCACAGTGGCAATGCATATTCTCTCGTTATCTGGAAATGATAAAGTGCAGTAAGCCAAAAGCTTATGCCAAGAAAGGGGGTTTATAGGCGCGAACAGATTTCTCGCTGTGTGGGTCACGTGTTCTCTAAAGATGGGGGCCTTCAGTTGGGCCCCTCCATCTGAATGGCTGCACCTCGTACTTTGTATATATATGTCCAGAGCTTTTGTTCCTGTGTAAGGGGTACGGAGTATAGAATAACAAATTCTCCTGTCAGAAAGGTGAGCATACTGTTGGGACCCCTAGGTCCTTTAATTAAGTTCCTGGTGGGGTACCTCTAAACTCTGGGGCGACGACTTGATGGATATATGTTGGACGGAGGATACTATATTAAGTTGTCACATTGTTTGAAAGTTGAAGATGGTGGACAGCCAACTTAGCTATTAAATACACTCCAATCCATCGCCGATCTTCTTGAATCCAACTGCAACTAGGCAACATACCCCCCCTTTTTTTTGTAGTATTTCAAGTGTTCCATTTCGCTGGGCTTCCTTAACCTGGTGCATCCGGACCATCCCACCGGAAGCCCACCCCTCAGCCGATTACATAACACGCGATTGCCTGGCAGCGATGCCTGCCTGCCTGCCTGCCTGCCTGATCGAGTATCTTAGTAGTAGCGCAGCAGTCCAGGCGATGACCATCACTTCCTGTCTCCTCGTATCCGGTAGCCCAAATGCATTCTCATTCTTATTCCCATGAACATAATTTCTTCTCCTCATGCTCCAGATCACATCTCTCCCTGCCAGAATCAAAATCCATGAGCCAGCATAAACAATAAGCCCACCCAAAGCCCATCCATCCATATCCACCAAACAATGAAGAACCCCAGAGCCAGAACTAGAACCACCACCAGCACCACCAGCACCACCACCACAACTAAACATCAAGAAAACCATCCCTGCCAGTATCCCGGATGCCATGCCCACTACCGACGAAAAGAGCACCTCCGCCGCCATGCAATCCAACATATACGTGATCAATCCTTCCCGTGTCCGATCTGCAGTCAGCAGTTTGGTCGAAAGTACGTGGTCACCATATCATTCCCCCTTCTTATCTTGATTTACTCCTTTTTATATGCTAATGCGGTACAAGTGACACCCTCCGTCGCCATCTTCGCGTGAAACACCACCAGCATCAACCTGCACTGCGCATTCGTCGAGCATGCGCGAATTGCCGGGCCGTCAAGGCAAGATGTGAAGGGAAGCCTGTCTGTACGGAGTGTCGAAGGAGAGGGATTTCGTGTTCTTCTTCTTCTTCTCCTGGACATGAACAGGGAGGGGAGTCTGTCTTTGATGCTTGTGATTCTTCTGCTCTTGGTGATGAAGATGCCACAGTTACTGTTCTTTCTGAGTTGCAGAAGTCGAGTCCACGATTACCATCGGTACAGCAGCCACGGCCCAACTTCCTGAAAGAGGAATACTACGTGAATGTCTTCTTCGAGAAGTTCCACCCACACTGGCCATTCATCCACCGAGGCACATTCCGCGTACGCCACGAGATGCCGATACTGATTCACTCGATGGTCGTGATTGGGCTGTGGGTTAGCGGTGACGAGAGTGTGCGATCTGTCGCAGTGGAACTCCATGAACGGGTGAATTCGGCGATATTGGATCAAAAGGTTTGCCTCTTCTTCTTCTCCTCCTCCTCTTTCTCCCCCTCCCCCCTCATCTTAATCTTCATCTTCACATTCCTCTCCCCCTCACTAAAGCAACTTATACTAACCCAGCCCCCAAAAGGAGAAGTGGGCCCTCCCAACCCCAACCCAAACCCAAAAGCCCACCACCACCACCACCACCACCACAACAACAACAACAACAACCACTAGACCCCCCTGGCCCATCCCCCTCTACCAAGCCATCCTCTTAAACATCATCTTCTCCCTGATACTTCACCCCCCCTCCCACCTCACCCTCACCCTCAAGCCCACCATCAGTATTACCCACCCAACCACGTCCTTCCTCCTCCGCTCCCTCGTCCGCAGCTGCCGCCTCCACGGCATGTTCTATTTCCCGAACATGATCGCTCAGTTCGATGTAGGCATCACGCAGTATATCCTTGTCAGTGTGGAGGAGGTGAAAAGGCTTGTTCTGGCGCTGTGGAGGGTTTGTGCGATGGTTTGCACGGGGGGTGGTGGCCAGAAGGGGGATGGGGGTGAGGTTGGAGATGAAGATGGGGATTGGGATGGGAATATTGGCGGTACGCTGTTGGGGCTGGATGAGTTGCAGTTCCCTCCGCCGACGAATCATGCGTTGTGGGAGGCAAAGAGCCAGGAGGAGGGGGATTGTGTGCTGCGCGGGATGAAGGAGGATGGGGATGATGGGGGGGAGTGGATCTCGAAGTGTGCGGGTGGAATTGGTGGTGTAGTGTATGTCGTGTAGTGTACTGTCCGTCTGATTGTGTTGGATGGCTGGTTTGTTAGTTTAGATACCCGTGGATATTTTCGTGATTGTTAGTTAGTACTTGGAAGCAGAGATGTTATCAGAATAACTAGATAAATGAGGAATGGAGACAGAGGCACCTTCCTATCTGGGAAGGGATACATCGAGCAGAGGAGTTCTATGTGGAGGATATGTCTAGAAGTGTCATTTCTAGTCTATCATTATACCTGATCATCATCTTAGACCATACCATCTATCCTCCTTTCTCTTTCCTCAATGCCATCGGCCTTCGCATGGCATAATTCACCGTGACCAACCGAAGCCTACGCCAAACCAGACACAGCCGTCTCCATATTCCCATCGAGCAATTTAAGCACCGACAGCCGCACCAGAAATGAACAGCCTCTCCCGCTTCATCAAAAGACTCAACACAGTGACCAGTGCCCCTGCGGTCATAACCAAAATGTAAGAGTTATTGATCGCCTCCACGAGAGCCTCCAGCACCTCATCGCGGGCCGTCCCAGTGAGGCTATCAAAGAGCGCCGACCCGGTTCCTGAAACAGTCTGCTCGATCTCTGAAGTAGGAATATCGGGTAGGATCTGATGGATCCCCTCAATACTCTGGTTAAGGAAGAGGCAGTTAGCGATGGAAAGGGCAATAGTGGATCCAGAGATCTGGGCACAGGAGATAAACCCGACGGCAGAGGCAGCCATGTGAGGGGCCACGACAGCCTGGGCGACAGAGAAGGAAGCCTGCGAGAAGATCCCCACCCCGAAGCCGATGAGGATGGTGTAGCCGTAGATATGGGCGACAGAGGTGGTGGTGTCGACGGTAAACATCAGCGCGCCGCCGATCAGAACCAGGATCCCCCCGGCTAGGTACCACGGCATGTACATTCCGTGGGAGGAGAGAATGGCGCCGTTTCCGATGACGGCTACGATCATTACTGCGATGAATGGGAGGAGTTTGACACCGGATTCGAGGGCGGAGTCGCCGCGGGTATATTGGAAGAAGATCGGGGTCATGTAGACGGGCAGGAAGATGGAGGCGCCGCCGGCTGCGGTCATGGCGAAGAGGATTAGGATGGTGCGGCTTTTGAAGAATTCCACCGGGAAGAGGCGACGGGGGACGGTTGTAAGAATGGGGAGGGCTTGCTGAATGCCCAGAAGGATGAAGAGGACCCCGGAGCAGCAGAAGAGGCCGATGATCTGCCCTGAGTTCCAAGCGTAGGTTGCGCCGCCGAAGGAGATGGCCATGACGCCTGATACGAAGGCTCCGATCGTTAGAATGCCTCCGATGTAGTCGAGCTCGCGGGCACGGTCGAGGAAACTGACACCGGGGCGGGGGTCCTTGTTAGGGAGCATGAAGAAGTAGACTGGGGCGCAGACGGCACCGATGCAGAGGTTGATATAGAATGACCAGCGCCAGCCGGCGGAGGAGTCCGTGAAGGCTCCGCCGATGATGGGACCTAGGACGGTGCCGATTCCCCAGGTGAATCCTGCGCCGCCGATATACATCGGGCGCTCTGGTAGGGTGGTGGTGACGGCGATCATGGTCATCAGCCCGACGTACATTCCAGCCCCCGAGAAGCCACAGATGGCGCGGGCGATGATGAAGGCATTGATGTTCGGCGCGGCGCCGCACACGGCGGATCCAATCTCGAATATGCAGATGCAGAGGATGTAGGTCCATTTGGCATTGAACTGTGCGAAGATTTTGCCCCAGACCAGGTTGGTCGAAGCGGCTCCGATCAGGAAAGCAACACTGATCCAGGACAATTTGGCAATGGCATCGAAGTCTTCCACGATCGTGGGCTGGATGTTGGCCACAATGGTGTTGTCCAGGGCAAAGAGGAATTGGGAGCTGTAGATGGCGCCGATAATCACTGCCCACTTCCAGCCTGAAATCTCACGAGGTGTATCCTTCTCAGCTGGTGTGGTATCTGATTTATGCTCCACGTCAATAACGGGGGTGGTATCGCCCTTTTCTGCGGAAGGCTGGTAGTGATCAGGGTCTGTAGAGGCAGTCATGATTGCTGTACGCCAACAAGGGGATCGGAGGGGCATAAACAACACGATGAAGGCTGTCACCATCAATCAAACGGAATCCGAAGCAACGAACAAGCAATTTATTAAGAAGGCCTTCAGAGCCGGACGCTCCCACCGTCCATCCCACTCACTCTGGATCCCACCCGGATGCTCCCACCGGGCCCCAGCTTTGTCGATTACATGCATGTCCCATGTGAGCTCCCATAGGCTTCTGCAGGACTAGGTCGTCGAAGCCCCTCTAGCCCTTGACTGAGTCAGACAAAGTTGGCGGGTGAGTGGGATAGCCCGCATAAGCAATGGTGGTAAGCGGCGGGATCGTCCGTAGACAGCGGGAGCGTCCGTCCCCTTTGCTAGCCCTTAGTCCATCCCCCCAGATGGATGGAAACCATGCCACAGTTGTGGCTCTCTACTCCGATACTGTCCCTTGTCTTAACAAGCCCTTACGATGCTTGCGACAGCCTTAAAAAGACCTTTATGTTCCCTTTCCGCGCGTTGCACCCGATGCTATGCCTCCAGATCCCTCCCGCCTCACACGGTGATCGCAATGCCAGCACTGTCTCCTACGATGACTGCGGGTAATATTGGAATGTGGCAGAAAAAGCCTGGCGATGCGACGGCACCTGGGGATATCCTGGTGGAAATAGAGACAGACAAGGCGCAGATGAACCTCGAGGCCAACGAGGAAGGCGTGCTAGCGAGAGTCTTGAGAGAATCGGGGGACAGGGATGTCCCTGTTGGAACGGTTTGTGCTGAGTCCGCCCAAGCTAGTGTATTGCTAAGAGACTATAGCCCATTGCTGTCATGGTGGATGAAGGAAAGGATGTATCAGCGTTTGGATCATTTTCCATTGGAGATGCGCCTGCCTCGTCATCTGAAACAGCATCCATATCAATTCCAGAATGTATACCCATTACCAATGAAACCATCAGCACAGATGAGAGGCTACAGCCAGCCTTGGATAGAATGCCCAAGGCCAGCGCAGCGGCCATTAGACTCGCACTCGATCGAGGCGTGAAGATCACCGGGCTTCAAGGCACTGGAAGGGGAGGCCAGGTCACCGAAGCCGACGTGAGTAGGGCTTCAACCGAAGGTGTGACAGCTTCTGCTGCAAATGCGGCTGCGACATACATAGACACTCCCATAACGTCGATGCGCAAGGTGATTGCGAGCCGCCTGACTCAATCCGTCCAACAAAGCCCGCACTATCTTATATCGACGAGTGTTTCAGTCCGGAAGCTGTTGAAGCTCCGGCAGGTTCTGAATGCTTCCGCCAACGGCAGATACAAACTCACTATAAACGACTTCCTGATTAAAGCTTGCGCCGTGGCATGCACCAAGGTGCCCGCCGTCAACTCCAGCTGGAGAGATGACGTTATTCGCCGCTTTCAGAGCGTCGATGTCAGCGTAAGTGGGCCCCCAGACATTCGTCCTGCAGCTCTGACAGCTGATTTACAGGTCGGTGTGGCCACTCCTGCCGGACTCCTGACGCCCATTCTTCGATCCGTCGAGGGACTCGGCTTGGAAACCATTTCAATTCGGGTCAAAGAACTTGCCAAGCGTGCTCGGGACCGCAAGCTCAGGCCCGAGGAGTTCCAGGGTGGAACATTTACTATTTCCAACGTGGGAATGAATCCTGCCATTGAACGGTTCAGCTCGATCATCAACCCCCCTCAGGCGGCCATCTTGGCCGTAGGGACCACTCGGAAGGTTGTAGTTCCCATACAAACCACCGATGGCACGCAAGTCGGCTGGGATGAGCAGGTTGTTGTGACTGCGTCTTTCGATCACCGGGTGGTAGATGGAGTTGTAGGGGCGGAGTGGATGAGAGAGTTCAAGGATGCGGTGGAAAGTCCGCAGCATCTCCTGCTGTGAGTGATGGCAACAGTATCTAAGTAACAAAGTACTCTGTTATAAAACGGTTATGAAACCGTTATCTGTCCCCGCCGCATCAGGTGATCTGGACGCGACGTCATCTGATAGGGAGGCGGCTCCCGCACTAGTCCCCATCGAGCCCCAGTAGGCATCCATCGCATGTCTTTGCCTGTCGTCATCCCACCACTGGAAGTCACGTCCTATGCTCTTTTCTTTCACCCCGACTCAAAGGCCCCAAGATCTTCTGCCAACAAAGCATCTAGACTCTCCTAATCCTTAACTCATAACTCACTGTATTAAACACTTGCATGGTCAAAAAGTCCCCAGTCTAGTGACCATCCGACCATTGCAGCAATGTGCGGTTCAGACATCTTTCTAGCCATCCTCGCGGTTTTCTTCCCCCCAGTGGCAGGTGAGCATTGGCAACAACTTCTTCAGTCTGTGTGGGGCTATACACGCTAACCGACTGGCACAGTGTGGATCAAGGTAGGCATCTGCACGGCCGACTCCGTCATCAACCTTGCTCTCTGCTGCCTCGGCTACGTCCCCGGCCTCCTGCATGCCTGGTACCTCATCCTCAAGTATCCCGAGCCGGATTACGATGACCCCAGCTACGAACCTCTACCGGGCCAGGGAGGGGATGCCGAGAACGGTCGCGCAACGTACTACTATGTCTCTCACCAGCCCATCCAGCACCCATCCCAGAGGGACTACGGCACTGTGCCCCCGCAACATCCCCAAGCGCATGCTCCGTCGCCGAACCGTCAGCAAAACGACCAAGCCGCGGGTAGCAGCAGCCAGGATCCGAGTGACAGTCGGCCGCCTCCGACCTACGCTGAGGCTGTGAAGGGGGACCATAAGGTGCAGGATTGAAGGACCCAAGAAAAGGGGAAGCGATGACAGACTACACACACTTGGCTGTTTCCTGCAGGGAACCAGGTTTCTGCTGAACTCTGACCCAGCGGTGTACTCTTCTCTCTCCCTGGCTGTTGATTCTATTCGCAAGACAACCAGCGCGCAGTTTCTTCTGCAATTAATCACGGATAATGACCTTGTTATTTATGTACTCATGTACGCGTTTCTACTCGCGCTTGCCTTTTATACCAGCGAACTGGGACTCGGGGGGAGGTTTATATCTGCTTTATGTCCAAGCCTGTTATGCGTAATAAACCAAGACCCATCAGAAAAGACACATATTTCTAGCATAACAAATCCAAGAATAATACCACCAATGCTCCTTTTCTCCCTCCTGAACCAAAACAAAAACAGCAGCCCCTCCCTACAAAAAAAAAAATCCTAATCCACCCACATCTCAACAACGGCCAGAAAGTCCCCACCAGAAGCACGCAGAACCGCGGCGATGCGATCCCGCCCGCACCTTACGACCGACCGACCGGCCGACCGCCTTCTCTCCCGCGCCGACGACCAAACAAACCCACCCGGTCAACCACCCCAAACCAGCGTCTGGTCGACGACCTGTGGCCTCAGCACGCACCGGCCATGCAGTCCATGCCATTGCTGCTCAGGCAGTCCCTCCGATCCAGCCTCAATCTCTCGCGATCAACCCGCCCCGTGCGACGGCCGCTTCTGCCCGCCGTCGGTCCGAAAGCTCTTTACCCTCCTGCCTTCCCGCGGAGCTTCTCCGTCTGCCTACAATGCCAGTTCCGGACACAGTCGTCGCTTTACTCGTCCCCGGAGACGGATCCCCGGAAGGAGGGGAAGCCTGCTGAGCAGCCGAAGGATACGGATCCGATCATACTACCTCCTCCCGAGGGGCTTCAGACTTTAGAGACGGATGCGGGGAGTCGGCCGACGACTCCCCCCGCTGCGGAGGGAGGGGAGAGTACACAGGGTGAGAGCCAGAGCCAGAGTCAAGGCCAGCAGGCTGAAGAAAAAGGAAATGTCAATACAGAAGGGACAAGGACAGGGACAGGAGCAGGAACAAAGAACGGAGGGGAAGGAGGAGGATGGGGAGAAGGAGGTCTCCCATCATACCTGGAGAATCGCAGGTCCCAATTCTCCAAGCAATTCAGCACGATGATGGATAATCTCCAGTCGAACGTCTTCGTGGCAGGCCAGCGATTGAACGACTTTACCGGATACTCAGGCATTGAGTTACTGAAGAAGGACATCCACGTCCAAGGTACAGAGCTCCCCACCGCAACAGCATCTACCTCTCTCTAGCTCTATAACCAGCACTACGCAATATACTAACCGGCACCTTCATTCAAACAGAGGAACGACTCCGCAACGCGCGCCTGCAAGTGCGCACAGCCAAAGACGCCTACGCGGCGGCCATCAACCGACGCTCGACATCGCAGCGGGAAGTTAACGAGCTCCTGCAGCGCAAACATGCCTGGTCGCCCGTCGACCTGGAGCGATTCACCCACCTCTACCGTAACGACCACACCAACGAGGTAGGCGAGATGGAAGCCCAGGAGGCCTTGACCCAGGCGGAGCGCGAGGCCGAAGAGGCCGCCGCGCAGCTGAGCAAGAGCATTCTGTCCCGCTACCACGAGGAGCAGGTCTGGTCCGACAAGATCCGGCGCATGAGTACCTGGGGCACCTGGGGGCTGATGGGCGTCAATGTGCTTCTGTTCCTGATCTTCCAGATTGCCGTGGAGCCGTGGCGGCGCAAGAGACTCGTCAAGGGCTTCGAAGAGAAGGTCATCGAGGCGATCGAGAAGGAGAAGGCTCTCGGTCAGGTCCAGATCCTGGCTCTTCGGAATGACATGGCCCAGCATGCTGCTTCTACCACTGCCGCCACTGCTGCTGCTGCCGCTGCCGTTGCTCCCTCCGAGACTCTGGAAATCGAAAATGCAGAGACTACCGAGCCGTCCGTCCTTTCTCCCATTCCCAATCCCGCCCCCGAGCCGACCACCGAAGAAGTCGTGATCATCCAAGACGAACCCGAGGCCACCACCACTCGGGAAACCGCCGACTCCCCCACGCCGACCACCACCACCACCACACCCACCGAGAACAAAAACACTCTGGACCACATCCTGGACACCTACAAAACCCAACTCACGCACATCTCCCCCTCCATCGAATCCTGCCGTCGGTACATGAACGACCTCTTCAGCGAACGCCAAGTCGTGATCACGCAACGGGACCTCTCCACCGTGGCCCTCCAAGGCGCGGCCGCCGGCGCAGCCATCATCAGTTTGCTGGCTGTTCTGGTCCGACAATGGTAATCACCCATCCACCCATCCACCCATCCACCCATCCACCCATCCATGCAAAAGGAAAGGAGGGGGGGGTGTACTATAAACATAGAAGAAAACAAACGGTGCTGTAATTATCATGGCTGGCGATTTTGATTTCATCTGCTTTGGTTCGCTTTTGATTCGGTTCGATTTGCTTTGCTTTGCTTTACTTTGATGTTCCAGATTTAGACATACTGTGTGACAGTGACAGTGACATGACATGTACAGGCCCTGGGCATAGCATGGGGTATTACCATTCACAAATAAGTTCATAGATTACTTACTTACTTACTTACTGACTGACTGACTGTATAAATATCAGCCTGCACTCTCTTTTCTCTTTTCTATGATTCTGGTTTCTACCTACATGTTCTACTTCACACCATACTTCGTGGCTGTATGTGAAATAATCCAATCCAGTCCATGTGGACCAAACCAACCACATCTGGAAGGCCCAGGCGGGGAGGAGAGTTCTTGTGCCTTGGCGGTTTTCTTCCTGACATGTATGTATGTGTGTGTGTGTGTGTAGCACAAAGGAAACAGCAGACTATACTGTACTATACGAAAACGCACAAAACAGCTATGAAAAATAGATAGATAGGTACATGTACTCAAAGTCGACATACAAACAGACAACACACATACATACACAACTTCCACATGCCTCGTCTCGCTTCCCCAGAGACACCGAGAGAGAGAGAGAGAGAGAGAGAGAACCCGTCTATACCAAGGAAGAAAGCAACGCCCCAACCTGAATGGGTACAGGGTGTCTATGAGCAGCAAAAGAAAAAAAAGCGCAAAAAAAAATAAACGTGTTGAAAGGTGATGATGATAATAATAGAACAAGAGGCTCATTTTTCGGGTCCTTATTAAAAACACAGGGTCTCTTTAGATCTTGACAAAATAGACATAGAGAGAGAGGTTTCATCTAAAGCAGCACATCAAAAACAAACCTTTCCCTCCCCTCCCTCTCTCTCTCTCTCTCTCTCTGATCTGCTCTTTACGGCCATCGTCCCAATCCGCGGTTCTCAGGAAATCAAAATGGAATTTCTTCGCTTAACCGATGACGAGGGTGTCCTCGGAGGGGAACTGGTACTGGGGAACCTCGAGGTTGAGGGGAGCGGGACCCTTTCTTATACGGCCGGAGATGTCGTAGTGGGAACCGTGGCAGGGGCAGAACCAGCCGCCATAGTCACCGGATTCACCGATGGGGACACAACCCAGGTGGGTGCAGACACCTGGGACGGGAGATGATTAGAGGGAGGGTTATATGCGGAAGATGGCTATATCACGTACCAAGCATGACAAGCCACTCGGACTTCTGCACACGGTCCTCATCGGCCTGGGGGTCACGGAGAGACTGCCATTCGGTCTTCTGGGCCTCGTCGATCTCATCCTGGGTGCGGTGACGGATGAAGACGGGCTTACCACGCCACTTGATGATCACCTGTTCGGGGAGAGTCGGGTCAGATATCGATCGAGATGCGAGATAAGTTTCAGGGCTCGCTGGGGATGCGATGCGATTGGGGTCATACGTTCTTGCCCTCAGGGATGGCACCGAGGCCAATCTCAACCTTAGCCTGGGCGAGGACGTCGGCGGAGGCGGACATGTTGACCAAGAAGTCTAACAAGAGATTCCATATCAGCGATTTGGTCCGAGCGAGCGGTCAAGCATCACCACCACCACCACATATGTTCGTTTTCGTTGTCTGATCCACCCGATTTCCTAGACATTCCCCATCCTTCTTGTGCAGCATTGGAATCGCCAGAGAGACGTACCCTGGACGGTGGCCTTGGCACCGACGGCGGAGGCCAGACCGAGGGAGCCAGCCATGAAGTAGGAGAAGACCTGGTTGGAGCGGGGGCTCTTCTTCGAGGCGTATTTGCTGAAATCGGGGATGCTGCCGTACTGCTTGGAGCTGGCGAAGGGGCTTTCGAAAGACGGCTTGGCGGCATCAGCGACTCCCCTCCGCTGCTGGCAGGAGGCGACGGCGGCGCGAGAAGTGGGCAGTTGTTGCCGGGCGCAAGCGCGCAGCAGGGAGCTGGAGGCGGAGGAGAGAGACATGGCGAGAGGGGCAATTGAAGTCAATTGCAGGAGAGAACGACGGCTAGAGGCGTGGGTGTGGGGGGTGGGGGAGAGGGAGAGCCGGAGGAAGGCAGGGAGACGGTGGATTTTCCCAAGAGATGGAGTTGAGGTCTGAGGTTCGGAGGCCCGGCATACGGGAAGGGAAACTCGAACCAAAGCTTTCGCTACGGCAAGCGATCGGAATCACGGGGCGTCTCATTGGCTCGTCCTCCCGTCTTAGTCAGACAGCACATGATGCCTACCATACTATACTATCCTTACTATCTTTCCTATCCTTACTATCCTTACTATCCTTACTATCCTTACTATCCTTACTATCCTTACTATCATCCTATATTCACATTCAACATTCCCATTTTTAATTTTGCATCTCATTACCCTCCCCCAGACATATATCCAAATCCAATGCAACCAACCCCAGTAAACCATAAATGCAGCAAAACCCCCAGAACTCCTCCATGCAGATACACTAGTATACTATAACCTACTGGTCCGTCATTTCCACGTCCTGGTCCCCCCCAGACGCTTCCACCGTCCGATCCACCATCATCGTCACCGTCGGCGGTCGAGACCCCCGCGGCACCTCCGACTGTAGACCGTCCTGCTCATCCTCCGTATCCGCCTTCTCTTCAACGGTCGGGGGCAAAGACCCGTTCAACGTGCGCTGGCCCTTCTCCGGGGCGGCGTCCCTGGTGGCCTCCTTGGCCCGCTTCTCCTTGAACTGTTTATAGGTCGTGGTCTTGGGGATCACGTCGGAGAGGAATTCGAGGTTGTCGATTCGCGACACGGCCGTAGCTGTAGATAGGTATCCGTCAGTTTGGTGACCTCCATTTCTGTGATCCGGCTCGTCCAGCCACTCACCCAGGTCCTTGTATTGAATGAGCTTGCGCGGCTTCCGTTCTGATTTGACGACGTTGTGCCCTTGTTCGGTAAGGTATTGGATGAAGAGTTCCTGGATATCGAAAAGAAAAAAAAATGAGCTTGGGTTGTGGGAGACAAGGTGTTGCTAGCATCGAACACGGACCGTAGCCATCGCGATCACAAACGTAGCGTTGCTCGAGCATTGTACGATGTCGTCGTCGAGCTGGATAATCTTTTTGATGCGGGAGACTGCCACCGTCAGTCAGCGGATGTCGCCTCTCACGAAACCAGCCCACGTACTGGGGAGGGCGCTCTGGCCGGTGATCTCCTGGGAAGACGATGCTTCCGGCGCGGATTTGTCCTTGGGAGGCATCGCGACGTCGCGCGGGTCACGGGGAATTTGGCGTTGACGGGTGAGTGGGTGAGAGGGAAGAGATGCAAGGAGAGGAAGAAAAGTCGTAAAACACGTCGTGAGTCGTGAGTCTTGAGTCTTGTCTTGTCTTGTCTTGGGGGAGAGTTGCAGAAGCTGGAGTTGCAGGAAGGAGAATCGGCGCGTGCGGCATCGAACCCACCGCGTGTGGCGTAAGAGGAAATCAAAGTAATCCTGTCCACCCAATAGTTAATCCTCCCCATCCTTCTTCTCTTCCTCCTCCGCCAACCTGTCCAGCAACCGCTTTCACAGAGAACCCCTGCAACTTCTCGAACCCCCTCGCAAACTCCCCTAATCCTATTGTCCGCAGTCTGCTATTCAGCCTCGTTTTGGGACTCGGGGCGGAACGCCGTCTTCAGTCCTCACGTGGGCGGCCGCGCATCGCATCGTCGTCACCTCCGATCGAAGTAGCCCAGCAGCTCGCAGCTCCGGTTTCTTCTCGACTATGCCCCTACTCTTCCTCCTCTCGCCCCGCCAATCCATGGAATGAGCTCAATGCCTCTCCCATCCCCGTCGGCGCCCCCGCCCTCCGTGCTGTCGGAGCGCCGGAATTGGAGGAGGCTCTCCGGCTTATCTGTCTCGCCCGCCCACGAGCGGCGCCCGACCCCGGAGAATGAGACCGAGAACGAGAATGGCCAGCCCGCCGCCATCACCGAGGAGATCAGCGAGATCAAGCGCTACGAGGACTTCACCACCATTGATTGGGTGCAAGATGCGGTGCACGAGCAGGCCCGCCGCCGGGCCAAGCGACGAAACGGCTCCGGGTTCTGGGATCAGGAAGGCACCTTCGGCTGGCGACGCAAGGTGCGCGAGTCCTACGACGCCGGCCAGGCCTGGCTGGTGATTACACTGGTGGGCGCGGCCATTGGGTTGATCTCGGCGGTTCTGAACATCATCACGGAGTGGTTGTCGGATGTGAAGCTGGGGCATTGTACGACGGCGTTCTATCTCAATGAACAGTTTTGCTGCTGGGGGTCGGAGGGAGGTATGCCTTCCCATTCGGTGTTATGGACTGGGGAATAAGTCTCACGCTCATGGTTTCTTTCTGCAGGTTGTCCCGAGTGGAGGCCCTGGACCTCGTACTGGATCGTGAACTACTTCATATATATTTTCTATGCGGTAATGCTCGCCCATCCCGCCTGTTGAATGGCGTCTGAGACTCGATAGATACTATTTGCGTCCGTCGCAGCGAGCCTGGTTAAATCCTTCGCGCCGTATGCCGCCGGCTCGGGCATCTCGGAGATCAAGTGCATCATTGCGGGATTCGTGATGAAGGGCTTCCTGGGCGCCTGGACGCTGCTCATCAAGTCGATTGCGCTGCCGTTGGCTATTGCGTCCGGTTTGTCCGTGGGCAAAGAGGGGCCCAGCGTCCACTTCGCCGTCTGCACGGGCAATGTGATCTCGCGGTTCTTCAGCAAATACAAGCAGAATGCATCGAAGACGAGGGAGGTCTTGACGGCCACGGCGGCGGCTGGTGTGGCGGTCGCTTTTGGCAGTCCGATTGGCGGCGTGCTCTTCTCTCTCGAGGTACGGACAGCATGTTGGTCTGTGGGGTTTATACTGACGGGCTGCAGGAAATGGCGTCGTATTTCCCGCTGAAGACCCTCTGGCGGAGTTACTTTTGTGCTCTGGTTGCGACGGGTGTCCTGGCGGTAGGTCGCCCCTGCTAATAACTTCTTGTTGATGTTCTTGCTGATTACATCCAGGTAATGAATCCGTTCAGGACCGGACAGCTGGTCATGTTCCAGGTGCAGTACGACCGGAACTGGCATTTCTTCGAATTGATATTCTTTATGATGCTTGGGGTCTTTGGGGGGTTATATGGAGCGCTGGTGATCAAGTGGAACCTTCGGGTCCAGGCCTTCCGGAAGAAATACCTGTCGCAGCATGCTATCATGGAGTCGGTGATTCTCGCGGGCGTCACGGCCGTCCTGTGCTACCCGAACATGTTCCTGAAGATCAACATGACCGAGATGATGGAGATTCTCTTCCGAGAATGCGAGGGGGGGCATGATTACAACGGGCTATGCGAGTAAGCTTGCTGAACCTTCCTTGCAAACCAAGCACTAACAAGTGCAGGTCGAAAAACCGGTGGTCGATGGTCATGTCACTGGCCGTGGCTACAATCCTCCGCATCTTCCTGGTCATCATCTCGTACGGCTGCAAGGTGCCCGCCGGTATCTTCGTGCCGTCGATGGCCGTGGGGGCCTCTTTCGGGCGTTTCGTGGGCATCCTCGTCCAGGCTCTGCACGAGGCCTATCCCAAGTCCGCGTTCTTTGCCTCGTGCGAGCCGGACATCCCCTGCATCACCCCAGGCACGTATGCTTTCCTGGGGGCAGGCGCGGCTCTGAGCGGCATCATGCACTTGACGATCTCCGTGACGGTCATCATGTTCGAACTCACCGGTGCGCTGAACTACATCCTCCCGACAATGGTAAGCCCACACCCCCTACCATCCTACACACCCAACACTAACACCACACCACACCACTCAGATCGTCGTCGGCGTCACCAAAGCCGTGAGCGACTGCTTCGGCAAAGGCGGCATCGCGGACCGGATGATCTGGTCGAACGGATTCCCCTTCCTCGACAGCAAAGAAGACCACGTCTTCAACGTGCCCGTCTCCCAGGCCATGACCTCCGACCCCGTGTCCCTACCCGCCGCCGACTTCCCCGTCCGCGAAGCCGAGCACCTTCTCAGCGACAACAAATTCCAGGGCTTCCCCATCGTGGAAGACCGCACTCGAAAGACCCTAGTCGGGTACATCGGCCGCACGGAGCTGCGCTACGCCATCGACCGCGCCAAAGCCGAAGGCCTGCTCTCCCCCACCGCCAAATGCGTCTTCACCAAAGAAGCCGCCGACGCCTCCGCCGCCCGTCGCGCCTCCCATCTCCACGCCGCCCCCGAGACCTTCGACGACATCCAGACCACCTCCGGCACCAGCTACGTCGACTTCAGCCGCTACGCCGACCACACGCCCCTCACCGTGCACCCGCGTCTCGCGCTGGAGACCGTCATGGAGATCTTCAAGAAAATGGGTCCCCGCGTCATCCTGGTCGAGCACCGCGGCCGACTGATGGGCTTGGTCACGGTTAAGGATTGTCTGAAGTATCAGTTCAAGGTCGAGGCCGAGGAGCAGGCGCTCGCCGCGACTAGTCCGCCGCAGCTTTCGCTAGGCGGACAGACTACTAGTCGTGTGGATACGCTTGAGGATCGTCTGTGGGGCCTTATGCAGCGCGTCGGGGGATTCTTCTCCAGGCGGGAGAGAGAGCATACCCAAATCCCCCGAGTGAGACCCACGTCCGAGGAGCAGAGCCATCCGCCTACGAGGATTGTCGATGAGGATGAGTATGAGGATGCGATGTTGGAGATGGAGGATAGACGGTAGTGGGTGGGTGGGGTTGTCAAGCTGTAGAGGTCGCTTTTTTTTCCTTCTTTCATATAGATACCACCATACATACTTACTTACCATAACGCTTTTGTCTGTCTTGTATATACCCTCTCATCCTACTGTCTTCCTTGATCATCACTTTACAGAATCGAGGATTATTGTTAACTTGTTACTATTTCTATTTCTACGTAGGCGATGATGGGAGCGGACAGGGGTTGTTGTTGAGTAGTAAGTATAGTAAGTACTGATTTGTTTGCTGTTCCTGGCCTGACACAATAATGCCTTTGTCTACCCTACTTACCCCACATATACAACCAACCAACATCTATAGGTTCACTGCAATAACCACTGCAATACCATCTATAACAATACTCACATTCATTTCCTGTATTCTCATATTTCTCATGACCCTTTTATCAACACTTAACAATAATAATAGAACAATCTACAACCTCACCATCTACACCCTCCCCCCCCTTATACTACAATCCTTACCCTTATGGCGAAAGCCTCTGCACCCTCCATCTATACCCCTCCTCCTCCTCCTCTTTACCACCCCCACTAACCCTAACATACCTAAACCGATCATGCAACCTACTCTTCCTGCCCTGCCAAAACTCCACCGACTCCGGCACCAGTCTCACGCCGCCCCAAAACGGCGGGAGGGGGATATTCTCCACATCTTTGAACCTCACCTCCAGCTCCTTGACCCTCTGCTCCAGGAGGGCCCTCCCATCCTCGATATCCGTCTCGTCCACATCCCGGGGTACAACCGGACAAGAGGTGGGATCGAGGCTCTTGCGGCGCCGATCGATCAGCGTCTCGGGCTCCAGCGACCAGAGCACTTTGCTTTGCCAGCTGGCCCACGCGCCGATCTGGCTGCCGCGTTCGCGGGTTTGCCAGTACAGGGAGCTTTCGGAGCGGCTGAGGGGTTCGACGAGCCCCTCGATGCGGACTTGTCGTTCCAGCGTCGGCCAGAGGAATGTTAGCGCTGCCCATTTGTTGCCTTGGGATTGGCTGATTGTGTCTTGTAGGGGTTCGTCTCCGACTGGGATACCGCCATCGGGATCAAGGCCGTAGGGCTCCGGCATGGCTTGGATCCCACCATCCCCGTTCTCGGCACCTGTGTCGCCGTATCCGAAAACCTGTCCCCCTTTCCCCTCCCGGCTTCCCCAGTTGCTGTAGACCGTCCAGCCCCTCTCGTCGAGCTCTTTCAGGTACACGACGCGCGCGCTGACACGGCCGGAGGGCAGGCTTGCTGTTGCCAGCGTGCAGGTCTCCGGTGCGGAGGACGGCAGTAGACGGGGGTCGCGGAACCAGGCGTGGAACTGGTGTAGCGGGTTGGTGGGGTGCATTTGCGAGATGGTGAGGGGCGGGTTGCTGATGAATTGGTGGGCGCGGGAGGGGTGGGAGACGATTTCTTTTTCGGTGGTCGAGTCCGGGGTGGATGTATTGGATCGGAGGAGTGCGTCTTGTGTTGGGGTGGAGGTTGAGGTTGGCGGGGTGGGGAGGGGGAGGGGTCGAGGGTCAGGGTGCTCGGGTCCGGGGCGGCGGAGATGTCGCCTGGGGCGACTGGGTTGGTTGGTTAGTTGGATGGCTTCTGGGGCTGGGAGTGGACTCTGGAGGTGGGTTGGAAGGGAAGGGAGGGCGTACAGATCAGCTTCTTGGGGTGTTTGGGGGTGGTATCCCCGTCGGTCAGATTGCGGGGGGCCATGGTGGAGGAGGAGGGGTGGCGGTGGAAGTGGCGATGGTTGAAGGTCGAGGGGATGGGATGGGAGAGACGGGTCGAAGGATGGACGGATAGAAAGAGAGGGTGAGGCAGTCGAGGAGGCATCGACTGAGCCAGTGGTGCCAATGCAGTGAGGAGGAGGAGAAAGAAGAAGGAGGAGGAAGTTGGATCGATCGTACGACGAGCGGTTCCGGCGGCGATGCGGAGGGCGGGGCTGCCTTGGCAGGCTGGCAGACAGGCAGACAGGCAGGCAACTCTAAACTTGGACGAGACTTTTCTGGAAGGCTGCCAGAAATTAGAATATTTAAGATTTACTGGTATATATTGCTGTTTATATTTATTGTTGTAACTAGTTCTAAGGAGTTGCGAGGGTCTACTAAGTAGACTAGTAGTAAATAAATAAATAACTATAGTATAAACCTATACGGAGCAGACTAAGACAGACTACTGGGATAGTTTCTGCCTATACAGAGGCTCGAGCTGTTACGCAGTACTGTCAGCGGTCATATGAAACTCCCACTTGCAGTTGGATTGGCATTGACTCCCGGGGTTGTAAGGTGAAGTACTGTATGTATAGTAGTACGGCGTAGACTCGGATCCTATCACCGCCACAGCAAAGCCACAGCAACCATGCACCGCCACACCTTCTACTTTCCTGCTTTACTACTGTTTACACTGACACTGACACTCCATTGACACAGACATGGACATGACACTGACATAGACACTAACACTGCTGGATGTCCGGAGTACTCCCTACAGCATACACTGCAGACCAGTCATACACTGATTGTTCCCTTGCAGGCTGGGGAGAGATGCTTTGCTAGTCCTCCAGGCGGGGCAGACTGACTGACTGACTGACTACTCCTCCTTCTTACTCCCCCCACCCGTGGCTTTCCCCCGACCACGCCCCCATCACCATCCTCCATCTGGTCGAGTCCCAGCCCCGGCTCTCACTCGACTCGCCTGCTGCCTCGCTATTTACTAACCGCCGTTACTCCCAGTTCCCCGTCGTGCTTGACAGATCCATCTCCCACAAAACATCTTCCTTCTCCTCCCCCCCCCCGCACCGCCATGTCCTACAGATCCTCCCACATCTCCGCCGCGTCCGCCCCGGGCAAGGTCCTCCTCACCGGCGGCTACCTGGTCCTCGATCGCCACTACACCGGCACCGTGTTCGCCCTCGATGCGCGCATCCACGTCATTGTCCAGCAGATGAGGCGGACCTCGCGGGACGCGGAGGAGCAGACGGAGGCCGAGAACATCATCGTGGTGCGGTCGCCGCAATTCGTCGACGCCGTGTGGGAATACACGGTGCAGCGGTGCGACAACAAAGGCGGCGTCAAGGTGGTGCAGAAGGGCGATGGGTAAGACACCACCACATACATACACTTCCCTTCCCCCCACGACCCCAGCTAAAGCCCCAACAGCCGCCGCAACCCATTCGTCGAGACCTCCCTCAGCTACGCCCTGACCTACATCGGCTACATCGCCAACTCGAAAGACTTCGGCTCCCTCTCGATCACCATCCTCGCCGACAGCGACTACTACTCGGAGACGGCCTTCTCGAAGATCTCGGGCCTGCAGTCGCCGGGCCGCTTCGTCAACTTCGGCGTGCCGCTGCACGAAGCCCACAAGACGGGACTGGGCTCGTCCGCCGCGCTGGTCACGGCGCTCGTGTCCGCGCTGGGCTTCCACCGCACGCTCCCCACCGAGGAGATCGGGCAGTCGCGCGACAAGCTGCACAACCTGGCGCAGGCGGCGCACTGCGCCGCACAGGGGAAAGTGGGGTCGGGCTTCGACGTGGCCGCCGCCGTGTACGGCTCGTGTCTGTACCGACGGTTCTCGCCGTCGATCCTCGAGTCCCTCGGCGACGTCGGCGACCCGGGCTTTGAGGAGCGTCTGTTCGCCATCGTCGAGGACGTCGACCCCAAGCACCCGTGGGACACAGAGTGTCTGGACTTCGGCATGAAGCTGCCGCACGGCATGCAGATGGTGCTGTGCGACGTGGAATGCGGCTCGCAGACCCCCTCCATGGTGCGCAAGGTGCTCGAGTGGCGCAAGCAGAACCAGCAGGAGGCCGATCAGCTGTGGCGCGACCTGCAGACCAACAACGAGCGCATCTGTCTCGAGCTCAAGCAGCTCGTCCAGACCCCGGACCGCGAGGCCGCCTCCAACTTCGACGACGTCCGCACCCTCGTCCAGCGCTCCCGCGCCCTCATTCGCGCCATGACCCAGAAAACCGGCGTGCCTATCGAGCCCAAAGTGCAGACTGAGCTGCTCGACGCGATCTCCGACCTGGACGGCGTCATCGGCGGCGTGGTCCCGGGGGCTGGTGGCTATGACGCCATCGCCGTGCTCATCCACGACCAGGCCGACGTCATCCACCGGTTGAACGACTTCTTTGATGGCTGGGAGAGCAAGGTCGAGGATGACTTCGGGGGGAAGATCGGTAATGTCCGTCTCCTGGGCGTGAGGCATGGTTCGGCGGGATTGCAGATCGAGACCCTGGATATCTATTCGGGGTGGATTTGATTTGATCACTGTAGCTGTTGACTGTGACGGGGGCATGTGCATGAACATGGACACTAATAATTAGCGCAAAGCGGGCAGTAATGATTATCCTGGTCTCTGGCATTTATCCTAGGTCTAGTATTTAGTAGCCTCGTTGATCTATTTCTACTATCTATTATCTATATAAGAGCCATCCTGTCATATATCTATCTGATTGATTCCAACTACTACCCTTCGCATTTATCTATGTAAACCTACCATTCCGTCTATACTACACCACCTCAAAACCAATTCGTTCATTCGTCCATCAATACAGTAAGAGTACCACAACCTACCACCGTGACCCTACCAACCATCAACCATCAACCATCAACCATCAACCTAACCAACCCCCCAAAACCCCTCCCAATCCACCAACCCCCCCAGCCCGAAATCCAGCCCAAAGCCCAGGTCCATCTCACCCATCCCTACATCCATATGCATATCCATATGCATATTCATCCCCAACTCGCCCTCCCCAACACCAACACCAACACCAACACCACCCCCCTCCTTATCCCTATCCCTATCCCTATCCCTATCCCTATTCCTCCGCCCCAAAACACCCCTCAAAACAGCCCTACACACCCCCAAACACCCCCTCACAATCTCATAAACCCTCGTCTGCACCAAGGTTCCATTCCCACTGATTCCGTTTCCCACATGCCTTTGCCCATCTCCACCTCCACCCCCACCCCCACCCCCACTCTCACTCTGACCATTACCATCACCATCACCATCACCCTCACCACTATAATCCTCCCCCTCCAAAGCACAAATCTCCCCCACCAACGCCTCAACAATCACATACCGTTTCAGCGCGGGCGTGCCCAGCCGTAGAACATACAGACTCTGGTCACGGAGAGATTGCAGGACGTGGAGGATGGGTAAGCGGGTGGCTTTTTGGATGGTGCTTAGGGGGTGGTTATGACAATGATGATTATGGTGGGGTTGGGGTTGGGGTTGGGGTTGGGATTGGGGGTTAGGTGAGTGGGACAGGGATGGGAATAGGGATAGAAAGAGGAAGTGGGAATGGGAAAGGGAAAGGAAGATTCTTCTATCTGGGTGAGGAGTTCGAAGGCGAGCGTGCAGATGATGTCGAGGTTTAGTGGGCCGCGGAGGGGGCCGCGGGCGGTGGTTGTTAGGGTGGTGAAGTCGTCTTTGTCTTTATCCGGTCGTTCTTTTTCGGGGGTTTGGTCTTGGGGATGGGGATAGGGTTGAGAGTTGGGTTGGGATTGGGGGATAGAGAGGGAGAGGGGGGTTGTGAGGGGGTCGGGGTCTGGGGGGTTAGTGCTGGAGTTAGGGCTGTCTCTGCCTTTGCCTCTGCTGCTGCTTCCGCCATTACTATCAGCAACAGTAGCAGCAATACCAAGCGCAGCATCAAGACAGAGTCTGCGCGAAAAGTGAAATTGCGGATTCGCAGGGGCAGCGCGAGCGAACGGGAGATGGAGGTGCAGAATGTAACGGTTAAGGGTGGTGAGGAGGTATTTGTGGTGGAAGGGACCCGGATGGGGGAGGCTATCTGGGGATGTAGTTGGGATAGAGCTTGTGTTTGTGCCAGCAAAGAAAGCTGTGATGCTGTGGCAGGCGTTGCGGAGAGCGGTGGCTAGGGCCAGGGCTTTCTGGTATGGAATCCGCTGCGGGGAGTGGATGAGCTGGATGGTTTCTGCGCGGAGGGAGAAGGATTGGTGGAGGAGGAGCTGGAGGGAGGTGTCAGTGTGGGAGGGGATGGGGTGGGGGTTGTTGTTGATGATGATGGGTGCTGGAGGTCTGGGTCGAGGTCGGAGTCGTTGAGATTCGAGGGCGGTTTGGTGTCGGAGAAAGGCAGGGCCAGCGGGGAGGCAGACTCCAAGGAAGACTGCAGGGTCAGCTCCAGCACGGTGGCCCAGAGGCGGGTGCGCATCTCGGCCAGGAAGGGCGAGAGGGAAGGGAACAGGGCGGAGTCTCGATGCAGGCCCATGGCCGTGGCGAGCTGCAGCAGGGCACCCGCGGAGAGCCACGGGGAGGGCCCCGGGGGTCCCAGCTGGCGGGCTAGCAGAAGCAGGCAGAAGATCTGGAGGCCGTCCAGGTTGAAGGAGGCTTTCTCGGATGGGCCGGTGAGCCACCACTGGGCGGCATAGATCCAGGTCTGGAACAACTGCGGATCGGAGTGGGCGCCGGCCTTGCCACGCTGGGGATGGAATGTGGTGCCGATGGCGAGGATCAGGACCAGTTTGATCAGGAATGGAGTGGCGGATACCTGAAGAGACCCATCGTTATCGTCCCAGAAATGCCGGTATTCCTTCCTGAACGAGGGCAGATGCACGATGCGATAGATGCCTTCGAACGTGCGCAGATAGCATTCCACCAGCTCATCGCACACGGGCCTGGCTGGGATCGTGCGCCGGAGATCTGACACCGGGTCATTCAGGCGCGGCGTCTGGTCCATCTTGACCGATCGACGGAGATCTCGAACCTCCCTGATCTGGCTGGCCAGTTCGGCTCTGGCCTCCGGGCACAGCGCCAGAGGGCCCTTGGTTTCGAGCGAGCCGACGAGCTGGAGCTGTACACGTGCGTGTCAGCTGTACCTACTACCTACACTCTCAACCCATAGCCATTCAGACAGATATTAAACTCACCTTATCCATCGTATACCCATAATGCGTTGGCCCAAAGAGCTTCATCTTCCTCGCGCTAGCATGCAGTCTCGGCGGCGTCGCAGCAACGGACATGGACATCTCCCCATCGCCATCGCCATCGCCATCCCCATGACCACCACCAGCACTATCACGCGAAGAATCCACCACCACTACCAGCCGCCTTTCCAACCTCTCCACCTTATCGCATACCTCGCGCAAAGCCCGTTCAAGTTCAAGCCCAGACCCAGACCCAGACTGAGACTCAGACTCTAACCCCGTGCCCGATCTCGATAACCTCGCCTCCACCCGCTGCAACCGTCTCTGTAGATCGCGAACAACGGCGCCAAGCTGCGCCATCCCGCCCTGCTGCAGCTCCAGCTCCAGTAACGGCAGTGGCAGTGGTACTCCGTCGGTACTTCCCGATCCAGCACCCCGGTCCCGGTCCCGGTGCCCGTTCGCATTCCCCAGCGCCAGCGCCACCGCCGGACGCAAGGGACTGGCACCATGCTCATGCTCATGCTCATGCTCATGCTCATGCTCATGCCCACGCTCACGCTCACGCAAGGGGGGCGCGGCTATCGGATTCGGGCTCGGCGACGGGCTCAGAGACAGGCGGTGCTGGTAGGAGCAGGGCAGAGGCGAGCGAGCCCGGGTGCAGGGCCCGCAGGGAACGGTGCGGTCACACCGGATCTTGCGCTGGCGGCATTGCAAGCATGATTTGGCTGGGCGGCGTTGTTGGCGTTGACGTTTGCGCGGTGGGGGGTCGGGCATGGCATGGATGGATGGATGGATACTGTGCTGTGCTGTGAGTGTGTGTGCTGATGGATTGTGGATTGGATGGTGGGGTGTATGTAGTTCTGTTGTTGTTTGTCAGAGAGAGAGAGAGAGAGAGAGAGAGAGAGAGAGAGAAGTGTTCAAATTGGTGGCTGTCCGGCAGCGAGGCCGAACCCGAGGCCGAAGCCGAGCGAGCCTCAGGCCGGTCGGGGTGGAGGATGCCGAGGTTGGTACTAGTAGTATAGACTATAAACAGCAGTTATTATTATTATTGTCATTTATTTATTATTCCTTCAACAGATACATTATTATCATATATCCCAAAATGCAGGTCAGATAGCACCTGAGCCTGAGGGAGGGTGCAACAGTAATAGTATCAAGATAGACCTGTCATAGTTTCAGAATGAATCGAGTCCATCCAAGAGTGGCGACAATTACATAGAACCAGAATCAGTGGCGATTCATCCATCATACGACACGCTACCAAGCAATCACAAAGTTCAAAAATTTTTTTAAAAAAAATGCAGATCTATTCATTCATCACTCTATCTGGACACATCGCATCACATCACATACGGCCATGCCTTTTGAGGGCGACCAGCTAAACACGCTCTAATGGGTGGGTTGCTCCACAACCACATGCGAATCTATGAACAAGCAGATTTCTCTTAGGATTGTCAAGAAGTCAAGAGAAATCGTCTAAATAACCGCAGCCCGCCAATGATCGCGCACGCTTGGTTGTCCAGCAACAGGCACGACACTCATTCTCACTCTCCCACTCACTCATCACAATGCCACTCACATGTGTGTGTGTGCAACAAACAGAAATAGAAAGGAGGAATAAAACACAAAATGGTATAAGTAGGTATAGGTATAAAACTCATGTGGAGAAAAAACATATCGTCATACGCAAAAGAATCGCCCCCAACAAAACAAAGTGTCAAGAGGCCGCAACTTTTGGATGCCCTCACTGCTGGGCAGGGGGGTGGTACTGCGTGAACTCATCCGACTGAGGGGGTTCCTTCTCGCCGATCTGACCACCGGCCTTCTCCTCGTCGCTGTTGAGGATGCCGTACTCGGCGGCCTTGGCCTCGATCTCGTCGTCCGTGAGCCGGGGCAGCTCCTTGGACGCGCGCACGTAGCTCATCTTCTCCACGTAGCCCTTGGCGAAGATCAGGTCGATCTCCTCCAGACTGCGGCCCGCGGTCTCCGGGTAGAAAAACCAGATGACGGGGACGAAGACGCCGTTCCACGCAGCGAAGAATAGGTACGTGCCCCAGCCGATGCTGTCCACCATGACGGGGGTGATCATCACGACCGTGAAGTTGAACAGCCAGTTGCTGCAAGTCGAGACTGCGTTCGCCTTGGACCGGGTCTTGAGGGGAGAGATCTCGGCCGGGTACAGCCAGGGCAGGGGCAGCCAGGTGGCTCCGAAGACGCACATGTACAAGAAGAAACCGAAGATGGCTCCCTTGGCGGTCTCGGAATCACCGGGAATCAAGCATCCGAACACAATCACCATGGCCGCGCACTGACCGATACTGCCGCCGAGGAACAGCTTGCGACGACCGATCTTTTCGATGAAGAACCAGGAGAAGGTGGCGAAGATGGCGTAGCAGATCATGTTAACGCCGCCAATCAAGAGGGCAAAGTTGTGCGACTCGCCCAGCGACTGCTCCAGCAGCACGGGCAGGTAGTAGATGACGGCATTGCAGCCCGAGATCTGCTGGAAGAACTGGGAGGACGACCCCACCAACATGCGACGGAAGTGCTGGGACGGACCGCCCGTCAGCAGGTCGCGGAAGCGGGTTTCGGAGGATCCGGATCTGGGATGGATGTGAGTTTGATAGAAACAGGGCATGCGGCTTGGCAGTGAACTTACGCTCGGATCGAGTCCAGGGTCAGGTTCTTCTCCAGCTGCACATGAGGGTGGTCGATCTCCGTGTCGGCCAGGGCCGCCAGCACCCGGGTGCCCTCCTCGACCTTGCCGTGGGCAATCAGGTAGCGGGGGGACTCCGGCAGGTAAAACATGCCGATGATGATGATGACGCCGAAGAAGATCTGGAAGGCGATCGGGAACCGCCACACCAGGTCAGGCGGGCCGTAGTGAGCCCCGAAGTCGATCCAGTAGGCGATCGCCGTTCCAATGGCGATGATACCACCTTCAATGCAAATCAGAAGGCCTCGGTTGCTCGTCTTGGAACACTCGGCTTGGTAGGTCGGGATGGTGGACGTGTTCATGCCGTTGCCGATACCAGTGATCACTCGGCCGAAGATGAATTGCAACAAAGGCAGCGAGTTGGGCATGGCAGTCACCTGGATGATCACGCCGATGATCATCACGGAGGCACCGCAGATGACCATGAGCCGACGGCCCAGCGTTTCACCGAAGATCAAGGCGAAGACGGCGCCGATCAGGCAGCCTGGCCAGGTAGGTTAGTGACTGAACGAGCGGACCGGTCGAAGATATCGATCGAGAGCACTCACCAACTTCATAGACGGCCGTAACCGTAGCCTGCATCACGTCGTTGCCCTTGGTGGCCGTGAACATGTTGTTGAACGCCGTGTCGGAGATGATACCAGACATCACTCCCTCTGGTCGGGTGTAAGCCATACCGGGTAGACTAAGATATGGGGGCCTCGGCCACACTTACGATCGTATCCGAACAGCAAGAAGCCCATCGTCGCGATGGTGGACAGAAACAGGGAGAGGCGCCGGCCGGACATGCCGGCATACTTGGGAACCGCCATCTTGGAGAATCAATCGAGGATCTATGGTCTGCGCATAGAGTCCGGGGATCTGGGGTAGAGAGGAAGAGGTACAGGGGGGATGGGAGAGGCGAGACAGGGAGTGGAAAAGGAACAGGGGAAGAACGTCGAGAGAAAATCGGGCAGTAACGAGACTTAAAAGACCGGGCAACTGCATGCGGTAGGCAGGCGATGGATCGTGGATGAGCGTAACCCCGACCGTCCCCGAGTCGGGCAGAGAGCAGAGAGAGAGAGAGAGAGGAGAGGGTCACCACCCATGGGGAAAGATTTTGGAGTTTGGAGGTTCGGCCCTCCACCAGAGCCAATTTCCCATGGGTATCGGCCCTAGACTGACATCACGGGAAACTTTTTACAAATGGGTATTCGGGCGGCTGACCGCGGCAGGATCTTCGGTGAAGGCGGGCGAGCACAGCGATGGTTTCGGTCGAGCGATGATGTGAGGATGATGCATTCCAGGGTGGATGATCGTCGGGGACTCTGCGAGAGGTGATGCAACCTCCCTGGGAACTGATAAACTAGACGACCCACTTGGGCCCACCGCAGGGTCCGGTCCCCTCATGCCTGCTGGCCATTGCTGGTCACTGAGTGCCACTCCTCTAATTCTTGTTACCCACGGGAGATGGGCAGAGGGTCCACTCAGTGGGGGCAACGCCCGTGCCGGTGCAAGGGCATCGTCCAGGGCTTGGAGCTTGGGACTTTCGAGGGCTTGCGGCTTGCGGCTTGCGGCTGGCGGCTTGCGGCACTACTGTGCACCACCACACTAGATTCATAAACCTGGTTGAAGAATTTTCGGTCGGTCCGCTCACTGGCCACTGACCACTCAACGGGAGAACGTGGTCCTCCCGTCAGGTTCCATCTTCTGTCCCACTGCAGATCCACCGATGGCACCCGGCTGTGATGCAGGCCACGGCCCCGGGTAGGCTTCAACACGACTGGGGATCGCCGCTGCAGCCACCGCGAACGGCCGCCAATAAAACAAGGCCTCTGAGCCTTTTCCGTCCTCGCCCATCCGCTGGTTGCTTATCTCCTGATCCTGATCTTCTCCCTCCTTCTTGTGCTTCTTCTTCTTTTCCCCCCCTCCTCGCGGTCGCGGCCTCACACCATCGTGGATCGGGTACTGTCGTGGGCGAACTATCGGCCGTTGCGTGTCGCCTAGGAGTACGCCGGAAGGGACGCATTGGCATGCTGGGCATAGCATGACCGGAGTGCCAGTGGGACCTTGGCCATCTTCTGCACGATGCGATCATGGCTGGAGTCAAACCCATCCTTGGGGGTCATCAAAAACACAAACTATGTAGATAGTCTTCGTTAGCCAGGCCTCCTCCTCGCGCGTGATTTCCTCCTTCCCTGCGTATGCGCCCTTTTGGGCTTTTGGGCTTCGGGGAGGGGGTGGCGTTCTCACCTCGAGCCAGTGGCGCACCCGCACGTTCTTGTACCGGGTGTCGAAATGCATGCTCTGCATGCTCTGCATACCCTGCATACCCTGCATGCCAGCGCCAGACCCAGAGCTATCCGGCTGGGAATGGAGGTGACACATCGGCAGCGGTAGGATCAAGTCCAGCGTGGTCTCACTCTCAGTCTCGCCCTCACGCGCGGGTTCGCTTGGCGTCTCGGAATCTCCGACCATCTTCGCAACGGCACACTCGCCTTTGCCCGAGTCTGGGCGCTCGTCATTGCTGGCCCGACGGAGCGACAGGGTGGAGACCAGCCCGTCCACTTTTTCGTACAGCAGAACGCGCCTAAAAGGGCCCGGGCAGCCAACAAGCCCATCCCTTTGGAGGTACTGGACATTCTCCGAGAGGAAGACCCGCAGGCCCCGGAACTTGGCTGTAGCCAGTTCGGTGAACATTACGGTCACCGGTAGGTCGTCGCCGAGGGGAGCTCCTCTCCGCGACACCAGAACCTCACACTGGACGAGGTCCTTCCAGGCCCGGGCGATGTACACGGGCTCGGCATCGTCCACCTCGTCTTCCGCCGGGCAGTGGACCGTCGTGATAGCTTTGTTGAGCGCAAGGCTGCGCTTCAGGATGCCAGGGCACTCGACGCACGCGCGAACCCGGTACCGTACCTGACTCTGCCGGATTTGGATGGACTCGGGGAGGTGCGAGTGCAAAACCATCTCGAAGTTATATGTGTGGGTCCCGGCAGATAACTTAGTTCCTGCGCTTTTCTCGTGGCTTCCGCCTGAGCATAGTCTGGACGTGACGGCATGCCACAGCTTGCATCGTTTGCTGGGCCATGATGGCTCGGACTCTGAGTAGCAGGGTAGAGCGGGCTCTAGGCTCCCGGAGCTGAACAGTGTTAGCGTATTGTCCGTCACGGTCTGGATGTCATGCAGCCCTGTAATGTTGCTCTAGGTTAGTGGAAGAACGCCATTGACGTTATGAACTGTCGCCCGGGCTAGCCTACCATGCGGCCAGGTAACACGACTCGTCCCGCGAAAGTTCACGGTCACTCTTTTCACAGTCAGGGTATCCTTGACATTTAGTTGACAGGTGCCCCGGAGGACGGCTGGCTTGTCGGTGAACGTAGGCACGAACACGGCGGGTTCGGTGATGTTGAGGTCCAGCCTCGGGTCGCTCAGGGCCTCGTGGGTGTAGAGACTTTGGGTAGCCTTTTTCACAGCTGAGAGCGACTGGCGAAGCATTTCTAGGAAGGGGTGGAGACCTCCTGGGCGCGACGTCAGTAGGAGCTTGGGGTGAACTGTTTGGGAATTTCCATACTAGTCCATCGGGGAAAACCAGTTTATAATCGGGCCCTATCCTGCAGAGGGTGGCCACATGACTTCAAGTCGAGGTCATGTTTCATATCAGCTCATTACATCAGATAGGCACTCCAGCTGGGCCACCACATGTCGGTGTCCAGGTTTGGGTTGCATGTCAGGCAAGGGCTGCTGTCCGCCTGGCCTCTCCATCCTTGTTCGGTTAATGTAGCCTTTCTGGGGGGAACCTTCGTGTTTGAGACGAGCCCGTCCATAAGTGCGGCCCGTTTAAAAGGTTAACCTTCAAGCCTCACGTTTCCCCTCTTTCTTCAGCGTCCGAAGGTTTGGCCAAGCTCAAGTGATCATCGCGGACACAGAGGCTTTAACCCGGTAAACATGGATGATGTCACGGCGGAAAGGCCGGTAAGTGGGTGAGGAGGCTATGGCAGCCCGGATACCACGGATACCCTGTTGAACTCACCGAACGTCGCGTGTAGCAACACCAACAAGATGTAGAGGATGGGTTCTAGACCGGACCATGGCATCGTGTCCGTCCACGTGGATAGGCAGTCCGTGGCCTGGCTCGCGATCAGGAGACACTGGGTTTTGAGGGTACCTGGGCATTTCTTATCGGGTCAGTATATGGCTTGGTGTGTCAAGAAGGCCCCGTAGATAGGGGATCCGGAATTGGCTCCAGATAACACTCACGCAGTTGTATCAAGGAAGTGGCGCGAGGCAGGTACGATGCCAGTAGTCGATCGGAGCGATCACACGTGCTTGTGTCGCTTTGCTAGCCCCGTGATGTTGTGGCATCGCAGCATCGCGATATCGCGATGTCAGCGCAAACATCCCCTAGTACTCGTGCTTTCCTATCAATGAAGACGCGATGGAGGAATGATAGGTGAAGAATCGGGCTGAGTTGGTAGTTGATCAGACCATGGCCATGGCGTGACGCCGGGCCGTCTTTTGGATGGCGTTTGTTGGTGGCGGTGGTGGTATGACGCTCGTGTACAGCGCAGAGGGATAGGGAAGGGAACAGGATTGAAGCAGAAGTGGTATAAGATGCTCCAGCTGGGCCATCACTTGAGGGGGTAATTAGCAAGATTGCGATTTAACCATAAATTTAGGCATAGTGGACAAGATGTTCCTGACTCGCCCGGGAAATCGTCGACGGACGGGTGCCTGGCGTTGGCCAATCGTGCCAGGCAACCCACCCAGACGGGGCTGCCCCACCCCAACGGTCCGTTCTATAAAAAGCTACTAGATATCTATTGAAGATTGAGAATGAATTCAAATGGGCTGCAAGCCGCTGCTACAGGCTTTATTGTGGTCAGAAACTGCTAAAGACCTCCTGCGCCTCAAGAAGCTGAAGATAGACACCTGTATCAAGTTAGCTATGGGAAAAGCCTGGGAAAGACAACGAGAATCAGATATCACCTGCGACTTTCCACCGAGCATTAACCACGACCAATGCCTCCCTCAGACATTTGGCCACTTCCGACTGCGAGGTGTCTGGAAAGCGCATGTGGGCACCGCAAATCTGGTACGCGAAGAAAAGACCCCACGGGGAGGTGTCTTCCGGATCGCGACCTAGAATGCATTGTCGTTCGACCAAGTTAGCACCGAGGGCTTTGTAGACTGGGGGGCGGTAGTACTGTGATGAGCTTGAGGTAGAGCAACAACATGCAAACGTCAGGTCGAGAGTGGAATGATGGCCGTAGAGAGAGTTCGTGGAATCGTTTCTTCGAGATAAAGGGCATCCACGTGTGGATGTGCTCGAAGAACTTGCATGCAGTGGCACGTATATCCTCAATATCTCCTAGCATATGCAGGATGTGTGTCGGGATTGGTGTTACTGCCTGTGCGATTTCCACTTGGCCCTGCTGTAAGAGCCCGGGATCCAGGAACAACATCGTCGGAAAGTCGATGGATTGGGCAGGGGGTGCCCATGGGTTAGATGCGAAGGCTTGTTCGGAATACCCCGTCCGTTCTGGGCTCGTGTAGTCGCATACTACATTTCTTCTTGTTTTTTTTTTATTGGGTTAGTTCATTTGCCAGGGACACGGCAATCCACCTTGATTCCACTTACTTCGCGCATGACGAACATTTCGGGAGTGCTTTATTGCATTTCCTCTTTCGGATCTTGCAGGCCCTACACACCTGTGGTGCCTGTTCGAGGCTAGATTCACTGCCAGATGCTTGCATGGGGAAGATAGATAGGCTGTACAAAGTAGATGTTGGATGATGAGGAGAATCGGGGCGCTGCGGCGGCTGCCGGAAATAAGCCATCGGCGGCCGCCTGATCGGCCGCCCGAACGGCCGACAACATATGGCAACAGTGATGTGAATAGTCTAACGCAATGCGGGAACACAGCATCAGGCAGGATCCTGGTGTGTATATATAAGGGGACTGCCCGGGGCAGCTGTCCCCACTCCAATTCCTCAAGCAACCATCATCCCAAGCATATCCATTGTGCCCTACTCTTTTACCCCATTCAATACCATTTCAACTGCGAATCAATATGAGCCCCTACACTTCCGCGCATACTGATCCCCAAGGTGCCGGAGATGCGCGACCAACCGCCCTCCAAATCATCCAGGATGAGTCTCTCGATGGTGGGCTGGTCGGCAAAGTCATGGTCATCACCGGCGCCACCTCTGGCATTGGCCTAGAGACGGCTCGCGCATTATCTGCAACAGGCGCCACCTTGTTTCTAACGACTCGGGATCTGAAGAAGGCCAATGCTTCTCTCAAAGACATCCTGGAACCAGGTAGGGTGTCGCTGGTCGAGATGGACAATGCCTCTTTTGCGAGCATTCGAGAGGCGGTGACAACCATCCTGTCCGCCTCCAAGGGTCAAGTCAACGTCCTGGTCAACAACGCGGGTATTATGGGGATCCAGGAGCTTCAACTCACAGTGGATGGCCATGAGATTCACTTTGCCACCAACTATCTGAGCCACTTCTTCCTGTTTCAACTTTTGAAGCCTGCCATGCTGGCCAGCGCGACTCCCGATTTCCATTCCCGGGTCGTGATGGTTTCTTCCTCCGCCCATCGCGCCTGGAAGTTCAACGAAAGTGACAACGACTATAGCTTTCAAAGGAGGGAGTACCATCATGCATCGGCTTATAATAGCTCCAAGCTAGCCATGGTCTACATGGCCAACGAAATCGATCGTCGCTACGGCCACAGTGGACTTCATGCGACCAGCCTCCATCCCGGCGCCATCAACACCGATCTCTCCAGATACATCGGCCCCGAGTTTGTGGAGCAGCTTCTGAAAATCGAGAGCGTTCTCAAGGTCTTGAAATCCCCGGAGCAAGGAGCTGCAACGACGGTTCTTGCGGCGGTGGGGCACGAATGGGGGGATCGGGGAGGGAGGTATCTGGAGGATTGCAGAGAGGCGGAACGAGGTGCAGATGATGATGATGGTTTGGGGGTGGGATATGTGCACCAGACCTATGACCCGAAGCAGGAAGCGCTTCTGTGGAAGGACTCACTGGTGATGGTGGGAATTGCCGATGATGCTTGAAGAAGTATACAGTAGTAAGGTAGTAGTAGTTCAGTAGTTCCACGGGACCAAGCAGGACTTATCTACCACTCACTCACTCACTCGTGCCTGGGGCTATCCCGCTTTGGGTCGCCACCAAGGAGGTTATAGTATGCCTTCCGCATCAATCCCGCTTCACTTATACACAACCCCACGGTTGATCCAAGAGTTGACTATAGTCATCCATGACAACATGATTCCATGGCTTCAACCCCTGCCAATTGTTACCACGTGAAGATGTCAGTTGTCCTTGTTCCCAGATGCACATACCATCTGCCATCGCAGGCGGTTTCGTCAGTTCTCGGAACTTCCCTCTCAACAATAACAAACAAAGGGACAAAACTCCCGCAGAGGCAGTCTCCGAGTTCACGTCGCCTTCCCTCTCAATTTCTCGGAAATTCCCTTCAAACAAGGCAGTCCGATCCTGGACGCCCTATGGCAGGCGACCTTAGTGTCTTAGATCCTGCTGCGCAGCTACAGACAATATGGAGGCGGTGGATCAAACAGGGAGACATCCCCCTTGGCCAACGGGAGACTCCTATCAGTCACAGCTTGCTGCCTTTTTCGGGCCTTCTCTCGTTTATACCAAGACCAGACCAGGAAGTTGTCTATCAAGTGCCGTGTCCAAGCTTGACAGGGGGTGGAGAATACATATAAAATGCCACCGCTCCCACCTAAACTTCAGCCACCAACGACAACTTGTCGAACACAGACAAGTTGAACACGGACAACATGAACAACTCAAGCAACGATACTCCGGCCATTGACTGGACCCGGGACGGGGACTTGGAGAGCTACGTTGCTCGGGCTCTGGACGACAAGCAAATCCCCAATTGCCTGTGGTCCGACGGGGCGCTGTCCATATACGGATGTCCGTCAAGTCAGGAAATGGTGGCTAATCATCGACAGAAATCCTCTGCCTGGATGGTCCCCGACCGTGTCATCCACCGCGTGCCACAAGCCCTGGCTGGTACCAGTTTCGTGTCCTGCACGGAAGGTGAGGACTGCCATGTACTCGATAAGGAACGAGTCCACCCATTTCCGGATGTACACGTGCATGTGCATCGTGAAGGACAGCCCGGGTATGCTGTGGAATTCTACAAACAGAGCCGCCTGTTCTGGGGATTACCGCCTCCACCCCTGGGCGTTCCACGCTCCGGTGACCCCTTCTACATGCTCGTCACCGACGAGCGATTGAGTGAGCCTGCTGTGCTGTCGCGAGGCCGGCAGCCAGCCGGAAATCACCCTGTGAAGATATTGGTCCCCACCCACTATACGATTGGGATGGCCCTCCTCGCGCTGCGCGACCTCGAGGAATCAATGAACCGGGATCATTGGCTCGGTGTGATGAAGCAGCTATGGTTCATGATCATCGATGATGAGAATCCAATCTTGGATTCGAATAGTCTGACGGGGGTGTACCATAATATCATGTACGCGTTTGGCGATTGGCTTCTCAGTCGCCAGCCTGATAGAGTTCAGAGGGGACATGAGTATATCTATCGCGTCCATCATGAATGGAAGGCAGCTGGTCGTTTGCCGCCCCCGGACAGAGGTGCTTTTTTTTGGGGTCCTGGTGGTGATGTTATTCCGCTTGCTGGTGATCACTTCGTGCTGCAGTAAGTGGTTCCTCCATCGAGGATGCTGTGCAAGGTTTATTTCTTTTTTTTTTATCGCGTCTTCTATGACTTGGGGTTATGCGCAAACAGGTACATGGTTCCCATCGGTAGCTAGTATTGTAAAAGACGCCGCATCCTTTACTCACAGTCAATAGACTTTCGTGTTGATCTCCATGCTTTCCAAAGTCCTCACTGACTATCCCACTTCCTCATAACAGTAAACCAGATCGGATCAAATCAAGATCTCCTATCGTAATCGAGCTCGCCACTTGTACGGTCTAAGTAGGTACTTTCCCCTCGGGCGAAGCAAGACCTCGATACCATATGCCCAAGGCTCGCATGAATCCATAACAGTAGAAAGAGAGACATAGGGCTGTCAATTCTAGTATGAATAGCCCAAACACTGCTCACCAGCCAGACATACAATTGAGCCAGTAGTAATCCAACATGGTAAGCAGAGCAGACCTACGAGTATATACATACGGACGGGGTATACAACCAACAAAAACAACCCCAATCGACCAAAGAATAAAAAGAAGATACGACACCTCTGGGACTCGAACCCAGGCGGGCGAACCCACAGGCTGAACAACTATAGCAGTACCGGAGTAACGCTGAATAGCAGGCCTGCGCCTTAAACCACTCGGCCAAAGTGTCTTTATTGGTTGAAGAGTTCCAACTCAGCGAGCTACTTATAGCGGGTGGATTATTCCGTCATGATGATTATGAATAAGCACGTCCCTTCCTTCCTTTCTTTCTTTCTCCCTTCTGGGTACGTGCCACGGTTGCAGCCATCCCATCCATCCGCTTCCGGCAGATGCTGTGTACATTACACGGTTGGTTGGTTATCTATCGTTGCTTGTTTCTTGGCCGAAAGAAGCAATTTGTTACTGACCACTTTATGTTTTGGAAAGTACGTGATAAAAACAAGATGCCAACCAGGAGCAAGACAAAAAAGAAATACGCGACACCTCTGGGACTCGAACCCAGGCGGGCGAACCCACAGGCTATACTATACTAGTGCAGTGGAAGACTGACTCGTGAATAGCAGGCCTGCGCCTTAAACCACTCGGCCAAAGTGTCCTATTGATTGGAAATCAGCGGGGGAATTTGGCTTGCTTGGGGGAGGATATAGGAGTAGATTAGCTTTTAGTAGTGAGCTACAATGGTTCGTTCGTGTTGCTTCAAGGTACCGGTAGAGTCCTCCCTGTCGTATTCCGTAGATAGTGGTGGTTTCGGAATGGCGGCTTGTTGACTGAAGAAGAAGAAGAAGAAGAAGAAGAAGAAGAAGAAGGTATTGATTGAATTCCCATTGAGGGGCAGGTTTGTTTATCTGCTAAAAGTAAGTGGAGATTGAGTCCTTGAATAGCTGTTCGGATGCACGGAGTGCTCCATATACTTGGCGAACAGACTGTAAAAGATATCGCGACCAAGGATGCAATCCCACGTACGGACGGCCGAACCACGCTTCGGAACATGGATCACGATGCGCGGAGCCAGAGAATCATCGGCTAGCCGGTGGGTAAGTAAAAATTTAAACAGAAATATACGACACCTCTGGGACTCGAACCCAGGCGGGCGAACCCACAGGCTATACTATAGCGATACTCCGGATAGAGGAGGGCTGAATAGCAGGCCTGCGCCTTAAACCACTCGGCCAAAGTGTCTTGATGCTGAAATTTCCTGCTAAACGCACTCAAGAGCTGGGGGCGTCTTCGCGGATTTTTTTTTGAAAATCATCCCTCTGCGGTGCTGCGGTCGGCACTGCAGTGGTTATTCAGGGGGGATGCTTGCTTATTTTCTTCCCTCTTTCTTTCTTTTTTTTTTTTTTATCTAACTCGAAGTAATCGTTCAGATGATATGAGGGTTAGGAACAGGAGCTCAGTTGGGGGGGTCACCGCCGTCGCAACCGCAACCGCAACCATCTCATAATCGCTCACTCATCCCGATGATGGAAAAGTTGCAGAAAATCATGTGAAAGGGTCCAAGGGTGGAGTCGACCCTGTCGTATAAATGAACGAGATATGCATAATATATTGGCGATAATCATGCATCGTCATGACATGTAAGAGAGGCTGTAAAGATCACTCGATAATTGACTGACGGTGTGATATACATCGAGGTAGTTGGGATCGGGGCTGGGCTGAAATATGGTTAGGCTTTTGAAAATTTTCTTTCATGTTGACTTTCTGACTACTTGCCTGTTAGACTCCTTCTCCCTTGCGCAAGACATCATAACAAGACACTTTGGCCGAGTGGTTTAAGGCGCAGGCCTGCTATTCAGCGTTACTCCCGTACTGCTATAGTTGTTCAGCCTGTGGGTTCGCCCGCCTGGGTTCGAGTCCCAGAGGTGTCGCATATTTCTTTTTGCTTCTCACTGGGACTCACTGTCCTGCCGTTCTGTTGCCTCCCTCCTCATATCAATTGTTGAGTGGTCGTAATATGTATAGCCCAAAGAAAGCTGCATGTTTTATTGCCATCATGTTTGAAGCTGTCGTCTATGGACAAGTATGCTTTTTGTTGGACACCCGGATTTGCTTCGGCTTCCATCCCATGAGATTTCAATTGACTCTCGGGGCTTGAACATATATTGCTGCGCTCGTAGAAAATATTCAGCTTACGAAACCCTCATCTACCACGAATATCCTCGCGCAATCTGGAAACGCCGAGGAGAATTGCCTCTGGTTTGATGCAACAACAACGCGATTGCTTGATATCCCCCTACTCGCCCGAGGTTGCCTGCCGAGCGCCGCGAACAGGGCTGCCCGGAACATGTGAACGATCTATCATCGAACGTCAGTTCCCTTTCCCAAACCTGTTTTGTTCCAGGGCCTGTTAGAATCCTGATTACTTCACCCCCTGCCCAGTCAAAAGCCCACCTCACCTCTCTATCGATATCGCTTGATAACGCCGACCAGACAATACGGACTGCCAAACCTGCATGCCCGTGTCTGTACTAAGACGGCACCGTGTTGCTGACTCGGCGGACATATCATCAATCCCGTATATCTGTCTCGCAGCCCCGAACTACTTCCCAGACATGGGAGGTTCCCGACCAGCGAGTCTGTCGGGCTCCACTGGAGGACCTTGACGCTGCCGAGTCTTTTCTGCTTGAGCCGATTGAATCAGGGCCGTTTTGTGTTGCATTGACGTAGCTAGCCCAAGTTATGTTCCTCTTCGTTTTCTATGCCATGCCCCATCACTACCACACCAGAACCGAATGGAATGGTCCTTAAATGCCGGCCCGAGGGCGCCGCCAGGGGCGCTTGTGATATGGACAAGACGGTATGCACTCGCTCCGCTGTAAAGCACCGAGCTGCCTGCGTCGATGATGGTAATCGACGCTGTCAGGCTTCGAGGCGAGCATGGTGGAAACAATCGAATAACTGAAAGCTCCGCCGCATGACTGCTTTTTATACCCCCCGTCCGTATCTGCGTCTGGCCCAAAATCACCACGAGTTGTCCTTGACAAAGCGACCCTGAACCACGTGTGGATCACACCACCCCTCGAATTGTCGTCCAGACATGGCGACCTTCCGCATGACAGGTGTCATAGTCAGCTAATGATGCAGCACCTCCGCAAGCGACCGGGATCTGCGGCGACGAACTGCACGCGGGGATGGACTCCATCCGTCGAGTCGCGGTGGACCAGCTGCATGCCGAAGCAGTCTGAAGCGGCAGAGGAGACAGTTTACGGGTAGTATGTGTGCATTGTACAGTGTGTACGGAGTCGACAGTCCATGCACTCTTGTAGATAGATAGATGCTGAAAGACGAACGGGAGCGGCCCACCGGACCCAAGAACAGGCCGGGACCCGAGCCACTGAGCCACCACTAAGGCGGCGCCCAACCAACCGGATCGGCGCCCCTCTGAACCCCGACTTGCTGCTCTCTCGCGCGCTCTCTCCCTTTCCTCCATTCTGGTGGTTATCTTACTCCGTATTCAGCCAGACAGCCAGACAGCCAGACAGCCAGACAGACTAGACTGCCTGCCAGTCTGCCTTCTTTCCCTCCCCATTCATTCATTCATTCATCCATCCATTCATTATTATCTCTTCATCCATTCTTCCTGCTTAAACTCTCCTCTTTTCGAATCCTCCCTCCCCTGCCACACCGACCTCCTCCCCCTCTCCCCCCTCTTCCCCCCCTCCCGTCATCATCTCCTCATCCCCTTTTCGCTCGCCTCCCTCGGGTCGCATGGCCCCCTACATCCTCCCCCGATCAAGGTTCTAGTCGCTTGTTCGGGCCTCTGCCTCCCTCCACCTTCTCCAACGCTTCCTTCTTCTACCCAATTTAGATAGTCATCCTCGGCTCGCCTCCTTTCCTCCTGTGGGCGCTCCTCGCCTTGTTTCACCCGCCTGCTCCCTCGACTCCCCCCTTTTACGCTCGAATCAATCCCCCCCCCCCCCCCCCATCCCCGTTCGGGAGCCTCACGGAGAATTTGCCCCGTCGTTCCTACTCTGGTTTCACCAACTACAACTACTCCCTACGTACTCGTCCCCCGTTTTCGCTGGCGCTACCACGGGGCCTGTTAATTAGAACCATGTCGGCCACCGCGGACTCCAAAGTCGATCCCTCAGCTGCCGTTCCCGGCTCCACCGACACGCCTCAGCTCCCAGCCGTCTCAGCTCCATCAGAAGCCGTGGACGCCTCGATCCCGACGTCGCACCCCGAGGGCCAGGCGCCCGGTTCGGTGGACGCGGACTCTGCAGATGTCGGCGACAACACAACGCTGGCGCCTGCCTCCCAGCAGAGCCCTGTAGAGGCCGCTCCGTCTGCCAGCGCATCTCCTGAAGGGCCCGACGAGGCCAAAGCCGCGGCAACCGCCCAGAAGCCATCGTCCCAGACATCGGACGAGGCCGCGAAAGACGAGGAGGACTCGGGCCCGTCATTAATGATCACGCTGCTGTTGATAACTGGCTCTCGGCACCCGTTCAAGATCGACGGGAAATACCTTCGGAAGCGGTCGGTGAAGGTGGAGAATAATGATCCGTTTGCCATGAGTGTATATACACTGAAGGAGTTAATCTGGCGGGAATGGCGGCAAGGTAAGCGTGTAGTGGGAAGTGCGAGAGAAACCACGGTGCTAACGCATTTGTCTGATAGACTGGGAACCGCGGCCATCGTCGCCCAGTTCCATCCGACTGATCTCAATGGGGAAGCTGCTGGACGATAAAGCCCCATTGTCAGGTACGGGCTTTTTCTACCTTTTCCGCGACTGGACGCTGACATTGCCACGCATTAGACTCGAAGTTCAACCACGACTCCCCCACGGTGGTGCACATGACCGTCAAGCCCCAGGATCTTGTGGACGAAGAAGATGCAAAGGGGTCCAAGGCTCAGTACAGCCGCGAGCGAGAATCTAGCGAGCGTAGCCCCAGCTGTCGCTGTATTATCCAATGAGTTGGGAATCTCTCTTGCATTAGGAAACCGAACTTCCGTACTTCAACGGCGGTGCTGTGCTGCCAGGACCCGCCAATATCCCATTGCCTTTGCCTCGGATGCAAAAGGCGCTATCTTGCTTATGCCGCCCGAGGTTTACCGACGCCGGTCTTCCCTTGGCTCACCACGTTGGAGCTGTTGCTTCCCTTACCGGGTCGAGTTGGCGCCGGTCTTCACCCCGCGCCCGTCGTCGTCTGTTGCAAGGATGTCGCATGTGATTGGCTACCTCGTCGTCTACCATTTAGAACCACAAGGTAACAGCGAACCATCAAAGCAACCAACTGCCATTATATTTACTCTCCTACAAAGCCAACATGAAAGCTCACTCTGTGGTGTTGACAGGGGCATATCAAGGGGCACCCCCAAACACCCAATAGTATTTATAATCTTGGCCTAGGCTTGTCTGGAAGTCTTTTTAACCCATGAGCCCGGGTGTTTGTGTGTTGCTCCTCAAACGGTGAATAAGACTAGGCAAACAAACAAACAAGCAAGCAAACTTCTTTTTGGCTAGCAATCGCTCACCTCATTTCTTGGTATATTATCTGGACTAATGTTCACGTCATGTATATACTCTTCCAAATTCATTTCGAGAACATACTTTTACCCAGAACCCCGCAGTAAAGACTTCAGGGTATGTCCGATAGCCTCGTGTACTAAGAATTTCCTGGAGATAACTTCCTCATATGTTTCAGATAAGCATGGAATGATGGGCACTCTTTTTTTGAGATGCTATGGAGGCATCGAAACAAACGGCGAGACACCTTCGAAGATAAGCGAATACATCACTAATGTCTGCAGATACAGCAAGAGTGATATCCAGATATTATCTTGGTTTTCGGCCCACGATATGCAATGCTTCCTCAGAATCCTTTCTGGTAAGGACAAATTGATTCAGAGCAAGTTTTCCCACCTGAACGCATCGAATTTCCAAGGAGTTAACCTAGGTGAACTTTGCCGAAAACTCCTACCTAAACTTCCTTCGAAGCAGCTTCAGGCAGTGAATGAATACCTTGTGGGACACAAAGGGACGTCTGCTAAGAACTACCACAACGCGTCATATGATACCGGTGCAGTGGCAGAGATAGTGGAGGCTCTTGTTCACCTGGTCTGACGACTGGAGATATACTCATGGGTTTTCATCTCGTAGATCATCTGGGGATACTTAAATCATGTATGATAGGTCACCTTGCTGGAGTTTGAACACGATCGAGACCGTTAAGGCGTTTCATCTTATAGGAATTACAGGTAGAAGGGCATCATCTGTACCATAGTAAGACCTTGAATTATCCTTCATAGTAGCATCCGGACAACCAATCAAATTGTCATCGGGGACGGAGATGGTTCTCACTTAGAAAGCCATAGAACAATTGCTTCCAATCTCATAATATGGTATCTTCACAAAAATCGCAAATTTAATTTCACACCCAAGGCCTTTCTCCTTTACCCTCGCCAACTTGTATATTCGATGGTCAAGTCTTTCTTATCTTATCTATACCGAGGATATGCACAATTTGCGTCCTCCTAGTGAGCGGAGTAGCTCTTAGGAATGAAGTAAAGTAAATTGGCATTTATTTTTGCCTTACCATTTTGGCTTGCATCATAGTTCTGAGTTGCTTGACGCCGCTCCCGATCATCATCCTCATCCTCATCCTCATCCTCATCATCACCATCATCTATTCGTATATACCCTAAGCTTTGTTCTCTCCATTTACTCCCTCATCATCCTGTGTTGTATTACTGGCCGGCCTCTGTGCATTTCTGTCCATATACGGAAGACTGTCCTCGCGCCTGAATTGCTGTTTGGCTCTTTCTGTCTGTCTCGCTTCGTTTCGTTTTTTTACCTCTTCCGCCGACTGCCGAGTTAGGGCTTGGACCATCGACCGATTGACCGATTTTGGACCCGGAAGACCCTGGAGGCTCTCTTCCGCGTGTGACTGGCCCGCCGTCTCATCTGATCGAATCTACTTAGTTTTGCTGTGATGCGGCTTTGTGCGATGATGGGCTGTGTTGAATTTGTGGCTATGCTGCGCTCTGAGAAGGGCGGGCTAATACTACACTTACTTGTACAAAGAAACAATTGCACATATGGTAGCTGTTATTAGTAGCTGTCTTAAGTAGTACGGTACTTCTGGGATAATGTAGCCGAGGTATTTGATATTAGCTGTTTTTTTTTTTTTTTTAGACACTAGCCTACGTCTTCAGACAATAGATAAGTCAATATGTCTGCGGTCTCATTACCCAGCGTCTCGGGTGAAATGAAGTATACAGACGACAGGACAGCCTCTTAGATTGTTGTATCCGCATGCATTGTATCAAAGACTACTTCATCATAACGACCCGTAAACAGCCCAGTCCTACCTATCCCTATCCTATATCCATGCATTCACATGAACCCATCCATATCCCAATCAACAATCCTTGATCCTGGATATCCACCCCCCTAATGCTCCATACGCAATCTGTTCTCCATCTCATGGTGGAAAGTAGGAGGTTCGCGGAACTCGTCTCCTGCAATTAGTCACACAAAGTCAGCACCGTCATCATCATCATCCCCTCCCCTCCAAACTAAACCAAAGAAAGAAAGAAGGAAGGAAGGAAGGAAGAAAGAAACAAGGAAAGAAGGAAGAAAAGTAAAACGCACCCTTAAAAACATCCTCCCACCCCACCTCAGCATCCCTCCCCCCAAGCACCAAAATATCCTCATGGAGATTCCCGCCCTTCCCACCGCCCAGCATGGCCGGCGTGAACGATCCATCCTTGACGATGCGCAGCTCCATGCCGCGGCGCACGGGCTCGGCGATCCCGTACGCCCGACGCAGCGACTCCATCTTCAGGGCGTCTTGGGTGGCGCGCCACGCGTGCAGACGGGCTTCGAGCGGGTGGGCGGACGCGGTCACGGAGGTTTGCGTGGAGGGGGCGCCCCGGGGCGCTGGGAGCGTGATGTTGTCGCGGAGGGTGTCGGGGAGGCCTGGGGCCGAGGGGCGCCGCGCGATGGGTACGGGAGGGTCAGGCGGGTGGTGGTGTTTGTTGTGCTGGTGGCGTGGCCGGAGGGGGGGCGATGCGGAGGGACTGCGTTTGGTTAGTATGTGTTGGAGTTGGGGTTGGGGATAGAAGGGGGAAGGGGAGGGGATGGGGTGAGGATGGGGTGAGGATAGCATAGGATAGGATAGGATAGCGGAGGATGGGACGGAGATGGAGGGTTGGAGGAGGTGAGTGAGTGAGTGCATGAGGTGAGGTGTAGGCTGGGTTAGATGAACTTGACTCGGTTGGCCGGACATACCATTATGGCGGCTGTAGTAGAGAAGAAGTAGGGGAAACGGAAAGAATGAAGAGCGTAGATGAGGGGATTGGAGGGTGAGTGGTGTATGTAGAGTCGTGGATAGGGTAGGATAGGATAGAATAGAATAGAGAGGGAGTTGAGTCGGAGCGGAGAGTCGTCGGAGCAGCCAGCAGTAGCAGCAGCAGCAGCAGCAGCAGCTCTGACATCGCCGGCTCGCCGCCCAGCCAGCCAGGCAACCAACCCACGCAAGTAGCTCCTCCGGACGCCCAAAGCCCCCACCCACGCAACAATCCCTCACCACGTGACCACATCCCCAGCCCGGGCCTGGAAATAATCATCCGCATCCCCCAAACCCGCCTGGATTCCCTCCCTCCAGGATCCAGCAGCACCACATACAACCGCTCACCATGCCGCTCCTCGTCTCGTCCCTGGCCCTCCGCACGCTCCGGACCCTAGTCCAGCGTCCCTCCGGCCTCCTCCCCGCTCTCAAAACCGCCTCCGCGACAGCTACACCTCCTCCGGCGCGCTTCCAGCCGGTCTTCCGCCCCGTTGCCAGCACGCCAAACGGCTCCGTCAGCCTCGCCATCCGGCAATTCTCCTCGTCGCCGTTCCGCCAGGCGACATACAACCAGGTGCGTCGGGGCTGTCGGACTGCGCAGGCGGCGCGGCGCTCGCGGTCGCCGGCCCTGGTTGGTCGGTCCCAGATGAAGGGCGTTTGTGTGAAGACGGGTATCACGAAGCCCAAGAAGCCGAATTCCGGGGAGAGGAAGACTGCGAGAGTTCGGTTGAGTAGTGGGAAGGTGGTTACGGCTTATATTCCTGGTCAGGGTGAGTGGAGTCTTTCCTTGTTTGGTTATGGTGATGGGGGGATTGAGGGGGGAGCTGATTGAATTGGACTGGATTGGGGGTTGGGGTGGTAATAGTAGTGATGGTGATGGTGGATAATGGCTAGATGGCTAATTATGATGGTTGCGTTTAGGTCACAATATCCAGCAGCACAGTGTGGTCATGGTTCGCGGTGGGCGTCTTCCCGATTGTCCTGGTGTGAAGTACCACTTGGTTCGGGGTGCTATGGATCTGGTATGTTCATGTTCTCCCTTTCTGGTGATATTTCTTGGCTGGGACTGGGTAGAGTTTGTCTGGGATGTTAGCTAACGAGTGCAGGGTGGTGTTGCCAATCGCCTAACGAGTCGTTCGAAGTACGGCACGAAGAAGCCGAAGAAGGACTAGATTTGAGTGCAGTGTGATATGGGCTGCGGGTGTTAAATTTTGTGATTTATCTGTATCGATATCGAGTACCTGGTTTTTTTTTTAAGACGGATCTTATCGTTGTTATCATTAGAAAATGGCTATGTACATTTATGAGGCAATCCGTGCTGCAGCAAAGCTCCATTCCCTTCTATCCCACACGCCAGTACAGACGGCCCCGGAAATATGACAGAAATGATGTGATGAGTACGCCCGGACGAAATCCCCGACAATCTTTATGAACACATGACACCCGGCTCGGAAATCAGGAAATCAAAAAAAAGGAAAAGAAAAGACGAAGGCAGGGCCGCGGAGGCGGGGAGGCGGCGATTAGGCGGTGCCTCTCCACGACTGAACAGTGCCTCGGCCGGCTCCTGCTTGGCCCAGGAGATGCCCAGCGATGCCGGCCACACATGCCCGGCCGTTTCTGCTCAGCGCCACAGCGATGCTGCCAATAGCAAGAACGCAGACGAGAATTTGGCCTACACCACGTATTCAACTCTCATTCTCGTAGCCCTTGGGCTTGTCCATGTTGTTGACCTGGAAGTAGCGGGACGTGCCTGTGCTTGGTTAGCATGCCGTGCGGACCTGATTTCCCAGCAGGCGAACTTACAAGAGTAGCCCTTCCAGTCGAAGTTGTCGTTGGGGTTGCAGTGGCACTTCAGGTCCATCCGCAGCTGTTCGCCCGTCGGACAGTGGGTGAAGGGGACGTGGTAGTAGCCGATTTCGTTGAAGAAATGGATCTCCTCCTTTTTCAGGAGGATGCCCGCCGCGATGGAGTGGACCGGTGCATCGCCCCATCGTTCATAGAAGAAGCCACCGGCCTGGTCCAGGGTCTCGAAGTAATCGATATACTCCTTAGATCTCAGCCACTCCAGACTTCCGACCTCGAAGTTGGACCACTGTAGAGCCGGTTAGCACATTGGCACCCATACTCGGGGCGGAATACTCACGAAGTGGCACTTGTTGTAGGTCTTTCCGCCGTCATCACTCAGGAAGCCCATCGAGTTGTCGCTGGCGATGTGCTCGGGGTGCTTCTGCATAAATTGCTGCGTGGTGCCCCACAGGCTGGGGATGGTGTCGTAGTACTCGTACAGACTGAGGACGAAGCTGTACTTCTTGTTGTTCTCCTTCATGTAGCGGAAGGGGTCGGAGCCGATGTCGCAGAAGAGCTCGATGCTGGGCTCCACGCGCCAGTAGTACTCGTAGTTCATCATCAGCTCGTGGCGGAAGAAGAAGCCCGACTCGTAGCGGCACATGTGGCGGTAGCTCTCCGAGTCGCCGTAGATGATCTTCTTCTCGCCCATCTCCTGGCGCACCTTCTTGGCCTTGTCCTGGTCGATCCACTCGGGGTACGACCAATGCTCCTTGGGGATGACGCCGTAGTGGGTGTTGCCGGACACCAGGGCCGACGTAACCTTCTTGAACTCGTCGTCAAACGGTTTGTCGTTCAGGAACACCCAGTCGTAGTGGTGGTTGTGGTTGAAGCGGTCCTCCACCGTCCGGATGGACTTGGCCATCTCCCACACATCACTGTTGCGAGCCAAGGTCACGAAGGTGGCGTTCACACGGCTCGCCTCGGGGATGTACTTGCTCGGCCCGCTGGACGCGGAGGCATCGTTCTGCGAGGAGGGGGAGGCCCTGAAGGAGTCCTTGTAGGTGGAGGGGTTCAACTTGGTGCCGATGTTCTCGGGGATGGGAATCGCGCTGCGGGAGATGAGGAAGAAGAGGGCCAACCCCTAGGCCGGTCAGTCCTGCGCCGTGGTCAGGCACGGGCTCGCACTTACCGTGATGGCGAATAGTAGATATCTTGCGGGCCCGAGAGCCATGATGGTAGCGGGCGCTGCGCCGAGTCAAGCTGTTTCGGTGGAAAGTGGGAAGGTGGGAGGGATGGATGGATGGATGGATGGATGGATGGAGGCCGCAGGGCTGAATCTGGATGGTTGGAGTGCGGAGCGAACGGCAAGGGAGTTGAGAGGCTGATCAGGGTGAAACGAATGACGGGTCGATCAGTGAGACAGGGACGGGCGAGAAGATGAAATCTCTCGGCAGGGTCCCAGGTGGTCTTTTAGGATTGACGATCGGGGCGAGAAGTGAAGTCTGTAGGACTCGCCGATCCAGGCCGCGGCGCAACGCTCGTGCTGCGCGAAAGCGATGGAGGGAGGGATAGGCAGCGGAATAACGGGCGGAAATACGAATAGTTCAAGTGAAATGATTTGAAATGATTTAATATACGGTGGGATGGCGGTGGGCGAGGAAATTCAGGAGAAGCGACTGGTAAGATTGCGGTGCCGGGCTGAAGGGAGACGTAACCTCGTCGGCTTTCGGCGGCCTTTATTGGCCGGGCCACGTGTATACGTCGCGGCGGAAATGGACACTATTTAAATACTGTTGACTATTAGGTATCTACATAGTATGTATCAACGTTGTGGGGAACAGTCTCCCCGGGACTTTCTCATGAAGCACGTCTGCCTGTCGAGCAGAGTAGATAGATAGATACAGAGTGTCTGTTCTTCTGGCGGGCGACGATCGATCCATCCTGCCTTGGGATGGGGCCAGGCATCCCCCCCCAGGACTTGGCACACAGCTAATAATACCGTGATAGTCCACCGGTATAATTAATTAGATCGTTTTGTGGCCGGCGGTTTATTTGTTTGGATCGGGATTGGATCGGGATTGGACGGGACCATTGCCGATTAGGTAATGCGAGGGGCGGATCACGTGAGTGATTAGTTACAGTAATCGATTACCGTACGGTAATCGATTATATCACATGACATTAGCACACGTGCCGGAGACAAGCTGAGTCATCAACGGGCTGCTGGCAGCCTGACACCTAAGGCGGCGTGATATCAGACGCTCTCGCGACCTCATCCCGCACTACCGATTATGCTGTGTTAATTCTCGCCCTCCTCTTCCCCGCCACCCACCCATCGGTCCACCGCCCGAAGATGTCCTTCTTCGGCTTCGATACCACCCTGCCGAGGGATCGGGCCTCTCTCAATGACAGGAGGGGCTTTTTCGAAGCCCCCGACCCGTTCGCCGAGGTCGCCCGTGCCCGTGCCCAAGCCCACCAAGACGCCGACGATGACGACGTGTAAGAGCTCCTTGCCTGTAGCCTTGCTCTCCCACGAGATCGCGGCCCTTGAGGACTGGAACTGACCTGCGCTGCCTTCACCCCCGCTTAGGATCGACTTCGAGGATACCTACGACGGTCTGGGAGACCAGCTCAACGACGACCAGGATGCTTTCAACGACGACACCTTTGGCGGCGCCGGAGGCGCTGGCCCTGTCGGAAAGGACTTCGACTTCTTCGGCAAGACGGCTCAAGTTGCAGATGCGATTGGAGAGGAGCAGTTCCGCTACAGTCTCCAGAAGCCTGGGGTGCCCGCGGGCGCTCCTGCGGCGGCCGCCCAACCCCCCGCCGAGACCGCTCTGGCAGAGGCTCAGCCGAAACGAACGGGCTATGAGAAGTACCAGGACCCCGGATACATCCCGGATCTCCAGGCCAAGTCCAGCGTTTGGGGTATGCCCAGCAAGCCGGAGCCCACGTCCCAGTCCCAGTCCCAGATGATGTCGCAGGCGAGGAGGATGATGAGCCTGGAGGAGGTGGAAGCGCAGCTGCGGAGACAACCGGCCTCGATCCCCACTCAGCTCCCCGTCTCCCTCCCGCACTCGATGCCTGCGCTACCCCAGCCTATCCAGCGGGTTCACATGCCTCTCCCTGAAGATTTCCCCCAGCTGCCGCCCGAGATCCTGCAGGCCCAATTTGCCAAGGGTGTGCCCCCACAGTTGCTGCACCAGCCGCCCATGACCCCGGAGGGATACCCTCTGCCGGCGCATGCTCCCAACATGCCGCTGCATCTCCTGCAAAATGCCAACCTCCCCCCGCAGCACATGGTGGGCCCTCAGCGGCAAGCGATGTCGCCCGCACCCCAGCGGCCCCAGCAGCAACAGCCGCCGCCGCCGCCCCAGGGCCCTCGTGGAAATAACACCCAGCAGATGCCCGTGATCACCAACGCCCAGCAGTTGATGCACCTGACCGAAGAGCAGCGGATGGCCTACTTCATGGAAGATGCCAAGCGGGCCAAGCGCAACCATAAGATCTTCCTCCTCTCCAAGGGCAACGGACTGATGACCCCGCAAGATAAGAACTTCATCACGCGCATCCAGCTCCAGCAACTCGTCGCGGCTGCCGGGAACATGGCCGACTCCGATGCGGAGGCTGTCTTGGCGGAGGACTTCTACTATCAGGTCTACAGCCAGATCCGCGGGGCCCCGCGGCAACATCCCCACCAGCCCCTCGGCCACTTTGCGCAGACCTATCTGCTCCAGACGGGGAACCGGCTCGGGGGCCACGGGTCTCGCCGGCAGTTCCAGAGCGCGGACAACCACATGCAGAGAATGCAGCAGCAGGTCCAGCGCGCCGTGGAAGCCGCCAAGCAGAAGCCCAAGAACAAGCAGCTGATCATCGAAGGCAGCCTGGGTAAGATTTCCTTCAGCAATGCCAAGACCCCGAAGCCCATGCTCAACATCAAGCGCCCCGAGAGCTCGGAAGGCGCCAATTCGGCGAAGAAGCCGCACACCGACCTGAGCCTGAGCGACCGGAAATCGGTCCTGACTAACCTCGAAGGCGTCTACAGCACGTTGATGGAGATGGAAGACATGGAGCGCACGATGCCGCCGCCGCCGGACGAGAACGATGCGGAGGCGATCCAGAAGCACATGGAATGGCGACAGAACATCCGCTCGCTCAACCAGAAGCTGTGGCGGGAGCTCAAGGTCATGGAGCCTATTGTTCCCAACACCAACACCCCGCACCCCTTCATCGCCTTCCTGTCGTACCCCAAGGGAAAGAAGGCCATCCCCCGCATCTTCCGCCACATCGACCAGGAGCAACGGGTCACCATCCTCACGATGATTGTCGTCCACCTGGACTCCTTGGACGTGGTCCGGCGCGCGCAGCCCGTGCCCGGAGAAACCCAGCCCTCTCTGGCCGTCCGCGAGGCCATCGAACTGTTCTCCCAGGCCGTCATGCCCAGTCTCCTGGGTTACGTCAACGAAGCTCCCTTCAACATCATCATCGGCCTGCTGGGGCTCGTCATCGCGCAGACCCACGTGCAGATGGTCGCCAAGACCCGCATCGGACTGGGCGTCTTGACCATGCTTCTCAGCCGCGCCGAGATTGTCAAGGAGGCCGGTCAGGCTACAGAGCGGGACTGGCAGCAGTGGGTGGAGAAGTTCAACGTGCTCTTCGACACCCTCGAGCCCACATTCGCCGACATCTTCCCCAGCTCGATCAACGCCGGCGACGACATGTACGTGTGGCAGTTCCTGGCCGCGGTTGGTATTGGAGCGAGCCCCGAACAGCAGCAGCGCCTGGTCATTGCCGTCAAGTAAGTCCCTCACCTACCTACCTACCTACCCTCTGCTTCCCCAATCCAAAAGCTAACACCTCTCAGGGATCGTGTCATGGAGACAGTAACCTACAGCAAGACGCTCCCCGCCGACATGGCCAGCCAGCGCCTGAACAACGTGAACCTGTTCATGCGCGCTATCGGCCTCGATGTCGAACTCCTGGGTTAAGTTAGGAGGACCGGATCCCCCGGTGATTCTTGAGCTGGCCGAATCCGAGGGCGTGTCGTGTCGTGTCGTGTAGACAAAACCCGCATGTGCTATTCGGAATCCCATCTCAAATCCGAATCCGATCTTGATCCCACGGATTCTCATTCTATCGATATCGCGACAGGGCTGCCCTGCCTGCCTGCTGGCCCGTTGCTCTCACCGTGCGGCTGATGGATGTCTTTCTGTCTTTCTGTCTGTATTAGGGCAGTACGGACAGACAGACCCTGACAAGCGGGCAGAAAACAATGCAATACAAGACAAGACATACTGGCTGGAACGTCAGTCAACAATAAAACCAAGGAGGCGCGACGAGACCGGCCGAGATGCAGCTGCATGCATTGGAGTTGGTGTTGGTGTTGGGGCTATGAAAGAGCCCACGCCTCTTTCTTCCAGTGATGTACTACTACTACTACTTCCTCATCACCATGAATTCTTCTTTTATTCCCCCCCCTCTTTACCTTTTTTGTGACGTCCTACGACATGCATGCTTGGGGGAGGGGGTCCGTTGATAGTCCCATCCTACTCCTCCTGTCCTGTCTTCTAGCTTATGTGTTCATGTGTTCATTTTTTTTTTTTCTCTTTTTCTTTCTTTCTTTCTTTCTTTCTTTCTTTCTCAATCCGATTCATATTCCTTTGGCCCGATTAGGGTATGTCTAGCTGCATATGTAGATGTAGGTGGGCTCAGTAGAGCAAAAAGCATGAATCATATGATGACAGGCAGATATTGATGATGGTCTGGGATCATGGCAATGAGATCTGCCTCGGGCCCGAGTTGCCCTTCCTATAGTATAGTATAGTATAGTATAGTACTGTACTTTACTTATGTCCGACCCGTCTAACCCCTCCCTCTCTCCCTCTCCCCCTCTCCTTCGTCTATCGCCGTGCAGACTACACTGCAGAATGCATACATCCGGACGCAATCCAGACTGCCCGCGCGGCCTATCTGCTTTCTAGCGGCTTTTTAGTCTGCAATAGAGCACCTAATTACTAACAAGTCTACTATCGATTTATGAAGACTACCCGCGCACAGACCCAACCCAGACCCAGACCCAGACCCCAGATAGTACTGTACCAAGTACCAAGTACATTGCAGCCAGTAGACAGTTGACAGTAGACAGTAGACAGTGATACTACCACGGTACAGAGTACTAATCTAAATCGACCAAGTGTCTTCCTTCTGTCGCACACCCAGCCACCTCATCCCATCCCGGCCGTCCAACTGCAACTACGTAAGTAAAGTACGAGGGAGGGCCAGGCCGCAGTCCCGGTACTCCCCCGTTAGTCAGTCAGTCAGTCAGTCAGTCAGCTAGTATTCATTCATTTTCATAGCTGACAGAAAACATAACTAGCAAACAACTAACCAATTGTCAACTGTCACTGCGGAGTAGATACGGAGTAGATACCATACACGCTGTCTCCTATTCATGCATGCATGCATGCATACATGCGTGCATGTCTAGTGCTTACCTCGTCTAAGTATCTTCACTTCATTTCATTTCTACAGTAGGGATCCAGACACTTGCTTGTCTGCTTACTTACCTAACTACTATCTATCCCTCGTGCCGGACTAGTTACTACTGCCGGCCGGGGGTAGTGCTCTCATGCCGATCTTTGAGCTAGGCCTGTAGCCGAGCACTCTGCATGAAAAAGTACGTGCGTGCGTGCGTGCGTGAATAAATGGATGGATGGATGGATGGATGGATTGGTGCGAAAATCTCACGCGGGGTAGAGAGGCACCAGTTGGTTTGGTTTGGTTTGGTTTGGTTTGATCGACCGTGGGATATGCTGTGCTGGGAACTGTCAGAGTCAGATAGGTAGGCTGACGGCTAACAGCTAATGGCTAACGATTGTATTGCATTCCTGGTATCCGCGTGATTTTACTCGTCGTGAGTAGGTGGGTGGATGGGTGGGTAGGTACTAGTAGGTGGTCGCTGAGTTGGCTGGGTTATGCAGGTTATCGTATATAAAGATCGACTGGCTCGGGACGTGATGTTGTGGTTTGCTAGATCTGAGAGACTGTTAGTCGGTCTTGGACTGCCAGCTCAGCCAGGTAGTTGTTACCTAGCCGATTTATAAAGAAATTGTACTCACTTACCTACCTGCCTACCACCATGATTATGGAACTGCCTCGTCTGTGGCTGGCCCTCGCTGGCATAGTCACCTACTACATCACCCGGACTGTCTACCGGTTATATTTTCACCCGCTGTCGAAGATCCCCGGTCCCAAACTCACCGTGATCACCAACTTATATGAGCTTTACTATGATGTGATTCTCGGAGGGAGATTTCTGTTCCAGATCGAGAAGATGCATCAGCGATATGGTACGGTACCTGGCTTTGAGCGAGGGAGCTGAGACAGAGAGACTGTCGGCTAAGCAACGTGTCATTGCAGGCCCGATTGTACGCATCAACAACCGGGAAGTGCATGTCAGCGATCCGTCGTTCTACGACGAAATATACGCATCGAGTAGTCGCAAACGGGACCGGGATAACGATGCCTATGCGGCATTTTCGCTACCCTATGCCACGATCGGGACGATGGGCCATGAACACCATCGCTTTCGACGGAGCCTGTTGAGTGATTTCTTCTCGAAGCGGTCGGTGTTGGCGTTGTCGCCTTTCGTCGAGGAAAGAGTCGCGAAATTGATGGAGCGGTTCGAGGGGTTCCATAAAGATGGCAAGGCGGTGAATTTGAGCAATGCCTTTGCGGCGTTGACGTCGGACGTCATCACGCATTACTGTTATGGGAAGACCTGGCACTTCCTGGAAGATGAGGCCTTTCGGAGCGATATCCACAAGAGTACCGACGAGAATAGCAGTTTTGCCCACATTAACCGCTTCTTTCCGTTCGTGCCGGAGACGCTGCGCAAGGTGCCGCCGTGGGTGATGTCCCTGGTTTTCCCGGGGAAGACTGCCGTGTTCGAGTTCCAGGAGTCATTCCTGCAGCTGATTTCGGCCAGTATGCAGAGTGGAGAGAAGGTGTCTGATAAGGGAGGCCGTGCGATTTTCAAGAAGTTGTCGGACCCCGGTTTGCCGGAGAAGGAGAGAAGCTTGCGTCGTATCGAGGATGAGGTGTTTACGCTCCTGGGTGCGGGCACGGAGACCACGGCGAGTACTCTCATGTTGATGGTTTACCATACCGCGCAGGATAGGAGTATTGTGGAGAAGCTTCGAGCCGAGCTGAAGCAGCTCATGCCCACGCCTACCAGCACCCCGACATGGACGGAGCTTGAGAAGCTACCATACCTGGTATGTTCACGACCCCAGTCTCGCTTGGGGCATGGCTAACTCGTATATAGACCGCGGTGATCAACGAATCGTTGCGCTTGTCGTATGGTATCATCATGCGGCTTCCTCGTGTAGCGCCGACGGAAACGCTGCAATACAAGGACTATGTCCTTCCCCCCGGGGTACGTGCACCCATTCATATCACGGAGATGACCAGCTCACGCGCAGATGCAGACCCCAATGAGCACCTCCACCTGGTTCGTCCACCGGGACCCGGCCATTTTCCCTGACCCGGACCGGTTCGACCCGGAGCGATGGATCCAAGCTGCGGCACGGGGCGAGAACCTGTCCCGATACCTCGTATCGTTCATGAGAGGCAGCCGGGCGTGTGTGGGAATGAAGTTAGTTGTTGCGCCTCTATCCTCGGACTTGGCTAATGGGCGATAGTCTGGCATATAGTGAGCTGTACCTGACAACGGCGCATCTGGTCCGTCGATTCGACTTTGAATTGTACGACACCCGCCCGGAGGACGTCCGCATCACGCGCGATAAGATTATCCCGCATGCTGAGAAGGGTATGATGCGGCTCAAGGCCAAAGTGACGGGCATGGTAGAGGAGTGAATGGTGTGGTTGGCATGGGAAGCGAGGTATATACAAGTAGTATGTTCGAGGAGATACGATGTGACTTTGGGTCCGTGCCTGCTTGCCACCACCCCGCCTTGTTGTCAGCAAATACATCCCGAACATATATTCGTTGTATACAGCAGCCAAATTGAAAATGCATGTGAAGTATAAGACCGTACTTGCTATGGGCAGCTGCAGGTCTTGTTCCCGACTGCTGTTGCGCCGGGACGAGAGGCTCTACGCAGCTAAACCGGTGGGGGACCAACAGACCACCCGTTCGGCACGGGCGCACCCCCGACCCCCGACCGAAGCATTCGCAAGACATCTTGGAGGGGAGTACTCCGTATCTGCACGATGCTGCAGGTCTCAGTCTCAGTCTCAGTCTCAGTCTCGGGTCTCGACAAGCCAGAGTGGCCTCCACGTGCCCACGCCCCGAACCGGCCCTCATGCCATCCCTGTCTGTCCCTGGCAGCCAGAGCGACAGGCACGACTGCGCCCGGCGATTGGACCCTTGGATCAAGCAGCCTCTCGAGGCGCGGGGCCCACCGCGCAGTGGAGCCTGACCCGCCCACGGAAGGGCTGGACAATCACAATGATGAGACCATCAAGACAAGCGACAACAGCCCATCGAATGGGGGCGCTGATTGGCGGGCAGCGGCCCCAGCCCCGGCGGACTTCGTTCGGGCCGTCCTGGTTTCAGCTTCAGACTGACTTAGTAACATTTAACAGCAGGTCGTCATTTGCCGGGGGCTGGCGTGATCCTGCCCGCGTTCTGAGTCCGATGACGAGGGGAGCATGGCGGGCAGAGATGAGAGACGAGAGAGCAGTGGCAGAGAGGTGCCGAAAAACTCCGTCGAAGAGATGACTTTACTCCGACTGGTGGCGCGATGGTGTCCCTGCTGCAACGGATGCTTGCTGCATGCACGTATCCTGCCGCGGTGAGACGTCGGAGTCGAGAGATGAAGGAATGATGGCGGATGACGGATGACGGGAAACGGTTTGGAGGTATTAATTAAACTGAAGGTGGTTTTGATCGGCCGGTGGGCAGCAGGGTGTTTACGTAGGCTGTCTCGGGCGATCCATGGTGGGGGAGAGAAAGGGGGAGGCGGTCTGGAAAGACAGAGAAGAGTAAGAAGAAGGGGATTGATGTGATAATGACTGAATGATTTGGAAATCAGAGATGTGATGGTGATGATGTTGTCGAGATGATGATGGAAGATGGAAGATGGAGAGCCAGTCGGTTCGGATACCTTGTATCGCTGTAACGTACGGTACCTGTTCCTGCTCTTCTCCCACGTTTAGCCGGCAGCCCCTCCACCGGAGTCTCCCCCACCATCCCATCCCAATTGCGGCGCCCCTTAAATATCCCGCCCGCCGCCCGACTTCCCCAATCCGTTTGCGCCATCTTGCCTCTTCTCTCTCTCCCCATCCCTTCTCCCTCTCTCCAGTCCCCTCGCTACACTCCTCCCCATCATCATGTCTGCTGGATCAGTTCTCGTCGCCGGGTACGTCTCCTGTCCCTATTCCCTATTCCCTATTTCCTAGATCCCCCACCCCCAACAACAACAAATAACGCTCAAGCTAACCCCGCAATCCTCAGTGGAACGGGCTACATTGGCTCCTTCACCACCCTCGCCCTCCTCGAGGCCGGCTACAAGGTCGTCGTCGTTGACAACCTCTACAACTCCTCCCCCGAGGCCCTGAAGCGCATTGAGTTGATTTCCGGCAAGAAGGCTGAATTCGTTCAGCTGGATGTCACCGACGAGGCTGCCTTCGACCGCGTCTTCGAGGCCCACCCCGACATTGACAGCGTCATCCACTTCGCTGCCCTGAAGGTGAGTCGCCATGCGCTGACCCGATGTCCAAGCGCAGTGGCTGACGGATATCATCAACACAGGCCGTTGGAGAGTCCGGCGAGAAGCCTCTGGACTACTACCACGTCAACGTCTACGGCACTATCTGCCTCCTGCGTTCCATGGTCAACCACAATGTCACCAACATCGTCTTCTCCAGCTCCGCCACCGTCTACGGCGATGCCACCCGCTTCCCCAACATGATCCCCATCCCCGAGAACTGCCCGCTGGGCCCCACCAACCCCTACGGCAACACCAAGTTCGCTGTCGAGAACGCCATCACCGACGTCATCAACGCCCAGCGCAACAACGCCATCAAGGCTGGCAACGAGGCCGAGGCCAAGAAGTGGAACGGTGCCCTGCTCCGGTACTTCAACCCCGCCGGTGCCCACCCCAGCGGCATCATGGGTGAGGACCCCCAGGGTGTCCCCTACAACCTGCTGCCCCTGCTGGCTCAGGTCGCCACCGGCAAGCGCGAGAAGCTCCTCGTGTTCGGAGATGGTAAGCCCTGATCTCTAGACTAGATCTGCGGGGCCTTCTGCTGACTCCTCCAGACTACGCTTCCCACGACGGAACCGCCATCCGCGACTACATCCACATCCTCGACCTGGCTGACGGTCACCTGAAGGCCCTCAACTACCTGCGCCTCAACAACCCCGGAGTCCGTGCCTGGAACCTGGGTACCGGCAAGGGCAGCACGGTGTACGAGATGATCCGTGCCTTCTCCGCGGCCGTGGGCCGGGACCTTCCCTACGAGGTTGCTCCCCGCCGGGCGGGTGACGTGCTCAACCTGACCGCCAACGCCAGCCGGGCCACCGAGGAGCTGGGCTGGAAGCCGACGCGCACCCTCGAGCAGGCCTGCGAGGACCTCTGGCTGTGGACCCGCAACAACCCCCAGGGCTACCGCCAGCAGCCCCCGGCCGAGCTGCTGGAGAAGCTGAACAAATAAACTATTAATGACTACAATCTATTAGAATCTGTGCCGGGACGTCCGATAGACGATTGGACCGGGTAATTGGATGAGACGAATTTCCTTGCATGTGTTGCTGGCCGTCTGTATCTAGAGCGTTGTAAGGCTTGTTGCTTTCTAGATATATTGAATAAACGGCTAGATTGGCTATTGGCTATTTTGGTATTCCGTAGTCATCTATCACCTTGGTTGACTACATCTACTACCCATGAAACGATAGGATTTTATAACCAGTCGGTCTGATCTGGGCCATAGACTAGAACATATACTAGAAACTAGATACACGTACGTCCATCCACTCCCTTGGCTAGTTAGTATACACAATAAGGAATAGTAGTAACCAGCACCCCCTCCCCCCTTTCTTACATCCCCAAGCAAGAGAAATCATTGCCCGAGTCATTCTTTCTCAACCACCCTCCAAATATGCCTTGCGTCGCTCTCGTTGTCGTCAGTCACAATAATCCCGCCTACTATCAGATTAATAATTATATTCTAAATAGCTATACCGGCTACCAGAAGAGCAACTCCGCCGATTCTCACCATTCCAGGCAGTTGGTGATTTGGCCTGGGAATGATGAGCTGGGACAGGATGGAATAGTTGTCGTGGATGGATTGAGAATAAAGTACAGCCCCATGCGTGGGTAGTATCTGCAGCTCAAGGCTAGGCTAAGTATGGAGAAAGAATATGGGGACGAGCAGAAAGTGTGTACGCACCGAGGAGGCTATGGGATAACTGCCAGATCTGATTTCTCGTATTTATAGTACTCCTCGGTAGGGTGCTGTAACCCTGATAAACAGGCAAACATGGCTAGGAAAATGCATTGAGGAGGGTAATCGGCCACTTTTATCTATACTGTACAACCAGCTCCACCAGCATTTATTTCCCCTTGCGACTCCTGCGCGACCCCGGGGTCTGCTCCTTTGTGCCCGTCCCCGACGTCTTGCCCTGCTCCTGTTCCTGCTTCTCCCTCTCCCTCTCCTTCTTCTCCATCGCCCGCATCACGGCGCTCTCCGTCTCCTTGGCCTCGATCATCTTCTCACTGAATTGCCACAGCAACTTGCCCGCGCCCTCGTCCTTGACCTCCCGCCGCGCCACATCCACCTCCTTACACTCCTTGATCATCCAGCCGCCCTCGCCCTTGCCGTACTCGCCCTCCATCGCCGCATACAGAATACTCTGCGCGCCCTGCTGCGGCGACTTCAGCACAAGCCACCACACCGGCCAGGTCAGCAGATACAGGAACAGCCCCCACAACGACCCCCCCGTCATCCACCGCCGGAAGCCAGGCGTGCGACTAAACCCCGGATCGACCATGATCACGCGCGTGCTGTTCTGCTGACCATCCGGACGCTTGAACGCGTTCAGATGTTTCTGGAAAGACTGCGCGAAGATCATCAGCGAGAGCTTGCTCAGGCCGTAGAGACTGATCGGCTGCTGCTTCTTCTTCTTAGGTGTGGGCGTGCGTTTCCCGATATTCTTCTTCCCCTTCCCTGTCCCTGCCCCTGCTCCTGTCCCGGCCGCAGACTCAGTCGCCGCCGCCGTAATCGCCGCCGCCTCGCCCACTCTCCCCAGTTCCCACTTCGCCCCGATATACCCGGAGCACGCGGCAAAGATGACCCGCACGTCGCGGTACGCGGGCTGCACCCTCAGCGCCGGACTGAGGATGCTCAGCAGGTGGAAGTTGGCCAGGTAGTTCACCATCCATTCCTCGTCGAGGCCGTCCACGGTCAGCCGTTTCTTGCTGGGCGGGGGGTTGGTGTTTCCGCAGAGGATGACCATGTCGAGACGGCGGGGGGGCACGTTGTCGATCCATTTGGTGGCGAAGGTGCGGATGGAGTGCAGCGAGGAGAGGTCAACTTGTTCGGCGTAGATTAGTTGGTTGTTGGTCGCGGCGCGCAGGTCGTCGATGTATTCGGTTAGGAAGATGTCGTTCGCGGAATGTTGCGTCAGGAGGATTACTTGGGCGCCGCGTGAGGCGAGGCCGTGTACGACGGATGCTCCGATGCCGGATGTGCCGCCCTATTTTGGTTGTGAGTGAGTGAGTGGATGGGTTGTGGAGAAAGAGGGGAGGGGGGGGGGGGAAGTTGGAGAGAATGTATGAGAGTAGGACAGGACGACGTACCGTCACCATCACCACCTTCGAATGCATCACTCGCTCGGAGGTGTTCTGGGCTCCCCGGAAGTAGTATTTCAGGGCGGCCAGGAGCAGTGCCCACGGCACCAGCTTGATGATGTCCCAGGCATACGGGATGGATGTGAGACCCTCCGTCACTCCCTGGACGATGATGGGGATGGGCATGGTGAAGCCCGAAAATCCGAACAGACAGAAAGGAAAGCGTGAAAGAGTGACTGACAGCGAGGCAAGGAAAGAAAAGACAAGAAAAGGAAAAGGAAAAGAACCGGGACGAGTCAAAGACAGTCCGCAGAAAGGACCGTCGGTAGTTTGAGGGGGAATGAATCGAGAGTAACTAAATTGGACTGCTGAGTTGGAGGTGCCGGAGTTGCTGCTTAAGCCAAGCTCTCTCACTTCCGGCCGATCTCCCGCCACGCACTGCTGCTGCCTGTCTCTCTCTCTCTCTCTCTCTCTTCTTCCCTTCCTCTCTTCTTCTCTCCTCTCCTCCACCACAAATCACAATCCATACACCATGACCACCCCCGATCCCCACAACAACAACAACGACAACGACGAAGAAGATGAATACTTCCTCCCCCTCCAAGACCAGCGCGTCTTCGGCGCCGGCATCCGCAAAAAGCGCGTCCCCTTCGTGCGCTCCTCCGACCTAACCACCACCACCACCTCCTCATCCACCCCAACTCCATCCTCCACCGGCCAAACCATCGCAGACAGATACCTCTCGCTCGTACTATCGACACCACCGCCACCACTACCACTACAGCAACAACCCAAACCAGACCCCTCAAACCCCAACCTCAACCTCAACTCCAACCCCCAACAACACCCACCCACACCCACACCCCCAGAACCAGAACCAGAACCACAACCTCACTGCGAAATCTGCAACCTCCCCCTCACGACCCAAAATCAATCACAAACCCAATCACAAACCCCCCAACCAAAACCAAAACCGCACGAAGCCTCCCTCGCCCACCAAGCCTGTCTCACGCACTCGCACCCGCCCTCGCACCTCGACCGTACGCGGCCCGGGATGCGCTACCTCGCGGCCTACGGCTGGGACCCCGATAGTCGGGTGGGACTGGGGGCGAGCGGGCGCGAGGGGATCCGGGAGCCGGTGAAGGGAAGGCTGAAGGCTGATACGGTGGGGTTGGGGGCTGTGGTTCCTCGGGGCGGGGAGAAGGAGAAGAATAAGAAGAAGAAGAAGACAGTGGGTGGGGCGGGAGTGCAGAAGTTGAATGCGAAGGAGGTGCGCAAGGGGCAGAATGAGGAGAGGAGGCGCGGGGAGAGGTTGCGCGAGATGTTTTTTCAGAGGGAGGATGTGTTGGAGTATCTTGGTGGGGGGAGATGAATTTTTTTGTTTCTTTGGTATGTTGGGTTGGGTTGGCGTTACGGTTGGAGGGGGTAGGCGGTTGCTTTGATACCCTTAGAGGATTGGATTGGTTATGATGATGATGATGATGGTTGTGTTATTATATCTGGGATGGTACATGTTCTCTACATACACGGGGAAAGATGATGCGATGCGAAGAACGGACGGGCGTATTAGAGCGGTCGAGGCTGGTATCGCAGCCGCGCTAGAATAAGGCGAGAGGGAAAGGGGGAGTAAGATGGTGATGGTGACGAGGGGCATTACCGGAAGAAGTGGTGTCGCTTCTTCTCCTTCTTCTCTTTGGGTGCTTTGCCCGGTGCCGCTGGCGTCCCGTTCGAGGCCTTTCCGTTCGCCCCCAAAGACATTCCTGCCATTGCCGCAGATGGAGGCGCCGGCGGGTTCAGATTCGGCGGCGGCTTCTTGACAGGCTCTGGCGTCGGCGGTGCCTCTCTCTCGAAGAGATGAGCGGGCGCAACCGGCTTGGGTCGTTCGGCGGGGATGTCGAGCCGTCGCTTGTCGACGCTTAGATCGCTGACCTGGCGCATAAACAGCCCCGGAGAGAGCATGTGCGAGGTCGCCAGGAACACGTCCTTGTTGAGCGCCTGCGAGACCTCATAGCAGGTGCGCGCCTCTCCGTACGTCGCGCCACCCGCCATGAACACGATGATCCGCTGCCGGGGCTGTTCGCCCGTGGACCGTGTCCGAGCCCACGTCGGTTTGGCGCTTCGCAGCGATGCTTGCGACATTGAATCTGGCTGTAGCCCTGGACCCTCCGCGTCGGTGTGCGGGCGCGTGAACGGGAAGACCCCCGCATCCAGAGTGCCGCGCACCAGCTCCTCCAAGATCAACTTGAGGTTCAGATCGTACCGCGACAGACTGTCGTCTTCGATATCTGCCCCAGACGGCGGCTTCCGGTTGAACAGCGGCTGGACAGGCGGCTTGTCATCCTTCAAGGGCTTCTCGACACGAATGCCCAGGAGGTCCAGGTTGGACACAACCTCCCCGTCCTGCGGTGGAAGTTGCGCATGTGCCATGAGCTTTCGGATGTCGCCCCCGAGAATGCCGCCCCTGTAGATAATGTAAAGCAGCAGGAGTCTGAGTCTCTCCGGCTGCGTGATCGCATCGTCGTCCAGCAGATGCACCAGCTGGGAAGCCATGTTCTTGGCCTTCTTGTAGTTCTCATCTAGACCCGTGGCAAAACACTGCTCAACAGCGCTCACCTCGAGTAGCTTGTGGTCTTGGAAGTACTTCATACACTCCTGTGCCATGTTCAGGTGCAGCGTGTACGCGTCTCTGCCCTGTTGGAACTCGGTCAGACCCGCCAGCATGTCCTTGATCGTGTTCACGTTCGCTTTGTCGTTGCTGTAGCTCTGTCAGCAAATGCGATCACCGAATAGCCTGCTACTCACTCTTCCGCGAATTGAGGGTTTGCGGCCCGGAACTTGGCAAAGTCCTCGCCCAGCTTGCCCAGCACGTCCTTCATGTGAAGGTGTCTATACTCGACCCACACGTGGTCTTGCTCGTTGATTTCCATCTCCTTGACCTCCTCGTTGTGACTGCCCTCGTTGATGACCGTCTTGTACGTAACCTTGTCGCCGTCGCTGATCGGCAGCAGATCGTGCACCATCGACTGGTAGGTGAACTCGTGAAGAAGAGGTGCGATCACGTCCATGGACCGATCGACTACCAACAGAACACCGCGCGGTCTGGCAGATGGCGGGGGAAAGTCTCGCTGGAATTGCGCAAACTGGTCCAGCTCGTTCTGGATGAACCGGGCCAAGTGGGAGCACAGCACACCGGCCTCGTGGGTCGGGGTTCGGGGCCGATAGTAGCGGATGACAGGGTACTCTCCTAAACTCGCACACAGGGACACGATCTCAAGCCGAGGTCAGCATTAAGAAGCAATCGGACGCCTCCAGACGATCTCACCTTCTGTGCTAGTCCCTCCAGGTGTGCGCGAATGAGATGGTTGCAGCCCGGATGGAACAGCACGGGGAAACTCCACGGGTCGCGGAAGGTGATCAGGCGCGATTCTCTCGGGAAGTAGTCGGCATTCATGATCTGGAAGTTGGCGATCTGCTCGTGGGCCATCTGGGACCGATCCAACCTGGCGCGCTGTTGCGGATCGAGAACTGCCACGGATATCAGCAACGGCGGGGCCACGGAGGGGCAGGGAGCCGACATGATGTCCACACCAACCACGCCTTCCGGTATCGCTTCCTCTCGAAATCGGCCATTATGCAATCCACAATATGCGGAAGAGGGGATAGGATGTAGAGTGCATCCATGGTGGGGTTGGGGGAGCGCCTCTCCTCGATCTGTTCGACATCTTGCGGAGGGGTAATTAGCGCCTGAATGTCTGGTTGAGGGATTGGGAAATGGGGGACTTACTGGTGACATTGAGATTGAGAATCTCATCCTCGCTAACGGCATTCTCGATCAACTTGCGACTGGTCTCGTCGACCACCAGGACCTTCCACTGCAGGTATCGGGTGCCATGTCAGTTCCGTCACGGGGCGAAAAGGCGGGGGAGCCAGAATAGGGAGTAGGGGCGGAGGGAAGCCGAGCGCACCTCATTACCCGCCGCATAACGGATCGTGTTTAGGATGACTAGAAGAGAAAAGGAGTTAGTAGGGAGCCGTGGGAGCTCTGCCGCGAGAGATCACGTACCATCGTGCTGGATGCTGAGGATTGAGGTGCTCATTATGGCTGACCGGCAGCCCTCCACTGGGGCATAGACTTGAGACTCACACTCACAACGCTGGAAGAGAGGGGGGAGGGGGGGAGGTTTGGAGGGGATAGGAGAGCGGATCAGAGGGGGGAGGACGGGAATAAAGAGGAGGGGCAGCAGGAGCAACAGGCTAGCAGCACCAGAATCAGGGGAGCGGGCAGGCTCTCTTTTTGAAACGTAGGTTGATATCAGTTGAGACTTGAGACCCTTCGGCGGGCCCGCCGGGCGGTCATCGCGATCGGCGGGCCTGCAAGGCGGTGTGTCCCTTATTTCCGCCCGCGAAAAAAAAGCCCCGGTGATGGCAAATGCAATCCATCTCTCCAGCGAGATGCGCTGAATCATCTGCTCTGTCTCGTCAGGGTCGTTCTTGTCGAGACGCTCTCTCCTGTTCCTTCCTCATACCCCTATATTCCTACCAACTGCCCGCTACAGTTGCACTACACAGGTTCCCCCCCCCGACCTCCGTAGGTCCGCCGCCACGGCCACGGCCACGGCTCCATTGGAGGAATGCAGTCATGGACCAGCAAAGGCAGCCTTTGCCTACTATGTACGTTCCGACCGGCTGTTCTTCCGGCGAGGCGGACGTTTGCCACGTCCCCTGTGATGAACAGGGTCGCGTCCAAGGTGCGGACAAAGTCCAAGAAAGCTGCCCAGGAGCTCGAGAAGCAAGTGCTGGCACTCGATGCGAAGAATGCGAAAAACGGGAAGATCAATAAGGTATCCCCCACTTGGGTGCCCCGGGGTTTAGCGGATCCATTGGTGACTGATCTCTTTCTGTGTAGGCTCCCTCAGGCGTAAGAAATATCCGCGAAAAGCTCGCGGCGAGGGACTTTAGCGCGGCGGTAACACACGCTCTAGGGATCTTCCGTCAAATGATGAAGGAGCGGAAAGACCCCGGATTACCCAGGTGGAAACGATTTGAGCGGACCATGTTAAATGCGTGCAAGGTGGAGGACAAGGCCGCTGGTTCCTTGCGCCACGTCAGAGACGCGCTGCTCCGGGCATTCCTCCACAAGGGAGTCAGGGGCCTCACGAGTGAATTGGATTTTTACATGTATGCGGAGGAGATCACGTCCAAGTACTCGGACCCCAACCTTGAACAACAGAAGAAGGTCGCGGATTTGCGACGTCCAGCGGAGTGGTATCCGCACGCCCGCGCCGTGCAGCGGACGTTGCATCTGCACGTGGGACCGACGAACTCGGGCAAGACGTACCATGCGCTGCAGCGCCTGGAGGCGTGCAAGCGTGGGTTCTATGCCGGCCCCCTCAGACTCCTCGCGCAGGAGGTTTACAGCCGGTTTCACGCGAAGGGAACCCCCTGCAGTCTCATCACTGGTGATGACGTGAAGATTCCGGAGGGGGAAGTCCCCACCATTGTGAGCAACACGGTGGAGATGGTCAGTTTGGGGGAGCAATACGATGTGGGAGTCATTGATGAGATTCAAATGATCGCCGATCCTCATCGTGGATGGGCATGGACCCGTGCCGTGCTCGGCGCGCGTGCCACCGAGCTTCATCTTTGCGGTGAAATCCGGGCCATTCCTTTGATCCGACAGCTGGCGGCCCTGACGGGGGACAAGCTCGAGATCCACCGCTACAAGCGACTGAATCCGTTGAAGGTGATGGACCGCAGTCTCAACGGCGATCTCAAAAACCTTCAAAAGGGAGACTGCCTGGTCTCCTTCTCCCGAGTAGGGATCCACGCGCTGAAAGCCGACATCGAGAAAACCACGGGAAAGCGGGCGGCCATCGTCTATGGAAGTTTGCCGGCTGAAATCCGGACTCAACAGGCCAGCCTGTTCAACGATCCAGACAACGACTACGACTTTCTGGTTGCCAGTGACGCCATCGGCATGGGTCTGAACTTGTGAGTATTGCCCGGTTGCTGCCCTGGCGCATAAGGTCTAATTCGAGCAGGAGCTGCAAGCGTATCATCTTCGAAACCGTGATTAAGCGCCTCCCTAGTGGGCTTCAGAGGCTCAGCGTCCCCGAGATCAAGCAGATTGCAGGGCGAGCCGGTCGATACCGATCCGCTGCGCAACAGTCGGAAGACCATTCTGAAGAGGAAAATGTCGGCTGGGTGACATCCCTGGAAGACATTGACCTGCCGCATATCCGCGAAGCGATGGAGACCGAGCCGCCTCCACTCACGGCTGCGTGCATCGGCCCACTAGATACAGTCTTCAAGAATTTGGCGGCATATTTTCCAAACAATGTTCCTCTGGAATATCTGATCAAGCGGATGACAGTAGTCGCTCAGATCCATCCGTTGTTCTTTTTACAAGAAGTTGGAAACCAACTGGAGAACGCGGAAGTCGTCGATTCTGTGGACGGCTTGCGAATTGCGGACCAGCTGACCTTCATGGCTGCGCCTCTGCACACAAGGACCATTATGGGCCGCGATGCTGCCACTGCATTTGCGAAGTGCGTCGCAGAACATTCCAGCGGTAGCTTGCTGGATATCCCGGTTCTCAATCTCGAGATTCTGGAAAAGCCGGTCTCTGGTAGCAAGGAGTATCTCCACGAGCTGGAATCGCTGCACAAAGCCGTCATCCTGTATCTGTGGCTCAGTTACCGGTGTGGCGGAGTTTTCACGGACAGGACTTTGGCCACCCATGTCAAAGAATTGGTTGAGGAGAGGATGGTCAGAGCATTGACCGAGTTTTCGGCCAACAAGAAACTCCGGAAGAACGCCTCTCTCCAACGAGAGATTGCTTTGCAGAAGCAGCTCATGCAAGAAAAACGACTCCTTGGCGAGGCCGATGCTGACTCGTATGGCAACGAAGATGAATCTGCTAACGCGGACCCTCTAGCCGACCAGGACCAGCTGGAAGATGATAACGAGACTACGGACCTTTCAGCCGGTGAGGAGCAACCGAAAAAAAAATCATCTCAAGCACCCGCTGCTTAGAGCCTAGCCGCACTCTATACGCCACTTGTGCATGTTTTGGGCTCGATAGATATAGACTGCACGTGGAGCGCTCTCCGCATTGTTGATTTTCAGATGTTTCAACGAGGATAGACACATACTAAGATGCGCTCCCAGTCTTCCTGAACTGGGGAACTCCCTTGTCTTGAGGTCTGGGCGCTGTACGATTGGTGGTTTGGTCCATAGCATGGTATTGTCTATAGATGGCACGGTTGGAGCGTGGAACGTGGACACCTGTATTTTAGATGTATGTTAGGATGAAGGTATATAACCTAAGCTCAACTCCAGAAGACCGACTCAAACCCCAATATAATATAGCAAGCCAAGTACTTCGAATACATCCCTTTGACAATATGTACTGAAGTACCAGTTGAGCAACTGCGCCTCATGATGCTTATCTGATCAGTGGCGGATGCGCCGAAGCGCCACAACGATTTTCCGCGACAGTGAGCTTTGCCGGTTCGCAGACCCGCGGAGGAGCAGGACAGACTCTCCCCTTGCGACACAGAGGAGTGTTGGCCACTCTCTCGCCATTTGACCCCTCTCGCCCCTCCCTATCGATCTATTTACTCAGACCTCTCCTCTCCTGCGACCCTTGACCTCCCCACAACCACCCCCCCTCCCCAAACCGCATCCGCCATGGATGACCTCCAGTCGCTGGAGCTGTTTTCGCTCGTCTCGCGGATCACAGGCGAGCTCCAGAACCACCTGGGCGTCAGCGACAAGACATTGGCCGAGTTTGTCATCGACCAGCATCTGAAATGCGGGTCGTTTACGGAATTCAAGACGAGCCTGGAGGAGATGGGCGCGGAGTTCCCTCAGAGTCTGCTGGAGAGTGTCGATCGCCTGGTGCTCACGATGCATCCGAAATACAAGACGAAGAAGGCGGAGGCCGCGGAGACTGCGGCCGGCGGGGATGACATGGATATTTTGGGCGCGTTGGAGAAGAAAGCGCGCGTGTTTAAAGGTCTGGCGGTGCCGGACAAGGTGCAGCAGTGGGACGACGAGGAGGATGACTATATTCAGCGGAAGGATGTGGGGGAGACAGATGCGAAGGCAGATGCGATGGATGATACGTTTGCTATGCTGGAAGGGCTGGCGGGGAAGGCTCGCGATGAGAAGCCCGCCGCCGCCGCCGCCTCCTCGTCGAGGAATGATCGCGGTACCAGGAAACGCAGCAGGAGTCCGGATTACGATGACTACGGCCGTGGACGCCGGCGCAACGATAGATACCGATCCCGATCCCGATCCCACAGCCTCCGGTACAGCAGGAGGGATGATGATGGTGATGTGGATGAGTTTGGTCGGTCGAAGAGCAAATATACCAGCCGGGATGAAGGGCGCAATGGACACGGTGAGCGGAGGAGTCGACGGGATCGCAACGATGATGGCGAGTATTTCCGCAAACCGCCACCAGTGGAGCTGGATGACCAGCCGGTGCTATACAAGGTCTACGATGGTCGTGTTACTGGTGTGAAGGATTTCGGCGCTTTCGTGAACCTTCTGGGTGTGCAAGGCAAAGTGGATGGACTGGTACATGTTTCTGCGATGCAGGAAGGAGCCCGGGTCAACCATCCTTCCGATCTGGTGTCTCGAGGCCAACCGGTCAAGGTTAAGGTTGTCAGCATCCAGGGCTCTCGTATCGGGTTGTCGATGAAGGAGGTGGACCAAGTGACTGGTCTTGATCTCCTTCCTCAGCGGCGTCTGGCATCGGGGGCGAATATGGAACGTCTTGACGGCGTGTCGGCAAACGATAGATATGGCAACTTGAGCTCGGAGGTGCCGATCATTGAAGATTCGGATGGCAGGCCCATGAAAAACAGGAAGCGCATGACATCACCGGAACGCTGGGAGATCAAGCAACTGATTGCGTCTGGCGCTGTTTCGGCGGCCGACTATCCCGATATCGACGAAGAATACCACGCGACGTTGACGGGTGAAGGGACATTCGAGGAAGAGGAAGATGTTGATATTGAGGTCAAGGACGAGGAGCCGCCTTTCCTGGCTGGTCAGACCAAGATGTCTCTGGAGCTCTCTCCGATCCGGGTCGTCAAGGCCCCTGATGGCTCTATGAACCGGGCTGCGATGGCAGGTACCAACTTAGCCAAGGAGCGACGCGATATCAGACAGCAAGAAGCCCAAGATAAGGCCGCTGAACAGGCCGCGGGCGTCGACCTCAATGCGCAGTGGCAGGACCCTATGGTGGCGCCTGAAGAGCGGAAATTCGCCGCTGATCTCCGAAGCACTCAACAGTCGAAGCCGGACGACTCAGTGCCCGAATGGAAGCGGGTGACAATGGGCAAGAACCAGTCGTTCGGGAAGCGCACCAGCATGTCCATCAAGCAGCAGCGCGAAAGCTTGCCAGTTTACAAGTTCCGCAAGCAACTACTCGATGCTGTGCGCGAAAACCAGCTGTTGATTGTCGTCGGAGACACTGGATCTGGAAAAACAACACAGCTTACCCAGTATCTGGCTGAAGGGGGCTACGGGAACAATGGGATCATCGGATGTACACAGCCTCGTCGTGTGGCGGCAATGTCTGTCGCCAAACGTGTGGCCGAGGAAGTCGGATGTAGGCTTGGTGCCGAGGTTGGATACAACATCCGTTTCGAAGACTGCACAAGTCCCGAGACGAAGATCAAGTACATGACCGATGGCATGCTCCAAAGAGAAGTGCTCCTGGATCCGGATTTGAAGAGGTATTCGGTGATCATGCTTGATGAAGCCCACGAGCGAACCATCGCTACCGATGTTCTTTTCGGGCTGCTCAAAAAGACCATCAAACGGCGACCAGACCTCCGACTGATTGTCACCTCAGCTACTTTGGACGCCGAAAAGTTCTCCGAGTATTTCAACGGCTGTCCTATCTTCTCAATTCCCGGTCGTACATTCCCCGTCGAGATCATGTATTCCAAGGAGCCCGAGTCCGACTATCTCGATGCTGCTCTCATCACAGTCATGCAGATCCACCTGACGGAACATTCGGGTGATATCCTACTGTTCTTAACAGGCCAAGAGGAAATTGATACAGCATGTGAGATCCTATACGAGCGAATGAAGGCCCTAGGGTCCACTGTACCCGAACTGGTTATTCTTCCTGTCTACTCTGCTCTTCCCAGTGAGATGCAGAGCAGGATTTTCGAGGCTGCGCCACCCGGCGGCAGAAAGGTCGTCATCGCCACAAACATTGCCGAGACGTCCATTACCATTGACAATATCTACTATGTCATCGACCCTGGCTTCGTGAAGCAGAATGCTTACGATCCCAAGCTTGGCATGGATTCCTTGGTGGTGACCCCCATTTCGCAGGCGCAGGCCAAGCAGCGAGCAGGCCGTGCTGGAAGAACTGGTCCTGGAAAGTGTTTCCGTCTGTACACGGAAGCGGCGTACCAGTCGGAGATGCTGCCAACGACGATTCCCGAAATCCAACGCCAGAACCTTTCGCATACTATTCTCATGCTCAAGGCGATGGGCATCAATGATCTCCTACACTTTGACTTCATGGATCCGCCGCCGACGAACACCATGCTTACGGCACTGGAGGAGCTATATGCTTTGTCTGCATTGGATGACGAGGGTCTTCTGACTCGGTTGGGCAGAAAGATGGCAGATTTCCCCATGGAGCCAGCCCTTGCCAAGGTTCTTATCGCCTCCGTCGACATGGGATGCTCCGATGAAATGCTGAGCATCGTGGCCATGCTGTCTATCCAGTCGGTGTTCTACCGCCCCAAGGAGAAGCAGCAACAGGCAGATCAGAAGAAGTCCAAATTCCACGACCCACACGGAGACCACCTGACTCTCCTCAATGTCTACAACGGGTGGAAAAAGTCCAACTTCAACAACGCCTGGTGCTTCGAAAACTTCATCCAAGCGCGTCAGATTCGCCGCGCGCAAGATGTTCGTCAACAGCTACTGGGGATCATGGAACGGTACCACCACCGAATCGTGTCCTGTGGAAGAAACACCACCAAGGTGCGCCAAGCCATGTGTACGGGCTTCTTCCGCAACGCCGCGCGCAAAGATCCCCAGGAGGGCTACAAGACTCTCGTCGAAGGCACGCCGGTCTACATGCATCCCAGCTCCGCCCTGTTTGGCAAACCGTCCGAGCACGTCATCTACCACACGCTGGTCCTCACCACGAAGGAGTACATGCACTGCACCACCGCCATCGAACCCAAGTGGCTGGTCGAGGCCGCCCCGACCTTCTTCAAGGTGGCGCCCACCGATCGCCTTTCGAAGCGGAAGAAGGCCGAGCGCATCCAGCCGCTGCACAATCGGTTTGCAGGCGAGGACGACTGGCGTCTGTCCGCGCAGAGACGTCAAGGCAGAGGTGGAGGCGGTGGAACCTGGGGTTGATCTTCTTTATCCCGGGTGTGGCCCTGTCGTCCTTTCAATCTGTCTGTTCATCCTGTTTTCCATACCATTTCTTTTCTATGGGCATATATATGGTAGTCATCAATCAAGAATACCCCTCACGAAATTTTGACCAGAAGCCAGATGGGCTCATTCTGTGCACGTTGCGCTAGAGATGTAACGATTTAATGAATTGCCTGCAACTAGGTCGGTAGTTTTATAACACATAATGAATCTTCGAGATTGACCATAAGATAGGCATTGTATTCCGAACCCCCACCATCTCACACCCCCTTTTCTTTCCGCAAAGTATCAATATCACGGCCGACTAATCCTCTCCCACACCAACTCCGGCCTCACCATAAGACCCTATATAGTATATAACCCGTCAGCCCCAGTCCCAGCCTAATCCCACCTTCCTCCCCTCCCTTTCAACAATAACCCCCCCAAAAAAAAACCACCAACACAAACACAAACACAAACATAGAAACATCTCACCTCAATATCCACAAACCCCAACGACGACAACTTCAACCGATCCCCCTCCAACCACGTAACCTGACGCTTGAGCACCGACCCCTCCAACTCATGCGGACACGCCATATGCACCTGATGGCTGACCATTAGTCCTCCTCCTCGACCTCGACCTCGATGTCCATCTTGATCTCCACCGGCCTCCTCCACCCAGAACCGCCCCGTGTACATCACGCCGTCCTGGATCGAATGCTTCACTTTGTTGCTGCTGGTCGGCATCACGTTCACGGCCATGTACCCGTCCGCCGCGTAGGTGAGGAGTCCGCGGGCGTCGGGGCCCATCGGGTGGATGGTGGGGCCGTGGTGGTCGAAGGGGGAGGAGGTGTAGGAGAGGAGGGTGTATGTACCCAGGAGGGGGGAGGGAGAGGTCATGGGTATGGGAGGTGTGTTTTTTGAGTTGGTTTGAGTTCTGTTAAAATGTGATGATTGGATTGGGGGGGGGGGGGGTGTATGTGTATTATATATTGTAGTACGGTAGGATGATGGAAATTAAGGAACTGTCTCTCGACTAGGATATTGTCCTGATACCGAGTTAGATAGTATGATGATGATGATGATGATGATGATGATGATGATGATGATGATGAGACGGTTTAGTGGGAGGTATGGATCTATACGATATGGGCTTGAGGCATTGGGCATTGCGTGGGTGGGTTGGGGGGGGTTGTTTTATAGATCAGGTCAAATATAAGGTTGATAGAGAGAGAGAGAGAGAGAGAGAGAGAGAGAGAGAGAGAGAAAAGTGGCAGTTGCCGGACAGTTTCGGGGGAGAAAAGCTAGCTTACCTACTTTACCTGTCTACAAACCGGATTCGAACAACAGAGGATGATGAGTACTGGCTTGCTACGGGCCAATTGTAGCTATCCATGGATCGACTGGTGAATCATTGGTCGATTTCAAGGACGGTGGTTGTCGGCGCCCTGGACGTTTCGAGGGAGACTATAACTATTTCTCAAAGCTGGTTGGGGGAGGGAGGGTTGAAGGTCTAGAACCTGAAGTACATTTCGTTGCCTGACGGCCTGCCGGCCTGCTGCGTGGGCCAATCAGCGGAAAGGGCCATGGGGCCTGCCGTGTTGTTGCCTTGTTGCCTGAGATATTCACGCGACCGGGTTCTTCTTCTCTTCCAACCTTGTCGGAGTTTCTCCCTTTCCTTCCTTGTTTCCACTCATCTTGAACTTGATTGCTCGGACTTGGATCTCTTGAGCTTTTCGGTCGAGGCCATCCATCTGTCTATCTATTGGCTGCGTCGTGCCACTCACAAAAGTCCAGCGCTGCAGTGGCACCCACCCGACCCAATCAGAGGCCGCAAAACTCTGAAGGGCACTCAGTGCATCGGCGATCCATCTCTGGAGATCCAGCTTTCTCGAGGTCGTCCTCGCAACCAAGAGCCTCCCTCGCTGTCACGCCAGAATGTCGTTCCACGAGGCCCAGAACCCTCGTAGCAAGAGGAGAAAGCTGGATACCCCCCAGGAGGCCGAGACCACCTCATCCATCACCTCCCACACCCAGATCCACGCCGCCTTGGTCTTCCAGCAGAACGTCAATGAATCCAAGCAAGGTAAGTCGGCGTCCCCGCGCTCAGATATGGGCCATGCATGCCAGTGCCGATACTCACCATGCAATACAGGGATCAGGAAGTTCAAGGACTTTCTAATGTCCATTGGGCAGACGGAGGATGAGGACGAAAAGGCCAAAAAGTTCCGCATCCTCAAGGCTTACTGTGATTCGCAAATCTCCCACGTCAATGAGAATGAGGCCGTTTGCTTCAAGGATCTGATCCAGACGTGGGGGTTCGCTGACAGCAACAACAACGAGTCCCTGTTGACCGTTGTTCCCTCCGTTCTTGCTTTGTTCATCAAGACCGTGTCCACGAACCTGGAGTTCCGCGACTTCGGGCTGGCGCTATGCAAGCACCTCGTCCAGAAGGAGCAGCTGAGGCTGTTCAACCGCGGCATGACCGCCTTGAAGTCCAAGGAGCATCTGATCTCCCCTTGCCTTCGTCTTCTGACGGAAATGGTCGGCTTCGATGGTGGTGCTGTCGCCCGGAACGTCTATGCGGCCCGGTACATTACCTTCAAGCGCATCGAGACCTTCCTGACTCCCAACAAGGCCCAGCTGGAGGACATGTCGGATGATGCTACCAAGTCTACTCTGCGCAAGAATGCTCAGAAGTATGTTCTGACGAGTCTCAAATTCCTGCAATCAACTTCGAAGAGCGACATTCTGGAGCAGCACAAGGTGATGAGAGCGTTCCTGGAGTACATCAGAAAAGACTCGAGAGGGTTTGTCGTGGAGATCATCAAGTGCATTGAGAGAGACATCATCCAGGACGCTTCGATCTCGCGCATCGCCAAGAGCAAGTTCTTCAGCCGATGGAATCTCGAGCGTCTCGTTACGCTCTATGGCTATGATCGTGAATCCGAGGAGCCCAACCTTGCGAACATTAACATCGCAGCCGAGGTTCACAAAATCCTGATGAACGTTTGCACCAATCCGGAGCTTGGCGTGTTGATGCCGGAATCTGGCTGGTATCCGACAGGGACTGATCCCGAGTCGCTGCCCACGGACGATGAGACATTGATCGATCTTGGCCTGGACTCTGCTGTCCATGTGGACAAGTTCCGGGCATCCGTCCCTGTTCGCAACACAACGCTGTCGTATCTGATCCAGACTCTCCGTCCCGATGCCGACAGTCTCCAGATTGAGCTGCTGGTGGCGATCTTCAAGGCGGCGCCCGAGCTCGTGGCCGATTTCTTCTCGAAGAAAAGCATGTTCATCTCAGACCCCAAGCCCACTCCCTCCTGGCTGGCAGAATCCGCCCTTCTCTTCTCCACCGTGCAGCTGCCCGTTCCTGCGAACTGTGGCTGGAAGGAGAAGTCTCCTGCGACGCCGCCGCCCGTCTCGGTGGTGATCGAGAGTGTGCTCCCTCGCCCACTGACCCAGAAAATCATCACTCGCTGCCTGAACCTGAACGCCGAGATTGTGACCCTGTTTGCCGTTCGAATCCTGACCATTGCGTTCAATAAACTGCGGGCCGTCCTGAAGGTCTTCAATGCCGACCATGGCATCAGCCAGCCGCTCTGGACGCAAGCCGCAACCAAGTTGGTCGCCGAGTTCGGTCGCCGGTGCCCCGGGGTCAAAGAAGTCATTCTTCTCTACAAGAGAACCGCCAAGGAGGACTTGCAGCAGCAAGATGCCGTCTCGGAGCTTCTCGCTTGGTTCTACGATGTGGTGCCGGATGCCGCACTTGAGGAAGGGTTCGATGCTTCGCTGGTTTTGGTCGACATCTTGAAACGCCTGGACGAGGGCAATCTCGACGAAGATGATTCCGAGTCTCTGCTAAGCCAATTGCAGAACATCCTGAAGATCACACAGCAGTCTACATCTATGCGTTGGTGGCAACAACCAGGTAAGAAAACATGTCGCGTTTTGAACCCCATGTGCTAATACAGTCTAGCCTCCATGCAATGCTCCGCTTTCACTTCCATCCTGAAGGTTCTGGTTTCAGCGACATCTAGAGACTCTCTGCGCGAAATCGACAGCCTTTCGAGGACGGTGCTCACAGAAGCTTCCGTCCTGCAGCAGCCGTCCTCATTCCCGGCTCTGTTGTCCAGCTTCGAAACCACCGACGCCGAGAAGCTCCAGCGCCAACTTTCCTTTTTCGATAACTGCGCCTGCCGAATTGCCAAGAAGCCAGTTCACTACCAAGACCTTGTCGATGCCTCACTCCAGGGAGCGTCGAGTCCGGTCAGCCCTCTTGTCGCCGCCATCACCGAACAGTGGCCGTTCATCACCAAGGCCGGAGACGCGGAGACCGAAAGCGCAGTGGCTACCTGGGTTGCCAGGGTGCTTGGAAACCTGAAGCGTGCCGGAGAAGATGCCAAGGCGTTGAAGGCCGCCCGGGACCAGTTGGTGGAATGCGCGGAGAACAAGAAGTCCAAGTCGATGCTCAAGAAAGCATTGAAAGACACCGAGGACGATGGAGCTGACACAGTCATGGAGGATGCCACTTCCCCAGATGCGGCAGCTGCCGCGGAGAAGGAAGAGGTGGATCTGGATGAAATCTTTGGCACACTGCCCACGGAGGGCACCACCCATAACGAGCTGCGTCGCTGGGAGAAGGATGAACTTGAAGTGTCCGTGGAGCAAGGCCGGATCGCAGAGTTGATGCTCTGCCTGTGCTCTGAACACGAGGAAGTCCGGAGACAGGCCTTTGCGAACATCATCCGCTTCATGGCGAAGCTTAAGGTATGCTTGTGCCCATTCTCCAGGTCTACCCAAGATGGAAGCTGACCATGCCTATAGGAGTCCAACTACGCCGAATGGAGATCAGTCTATATTCTCACCGGAGAGCTTCTGGAGACCGCCAAACGGGCTGGCCTCGAATCACCCGTGCCGTGGATCGTCGGGGAGTGTGCTTCCGGCTGCCTCGCCGTCCTTACGACCCCCATGCACAAGCTGTATGGCAAGGTCAACAAGTTCTTGCAGAAGGCGCCTCACTGGGAGGCCGAGAAGATCCCATCCTACTGGATCGACAAGATCCTGCTGCACGAACCGGAGCTTGACGACGGCTATTTCGAAGAAACCAGCTGGCTTCTGGATCTACTCATCAAGGGCCTTCGGACCCAAGCCGTATGTTCCCCACCGGATCCCCCTTGCCCGCACGGCATGGCTTTTATGACTGACGGATTACAGGACATGGAAATCTACCGCCGCGCGAACGTCTTCGAGCGCGCTCTCGCCTTCTACGAATCGCCGAGCGCGAGCGTCTCTGCCAAGCGAAAGATCCTGCACCTGCTGCATCGCTCGACCCAAGTGCGCGGGAGCACGACGCTGATCACCCGAGCGGGCATCCTCAGTTGGGTGCAGAGCCAGATGCCCGCGGTGACGGCCAAAGACAGCAACACCTTCACGGCCATTGCGCAGTCGCTGCAGCAGACCTCAGACAGCGACTGGGTATCGACATGGAGCGGAGGCGCCGCCCTGCGCGCGGTTGAAGAGATTGCGGCCTAGGCAGACAGGACAGACATAGACACCTCTGGTAGAGCGTTGGAAAGGGCACGCGGCGCCCACCGCCGGTATATTTGTTACATCATAATTGGCGTCTGATTCAGGTTGGATACCGCGGTGAGGGTCGGTGCGGTTGCGACTTGGGGTACCCGATGATAGGATGATCTGGGGGATCGTGAAATGTAGATCCATGCATTGGGAAATCAGACCTAGCTTATTTGTCGAGATGGCATGTATTATATATATCATTATATGACATATCCCACGCGAGACCTGGGATGTTAATGCGTGGTAGCGAGCGACAGCGGTTGGTTTTGTTTTGCTGGACCGTGTGCGGAGGAGAACCGTAGACCCGAGACCGTAGACACCGCCACGGCCACGGGGGGAAAACACGACGTCGTGTCAACGGAGAGAAGGGCAATCGGGATACTCGGATGGGGAGTGAGTAGGTGGAGTTAGTTGGATGGTGGATTGTGGGAGGAGAGAGCGGAAAATAAGAAGAAGAAGAATCGAGGTGGACGAGCAGGTGAGCGGTGACGGTCCCGATTGGGCAGTTGGGGAGTTCGGAACTTCATTCACTTTTGCCCGCAACTGGCAACTCTCGCTCTCTCTCTCTCTCTCTCTCTCTCTCTTCTTCTTCCCTTTCACCACCATCTCCTCCTCCACCATCAACCTCCCCTCTGTCCCCCCCCCCCCGACTCTTTGCCCGCCGTCACTTGTTCGCTCGCCTTGTTGAATCTACCCGACACTAGTTGAGACCTTCTTCTCTGACGCCGACCAGCTGGCAGATTGGGTTGCAGCACCTGCCCCTCCTCTCCCGCTCCCCCAACGAGCCCTCCTCTCATCCTCCTGAACTGCCCCGAATCTGTCTTGTCCTGCCTGCCTTGAACGATCGAAGCTCTCCTCCGCCCTGCTCCTTGCCACTGGCAAGTGAAGTGGCCTTGCGTTTAGGCCTCCTATCCCTCCCTACCCACCTCGCAGCCTGCTCCGCGCCCTCCACAATCCACAATCCACAATCCACCTGGCCTCGTCTCCTTTCCCTTCCTGTCCGTCCCCGTGATATTCCCAACTCCACCTTTTCCATCCTAGGACCGCCCACGACCAATGAGATCGTCGTAACGACACCCCGATAGCGTCTCACACTCCTCCCCCTCCCCCTCCAAGCCGTCTTCATGGCGCGACGTTACCACATCGATGAGTTGCTATGGCTGCGCTCGTCGCCGCTGGTCACCAAGCCTACCGCGTTACCGTCGGTAGAAGAATGGATGGGGTAAGGCCCTGCTCCGATCTGAGGATTCATCCATGCGATCCTCGAGCTGATGCAATTGCCCTGTTAGACCAATCCCCGACCCAACAACCCAACGCAAAACAACAAACCCTCGAGACCCCAACAACCCGGCCGAGACCACCCCCAGAAGGCCCAGCCTCTTCGAAGCCCGTCATATAGCCCGCGGTTCCACTTCAGGTAATACGGACACCGTCTGCTGTTCATTTCTCTTCACGCTTTCTCCGAAGCGGATAACTAGGCCATCGCTAACGCAAGCAATTGGTCGCATGCAGAGGATATCATTCTTGGACCCCCTAAGACCGCTTTTGCCTCCGCATCTCGGATACCCGGCAAAGGATCGATAGATGCTACCGATCGATCGTCCAAGCCAGCTGATACCGAGGACGCGAAGAACGACCGGTTCAATCTCCGCGAGAAGTTCTTCAAGGAACGGGAATCGGGCGAAAGAGACTTTGACCGACGGGACGGAAAGCTAGGAGCGTTTACCAACAATACTAACAACAACAACCGCCGTGGGGAAAGAGAAGACTGGAACAATGGACGTCCCCGCCGTACCTTCGGCCAGGAGGAGCAAGAACGAAAGCCAAGACGCAATGGGGAGTTCGACCGGTGGGAGAACCGCGATCAACGCGAACCCAACAACAGCGAACGCGCAGTCAAAGAGAAGGAGACGCGGGTTTTCCTTCGCAAGGATGGCACGCCCCAACGAGCCCGACACGAAGGGAGCTGGTTTCGGGATGACAATGCCCATGATGCGCCCGAGCCGGAAGAAGAGAAGACCCCGATACGGAACCGCGAATGGCGCCGAGATCGGCACGGTGCAGACCGTGACTGGACTCGGGGCGCCAAAATTGAACAGGAGCCCGAGTGGCTGGACGCGAATGATAAAGATGAGCCCCGGCGGGTGCACACGCAGGAAGACTTTGAGCGCTGGAAGGAGAGGATGAAGGCCGGCTCCTCCCAACCCCCCGCAGAGGAGAGGGAGCCCCCGGTCGAACCTGTTGCTGCCCCGGCGCAAAAGGCGGAGCCCAGACCTACCGATGGCGAGATTTTCAGCAGCACGGGCACCCCGTTCACGTCGGATGTCGCCATGGAGCGCTTCTTCGGATTGCTGGGTGACTCCAAGGCGCCGCCCCCGCCACCCCAGGAGGTGGCCTCCCCCGTGGTGGAACCGACTGTCAAGAAGGAGCCGCTTCCCGGAGCCATTCCAGGGGGCATTCCAGGGGGCATCCCAGGAGCCATCCCAGGAGCCATCCCAGGAGCCATCCCAGGAGGCCTTCCAGGCAAGCTGGGGAAGTCGTCGCGGTTCGCTGGGCTGTTCTCCCCACCCCCAGGCAGTCCAGCCAGGGACTCGGACTCTCTACCTGAGACTAGATCCTCGCCGGCTCTGAACCCAGCTATGACCACCGAGGTCAGTGCTGACCAAGAAGGATTCCAGCGCATCCTGCAGATGCTTGGCGGTGGAGGAAGGTCCCGCAACGGTACGCCTCATAATGATCCCATGCCCACCAACCGGCCCCCTTCCCTGGTGCAGGCAGAACAGAATCGGAGTGCCGTTTCGTCCCCTGCCCGGGAGCAGATGAAGCGACAGGAGTACTTCCCCATGCAGGAGACACCTGTCCGGAATGCTGGCCCAGTATTCAAAGAGCACCCATACCTTCACGAGGCTCAGGCTCAGGCTCGGGAGCGGGAACATCTCCTTCGACTGATGCAGCAGGTTCAAGTGACGCCCGTCGCCAACCAGGGCCCGGGCGGTCTCGGCCAGCCCCCGAGCGCTGGCCCCGGCGGTCCTGCCCCTGGCCTGCTGAACATGCCCGAAATGATGTCCCCCCCTCCCGGCATCGGAGGTGCTCCCAAGGGCCCCAGCTTCTTGAATGATCCCGCCATCGCCAACATGCAGAGACCCGACGTTGAACATCTTCGGCAAAGGCCCGCCAATGGGCCGCCAATGGCATACTTTGAAGATATGCCGTTCCCCCAAGGCGGCCAGCTCCCGATGACGCCTGGCGGCAGCCGGGCGCCCCAGGGACAGCCGCATCCGGCCATGGGCATGCAGAGACCGCCGGGCTTCGAGCACATGCCTCCCCCGGGATGGACCGGCCCCCAGATTCCGCCGCAGCAGCAGGGAGGCGGGCCGGCGCCTTTGGCCCCCCCGCCGGGGATTCCGACTCCTTCGCGCGGGGTCAACCCCAGCTACATGGCCAACATGATGCCGATGCATGCCAATGCCCCGCCTCTGAATGAGCGGGAGCCCTTCCCACGCGGCCCCCCGCCCGGCATGATGCCCCCGCCGCCCGGGTACATGAACGGGCCCCCCCCGCCGGCTTCCCCCCCATGCCACCCAACGAAGTGCTGATGGGGGTTGCTCACCGTGGCCAGATGCCCTTTGACGGCAACCCCGGGCCCCAAGTGCCTCCCCCATCCTCGCGGCACCTGTTGGATATGTTTGGCCAAGTTGGCGGTGACGCGCGGGGCGGCATGCTCGGACCTGGACAGTTCCGGTAGGACTGCCGGTCTGCGCAGTGACATTGGCATGGCAAACTCCCGAGAATGAAATGAGTATACACCAGATGGGATAGCCCCGCGCGGAGCTTCTCCTCCCTTACCTTCCCCCTTTGTGATGCCAGATAATAACACGATCTTCTTTTTTTTGTCTGTATCTGGTTTTCATTTAGTTGTGATTGTTTGGTGCATGACAAAGGCCAAGGCTGGTTGGTTGGAGAGCACACACCCTGCGGGGAGGGATTCGAATTCGACTTCGACTTCGACTTGTCGGCTTCATGCTGCGAGACTGCGAATGCTGATGCTGTGCTGCTGCTGCTGCTCAGGCGACTGTTGCAACCAGTGCTTGCGGCGACGCTGCTCTGTTTGTACAGACCCTGGGATTGGATAATAATGGGTAATAGGCAGATTCTGCTTGCTAGTCTGAAGGCTTGCTGTTACTGCTGCGTATCTAGAGTGACCGGGCTTCAATGAACCTATTACTTGTGATGGTTTTTTATTCACTGTAGAATACCTAGCTAGCTAGCTTAGGTATAGTAGAGGCTGTAAATCCCGGTCTGCTGCCTGAGGTATGCAGGACAGAACAGGCAGGGCCAGTGAATCCGGCTGGTTGTCTGCTGGTCCGTGTTAGGATCGGTATCAGTGAATCTCATCCCCATTCACCCGCTCGCGCTCGCTCTCGCTCTCTTACTTCCTCTTCCTCCCTCTTCTCCTCCCCTTCTCCTCCCACTCTTCCTCCTCCCCCAACCCCGGTTCTTCTTTCTATCCAACCGCACTCTCCTTTCACCCTTCTAGCTACTGAACTCGCTCGTCTCCCGCCGGATTCGGATCCCGCACCTGGATATCAAAGATCAACGATCAACGATCAAAGTAAGTTAGTTTCTCCTCTCGCGTGAGATACGGTTACTGTTCCGGTATGTGCTGGTTTGGAGCGGGGATTGTGGGGCTGGTGTCGCGTCACATCGCATCTTGTCTTGTCTTCTCTTCTCTTCTCTTGTCCTGTCTTGTCCTGTCTTGTCTTGCGTTGTTGTTTGTCTTGCGATGTGATATGATGTGGTGTGCTGTGTTGTGCTGTGACGCCACGCGATGGGGCGTGATGGCGCGTCACAGGATGTGATAGATGGGGCATATTGCGTTCTTGGAGCCTTGCTGATATTGTCTCTTTGTTTCAATTAGGTGAAGTAGGTCTAAGCTGTGAGGCCATTCGCCTCAGAAAGAAGGGGAGTGAGGAAGAGAGGAAGAAGGCAAGAGAACAAGCAGCACGCAAGCAAGCAAGATACAGCAAGATATAGTACTACAACAAGATGAACAAGGACAGGATGGATAAGGTGGACGATGTTATGGATCAGGATGTGAGTATGCATTTCTATTTGTCTTTGTGTTTCTTTCTTCTATATTCATACATACCCTCATAATTCTCCTTTACGTACATACATCTACGTATCTACCATCTATCTATCTTATATCATCGCTCTCTTCTTCTTTCTTTCTTCTTTTTATATATATCTCACTGTCTCTGCTCTCCCACACCCCCCACCCCATATCCCCCCCGAACCTCAACCCCCACCCTCAAAGGCATTTGCCAACCCACTCACCAACCTCTCACAGTCCCAGTCCCAGTCCCAGTCCCAGTCCCAGTCCCACCCCCAAACCCCAACCACAACCACAGCCAAAAACCGCCTAACCCGCACCTACACCGAACGCTCGCCCAGCCCGAGCCCCAGCCCCAACCGCACGCGTCCCGACTCCTCCACAAACAAAAAGCCCCGGCTCCCATCCCCCTGGACCCAAGCAGGCGATCGTCTCGAAGCAGCCCTGGACCGCGAGATTCGCGCGTACGAGCAGGTCATCCGCTCCCACGAGGCCGAAGTGGGCGCGCACCAGGCCTTCGTGGAGAAGAGTCGGCGCATGTTTGCGGACGCGGTTGAGGTGGGGAGTATGACTATGGGAGGTGGTGATAGTGAGAATGTGGAGGTGGAGATGAAGGTGGATGTTGATATTGATGGGGATGTTGATATGGATGTCGATGTCGATGTCGATGTGGATCATGATGGGGATGTGGATGGGGATGACAGTGTGGATGGGGGCGTGTCTCTGGGAAATAAGAAGAAAGACGAGAACAAGGAGGAGAAGGAAAAAGAGAAGAAGCTGGAAGAGATGGAGATGAAGAAACGCGGTTCGGGTCTCACTTTCGACAAGATGCAACCGTCAATGGGACCGGTCCCGGGACGGGGAATGGACACCTATCTGTATCCTGGGGGGATGAAGAGCACTGCTGCCGGTGCCAATACCGGAAAGCTCACAGGCACAATTGAAAAAGGCTGTCTCACCAGCTCTGTCCCCGGAGGTGTGATCCACGGACGACAACGCTTCGGATTCAACATCTACGAGGATAGCGAATTGCCTAATCTGAACCCGGACCAGAACCAAGACCAGACAGCGACCCATACAGAGACTCCCCTGCAGGGACAGCAAGGCAGCGCAGGCGCAGCCGTGGACTATCGCGAGGTACAAGCCGAACGAGACTGGGATGAGGATAAAGAGAACATGCACGTGGATGCCGAGGGACAGCTGTTTCTCCTGCAACAGATGCAGCAACACCAACTGCAACAGGACGCGAGAATGGGAAATCAGGTCCAGATCCAGAATCCCTCTACCACAACCACCGGCACTCGCACCCGCACGGGCACTGGCACTGGCACTAATACTACTACTAATACTAATACTAACACCACCACCACCCCCCAAACCAACCAATTCTCAGACCCCGACGACGAGATGACCCTCGACACCGCAGTCGATACCCACCACCATCACCACCACCACCACCACCACAATAATACCCGCACCTGGACCCCCACCGACCCATCGCACTTCATCGACGAAGACGCCGACACCGAGATCGACCCCGACGAAGCCGAATTCGGCGACCATCTGCGTCGAAGACGGTACCACCATGCCCGTCGGCAGCGGCGCGCACAGAACACGTCGATTCATACTTCTGCATCATCTTCGGTGCTTGCTCGTTTTGGTTCTGGTTCCGGATCTGCGTCTGGCTCTGGCTCTGGGTCTGGATCTCGGGCGATGGAGGGCGTGGAGATGGCCTCGAGAGGGGCGATTGGCGGCGGGTTGAGCGCGACGGAGGTTTCGTTGAGTGCCTTGTCGTCCGCGAGGAGGGTGTCGAGTGGGGGGGTGGTGGGGGATGGTTCGGCGAGGGTAGTAGCGGGGGGTGGTTCTGGTGGTGGTTCGGGGGGACGGACGAGAAGGGGAGCGAGGCGGTTGTGAGCTGAGTATTTGCTTGGCTGGCTGTATCAGGGATAAGTGCCATTCACACACACAGTTAATGGTTCATACTTCATGTATCATATGGTTCGCGATACTAGGCTTCAATTTCGGATGGGATGGGAGGAGATGTACTTTTGTCGAGGTTCAATTATGAGGAAAGGATGGTTCCGCTATTAGGAGGGATACAGCCATCTAGCATGTGGATATGAGGCTGATAAAGTATGGAGTAACACTATCATGGGATGATCATGTTGTAAATGAATAAAATAAAATAATGAAATGCCACTGGCTATCGAGTCCTTTTCTTCTTCTTCCTCCCTCAATGTTTTGTAGCTCACAAGTGAAAGAATATGGCGAGATGAATAAAAACAAATAAATACAAATCTGCCCAAGAAAGAAGAAATCGTACGGAAGAATCCTACCTCTCTCCCAGTATTTATTTCTCATGGTGATCTCTAAAAAACCTAAACTTGCAATTAGCCCGGTCACCTAGTACGACTACGTGGATGAAGACAATGAAGAAGATCGAAAATCCAAAGCTCATAATGCAGTAAATTCCATAACGGATGAAGCATGCTGGCGATTATTTGCCATCCCGGTCCTCGCGAATCCTCCCAATATTCCATCCCGTGTCACTCACTCCAGTGTTGTCTTCGACATTCCATAGACGACGAAGACAAAGTTTGTGTGTGACACCGAGAGAGGGATACAAGCAGCACTTGCTGAAAATCTTCAAAAATCTCAAAAGTCAATATGCATCAATGATATTGGCAAGTTGGCAGTAAGCACAAAATCCAAATCCAAGTGCTAAACGAAATCTCCCGGGAAAAATCTTCAAGAGTAACGAGTGATGATGGTGTTGGTCAGTAGATACCGATCCCAACTAGACCAAAAAGCAAAGTCCAAAGTCGAATCTCCCTTTCTGTAGACACATCTCAAAAGAAACCCGGGAAGGTGCTGCGATATCCAAATCCCTTCTTGCCGTTCTCACTGCCCCTGGTCTTCGGGGTCAGATGCCAAGCGCCTCTGTTGTCCGTCTCGACGTATGCGAACATCTCGAGCAGATTCTCGATTGTCTCTCGGCCCTTGAGAACGTCCTCGCCGATGGTGCCCGTGATTTCCGCGGTCTTCTTCGTTTGGAGCTCATGCAAGTTCTCGTCGATGGTGTTGTTGACCAGGATCTTAACGAACTCGACCTTGCTTTCCTGACCGATTCGGAATAAACGGCAGAATGCCTGGAGAAAAAAAGTGTTAGAAGCTGCGAAATATCGGAGGTTAGCGTGGCATCATCGCAGTCCGCACGCATACCTGTTCCTGAATGGCTTCGTTCCACCACAAGTCGACGAGAATGCATTTGTTGGCCGCAGACAAGTCCAGCCCTATGCCGCCGGCCCTGAGACTCGCTATCAGCACCTTCACGTTGCCATCCTTGGCGCGAAATTCTTCCATGCTCTCTTCACGGGCCGCCATGCGCATTTTTCCTGTCAACTGTATCATGTTAGGGAAACTCATGGCCGTGACAGGTTGAAAATCTTGAGCACTCACGCATCTACATTCCCACCCCTGCGCTTGATACATGATGCTCAGAATCCGCACACAGTCCAGGAACTGCGTAAAAACGACCACCTTGACTGACGGATCTCCTGCCAGCCACTCGCTGATGATTTCGCAGGTTTTTGTCAACTTAGCACTAGGCATGTGTTCAGCGCAAACCGGGATCCAATCTGTCTCCTCATCGGCATCCGGCTTGTCGTCCTCTTCATCTGCTGGTCCGGGCATGGCAACGTGATAATATTTACCTCGCGGCATCTTCTTTGTTGCTTTCTTTTTCCGCTGCAGCTGCTTTTTCGTCTTCTTCTGTTGTGGTTCCTCCTTCTCTGGCGGGTCAAGCTCGATTTCTTTCAAAGCTTCGTAAGCTGCTTCCTCGATGACATTTGAACAATGGACACAGATTGGCTTTCCATCTGCAGAAGTCATGTCATCATCCAGTAGGCTATAATAGCATTCCTCGCAATACATATGCTGGCAAGATGTGATCACAGCATTCACCGGGACAAAATTGCATTTGGGGCAACTGGCTCTTTCAAGCCGCTCATCCCATTGCCCGTCTTCATGAAGATCACACATGAATTTGTAATAGCTTTCTGTCAATTTTGCCCTGTCGCCATGAAGAGCCTCCGTGTAAAGACTCGGGGCTTTGTTGGAATCTTCACTCGTCAGTACCGTGGTGTTCATGCGTACTGATATAAGCCATCTGACAATCTTGAATGAGGGATGCTCTTGGTTTACAGCCCTCTTCGCAAGCCTCACTAGTACTGTCATCAGATGTCCATCCGATAACAGTCTTTTCACAATAACCTGAGTAGTGAGCAAATGGCTGCAAAACATGCGCAGGTGCAGAATCATTGCGAGAAAACATCGGTATTGATCAAGTTTGGGCTGTTCAACATGTGCCTTACCTGCATCGGTCAGATAGGTGGTGGCAGTAATTTCAGGGAAAAAAGGAGGTCAGTCTTCTTACGATTGATGTTCTCAATGTATACCTCCTCGATTGCATTGTAGATCTCTTGTTCTACTTCACAGAAGTCCACTCTCACGATGCGTTCCTTGACATCAGGGAGCTTGATAACAGGAAGCGAAAAAAGTCGACTCTGATGCGTTCGACGAAAGAGGAAAGATCGTAGCAAGTTCACCAGGCGTCCATGTGCATTCTCATCCTAATATTTACAATAAGCGAGCTCTCCTGGACGTTGGATAGTGTGGTAGGTACTTTGCAGAAGGTTTGGGTAAAATAATCAAAATCGCCTAGGCAAGGTACACCGAGGAAAAGAAAATGAGGATAAAATTCCTCCAAATAACTTCAACTATCGGATTAGCAAATATATTACTTCAAACATGGCTGGAAGTTCTGAGCTATTCACTTGTGTATTGGGGTGCCACTCAGCACCCATTTAAATCGGCCTGTAAGACCACGGACAGCGATGGACACTGATGAAAGGTGATTTTTTATGAGATGCCCTTCTGAAGATCTCGTTAGATTGACACAGATGCTGAGGAGGAAGCCTTTCTGACCGTCGAGTATAATTCTCAAGAATTTGATCTGATGTAAAGGCCCGGCTTCTTCGTCAAATCTCGTTTCCCACCAGTCGATAATCTTCTGCCTATCAAATACCTCTGCTGGAAATCCACAACGCGGATAAGACCTTCTCACTTCCTCATACGTAGTTATTCTAGCAACCTGTTAGTTTCATGTTTCATTCAAGGTTGAAGCTCCATTATACATACATAATATCGTACTTCTCCAGACTTTTGACTGGATCAAGAGTCTCCAGTCTCGAACTAGACTTGTACACGAGTACGTCGCCTAGTTCTTGTTCCTCGCAATGTTTGATGATCTGGTCCTTCCTGCTGCAATCAGAGCGTGTCCTGCACTTTCATCGAGCTGGCATACCAATGGGTGACCAAATGCGACGGCACCACGATGAGAGTGGTCTTCACCGGATCCTCAGGTTCAGTAGGCTTCCCGTCCAGTATATTCGCTGGAGTCCAATCAGACACGGTCGTTGAGTTAATAAACCATACAATCCAGGAACTAACTTACCAAGAGATTGGATTGTCTTCCCAAATCCCATAATATCACAGAAAAGGCCACCATGTGGAGGGTGAGTTGCATTTTCTCGGTCACGCTGTATGAGTGAGCATGGAGTATCTCTAACTCCCACTATATGTATGGCCTACTCACCATCCAAGCTGCCCCTATAAGCTATTCATTGTGTAAGCCCCTACATATCAAGTGAGTTCAACAGTGGCTAACCTGAAAGTGGTATAAGCTCGTTTTCAGCCCCTTGATTTTCCAACCAAGCTTCCCGTCGCTTTTCACCCCATAGGAAAATTTCCTGGTTGCCTCGAGCACCTTTCGCTTGTCAGACCGGGCTTCTTTCTTGTCTGCGGCAGGAATACTCGCGACTATGTCTGTGAGCGCTTTTTCCTTATCAAACTTTACCAAATGAGGAATCTCCCGCAACGCGGCACTGCCATGGGCATCTCCAACAACGCTCGGGCAGAGGAGATGCGCCAAGTATTCCTTATCACTCATTCCCTTCTTCTTCGACTTCTTCCTGGGACATTGGTATCCATCACCGCCAGAAGCACCTCTTTTGCGTTTGACGCCACTTTTCTTGTCCTCTTTCTTGGCCGCATCTTTGAGAACAATTTGAAGACCAATGTCCATGCTTTTCTGCTTCTCGTCAGCCGAAACTCGGTTGGGTCTCGCTTTCGTTCGACGTGTCGTCTGTGTACGCCCATTGGATGGCCCAGCCTCATCCTTGGTCGGCATCTTTCCAGAAGTGGAGGGTTGTCCCGGGTCTTTGTCTAATTGATCTAAGATGGCAGTATCATCCTGATCTCCGAGTGCTTTTCGGATGGAAACTCTTCTCAACCGGGCATTCTCTATCTGTTTTGCTGCTTTATATAGAACGATATCCTTGATAGACGGGTTCTCAAGGCTTTCGAACCATCGCTCAATGTCCTCGAACCTGGAATTGTTAGCCGTGGTGATGTTGCATATCCCGAATCGGAGTACCTACTTCGCCTTGGATAATTCGGCCTGAGCCATGGCCTCGATTTCTTCTTCGGGCCACTCGTCCTGGGATCCCTGTTCTTCTGTGTCATTTTCAAGATTCAATGAAGAGGACTCATTGTGAACTGATGACGAAGATGAAGAAGACGCTACGATCCTAACCGATGAAGAACTGGGGGAATCTTGAGCATCGGTGCCACTGAGGTGTGGTTCTGTATTTTCCTCTCTTTCGCCTTGAATTTGAGAGGTAGTGGCATCTGCATCCCCGTCTTTTATTGCGCCATCAAGCGATTTGAAGAACTCGTCAAAGGTGAGGTTCCCAAAGCCTGTCTCCGCAGTCGCCGAAAGATCCACCGGCTGGGTTTCCTTATCAGGAACAAACAAATGATCCTCCTCACTAGGAAGGGGCACAACTGCCGGTCCAGTCGGCAGCGCATCCACATCCGACACAGGACGTTCAGCTTGGGTCACTATAAGGACATTCAGCATTAGTCGAAACGACCTAGTCATTTCAAAGGGGCCGCTTACGCTGATCATTTCTGAGACCTAACCGGCCCATCGCAAACGCGCCTTTAGCCCCGGAGCGTTGCCTCCTGTCTCTAATGGAGTCAGCCAATTTCATGCTGACATCAAGAATCTCTGCCTCCTGGACAGGCTCGGCGCTTGCGCCCTTGGCTGCGCCCTCGGGTTGAGGAGGCTGAGCCTCCTTGTCCGGAGGGGACTCCATTCTTGCGGTAGTTGACGAGCGTTGAAGATCACGGGTGAGTGCTTCAAGGAAACGAGGGGAAGAGCGAGATATGCGGGAAGGCGTGGAAAGAGAGATAGGAGAGGAATTGGAGAGAAAAGGGATGCTTGTGAATCTCGGAGTAAGAGAGATCGGGTAGATGGTTGAGTGGAGGTGTTGAAGGCCCGTGGGGGGTGGAGGTGGCAGGGGATGCGAGGCGTTGCGAGGGCGAGAGAGTGGCTGCAGATCAAGGTGAAGAGAGGTGTTGAGAGGAGGTGGGGAAGGTGAAGAGGAGGATCACAGGATGATCAAGAGAAGGGAGGAAGATGATGAGGAGGGCTGCGAAGAAGGTCGAGAGAGGGTTTATATAGTGGGCCAGGGGGAGGGCCAGGATGAGAGAGAGAGGGAGAGGAAAGCGAGGAAGAGAGGGAAGAGAGAGCCAAAGCGAGGGCAAAAGAGAGGCAAGAGAAAGGGAAGCAAGAGAGAGAGAGAGAGAGAGAGGGAAGAAGAACATAAGAGAGAAGCCATGGTGATGAAAGAGAAAGAGAGAGAGAGAGAGAGAGAGAGAGAGAGGAAGAAGAAGAAGAAGAAGAAGAGAGAGGGGAAAAGAGAGGGGAAAAGAAAGTGCTGCCTGAAATAGGATCGAGGATGGCAGGTACGCCGGGGTGCCTGGATGCCCTATCCAGAAGGCAATGCAAAATAAAATGGTCATGCTCATGTGGATTAGAAAATATACTAAGAACACATGCACTCCAGACCTCGCGGTCTATAAAAAAAATATTACACTTCACGAGACATGCACAGGAAAGTTCAACTCAAAGATCAAAGACGGATATCATCACTCATAACCACCATCGCCCAAGATTTACCTTGCCCGAACCCGAAACACCAAACAGAAATTACATCTCGTCAATGGCACAGTTGGGATGCATCACATAGACCGTCCGTGAAGATTGGCCGTCTTCACCGGCATCCACCAGACCCTCGCCGCGGATGGGCATCAAGATATTATCCTATCCCGGGTTAGTCAAACCGCCGGACCACAAAGAATCAACAGCAACAGGGTTGAACATACCTTGATCATCCGCTTCAACACCTTCACAGCCAGAGAGCGTTCGTTCTGTAGATCTTCCTCCGTGTCGATTTCAGACTCAACTTGCTCCAGGTACCACACAAGAAGGTCCTCCTGTTCAACACCCTCACCGGACTTGGATTCGTCATCTCTGACACGACGCACCATGAGGTTCAAGATCTTCATGTACTTGTCATACGTGATCTTCGTCCTTGTCCGCTGGGGCTGTGCTGGCTCCCCGTCTTCGCGCATGGGGCTGTCGCCCTCGCGATCACGATCCCCCATCTCGTGGTCCTCTTCGGCAGCAACACCATCTTCCACTGCGGCTTCGTCGTCTTCCACCTCGACGTCGTCTTTCTCGACAGTCACGATGCTCTGGCGGAGCAGGTCGTAGGCTTCTTTCACAAAGCTGGGGATGATTTCCTCCACACAGTTCGCTTTGGCAACAGCCTCCGAAAGACGAATCAGAGACTCGAGCTGTCGGACGGTGATGCGGTACGAGGAGCGGCCCATTCCTCCTTGAGCGTCGCCGGCGCGAAGCTCCTTGTACTTCTCAACCAGATAGGCCTTGGCCTCCTCGGTGAAGACGGGCTTGAATGTGCGTGCGAACCGAATGTAGCGTAGCAGTTGTTCGGTGCTGAGCTCCGGGTGGACGGCCTCGTCCCGGTTCATGTGAACATTAACAATGTGGTCGGCCAGATTGCGGTCCACACTCTCATTGGGGTCGTCTCGGATCACGAAGAACAGGTCGAATCGACTCATGATGGGAGCACTGAAGTTAAGGTTGCCACGTAGCGTGGTCTTCGGGTTGTACCGTCCTCCGATGGGGTTCGCAGCGGCGAGAATCGACGCCCGAGCATTGAGGGTGGTGTGGATACCCGCTTTCGCGATGGAAATAGTCTGCTGCTCCATGGCTTCGTGGATGGCGACCTGGTCAGCAATATCCATCTTGTCGAACTCATCGATACAACAGATACCGCCTCCGTTCTAGATTTACACGTAAGTTCACCTCGGGCACAGATTACCATAGGGAAGGGTCACCTACAGCCAACATCAGGGCACCAGCCTCAATCGTGAATTCGCCTGTCTCGGCATCTTTGACAACGGACGCCGTCAAACCGGCGGCAGACGAAGCTTTACCACTGGTATAGACCGCACGAGGGTGCAGCGAGCAGATATACCTGAACCCGCGTGAGTAACGGTTCTTTCAACAACGCAAAAGGAACAGGGTGAGAACCTACTTCAAGAATTGACTCTTACTGGTTGACGGGTCACCCACAATGCAAATGTTGATGTCACCACGAAGCTGCAGGCTCTCCTGTTCCGTAGACTTGCTGATACCCGAGATAAGCTGCAGCAGCAATCCCTTTTTGATTTGACGATGGCCGTAGATCATAGGAGCGAGAGAGTCGATTAACCGGGAGTAGATGTATTCGGAGTGAACCAGGTTCTTCAAGTCCTGGACCTCGTACGGCGTCAGGCTCTGGAGAAGGGCCTCCTGGGCTTGGTCTTCGTTGGCTTCGGGGTCCCGGTTCTGGTTCAGAGAAGCCAGGATGTTGTGAGATTGGCCATTCAGCTGCTGGTTGGACTGCTGGCCCGGCGTGGTCGTGTCGGGGGTAACCATGCAAGAAAGGAAGGCCAACCGATACGTCAAGTCTTTGATGCCAAGAGCCTTCAGTCCCGAGACGCCTCCGCCGCCGATTTCGCTTCCCCGGAAGGCGCCTTCGTCGCGAACCGCCTCCGGTCGGACACCAGGGAGGCCCAATTGGCTCACATCCGGGACCACGATCAAAGTACCCGTGAAGATGCACCGCTCACCAGCCTTGGCACGGTCAACCATCTCACCGCGAAGAATGACATCCATGGTCCGAGGCATGCTGCCAGTCGGGATCTCATGCGATGACTCCTGCAGTTTCACCTTCTGCCAGTCGATGAAGGTGCTCTTGCCGATATCCAACCGCCAACCGGAGCGGTTACCGCACGTGTTGTTCGGGCACTGCGAGGGCTCGGTGTACTTGAAGGTCTGTTCCACGTTGGTGACGACGGTCTTGCACTCCTCACAGATAAAGGTTCCTAGAGACAGTTCCGGTCGGATTTCCGATGTGCGCGTGACGGTACCCGATACGGAGACCAGCTTCCCGATCTGCGAGGTGCGAAGCTGGCGCAGACGGGACACCAGAGGGAGGTTGTAGAAAGCCAGCGAGAAGAGCTTGTCCGTCTGCTGATGTCTTGTTTTCTCCCGGATATTGCGCTCCAACTCTGGGTTGTCGGACACACTCGAGTTGCCCGCGATCATGGACGTGCCGGCCTGCGACGACACGCTGCCTGCGGTGGTGGCCTGACGGTGGGCGGCGAAATATTCCGGCTCATACTTGGCGATGAGATCGTGGAGGGCCTTGGTCAAGAAGGGCTGGAATCGGTAGTATTGGTTGGCGATCGCGTCCGCCAGGATCGGACTACTCATCGAGGTCAGGTGGGTGAAGTCGATGTAGAGGGTGGACAGGTCGAATTTGGACATGCCGTGGATCTGGGCAATGTAGTATTTGTCGCTCCGGACCTCCGACGACTGTGGCTGCGACGACAAGGGTGTTTCCTCCCGATAGGTTTCCAGCAGTTCGGCGAAGGCCTGCTGCACCTTCTCACCGGCCACATCGGTGACGGGGGGCGGGCCGGGGAGGTAGGGATTCCGCAGTCGGCTCACGGTGGAGGCATTGGAGTCGGCGACCTGGTCGTCGGGGAAGGCATGCATGTCACTCATGGGGCCATTGCTCTCGGAGGGCGGCTGTGGTCGGGAGCTGGGGATCTGATCGGAATGAAGGCGCTGGTTGCCGGCCGTGGAGCCCAGTTCGGACTGCAGCACGGCATCAAAGAGGGACGACATGGTGGGTAGCGGGAGGAAGGGTCCAAGGAGGGTTGCGAGGGAGGGTGTGGGGAGCTGAGCTGAATAGGATGTGGAGGGGATGGTGGGGGGGGGGGGCACCAAAATAACCCAGGACCAAGCTGCTGCTGCTGCTGCTGCTGTTCAGTCGCAAGGGCCAGCCTCAAGATAGATGTGTTGGTGTGGTGGAGGAGGTGGTGATTGCTGGTTGCTGCGGTTTCGGTTTTCTTTTCATCGAGCTTTGCGTGGGACGCGCGGGCAACACGAACGCGTCGGGGGGAAGGTTGTTGCGGTGCCGACGCGTTAAGTGGTTTTGTGTTGCAGACAGACAGACAGCTGAGTCAGACAGACAGCTGAGTCAGACAGACAGCTGAGTCAGACAGACAGCTGAGTCAGACAGACAGCTGAGTCAGACAGACAGCTGAGTCAGCCAGGGCAGCTAACTAACTAACTAACTAGTTAGCGCACGGAAGGCGGCGAGGGGGCGGGAGGTCGCGAGCCATCAAAACCAGGTATCAGGTTACTGAGGCTACTGGGGAGGCTAAGCTGGTTGTGGGCAAAGGTCCTCGAGCCCAGCGTGACAGCGTCACTTCAAGCTGGCACCAAGCGGATCCGTCCCAAGGGGCAGAAGGGCCCCGTTCCGCGCCCAATCAGGACCGGCGGAGACACTTTTCCCGGGGCCTGAGCAGACGGGCGGCCAATGGGGAGGCGGGCCTCCTGCCGAATAAACTTTCGGAGTCGGACTAGCGGGGCCTATTAGTTGTCCTCGACCTGATGAATGTTAGTACAACTAGTAAAGTAGTAGTCTAGTATGTCGTTCTTCTGATGTCGCGCGGGTAGATAAGCAAAGCAAACTGCTCGCTGCTGCTGCTCCCTCCTCCTCCTCCTCCTCCTCCTCCTCCTCCTCTCATTTTTCCTGCTGCTTTCCTGGCTTGCTTCTCTTTCCTCCCCCTCCCCCCGGGCCATGGCTTGAACGGACTCTCAGGTGGTCCGAGTTCATTCGTCCCGTTCCTCCTCAGCCTGGAGGCTTTCTGGTGATCTCACCTCCGACATGCAGTCCTAAACGAGCTCCCGCTCTCGTTGCCGTCCCTCACACCCGCCCAATCTGTCCCTTCCTCTGCCCCCTCCCCCTCCCTTCCCCTCCCCTTCCCTAACTCCCCCTCCCCTCAAATCAAAAAAGGACCGTCATGTCGGCGGACAGACACCCTGTAGCTGACCCGGCACCTCTCGATTCCAATTCGGGTGGACGGGGCACCTCGTCCTCCGAGTCGGAACACCAACGTGGGTTCCCTTGCCGCCACCCCCCGCCTCTGTTACTGCTGTTCCCTGTCTGACCCATACAGCCGACGAACTCACCAGCGTCCTTCCAGGCACTCCCGGCGATGCCTCTCATGTTCCCGGGAAGGTCAGACGGCGCAGGCACTTGCCCATGCCCATGCCTATGCCCATGCCCATGCCTGTGCCCGAGGATCAATCCTCCAAGAATCAGATCTTTTACTTCGTCGATTCCAATTCGTCATCCCGGGAGAAGCGGGCTCATGTGATGCGTCACCATGTCCAGGAGAAACGCAGGCAGCGAAAGTCCTCGCATCCCAGGAGCGACGGGGACAAAAAGACCGGCCGGCCGGCCCGGTACACCCCATGGCCGCAAAGGCGGCCAGACCTTGACCATCACGATGATTACGAAGCCTTCGCCCCTCAGGAGGGACCCAATGGCGCCCTCGCCCACCGTGACTCCCTGGTAGGTTCGAAACTCGCGTCGTCCCGCTGACTGACTGGATGGAACTAACGGGATGGTTGGTGCAGACCCCACTGGGTCTTCCGCTGCAGTCCCCTTCTCATTCAATCGAAGATCTCCAGCTGCCCTCCCCCGTCACCGTCCTCGATGCGTCGAGAAAGGATCCTTTCGACAGTCTGCCGGCGATCTGCTCTCGAGAGGATCTGGAGCTGGCCGACTACTGGACTAACAAATTGACCTACTGGTCGGGCCAGAACAAGTACATCAAGAACCTCGTGTTCAAGGCGGCGATGAACCACCCATTGTGCTTCCAGACGGTCATCCTGGCGTACTGTGCGCGGTGGAAGGCGCAGCTCTACAACGTCAAGGACAGCAAGGAGGCTGAGTATCACCTGGCCAAGGCCGTGGACGGCATCGAGGAAGCCAAGAAGGGACACTCGGTGGTGGACGAGGATAGCCTGGCGCTGGCCCTGACGGGGATGTCCTTGCACGAGGACCGGTTCGGCAATAAAGAAGTTGCCCGAGGATACGAGGACCAGGCCGTCCAGATCCTCCGGGCTCGATCGGGGACACAGAACACGGTGGAGGTTTTCATGCACTACGCACGGTACGTGATGATGCCACCACCCGCCGAGATGAGCGACGATGGCAAGCAGATGCTGGTCACGTTCCTCCGGGTGGCCGAGGTGATGATGCTGGAGCACAGCACGACGCCCTTCTTGGCGGCGGTGCCCCAGCGGCGGGCGGCGTTCCAGATGGACAGCCCTTTGTTCCCGCTGCTGTCCAGCGGGCCTCGCCCATCGCAGGTGCCGCAAGATGCCCGCATGTATGTGGTGCAAAATGCGCCCACGCAGGAGGTCACCCGAACGGCCGCTTTGATCTACATCACGGCGGCGCTGTGGAACCTCCAGGAATCCGCAAGCAAGACGGGGCGGTTCCTCGGCCATCTGCACAGCCTTGTGCGGGAGCACAGGTTGGACTGGTACCCTGCGTGTGAGACGTTTGTCTGGCTATTATTGGAAGAAGGGTACCCGTCGGACTTGAAAGAGCCGGAACACGGCTGGTCGACGGGGGTGCTGCTGAAGATGCACAAGCAGCTCCGACCGGACCTCCAGTTCCAGTACAACGAGATCTTGTTCAGTCTTCTGATGCTCACATCCCCGATCCGAGGCATTGACGACTTCGAGAAGGAGTTATTCCTGGCCCCTGCTGCCTGAAGTCCAATTTTTTTCGTGATACCCTGGATACCCCTGTCACTTTTTTTTTTTTTTTCTTTCTTTCTGTCTGCTGCCGATCGTGGAAGCACGGATTAGTTGTGTATGTACATTTCAACAAAATATAGCGCTCCCTTTGTGATTATCCATTTATACGATTTATCGATGAGTGGCAGACAATGCACGTACCAGACATATACACAGTAATACCTACTGTAGTAGAGTGGTATTCTGGTATTCCTTCCTTGGCAGTAGAAGTAGTAGTAGTAGTAGTAGTAGAAGTAGTAGAAGTAGTCCTGATTTCCCCCGCATTCCACCATCTGGTGCAACCCAACCAAGACCTTCGACCTTCTAGAATGGCCGGTTTCACCACCACGCCGTGCGACCACCCGGCCAGATCACCTCGATGTCTAACTGCTTCGGGAGTACAGTATAGTTACATACACACAAATATACCTCGACGGGCAAACTGGCTCACTCCCCCAGCTACTTCGCTACGGTAGGTAAGATAGGTAAGTAAGGGTAAACGAGAGTAATCTTCTAGAACCCAAACCCCCACCCGTCCTTTTGACACGATCGCCCACCCAGGATTATCATTAGCCCAGTAAGTATGCATCATGTATGTACATGTTAGTGTGCCACGTAAGCAGGAGCAGGAGCCGTAGCAGTAGCCGTAGCCGTAGCAGGGCGACAGAGTGAGAGTGACAGTGACAGTGACAGTGACAGACAGACAGACAGACAGACAGACAGCTCAAACTCAATTAATCGCGCTTGACTCGGGTGGTTAACCCAGCTAGATACCCACTGTAACTACTCTGTATAATAAGACTAACTTGCGGTATGTGGTATAGTAACTCGATACGTATTTGCGAAAACTTATTTTTATCCGTGTTGATGCATCGACTTCTACTGACTTACCTACCTACTTACAAGAAGCAAAGTACTTAGGTAGGCAGGTAAGTAAGTAGATGGCTACCTAGAAAAAGAAACAAATAGACCCCGAAGCTGAAGTTGTTGCTGCTGCTGCTGCTGCTGATCGGACGGTAGCCTACCCAATTACCGATTCCCGATCGCAAAGAGCGGGGTGTACTTACCATGTACGTATGGGTGGTGTCGGGTCGGGGTATGGGTCGGGGTAGTCGGGCTCTAACATACTTTCCTAGGAATAGGTATGTGCGGTAGGCAGGTATGATTTCCCGGGGAACATATCACATCGTGCGGATATAGTATCCGCTTTTATTTCGGACATGGGTTTGGTGATCTGGGCTTTGGGTTGGGATGGATGTAAGTGATAGGTACAGTAGGTAAGTAGGTAGATATGTATGGTACTTTGTGAGAGAATAATATAGGATCAGTAGTCGTGGTTTGATATGGAGAGAAGGGGTAAGAGGTAAGTAAGTAAGTACTTGCCTAGGTAGGGAGTTGGTCGGAAAGAATGGGTCGGTCGGTCGGTCTCCACCCCACCGCCCGCCCACGCCCACGCCCACGCCCGCCGTCCCGCCGTCGACCCATCCATCCATCCATCCATCCATCCACGATGGCGGTGAGCAATCACCATCCATCCCAGTCTATCTACTTACATAGATACATACTACTACTTACCACCCGGATGAAAGACTTCAATAATTTATTCCCCGTCACATCACATCACCACAGCCCCCCCCCCTCTATTCTACTATTCTCCTTATACATACCCACTTCCACACCTCTTCGAATAGTACTATTTTTCACTGCACTCCGTATTTAACCCTGAAACCCCTTGAAAGTTATCTACTAGTAGTAGCAACAGCAACAGCAGCAGCAGCAGCAGCAGCAGCAGCAGCAGTACTTTTCATCCTGCATCAACAGGCGCCCCGCTACTGCAGGTGGCCTCTTTCGGGGGGGGGGGGGGGGGGGGGGGGATTCACGGACGCGGTTGCCTTGGTCGCTTGGCTTGGCTACGCTTGGCTAAGCTGGACTGGGCTGACTTGACTTGACTGGGCTGACTGTCAGGCTGCATGCATAAAGACCATGCGGTCATGCTATGCTGTCTGCCTGTCTGTCTGTCTGTCTGTCTGCGGCGTGCAGTGAGTGGGTGAGTGAGTGAGTGAGTGAATGAGTGTCTGGACCGGGTTGGCAAAAGTACGATGCCATGCCATGCGATGCCATGCGACGAGATGCGCCAGCTGGCTGTTTTGGGTTTGGGGTTGGATTTGAATTTGGTGATTTTATGCGGGGATTACTTACTTACTCATTGATGAATAAGTGCTCAGGTGCAGGGATGGGGTTGATGGTGGTTAGTGTTAGTGTGTTTGGGATGGGGTTAGAGATAAAATAGAGGGAGGGGGTTGGGACGGTTAGTTGATTAGTCTTAGAAGATGGGGACGGGGGTGGGATTATCTAGATATTTAGTACTCCGTACGGACGGAGTAGAGATATATCGCTTTCCTTCTTCAACTGGTGTTTTCACTTTGGGTGGGGTGAGTGAGAACTCGGGCTTTTTAAAAGGCGATGGGTTTTCATAGTAGTATCATCTCAAGTTTAGCATCTTTGAGAGGCATTATTCTTAACTATATTAGGTTATATAAGCAGCCACTCTAGTTATCTACTGCTCGCCTATTTTTACCGATTTCTGCTATTCGGTAATTTCTCCACCTGATTTACCTCCTCCTCATCCATTTATCTGCGGACTGCTTATCTATGAGACAATTTACTTCTAATTCTTCATTGAATATGTCTATAATAATCGCAATCGCACGCGATGATACAAAAACATCACTTTATCTAGTTACTCCGTATCTAGTTGACTACCTACTTACGGAGTAACTAACTATGGTCTGAATTTGACAGCGTGCGAGAGGATTAGCTATCGAACAAAAGTAACTAGTGATGGCTCTCTTTTTTGTTTATTTATCTTCACTATCATCTCTCATTTTGTTCTAGGTATCTCTCTGGCATTTTGGACTTCTGGATCAATTCAATAAACTTACTCTGCTGCTTTTTATTGATAAAATCATTATCAATTCTACAGAGAGAGATATACTACTATATATATATATCACGGGTTGAGATCCAGCACTAACTACTATCTACTTCTGTCCCAGTTGAGTAGTAGCTCTCTAATTGCCTATTCCGCTTTCCAGTGGAGTAATTTTTTTTGTTTGCTTCACGCAGAAACACAGCGGGATTATCCAGTACTGCTATTTTATTTTATTTTTTTTCTCAAATAATAAGATCGGGTGGTGCTCTTCAGCAGCTGAAGACAAAACTAACCACCTAACACCGAGTCTTTGTTGACATCTCAAAGTAGACCGACCTCTAAAGCTTGCTTAATGAGGGAGCCGACAATCTTTACGTCCTCTTCCATTCTACCCCATTCTACACGATCAGAGACGATCCGGACTCTGGTTCTGTAATCAGTGATTTGAGTAGATGAGAGTTGTGTGGTTGGATTGGATTGTGGTGTTGGTCGTAGAGACTGGATTTTCTGATCGAGAGGAAATATGTAAATGAAGTGGGTTGCTTGAAGTCATTAAGGGGAGTGTAAGGAATAGTAAAGAGATGAAGTAGATAGAAAGGGTAAAGAAAGACAAGGAGAGAGTGGTGGCTGGTTAACTACTCGGCGGGTGATGGTGTAGTTAAGTGATGGGGTTGAGTAAGGTGAAGTTATATGTAAAAAAAGAAAAAAAAAAAAAGAAATAAGAGTCTAAACAGAGTGATGAGGGGAAGATATATAGGCAGATAGCAATAGTAAACACCATAGGCGAGTCAAATCAAATTAAAGTATGCACAGAGTCGCACAGCGAGTAAGTGTAAATCTTGTACACCGAGAGAGCCAGAAATCTGGACCTTTAAACTATATAGTATTGGGAGATGTTGGGCCGATAAAGACAGCCCAGCCCGAGGTTGGCCGAGTGGCTGTATATTTCCCCAGACTGGTAGAACGGCCGAGAGAAGCAAGTCAAAGTTGACAGTCGGCAGTCAACAGCTGTTTGCCCATTACATTTCGGACCAGCCGAGTCCGTGTGTTGGGCTGGGCTGGGCTGGACTGGGTTGAATGATGATATGGTCCATGCTCGCAGCACGGAGAACAGACAGATGACAGCAGATGATGGCCACAGACAGACCAGCCACACGGATGGCGCAATCATTGAATCATCTTCCCTACCTTCTACGGTGTAGTGTGATGCTGACAACCTGGGACTCGGGAGATAGACAGACGGGTGGCGTTGCCATCCTGCCCATCGGATTGGGAAGCTCATGTGATGGGAAATTGCCACCCTGCAAATAATCAAATGAACAACCACAATTTCTCCTTCCGGCAATTATTATTACTATTAGATTAATAGCATCCGGCTGCTAAGCTTTGTCGTCGCCAGCACTAGGACACACCCCGGGCCAATGCGGTTTAGCCCCGCCGAGTTTTCACCTCCAAAAGGGCTGCCTGATTTGGTCGTTGGTGACTAACTGACTAATAACTGGCAAGGATGGCCCCGGTCGGAACAGGAGGGGGAGGCTTGAAAGGTTACCTTACCTTCCTTATGGTCGCTGTAAACAGTACCAAGGGTGGCAAGCTCGATGAACCTGACCGTGAGTGTACGGATCATCGATCAGCTTGCTAGCTTGCTACTAACTAATGTACCTACTACATCGTAGCCATACGGGGTACGCTGTCAGGTGTACTCCGTGTGTACTCCGTGGGCACACTGTACAGTGTTGTCCCAGATAGATAGTGGATGGTTTTGCCAGTATCTGAATGATGGATAGTCGACAGAGCAGATGCCGAGAATGCAGCAAATCGCAATGAAACCGCCCCGTGTCAGATCCTTCGCAGGTGAAACGCTAGACAAACAGACCCCGATCTTGGCTCAACTGTCAAACACGATGGGCTATTTTCTGCAGCTGAAGACAGCTGAAGACAGCTGATACTCACCATTCACATCATCCTGTCCTCTGTATATACTATGTAAAATCAATACGTGGGACGGAGTAATGCTGGAGATGTTCGGGCATGTGGGTTTGCCCCTTGAGGGTTTGGAAGGGACAAACGGAGAAGTCCGTTGTGGGAGAGAGAGGGACAGGACCAGGACAGGCCCAGGACAGGCCCAGGACCGCACAAACCGTACCAGTGAGTCCCAACCCCCGGGGCAGGCACTTCCTTAGGGACGGACTTGAGTGGCACGGCCGAATCCTGACCCAGGGCTGAAAGAGGGATTGCCACCTCGCTACCGCAGGAACGGAGATTACCAGACGTTTCGGGGGTCGCTCCTACCAGAAGGGGCAGCCAGTGAGCCACAGCTGGTATCGAGATACTACGGGACCGTACGGGACCGTACCACTAGTTTGGGGGTTTGGGTTTGGGTTTTTGGGGGGGGGGGGGGGGGGGGCACTAGGGCGATCTATTGGAACAACTCAGCCAGCGATCCTCCATCCACCGCGCCTTATCGTCCCTCATCGCCCGAGTTCTCCCCAGCCACACCTTCGAAAGTGTCGTGCTCGCTTGTCAGGTCCAGTCGCGAGGGGGGATCAAACGTGGTGGCCCGACAGGCACGTCGAGCTATCTATCTATCACGCTCAGGCTCGCTCACGATGACGAGCCATGATCGTCGCGCGCTGTTGGTCAGGTTATCAAACAAAGTCAAAACTAGGTTGCAAACCGATCGGAAATCCCCTTCTGCTGGAGCGCTTCCTCGTCATCGACTGACCAGATCCATGGCTCCCCTCGTGGGTGGCACTAGCTCGACTCCCATTCCCACAAGGGAAGAAGCTCCCCCCCTGGTGCTTGGTTCACGGTCGCCCGAGATTTCCTTCAGCGGGATCCATTCTGCTCATTCCCGGGGGTCCAATTGGCATGCGCTGAAGGCCACTTTTCCCATTTTTTCCTTTCCCGCCGGTGGATCAGCAGAAAGAACGAAAAAAAAAGAAGGTTTTGTCCTGGTGGCTCCCCTCTCCTTAAGCTTCGCGTCCCTTGAGTCTATTGTGCTTTACTTTTTTCCTGGCTGGTCGTCGTTTAAACAACTCCCTCTTCCCTCCCTCCTCCCTCCTTCCTTTCCCTCGGTCGCTGTCTTCACTCCCTCGCCGCGATACATCACATCATCATCTCCCGTCGCGATCGGGGTCGATCAGATCATCCTCTTCCCGCCCTTGACGTAACCGCCAACTGGTTCCCCGTCTCCTGGGCGTTCTCCCCCCCCCTCTGCGGTTCTTGACCTGACCACACCATCAATCAACATTCACCCAATTCACCCATTACAACCACTGCGCTGCCATCGCCATCGCCATCGCCATCCCCCTCCCAAGGCAATATGGCCTTCTTTGATGATGGCCTGCAAGGCCTGCATCAATTCGTCCGGCGGGTAAGTCGGGTTTCGGTCGCATGTCGCGCATCTGGAGGAACGGACCACCGACCGCTGACCTCTCCTCCCTCTCAATAGAGCACCACCACCAGCGAGGAGGTGAAGAGCACCTCCAACTCGGCCTCCGACCTGGTCACCTCCCTGGTTCTCTCCTTGGTCGTGGCCGTGGCCATGGTCTTGTTATTCGTGATCCTGCGGCGCACCGAGCGCCGCATGTACATGCCGCGAACCTACCTGGGCGTCTTGCGGCCCTCCGATCGCACGCCCCCCTCTCCGACCGGCCTGTGGAACTGGATCCTTCACATGTACCGCCTACCCGATGAATATGTCTTGCAGCACCACTCCATGGATGCTTACCTCCTCCTGCGCTTCTTGAAAATCACCTCGATGATCTGCTTCGTCGGATGCTGTATCACCTTCCCCGTCCTGTTGCCCGTCAATGGCACCGGTGGTGGGGGTAAGCAGCAGCTGGATCTCCTGAGCATGTCGAACATCTCCTCGGACAGCTATGGCCGCTACTTTGCTCACACCTTCATCGCCTGGATCTTCGTCGGTAAGCGCTCCTCGCCGTACAGCGTTTGGGCGAGCGCCGGTGTCGCTGATCACCCTTCACAGGCTTCGTCTTCTTCACGATCACTCGCGAGTGCATTTTCTATATCAACCTGCGCCATGCCTACTCTCTGTCCCCCGCCTACGCCAGCCGCATGTCGTCGCGCACCGTGCTCTTCACTGCGGTCACCGAGGATTATCTCAATCGCGACAGGATCCGGCAGATGTTCGGCCCCGAGAAGGTGAAGAACGTGTGGCTGACGACCAACACCAGCGAACTGGACGACATGGTTCAGGCGCGCGATGATGCTGCGATGAAGCTCGAGGGCGCCGAAACGAAACTGATCAAGATGGCAAACGAGGCCCGCCTGAAGGCCCTGAAAAAGGGCAATGCCGAGGAGGCTCAGATGGCTGAGGAGTCCCTTTGTAACGACTCGGATGACGAGTCCGGCTCGCTTGCTGCCCGCTGGGTCAGACCCTCGGACCGTCCCACGCATCGCCTCACCATGCTCATCGGCAAGAAAGTGGATACGATCAACTGGGCGAGATCTGAGATCGAGCGCCTCAGCCCTGAGATCGAGGAGCTCCAGGCCAAACATCGGGCTGGCGATGCCCAGCTGATCTCGTCGGTTTTTGTTGAATTCCACGCCCAGACCGACGCCCAGCTGGCCTTCCAGTCAGGTTGGCATCACTGTTCCCTTTTCTCATGTCCTTTTTATACTGACTGGCACCAGTGGCCCACAACCTCCCCTTGCACATGTCCCCTCGTTATATCGGCCTGGAGCCTACTCAGGTCATCTGGTCCAACCTCCGCATCAAGTGGTGGGAGCGTCTCATTCGTTACTCCGCGACCATCGCATTCGTCGTTGCTCTGATTATCTTCTGGGCCATCCCTACCGCCGTCGTTGGTTCCATCTCGAACATCAACTACCTGACCGACAAGGTCCATTTCCTTCGTTTCATTGAAGACGTCCCCAGCTGGATCCTCGGTATCATCACGTCGTTTTTGCCCACCGTCCTGATGTCCGTGCTCATGGCGTTGTTGCCGATCATCCTTCGGTGTAAGTGGAGATCCCTAAACCCAGAACTCACGGGTCGAGTCTTCTAACCCCTGAATAGTGATGGCCAAGCTTGGTGGTGCCCCCAGTCTGGCTGCTGTGGAATTGACTACTCAAAACTTCTACTTCACCTTCCAGGTAGTACAGGTTTTCCTGGTCGTCACGCTTGCGTCCTCTGCCTCCAGTGTCGTCACCAAGATTATCAGCAAGCCTACTGATGCTGCGTCCCTGCTGGCCGACAACATCCCTACTGCGTCCAATTTCTATATCTCCTATATCATTCTGCAGGGCCTCTCGTTCAGCGCCGGTGCCCTCCTGCAGATCAGCGGATTGATCCTTGGCAAGGTCCTGGGAAGAATCCTGGACAACACCCCGCGGAAGATGTACAGTCGCTGGTCCAACCTCTCCGGACTGGGCTGGGGAACGGTGTACCCCGTCTTCACTCTTCTCGCTGTCATTGGTAAGATTCCAAACGAAATTCGTGAGGAGAAAGCAGACTAACGGGTTTCCACAGCCATCGTCTATTCCTGCATTGCGCCCCTGGTCCTTGGATTCGCTACCATCGGCCTGTACCTCTTCTATTTCGCCTACCGGTACAACATGCTGTACGTGTCCAACGCCAACATTGACACCCAGGGCAAGGCCTATGTGCAGGCGCTGAAGCACCTCACCGTGGGCTGCTACCTCCTGATCGTTTGCCTGATTGGTCTCTTTGCCATCGCAACCGCCGCGAGCACCATCGCGCTCGGTCCCTTGATCCTCATGATCATCTTCCTCATCTTCTGTATTCTCTACCACATTGCCCTCAACAACGCGATTGAGCCGCTTGTGAACTACCTGCCCAAGAACCTGGAATCCGAAGAGGAGGCTCTGCTCTCTCGGGAGCAGACCAAGCTCAGCTCCCCTGGCGAGGTCTCTGACGAGGGCCAGGCCAGTGGCTCTGGGGCCCGCGACAGCGGAGTGGCCAACATCGATTCTGCTGAGAAGGGCCTGACCGTCACGGACGTTGAGGGACCCAAGCCCAACTTCCTGGCCCGGTACTTCCGTCCCGACAAGTACGAAAACTACGCGCACATGCGCAGCATCTGCCCCACCGGCGTGGAGCCCATCAGCTACTCCACGGAGGTGGAGCGGGACGCCTACTTCCCTCCTTCCATCAAGTCGCAGCCCCCTCTCCTCTGGATCCCGCGTGACGAGATGGGCATCAGCCGACAGGAAGTCAAGCACTCGTCCAAGGTCATCGAGATCACAGACGAGGAGTCCTGGCTGGACGAGAAGAACCACATCTGCTGGGATGTGGACAAGGGGGTTCCCCCCATCTTCAAGGAGAAGGTCTATTACTAGAGGCAGTGTGGTCTGTCAGATGCAGCAGGCCGGTGTTGTGTGTGTGTGCTCTGAGACGCTCTGTTGTCGATGGCACCTGGCCTGCCATGGTTTTCGGTGGGAAGTTCTGTGGTGCTTGATACCCAAGGAATGGCTAGCCCGGGGGTCGCATCGGTGACCCCCCGCCTGCTTCCGCGATAATACACATGTTCCCTTTCTAATACTAATAAATGAGTCGCGCGTGTGATGTAATGTGATGATCCTGGCGGAGGACTGCCGTGGGGTGTGTGTGTGTGTTCTCTGCCCTGACGGCCGTGATGTTACATAGTGACTACTACCCAGCATAATGAAGATGGTTGTTGGATGAGATATGCAGATTTGAATTTATGATCGCTGCAGAGTTGCTTACCTTTTTTTTTTTTTGCTGAATCTTGGTTTCCCCGTTACTGTAATAACAGCCAGCTAAGCAGGGGGTATACATCCGCCCAGCATATCCCCCCGAACCATCTGCCACCTAAAAATAACCCGCTCTTGTACGACCCTTCGTAAACCCTACCTATCATGATAGGACAACCTAACACGATCCTCCAGATCCACTAAATAACTCAGGTACCTAACCACACCCGCCACAGTAACACAGAACCCATGGACGATAGAAGAGTGGATGCAATGAGTGGTTTATGTTCATGGTTCAGGCGTGGGTGTGGTACCCCGCAAAACGCGATCCTTTGACTGGGAGGGGAGGGCAGGGAAGCGTCATCGAATCGTTGACGTCACTGCCATGTCCGGGGGTTCGCGTCTATCGATGTATCAATCAGGGCCGGTCAGGTCAGGCGCCAAACCTTGTTGTTGCACAGGTACAAAAACTGATCCCGAACCCACCTAGTGCTGACGTGCTGGCTGGCTGGCTGGTTGGGCAAATCAGACTTATCGGGGGGAGTGGACTGGGGTGTTTTGTCAGTTGGGTTGTCTTTTTTGGATGGATGTGTCTGCCTGGGAGGTATATACTCTGTACTGCTGTAAAAGCTGGATGGAGCGATGTACGGAGGAGTACTGTCGATGTATACAAGCATGTCAAGTGCCGGCAGGGGCAAGGCAGCCAAGTGCCTAGACCGCCTGTGGCAGCCGGTCTAGTCCGCCCCCAGCCAATCGGCCGCCCGGCCTGTGCCGCCGCCGGGCCTGGCTCGGGCTTCCTGCAGACGATCTGCCGCGTCTGATTGGCCCCGGGCGACCGTTTCGGCCGGAGCGGAGCAGGCCAGGAGAACCGTTACGTATTGAGCAAAAGAAGGACGTCGGAGGGGTTTCCCTCCTTAGTCACTTGGCCTAACTAACTAACTAAGACTTTTTCTTCGCCCAACTGAGATAACGGCGGCCTCGTTTCGGATTCGGGTTCGCTTCGGTGCTCCTTTCCCCTCTGGAGTCTGGCTGCCTCCCTTTCCTCCCTCTCCTCCATGAGCATGCAAACCATGGTCGCCATTGCATAGTGCAGTCCTCCCGTCCCATCACGGCATTTATATGACTTGGCCCCGCGGAGGGGCTGTTTGATATCCAGTCTGAGACTAACCCAACCCGCCCGAGAAGAGGAAAGGGGAAACACGACCTCCCTCTAACCAGTGAACCAACACCCCGATATCTCCACGATATCTCCACGATGCAATCCCACGCCATGCCGCGCGACATCATCATCGTCGGCGCTGGCATCGCCGGCCTCGCCTGCGCCATCTCCCTCTCCAAAGAACTCACCACCTCGACCCCCGACCTCAAAATCACCGTCTACGACGGCGCCCCCGGCCCCTCCGCCTCCGGCGGCGCCATCAGCCTGACCCCAACAGCCCAGAATTACCTCGACAAACTGGGCGTCCTCTCCGAACTCAACCGCATGGGCAGCGACTCGGGCATCGAAGTCGACATCATCGAACTCTTCTCCCTGCGCTCCGGCCGCCGCCTCGGGCCCCTGCGCTTCACCGACGAAAACGGCCTGGGATACGGCGGCTACAAGGGCCGGCGAGTGATGCGCAGCGCCCTCTCGCGCGCCATGCTCGCCGTCCTCCGCAACAACCACCCCAACGTCACCGTCCACTACGACAAGAAAGTCGTCGGCGGCACCACCGCAGACCCCACGTCCGTCACCCTCACCTTCGACGACGCCTCCACCGCAACCGCCGACTTGGTCCTGGGCTGCGACGGCGTCCACTCCATCACCCGCACCCGTCTCGTCGACCCCGGCAACCGCTCCGAATACACCGGCATCGCCTTCATCCAGAGCGTCACTGACGCCAACGCCCTCCCCATCTCCATGCACTTCAAGCAGACCGCCGTCCATCTCACCCGCCACTCTTCTCTACTTACCAGCTATTGTGATCCAGACCGCTCGAAGATCTTCTCTGCTGCCATCCTCCGCGTCAATGAGCATCTTATCGAGCGGTATCAGGCCGCTGCGAAACTCGATTGCCGGGAGCAGGCGAGTATGAAGATGTCGATTCGGTATCTGGTGCGCACTCAGTTTGCTAAATCGGCTCTTCCCGCGATTAGGGAGTTGCTGGATCATACGGAGGATTGGGCCCTTTATCCGGTTTACCAGGTTCGGCAGCGCGGGATGTGGCATAAGGGGCGGATTTTGTTGTTGGGGGATGCGGCGCATGCGGTAGGTTCAAGTTATCTTTCTCATCCTAATATACCCTCGCCCTCGAAGCTTTTTTTCCGACCCTACCAAAAGCATCCCCACACCCGCAGTTGAGAGTAAAGGGAGAAAGAAATCTAACAACGATAGATGCCCCCCCGTGACGAATCCGCCGCCTACGCAATCGAAGACGCCCTCATCTTCACGCAAATCCTCTCCCAGAACCGCCACGCCCCCCTGTCCGCCATCTTCCAAGAATACGAGACCGTGCGCCGCGAGCTCGTCAACCGGGCCTTCGACGCCTCCCGCCGCCTCTGGCAGAGCGATCTCGACAAGGGCCTGTTCCCGGGCCACGTGCGCGGGCTGATGGCGCCGGTGCATGTGTCTCCATCTCCTCCCGGGATGGGGATGGGGATGGTGGTTGCGAATGCGAATCGGGGGGCGTCGGCAGCCACGCATCAGAGTTTCTCGGATCTGTCGGTTTATTCCCTGACGAGAGAGTTTCAGGGGGAGATTGATTCGTGAGGGGAGGGATGTGTTGGGATGGAGTTAAGGTGCTTTTGCTGTGTTCGGTTCTCGGGAATACCTAGACTTAGTTGTTCTTTGCTGTCTGTAATGTCTATTTTATCGGGACAAAAGCCATGGGATGGGTATGGTATGGGATGGATATATGGGTGGAGTTTCGGTGATCGAAATGAGGGTTCAAACATACATAGTACTAGTTAATACATAAGCCAATGGCAGATGGCCTGGCCCGGCGTGGCGTCACCGCCCGGGGATCGTGGTTTTCTGCCGCCCATTTTTTCCCAATTTTCTCCGCAACAAAAAAGGTTCGCTCCAGCTTTGGTTCTCGATCATTCCTCCTCATCCCATCCCATCCCCTCCCCTCCCCTCCCATCTCATCCATCGGGGCCTTTCTTCTATCTTAATCGCAATAGCCAGTCTCTGGTTTGATTGCCTTCCCTTTTTCTCTCTTTTCTGCCCCGTTTCGTCCCTTCTTCACCACCCCCTTCACTCTCCATCATGCTGGGCGCTTTTCGCCGGTTCGGCGTCGCCCACGCGCTGCGCGCCTCATCGCGTCCTCTTCTCGCCAGGACCACCCCCCAGCATGCGCAATCCCTCGCTCCTTCGGCTCCCGCGATCTCTCTGACGGCCCGGGCACTGTACCACCCCACGCCAGCCCGCTTCCAGCAGCTCGAGGCCGAGCTGAAGGAAAATGATGAGGCCGAATCCAACGGTCCCGTCCCCTTCGCCGACCTGGAGACCCAGGGCCTGCTCAATGCCTCAATCGTCAATGTTATCACGAAAAAAATGAAGATCACGCACATGACCGACGTCCAGTCCCAGACGATTCGGGATTGCCTGAAGGGCGATGATGTGTGAGTGTTGTCTTGACCCAGTTCTTCCCTCAGACTGTCACCAGAGCAATGTTTGCTGATTTTTTTCTTTCTTCTTTTCTTTTTCCCAGCTTGGCTCAGGCGAAAACCGGAACCGGGAAAACACTGGCGTTTTTGACCCCCGTCATCCAGAACATCCTTCAATGTCCCGATCTCCAGTTGGCGAGCGCCGCTCGCATGCGCAGAGCAGCCTCTTCCGATGATATCCGCGCCATCATCATCTCTCCTACCCGCGAGCTGGCGGAGCAGATTTCCGTAGAGGCGAAGCGTCTGACCGAGAGTTCCGGCCTGGTCGTGCAGACTGCCGTGGGTGGTACAAACAAGCGGGAGCATCTCCAGAGGACTCGCCGCGAGGGTTGTCATATCCTGGTCGGCACGCCCGGTCGCCTGAAGGATCTCCTGTCCGACCCGTACAGCGGCATTAAGGCTCCCAACCTGACCTCTCTCGTCTTCGATGAGGCGGATCGCCTGCTTGACTCTGGATTTTTCCAGGAGATCCAGGAGATCCAGGAGCTCCTCCCCGACCCGACCAAGGTCGACCGCCAGACGCTCATGTTCTCCGCCACGGTCCCTGACGAGGTCATGGACGTCGTGCGGATGACGATGAAGCCCGACTTCAAGTTCATCAAGACCGTCCGTGACGATGAGGCTCCTACCCACCTGCGTGTTCCTCAGAAGGTCGTCTACCTGGACGGCTTCCAGAATGGACTTCCCGCCATTCTGGAGCTGGTCCAGACCCACCTGGAGGAGACCGACAAGCCCTTCAAGGGCATCATCTACTTCAACTCGACCCTACACACCAGCCTGTCTTGGAAGATCTTCAGGCGGCTCCACAGTGACCCCGACAGCCCGCGCAGCAAGCACCCTCTTGGCACCATTCCCCTCTTCGAAATCCATGGCCGGTTGACCCAGGCCCAGAGAACTACCGTCACCGATCGCTTCCGCCGGTGCCAGGACGGAATCCTCTTCTCCTCCGACGTGACGGCCCGTGGTCTGGATTTCCCCGACGTCACCCACGTCATTCAGCTGGGTCTCCCCCGTGAACGCCAGTCCTACATTCACCGCGTGGGACGGACGGGTCGTGCCGGCAAGGAGGGTGAGGGATGGATCTTTGTCCACAAGGGCGAGATGGCTGCCTTCAAAAAGATGCTGCGGGACCTTCCCATCGAAGAAATCAACACCAACGTGGCCGCCCAGACGATCATGGGTGAGGACCTGGACGAGACGTCCCCGCTGGCCTTCCGCCAGGTGAAGGCGTCTGCCGAGTGGGTCGACACGGATCTGAAGGTGGACGCATGGAAGGCGTTTGCCAACACGATTTCGCCCCAGTTCTACCCTCCCGGCGAGGGCGCGGTGGAGGCCCTCAACGAATTCGCCACTGCCGGCCTGGGCCTGCGGACGCCCCCCCAGCTCCCGTCCATGGTGCAACAGGTGCTGATGAACGGCGCCCGGAGACAGCAGAACACCCGCCGCTCCGGTGGCTACGGCTCGTTCAACCGCGGGGGAGGTCGTGATAACTACGGCCGTTCGAACTTTGGCGGAGGCCGTGGTCGCTCGGATTACGGCCGTGACAACTACGGCGGTCGTGATGACTTCGGCCGTGGCGGTGGTCGCTACGACCGTCGCGGCTCTCAGCACGGCTATGGTGGCCGCGGCCGTCAGGGTCAAAGAAACAGTACGTATTTTGTCCATCTCTGCAAAGAATCCCTGCTAACATCCTCTCCCCTCCCAGACTACTCTCTCTTCTAAACCGATTCCGGCCAATCGGTCCCGTCCACCAACTTTGACTCTTCGCTCTTCTGTCGTCTGAAGTCTGATGGAGGGGGGGGGGGAAGCCTCCACCTGGAGGGAATCTCGTTTGGCTTAGTTGGCGCGCTTTCTGCTTCCCTTCCCTTTTCTTCTTTTCTTCCCTCCCCCCCCCCTTGGGCCTGGCGAAAGTGGTGTTGATCTTGTTGGCATGTATACTAAATCGATACCACGTTCATATCGCATGTTCTCTCTACTCTAGCTAGACATATTTGTAATGATATCACACTGTACAAGAAGTCTGGTTTTGTTTGTTTGTTTGGTTGGTTGGTTGGTTGGTTGGTTAATTGGTTCGTTGGTTGTTGTTTTTTCTGTCATGTGGCTTGCACTATAGACTGTCTTGGATGTTGGTATTGTTACAATATATTGATGATGTGTTTTTGTTCATCTTGCTACTTTGCTCGTTCCTTGTCAGTCACTACGGAGTACTTGGTGAAATAAAGAAATAAATGTCGGTGATGTCACTAGGTAGTAAGTAAGACCAGCCAGATCATCCATCGGGAGTCCGTTGGTGCAGTATGCAGCATGCTGATTGCTGGTTGCTGGTTGCTGACTGCTGACTGCTGACTGCTACACCGGACCGGCGTTCGCTCAATGCCGTTCCCGATCCCGTTCGCAGCCCCGGTCCCTACTGTATCTCTCACTCTCACTCTCACTCTCCTCCTCACCCTCCCTCTTCCTCCCTCGCCTCTCAACCCACCAACTCCCCCCCCCAAATTCCAATCATGACATTGCCAAACCCAAGACCCACATCCTCACCCCTTTCCCCCTCCCTCTCCCCCCTCCCCTACGGAAACGCCTGTGCCACCTGCGCCCGCGCCAAGTGTCGCTGCGTGCCGCGGAGTGGCGCCGCCCGCTGTGAGAGGTAAGCAAGTAGTGCCCATCCCTCTATTCGAAACATTGGTTGGATATTCAGGTCTGATATTGTCCAGATGCCACCGGCTAAACAAAGAATGTCGTCCCCCTGTCACCCGCCGTAAGTCCCGGCTCCGGCCCCTGTCGAAGGCGGTCCTGCTGGAGCGGAAGATGGATGGCTTGATGGAGATGCTTGCTTCTTCTGCTTCTGGTGGTGGTGGTGGTGGTGGTGCTGCTGCTGCAGGGGTAGGGGTAGGAGAGCTAGAAGCAGGAGGAGAACCAGAACTTGAAAGACAACACTCAGTCTCAGTCTCAGCTTCAGCCACAGACAGAGATAGAGAAGAGTCCCTACACACCTTCCGCACGCACCGCCTCCAGCTCCTCCCCCTAATGCACATCCCCGCCACTACGACCGCGCGGGATCTGGAACGAGACTCGCCGTTCCTGTGGCGGTGCATCGCGACGGTAGAAAGCCGGTCTGCGGCTCGTCAGGCGGAGTTGTGCGTTGGGATTCGGGAGTTGGCGGGGAAGAGGCTCCTGTGCGATTGTGAGAAGAGCTTGGATTTGTTGCAGGGGGTGTTGGCTTATCTTGCTTGGTGTGTATATGTATATCTTGTTTGTTTCCCTGTGGGGTACTTGCTTGGATGGTTGGGGAGGGGAGTGGGTTCAGTTCTTGGTGCTTGTTAAACGACATGGATTGCCAGTCGCCATTCACGATTTCTCCAGCTAATGGCTTGCTGATTATCAACCAGGGTCACCTTACACAGTCAGCCGCAAAAGTCCTCACTCTGCATCTATGCCCAAATGGCCATCGGGCTGGTCTTCGAGCTAGGCCTCAATCAGCCTCCGCCCCCCGATCTGAGCATGACCGTCTCGAACTCCAATGCCGTCGGCCATCTGCCGGATCTGAAGGCGCCTATCTCAACCCGGCGCACTATGAATGAACGCCGCGCGGTGCTGGGTTGCTATGTGCTGACTTCGATGTAAGAGGCCCATCTCGAGAATTGACTCAATCGAGTGACCAACTGGATGTAGAATCTCGCAGTTCCTGGGCCGGATGGACCCGCTGCGATGGACTCCGCATATGAGGGAATGTCTCGACGTCCTGGCGCATAGCGACGAATCACCGGGTGATGGGGTGCTGGTTCAGATCACGCGCATGCGTCTTCTCGCGGACCAGATTCTTCAGGGCCCCTGGGGTGAGGGCCTGTATGGTCTTGGTCCGGCGCATGATTTGGCTGCTTTCCATTTCAAGGCGTTCCAGTCGCGGTTGGCCACCATCAAGACTGAGACACCTATTCAACTGGTCGACACCAGTATGTGAATATCCTGGGAGCTGTGATCTAGTTTGTATACTGACCGGTCCAGGACCCATCCTATTCCATCTCCACGACGTCGAGATGAGTCTTTACGAGGTCGCCCTCGCGAAACCCCCCGCGGACGAAGAAATGAGCAGCCAGCGACTTGACCACCTCTACGCCTGTCTGCACGTGGTGAAACGGTTCTTCGATCTCTTCTTCACGATCTCCCCAGCCGAATACACCTCCCTGGCGCTCCCATACATTACCCAGCTGTCGCACTGCCTGGTGACCCTCTTCCGCCTGTCGACCCTGGACTACCCGGGCTGGGACAAAGCCGCGGTGAAAGACACGGCGGATATCCTTGCCATTGCGGAGCAGATTGCCACGCGCATGGGCCAGGTGGCCGATGCGGTGGGGATGCACAGGGACGGCCCGTACGGCGATCCCTTCAGCAAGCTGGGCATGATGATCCAGAAGCTGCGGAGTGAGTGGGCGGTTCGTTTGCCGGAGTGGCTGGTCGCCGATCATCGGACTGCAGAGGAGCCATTTCTGTCGAGCGCGGAGATGGGTGATCTGGATGGCTTCTTGAGTTGGTCGGAGATGCCATTGCCGTGGTTGATGGAAGGGTTTGGCCCGGGGTTTGTGTGACGGTCTCCCGGAAACAAAGTAAGCGGCCTTCATTTGCTTGTTCTCCTTTCTATAACAACCGCTCAGATTGAAAGCGCTAACCCCATTGTGTGAAAGACGATGCTGACCGGCGTTGGCAGTAGGAACGGCGTTCGGGGAAGGGCCGCATCCAACGCCGTGTCCCGGCCCAGATACTTAAACTGCAGTGTTCCACCCATCTCAATTCGAGGTGGTCCAGATCTCAACTATAGTATCTCTCTATGGACGAAACGCAGCTGTCCAAAAACGATCACGCAGCCACCATGACTGAAGACAGCCAGCCACGTCTTCTGGATTCCTCTAAACACACCCCGTGGGTCCAGGATCCGCCCGCAGAGAAACCCCGCGAAAGCGATGACTACGAGCCAGAGTGGGTGGAGGGAACGACACTGGTGATGGTGATCACAGGTATCACGCTTGTCGTGTTTCTGATGCTGCTGGATATGTCGATTGTGTCGACGGTATGGCCAACACCGAAAGACAACGGTTCGGACGGACTGAATGACTGACTGACCATGCATGGCTAGGCAATCCCAAGGATCACCAGCCAATTCCACTCGCTGGATGATGTCGCGTGGTATGGCAGTGCGTATACAATCTCCAGGTAGGTGTGGGATGTGCCGTCGATGAATACATGGAATTGATTCGGCTAACGACTCCCCGACTAGTGCCGCCCTCCAGCCCCTAACCGGGAAACTGTACAACTACTTCTCATCGAAGTGGATATTCCTCTCCTTCTTCGGGATCTTTGAAGTAGGCTCCTTGATCTGCGGCGTGGCCACCTCCTCGAAAATGCTCATCGTCGGCCGCGCGGTGGCCGGGATGGGATCGTCGGGCATGTTGAACGGGGCGTTGAATATCCTGGCCGGTGCGGTGCCGGTTAAGAAGAGGCCGGCCATGATTGGTGTTATTATGGGTGGTATGTACCCCACAACTAGATCTTGATAGAATACTGACATCGACATTCTAGTCGGCCAGCTAGGCCTAGTAGGAGGCCCACTAGTTGGCGGAGCCTTTACGACCTACTCGACCTGGCGATGGTGTAAGTATCGTATCCCAACCCAATCCAAAAGCACCAACCACTAACTTACATCATATAGGCTTCTACATGAACCTCCCCATCGGGGTCCTCGTCAGCGCCCTCCTCCTCTTCACACGCATCCCCGACCAGAAGCCCAAAGCTCCCCCCCGCACCATTCTCCGTCCATCCATGCTATATAAATTCGACCTCATCGGCTTCACCCTCTTCGCCCCCGCCTCCATCATGCTCCTGCTCGCCCTGCAGTATGGCGGCAACAGCCACCCCTGGGACAGCGCCACGGTCATCGGCCTGTTCTGCGGCTCCGGCGCAACCTTCGCCGTCTTTTTCTTCTGGGAGCGACACATGGGCGTCGACGCGATGATCCCGGGGTATTTGGTGGGGAAACGCATCGTCCTGTGCAGTAGTTTGCTCTCCATGATGGTTTTCGGGTTTACGATGACGCTCTCGTATTACCTGCCTATTTACTTTCAGTCTGTCAGGGGGGAGTCCGCGTTGAGGAGTGGGGTGGATTTGTTGCCGAATATTTTGTGTCAGTTGGTCATGGCGGTTGTTTCGGGGATGCTGAGTGAGTTTCTTTTCTTTTCTTTTTTTCCCCCCCCATTTTCATCTTTCTTTCTCTCTCGTTTTTCATGTCGATCAATTGATAAATAAGCTAATGAGCAAGTCCCAACAGCCTCGAAACTGGGCTACTACCTCCCCTGGGGCGTGCTCGGAGCCATACTCAACGCCGTGGGCAACGGCCTCCTCTCCACCCTCTCACCCACCACCCCTATCCCCGTCTGGGCTGGCTATGAATCTCTGGTCGGATTCGGTCGAGGTGCCATCTCCCAAGTCGTAAGTCTCTCCTTCCCCTCCCCAAGCTATTCCCCAATTCTCCCCCCCCCCCCCCACCTCTCCCCTCCCAGAATGCTAACAGAGAGACAAAAAAAAAAAGCCGATAATCGCCCTCCAAACCACCACCCCACCCCCCTCCCTCTCCACCGCCATGGCCATAATGACCTGCGCGCAGACCTTCGGCGGCGCCATCTTCCTCGCCATCGCGGAAGTCATCTTCGCGCAATCCCTGCGGGCGAATCTCCGCCACTATGCGCCGGCTGTGGATGCCGAGGCGGTGATCGCGGCCGGGGCCACGGGGTTCCGGGATGTTGTGCCGGAAGGGGATCTGTCGATGGTTTTGGGGGCGTATGCGAGGAGTCTGGGGGGCGTGTTTTTGCTTTGTGTAGGGTTGGCGGGGGGCAGTTGGGGGTTGTTTGGGGGGTGGGATGGGGAAGATGGGAGGGCCGGGGGAGGGGGAGGGGGAGAAGGCGTAAGGCATGATGTGAGGCCGGGTTGAGCAGAGGATGATGATGATGATGAGGAAGAGAGTGAGTGTGTTGGTGGTTGTTCTTATTAATGTTAGATTATATATATTATTAGAAATTTTATGTATTGTATAGACACTAGACCCTTAAGAAGACCAGAGCAGGGTCCTCCTTTTTTCTCATTAGTCTTCCTAGTATCATATAAATAGTGTAGCACCCATCACGAAAACCTAGACTTTCTCTTTCCTCTCTGTCTAAATCATGCAAATTGATCGAGCGTCATGCAGCGGCAGTTAGGTTGGGCATAGGCATAGGCATAGGCATAGGCATAGCCCTGTACAGCCACAGCCCTAGGCAGCTAGAATAGTCCGATCCATCTCCTACCCGATACTTACTCCGTACATCAGCACAAGGCAGGCTAAGACTAACCACAACTAGCTCGGGTGATGGAGATAACTTAATAATCAATAAACACCCTGGGAAAAGTAAATCCTTAATAGGATAGTTTAACTCCGTACGGAGTGAGTAAGTAAGTAAATAAGTACATGGAGACTGAAGGGATCGTCAACAGCCGACAGACAGCCAGCGGGCCGTACCCTGCCCTAAATCGGTGGTAGTAACAGTAACAGTAACAGTACAACATCCTAAGTACGTAGTAAGCAGACTTCAAACAACGGGAACGTGTAACAAGATAGATAGATGATAAATGGCGATAGATCAACATCCCCGATCGAACCTGCCTCCTGGGCCCAACTAGCCCTGTTTCACCGAGTCAGGATGGTCGATGATCGTGGCCAGCCCCCCCCCCCTAAAATTAGACTAGCGTGACCGAGACCCCGGCTGTGATTGGTGGGTGCGTACGAAGGAGCCAATCGGGAGCCGGGGCTGCGGGACTAGTTTCGTATAGGATTTGGCCTCCCAAAAGGCTGACGGACATCACATCACGGCTTAGGCAGCTAGATAGATAGTTAGTTAGTTAGATACACCGAGAACATTTATATATCCTGACTCGGTCGCGCTGTTATGTTTTTTTTTTTTTAAATTATCGCGCTGCTGAGTATTCTCCCTCGTCTGGATTTCTGTTCCTCACCACCACCACCACCACCACCACCATGACAGAATGCAAAGGTACCAATCAACCCCCCCATAACCCTAAACACCTCTCTCTCTCTCTCTACATACATCATACCCAAAATCCTCAGCTCCCAGATCCTAAAATAAAATAAATAAAAAAACAGCCCTATCAACCCCTAACACCATGTGGGACTTCTGCCCCTCCGTCGCCGCCGCCTACCTCTTCACCATCCTCTTCGCCCTCACCACCCTCGCCCACCTCGCCCAAGCCATCATCTACCGCAAGCCCTACTGCTGGGTCATCACCGTCTCCGGCCTCATCCAAACCGTCACTTACATCTTCCGCGTGCTCAGCATCCTCAACCCCGCCAGCTACACCGACTACGCCGCCTGGTTCGTGCTCATCCTCGTCGCCCCGCTGTGGACCAACGCCTTCGTGTACATGGTCATGGGTCGCATGGTGTGGAATTTCACCGATGACGCACGCGTCCTGAAGGTTAGGCCCTGGCATTTCGGGCTATTCTTTGTGGTTTTGGATGTTATGTATGTTTCCTTTTTTTCCCCCTCCCTTCCTCCCTTCCTTCTTATTCTGGGTTTTGTTTGAGGTTGAGGTTGAGGTTAAGAAGAAGAAGGCGTGAGCATGCTAATAACCAACGATCGATGAATGGGAAAAAAAAAACAGTGCATTCATCATCCAAGTCTACGGCGCCGCCCAAGCGGCGGGCAACAACGTCGCGTATAGCGTGGAGATGACCGGTCTGCACATCTACATGGGTGGTGTGGGCGTGCAGCAGCTCTTCGTCCTGGTTTTCGTGGTGTGTGCCGTTCTTTTCAACCGCAAGATTCGCTTGCAGAGACGTTCGGATGCCACGCAGGCCCTGCTCCTGCTTTATGTGCTTTATGTCTGTTTGGCGCTGATTACGGTGAGTCTCTCGTATACTTGTATACATGTTCATATATATATATATATATATGTGTGTGTGTATATCATATGCATATGTATATGCACATACACACAGAGGCAAAAAGAGAAAGAAAGAAAGAAAGAAAGAAACCATATCCCCCATTTTTCTTACAAAACAAATATCTTTGATGAAAAATACTAACCCCCCCCCCCCCCCCCCCCCAAAGATGCGAATCATCTTCCGCCTCTGCGAATACGCCCAAGGTCTCGATAGCTCGATCCCCCAACACGAAGCATACCAGTACTGTCTCGACTCGCTGCCCATGCTGTTAGCGCTGGTGCTGCTCAACGTCGTGCACCCGGGGCGCGTCATGCCGGGCCCGGAGAGCGATATGCCGAGTCGCAAGATGCGGAAAAGAATGGGGGTGAAGGATATTACCAAGGCGAGGGTGCTGGGGAGTGGGAGTGGGAGTGGGAACGATGAGATGGTTCGTTTGCAAGATTGTTAGGGTATTGGTGTTTTGTTTTTTTGTTTTTTTTTTTTCTTTTTTGCTGACTGTTGGGTTTATAGATGTTAGAGGGGATGGAGAGGGTGTAAATTTATAATTCCTTTTGTATTTTTTTTATTCTTCTGGTTTGGACGGAGAGAGAGAGTGTGTGTGTGTGTTGGTTTAAGAACTAAGGTGGGAGTTAGATTTAGATCGGGCTTGCATATTGCATATTGCGTATTGCACTATATCTAGGTGGGGAGGGATGTCTGCCGTCTAGACTTTAGTCTAGTGGATGGGGAATGGATGTGGATAGTGGACTACTTATGTATATAGTATAACTAGTTAGGATAGTATAGATTATTATGGTATGTATGGTATGTATGGTATGGTATCGACACCATCTTATCTGATGCATAAATAGCCCGGCTAACTGAAAAGAGTCAAGTGGGAGAGCGAATCGTGACTCGGCTTATCCGGCCGCCGCCGCGATCCTTTCGTCTCGTCGTCCCCGATCCATCCATCCCCATCTTCTATGCCCCTCCTGAGCCGAGTCCTCGCCCACCATCCCTCCCAGACAGCACTCATGAAACAATGCCCCGAGTCGCCCCCTCAGACCGGAAGCGATTGTACTATCCCAAGACCCGCACCGGCTGTCTAACCTGCAAGTCCGTCCCCCACATCCCCACTTGACCCCCGCTAACCAGACACATGATATATACAGGAGTAAGTGACCCCGATCCTTATTGCCAGCCTGCCTGTACTACTATGACGGGAACTGTCTACGGACCAAGTCTTCTCGCGGGACTGAGACCTAGACCGAGACCAAAACTAAAACTAAAACGGAGTCGAACAGAACGCCGCGTCAAATGCGACGAGCAGCGTCCCGCCTGTCTGCGATGCACGTCCACCGATCGTCCCTGCGACGGGTATAGAGATCCACCAGCCCTAACCCCAACATCCTCCTCCTCATCCTCATACCCCACCACAGCGACAGCGAAACTACCCCCCAAGCCAATCGCACGATCAAGACCGCTCCTCACCCGCCCCCTCAGCATCCCCGCCTACCACCTCTTCCCCTGCGACCAGGAGCGCCGCTCCTTCCAGTTCTTCCTGACGAGGACCGTCCCCCAGCTAGCCGGCGACTTCGAATGCGCCTTCTGGGAACGTCTCCTGCTGCAGTCTGTTCACCAGGAGCCGGCTATTCGTCATGTCACTGTTGCGCTGGGGTCCCTGCATGAGTCCTTTGAGCAGGATGCTGATGCAGGCCCCTTTCCTGGGGGTTTGGCGGCGGCGAGAAGCTCACGTACACATACACATACGCGTGCGGAAACGGAAATGGAAATGGAAACGGGAACGGGAACGGCATCGTTCGCCCTGCGCCAGTATCTGCGCGGTATGCGGTGTCTGATGCCCATGTCGGGGAGCGGCCGGGAGGTGCCCTTGGATGTGTGCTTGATCTCGTGCGTCTTGTTTGCTTGTTTCGAGGTGTGTTTCTTGTTTCTTTTCTCTCTCTCTCTCTTCTTCTTCTCTTGTCTCGAGTAGAGGGAGAGTTATGCATGTTACATGGCTGACCCATTCTCAAGGCTATGCGCGGTCACTACGGTCCCGCCATCACGCACATCACCAGCGGATTGAATATCCTCAGCGAGCTTCGAACCACTACGTCCACTCCCACATCCAATAGCTCCGTGACTTCGACTTCTTTGAGCGTCGGACGCACACCCTACGTCCCAATAGACATTCTATGCGGGCTGTTCACTCGCCTGCAGGCGCAGATCATTGTGGTACCCCTCCCTAATCCCCCAGTCCCTCAGTCCCCCAGTCCTCCCAGATATACCCACATCATCTTCCCCAGAATCAAACACCATCTAACCCAACCAACTAGACAATCCACCGCATCGGCGCTGCGCGTTGCAACCTCTGGCCCACCCTTACCATCGACCTGCACCAACCCATCATATTCCACTCGTTAGCCGACGCCCGCGAAACCCTCGAGATCTACACCTACTACTACCGCCAGCGCAGCACCGAGCTGCAATACCCAAACCCAGGCACAGACCCCACGACCTCCCCATCCCCCAGCCCTAACCCAAACCTCGCAGCCGTCACCCTGCGCGACACCTGCCTGATCCTGCTTTCGCGGTGGTCCGCCGCGCTGGACGACTTCCTGCGTGCGCGCAGTCTCGGCCATGCCCCCCTGACGGCCCGCGAACGCCGCGCCGTCGCCGTCCTCCAGCTGCGGAAGATCGATTGTGTCGTCGCGCTGGATAGTCTCCAGGATGCTGGGAAGGTGGAGGCTGGGGATCATGTGCAGTGGGATCGGTATTGTAAGTTTTTTGAGAGGATGGTTGTGTTGGGGGAGGGGATTGTGGGTGAGGATGGGGGGTTAAACTCCCCTTCGTTGTCGTCGCCTTTTTCTTCGCCCGAGAGTACGACAAGAGAGACGGGTATGAAGACGGAGACGGAGCCGGAGATGACAAAGAGCAAACCGAAGAAAAAAACCTTCTCCCTCGACCTCGGCATCATCTCAGGCATGTTCAATGTCGCCGTGCGATGCCGCGACCCGGTGATCCGTCGACGCGCGGTGCGCGTGCTCCGTGCCTCGGCGGTGCGCGAAGGCGTGTGGGACAGCGTGGTCGTCGCAGCCGTGGCGGAGAAATGGATTGAGATCGAGGAGGAAGGGCTGGGCGTTGTGGCCAGTTGTGCCGATGTGCCTGCTGGTGCCAGGCTGGCGGATTTCCTTCCGGTATTTGATGGCGAGGAATCCAGTGCGCTGGTGTATTTTCGTCGGGCGGAGGCGAAAGCGATGGATGAAGGGGGCGTGAGGAGCGAGGTTTTTACGTGGTGATGGCCCAATGTGTTGTGGATGAGGGGGTAATTTAATATAGAATAAAGATGTTTTAAAAGAAAGTCCGGCTTGGTTTGAATTGCTTTCGGGTGAGGTTCTTGACGGAGGGTTTGTTGAAGGTAAAAGAGTCATAGATCATAATGGGCAACCAGGTCGAGTGCCCTTCACCAAATCGTACTAGGTCGTATGACGGGCGCTGTTAACAGATAGGTCCGGATATGCCATGCAGACTTGATCGGGTCAGGGGAAATAAGACAGCGATGAGTGGTAGATACTCGATCTGACCGAGTGACCAAATATTCAGTTCGATTCAGTCGTAATGGGACGAGGATGGAATGCTTCGTGGGAATAGCAATACTACATCCTTACTCCGAATGTGTCGCCCCGTTCTTGGCATCTCTTGCGGTGTTCTGTGCAGACGTCAATGCCTCCTGAATGCGAACCAATCTTTGCTGAAGTTCTCTTGTAAACAGACGATCTTGTCCCGCTTCAGTCACCTCTCCTTCTACCGTGACAGAAGTCCGCAGATCTCGGACAACGCATCCAACTTCATCCCGCAGCCGTTGCTGAAGAGGGATGAATATCTGTTCAGTTAGGTTGTGATAGTCACTTGTAAGCCTGCTGGAGAATTCCGCGAACAGATGCGGGGACGTGAGATGTTGGTACATGGCTCGCTTGCGCCTGGCGTCGCAGCCGGGTCCTGCATATCGAGGCTAGAGTTAGAAAGGGGAGGTATTTTGGACGCGTTATAGAAATTAAATGTGCCTAATCATACCGGATTCATCGGTGCAGGTGTTGTAGACAGGGCGCATGACGTCGGAAATGTACGAGCTATCGTGGCCATTGGCGGCGTCGAGCATCATTCGTCTGCAGTGGTTCAGTGTATTTTATATCGAGATGGGGGCGGGGGGGGGGGGGGGGGGGGCGGACTTACTCGTTTGCATCGATGAGTACGTCTAGGGAGCTTCGGATGGCGTCTTTGATAGATCTCTGCCGTACTTTCATGTTGAGAAGTAGGTTTTGCAGAGAATCCGGTGCCATGTCATAGTGTTCTAGTGTAGAATTTATTCAGCGTAGGGCTCTGACTAAAGCCGATCACTTCTGCTCTGAAGACGGCAGAGAGGGCTGGGATTTCTTACCTTCAATAGTGTCATAAACGTCTTGGAAAGTATTGGAAACCTCCCTGGTCAGGCCATCCTTCTGATATTCAAGCCAGTCAAACAGAATCTCCCATTGTTTGGAAAGCGTGCCGCGTCCGGGGCCGAGAACCTCGTCGTTCCAGCAACGATAGTCTTGGACCCTTGTTTTGTGGGCCCCATAATTTCGACAGAAAGCAAGGTATGTCGCATGATGCCACTACAGATCTTGGGTCAGACACCAGTTTCTGGAGGTTTGATAGCATTTGGACTCACTGCAGCCCAGTCTTGGCTAGCATCGACAGCGTGAGTTGTCCAGTCGCTTCGAAAAGTTCCTGTGATAAGGTTATTTAAAGTTCGTACAAAGACAGGTAAAGTGTAGCGCCCACTGATTGTTTGCGTGATCAATCCGTTGAACTCATCTTCTAGGCTCATCTTTGCAAGATAGATTGGGGATTCTTGCGAGGCCACCTTCTACCGGGAGTCAGCTATCATTCAATCCTCCGCACTTCAAACATCCCAAGGAATCTGAAGATGGCTGATACAAAACTCCATGTGAAGGATAGTCACTTACCATTTGTAGGGCTTGTTCTGCCTTTTTCAAGACACCACGTAGAACGTCCGCCCGAATTGTAGTAACGGCATCGGACCCTGCCAATGACCATTGATTCAGAGAGCCGATTAGCGCGGGCACTTGATTGTGAAGAAAGGTTTCCATGACACGCAGCTGAGCTTCCGCCGGAACAGACTGACAGTAGCGCCGAAGTCCCTTGATACCGCTGAGCTTGAGGTATTCGTGGGCTTGCGCCACATCATCATCGCGGTGGTCGGAGTATAGCTTGTTGCTCACGCAGAATACCCGGACGTTGCCGTTCCAGGCCCGCGACAGCGACTTTGTCACCCATTCATTTCGTCTCAGAATGAGTGTCCGTTTCAGTCTGTGGATTGGTTAAATATTTGGATCATCTGATATCGAGTCAAGGGATCCCTTACTGAAGCTCAAGCATGCTTTTCTCATCGCTGTGATCTGAGGTTACTATAAACCCCCCAGGAAGCTGGGGTTTACTGACCTGAGATTAATTTCCTCTAAAGCGAGGCCCTGACTAATACTCCCAGTAGCCTTTCGTCTGCGAGTCCGCGTATCCCTTACTTTCTGCTCGAGTCTACGGATCTGATTGTTGAGGTCACGGATAGGTCTGGCTTCTGCTACGGAGGATGTCCGGACAGTCTCATTTGCATCCACATCCTGAGACCTGCTGAGCCCGGTCCAACCAGCTTGGGGAAGGAACATACCTCCGATCGAGTACAAACAATTCGTAGCGGTTGGTTTCCCGCACATCGGCGAGCGATATCTCGAATTGATTCGTCCGTGGTGCACCGAACGATGGTACTCACGATGAACACCTCGTCACAGCTATGACGGAGATACTTCTCTGTTGCCCTTACTCGTGCATAATTCAAGTCGCGGAATCCTAGATATTATCAATTATTCAATCCAACAGGACTGTATTCATAGAATGCCATACCAGGTAAATCGGCCAAGACTAGTCCAGTCCGGAGTATAGGCGATCGGAGGTAGACCCTAAATGAAGTCAGACACGCACCATGCTGGCCTGGCAGCCCTCGAACCTGATCAACTTGACAAAAGGCCATACAGCTGGCCTGTTCTCTTCCTTAGGATCAGCCATCAGACTGTCTAGCTGTTCCATACACTCATCGGCGTGGTGAGCAACCATGGTATACTGAGTCGCATCGCGGCCACCCGGTCGATAATCCAAACCGGCAACTGCCCAAGACTCCAGAGTTGTCAAAATCGATGCCACCGCAGCTTCACCTTCACGAGAAAGAAATTCGAGGTCAAGACCTGGCTGACTGGGGAAGAGAGACCGCAAGGTGTCCCAGGCTTTTTTGGCAGTCGCCTTCAGTTTTTCTTGTTCTTCTTTTCCCTCAACTTCGCGATAGGCATCCGTGTAGTACTTCCGGAAACTCGAGAGTAACTCCTCGAGGAGCTCTCGTATTTCCGCCGTATTCATATAGTCGGCTTCAACGGTATAATTATGAGGATGCTTCTCGTTTACGCTGCGAAACTCCGTGACAACTGTAGTGCAAGCCGCACCATCTCCGCTCTAGACCTGGCATTAGCCACTTAGATCGACTCACAGAGAGATAGGTAGAGACTCACCGAGCGCGCCAGACCTTCCTGATCCAGGAGGGAGTTGATAAGCGTACTTTTGCCTGTCACAGCAATTAGACCCTTCCTGCACACGCGTCTAACGCAGATAGCTTACCCACTCCTGAATCACCAATGAATCCAATTGTTCTGGTAGCAGAGCAGGTAAAATGACTGGCCTCTATGGTTTGTTTGTACAGCTCGTGGAGATCACTCGCAGGATCGTGTGCTAGCTGGCGCTGACCCATTAGATCCGCAAGGCCTGTAAGTTGGCCTCTCACTTGACGAAACGCATTCTGGAGCCGAATGTCGTAAATTGGGGCTTGGGGAAGCTCTTCGCGGCGTATATTGTACGAGTGATCGTTCTCATCACCGTGGGATGGAGAGCTGCTCGCGCTGGTCTCGCTACTATCGAAGCCCTGGTCGTCAACTGCGCCATATACACCGTCCTTCAAGGTTAAATTCCGAACCCCGGACCCCAGACTGCCCGGGGTTGAAGTTTGTGTCTGAGACCGCCGTTGGCTGGCCTCCGCGGACGTCGTGCCACTTGAACTGGGAGTGGCATTGTAAAGATCCCGGTAAGTTGTGCTTGGGGCCAGACCAGCCACTGTCGCACTGTTGGAACCGGCCTCAACCTCATGTGTCGCCTGTCCTACGTTGCCAGTCAGGTGCATGGCTTGGAAAAGGGAAGGCGTGGTCGGGGTGATGGAGCGTCGGTCCGCCTCGGGGTCGAGTGACTCGTCTGTAGAAGATGTGGGCGTAGATCTCCCTATAGAGGACGACCTGCAGGAGAAGGTAAACTCGACCGACGGCAAGATGTACCTATCGCAAGGACTTCCCTGGCGAGGAGTGTTGTTCTGGGGGCTGGACTGGGTCATTGTTCGATTTCCTGCGCGAGGTACTTCGGTCGATGGTTCGAGAACCAGGTCTGGGTATTATGGAAGGAAGCCATGGGTTCTTATCACCAAGTTCTTGATGCGGCGAGGCTGACAAGTGCGGGGCTTTTCCAAGGCGCCGGCGCGATGCGCACGCTGCTGCACGTTGCTGCGCCGCAGGAACATCCTGGCGGATTGGTTCGATGAGTTGATATCCTGGGCAATTTCGCATCAATTGTGTGTTCAGATGTAACGTTCTGCCGGCTGCACTTATGTCTGGAGGTAGGTGTATTTGCAGTTAGGAGAGTGTGAGAGTGTAGCACCAATGTCACATCAATGCCGCGAGGATATCGCCTTCAGCCCCTTGTTCCTATACTGCCAATAGATAGGCAGCGATATCCATGGTACCAATCGAGGGTTGAAATGCGCAGGTAAGCCATGGAACATGTCTTGTGAGAGGGAAGTATTCTGGGCCCATGCATACAAGACGCATGGTACAGAGTACATGCCTGAGATCTGGACATTGAGTTGTCGAGCATTGATAGGAAGGGGAGGGGGAGGGAGAGGAGGAGGGGGAGGGGATGCCGGTTACGAGGCAGCAAGGCAGCAAGGCAGCAAGGCAGCAAGGCAGAAAGAAGCTTCTGGATGACATAATCAAGTTCCTCCAGAGCTGAGGCTCACGTGACTGTATAGCTCGAAGCTTCCAAAGAATCCATTCAGATGAAGAGCTGGCAATGAAGGAGGAGGATGAAGTCAAAGGCAAACCCCGTGATAGCCTGGATCTCAGCTATGCCCAATTTGAACACTCGATGAATTTTCATTTCAGATTCTGTTCTTTTGTAGTCACATGACCTGTCCCACCGACTGGCAGGCAACCTGACCTGATTCTAGGCCAGGGGTTGTAGAGAGCACGTATCAACAAAGATGAGGCTAAATTAAGCGGCATGATATAGTGTATCTGGACTATCCCAGAGTTTGAACACTCGATCAGAAACTTTCTTCTGGAGTGTTCATTCTTCCAAGAGGTCATGTGACCTCACCCCCCAGCTCATGGGCCCTGGCTGGCTTCTCTCGTCTAGTATAGAGGATTTTATCTACTAGGGTAGCAATTTGGAGAGGAAGTGCTAGTGAATCCAAAGTAGACGCTGCCAGTATGTGGATATAGGCTATCTCAATGCTGAACGCTCGATCAAAAACACATTCTAGGAATGTTCACTTTCCAAGATCACATGATCTTACCTCTATATATCACATGACATGGTCCCATGGCCTAAGGCAGAAGCGCTAGGGATTCTACTCTGCCTGTGTTGGAGGAGGAAAATGAAGCTAAATTAAAGCCGTTCGATAGTGTGTATGCTGGCCATCTTGAAGTTGAACGCTCGATGATAAATATTTTATGGTGTGTTCACTTTCTCACAGTCGCATGATACCTCTGAGGATGACAGGTCACCTGACTCTCGATTATGGCCTCAGGTTATCGGTAAGACGGGCTCTCCGGCTGCTGCGATCTTCCTTTCCTCTTGCTTATACTCTCATGCTCCTCCGTATTCCAAGTTCCCGAGTCCCAACGCCCCTGCCATCTATCTCTACAAACTCTACTCCCGGTCAAATCCCCGGTTGACAGGTGCCAGCTCGTGCAATTAGCCTCGTCGACTCGGTTCGACAGATCATGACCTGGACCGTGGCTTGAGCCGGGCCTTGCCATTGGGCCGCGGGACTCTCCGCGCATCATCGACTCGGCTCAGGATACGACTCTGTCACTCCCCGGCGTCATCGCCCCGTCAACCTCCGGAGACCTGTCCTTTGTGCACCATGATCATATCGCTCAGCTCTCATTTTCTCTTTCTTGTCTATCGCGATGAGCGACGCGACACCGAGCCACCAGGAGTTGAGCGGAATCCTGGCTGTTGATGTGTCCCGGGTGTCTCGCAATTGACCCAAATCACGCTCACCATGTCTCTGCTACATGTGCGGGCTGTTGTTCCCTTCGAGCCCGGGGCCAATGCCACCGATGTGCTGATCAATGAGGCCCATTTCAATCGCACCGCGCTGGACTACTATCACTACACGCTCTACAGCAATGGGACCCTCTCCAACGGCTCACACTGCTTTCTTGCCTTCGATGCATTCCACCCACAAATGTACGTCAATGGGACGCTCATCAAGGGCACATCCTGCTACTCGCCCATCCGGGATCTCGGTAAACATGCCTCGATCGGTCTGGCATTTGCCCTGATGTTTGCTATCACCCTTTTCGTCACGCTCATGAACCTGCGCAAACATGGCCGACAATACCTGCCCTTGGACCGACGGTGGACCATCATGGGTCGTCGCTGGAAATGGATCTGGATGATCTTCATGGCCGCATGTGGCATCATCAGTTGCATCATGAGCGTCGACGTGGACCGGGACTATATCGTGAGCATCCCGTTGATCCTGCAGAGCGTGTTCTACACTCTCCTCACGCCTGGCATGATGGCGGTAGTCTGGGAAGCAGTACGGCATTGGTAAGTCTTAGGACGAGGATGCTCCGCGTCAGTAGCCAAACTCACCGTGATTTTAGGGGCTCGTGGCAAGAACGGCAGATTTACGATCGGGATCCTTATGCGTTCCAGAAATCTAGCACCCGCGAGGGACAGGAATTCTTGCTTCCGATCATTTTCTACGCGTGTACTATAGTGAACTTTGTTTTGACTGTCCCGCGCTCGTGGTCACCGATTGAGATGCAACGAAGTCCCGAGCAACAGAACTTGGAAGCCAAACCTGCTGCCACAGATGTCCGATGGCGCACTGCCGGCTTCGTGGCTATGGGTGGTGTCTTGGTAATATGCTACAGTCTCGAGCACAGCATCTATCGCTACCGAGCTCGACCGACCAGCACACTAGGCCAGCTCATGTTCTACCTGAACGCCGCGCCATCTCAGTTCCTTGTGGCGATCGCACTCCTGGGTGTCAGGATTGGGTACTCCATTGCCGCGGCCTTTGACTGGACAGTATCCCCGTTGAAATACGGCGTTGATTCCGGTTGGATCTACGGCCTTGGATACACGCCTCCCCTAATCCTGCTCATTCTTTTCAACACCTGCGGTCTCTGTGAGCTGAATGAGGATAAGGCCTTGATCGCGCAGCGCGGCGATTTCGAAAACGCTGTTGCAGATAATATTGGAGTGGGACAGAGAAAGCCCAGCTGGTGGAAGAAAGGCCAGTCCTTTGTCCGGGAAATCAGTGATCAACGACGACACCGGTCCACGCAGGGAGAGGAGAATGACATGAATAGTTATGTCGAGATGGGAATTATCAAGCCGCAGGAACAGGCGCGTGACTCGTCGCAGCCCAAGCCAGAGTCTTGGGTAGCAACCCGTACGGCCAGTCAGGGCAGTGAGTCAACCGCTGTGGCGCGACCAGATAGTAGCTAGCCCTGATACGATCCAACCACATATGGAATATGCTGTGCAGCCGGGGTACTTGTCCCGGAGCTCATCGGGTGAGGCAAGGGTCGTACTCGGTCATCCACAGACAGAGCGAAGCATGTTGGACGGCTGAGTCGGGCTGGTAAGGGATGGTGTTTCCAAGGGCGGCGAACGTATATAGTCCGAGGGATACGGATGTATAAGAGGTTGGTTGGACACGAGTTATGAATAGTTGATGATACAGTTAGCAAATCACTACGGTACCAGACGTTAAACGAAGGATAGTAAAGAAATTTCAATCTTCAATCAAGCCCCTCACGAACGCTGTGTTAATTAACAGAGTACTCGTAGTTCACCACTTGCCCATCCTCCGTATGGTCACATGACCTGACCCATAAACTGTTTTTTGCCCTGTTTGTCATGTTTGTCCTGTTTGCCTCATCCATCTCCAACGCTTGAAGCTCCCAGCGCGAACTCACCATCAAGAACCACCCCAACCACCAGACACCCAGACAGACCCATTGTCTCGCGCTCCGCATCGCAAGCCGGTCTTGCACCACCTCATCTGACGTCCCTCGAATCTTATCCACCAACCACCCCCAAACCCTCAACCGCACCAACACCAGCATGGACAGCGAAAAGCGCAAATACGCCGCCCCCGCCGGCCCATCCCCCGACGACGACGCCAGCAAGCGCCGAAAGGTCATCGGGCCTGCCCTCCCACCCACTGCAGTCACAGCCGACCACGGCGACAGCAATAGCAACAGTGATGACAGCAGCGACGACGACGACTTCGGACCCAGCCTCCCACCCCCAGAGGGCAGCGTCCCCACGCCGACCACCACCCCCTCCGCCCCGACACCCGCAGAAGACGCTCCGAAAGCCCCCCAACGCGACGCATGGATGCTCGAACCCATCGACGGCTCGAACCGCTCCTCCCGCGTTGACCCGACCAAGCTGCGCAACCGCAAATTCCAAACGGGACGGGCGGCCAACGCCACGCCCGGCGGCGGCGGCGTTGATGTCTCGTGGACGGAAACCCCGGAGCAGAAAATGAAACGTCTTCAGGATGAAGTGCTGGGTGTGCAGACGCGGCCGGCAGCAGGAGAGTCGGGGCCGCGGGCCGCGGGGTCGTCGCAGCCTTCCCGGGCGATGCAGGAGAAGGTCCGCAGGTATAACGAAGAGAAGAGGAAGGAGGAGGCTGCGGCTAGGGCCGCTGAAGAGGGAGAGAAGAAAAAGAAGGGAGAGGAAGAGGAGGATGATCCAAGCAGTCGCGCTTTTGATAAGGAGAAGGATATGGCGCTTTCGTCGAGAATCACGCATGCCCAGCGGAGGGAGATGATGAACAAGGCGGCCGATTTCGGGTCGAGGTTTACGTCGGGGAAGTTTTTGTGATCTGGGGGTATGCTCTGCTGATGTGACCTTGGGGTGGAATCTTGGGTTGGTCAAGTCTGGCGCTTTTGGGCGACGGAGTTGCAAATGCGTTCTACGCTCGTTACTTTCTATGCCTCGGACTTGGTGTTGAGAAGTATCGAGTTTCCCATCACGGTCATGGTTTCGCCAAACCAACATCAAATGCGCCCGCCCGTGTCCTGGCCATTGCTTTCAACGCTCATAAATGGCTATACACTTGATCTCAACGAGGAGCCTCGGGTTCGGTAGCTCCTTGACGCCGATGGTCGTCCGGGCGGGCGCATCGACCTGATTGGGCCAGAATCGATTCCACTCTTCATTCATGCATGCCCTGGTAATCGCGAGCCAGATCGGTCAGAAAGACCATCGCATCGACCACGTTCCGAATGCCTCGTTGCCACCTGTGGCCCCGCGGATTTTGGTATCGATGTTGCGCAGGACGGAAGCCGTCTGCTGTCGGATATCAAGAGACCCCGTACCATCCGGGTGTTCTGTCACATAATCCCAGGTGCCATCGTCGCGGCGCGATGAGGTGCCTGAGTCATGGATGGTTTGGAGAGATGACGATGCAGAATGGAGGCGGGCATGAGGTTATTTGGGCCTGGATATTGAAGAACAGGCGAAGCCCCGAGCTGAGCGTAACTTTATATCGATCAATCGATCAGGTCTGGATCGGATAATGATCCGGCGGATGACATCCGGCTGCGATCTGTGCCTGGTCCGGATCGCGGTTCGGCACCAATTCCAAGCATTATTCACCCTCTAGCTATTGGATACTGTATAAACTATAAAAATAGATTAATATTTACTTCCCCTATAAATCCGGCCATCAAATTCCCATTCAACAGTTCTGGGCCAAGCCCCTCACGCCATCTGATTAGGTTGCCAGGAACCATCTAATCAGTGATCCGTGCGGGGTCAGCCGTCAGCCGTCAACCAACTCCTCGTATGACCGATCGATCGTCGTCTTCTCTCTCCCCCTCCCACCTCTCCCTTCCTCCTACACCACTCAACCCTCACCCTCACCCGCACCCTCATCATGAACCTGCGACAAACCACCGCCCACAACCTTTCCACCTTCCGCCATCACTATGTCTCCGAGATCTCCGGCTCCCTCGGCGACCTGGGCACTTTCCTGCCCATCGCCATCGCCCTGGCGGTGAACAACACCGTCTCCCTCTCCAGCACGCTCATCTTCTCCGGCATCTTCAACATCCTGACGGGCCTCTTTTTCGGCATCCCTCTCCCCGTGCAACCCATGAAAGCCATCGCCGCCGTGGCCATCGCCCGCAACTTCACCAATGGTGCCATCGCCGCCGCCGGCCTCTTCGTGGCGGCCTTCATCCTGCTTTTCACCGTGACCGGCCTCCTCACCCGCTTCTCCAACGCCATCCCCATCCCCATCATCAAGGGCATCCAATGCGGCGCGGGCCTTTCCCTGATAATCGCCTCGTCCAACACCCTCCTCTCCTCCCTCACCTGGCTCTCCCCCTCCTGGGCCGACAACCGCCTCTGGGCCCTCTTCGCCTTCCTCTCCCTCTTCGCAACAACCGCCTACCGGAAGGTCCCCTACGCCCTCCTCGTCTTCCTCCTCGGCCTCCTCTTCGCCCTAATTCTCGCCGCCCAATCCTTCTCCCTCCCCTCCCTCACCCTCTGGCGTCCCTCGGTGACCATCCCCTCCCGCCACGAATGGGCCATCGGGTCCCTGGACGCCGGGGTCGGCCAGATCCCTCTCACAACGCTCAACTCCATCATCGCTGTCGTCCACCTCGCCCAGGACCTCCTACCCGACCACCCCTCCTCCCCGCCCTCCACCACGACCATCGCCCTCAGCGTCGCAGGTATGAACCTCCTCGGCTGCTGGTTCGGCGCGATGCCCGTATGCCACGGCTCCGGGGGCCTAGCCGCACAGTACCGCTTCGGGGCACGCTCCGGCGCCAGTGTCGTCTTCCTGGGCGCGTTCAAGCTCCTCGTCGGTCTGTTCTTCGGGGAGTCACTGGTGGAGCTTCTGAAGCGGTTCCCGACCGCATTGCTCGGTGTCATGGTCATCGCGGCCGGGTTGGAGCTGGTGTCTGTGGGCGAGAGCTTGAATACGACCGGCGCGAGGGATATCTGGAAGGCGGCGGGGCGGACGAATGGGCTCGTTGGCGAGGAGATCGGGCCCATGTTGACTGATGTAGAGAGGAAGAGGAGGTGGATGGTTATGATGGTTACGGTGGGTTTGTTGGTCGGTTTTAAGAATGATGCGGTGGGCTTTTTGGCTGGCTTGTTGTGTCATTGGGCCTTTGAGATTCCGGCCCTCGTGGAGGGAGTGAAGAGGTGGTGGGCGGAGAGGAGGGGTGGGGTTCGGTTGGAGTGAGTTGACTAGTGGGTTGGTATTCCTGCCCTTTTGGAGTTTATGAGGGGATGTGGGTTCTGGATGTGGATGTGAATGTGGGCTACCCTGTATATATAAAGGCTTGGAGAGTGGTTGGAATGTGAATGATGAGTTATGAGTTATGTGGAGGTGAAGGGTAGATGTATATATATAGTATAAGCCTTCTGATTTGAAAGGGGGTATTTGTGACTCAGTATATAAGTCTGTCCAGCTATTCTATCGCATTCAATTGACTTGTTAGAGGTTTTTTTTTTTTTTTTTTTTGGCTGGCCGGTTTTGCCCGAGGGCCTGCGCGCCTGAGGCCGGGGGCCCATTTCGTCGAGGAACATCCATCCCTCTTGTGTCTTTCTTCCCTCTTCCCTCTTCCCTCTTCTTCCCTCACACTCCCTCACACTCCCTCGCTCGCTGCATAGCCTCCAAGTAAGCCCCCCCCCCCAAATATCTCCCAGGCAGATATACCCTGGCTCGATGATTGTCTAATTTGATAAGGAGAAGCAAGCAGGGAGCCATCCGATTCAAGGACATACCGATGGTGGGTGATGGTTTGGCGATGAGAGCGTGAGACTTTCCTCCCAGGAACCAAATCGCAAACGTGGCTATGGTGTCCGCTATTGGAGAAACCGAGGTAGCTCGAGCTGTACCCTAGGTCAAGCTACGGTCTTATCACACCTCAGCTTGATGGAATGGATGGTCATGAAGATTTCAGGGCCACCCATGCTTGAGCTGTTTCCCGGCGGCTGGAGATACCCTTAGGTATCACCTTCAATTCTACTAGCCTGACCACGGGTTCGAATGCGCGAAAGTTCATTTTTTATTAACATTCTCATTATACTTCCAGTTATGTTGATTTGATCAGCTTCCCACCACGCCAGACATGAGTGACATTTCGCGCATCCGAGACCACCGTTATATTGTCCAGCGGACTTTCCGCGAGAGCAATGATATCTGCATCAAACCCTTCCCTCAGCTGGCCACTCCTTGGTGCCTGCTCACCCAACGTCAGTGGGCCATTGGCGGTGGCGGCCTCGATCGCAGCCAGTGGTGTCATGCCTGCTGCCACCGCATACACTAGCTCCTTGCCATTGCGGCCATACCCCATTGCGGGATTATCTGAGCTGATGAATTGATCCGTGCCTAGAGCAATAGGTACACCGCGCTTGACTGCCAATTGGTACGACCTCTTGTGTGTGTCAGCGACCTCCAGCAATTTCTGGTAGGAGCCTGGCGTGAAGAGATCGCGCATTGCCAGCCCACTCTCAATAACACTGCGAGTCGCCACCAACATGGCCCCCTTCTCAAGCATCAGCTCAATCACCTCCTCGTCCAAGAAGCTGCCATGCTCAATCGTGCGGCATCCCGCGCGGAGAGCATTCATGATTCCGGCCTTGCCATGGCAATGGGCCGCCACTACGCGCTTCGCCCGAGCAGCCTCGTCAACGATTGCTTTCAGTTCTTCGAACGAGAACTCCTGGTGCTGGGGGTCGTCGATGGCACTCACGACGCCGCCACTCGCGCAGACCTTAATGACACGGGCGCCGTGTCGCAGCTGCTTGCGCACTGCTTGCAGACATTCTGGCACTCCATCGGCAATTGTCAGGGGCAGGCCATGTGTACACAAGTCCCGCAAGCCCTCGAGGTTGACACCGTGCACGTCACCGTGACCTGCTGTCATGCTGATGGCACTGTGTGCACCGTAGATGGTTGGGCCAGGAATGCGACCCTCGTTAATGACCTTGGCTAGCTCGCAGCCGTAGCCACCAACCTCCCGTACGGAGGTGAAGCCTGCCATCACAGTTGCATAGAGATCAGGAACACTGCGAGCACCTGCTAGCGCTTGCGGGGTGTTCACAATTGCGTCCATGTTCGCTGCTGTGGCTCCAAGGAAGTGGATGTGGCAATCCCACATGCCCGGCATTATGACAGGTGTGTGTGTGGTGACAGCATCGCGGTACTCAGCTGGTACATTCGACTGGGGTCCAGCATAGAGGATGGTGCCCGTCCTCCAGACGACAGTGCCGTGGGGAATGGGTGTGCCCCGGCCAGGGATGAGGAGGTTCGCATTGATGCGGTAGAGGGTGCTATCTGTCAGAGAGCGATGCATGGTGAAAGACAGGGGAGGAGATTTTAGTGAGACACTGGCAAGGATTTCTTCCTGGCTGAAGTGGGAGGATATATTGAATGCAGGGGCTGTCAAGCTCGGACCGTTGAGCGTTTCGGCATTGCTGCGTTCCCACAGTGGCACTAGACCCCGAGACTCGCTCACTCATACGATAACTATTTTCCCTGATGGCTACGGAGTATACTTCCATCTTACCAGACCAGAAGGTCGAAGCGAGCTTCCTTGCAGCCGGATCCGGCATAGCTGGGGATATGGAGTCAGACAGGACACGCGTGCCGGGCCTAAGGCAGGCCTAAGCACCCTAAGGCAGACCGACACAGCCTAAGGCCACCGCTAGAGCGGCTAGCGGAAATGCCATCGGCGGGTGTCCAGACAAGCCTCGGCAGCGGGGGCGATGAGACAAGCCCTAACAAACTTAACCATCCATGGCCAGATGCATGGCGGCCACTTAATATCGGATCGAGACGGTGCTGAAGGTCACTCGGCCTTGCTGGCTGCAGGTTAAAGAGGTACTCCCTCCGCCTCCTCCCTCTTCCCTTCTCGTTCATGCAAAGGAGTCTTCAGCACCCAAATTCCCCATCATGGCCACCGCTGAAAGTACCGCCTCTCACCCAACAGAGGACGAGAAGAGTCTCGGGAAGGGTCCCGATGATTCCGTCCAACTGCTGACGGAAATGGAAGAAAAGACCATCATTCGTCGGATTGATCTGTGCCTGCTCCCACTGATGTTCTGTTCGTATCTACTGCAATACCTCGACAAGACTACGCTGTCATATGCCTCTATCCTGGGACTCCTGACTGGCACGGTATGTTGCTCCTATCCAAGTCGAACCCCACCTAACCTGGGCATAGCACTTGACCACAGATCTATACTCCTGGACGTCCAGTGCCTTCTACTTTGGCTACCTAGTCGCATCCTACCCGGTCTCGCTAGGGTTTGTCAAGTTCCCGATCGGAAAATACCTCTCCATCATGATGTACGTTACCGCCCCCTAAATCCCATCCGACAACCGACTAACCGATAAGGATTCTCTGGTCCATAATCCTAATCTGCCACGCTGCGGCCTCCAACTTCGCCGGGCTGGCCGCCCTCCGAGTCCTGCTGGGCGTCTTTGAGAGCGCCATCAGCCCCGGATTCACCCTTATCATCAGTATGTGGTACACACCATCCGAGCACGCCCTGCGCAGCTGCGTCTGGTTCGCGGGAAACGGCGTGGCTTCGATCTTTGGCGGTCTTCTCGCCTACGCCATTGGACACATTGAAGACAGCCTGGGACCATGGCAGTGGCTCTTCATTATCTTCGGCCTGATTTCTCTCGCCTGGTCCGTCTTCCTATTCTTCACCCTCCCCGACTCCCCCCGCAACGCCAAATTCCTGCGCCCCGATCAGCGCGAACCCGCCTACTGCCGCGCACAAGCATCCCAGAAGAGCTATCAAAGCCGGGAATGGAAAAAGGACCAGTTCATCGAGGCGTGGATCGACCCAAAGACTTGGTTCCTCTTCATCTACAACTTCATGGTCGCTCTGCCTAATGGCGGAATCACCAACGTAAGATTTCCCCTCCCCCCCAAAAACAGCAAGAAAAAAAAAAAAGAAAAAGACACAACCCCCTAACAAAACCCACAGTTCGCCAGTCTCGTCATCGAATCCTTCGGCTTTAACACCTTCAACACCCTCCTATACACCATCCCCATGGCCGTGGTAGCCCTAGCCTTCCTCCTCGTCGCCGCCCTCACCTGCAACCGCTTCCCCGGCCTCCGCTGCTACTGGATAATCTTCACCCTGCTCATCAGTCTGATGGGCATCCTGCTCATGCGCCAGCTCCCCACGGAAAACAAATGGGGTCGTCTGGTCGGCGTGTGGTTCGTCGCGGTCTTTGGCGCCGGCTGGCCCCTCAGTCTCAGTCTGATCTCGAGTAACTTTGCCGGGTTCACGAAGAAAAGTACCGTCACGGCGCTGCTCTTCATTGGCTACTGCGTCGGTAACATTGCCGGGCCGCAGTTGTTTAAGACTAACGAGGCACCGAGATATAGTGTAAGTTCACGTTCACGTTCACGTTCACGTTCACCTTTTACTTTTATTCTTACGTTTTTCTTTTCCATTTCTTATTTTTTCTTTTGTTGAACTTTGATAATTTGTTTCTTCCATGGCTGTGTTGCTTTGTCCCCGACTGACTGACTGACCGACTCCTTTTTCCGAATAGACTGCCTTTGCAGCGATCCTGGCTTGCTTTTGCCTCGGTATCGCCGATGTCATCCTTTTCCGCGTGTACATGATGTGGGAGAATAAGCGGAGAGATCGCAAACAGGGACGCACGATCCAGCCCGAGTCGCAGGAGTTGGAGGATGCGGTGCAGGGGTTCGCCGGGACGGGCGATATTTCCGACTGGCAGAATGAGAACTATCGGTATTGTCTGTAGACTATCTATAGACTACTAGAAAATAGAGTCTACGATGGACGGGATCGATCGAGACATGAATAGTTAGTCGAATTTAGATAAGCATAATACAATACCAGAGAAAGACGCAAGATAGATTAGATAGTGAAATACGGAGGAGTACATAATGATAAATTAGGGTATATAGCAGGGCGCACATGTGAAAAAACACGCAAAAAAAAAAAAAAAAAAAAAAGGGAAATCTGTACGGAGTACTATCTAGCATCAATTATTAAGCAAAACTGGTCTGCCATCCCAGAAACTCCAGGGCGAGCTCCCACTCAAAGCGACCGACCCGCGGCCTCTCCCCTTGGGCACCTACTTTGCGTCGTTTCCAGAGGAGTTCCACAACAGTCTGGGCCCGCAGGATGTTCTCGTAGGGGGCTTTCTCGCGGGCAGAGTGAAACAGGGCCAGAGCGCGGGCTTTGTCGGAGTCCGAGGCCCCGCAGCAGGAGGCGATAAAAAGGGGCCATAGAGGCCAGGAGATCGGGAGATAGTCGACGGTGGAGACGACCGCGCCAATCAGGGTGAGCATGAGATCGACATGCCGCTGCTTCTGCGTGGCGCTCAAGCCAATGTCAGCTTGACTGGTGTAGCCCAGGAAGGCCGGGGTGGAGGCCTCCGAAAGGAGCAGACAGGCGGCGAAACTGTAGGATTGGCTAGTGTACTCTAGCAGACGGCATCTACGGGCGGTTTCGGATGAGTATGGGAGTTGGCGCAGCGATTCGGGGAGTTCTTGTATAATAGTGTGCACGCTGTCCTGCAAGGTGGCGATTTTCGTCTCGATGGCCGTTCGTTGTTCGGCTTGGAAGGCAGGCGACTGGTGTAAGGCCGCGACGTCGTCTTTGAGGCTTAGAATATCGTTGATGAGTAGGAGTATGCTGTTGCTGACCCCATTCCACATGTCGATGTGGTGGAGGGTGTCCGGGTTCATCGCTTTAGATAGTGCTGCCGTGGAGGTCCAGAAGGGCTCCTCGGTGCTCGATGGTAATGCCGAGGTGGGTGAAATATTGACAACAGGCAGCGCCTTGTCGATGGGGAAAAGTGACTTGGCTAGAACAAGGTGGGCAGAGAAATAGCTAATGAAAAGCACTGGCACACTGCTTGTCCTGTGTCCGCGAACCATCTGCTTGATGAACAGCTGGAAGCAGGCGAAATGCTGAACCCAGGTGGCGTCGCAGCTTTGGGATATCTGGACACAGTCAATATAAATAGCCTCAAATACTTTATTGGCAGAGTGGATGAACGTACAGCTGAAGAGCAGATGAATATAATTGGCACCAATACATCAGCCCAATCCCACGTTTCTCTTGCCAATGATGCTCGTAACCCTGCAAGCACTCTCTGCCGAACCTGTATCTCCAGGACTTTAAACCGGCTGTCGATCGATCGCAAATATTGCGCACTGGTCATAAGAACTGCGCAGTATGCCAATTCCGATCTAAATACCATGCGCATCACCGTACCGCGCAGTGGATTGTTGTGCTCATCGTCGACGGTGACGGCCACGGCGCACATCACTGAGTTATAGAATGACAAGCACACATCATCGGCATCGGGTATTCCAATACTCCATGGCAATTCCTGGGGGGCGATTCGAAGCAAATGGGCCTTGTTCTCTTTCCAATGACGATAGCGATTCTTATAACCGTAAGTAGTTGCAATTGAACGGGTAGATGCAGATGTAACGGCCCGCCTTGGACTGTGCGAGGAGTGTGGAGTGAGGATCAACATAGATTTTTCATGACAGGCATGATGGTCCTTGTGTCGGGTCCGTGTCAATTTTGAAAGATCCTCTTCTTCTTCTTCTTCTTCTTCTTCTTCCTCATTTCCCCCCTCTTCATTATCTTCCTCGTCTTCATCATCTTCTTCGTCATCATCATCATCGTCTTCCTTTTCGTCGTCTCCCTGCTCAGATTGCGTACCTGGCGACGAACTCTTCTTCAACCCAACACCAGCCCGCCCATGGCACTTTCCCGCCTTACGCATATCATCCTCCCACCGAATACGGAGTTTGTAGCTGCAGCGGTTCTTCGATCGTTGACAGCGCATGCATATCGGACGAGCTTCTGAAAGCCGCGACCGACCAGCGGTACTGTTTAGCAAAGTGGCATGTAAAACATGGGGTTCCCCTTGACCCCGAGCCGAGAGGGAAGGAAGCACGCACCGTCGCACTTGACCCGTCTCCGTCGACACGTAAAGCAGCCGTTGCGGGACCGGATTCTAGGCTTGGGTGTTTTCGGAGGCGGCGGGTCTGATTCGGAACGATTGGAAATATCGGAGTTCAAGGACCAGGAGATGAACATCTTGCTCGTTTCCCATGCGTTTGTGGCTCTCTGCCGCTATGCTTGCCAGCTTGGCCAGATGGAACCACCTCCCAACGGAAGATAATGAGAATGTAAAGCCTTGGAGAATCTCGCCGTGGTGGGCTGAGATGACCTCGATGGAGACACTAGAACGGGGGGGGGGGCGCGCGGCGATTCCGTCCCGTGCCTTATGACAGTCATCATCGAGGCTAATATCGAGGGCTGGCCAAGATTGGATGGTTACCGATCATGGTGAAGACCATCGAGGACGCTAAGCGGCTAGGGGCATCTGATGCGGGCCCTAAAGGAAGGGCGACGTGTTGTGATTTGCACTCATTTCCGCTTCCTGCGGGCAGCCCTAAGAACGATAGTACATAGTACTAGTCTAGTGGCCAGTCATTCTTTCTCCTCCAGTCAGCCGGCCGTTGGACAGCCGGCTAAAACGGGGCTTCCTGCTATGTTGCCACTAGCATGGTGGTAATCTTTGGGCTCAATTGTTCAGCAGCGCTAGAGCCATTATCCGGATCCCCGGAGGATCGGCACCCACCTCGAGCAGGGATGTCATCCTGGACCGAGTGCTAGAAAACCTTGGTTCTGCGGTGAAATTTCGTTTGATTGAAGGCATGGGGCCATAGTACTATGTGGCCATTTGCTCTGTGGATAACCCTGACGCCATCCCCACCCAATAGTCCCTTTTTTGCTGAAGTTCTCCGCATCGAGATGCACCGAGATGGCCCGTCTCGCATATTGCTGCCTGTATCTACTCCGTAGCGAGTCCGGACTTGCGGCCAAGACATCTTCTTTGGTCGCTAGTCCATTGCCGGGATGACATTCCTCATTCCTGGCGTATCAGCCCCTGTAGCAGATGAAAAAGTTTAGCACCTGTACGATCATATACATGACCCTACCTATATCTAAACAGACCCGTGCCTGTCGGACCCCCGGGTGGCTCTTACCGTCGGCGATCTATGCACTCCAGGACATGTAGGCCATCATGTCGAGCTCAGATGAGACCGCCACGAGGGTGCCGGTGGTGATTGCGGGATATGCTGTCCCCATCGCCGGCATGGTGTTGACCACAGGTTTGCGACTGTTCGTCAAATTCACCGGTCCAACAGAAGATCGTTTTCATGCAGATGACTATCTGATCACTTTGGCCACGGTTCGCTGCCCCTTATACCCCTTTGGGGACAAAACCGTCTAAATTGACGATGTTTCTTGTCCTTTGTTAGATGTTGGAGGTGGCATACTGTATCGTCATGTTAGTAGTCGGTCAGTCGAGTGCCCCAGCGCTGGCCTAATAAGATCCAGACTAACATTCTTAGGCGTCGGTCATGGATTTGGTAAACACGCCGGTACCTTATCAATCCACGACTTGGAAATTTTCCTGAAGGTACAAGTCGACCCTCGCCCACGATCCTCCCCCACGATCACTGACTGACACGTTCGCCGCAGGGTGACTATATCGCCAGCCACCTCTACAATGTCGGACTCGCGAGTGTCAAGCTCGGCATCCTCGCGTTATACTACCGAATCTTCACCGTCCCCTGGTTCCGCAAGATCGTCATGGGCTGTGCGGTCTTCGTCTGCCTGTGGATCGCCACAATTGAGATATTCATGGGTCTGCTCTGTCGGCCGTTGAGGTCGTTTTGGAACGTCAGCATCAAAGGCAAATGCTTCAACTCAACTGCCTTGACATACTATATCAACACATCGAATATGATCACCGATATTATAATATTCACTTTGCCCATTGGAGTGATTCTGCGGCTCCGTACAAGTAAACAGAACAAGATTGCGTTGTGCGTGATCTTCTCCATCGGTTTCGTGTGCGTCATCTCCCACTCTGTGTTTATATCTCTTGTGATCATCACTCTAACACCTGTCTGCTGTATAGAACCTGTGGAATTAGTGCTGCGCGGCTCGCCTTCGTCTTCGCCCAAAGCTCGTCAGACATCACCTGTGCGTTCCTCCCTAGCCCGCCCTTGCAAACAAAACTAATGTCCTACCAGGGGACGGAGTGGACCTTGCCGTTTTATCTGGCTTCGAATCTTTCGGGGGGATTCTCTGCGCCAATCTCCCCATCATCTACCGATTGTTTAAACAAGCCGCCCAGAAAGTCAGCAGTGGAGGATCGTCTGCTCCCAAAACCACCCGTGTGCAATATGGTCGCGAGTCGACCAACTACGGGTCCCGATCCCGTCCTCGTCGAACTCGACTCAGCGATACGCTCAATGAGGAGTGGATTCAGTTACAGAACGGGAACTCCTCCAATGAAAGCCATTATCCGGATGTGGATTCGACGTCCGAGCTTGCCCTGCACAAGGGTGTGGATATGGAGACGGGGACGGAATTGGTTCGTATTTCAACCTCGACTCCACCAAGTAATGCCATCACTGTCCAGAGGGAGTTCCATCAGACGGTGGAGACTCATCATGTATAGATGCTGTACCTGTATAGCGGTCACTCGTTTGCGGTATTTCTTATGTCAGATCATAGAATTAGAGTTCCCTCACAGCTCTTAGTTTGTGTAGATTCGTGAGAAGAAGAAGTAGATAGATGCCGTAGTAAGTATGGGGGCGGCGGATATCCGACCATGTGGGAAGCTAATGTCGATGGCGCTGCACTGATCAGATCCATATTGGAGTCACAGGTTCTGATACATTAGCCTTATTGTGAAATCCCGAGTCTTACCAGGATTGTCATTTCCATTTTCCAAGTTGTCAGGACTGTATATTTCCTCATCCTGAGCGGCTGCGGAGGGGATGACTCCTTTTGCCGCAGTGGTATGTTGTCACAAGTTGATTCGACAAGCGCTTAGCACTAACATCCTCACAGGCTTAATAGCAAATCTGCAAGCCAGACAATGGCGAATATGATACAATCACGAGGCCCTCAGACCAAGAAATTAGCCTATGGCAGTGCCTCATCTCAACGTGGCTTCGACCCTCATGAAAAATGGGACAAATACAAATAGCTAGTTCACGCAGTTGATATCGTTCTCGAATGAGACGCGATATCTAATCTGGGTCCTCTGTATAGTGCTAGGGTGTTAGTAGATTAGTAATAGTGGTGGAGGAGACCAGTAATCAGCTGATGGAAAAACGCGGGTCTTGCCTAAATCTGGCATTTCACACAGAGTTTCCAGCCAGGCTAACCGCAGAGGAGGTTATATCTAGCCCACTAGGGAACGACCTCTGTTGTTGGGATGCGTATTGACTTGAAGGGACAATGAAAGATCGGTGCGAGTAAGAGCTGTAGGCTGTTTGATTAGGCGGAGTGCCAGCCCCGTGCGTTCGATAATAGTGCGAATTCTGATGCCAATGTAACTCAGAGACAGATTGTGTGACATCAAAGCATGAATAGCACAGTCCTTGAGTAACACCAGGGGGCAATCAATTAGCCCAACCTTGTTGAAAGCCAGATGTGTGGGACCAACAGCTAGGAAGTGTAACCAATGTATAGCCTAGGCTATCTTTGCAACATCCAAAGCACTTAGTGATTGGCAATTGCCACGTTATATAATTGCCCCAGTTGAACACGTCCCAGCCTTATGCTTTTCAGACTGCTTGGCAGAATACACTGCGAGCTTTCATTTCCTATTTGTTTGTGGAAGGATACGGATACCCAGCAAAATTCCCAGTCCCTCAAGACTCTTGTTAGAGTCCAGGATGTTGGCAATGATGGCATGGATGAATTCCCTTCTTTATGCCGTAGTTGTCAGTCTAATAGGACTGGCTGAAGCGACTGCCACATCGAACTTCAAGATGCTGAATCTAGGCATGACATCAGAAAGCGGACTTTCATACGAGATTGGGCACGCCACCTATTTTGCCAACTCGAAATATCCCAGAAAGAACGTCGAATTAGGGGCGAACACACACATGAAGACAGATAACAGTGGATTCACGCCAATTACTGTGATCGTGGCCAACGAGAGTCAGGTCACAGCAAAATTCCTGGACACGACAATCGCCAACTATCTTTCCGGGGACGACGTTTTCTCGACAGGCTTTCTGAGCTCGATTTATATCACATCCCCACGATCCAAAGTTACCATCAATAGGACAGCTCTCGAGTACATGAACCAAACTGGCGTCAGTCAACTCTACTTAGATTCGACAGCATTCAAAGACATCCCGGATCATGCTATTTCAGTCCACAGCAAAGTATATCAAGGGCTTGCGCCCGGACCCTACACGGCGTTGATATCAGCGAAAACGGTCAGCTTTCTGGATACCTACCGCCTGTATGGAGACACCTACCGCAACTTCATTACCGGAATATATCCGTCGAATGATGGGACAGGATCGTTTGTTACACTACCATCAATGAACCCCCGAGTTTGGGCACCCATGATACCGGTCCCAAGTCGCATTTACTCCTGGAACGATTCACGGCCACTAGCGGGCAGGAGAGTGGCCGTTAAGGATATTTTCGATATGAAGGGGCTCCAAACATCAGGAGGTAGTCAAGCTTGGATTCAGATCACTCCCATATCAAATTCCACAGCCCCGGCCATAAAACGCCTGATCGACCTGGGGGCAGTGCTAGTAGGAAAGTATAAACTTGCCCAGTTCGGGTCTGGGGCCAATCCATGGGACTGGACCGACGAACAGTATCCATTCAACCCTCGTGGAGATGGCTACCTGACATGTTCAGGCTCATCATCGGGAGGAGGTTGCTCGGTAGCCGCGTATGACTGGCTAGACAATGCTATTGGGACCGATACGGGGTCATCCATGAGACGTCCAGCGGCAGTATCGGGCACGTTTGGCAATCGGCCCAGTCAAGGGATGATGACTCTGGATAGAGCTATACCGGTCAGCTGGGGCCAAGATACTGTTGGTGTTTTCGGCCGTGATCCAAAAGAATGGGGGAAATTCGTCAAGGCCTGGTGTATACCGGACTTGTATCAAAATTCCTCGATAACAGGCCTGCCTCCTTTATCAGTCCCTGACACACTGGCATTTCCTCGCCGTATCCTTTATCCGGACGAGTACTTTCCCATGAAAAATCCTTCAGCTCAGACTATCTTCCAGTCAGCCCTCACCCGCATGGCTGATCTCTTCAACATGAGCACTCACCATTTCAATTTCAGCAACACAGTCAAGTCTGCGTCCATTTTTTCTGATACCAAGGCTAACTGGGCGCGTTTAGCCAACGACACAGTCTCCTTGAACGTGTGGCCCCAGTACGTCGCCGTAACCCGACCCCTACTCTCGACCTGGGCCGAACGCGATGACGGACGATTCCCGCCAGTCGATGGCCAGCTGCGGGCCCAGTGGACCCAAATGGACAGCTCCTTCAATAGCCAAAAGGCATATGACCGAGCATTAAGTTCCAGAGCCAAGGCTGTCGAGTGGTTTGAAAGACACATACTATACCAGACGAATAAATCCTGTTCGGAATCTCTGATTGTCTGCGATGAAAACACCGGTGGCATACCTAGCTTCCGGGAGCACGATCCCAGCATAGGGCCCAACGCGACTCTTTTATCCAAATATCCAGAGGGTGCCACGATACCTTGCTATGAAATCTGTCCTCTCTTCGGGTAAGTCGAAATCCGATGTGAAGTGGTCCCGTCACTGAGTCCTTTCTAGCTGTGCGGATGTGACCATCCCTATAGGCCAGGTTCCGTATCTCTCGCCTATCAGCATGGTAGTCGAGCAGTGGCCGGTGAGCTTCAATCTGATTGTCCGCCGCGGATGTGACTTTGTGCTTTTGAATATGGTGGAGAAAATGGCGGAGGCGGGGATTATCAAATCGGTGAAGACCGGACGGACGGCATTCTAACCAGAGAAGAAGTAACAAGACAGCTAGAATATGGTAGTCAGTATGGGTACTTTGAGATGGATCCATCAGCCATGGCATTTTACCTTCTGGAGTTCCGGCTCCTTGCTCTCTTCCTGTCTTTTACATATGTTCTAGGCTCTCAACCCGGACAAATGCCAGCTGCATCCATTGGTCCAATTAGATACAGAGTGAGTGATGTTCTCCGCAAACCATTGTCCATTGTCGCCTTTCGTTCTAGGGTGCTCTATGATTCATTGCCTTCGGATCGTTAAAATGGCCTGCTTCGGGAATAGTGTATCACTGCCTGCTGATGGACGGATTGATGTGAAGTCAATACCGAAACTATACCGGATGGAAAGAATAAAGAAAAAGAAGGAGTAAGGAGAAGAAGAAAGGGGGGAGTGAAGAGGAGTGAAGAGGGAGCAGGGAGGAGGGAGGAGGAACTTAGAAGAAGGACACCAGGTGCCGGTACAATGCCTGAGGATAAACCAAGTGACTTCACACCCACGTGGAGGCTTTGGCATTTCTGGAGCAGAGTCGAATGGTATTATTTAGTTCAAAGTAAGAAGAAAAGGATTGAAAAGAAAAACATAGCCATTCAATTAAAATGTTCTAGTCATCAAGATAAAAAAGGTGAAAATGAAGGAAAAATCTATTCAATTGTATTGTGAAGACATGGCCACTGTGGTATGGTATAGGCAGGATGCGGAGATACAAACCACGCAAACACATCTGGTGACTGTGAAGTCACATGACCGTCGGGGATGGGCCGGGGCGAGGCTCGCAAGAGACAAAATTTCTCGAGATAATTGAAGAGCCGGACGACGAGTACAGCGGTGTGGGATGGGATAGCAACACTCCTGAATTCGAGACCACCATGGACGATGTCTATACCGCGTCTACCAGCTGTCAGAGTCAGAAGTATCCAAAAGAATAACCAGTGATGATAATCATTAATCATAGTCCACCATCCAACACCGTCTCTAGAAAGCACCAAATCACTCCCGTCTAATTCACGCGAGACAAAATCTACGACTTAGGTGGCGGAGGTGACATCCACCGCCCGTCCTGCAGCCAGACTCCGGTCCCGCCGTACTTCCCCGCCTCAGCTCCCTTGAGGAAGGCAAACCGGAAGAAGAGGTCCTCGGGCTTGGAGTCATCGGCCAGGATCTCCATATCCATATCCAGCGGGTCACTCTCGATGGTTGGTCGGTGCTGCAGCTCCAACCCACTGTGCCCGTGTCGATGCCAGATGAATTCGCCACGCTTGTCCTCGTCCAAATAGCCTCGCCACCGTTCGACATCGTTGACCAAAACCGAGATACCATCCACGCCCAGTTTGGACATGCGCTGATGCTCCCAAAGGTCGAACGTTATGTTGCCATTCCCATGATGCGCCTCATGGGAGCCCGGACCTGGCAGAGAAATCGATACAGAGGCATCGCTGACATTGGGGTAGGTTCCGCCCCACCAGCCGTGCGCTCCGCCTGGGCCCGGTGCTTGCTCGCCCAAGGCAGCAGGCGTTTCAATGATTGACGCGAATCCCCATCGGGCTATTCCGTTGATAAAAAGACCAAGGAGAAGTCCTTGGTAGATCAAGGAAGGCCGCGTCGGGAATGCTGTCCCCGGCATGAGAAGAATCGCAAGGATATAATGGTGAATCCGCAAGCGGAGACCGGGGAGTGGTAGCAAGATCAGGAGGATGAGTCCCATGGTGCAATATATCTTCAGATAACGAGGCATCAAGCCCCCCTGGCGGATTTGCCAGGCCTGGCTCAGAATGATACAGATCACAGTCGGGATTACCAGGGCCAGGGCTACCTTGGCCCCAGGTTGCTTCTGTATATCATTGGGAGTGAGCCGCTCCAAGGGGATCAGCCTAGCGAAAGTGTAGTTGTTCAGGCCGCCAATGAACACCGGCGGCAGGAAAAGAAAGGTCTTGGTGAACTGGTACATCGGCTCAGAAAGCGGAGTGAGGAGCGGTCGGGCGCAATAGATATAGAGAACGTAGGCCACAAAAGACGCCGGCAACAGTCGCGAAAAGAGCGTTGAAAAAAGGTCCGCCAACTGGGGCATCGATGGCGGATCGGAGACTAGCCCAACCTGGCAGAATACCATGACGAAGGTACTGAAGAACAGGACCGGCGGGGACGTGCAGAAGAGCCAGAGAACGCCCACTGCGCCGATTGTGATGCCCAGTAACGGCCACCGGGGGTCTTGGGGGCACGTCGCCTCCGAAGAGGACATCTCGACGAAACCAAACGATTTGGGGAAAGTCGAGGGAAATCCGACCGAGCGAATGCCGTGTCGCTTTGATGCATGGAAAGAATGCGCAGCACCTTCCAGCTTTACCACACCACAACCACCGACCGAATTGGTTATGACACCGGCATGAATTGCCGCCTGGCAGACAAAACTATCTGCTCGATAAACGCCTGGATCATCCGAGCCCGGTTGTGGCCCTCCTACCACCAGTCCCTGGTAGCTGTAGGTCTGGTTACCAACCATATGGGGGTCGAGCAGCTTGGAGTCCCGGCAGTTCGCGGGACAACGGAAGGCGACGGTCGCCGCAGAGAACGGTCGGCAGTCGTTCCCATTGAGCCCACACTCATTGCCAGTTGCCCTGTGAATCACAGTCAGCATGCCTCCGCCAAGGGTGTCGGGCAACGTCACTTACCAAAGACTCGTCGAACAAGAGAGAGTCTGCGGTCGCCCATAACCTTCAATATACCCGGCCTGCCGCGAGTGTAGTAGAACGATCGTCCAGGGCAAAAACCAGACGAAATAGAGCAGTGCCAGCAAGGCAATCTTCTGCTTGCGCTTGGGGAAGAAGCGGTTCAGACACCGAACAGGAAGCTCTTGGTACCGGGGAAACAATGGCCTCAACAGCAGGGACTGGGGAGGATTCGGACCCTTGACCCAGTCGGCTACTGCCCAGCCCACCTTTCGCAACGGTAACGGCACCCATCCCCAGCGAATCGACTTGGATGACTCCCGTAGCCAGACGGGGAGGTAGGGGAGGGCCGCTTCTTCATCCTGAGGGCGGTCGGATGCGTCGGGATCGGCGGACTGATCCTCAGTGTCCAAGAGGGGAGGAACATAAGGCCGGGAGCCGTCTTCGGGGCCTTCACCCAGCATGCTGCAGGAACTCCGGGGTGAACAATCGAGCCAGCGATGGGAGGATGCAGGAAATCAGTCAAGGTGAGGAACGACTCTAAGTGGGGATGCGAACGGTGGAGGGATGTTCTAGAACCCGACCGGAGAGACCCCTCACAGCCGGTGGAAGGGAATCACGGTCTCGAAACCGGCGTCTTGGGAGCGATCGAAGCCCAAGACTCTTAAGGATAACGACAACAAAAGAAGAATAGAGCGACTGGATAGGCGGAGACAGGGGAGAGGAAGAAGGGGAAGGGAAGAGAAAGGAAAGACAATAGAGGCGTCCGTTAAGGTTCCCATCCTGGGGATTCCAGGTCACCCGGCAGGTGGCGGCTGGCACCAATCAGCGGCGCTTATGTCAGCCCACCCTCCTCCGCGAGGTTCCTGCTGCTGCTGCGGCGATTGTCAAGGGGGAGAAAAGCCGCCCGGTGGTGGCGAGACTGGGGGACTAAGACCAGCACATCGTCAAGTCAGGTGATCCGGTCAGAAAAGGGTTCAAGGGAACCGCAGCGGGTGATCGGACGACTACTGCGTTAGTGTGTCTAAGCGTACCAAAGGGCGATCATCGTCATCATGATTGATATCTTCTATGAAAATTGTTATTCTATGCCACAGTCCCCTACACACATGCTTGCACATACAATGTGATATGTCTTCTTGAATACATTCAAAGCCCAACCTTCCAAGTGTTGCGTTCACCTTTTCTGTAGCTGATTATGCCATGATGCTATGAGAGCTGCCTCTGTTGTTGTCATGTGTCAGCGGTGCCTGAGGCTGGCGCCCGCCAATGACCGCCCTCCGCCGCCCTGCGTGGCCTGCGGCCTGCAGCCACCACCTCTTTCTCCCTCTTCCCTTGCGAGGTGCTTAACTGATCACCACGTTTCCTGCTATCCCTTCCGTCAAGATCATGACATTCAGGCAGGTGTCAGGAATTAACCAAACCTTTGACCGATGCAGGGTGCCAGGGAGATGCCCAACCAGTCCCCACCCAAATATCCGACTGATTTGCAGAGCCGATCCGGAATTCCGTGGTGGCGCTTACGACCGCCTGATTTGCACGTCTGTGGGGGGCTTGGACCCTCGCCCAATTCATGCTAACCTGCATTGCTTGCACCACGTTCAATTCATCAGTGATGGAACATTGCCCTACAGATCCATGAATTCCCCTCTCTGTGCCTCACCTCTCTCCAGCCGATCCAAATAGTCGCCCACCTTCGCGGTCATCGTCCCGGTCTCATAGCCGAAGAACTTGTACGCAGCTTTGCCCGGTAAACTATGCCATCCGTTCGGTGCATATGGTCCAATTACCACAGCTGGAATATCCTGATGGCGTCGCAACACTTTTCGCTTGTATTCTACGGGCTGTTGTTCGAACAATCGCTGGCATGGGAAAGTGATCACTCGGGCCACGAAACTCGCGCAATCCAAAGTGAATATAGCGGCTGGAATGATCGCCGTTCATATTGCATGTTCTACGTAACTCGGGCTAAACCTGTCAAGTATGGTCTGGCATGCTAGATGGATAGAAAGGTAATACTCACGTGCTGAAAGTCAACCTTTCCTGGCCAGATCATGTTTACAGAGGGACTCAGGTCTGCGGTTTACAACCATGAACAACTCAATATGCTCGGCAAGCAGATTGAATACTAGTCCCGAAGAGACTCTCGAGGCGGTTAGCTTCTCAGGGAAGCTAGATGGGGTGAGATCCTTGCAGTACGGGGGCAACTCTCCGCATAGTCTTTATTGGAAAGCCGCTCCAAGCTCCGGATATTCAGTGTTATATTGCATCAGACCATAAAGACCACTCGGCTAAAAAGGTGTCCAGACACCTAAGTAGGTGTGATACTAAATGATACTGGGTTTGACATATTGGCATATCAGATCATTCCACTGATGAACCAGGGACTCCCCGCGGACAGGTAGGTCACGGAATAATTCGCGAACTACCTCGCCAATGAAAAAATGCTCTTCGGGGTGGAAACCGTATCTCTTCATCTCTGCGACGTCTGGAGCACCAAATGCTGCACCGTGGGCGACTGCCATTCCGTCCACCTTACTGCCTAAACCGATGACGGTTCGGACATTGATAAAGGTAGGTTTATCCTGACAGGCACGAGCCTTCTCCAGCGCGTGGAAAATACCTGCAATATCATAGCAGCCATGCTCAACTTCAATAACATCCCACTCACAGGCGCGCATCTTGGCATTGATGTCTTCTGTGTTGGTCAAGTCGACTAATCCATTATATGTGATCTAGTTATTGTCATATATAACAATCAGGTTGTTGAGCTTCAGATAGCCAGCACAAGAGATGGCCTCCAATGCAACATCCTCCTGCAGACACGCATCACCCACCATGCACCAGGTATGGTTCGAGATAATATCATACCCAGGACGGTTGAACTTGGCGGCCAGGTTCCTGGTGGCCATAGCAAGACCCACCGCATTTGCGACACCCCGACCCAGGGGGCCTGTGGTGAATTCAAGGCCCTCGTGCTCAATCTCCGGATGGCCAGGACATAATGTGTCAACACGGTCAGATACGGCTTTAGCTGGCCTAAAGTCATAGCCTTGTATCCAGTGAGGTGCAGGAACGTATACAGAAATAGACAGGCATGACCGTTGGATAGGTCGACACGATCGCGGTTAAAATAGTCGGGCGTGTCAGGTGCATATTGCATAACATATCGCCAGGGCGCGATTCCAATGGCGGCAATCCCAACCACGCCTCTGTCTTTGTCAATCTCATCTCGTATCTTTCACTAATCATGAGGTTTAAACACCTACCCAGGATGGCCTCCTCCGAACTGTTGGCAAAGTTCAGAAATTAGAAGGCGGAAGGTCCTCAGCACATGGTCATGGTCTTTGGAGAGCTGGAGCATGAGCCATGTGAACGCGCCATGTCTTTGTGAGATGACACCGACAGCCGTGATTGCGACTTTGGTTTTGGGGGACAAGACATGGTGCTAGAGGGCATGGGCTGCACTTATAAGTAGCAGGCTATCGGTGATAGAGACGGAATTCTTATTGTTTACGAGACACTCCGGTCGAGAAGACAGGGCAACTCTAGCTGCGGAGAACTGCATCGTGTTGGCATTGCCCTCATCCGGAAACATTAAGCACAAATCCCGGATCGGGTAGCTGGACGCGCTGGGATCAGGACGGGCGAGTTGGCTCCGCAACAGTGGCTTGACAGCTAATGCTTGGGAGAGAATCGATACGATCTCGACCCACTGGCAGCATTCTCCGGTACGGTTAAGTATGGGGCAAAAAGGCGGGGAAGTTCAATCAGGGGACAGTGCTTATCAGAATGAAACACTGCTGACATTGTTGTTATTTACTTCCTGCTCGGGAATTGTCTGACTGCGACAAGACCGATGCTGGTCTCGAGATAACCCCCAACACTCCCCAAATGCCATTGTCGATGAGGTCGAAGCGACGGTGTGAATAATTGGCTGCTAATACAGGGCCTTGGACGGCAGCCTTGAAATGATATATCATGGGCATATTAGCATTATTCGAAAGGGCTTTCGACCCAACCTCATGGAATAGTATATATATTCAGCCCAGAATATCATGCATATACTAGCAGAACCTCTAAATTTCCAGTTCCATATCTTTATAAATCCTGGAACATTGAGCCTTTTCCCTCCGCACCCAAAGCCCAATCCAACATGATTCCCGGGGAAAATCCCCCCACGGGTAAGTAAGTCCAAAAAAAGAAAGCCAGCCAGGCGCCGATCAAAACCCAATTGCCATCCATCGGCATGGCCCTGCGATGCGAAGAACAAACGTCATTTTCACCAGTTGGTATCCAGAAAGGGCTGAATCTTCTCATTCGGTCATAATTGAACGCCCCGTGGTACAGCCATTCCTTGGCCGAGCGGCAAAAGGCCACATTGCACCATCTTTAAGTTGCATTCCCCTCATTGATTTTGTTAACACCACAAACTGGAACTGCGCTGAGGGTATATTCACTCACCTATGCTACTGGGAACACTACTAACTGCCACAGGACACAGGGCCCAGGGCCCCGTAAACCTGTTACACAAGACGCGACACAGTCGCCACACGCGCCGGCCGGCCGGGCCTACGCGGGCATTGTGTGCCTGAAACCTGGAAAGTCGCGTGCGGAGGTGAATGGTCTCCTCCCGCAACCCCTGGGTTAAGACAAGCTGCTGGATTTACTCCTGCCGAGGTGGCTGCAGGTGCTTCCAAGAATATACTCTACTAATTTTGAGCTCTAGACTCGCTGCTCCTGTGTCTATTGAGTCGTCCAGGACGCGTCCCTGCTAGTCGCAGGCGTCAACATGGTCTGATGCTCTTATAATGCACATGGCATGGTGCTGTGTCGCCTGAGTCTACCCGCAAGACCTCCGCCGACTCTCGAGCAAAGACTTCCCTCTCCTCCCCTCCTCAACACCCCGTCTGTTCGTTGTACCGGGAAGGTGCATGCATGGTCCGGCCCCGTCCGGGAGTGTCGAGCCTTTCTGTTGGATCATAACGTCTTGGGGAGAGGAGGGGAGGGGAGGGGAGGGGAGGGGAGGGGAGGGGAGGGGAGGCCACCAGTCAGAGACCTCATGTCGTCTATAAACCCTACCCGGAGGGCTTCATATCGCTACCTGTCTCTCCCTTTCGGGGGAGGTAGAGGATACCAACGCACGGAGGGCTGGGGATGAGCGTCGAATGGAGGTTGTCATTCAATTCCATTCCTGACAGGAGACGCTTGAGCTTTAGCCAGCTATATGACAAGTCAAGACAATGAAGCTCTGTGGGAAAGTACAACAGGCACAGAATATAAGACTGGGATCTCAAAGAACAGAACACAATTAGTCGTTCAAGGAATTCTGGGTTCTCGCTTGAACGGCCTGATTTGGAAGTGGAGGGTCAAACTGGGAGATTACTTACTTCTTTCCTATGGCTCCTGGGCAGGTACTCCGGTTTCACAGAGCCAGAGTGAGATTGATGGACGAGGACTGGGAGCTATCATCTCGCATGGTGACCGCAATGGTGACCATCGACAACAAGCTCCTTCCACGAACAACGGTGGAATTTACAGTGACATGGATCTCTCAAGACGGGCCGGAGCGATTAATGTGCTGTGAGTATAGCAGGGGGAAAGCAAGACTGAAGTAAGACTGAAGCAGACTGAAGCGGACTACAGCAAGACTACAGCAAGATAATAACAAGTCTATAGCAAGTCTATAGCCAGACTATACGAAGGACTTGACCAAGGCTGAAGCAAGACCACAACAAGGCCACAGCAAGACTCAAGCAAGGCTCAAGTACATATTCCTCGAGCCCATTCAAACCTCAGTTCCCGACCATACAACAAAGGTCGATCGGGCTCGTTCATAGCAGCTTCGGCAGCCGCACGATCCTGCACAATCCAACCAGTCAGTATGACGAGAAAACGACAATCAGAAGACAGAACATCCAACATACCCTGAACTGCACATGGGCAACTTTCAAGGGCCCGTTTCCATAACGGACCTTGGCCCAACACTCGCCATACCCGGTGAGCATCTCCTCCAGTTTCTTTTCCAGCTCCCTGTTAGGGGTGCTGGTTTGGAGGCTTGATATTGATAGTCAGTACGACCCATATCATACATATTAGATGGATGCTTCCACTGAGATGGGACACTTACTTTCCCACGAAGAGGCGGGCCTCCACCGGGAAATGCACTTGGGCATTTCTCCTTGTGATGACAATTTCATCATTTTGGTGGCCAGGGGCCTGTTGCTCAGACCCCTGAGCATGGTGATCCACCGGCTGCAGAACTGGCGGCTGAGGAACTGGCGCCTGGGGAGCTGGCACCAGAGGAGCTGCCGGCTGGTGAACTACCGGCTGGGGAGCTGGCAGCCGAGGATATTGCACTATCCAGGTCGGCTGAGGGTACTGAACCCAGACATAGCACTGCGGGCAGTTGTCAGTTGATGATAATCTGGACATTACAGAGCGTGAGGACTCACCATAGGATCAGGATATACCACATATCGGTCTTCTATGTACCACACCGGTGCCGGTCGGCAAGCGGCAACTTGAGATGGGTACTGGAGAATCTGGTTCGCCATGTTTCTACGATGGACAGCAAGAAAGGAGAAGAGAAGCCAAAGGGCGAGAGAGGGAGAAGAGGAAGAAGAGACAGAGGAGCAAAGAAGTGTATAAGGTGGGGAAAGAGAACGTGCAAGCTGAGCGATAACGATAGCTACTTTGAAGCGGCTGTGAGGTTGTCTCGTCCTGCTTGGAGATGATGTCTAATAGGAGAAGAGAAAGGCAGAGAAGGATGAGAAGAAGAATGGACGAAAAGATGAAGAGAAGAGAGGAGGATAGGGGCAGGGCAGTGTGCAAAGAGAGGTATGTCGTAATCCTGAGAAAAAAAACACGCAACTGACCGGCCAGTTCAACGGTACAGTGACCAGATAATTACAATAACTGAGAAGCGCAGGCCAAAAAAACCCTTCTATACTTTGGAGCAGTTGTCCTGTTTGTTTTTGCTGATGGAGGGGGGGGGGGGGGGGAACTGTCTGGAACGCTAGAGCCAGCTACTCTAGTTCCAGGAAGTATAAAAAAGGAAGGCATACAGCACACAAACGCCCTGATTGGTCGGCAGAGGAAGGTACACATGGATGCCTATGAGTATGATTCTGAGGAATCGGGGTGTAGGTGATCGCCAGAGGAAAGGGCGCCTGGGAGTCCTATCACCATGTCCTGGCGGTATTCGGCCGCTCAGTTCAAGTCAAAGCCCTAGAGAGCGACTGGTATGTTATCCACCATTCTATCAGACTGGGGTGTGGGTGATGTTTGACCCCGAGCACGTTCTTATGACACGGCTCCGCTGTCAAGGATACATTGATTACTGGCTATAGGCAAGGTCGGGCAGCGAATACAGCGTGGATGGCCAGGCGCAGGAAGGAGACAGGGCAGGCTAACCACGGTACTGGGGGAGGTTATATGCTAATACACGTCTTTACAGCAGGCATCAGAAACGGTAATTGGGGGGGGTTGAGGTGATGATTGCAGGGCAAAACGAAGCATACGACTCAGAGTAGGTCATGGATTGTATTACTATTACCGACACAGGTGCTGCTAAAAGCTAAGGAGAAGAAAAGGCTGATCATCATTGCGTCGTCTCCAGGAATATGCAAAACAGGCATGGTATATACTCAGACACTGAACAGGGGGTATCGAACAAGCGTGTTTTCCGGGAACATCACGGAGCAGAATATCACTTTGTAGGCATCCCCAACAATTCTCCCAACTCGTCAGTCGTCAGCGTGCTTCGACGTCGGTTCTGGCGTCCTTTGCTGGAGGATCCCTTGGCTGCCCGGCCTCGCTTTCGACTCTCGCTTTCCTTGCGAGCCTGTTCCGCGGCTCGAGCTTCGCTTTCGACGGCTTCCAGCTTTTCGGACACACTCATCCGCGAAGAGTTGCTAACAGCGGCGATCAGACGTGACTCCCTTTGTTGCGGACTATCCCCCCGACGAGACGGCACCTTGGACTCGGATTTCTTCTTCGACGCCCGGCGTGTCACAGCCTCAGACCGGTGGGCTTTCACCTGCAGCGTCTCGTCGTCCCCTCCGCTAGGCTCGCACGGTGGCTTCTGGAGCCCTGTGGTAAAGGAGACCTTGCGAGGGGACCGTCCAGTCATGATGTTGTCACTTCGCTCTTTCAAGGCTTGGCTAGGTCTCCTGAGTCTCCCCTCCCTGATGGGTGCGTGAGTCTTCTTGGGCGTAGGTGATCGTCGGGGCTTCTCCGGGGCAACTTCTACAGCTGTTTGTTCTTCCGCTTCCTCTGCTTGTTGGTCTTCAAAAATGGGAGACCGCATGCTAGTATCCTGATCTCCATCCTTCGATCGAGCCTGTGTTGTATCCAAGCGTAGATCCAGGGTCATTCCTCTCCGGAGTTCCTCAGCCTGCACTGAGTGGCCTCCATCCGCAATGCGTTTCTGCCATCCATCCATCATCGTCACGGCCTGGCTCCATCTGCCTTCCATCTTCTCCCAACCTTCCCGGAGCCGCTTGATCTCCTCATCCCGCACTTCGACCTCCTCGAGAGGCACAAACGAAGGGTTCGTGAGCAGAGTTCGGAGGTGTTCCAGGACGTGGTCCATCTGAGCCGAGAGCTCATCGCAGGAGGCCGGGAGTGCCGTAACCGAGCCGTGCAACGATCTTGCACCCCCACACTTGCCGCTCCGGTCGAGTACCCATCCTCCTCCTCGGCCTGCGACAAACCTTGTAGGTCCTTCAACGTCTCTACGGTGTTCCGTGCCAGCGAGATGAGGGTGTCGTTTTCGTCACTGAGGTTCTGGCATAGTTCGGTGAGGAAATCGTTCGTCTCCTGCTTCAGGCTGTATCCCGGATCGTTAAGTCCCTCCCCACCCGCGGCAAGCCTCGACCTAGATGATGCTTGACTGGCTGCGGGATTGATGTTGATCGTCGTCGTCGTCAATCCCTCTCGCCTCCCCCGCTGCCGTTCCGCCAAGTGTGACTTGAGCTTCTGCATCTCCAGGTCGCGCTTGCGGATGTCGTTGGCGCACTGGGCCCGGACTTGTTGGACGGTCGTCTTCATACGCTGCACCTGCTCTTTCAGTGCGCGGACGGTCGTGTCGGCACTGGAAGCGTTCGCTTTCAAGGCGCGTTCTTGCGCCTCGGCGAGAGCCAGCGAGCGGGCCAATTCGGACGCCTTGGTCTTCACCTTCTCCTGCACACCCGGTTTGTCAGTCCACCTGGTACCTCCCAGCCGTGATGTTTAGATGGCCGTACCAGTTCCGCAGTCTTCTGGGATTCCTCCGCCCGTAGTGTCCGGATCGTAGTCGCGAGGTTCTCTCGGTGGTCGGCTTCACGCTGCGTCGTCTGTCAGCCTCTTGCGCTATTGACCTGTCGAACGCCTACCCCGTACATCTCTGCGTAGAACCAGGTCATTGACCAGGTTGATGATGCGGCCCATGGTGGCGGGGGAGCCGCCTTCCTCATCTTCGGGGTTGGCGAAATCGATGGGGTGACCGCTCTTTAGCAGACCCCTGGCGAGGAGGACATTGTTGATGTAGGTGGATGCTGCCTGCAGATTCTGGGGCTCCATGGCTTGCCTGCAAGCTCCAATGGCATCGAGACTCCCTGGGTCAGAGAGGAGGGGTGCGACTGTGACGAGGGGCGAGGGGATGGGCCGTTGGCAGTTGGAAATGGGGATGTTATTTTGCGACCGCCCGAAGGGGAAGAAAGTAAACAGTTGCCCGAATTCTCGGGCGACCGGCAGGCCCCACTCAGGCACACCGCCTTATGTCAGCAGGACCCGCCCCGATCGTTATCGCACGCGTTGCTCTTCTCGGCGTCGCGCGTCTCCAGAACTTCAAGTTCTCTTCAATCTTCAATTCTCTCCCTCCCTCCCTCCCTCAAATCCATCCTCGCCTGCTCTATCCAGCATGGCAAAGGTGGTCCGGGGTGAAGGGGACTCCCTCCAGCAGCGAGGTCAGTTGCTCTTCCGACAGGGAAATTTCCAGGACGCGCTGGCTGCCTTCACTGAGGTAAGTCCTCGCCCCCGATAAGGGAAGGGGAAAAACAAGCGCTACTAAGGAATTAACCCACAGGCTCTTTCATGCAAAGGCGCCGATGTCATGAGCATCCTCGACAATCGCGCCGCCACCTACATCAAGCTCACCCAGTACGAGCGCGCCCTCAATGACACTCGCCAGATGATCCGACGCGACACAAAGGATGGACGGGTAGACGGCGCCCCCCTGGCCCGTCCATTTGCGATTCTTGCAGGCTAACGGAGACTCAGGGCGTGCTACGATATGGTCAGGTCCTACTCCTCAAAGGTGATCGCGACAAGGCTCTCAAGGCTTACGGGTACGGTCTGAAGACCTTACCCCCAGATCACCCCCGCCGTAAGGTCAGTCAGTCAGTGAAGCTGGGCTGCGGACAAACCGACCACCAGAATCCACTGACCGGCTTAGATTATCCTTCAAATGTATACCAAGGTCAAGGAGAGAGCGTCGGTAAAGCGACTCGATCCTTTCGACATGTTGCCCGTAGAGCTGGCGTTGATGGTATTGCAGCACTTCACTTTCAGAGAGCTTGCGTAAGTGGGCCTCGGGGATGGACTGGGTCGGTCGAAAAACCACTTGTCTAATGCCTTGAGGCTTCTAGGATCCTTCTTCGCGTATCAAAAGGGTGGCTGCACCTGCTATCCATGCCAGACCTCTGGATGCGATTAGATTTCACTGAAGCCCGGCGCAAAGTCACTTGGCGCTCCGTTCGGGCTTCCATCCAACGATCCCGCGCGATGCTCACCCACGCCGTCATGACCAACACTGCAATCTCCAATATCGACAGGGTTCTCGAAACCCTAAGCCGCTGCCCGAAGTTGGGACACATGGAGATCCGGGACCCTCTCCAGGTACCCGGGCGGTTTATGATCTGTTCAAGGGGTCTGCGCGGCTGAAAACCCTCATAGTTGATCAGGGGACACCCGTCTCACAGGAAATTATCGCAAAGCTTTTGACAAGCCTGCCCAACCTGGAGCGCATAGAAATTTATAATGCCCAGCCATCATACGAGTCAAGCGTCAACTGGCCCTCGCACCTTCCCAATTTACGGAGTATCACCTTCGCTACAGAATCGTGGGTTCCGCCAAATGGTCGGGGTCGCGTATCCGCTCTCTATATTCCCCCAACTATAGTATGTGGCCCAGTCTGTGATACTACCGGACAACTTGCCTCTGTCTGTCTCCGTCCGTTTTACTCACTGGTGCTTTGTAGGAATCAATGCCCTGCCCGCTCCCCAACCTTGAAGAGCTGCGGTTGGACTCGTATCCCAAGGTCTGGGCCCCGTATTATCTCTCATTCGATCCCGTCCAGCTCCCCCGCTTGCGAAAGCTCGATCTAAGAGGGGTGTACGTTGGAATGTTTGGTTTACCATCCAGCCTCGAGCATCTCAGCATCCATGCGGGCGCCGCTCCTACTGGTGACAGCTTTCCCTTCCCTGAAAAAGAACCTCTTCATCTTCCCAATCTTCACACCCTCATGTTCCGCGATCTACTTTGGGTCACATATCGCACCATTCACATTCTACTACAAAATGCCAAAGCCCCCCTACAGAATCTTGTGGTCGACCGTTGCCCGCAGCTGAAATACGAACCGCTCAAAGCTGTCTTCACAGAGAATGCTACCAATCTCAAGGAGTTCGGCGTCCCCCAGGTCCCGGGAATGAACGACGCTACCGTCAAAGGACTAGTGGAAACGATGTCGAACTTGACGGACTTGGACGTCTCAGGCACCGAAGTTACAGGCCGCCTATTGAAGATGTTTGCAGATGCCCGTTCTTCCGAGAGTGCCCTTCCTCGAGTCGAGCGCATATACGTCAGAAAATGTGACAATATCCTTCTCGATGCCATTACGTACGCGCGATCCCAGGGCATCCATGTGGTCCGGTGATCTAGCTGCCTGGTAGACGAACACTGTCCCAGCTATGCTGGTTATGCTGGGTGCATGTGTATTCGATTCGAAATCCTCACGCGCGGTTGACACTTCCGCAATACATTGGCGTTAGGGGTCTATTTTAACTGGTTTCCCCGTTTTGGATATTTTTCTAATAACGCCACGGTACTCTGTATAAGCCGTGAGCCGAAATGCTTCTCATGTCCCTGGGGGACTAGAGAACCCTCGTGGTCCTCCTACATTCCCTGGACCTCGCAAACTCTTATGACGGAAGCGTTACAGAGAAGCAAATCCCATAAGTTCAACGACCCTGATTTCCACCCCCTGCTTTTCCTGAATTGTCCCCCGTTCCTCAAGGGGTACATTTAGACCTCCATATCTCTTTCACTGCTTCCATGGACTGCATGTACCGAAGTGGTATAATGACGCAATCATCCTGGCAATAATCCTCTACGCGGCCGGTGATTGGACTGGACGGCGATCCTGCTTTATTCCATTGCCTTATGACGTGTCTACATCCATCCATCGCACTTGCTGCCTACCCATTACCCATGCCAGGACCTTTTTTTAAATCCTAATTCAGCAAAAGCGAGTTGGCCAGTTACTTGGTTAGAATCAAATCAATGCATCGTCTCTACCGCTACACAAGCCATAATCAAATTCCTCCGTACTTAAATAGGCATACTATACCATACTACCGAGTATCAATGGGTAAATCCTCGACGGCATCTTAATCTCATTCATTCCAGTACTGCATAGCAATTGTTATTTGAACCCTACGGAGCTTAGAGGGTTTGTATGAATCGTGGGATTGGCGGGTCTACAGAGCAGATCACCCAAACCACCCAAACCACCCACACCAACCCCAACCAACCCACGCAGTCCCCCTCCACCACACACAAAACCAAGGACCCTCACTCACCACGAGACCCCTCCCCCCCTAACCAACCATCCCCAGGTAGGCAGAGTAGCTAGCTAGTCCACAACCCAGTTACGTCGTATATTAGAGTTCACCCAGTTAGTTAGTTATATTAGACTTTTACGGCCACTCGTAACAGCACAACAGCAATACCGGGCAGTAACTAGGTACAGGGGGTTTCACACCCACCCACGGAACCTAAATTTTACGCCTAAGGGTTAGGTATAGTAGGTATAGTAAGTACCCTGGGAGGGAGGCCGGCGGCAGTGAGAACCGCAGAAGGGAGAGAAAAATTTTTTTTCACTTGCGTTGGAGCTGGTTTGCATGGTCTTCCTGCCCGGCTCCACGGAGTATAGATCCGGGTTTGGTGGAGGGATGACCGAATACGTTGGGTAGGTAAAAGGGAATTCGATGTGGATCTATTGACTACTATGTAGCTAGCTACATATGGAATCGAGAGAAGTTCAGTCAAGGCCACTTTACCTGGCAAGAACAGTAGGTAGCCAATGTAGAGGGGACTAGCCCGGTAGATTCACACTATATCTCAATAACAGTCAGTATAGATGGACCTATACATCCCACCAACCCTCCAAATAAGTCTCCAAATCAATAGTATCCGGCCGCTTGACATGCGGGGTGAGATCCGCATCTTTCTCCGTCTCTCGCTTCCTCCAGCCATTTCCAAAATACGCAAATCGATTCCCACTGGGATTGGTATGCGTGTAATCCCAATCTTCCCATCGCGGATCTCGTCGCAGGTAGTTCAGAGTCGCTGCACTCCCGGGAAACAACCCATGAACTTTCCCACCTGGCCGACCACCGTTATACCACGACCGACAGTTCTCCTGGCCCGGCGTTGAGTCATCGTTGGCGGTCCAGACGGTGCGCGGATAGAATTGATCGCAGTAGTCGACGAAGTCGTCCGCGGCCGCTTTCGACGGCGCCATGGCTTTGATGCCCTGGCTGCGGATCTTCCGCAGGATCTTGGCGATGTAGGTGATTTGATTTTCGAGGCTGTTTGGCACGCTGCCGCCGTGCCCGGTGGAGTGGGGTCCGCCGATCCAGAGGAGGTTGGGGAAGCCCGGTGTCGCGACACCGAGGTAGTTGTAGGGGAATCCGTACAGACCATCGTGTTTCCAGGCGTTTTTGAGGTCAATTCCATCAGAGATGATAGAGAAGGGAGGGGCATGGTCGACGTTCGCTCCGGTGGAGCAGATGACGATGTCAACGGGGCGTTCAATGCCATCGACGGTGACGATGCCTGTGGGGGTAAACCGTTCGATCGGGGTTTGGATGTAGTTGACGTTGTCTTTGGTCAGGGCTTCCAGGTAGCCGGGGCCTGGTGTGGCCCGGCGACAGTTCGGAGGAAAGTCCGGGATGATTTTGTCCGCCAGGTCGGGCTGGTCGCTGACTCTGGCCTTCATCAACTCGGTCCACTTGTCACGCAGACTGCGGTTTTCGGGGGAGTCTTTGAAAACGGCACCGAATCGCGAGAAGTATCCTGCCTCGACGCTCTTGCGGTAGGCTAGATAGACGTCCGGGTCCTGGAAGGACTCGACTTGCTCTGGGGAGAAGAGGTTTGGTTCCAGTCGACGCACGCCGCTCGTGCCAAAGGAGTCTGCGATCCAGGTCTTGTTTCGCGCATAATGGTCCACGTATTTGGCAATTGGTTGGATCGAAGGCAGGACCTGCAGTCCAGACGCCCCGTTACCGATCAGCGCAATGCGCTTGCCATTGAGGTCGACATCGTGGTTCCAGTGAGAAGAATGGAACAGAGAGCCTTGATACTCGTCAATCCCGGGGTAGTCTGGAAGCTGCCAGGCGTTGAAATGGCCGATGGCATTGATGAGTACGTCAAGCTCTTCTTCGTATCTCTGTTGCTTGGTTAACCAGCTTGTCATTGAGAGACAACTCAGGGATCATACCTCTTGTGAGTCACCCAGATCCTGCAAGGTAACTCGCCACTTTCCCGTCTCAGGCAGCCACACGGCCTGTTCGACCTTCTGTTGGAGACGGAGATACTTGTGCACATCATATTTGCGCGCCAACCCTTGCCAATATTCCCGGATCTCGGCTCCTTGCGCAAACTCCTCTGTCCATTGTGTGTTTGGAGAGAATCCAGACTGATAGACATGCGCGGGGATATCGCATCGCACTCCTGGGTAGTTATTTTCGAACCTGTTCGTCAGCACCCGTGGTCGCTAAGTGATGGCTATCGTGGGCCTACCAAGTGCCTCCCTAGGTTGACTGTCAGCGATGTAGGACGCTTTGATCCCCGAAACGACATACCACGCCGGCGTTCTTCTCGTATATCCGCAGATCCAGACCGGGCAATTTCGCTGGAAATAAGACTCCTGCCGTGACTCCCGCCAGACCAGCTCCTATCACACCGACTTTAATCGGACGGACTTCATCAATTGGATGTTCTTCGATCCGAAACGCTGGACGACTGTCCCCGTTGGCTTTGTGTGCCACAGCCGGTTCATCAATCGGCAATCCAACGGGCTCCGTGGAACTATGCCCAGGGCCATTCGGAGAAACAAATCCGGGTTGGATAATTTGAGGTCCCTTCACAGCTGCCATGGTTGCGATTTGGGTTGTTGAAGATGGACTTATAGCTACGGCTGGTGGCGACCAACCCTGTCGGTATTTAAAGCGGCACGCAATGGAGGGGGAAGGGAGGAGGGGTATGAGCTTGAGCTGCAGGACGAGTGGCCCCCTCTTCGGAGCCGATGCACGCCATCTGCACCATATCTGAGCTCACGAGTGGCCCTGGAAACCCTCCGCCAACCTGGATGGGCCACGGAAATCACACCATTGGCGGCGGCGATGATGCGACGGCAAGGGAGAGGGAGACGTGGCTTATCTCGTTGGAAACGAGTCTGGTTGGAGGTAACCGAGGCCGTCCAGGCAGGCAGGATGGATTGAAAAGCCCGACTTGAGTGATAGATAGATAGGGGGAATGGCAGGGATGCGACGAAGCGATGAAACGCGACCGCGCGGGGGATTCAACGATCCTCCTGCCCAAAGCGGAAGCCCCCCCCGATCGCCCGGATTTATGTCGTGCCGCGCCCCGGAAGTGAGGCCATCATCAGGCATCCAGGCAGAAGAAACACCATCGGAGATGCCCCGATTCCAGTCCAAGAGATGAGATCAGGACTTCGCACCACGGCGGGTCTTGCGTTTTTTGGTGGTCACAGCACTCTCGTCCTCGGGGCCATCAACGCTCTTCTTGGCATTCTGTGGACGACGCCCCCGTTTTGTACCCGTTTCTTTCCTCGATGGATGGCTAGAGTCATCCGCGGTGGGATCCTCCTCTGCGTCTGACACGGGCACAGCTTGCTTCCGGAGTCGGCTAAAGGCCTTCTCCATGCGGGTCTGGCCACCGGCACGGACACGAGGTGCAAACGCCCCTGCCCCTAGAGGCCCACTAAAGAAACTGGTGATGTTGGATTGAGTGCCCTCCTGTTCCCTCTGATTCATATCACGAATCACGGGTAGGAGGATCTCATCCGTCCGCTCCTGACTCCACCCGACAGTGGACATGAGAAAGTTCCGTAGACCGTGTAAATCGGGGACACCCCATTGGAAGGACGACGGGTCCGAATCGACCTCGGGTTCCAGATACGCGACGTCAACCCGGGGATCGGGAAAGGACGGAGGCAGGAAGAGCTTCGCGGCCTGCTTCTTGAACTTCTTATAAAAGGCGGCATGCGCATCGCCGTCCATATTGGCTCCCATCTGCACTTGAGTCCACCAGTCACGGAATTCTTCCAGGGTCGCGAATTCGGTCAGCACCTCCAACGCCGTGACAGGGCCGACCCCAGGTATGCCTTCTGTATAGTCGCTTCCCAATAGATGGGCCAGCCGGATGAGCTTGCGTCGGAACAGAGAATACTCTTTCTCCAGGTCGGTAGTCAGGTAGCATTCAACGAACTTCCCTTGGTTGAACATGTTTTTGTAGACCCGCGTGCCTCCAAACAGGAAGATATCACTGTCGTCAGTAATGATGCCATCGACGAGGCCCAATGAGACTAGCTCAGCACACTGCGCCTCGGCTTCCATGGGTGCAGTGATGTATGGAAGACCAAATAGCTGCAGCAGTTGTTGGCATTCGGTGATCATCACCTGTGATACCTCATCGGCATCTCGCCGGTCCTTCTTTTGCTGGAAACGCAGCTGCTTTAACTCTTGCTCATATTCGAAGGCGGTTTCAAGATTAGTCGTCGGATTCAACGTCGCAGCAAAGCGTACATGCTCTTCGCCTTCGGCCGCAAGTTGCTGAAGCAGATCCGCGTCTTCCGGATCTGAAAATTCCTCCTGGTCGATGTATTCCCCTGTAAGGTCTATCTCGTCTGATACTGTCGGCTCCACCACAGGCAACGTGTCGTTGGCCGTCTCTTCACCTGCATGCGGCACGACATCCTCAAATTCAGGTGAAGGCGATGCTTCAAAGCGCGCAGTATCTGCTGGAGCCTCGAGTTGGGACTTGGCGCTATCCTCCGCGATGCCTTCATGAGCTTCCGTGGGAGTGGTATTATCCATATGGAGTAATTTTTTGTTATTCTCGGGCTCGATCGCATCGTTTTTGGTGGGAACTGTCTCTTCCGCGGGTGGGGCTTTGCGCATAACCGGTGTGTCCTGAGTAGCCATATTACTTACCTCCTCGTCAATCTGTGGATCCAAGTCAATGATTTCCTTCGTATCAAGCGGCTTAACAGCTTTCTTCGACGCGTATTCATCTGTCTCATTCACGAAGAGATGGTCAGGTGTTGGATTTGTTCCATGCGGCTTCTTCGGTACATCATCGACAGCAACCCTATCGGCAGCAAATTCGATGCCATTAGGCCTCTCTGCTTGTTTAGAAAACCATGGCGGCAGCTGGATTTCCTTGGGAGGTTTTGCAGGCTTTGTTTCCTTATCAACTTCACTACCCTTCTGGTTTTGGTCTTTATCCTTTGGTTTCCCACCAAAGGGCTTTCCAAGCTTGAGTGACTCGAAGGGTAACGGTCCATCAAAGGAATTTTTAACCATCCTCGATGGCTCTTTTTCCACTCTTCTGGACTGCGCAAGGGCTGCTGAGAAGTCCATCTCTTCATCGTCACTCTGATCGAGATCCAATTCACCCTCACCTGGAGGCGGCAGAGGGGCATGGTTGCGGTTTATTGGGATTTCTGGTAGATCAGTGTCATCGTTGCCATGGGCTTCCGTTTCAAGAGACATCGCTATCGCTCGTTGGAGCCTCTCGTCTTCATCATCCCCACTGTCATTGAACATATCGTGGACTTCGTTGCGGTTGCGGTTGTATAGGCCACTTTCGACGAAAAGAGAATCATCACTGACATCCTGCAGAATGGGGCTTCTTCCTCGCACGTCGTCAATAGCCATCCCTCTGCCGGTACTCCCACGCATCTGGCTTCTAACGGACTCATCAAGCACGCCTTCCTGAAGAAAAGGTAGCCTGGGAAGTCTGTTGAGTCCTTCAATCGGCACATCTTCAAAGCCCCCATCATCGTCATCCGACGCATCGTCTGTGCCAACAAAGACTGCTTCCTGACCGTATTGATCGACGTCAATGGGCTTGTCTTCTTGGCCTTCTTTATTCCCCACAACACCGAGCACCCAGCCTCCTTCGATGCTGTTGTCTTTGACTAGCACATATTCTTTGCCGCGCTCTCCGGCGATCCGCTGCCCCGATTTGTAGAAAGCTTCCTCGCCGTTCATACCATTGATATTCATCAGTCGTTGAGTCAAATCATTCCGCTCCTTCACCCGCTCAATCTGGAACTTCGAGAACGCCATTCGATCGGGGAACATATTGTCCAGTTGCTCCTTTGAGTAGCCCATCCGTAGGCGGCTTCTGAGTCTGGCCGCATTCAGAATGTTATATCGGTCGGTGGCGGGAAGACTCATAAAGAACGGGCCATCGAAATCAATCTTCGAGAAGTCGTAAAGATTGACCTCCTCGCCCTGGTGAAACTGTTTCGCGTATTCCTCCAGCTCGTCTTGGGACATGATTCGTGGATCATTGGGAGCCCCCATTTCCTCAAACGAGCCATGCATATCGGGAAGATGATAGGCGTCTTTCTTTCTAAACGAACGGTTCTGGCTCTTTTCCTTTTCAGTCATGAGAGCTTCGTCAGCGTAGACGGGGTTGTCCGGCACCTCCTCTTCCTGCCTCTCAGCGACACCTCGTCGACGGCTCGCGGCTTCCTCTTCGGCCGTTCTTTGGAGCTGCACCGCCAATAATTTCCCTGCCGTTCGCACTGCATCCTCCCGTCGGCCTTCCCGTCTTTTCTTTCTGCCCGCTATCGTCTGTCGCTTCAGCACCGGGGCGCCCCCGTCGAACACGAAGACTGGCTTGATTCCGAAATACAGAAGCTTGCAGATACGACGGAAGAAGCCGACGACGTGAGAGTTGCGGAGTGCATTTCCCTCTTTGTCGCGTACGGCTTTCAGGAACTGATAGATCCAGATGGAGGCATCCACCGCCAGACGTTTTTTATTGAGGGTCTCTAGCTTGATGGGCCGTGCACAAGGCTGGACGACTGTCCAGAGGCCATGAACACCCATGCTGCTCTGGCAGTTCCAAGATTATGGGCCAGAAGACCCTCGCTGGAGAGGCGGAGAGGGCAGAGTGCACCTCAATCACAAACATAAGGCCCGGAGATTATAGTATCCAGTTCGCCAGTGGGAAGATGCAATGGGATGCGCTCGGAGGTGTCAGCGTTTGGTTGCCACTTGGACGACGCGAGAGGCGCGATATCACGTGCCTCACTCGCAGCCACTTTAACCGCATCCGGACGTCATGTGACTATTGCATGTGACGTGTTATGAGTACCCACGTGACTCCGTGGCTGATTGGCTGATGGGGGGTACGGAAGGACCCTGTTGAAGTATAAATCCTGGGTATTGCTGGTTTTCTTTTGTTTTTCTGTGCAGACGATGGTCGGCAGTCGGGATTGCGAGGGGCGAGGGGGGTTGGGGACTGGCATTGATTGCAGGCATTGCAGGCATTGCAGGCATCCAGGCATCCAGGCATCCAGGCATCCCCGGAGCTGCCTGGATGCCTGCAAAACTCGGCATTCACAGCCCGACCTCGTGTTTCCCTCTGCCTTTCTTTGTCCAACTTCACTTTCATCCCTCCAGGCACCCTTCGCCTGCTCCTTCCAGGCCAAATCCGGTCCTCTCACCCGCCTGTTCCCTCTGCTGATATGATTTCCTGGACTGGTGACTGAATTCTCCTTCCTCCCAACAACAAGGTCCCATCATTCCGGATCAGTCAGAATCGCTCTCCCCTCGGCATCCCACGGCATCGGCAATTATTCGGGCAGATATGGCGCCTGTCAACCTGCTGGCTCGTGTTAAGACTTTGTATTCAAAGGGCTATAGTAAGGGAAAACTGTTCCCGGTCCCTCGCATTGTGTCTGACTCGTCTCCAGATGAACCTGCCATTTCGCCACAGACGGCTGCCTTCTTTTCGGTATGCATTCCGGGCATCGGCACGACATGACATCTGCCCCATTTCCCATGCCTTCAACGCAACAGCTGACCTAGACCCTAGGTATTTTTGACGCTGGTCTATGTGGTTCCATTTTATGTAAATTCAACGACCCGACCGTCTCCGACTCTTAGTCGAGATGCGCCGTCTGTTATCCGGGCTAGAATCAGAGCCGTGACATCCTCGTGCATTATCAGCACCCTGGCTGTGCTGTGGCTCATTGTCGGCCAAGATGACACATCTCTCCCCGAGGCTCTTCATTCCCTTGGATGGTGGCCCGTCAGTCTCGCGGACATCTTGCGCAGCTTACTTCTGACGGCCATTCTCTTCTCCGGGCCCCTCTTCGAGCGTGGCATCGCGGAGGGCGAATGGAGAGAATGGGTTCGAGGAGGCAGAGTTACGGCTGTGCTTCGCAGCTGGATGGGCTGGAGAAACTATGTCGCGGTACGCTTATCCCATTGTCTTGCGTCGATGGCATTTAGACTGATGGCCGGTCCCAGGGTCCGATCACTGAGGAGGTCATGTTCCGATCTGCCATCATTCCTCTCCACCTTATTGCCAAAGTCAACCCCGGACGCATCGTATTTGTGGCTCCACTTTATTTCGGAATCGCCCATGTGCATCATTTCTATGAGTTCCGCCTCACTCACCCCGACACATCGGTCATTGCGGTATTCCTGCGATCCATGTTTCAGTTCGGTTACACCACAATATTTGGCTGGTATGCCACGTTCCTATATCTGCGCACAGGCTCGCTGCCAGCGGCCATTCTCGCCCACACTTTCTGCAATTGGTGCGGACTTCCGCGACTGTGGGGGAGAGTCGAGGCGGGGGTGCCCTTTGCCCCTCCGTTCGCAAAGGGCAAGGATGATTCGGACGGATCGTATGGTCAGCTCGGTCTAGGCTGGACGGTCACGTACTACCTGCTTCTCGTGGGTGGAGCAGTTGGCTTCTACTACGCCCTATGGCCTCTGACGGACTCTGTTCATGCTTTGGCCAGCTTTTCGAGCTCCTCTAAATAAGCTTAATATGGTACCATTCGGCAAATAGCTCCCTGGGTTATTCACGTCACGGCCTTCATACTTTTCACATCTGGCTTACTCTTTCCTTTTGCGTATCATGGATCTGCGATATACACCGTTAATATTACTGAGACCCGATCCTGCACAATTAATGACCTGCACTCTCGTCAGCACCTACCCTACGATCATGTTTTATACTACTTTGGTTTGTTACTATCTACAGCTGCACAATTTTTCTTCAATATGAAATCTTAATCCCTTCCTCCACTTTCACCCAAGTGAGATATACTCCCCACAAGAAGCACTGCACCTTTCTCGCAATTATAGAAAGCGTAACCCCCTCAAACTCTCTACATACTACGAAGCAAGGCCGTAAAAAAAGCATCACATCTGATTAACCCCTTTTCTTGGGACTAGGGACCCCAAAACACATAGACATTAGAGTTAACCCGACTACGATAGCCAGAGACCCTTGCAGAACTGCAGCAAATCATGGCACTATCGACCCCCTTTCTGGGATATTGCAGCCTAGAGAACGGAGTGGAGTCCATCTATCTATCTGGAAGACAACCCTAGACACGGATAATACATATCCATACATGATACTATGGAGTAGAAAGCGGCTCATGCGTTGTGATGTGATGTGATATGCCGAATTAGAGGCCGAGATGAGACATCTATACTTTCACCTTCCCGGTGAAGGAAAATAATATCATATTTGAGTATACGGACTACTGTGTGTTAAACTAGGGCGGTTAGTGGTGCTGGTGTGTGTGTTTTTCAGCGTAGAATGGCGTAGCGGTCAATAATTCTCACGGGATTAGAATACTAATTGTGTAGATAGGTTGTTTGTGGAGATGCATGTTATAACAAATCACTGGGATTTCAGTTCTTGGTTTTACTCCCTAGTGGTGGTGGTGGTGGTAGTGGATATAGTGGGCATGTGGAGTGATGTATTGTGTGGTGTTGTGTTGTATAAGGAAGGGCAGAAATTTATGTTCTTTGCTGCATGATCCACTCCCATATCAATGGCTAGATAGCTTAGATAGTACTCCGTACTCTGTCGATAGTCTCCCTTGGATTGTCCGATTGTGGTGTTTAACCCTGGGTGGATATCTGGGTCTTTAGTGCTGCGCGTACGGAGTATCTACACCGAGTTTGCTGAATAAGAGAAGGGAGTGAGCGATAAGAACTTAGATATCCCTACTTATTGCATGCATATGCATTCGTTGTAAACACTGAACATTCAACAGAGTGTGCGTAGTGAGTGTGTGCTCACTGCTCAGTATGTGCGCAGGTTGCAGTTTGCAGCTATCTCCGCCCTTGCATGAACCCATCCCACCAGACCAGATGATGGGTCGTGAGTGCGTGCCAAATCACTGGGCAGCAATGCTCTAGTATCTGGCTTTCAGCCCGCACGAGCCAGGAAGGGGTAAAGTGTATGGACCCGAAACTGTCTGCAAGGGCGGACGATCTCAGCCGACCACTGTGTCCCCGGGATGGGATGGGATGGTTATGCTGCGCGCGCGAGGTGCTCTGTCATCGGGATATATTACTCAGACCAATGCTGGTCGGTAGATATCAAGAGGGACGGACAATTGGGCAGCTGTTTGAAAAATGTCTTGTTGAAACTTGCAAGTCGTTCCTGTTTATTTTATCACCCGTGTCCTCGCATGTGGTATGTGCTAACCACTGACCGACAGAGCAAGGGGTGACAGATTCCCGACAAGAACGCAACAGAGTCTCAGAGATACCCCGTACTAGTAATAGCATTTCGCTTGAAGGGAGCAAGCGAGCGAGCATACGCGCGGATGTAACGCGGTGTCAGTGTCAACACTCACCTGTCACGGATCTTCCCCCCCCCCCCGCTCTTTCATCCATGGTTCGAAGCGCCGTCGCGATGACCCTCATCGATTCCAAAACCAAAGCCGACATGAGCATTCTGAGCGAGATATCCGGTATCCCCACCACGGAGGACAGACGGAGTCTCCTGGAGCGACTGGAGCAAACCGTCCGCGACCATCCCGATGCCTTGGCATCGATCTGCGCCCACCAAAGCCCTGGTTTGTACGGACTTGGAGGTCATGAGAAGAATGGAACCAGCACAGAATCACCACCGGCGCATCCGCGCGTAACATATAGCGAGTTTTATCGGGGGGTCAAGCAGCTCGCCGCGTCTTTGAAGGGCCTGGGGCTCGGAGACGGGTCTCCGCTATTCGTTATCCTCGGAAATAGCGTCGAACACACGCTCTCAACATGGGGCGCGTATAGGGCGGGCTGCACCCACGTATCGATCAACCCACAGAGTCTTGCAAATGCAGCTGAGGCGCGGCACATGGTTAAGACCGCGTTGGACGTCCAGAAGGCGCCGACGGCGGCGGTGGTCGTGAAGGACCGGGAGATGGCCAAGCAATGGGATCATTTGTTCCCCGACCTGGACTGTGTTAAGATCGCGGTGGAGGAAGCAACCGGTGCTTGGCTCTCATTCGGCAAAGTCATGGCGTCGACGGTTGGCAATGCGTCAGACAACAACGTCAACGGGCAACCCTCGAGCGAAAGGCGCGCGGAAACGTCCATCTTCTTCACGAGCGGCACAACGTCTCTGCCAAAAGGCTGCATCATAGATGTGTCTGCGTGGGTTACCGCTCTTGAGACTCGTTCCACCTTGGGCGCAGTTTCAAGGGGGGATAAAATCCTGGTTCTTATCCCAAGTAGCCATGCTTTTGGGTGCATGTCAATGATACTTCCTCTCACTCGTGGCGGAACAATCGTCTACACTTCGTATCTAGGCTTCAACCCTAATGTGACAATGGAGACTATGCGGCGAGAAGAATGCACGCATCTCGTTCTGGTCTCGACTCTGTCACATGCTCTGATCACGGCCAATCCATCGGCCCATAGGGGAATCAAGCCTCTGGAAACGGTTGTCTTTGGTGGAATGGGTCCTTCCCCGCCTCTGGTCGCGGAATTCCGACGAACCTTTTCCCCTCGCTCGATCGAGAATCTATACGGTATGACGGAAGGTGCTTTCTGTTCGACTGGGCGCGTGGAAAACGTCGACGCCATCACCAAAGATGGCTGCATCGCGGCGGGCTTGCCAACTTGGGGCGGCAAAGTGCGCATCTGCGCGCCAGGGACCCAGACGCCGGTTCCTCGAGGAACACCCGGGGAGTTCCATTACAGCGGGTATCAGATAGTCAAGGGATACTTGGGAGTCGAAAGCAAGGACTTCTATCATGATAAAGACGGCCGGGTCTGGTTCAACACGGGTGATCAGGCGGTCATCCATACGGATGGCCTACTCTATACCCTCGGGAGATATAAGGAGCTGATTGTGCGCGGTGGAAAGAACATCTCGCCCTCGGCCATCGAGTCCACCTTGGGCCAGAAGCCGGAGCTGTATGCTCTGAATCCGCAAGCGGTCCCTCTTCCTGATCCCGTGGCGGGTGAGGTGCCCGTGATTGTGGTCAACCGGACCATCACCCACGATGTAGTCCGGAAGATCATGGATACCGTGCTTGAAAACATGGGACCAATGTATATCCCTAGCAAGATCATATCCATCGAGACTCTGGGCAGGCAAGACTACCCGCGTACCAGCTCAGGGAAGGTGCAGAAAGGGAGCCTGGCCGCTTTAGTGCGTCAATACGAAGAGACGCTGGCATCGGTGGACCCTGATATTCCATCGACTGGCACGTCCAGTATTGGCGATAAAGTGGCTCATATTTGGGCCGGAACCCTTGGGCTGTCCGCCACAGAGTTGGACCTGCATGCCAAACTATCAGAGCGCAGTGACAGTATTACTTCGATGAGGGTTCACTCCAAAGTCCGTCGCGAAACGGGCCGGGATGTCTCCTTCGCCGCGTGGTCTTCTGCGGACACCATCGCAGGCCAGGCGAAGCTCTTTGAACATGCCACGGTTATGGGCCAGGGAAAGAAAGCACCTGTAGTAGCCAAAATCCGGCAAGGGGGACCGAAAGCTGAAGATATGGCCCATCTCACAGCGGATCCATCACGGTTCAATGCAACCCAGGAGCTCATCAACAAAGCAATCGGTCCACATCAGCTCTCTTGGGATGATGTCGCAGACGTCATTCCAACGACAGATCATATTGATCTCCTGGTCCGAAGCCATGTTATGGATTTCATGGATGTCCATATCTCGGTGCTGACATTGAATGCAGATTCACAGGTGAGTCCATCTCTTGTGCAGTATAACCCACGTTGTCTGACATTTCCAGCGCCTTCGCTCGGCCCTCGAAGCAGCCCTCGCCGTTAACCCTCTTTTACTGTCCTTTATCGTCATAGATGAGACGTTTCATGTAGCTGATCGGGCGCTTTACGTCACCATCCATCCCACCAGGAAGATACTTGACCAGTGTATCATAGACTATGGTGTGCTGGAAAGCATGGAGGACGTGTATAGGATCAAGAGGCGTTGGCCGGAGGAGTACATTATATCAATGCCCGGTCCTCTTTGCCGGTTTCTCATCGCTTTTGTGAAAGAAACCAACAGTACAGTTCTGATTATGAGAAGTAAGCCAGCTCTTGTGACACTCACCCGCCCGATGCTGACAGCGTACAGTCTCCCATACCATCATGGACGCAACATATCATGACATCTTTGCAGAGGATCTTGATCGGGCCCTCGGCGGGCAGACACTCGAGCCCCATATCCCCTTCAAAGCATGGGCAGACACCTTCTACCATATGCAGTATTCCCCGACTGCTCAGCCAGCCCTGGATTACCATGCAGGTCAGATGCAGGTACTAAAGACTCACAAGCCAGTAACCTGGCCGACGCCGACGCCCACGCTTGTAGTTTCCCCGGATCGGATCGACGACGACGTGCCGGCGCTGAAGTTTGACCTTTCCGGCCTCCTGGCGCTTCGTCGCCATCATCCCGACATCACCCCACCCACCATCCCCAAAGCTGCATTGAGTCTGCTGGCTCTTTACCACACCAAGCACACACAGGCTATACTCTTCAACCTGGAGGCAGCCCGCTCTGGGTTTCCGTTCCTTCCTCCTTCGGTATCGGAGCTGGGGTCATTCAACGCGGCCGACGTCGCTGGCCCCTTGGTCACAGGAAACATCCAAGCCATTACCTACGATCCCAATGAAACCGTCCTGCGGCTCCTTCAGCGTATGCAGGAACAGCAACGGCTAGTTACGAAGCACGCCAATGCCCCGTGGCGCCGAATCATGGAGAAAATGCCCATCCTGGCTGATCTCTACCCCGAGGCTGCCGATGCCTTGTTGTTCAACTGGACGGGGGCTAACACGTTTGAAGAAAGTGGCACCAGGCAGCTGTATCAGAATATCCAAGCGCCGCATATCTTCTTCCGGCCCAAGACCGGATTGATGGTGGATGCAGGCCTGACTGGGAAGGACGGTACGGATTTGGTGGTGAGCATGACAGGGACAATTGCCAACACGTCCGGAGACTGTATTGACCGGCTGGGCGAGGGGTTTCGGCGGATCAGCACCTGGCTTGTCGCGCAGGAGAATTGGGGGCGGCCGGTGAAGGACTTCCCGGAGTGTTTGGGGGTGGTTTGTTAGTCTGATGACAGGATTTCGAGTAGATTCGTCAATCGGTGTTAGTATAAGTAGACAGAGAGAAAGTATGAAGCAAGTCTGGCGCAGGGGAAAGTGCGTTGTACTATGTAGAGAGAAGGTGTAAGAGGGAGAGTTGGCGGCCACTCACCGCGACCGGATTATGAATCCCGCGGGGAGATGTCCGCCCTCCGTTATCTCCGCCTCGGCCTCGGACATTCATCGCTCTCGCTCTCTCTTTTTAACCCCCTCCCTCCTCTTCCCTTCGACGACATCACCTGGGCTCCGTGGACATGACCGCAACACAACGACTAATGCGCCCGGCAACGATGCAACGCCTGGCCCTGGCTTCACGGTTCAGCGCCGCTCGTCGTCTCTCAACCTCCCCCTCTCCCCTTCGCGCAATCAATCCCCGTCGCATTGCCCTGGACATCCCCCCGCCGTTTCCTGTCACCAAAACATGCCCGGAGCCCAGTTGTTCATGTCCGCCGACGCCGACGATGCCCGCGCCCATCGACCACGATCAGCCGCTGAACGGAACGATGGCCGCCTACGCGCAACAGCTTCTCATCTGCACCGGCCAAAAAGACTGGACAAGTCGCATAGAGGAGGATGGACAAGGTCAAAGCTGGGGAGATCTGGTCCGGGGGTTGAAAGGCCTACTGGGCCGCGGGGGGGAATACGCTGATGTACGTGGGATGTTCTTTCGCGTCGTGATCGCACACTTGACCTTGGGGGGGGGGGGGGGGGGGGAAAGAAACAAGTCCAGGTCCAAGTCGCCGAGCTGAGCTGACCACTCTCTTTCTCTAGCCTTTCAACAACATCCTCATCACCAACTCCTCGTTCACGCCCTCCGCCTCCTCATCCACTACATCGCAAACTGCCTCCGCCTTCCTCTTCCCCAGCTTCAAATACTTCCCCTCCGTCCCCGTCCCTCCCTCGTCATCCGCACCCGCGCCCGCAAACAGCACCACCACCGACCTCTCCACCTTCGTCCGCGCATTCCTCCTCCCGCGCGAATCCCGCCACGGTGGAAAAACCCGCGAACAAGACCTAGCCACCCAGTTCCCCGACGCCATCGATCTGCAGCATTCGCCCGTCGTGTTGATCTGCGGGCACGGCGGCCGCGACATGCGCTGCGGCGTGATGGCCCCGGTTCTAGAGCAGGAGTTTACGCGAGTCCTCCAGTCGAAAGGATATACGAGCGACAGCACCAACCCTAGTGCCATCGACAGCCCCGACCGCGCCCACGTCGGACTGATCAGCCATGTCGGGGGCCACAAATACGCAGGGAATGTCATTGTGTATATTCCCCCGGGCATGAAGGTCGAGGGCGGGGACCCGCATCCCCTCGCGGGCAAGGGCATCTGGTATGGTCGGATAGAGCCCCGACATGTGCAGGGTGTCGTGGAAGAGACGATTTTGGGAGGAAGGGTCATCGCGGATCATTTCCGGGGTGGGATTGATTCGGAGAGTGGGATTTTGCGGCTGTAGATAATAGATATTTCTCCCCTCTCCTTTTTTTTTTTTTTTTTTTTTTTTGCCTCTCGACCAAGTCGCTCTAGAGATAGATTGTACCATAGTGTATATACGTATATATTTTCCTTTCGTGGCGTGGTGGCTCGTCTAGCCTAGCCTGCTAGCAGCCTTGGATTTGGAACTAACCTGCGAATGCGACCAGACACGCCATCATCATGATGTCACAGGTCAAGTGGGATGGGATTCTTCACGATATACGGACTAGAGACATAGAGACTATGCTAGTATGTGAGGATTTTCTCGATAAACAGATGGCATACGGAGCCGCATAGGCCAACATCCATCCCATCGGGCAGCGAAAAAGAAAAGCAAGGACGAGAGAAGGACAAACCCCCATCCATTCTCTGCATGCTCCATGATCAATGGCCCCCTCTCCTCTCAGACATGTTCCTTCTTTTCCCTATTCCAGTAGCTGAGATAGATGGCTATGAGATTGATAGTGAATAAACTAACAAACTTTACTATACTTATATACATTTTCTCGATGGCGACTAGCCCAAACCAAGTTAATCTCGACCAACCACGGTACGTATCTATACAGTGCCTAGAAAAAAGTCTGTCCCAAAACTGAATGCGCTAGTGGGCGCCGCGTCCTATATAGATACAGGTTTTGGATGATGTTTTTGCCTGAGATTCGCGATCAGATTAACGAAAGGATGTTTATCTTCATGCAAGATTTAGATAATACTGCTATTTATACAGTCCACAGAATAAACTGTATAATTCAAAGATCAAGCTCTAGGGTTGATGAAATGGCCTCTATCCTTAACTCTATCAAAGCACATGTGATTCCTATTGAAAGAGAAGATTAAGAATAACATTAATCTCTTGCTTGAAGGCACGCGTAGTAATAATACCACGAAGAAGAACTCTCTCTCTCTCTCGGGGAGGCTTTGTATCTATATAGCTTGAAAGCAGATTTATATAGATATTCAAAGAACTAATCTTTGTTAGCCAGTATACCAAGGAGGATAGCGGCCGTGATTAAGGCAAAGGGCTGGTATATAAGATATGATGAAAGCCTTATATTTGCTAATTTAAGTAACTTTTAGCAAGATCTCTTGTTGAACTACTGTATATATTAATTTCAAAGCCATGTATTAAACGCGTCCAAAGATATGGTATATATAAGTATATATACTTATTTTTGTATGATTGGGTGGCCAACCTGAGTAAGTTAGGCCCGGCAACGGGATCGTAGTACTATCCCCGAAGCTCTTTTACTATTGTATAGGTTCAGTTAGTAACTTACCAGAATTGTTACTCCGTATCTACTACTGGTCCACACTACTACTGGTAGCCCCACAATTTCCCATGTTATTATACATTCCACCTGTAATAATACCCACAAAAGCTCGGACGGTCCTGAAGTGGGGCATAACCAGCTATCACCAGAGATCATAAATCATAACCAGGTGTAATACTTATATCCCTTGAGCCAGGCCCCTAGTACTATAAGTTGCATTGTAGCATAAGTCTGCTGCTGCAGCTGGAACTGTGGATGTTGCATGTACCAAGCCTTGTTGGTGGTTGAGGGTTTATTTACTATAACATAGTATCTGGGTTTCGTTGGGATTATGCGGTTATTGGTACGGGCAAAGCTGGATCTTTGAGCAACTAGATGTGTAATAAACGCAGTATGTGTCTATTGTAAAAAGCTCCATCCAAAAGACCACAGCCTTAGCCGTAGCATGCATAAATCGGGAATTAGTATAGCTTTAGATATATACAAGATTTGCAGCTAATATCTCTCGACTAGCCACTTCCGCCGCGCCTCCGGCTGCATAGTGTTGAGCTTTTTGCTTTCGGCCTTCTTGACCGTGATATAATTCTGTACCAGGGACGGGCCAAGAACATCCTGGAGAGCCGTGTCAGCGGCCAGGCTATCGAGACTCTGAGACAGGCTTGTGGCAAGCGGTGTGGTGATGCCAAGGGCACTGCGGTCGGCATCGCTCAGGGTCGCGGCGTCGTCTGATTCGGTCAGCATAACTGTAAAACAACTTGCTGTGGGAGATAGGGCCAGGTGGGCACTCACATAAACAGTCATGGACGGTCAACGGTTGGTTCTCCTGCAGACCTAAACACCCTGCAGCTAAGAACGCCGCCATGGCCAGATACATATTGGCCAGACCGTCGAGCGACTTGATTTCCCAGTGTCCCTGAGAGATCTTTCGGATCGGAGTCTCGCGGTTCTGCGTACCCCAGGCGACCCATTCGCTTCCCGCCCAGAGACCAGATTGGACCCGATCGTAGCTAGCATCAGTGGACAAGGCGAAGGCGGTCAAGGCTGGGTAGTGCTGGAGGACGCCGGCCAGGAAGCTCTCTTCCCGAGTTGCGGGGTTGATAGAGACATGTGCGTGCGAAGCTGAGCCAGCAGCATGAGGGTGTGGGCGAGGGTGAAGGGTTGCGCGGAGGCCGTGCTGTTCCGCGATGCACGTCACCACCTGGCGTGCTTTGATGAGAGTGTCAACCGCAGCGACAGGCGATCCGGGTGGTAGAATGAACTCAAACTGGCCTGGCGCTGACTCGGCATGAAATTGTTCAAGATCGATGCCAATCGACTCAAGAGCCTCGGTAATCTCCTCGAGCAACGGCACCAAACGCCGCGTTTCTCTGGTCATCTGGGACCATGAGTGGTTGTTGACACATGGCACGAAGTCTTCCTCGTTCGTGTCCGGGTTGGTGATACACTTGAGCAATATGACTTCGATTTCAAACCCGCAAGTAACCTCGATTCCGTGATTGATTCGCAATGCGGAAGTCATATTATGGAGGGTCGTTCGAGGACATCCCTCTAGCTCCGTACCCTCCTCAGAACGCCACCATGTCATCACCGTGGCACTCTTCGAGTCGAGCCCCACGTTACGACAGAGACTGGAGAGGTCCGGCTCCATGTAGAATTGGCCGGTGGTAGAACCCTCCGGACAGACAGAATCATCCTGGAGCATTAAGAAAACAGCCAGACAGACGCCGATGCGTCGTTGCTTGTTTGCGATTTTCGCGAACTCCCGTACAGGGAACATGCGCACGCGAGTTGTCGCCGTAAGGTCAATAAATTGCAGCCAAATGTACTTGATGTCGGGATTGTTTTGCATGAAAATCTCCAAGGCGTCCGTAGAAGATGGCCCGGATAAGGGCCCAATGGCGGGAGCCAGCCCGCCGTTGTAGTTTGCCTTCCCGTTCAGGCCGTAAAGGCGATTGGAGTTATTAAACAATATATCGGCAGCAGCCAGCTTCGCTTGGTCAACAGTGTGGTCGCCATGAAGACTGTAATCCACAAGAACCTGCCGAATATTAACTAGGTGTAACTCAAGAAAGACCACTCAAATTCTAACATACCTTCTCTAATGCGTCGCGGAACTGCTTGTTTGCTAACCAAAATGTTTCTGGGTAGAAATGCCCGTCGGTGCTCCACAGGAGACGGGTTGTGGGCACAATTTCCAGGCTCTCACGGATGATGGATTCCTGGGCGTCCCGGCTCACCATGGGGAACACTTCACCGAGATCCAGATAGACGTTGGGATAAACACAGGCGAGGTAGCCAGCCTCTCGAGTGTACGGATAGGCAGAATGCAGAAGCACGAAGTCCACCTTGGGATATTGGGCGAACAGGGCTTGTAAGTAGGCGGGATTCGACAGTATTAGGTTTATATCATTATCGCCGAGTCCGGTATGTAGTTGCAAGGGTTTGTTGGGCCCCGAAGGGTCGGTCTCTTTGGCGGACTGAAGCTGATTGAGGGCCTGCCTGACCAGCCAGTCATTCAAAGGTTTGTCCTCCACCCGGTATACAGAACCAGTCCCCCGGGAGACGGTACGAGCGAACGACTGAAGTAGGACCCCATCGTCGGTGTCGTCAGCTGCCTGAACGGCAAGCCCGGTGCGGTAACAGATGACGGATTTGAAGCCGACCACCGCAGGATCCGCGATGGCCTCGGCAATTCTCTCGTGGAAACTCTGGCGGAACTGATTCAAGTATGGCTGGAGGACAGCGGGACTGCCCGTGGACTGGTCGTAGCCCCCGGGGAGGATGGAGGAAAGAACCTGGGCGGCCACGACCTCAATGCGCACGATCCGTTTTGTCGGGGCGGCGGCGAAACGGTCGTGCCAATCGAAGGGCTCGATATCTTGATCCGTCAGCAGATCGTCGAGTAGCAGGCTATGCGTGCCTTCCAAGCACCGGCGGATCAAGCCCTCGTAGTCCCGGTCGACCCATCGATCGCGGGCCGCTTTGACGCGGTCCCAATCGGACGATGGGCAATTGTAGAGGGTGGCTAGCTGGGCGGCGGCGCGTTGGAGAGGGAGGGTGGAGGGAGCATTGCGCAAGGCGGGGCCCTGTGCTTCGGAGGTGATCTGCTCGAAGGGGTATTTGGCGTAGTTGGTGGCTGCGGCGCGCGAGAGGAGATTATGGGCATGGTTGTCGATGAGGGGATGGGTTTGAACGAGATGACGAAGAGAGGCGAGCGGATCCATGGTGCGGGGGGGTGATTGGCTGGTTCGATCGATCGATCGTTTGCGGATCACGGCTGCTAACCGGTCGGCAGGATTGGCCGTGCACCAGGAAGGAGGGGAAGGCGGGAAGGAGTGAGTATGAGGAAAGAAGAAAGGAGGGGAGGAGGAGGGGAGAGAGGAGAGGGGAAAGAGAGGGAGGAAGGGAGGAGGAAACACAGATAGATGTAGGAGTGAAGAAGAAGAATGCGGCCAGCGAGTTCATATCGGCAAGGCAGGAAGGAAGCTGGCGATGCTTACCCGATTAGGCAGCTCGCGAGTAACCGCCGACCACCACAGAACTTTGGTCGCATCCCAACCCAACAACTCCCTCCCTCTCTCCCTCTCGTCTGCCTGCCTCTATCCATACTATGCTCCAACACCCGCTAATGACGATGGTCGCTTCGGAAAGAAGGCCGACCCAGCCCCGGCGGCTGTGGCCGTCATCGTGAAGAGACCAGGAAATCTCGACGACCTGCCCTCGTCAACCATACGCAATGCGGTATCTTCCACGACGGTCTGTTCCCACCGGTCGATCATCCGCTCCATACCATATCCTGATGACTGTTGGTTTTCCTGTATAGACCATAGACTGCCAGCCTTCCGAGGAAACCCCCCCCCCCCTTACGTTTAGGAAAACTCCCGACGGATGTGGGAGAGGCTATACCCGGGTTTCAGCGGATACTCTACACAGTAAGTGAAGGACATTGAGACATCAAATACATACCTACCTACATTACAACTACCCTCTTGGACCCCCTTCCCCTTTAGACAACCCCGGTCCTACCTACCCAGGTACCCCATCCTCCCCAGCGATTCCTCACCTACCAAGACAGAAAGCAAAAAGGGTCCGAAAATACCGGAATACCCCCAATGACAGTCCCATCTACCGTCTTGGACTTTCTCCTTCCGGACGCCACCTCCGCCGCCGGTGTATGCACGGGTCGCTTCAATCTAAGCCGGACGGGCACGGAAATCCGGAAACGGACACTCCGAGATGAGCCTCCGCGGGATGTCATTCGTAGCGAGGGGAGACAAGGCGGCCCAACCTCAACCTAAGCGATGTCGCTCGCTCAGTAACTAGACGACGGAGCTTAAGTCAAGCTGGGACTAGCATTCCGAGAGACGCGCAAGACATCTGGCCTGTGGCTTGTCGCGGCGGTCGCCGGGCATTATAGCTTATGGGACGGGTTGGGAGGGTCTGAGCCATTCAAGGGAATCTAAAGAGTACCGCCGTAGGTCGTCTCATAGTACCTAGATGATGTTTATCTAGATAGTTGTGCTGTGTATGTACTACGTAGGGTGTGGTGTTGAGTACTAGATACAATAGATAGTCTGACCATCATCCCCTCGGGTGAGTGTGGAGGTTTCGGGCCGAGGATCGGCTTGCCGAGGCACGTTGGACTTGGAAGTCAGAACTACTGGGAAATACTGGGAAAGATGGCCCCCGGCGTATTGTCGAGCCCGTGGCCTGACGCGTGTTGTGACAGTGACATAAAGGTAACTGAGTCAGGAAGGCTAACTAACTAGACTGCTAACCAAGGTGAGACATGCCAGAGCCATGGACCAGGGGCTAGCTAGCTATTGGATGGTGTGATGTGCTGTCGGCAATCCTTCTCCCGTCTCTTACGGAGAACTCCGGAGACCATCTAACTAGTTAGAGCCCATGCAAGTGTTTTGCAGGATCGGGTGCAAATATCGGCACGCACGGATGTCCACGTGCCTGCCCACCCTTGCCAATACGAAGCTGCATTAATCCTCCACCACCACCACCACCAACAACAACCGGGCGTCTACAGTGCGGAGTAGCGTAGCGGAACAATCCCAACCGCCTCCTCCCACTTCATCAAAGGACAAGCAAGATAAACAGCATCATGGTCGGAGTATCTTCATTCTGGCTCTACTAGGGAGATCCGTTCATGACGTTGCCTAGACCAATACAAGAGGCAGGTTAAAAATGAAACGATAAAAAAAAAACACCACGAAGGAAAAACTGGGAGATTAAGGAAATGAATGCTGTCGCAGACGCCAGAAAGGCCGAGGCCACGCCATGCTACGGATATCCGCTCACACAACAAGGAAACAATAAGAAGAAAATAAAAAAGAACAAGAAGGTAACAGACAAAGGACGGGGGCTAATTTTTTTTGAGTGATGCCTTTATCGGCGGGATCATGGCGATAAATGGGCTGAAGACGACTATTTTGTCTTTTTCTGCTCCTCCGCGAGGACTTCTCCGCTAGCGACGCTGGCCGAACCATCAAGCGAGACCACGTCTTCGTCCGGGTCGATTTCGTTTCTCACGCGTTGACGACCGCGCTCTTGCATCGAGTCTCGGATCCGGCGGTTGACTTCGCCCAGGTCGTCCTTGGACTTGATGGAGAGGGGCTTGAGAAGGGTGTCGTACAGGCGGAATCCGGAGCTCTGGGATCGGCTCCGGCTGCTCCGTTCGGTACTTCGGTTGCGGCTTTCGGGTTCGCTGGGGGGCATGCTCTTCAGACGGGACTGGTAGGTGTCGTCTTGAGGGTGGTCGTGGGAGATAAGCTTCTCGGATGCAAAATCAGGGAAGATCTCCGGGGCGAATGTGTCGATCACGTCGACGACCTTGGCGGAGAGGGCTTGGCGTTCTGCACGGAGTTTGGCGAACATGTTGGCGGATCGGGGGTTGAGGGCTACGAAGAGGGGAGGAAGAGATTTCAGCACGTCGATGCCGATCTCGCCGATTCGGAGACCGGCAAAGGAGACGGAAATCATCAGGCCAAAGAAGAGAATCGAGAAGAGCGTGAGGGGAACCAAGTCGGGGATGTAGGTGCGGGCGTTTATCCACCACGGTACAACGGAGGCGTAGTGTCCGTCGTGGCGGCAGTAGTGAAGCCAGATGGTCACGATAACGGTATACCAGGTGTATAGGGCCGGAGCCAGACCCATGGCGACCAGAATCTTCCAGGTTCCAACCACGTCGCGGCCTTCCAGTTTGACGACGGAGCCGGCAAGAGCCTTTCGTTGCTTCTTGACGGAAACAACCTTTGCTGTCACGAACACGGGCCAGAAGAGAGCCACGGACGGCAGGGTTCCGATGGCGAGAGTGAGAAGTTCACCCACGCGGTAAAGCAAAGTACCAAGAACCAACCACCAGGGCCGGTGCTTCACATCGCCCCATTCAACCTGGTGATCGCGGATTCCCAAAGCTCGGAGCCGTCGGTTGTAGTCGGAGATGGCCTTCTTCAACTGGAGGACTTTGGGTTCGTCCTTGAATTGGGTGTAGCCCTTGAGAAGTCGCCGGTTGAGTTCGATTACCACGGGGAGAGGAAGCTTCATTCGCAGTGGCTTGTACAGCCGTCTGGTGGCTTGGATAACCATCAGGGTCTCATGGTCCGGAGCTTGTTGCGTCACCGCAGTAAGAGCCTCCTGAATTGTTTCCAGCAGGGATCCCACGGCATTTCGCTTCGAGTTTCCGCCGGCCTTGAAAGCCTCGATCTGATCCGGATGCACTTGGACGGGGTTGCCGAACTCCACGACCGCGCGAGAGCGGAACTTGTTCGGGTGGAAGTAGTTCATGCCACAGGGTATGATGGACAGGCCACAGTTGGGGTCCTGCGCGAGTGTTCCGAGAGCGATAATAGCAACACCGGCCTTGAGCGGGAGGAGACTCGGGCGGTCATGACTGCCGCCCTCCGGGAAGATGCCAATACAGCCACCTGCAGTAAGCTCGCCGTACACGGCAGCGAACATCTTGCTCTGGTCGATGTGAGGAGCGATCTTGAACGGGGTTCCCTTGCGCAAGGGCTGGTAGAGTGGATGGTCTGGCTCAAACTTCTTAAACGGTTTCCGCAGGCGCAATGTATCCGGCCCTAGGATTTCCTCGATAGCCTGTTGTTCGGGGCTCGTTTTGCCCACACGTGGGAGAATAAGCGAACCGCCCACCATGAACTGGTCGGAGGTGAAGTCGGTCCCCTTGCCGTGAACCAAGGTCGGATCGTTCTCGGGATCGGGCAGGTAGATTTCGCCCTTTGCCGGTTTGACATTGTCCATCGATCTCACGACGGGGAGTGCGCCCATGCACCCGGCCATGGTGCCGATGTACGGCTCGCGCATGGATTTCTCGGCGATCAAAAACGAGGTTCTCCGATCGGCATGGTGCTTCAAGATGCGCATTAGCAGAATGGAGTCTACAAACTGATTGGCATGGGGTGCGGCGACAATGATCACAGGGCCACGTTTGGGAATCCGCCATGCGCCGCGGGAATAGACCTCGCGGAAGAAGATGTCCAGACAGAGGGTGAAAATCCACACTCCGAGGTCGTACAACCACGGAATCATGTATCTGCGCGCCATGGCTGCGGGTCGGTATTTCACCAAGCTAGATAGTGGCGTAATAGGAGAGCTGGGGGAGAAAAAAGAGGAAGGGCTATAGGCGTTGTGTCGGTCTCAACTCATGACCGCGGGGGGTTTATCTGCCCGTGACGTGAGGCAATAACGTGCGGAGTCTCCGGGGAACGGGACGCGTAAAAAAGCTGGGGAGAGTGGCTGGAAGCAATCGGGCTCCCACTGGGCGTCGAATTCCTCGAGCCTCCCAGTCGTAGCGAGGGGTGATACTGCAGCCGTGAGGTAACGCCCAACTTGCAGCCGATGATGCAGCCGGGGGGGGGGGGGGGAAGATCGCGCGAAAAGCAAAGACTGAGCGAAGAGTGATGATGATCGATGCCAGACCCGGAGAAATCCGGCGGGTCGAGCTAGTCCAGTCGGGAAAGTTACTCCGGGCGAGCTAGACAGTCGAGAGGCGATTGCACCAGTATCAGCCTGCCATGCTGTAGGACGGAGTACTCCGTACAGTCGCACAGTAAACGGTTGGGGGCTCAACGCTTGACAGTTGGGACTCGAGGGAGTCATAGCACACGTCGACAGGGGGCAGCAAGTCTAGAATCCTGCAAGAGTGCCAATCATATCCGCGGCCGCCTGTCGATGATTTCATTTGCTTCATCGGCACGCGGGGTCGGAGGAGTCCGAGCACGTGACCCGAGGCCGATACGAGATAGATACGAGTCGCCGCAGTCGGCCTAGCGCGTCGACATACTCTGCGGGGAACAAACAACATGGGCGATCCCTACCGTCATCCACGGCAACGCAAGGGAGGGCGGTGGCCGAGCTGAAATCTCTGGATCTGATGTGTCTTTGACCAACCCATCCTATGAAACATCCGAAGTAGACTACGTCTACGACGTCGGAGCCAGCTATGCCAGGCTGCTGCATGGTCTAAACGTGGTCTTGAGACATGCACCAAGTGATACAGTGGCGTGCACAGTATGCCAAGTTTAGACAGAAGGGAGAAAGGTTGGTCATCGGAAACATATATAATACAATCTATCCACAAAAGACAGGCGAAAAAAAAGTGAGCCTACAACTTCTCCGCCTCCGCCAGCAGGTCCTCAATCTTGAAGCCCTGTACGTCACCCTGGGTGAACATGCGCAGCAGCTCTCCCTTCCGACCACTAGCCTGGCCCTCGAAGTCATAGAACCGTTGGACACAGCTGACCAACCAGCTAGCCTCCGAGCTCGACACTCCGGAGTCCGGCATCACCTGTCCATGCATGAGAACCAGACCCTTGTCATCCGCAAGATCCAGATGGTGCGTAATGGTTGTGTGCGGCTGCGCGAAGGAGCCGTGCAGCTTGTAGGCGGCAAGCGGGGTGAAGATAATCGTGGAGGTGTGCGCATTGGCCAGAGAACCGGGGGATGCGGTCGTAGACGGGGCCGAAGCCGGGGGGTGGAAGGCCCACTGGAGGAAATGGATGTCCGCGCCGACGCCGGTGTTCTCCGGTGCATCGCTTTCGCCCTCCGCGGGTTGTGTGCGGGGCAGGGGCAGGATGAACTGCGGGTTCTGGCGAGCGACGGAGGCGATGCGCTGGTAGGTTTCGACGGGGATGACGGCGCAGATGGACTGAGAGTTACCAGCGTGGCGGAGACGCCAGATGGCTTCGATTTCCTTGGGCGGGAGGTGGCGCACCTTCTCGACGTCAATGAAGGAGTCGAGGGGCTTGATGCCGGTTGACTTGGCAGCAGTGGCGGCGCGAGCTGTGGGGGATGGTGGTGGAGGGGGGGGGTGGTGGACGTGGAGGGTTTCGAAGGTTCGGGGGTGAGGGGAGTTGTGGCTTTACGGCGAAGATCGTCGATCTTGTCCTGGTAAGCTTCTTTCAGGGAGTCGACGTTTTCGTGGCCCTCTCTGTGAGGCTGGAGGTCAGTCTGAGACAAATTGAATGGCTATCCAAGCATCGAAGTAGGCGACGTACTGGTGGGCTTTCTCCTTCAGCTTGGACCGGTACCTCTCCAGGACCTGGTTGGGGTCGTGGTGTGTGGCCAGGAAGCGGACATCGTGGACCTGGGCCCAGCGCTTCTGCTGGGAGTGCAGGAAGGAGTTGCGGCTCCTCAGCAAGGACTGGAAGGCGGAGGATCTGAGGGAGGCCATGTTGATGGTGCAGCTCTATAGAAAGAAGAATCGAAGCGACGAAGTCCGAAAAGATGTCCGTGCCGGCTGGACAGATTCGGACTAGGTGGGATTATGTAAGCGGGACATGCTCTCCCTCGAGCACCAGCCGGGATTGTGCGACAATCCATCATCCATTTACCAGGATAGTCCTTTCATGATCTTTGCTTACTGCTCGGAGCTGGATGCCTGAAGGGCAGATCAATTCACTTTTCGATTGAATTGTCTGGCAATTACACCACTATGGTAATGGTCCAACAAAAGACGCGTTTGATTCGAGCCGGTAGCAGAGGACCTGTTTAGGTGTCTTCTGTGCCTACTGTGTAATATCGTGCATTTTCAATTATTGCAAACAACAGCCTATATGGCTAGCTCGACTTCGTTCGTTGTGCTGTCTGGCCCTGTCGGTACAGTACGACTGCGGGAGTCAGCCTGGATCTTTCCCCACTTGAAACAATGTGGGGAAGTATAGGGGAATGCGAGCTACAGGTTTGAAGTTCGTCAACACGGTACATCTCCACCTCAAAGGGGCTCGAATCTCCCCATGCAGTGAACAACGTAGCCTTTGAGACTATCTAAGTATGCACCCGGTGGAACCCAGAAGCATCCATGAATATCTCTAATCACCGAGGTAATCAAAAGAGCAACAAGCATGTCGCCAGCTGAATAAAATCTCCATTTCGACAATAACATCCCTGTGTGGATTGTTGGGGGCGGGCCATGTGGCTTTGTCCTGGCGTACTTACTCGCCCAATTCGGGGGTATGGAAACACTCGAACTTTCCCGGCCCGCAATGTATACAGTGAATGGAAGGCAGCCAGGGTATACAAAACACTGACAGCGTATCTCCAGTCCGGTCTTTGGTGTGTGAGCGGTACCCCATCAGACTCAAAGCGCCCAAGGCACATGCACTGTCTCCCCGATCCCTCGAACTCCCGTCAACATGGGATAGACGTGAACGAAATCCGCAGCTCCAGGACGAGCCACGGAGAGGCGTTCTGGGTGAGTTCCCTTACTCACTTGAGCGGCAAGCAAGTAGGCAGGCTTCCGTATGAGCGTATGGATCCGCAGGTCCTGGATAGTCCTCCAACGGTGGGTATACCATATGTATCGAAACTCTCTGAGACTGATTGACTGATACACGACGTAGACGATCCACAACATCCCGCAGCCAGACTTCGAGGAGCTTGTTGCGAAAAAAATGTTGAAGAACAACTTCCCCCGATTAATTCTTCGTATGTGTCCCAGCTCCCTTACGACGAGGTCCAGTCGAAACAGTTCTCGACGTTTGACCTGTGCGCATTCGATGGGCTCAGCCTACTCGTGGACGTAGAATCCGCCACCCACTGGGAATAGACCATCGAAGAAGTCAAACCACAAACCCCTAGCAAGTGTACTGACCTGAGGATCCACCTGGCTACCCGCGGGAGGGACTTCGACCTTTAACCCGGGGGGGGGGGGTGGATGGTGAAAAGTGGACAGCACTGATGGGATTATCCGAGGGCCACGCTATCCTGGTCCGACCCGACCAGCATATTCTAGCGCGGGTCGAACGTCCAGGGCAATCCAGCAGAGTCCTGGAGGCATTGAAGCAGCATTTGACATGGGATAACTATCTAGCCAGCATAGTGAGACCAGATTGAGCGAACGGTGGTTATCCATGATCTCTCACCCATCGCCCTACAATCGAACAATAGCATGATGAGGCTTCCAGCCGTCTATGCTAGCTAGATACTAGCTAGCTAGCTAGCGTCCGAAAGGAATCGCGTCAACGAAACGGGGCAAAGATTCAAGAACCCCCAAGCGACCCACGCCCGTTGGTCGGAGACACCGTAGGCTTTGACGAGCCCCACAACAACAAACGCCGACATCAATATTAGAGATTATTATTGCTCTCTCCGTACAGCCCTAGCAAAGCTAAGTGCTATGGATAGATAGCACCCTTTGTGCGAGAAACCCATCTGTGTCCCTATCTCTCTATCCATCTATCTATCTGGTAGCCGTGCCTCGGCCCTCCCAACCAGTCAATGTCAGCCCTGTGCGGTTTGTACGCGCGTGCTCGATAAAGTTTACCCGGACCGCCACCAATTGGGCTGTCAGCCTGTCAAGCATAAGCAAGTAAGTGAGTACTTGGTAAGAAAGCACTTAGGCAAGCACCTAAGACCCTAAGAGATTCCGTCCTGCAGGCACTCGCGCCAGCTCCACAGTCGGAAAAGGAATATATACGGAGGATCTAGGTCTATCTAGTACCTAGATAGACAAGAGTAGTAGTATCCCCGCTAGATAGGGCTTCCCATCCCCGACTGAGCCAACCGGTGAAAAAGACTGTGGATTTGGGGGTTATGACCGTGCCCTATCCACACGGTCGATACTACGCAAGCTATTCGAGTCTCTGGATCGGGCTGTGCAGTACATAGTGCATACAGTTGATATAGTAGTGGGTAGATATCTAGCATGCATGAGCTCAATCTCGGTCTGACCGCCCACATCAGCCACGGGTGGCCATCTGGTTGGGTACTTAATGGTAATAGGTAGAGAGTATCGGACATGCTCGGCGTCTGTCTCGGTAACTACTAGGTGAGTAAGGTATGTAGTGCTTCCCGTATCCGCCTCGTATAATGTGTTGGATGAGGTGATATCATCCGATGGCAGCCCCGCAGACCGGCGTGTGCTAAGCATTCACCTTGACGGCGTTTTCCGCTGGAGCCACTTTTGGGGAGGGAGCTGTACGTCTGTGGGCTGTGGCTGCAGTGTGTCTTGAGTGGTAGTGGTATGGACGAGTAGGGATGATGTGCATCTCCAGTTGCCTGTTCCAGCGGGAAGCATCATCTGGAACAAGGATGTCAATCTAGTGTCTTGTCTCTCTCCCGTCTCAGATCTGCATTTCCCTCCTCCTTTGTCGGATTGCTTCTCCGCGCGCGGTGGTTTGATATGCTCGAGAGTGAAGTCGGAACCGGCCGCCTGGCCAACTAACTGCTGTTTCTATCCATCCATCTAGCGTCCGTTGGCTGTCGGGCTGTCGGACTGTCGGACGGGCCCGCCAGTTAAGCCGTGTTGGGAGTGACGCTGACGAGGCCTCGTCCAGACCCAACGACGCAAGACCAAATCAAAGAATCCCCAGCAGCGGCTCGACCCGCTGGTCGGCTGGAACCGCCGGGCGGATCGGTTTCTACTTTGACTCGGAACCGCCTGGCGAGCTTCTTATTATCATATCTGCCACCAGAGGCTGTCTGGACGGGCTTCACACCGCAAGGACTAGCATGCCTCTAATTCAGAGGTCGCGGTCTCGCCCCGCATGGTTGAAACAACTATCTACACAGATATTCGGATGACGGTGACGAACCGTCGATAGATGCTTCCATTCCCCCCCCTCCCCCCCACCTCTGTCCACCATCCAACATCCACCATCCATCCTTTAAAACGGCCTCTTCCCATTCTCCCCTCCCCTTCTGGAACCATTCTTTCCCTCCTCCACACGGACGGGTGGATCGTGGGTTATCTGTCCTTCCACCATTCGGGCAACGATGGGCGAACTGCAACAACATCCCGCCGACACGCCCAGTGTCGGTGTCCCCTTCGCGCAACGCCCGATCATCATCCTCGGCGCGGGCATCATCGGCTGCGCCACCGCGAAGCAGCTCCTCCTCAACGGCTTCCCTGTCATCCTGGTCGCCGAATTCCTCCCGGGCGATCAAGACATCCGGTATGCCTCCGCCTGGGCCGGCGCCGCATGGCACCCGGCCGGCGGCATCAGCCCCGAGTGGCGATATCTCCAGGCCATCACCCACCGCCACCTGCTGAGGATGGCCCATGAGGAGCCTGAGTCTGGCGTCTGCATCGTAGATGCCCTCGAGTACCTCGAGCAGCCCCCGTCCGCGAACTCGTCTGTCTGGGGTAAGGCCGTAGCTTCGAAGGTGAGAGATCCACCCAGCCATACACCCAGCTTCCCATAGACCACTACCACTACCACTACCACTACCACTACATCTATATACATACACTCATCCCCAACCAACCATCCCTAACAACGCCCCCCCCCCAAAACCAGTGGCGCGACCTCCTCCCCAGCGAATACCCCCCCAACTTCAGCTGCGGCTGGAGCTACGAAACCCTCGTAACCGACCCCACCCACCACATGCCCTACCTGGGCAAGAAGATCACCGCCCTCGGCGGCCAATTCATCCAGAAGCGGGTCGACTCGCTCGACCAGCTGTACCACCTCTTCCCGGAATCCAGCGTGTTCATCAACGCCAGCGGCCACGGCAGCAAGACGCTGATCGACGTGCAAGACGACCAATGTTTCCCGGAGCGCGGGCAGAACGTCTTCTACCGCACGGACAACTGCCGCACGATGTATTTCCGCAACGGCCGCGAATATACGTATGTTATTCCGCGGCCGATGTCCGGCGGGGTCGTCTTGGGGGGGGTGAAGCAGGCTGATGATTTGTGAGTGTTTCTGCTCTATTTTCGTATATAAGACTCCCTACCTACCCACCTACCTATATATATATCCGAAATCTGATGGTGGGTCTTATTAGATCCCCCGACCCAGACATGGCCATCGCGCAGGACGAGATCGCCCGCGCGCACCGTCTCGCGCCGGAGGTCGTTCCGGAGAGTCCGGCGGATGACGCGCTCAGCTATATTGTTGGCATCCGGCCGTCGAGGAAAGGCGGGTTCCGGCTGGATGCGGAGAAGCTGGGCAGTCGGGTGGTGTTGTCGGCGTATGGGTTTGGGGGGGGCGGGTATGCGTTCTCGTATGGGGTGGCGGATGCGTTGGTGAAGATGGTGGAGGAGGCGGAGAGGGAGAATGTCATTCTTTGATTTGATTCGATCTGCTTTGATCTGCTGGTTTGTCTGTCTGTCTGTCTCTGTCTTTGTCTCTAGACAGTTTGTTGGGATGGGACGGGATGGGATGGGATGCGTATACGTGCTGGTCATGTCATATCATGTCATATCATATCATATCATATCATGTCATTAATCATTTATTCCCGTGGGTAGATGGGACAGAAATAGGAATGCGGATCATGATGAGTTGGTTGGCGGTTTATAGTATATTTGGTTGATTCGCGATTGATTGATCTCTCCCTATCTACCTCCCACTCCCACAATACAAGACATGGATAAATAACCAACTTAGTAATAATGCATTTACCATCATATCACACATTCCCACCTACCTACCCTACTCTATATATAGAGAGTATTTCCAACCCATCTCCATCCATCATACCACTCACTCACTCACTCACCTACCGAACCAAATCAACCCAACCCAACCCAACCCAACCCTCCAAATCCCAAATCCCAACCCCCAAGTCCTACTTCCATTATCATCAACCATTTATCAGACTTTCTGAATCCCAACCTGGACCATTCAATTAACGAGCCACCTACTACCTCACCTACTACCTATTACTACCTACCAGGTAGCACGGTACAGGTATCCTACCTAGTATGTTCCACCCCCGTAAATACCATCCATGACAATACTCCCGCATTTCCCGCTGACAAATCCCTGACGATGCCAAGCCGGTCAGCCAAGCAGAGGGCTCTGATTGGACCGCGGCGCCATCGATCGGAAGCCGAATACGCTTTCTAACTACTAGTAGTTATCTACTTAGCCGGTCAGCAGGTTGCATTAGCGCCCGTGCGGTTCTTCAAGTGCGCAACGCAACTTTCGGTCGGTTTGGGGACGGGACACCCTTGGAAGGAGGGAGTGTTGGATACATATATACTGGAGAGGGAGGTACTATTATTGTTTTGGGGTTCTGGTGTTCGATACTGTACTGCTAGTTGTCAGCTGGCGGATCACTACGCATGTAAGATGATGGGTTGAGTGGATGGATGGATGGATCGGTCGATCGATAGATAGATTAATAGGATCCACGTATATAGGTGGACCAAAGGTGCCGCGACGACCTCCTAGCCAGGTACGGGTGTACGGGTACTTCTTGGTTTGATATTCATTTTCGTTCAGCCGCTACAGATATCGAATGAGCATCTTCTCGCCCCGTTGCTGTCGCCATCGATTCGTCGACTGCAGTAGCTCCGGACACCCTCGAATAACCCAGGGCCATTTCCGCAGAAACTTCTCCGTGACCTCCCAGTTGGCCGGATCCGTGGGCTCGCCCCAGACCAGCATGCTGCAGCTATCCGTCCCATGTTCCCAGAACCCCATGATATCCATGCACAGTTCCTCGTCGTCGAAACGATCGCTCACTTCCACCAGGTTGTCGCGCATGCGGGGCAGGGGGAAGAAGTCCAGCCACGGGTGGTGCGGGATCTTCACCTGCAGTTTCGTGGGACGCAGATGCAAGGGCATGCTGCTCTCGTCGATGGAGCCGAGCGGTTTGGTGTTGAACAAAGACAGGGCGTCGTCGTCGTGGCACCAGTCGTCATCCATCCCCATGCCCAAGGCCGACATGTTGGACACAAAGGCGCGGAAGACGTTTAGTTTGGTGAGTGTGAGGAGATGGTCGGACGCCGGGGACCCGCGGATGTAGTTCTCCATTGCTACTTGGCTGAAGCGCTCGAGCAGGGCTTGGACGGTCTGCGGTCGTCGTGACGGGTCGAAGCTGCTAGGCCTCCGTGTGCAGAGGGCTTGGTCCGTTGGACTTGGATTGGCATTGGAATTGGAATCGTCACCCGGGGAGGACTGCGATGATGAGCTCTGCTCATTGCTTCGGGACCCTGTTTTGGATCGGGCTACTACTCCCCGTTCAGCTTGTTTCCGTTTCCCTGGGTTCGCGGTCAGTCTTATTTCGTGTGGATGTCAGGCCCGGGAAGCATCTCACGGTATGCGCGTTGGTTCAGCCGGTTCTGTCTCCTCCGTCGCTCCTGACGATCGCCCAGTCCTGCCCATTCATCCTCCGGCTCCACCTGGCGCGTTGCAGCAACGGCAAGGGGTGATGAGGGTGGGGAGAAAGACCGCGTGGGCTCTTCCTTGATGGCGTCTAGATGAGGAGTCGGCGACACGTGCAACTCTGATCCCATGTGAGTGTGCAGACGGGTGGATGTGCGGTAGAAAAGAGATACGGCGGCGGAAGAAGAAGAAGAAGAAGGAGAAGAAGTCCTCGGATGATCAGATAGATGGTATTGAAGGGAGGCTCCCGACCGTGGGCTTTTATGTCGGTGGCCACAAGCCTTCGCGGTGGCCCTTAACCCAGGTGGGGAAGGCGCGGGAGGGTCCAGCGGGCGGGGTCCGGTCCTGTCATGACGTAAAATACCGTACCAGCCAACCCGCCAAACAGGCAGCCGTGTCAGGTGACCTGGGCAAAGCCGGCCGTTATCGGGACGGAGGAGCACGAGCAGAAGACCAGACCAAGAGGCAACGATGTGCGATGGGCGCAACCTTGACCTTGTACAATGAACAAGCGTCCGTACCCAGCGTCCCTGTCCCCCGACCTGCTGGACAACGCCCTCCATGACCTCTCGCCCGATCCCGACCAGACTGGCTCCGCCGCCGCCAAAAAGCCCCGGAACTTCATAGCCACCGTGGTAGGTCACTCATTCTCGTCCCGCCCGGTCGCAGGTTCAGCCGTTGTGGATAGAAGTAACCTGTAGATCGACTAGGCGTGTGAGAACTGCAGGCTCAAGAAGACCCGCTGTGACGAGTCGCGACCGAAATGTGGCCTGTGCAAGTCTCTCGGTCTAGATTGCGTCTATAATGAGCGCAAGACCTCCAAGTAAGACCCCGTCCGGCCTGTCGCATGCACGGCACTCAGTTGGCTAATGGGTCATGTTGCAGGCGGGACCATTCTCTCAGCCTGATTATGAGTACGCTCCATCGACTGGAAACCAAGCTTGAGGGTGTCCCCACGGCCATCTCGAATGAGATTCAATCTCTTCGGAGTCAGATGCCGCATGGCCTGAACACTCCCGATGTGACGAGCTCTCACGCGCGTCGTCACCGCAGCATCAGCAGACTGGGGATGCAGGACTACTTCAGTTCCCAGAACCCCACGCCGGAAGCAACACGGCTAGACGACCTGGTGGAGCATGATGAGCAAGAGAGTCGTCCCAACCCAGCCGACTCCAAGGGCCTGGCGTCTATCTCATTCAGTCAGCACGGTGTAATATCCTGGCTAGGCGTGCAAGAACTCCTTCCGCAGAGACTTCTCGAAGCCCATGACCAACTGGGGAAGAACTACGTGATTGACTTGGAGATGAACAGACCCCAGCTGCCAATGTACATCTGCCCGTTTCCTGCGCAGGCGGGAAGCAACTGGCTGGAGACACTGCCATTGGCAATGGTTAAGGGTCTCTCCGATGTCTTCTTCACAACATTTAATCCATTCACGCCGATCATCGACAGGAACTTCTACTTTGCCTTGACCCTCGGAGCGGCGATCGAGAGCAATTTTGGCTACACCATCGAGAGCTGTGTGGTTCTGAATATTATGGCCTTGGGCTGCATCGCAGTTCATGCCTACCAAGAAGGGAACTATCCACTGCCAGGGACCAGGAGCGATCGATTCGAGCCTCCGGAATGGATGGGCGTTGTTTATGAAGAAACCCCCGGGTTACGTTTCTTTAACGAGGCTCGCCAACGCATTGGATTCCTGATGTGTGACAACGACGTCCAGAGCTGCCAGTTCTATCTCCTGTCATTGTATGTCTCTCCGGTGACTCTGTGTATCGTCAGGTACTGACAACATGGAATGTAGTGTCTACTACAGCCAGATCCTCCGCCCGATGGATTCATGGGCCATGATCCATCGCGCGGCTACATGCTGTCTCTCCATGCTCACCAAGTAAGCCATCCACAACACACTCGTCCCCCTGCAGAACTGACACACCCAGTCGTGACGTCCATTTCGACGAATGGGAAGGGGACATGAAATCCCGCGTCTACTGGAACTGCCTGATGAACGAGACGATTCTCGTGCAAGAGCTGCACGTTCCTCCCAGCGGACTCGCCCGACTCGAAGAATACGTGCCCATCCCCAAATTCATCAGCTTCGAATTCGCCGCCTCGCGCTCGATCTCGCTAGAAGAGATCGACGACTCCTTTTTCCAATACCATTTCCTCGCGCAGGTCGCCCACCGTATCATCCTCACCCGCATCCGACACTCCCTCTACTTCCACTGTGAGTCCACCCTCCATGCCCCATATACCCACTCACAAACCAACTCTCCCATTCCCCATCTCATCCACCCACTAAACAACCCTCCCAGCCGACTCGGGCACATTCCCCCATCCTGCCGTCAACGCCGAACTGCGCCACCAACTCGAGCAATGGCGCATCAACCTCCCCGCCGCCCTGCAATTCTCCGACTCGCCCCCTCCCACCTCCACCACAGACATCAACAACACCAACACCAACACCACCACCACCGACACATCCGCCTCGCCATCCCCCGCCGCTCGCCTCCCCTTCGACCCAACCCGCCACCCCTTATCCCCCGCCATCGCCGTCTCCGAAGCCATGCTGCGAGGCCGCTACATGATCGCCAACTTCCACATCGGCCGCCCCTACCTCTACAAGGCCCTCCACATCCCCGCCTCCCTCACCGACAACGACCTCGACCAGATCCGTCGCGGCCTGCTCAACGCCATGAACTGGCCCATCGTGCTGGGTATCTTCCGGAGAATGAAGAGCTGCATTCCGCTCAAGTTTGCGTTTTGTTCGCAGTAAGCCAACCACCTCCCCCTCCCTTTTCCCTTCTTCATCTTTGTCTTCCCATTCACAATTCACTTCCTTTCCCGGCATCTGCCAATGACCAATATACGTACCTATACTAACCAATTCCCTTTTTACTTTTCGATAGATTCTTCGGCCAAATCCTCCTCTTCTATTGTATTTCCCACTCGCCTGATGCCCGCTTGCAGGAGACTTTGCCTGCGGGCTGGGAACAGTGGAATCAGGAGATGCTACGGTTTCTGGAGGACTGTGCGCAGTTTAGTCCGGCCGTGGCGAAGGATTTGGAGCTTTTGCAGTCGTTGTGATGGGTTGGGTTGATATATTGTGGGCTGGGGTTCGCTGGATAGAGATGACTACGTGTCTCTCTGTGTCTCTCTGTCTGTATTTATGTATGTATGTATGTATTCATATATGTATGTATGTCTGTCTGTGTGGGTGGATGGGTGGGTAGGTGGGTGGATGGATGTATGTATGTATGTGACAGGGTGTGTGAGCAGGTGTATTTGCCTGACGTGATCTATGTAGACAATGACCTTATGTAGTATGTATATAGAATCAGGGCATGGATGGTTGTATTGTTGCTGGATGAAGAGGGTGTTTCGCTGTGCATATGTCACTTGGGTATAATGAATATGAACTGTATTTCTGTTCCGAGAACTCGAAAGTGAGTAAGTAGATGATGGGATGGATTCCATTGGAGAAAAACACAAGGCAGCTGGATATTACACTATGAGAGAGTTACTAGACAGTAGACAGCTACAAGATAAGATGGCTACGAGAGCAAAGTTCCCCTTAAACAATCTCCATCATTACATTCTGTAAGGAGTATGTATATATGGTTAGTATCCCCTCCATCAAATACGCCCCGAGCCCACATCGGCATAAGACAGAAAGAGAGATGGAAAGATTTTCGACTCCTCCATCCACAGCTATTATACAATCAACCAACCAACCAACCAACCGAGGGAAGAAACATAGACACAAAACCACCCAACGCCACGCCAACCCAAGACAAAAAAAAAAAAAAAAAAAAAAGTGCCCACCAAGTACTCGTCCTCAATGTCAATTTACCTTCTTCTTCTTAAGCTTAAGACCCCTCCTCCCCCCGAATCACCCTCTCCAAATGGGCCCTCTCCCCACTATTCTCCACCAGATTCCTAAACACCCCGTCTTCAATATCCAACAACTCCCGCGGAGTCCCAAACTCAACGGCCTTACCGGCATCCATCACCAGAATGCGATCGAAATCCGCGACGGTGCTGAGCCGGTGCGCGATGACAAGGAGGGAGGTAGCGTTGCGGCCGAATTCCTCGCGGATGGAGCGCTGGATGAGGGCCTCGGTCTCCATGTCGACGGCGGAGGTGGCCTCGTCGAGGATCATGATTTTGGGCTGCGAGACGATGGCGCGGGCGAGGCAGAGGAGTTGGCGCTGGCCTTGGGAAAGGTTGAGGCCCCCTTCGGAGATGATGGAGGAGAGGGAGGCGAAGAAGTTGGGCGATTTGATGGGGGTGGTGATTGAGGTTGAGGATGGGGAGGAGGGGGAGGGTGGGAATGTGTTGTTGCTGCGGCTGATGCTGCTGCTGCTGCTGCTGCCGTCGGTGGAATGTTCGCTCCTGGGCTGGGATGCGAGGGTTAGGGTGTCTTCGAAGGAGACAAGGTGGACTCGTTCGAGGGCGTTGTAGAGCTCTATATCGGTGTACTCGTGGAAGGGATCGAGGTTGGACCGCAGGGTGCCGGAGAATAGGACCGGGTCTTGAGGGATGATTGCCAGCCGGCTGCGGAGGGCCTGGAGTTTGAGTTGGGAGATGTCCAGTCCGTCGATTATTATGCGGCCTTGTCGGGCTTCGAGGAATCGGAAGAGTGCTAGGGTTAATGAGGATTTCCCGGCCCCTGTGCGTCCCACGACGCCGACTCGTTGGTTGTCTTCCATTGTGAAGCTGAGACCGTCCAGCACGGGAGGGAGATCGGGTGCGTAGCTGACGACTAGGTCCTCGACTTCGACTTTGCCCCGGGTGGGCCATGCCGCTGGGGGGTTATGGCCGCCTTGGTTCTCTGTGTCGATGGTGGAGTACTCTAACACCCGCTCGGTGGCGTTCATGTCTGTCTCGACGTTGGCGTAGAAGCGAAGACCCATGGACACGGCGTAGTTGTACTGGAGAGCAAAGGTCATGGCGAAACCCGCCAATGCCGGGGAGATGCTCGGAACGTACACGACAAGTGCTGCCGTCACTGTGGATAGCACGGCCCCTGCGATGCTCATCCGGAATGCCAGCCAGCGATCTAGAAGCCACAGGTACCAAGCTGCCTGTGCGTGGCAGTCGATGCGGGTGTACATGTCCTGGATGTAAACCTCTGCTTTGTTGAAGGCACGAATGGTGGTGAGTCCAACGAGACTGGAACTAAACCGCTCCAGAACCGGGCTTTTGGCGGTACTTTCTAGACGCTTGATTTCACGCATGCCTGTGAGGTAGATTTTGGAAAGCTGAAAGCACAAGGCCATGAGGAGACAGGCAAGTGCCAGCAATATCGGCGATACCAGCACGCCTGCGGAGAGTATACCGACCAGCTCCAGGACCTTGTACACAAAGTGGCCCATATCATAGCCTAGTCTCCAGTCCAAGATGTATATGTCGGAGGTGAATCGGTTCAAGATCCGGCCAAGGGGGACGGTGTCCAGCCATCGCAGAGGGGAGCGTAGTACGGTTGCTAAAAGATCATTGAACAGCTGCCGTGAAGACTCCATAGCCGCTAGGGCGAGAGCCAGGGTCCTCAAGGTTCCCACCACACATGCAGCCACCGAAAAGCACACATAAATGCCGAGATAAAACATCAGATCGTTGTTCATGGTGAACATGCTGGTTTGGTCGTCCGCGCTGTTTAAGACAGTAGTCGAGGGTTCCGGATGCGATGGATTAGACGAGTCGGTCCAAACCCGTACCCACCAGGACTGACGAGAGTTAGCTGCTATTATTTGAGAAGTGAGCGATGAAGACACTTACTCGACCAACTAAAAGTGCCATGAACATGCTGTACGCCAGGAAGGCAACTGCCCATAAGCGTAGACAATTCCCCCTGGTCACATACGCCGTGTACACCTTCAAGGAGACGGCTCCTTTCTCACGCTTTTCATCCTCAGTGAACTTCCTTGTTGGCTCGGTGATTGTTGCTACTGAAAAGCCCGATCCGGTAGAAGTGCGCTTCTGGATCGGTGATCCAATCTCTTCCTCTGTCACGTCCCGCTTATGTATGTTTGCTGGGTCTGATGTCTGGCCCAGCAAGTCAAGCAAGTTGTGGGTAGCCACTAATTCGTCTACCGTCCCAGCGTGGATCATAAGCCCGTCTCCGAGAAGAACGCAGTAGTCGGTACGAGATAGACATAATCCAAGATGGTGTGTGACCAGGATCCTGGTTCTATTCTGGCCCAGTTTTCCGGTAAGGGCATGCTCGTAGACGTGACGGCCAGTCTCAGCGTCGAGGGCGCTGAAGATATCGTCCATAACTAGAATCCCGGCCCGAGAATAAAGAGCTCGCGCGAAGGAGATGCGCCACCGCTGGCCACCGCTGAGATTGATTCCATTTGCACCAATATCGGTCCGATCAGAATCCGGCAGCATAGCAATATCTTTTTGCAGCCCCGCGGCGAAAAGGACTTTGCGGTACCGGTACCGGTCGTATGGCAGGCCGAACAGGATGTTGTCTCTGATCGTAGCATTCTCCAGCCAGGGGTTCTGAGCTACATATGCCACGGCGGACTCAATGATCCAGTTGTGTCGTGTCGCTCTCTGGTCGTATCTTTTGTCTGCGTCAGGAGTGTGTGGCACTGCCACTGTCCCGGCCAATACATCGCATTCGCCCAGGATTGAGGCCAGCAGAAGGCTTTTTCCGGAGCCAGTCTTCCCAGAGATTACACTCAACCCTTTGGGCGGGAACTGCAGGGTGAGGTTCCGGAGAATAAAACGCTCATTCATGTCCCAACCCATCCCGGGCTCGTCACTCTCTTCTTCGGGCCATGCAACTGTGGCGTTGGTGAAGGATATCCGATCCACATCAGACGTATGAGGTGCCTTTTCCGCCGAATGCAGGTACTGATCAATACGGTCCGCACTGATTTTTGCCTCCATACCCTTAGACAACAGATCAGGCAAACTAGCCATTGCGGATTCCAACGACCCAAAAACAGAGAGGGCCGTAAACGCCACGGAGGCAGACAGGTCGCCACGAGTCAATGCATACACAGTCAAAGACACAGCCGATAGCATCAGAGGCCCCATAATCCACACTGAGACCATGCCAATGGTGTATACCGATGTTTTCCACAGCAGTTCAAGTTCGATGCGGCGCTTTTCCGAGATACGATCTTGCCACTGCTGTTCTAATGCGGCAAATTTGATCTGGCGAATACCGTGAAGAACTTCCGCTACAGCGCTCATCCGCTTGTCGCTTGCCTTCATGAAATTCTCTTGGGCTTCTGCATATTTCCTCGTTAGATAGGTATTAAAAGGAGCCACCAGAACGGCCGCAGTGACACCTGCAAGGAGGCTCGCCCATCCAATGAGATGAACCAAGAAGATGCCTCCAATGAGCAGTCGAATCACACATGACGGGATAAGGTAGTTGAACATGACAAAATCGGCGATGCGTTTGGAATCCACAGACGCGAGGTTCAAAATGCTCTGGCTACCCCCTTGTTGCTCCTCTTCTTCTATCTTCTCGTCGCTCCCTTCCTCGTCGTCTTCGTCAACTGGCAACAGCTGCTTTACATCCTTACATCGCATGGACTTGGCGAATACCAATGCTGAAAGACCCTCATAGATTGGGATCCAGAGCTTCGAATAGATGATCCACCAAAGCCATGTTTCGATGCTAGACGCTAGAAGGAGTACTGTTCCCAGTCCGAACACCCACATCCATGCCTGGTTCAGTTCCCCGGGGACAGCAGAACGGTCCTCAAGCGCTTTTAGTATCCCGTACATAGCTACCTGCGGTCCGAAGTTCAGCACACAAACAACCAGGCTGAGGGATCCCTGGATTATCAGGGGAAGTTTGTGCACCAGCACCAGTGCTTTCCACAGCTCTCGAGTTCCACGGAATCTCTCGAGGTTTTCATGAAGCGTTTTGGAGCGTTCGGTGAACGGCAGCTTTGGGAGACTGTCCATATCCAACCCCTTATTTGCCACGATCAAGTGTAACAGATCGCTGACCCATCCGAAGGTAAACCGTTTCAAGGCGCTCACGGTCCGTTCCCTGTCAACGACCCGGCCCTCATGGTATACTTCCGGGCGTCTTGGGATCATAACACAGCAAGCCCCTCGTAGACAAGCGATACCAGTCTGGCTGATCAACAACCCCATTGCTATACGACTCTGATCAATGCGGTACTTGTTGTGCCAGGCTAATCCAACTTCCAAACAGGGGATGGCTGCCGCGGTCGTGCTGGCCACAAATCCGTATATTCCTAGTATGTACCGCTCGGTAGGTTCGGGTTCGACGAAGAAGCCAACTGTTTGTAGACATAGTACGGACTTTCCGGAGTAGTTAGTTAGTCAGAGCCAGGGCATTATGGATGCTTCAGCGAAACTCACCCAGCTTCCCATCTGCAGCCAAAAGGGGACAACAAACTGGTTCTGGCTCATTATAATCGATATAATGGCCTGTGTCAGCGATAATCCCAGGCCGATCGCCGACAGAAGGGCTATAGCCACTCTCTGCCACACATCTGAAAACTCCTCCGCGGATGTGCTCGGAGCCACTCCATCCTCATCTTCATATCCCTGTTGATCGAACGCGGAGGTCTCTGATTCGGTCGAGATTGTCGCTTTCGCATGCTTGACCCTCCAGGCTATCCTCCCGAGGGCCGGTACGCTAGAGCTGATGGTCAGGAGAAGGCCGACGGCGCCTATCGCAATGGACGCCATATCGCAACTCGATGACATCCTACATGGATGTCTCGATAGATCGAATGAGTTGGTCGAAAGGACGCGCGAAAGGACGCGATGTGGGATAAAAACAAGGACCTTGTTTAACAGGCCAGACAATCTAGGAGTGGTCCCTGGATCTGCACGAGTTACTGCAGGACCTGCATTCCATCTGCATTCTTTCCGCGTACCCTTGCTTGCCCGAGAGGGAGCCACCTCAGGTACCCAGCACCACACGGCAGTGAATGCGCGGAAGGGCAGCTAGCTTTTAAAGGGCTCATGGGCTAGCACCTCCACCAGCTCCAGCCAGCATTGTGGCGATAACACAAGCAAGAACAAACTGGTTAGCCCACTCAAGGAGCACAGTGTAACGATGCGGCCAACCACCCACCCGCATGACCACTATTTCAATCTGACTGGAATAAACATGTAGATACCCTTTTATTGGCAGCCATGGTTGTACCAATATCAGGGCTTTGTACCTTTGACGAAGTGGAGAGATGAGAGGATATATCCATAAATATATATATGATGTAGTGTACGGAGAACTTATGGATATATTTCTTGTGACACGGCACAATCAAGACGGCTGATGCCCAGTGCAACAGATATGGTACACTTGCATCCCCAGCCAGAAGGGTAACAGAGACCCATCAGGAAATGGCGAGTATGATCTTCAAGAGCACGATGGATGGAGTGTTGTTAACTTGACTTCAGTTGTTCCCCCGCCTCGTATAGATGGCGGCCCGCCCGATCCGGTAAGGCGCCATCCGCATCCTCGGAATCGGCAGAACGTAGGAGCGAGTAGACTAGACCTTTTCGGGATAGCTCGGTGGCGGGGCCCCAGCCGGGACCCTGATTGGCCCAAGGCTGACAAACGGCGGGTTCAGATTGGGTGGCGGGGAGCGGCAGTCCAACTCCGGCCCCGACTTCGCTGCGGATTCCCCGGTCCATTTCTGCTGCGACTGGCTCTCGAGGAGTCACTCGCACGTCGGTGTCACTCCCTACTCTTCCTTCTCTTCTGCTGGTCTCGGGTTCCAAGGCTTCTCCCTTTCCTGACCGGATTCTACCCCGCGCTGCATCCTGTTTCATCCCCCCATTGCCCGTGATTCGCGCGCTCTCAGACGGCAATGCTTCTTTCCCAAACCCGGGGGCGTATGCCCTCCGCTCTGCGGAGCATCGCTAAGCGCTCTGTGCTGAACAGGTATGCACCATCGCCCTCGCCCACAGGATGCCATTGCGCTCGTTCGATATGATGATACTGATAATGGCCTTGCAATGCTAGTCGCCCTCTGTCCACGACCCTCCCGAGACAGCAGAACGCCAGCGATGACGCCAATGCCGGCCTCAACAAGGTCTCCCGCCATATCACCCAGCCCATCTCGCAGGGTGCCTCCCAGGCCATGCTGTACGCGGCTGGTCTCACCGAGGCGGACATGAACAAGGCCCAAGTCGGTATCTCATCCGTGTGGTACAATGGCAACCCTTGCAACATGCACCTGCTCGACCTCAACAACCGCGTCCGTGAGGGTGTCCAGAAGGCCGGCTTGGTCGGCTTCCAGTTCAACACGGTCGGTGTCAGTGATGCCATCAGCATGGGTACCAAGGGAATGAGATTCTCTCTCCAGAGTCGTGATCTGATTGCCGACTCCATCGAGACCGTGATGGGTGGTCAGTGGTATGACGCCAACATCAGCATTCCCGGGTGTGACAAGAACATGCCCGGTGTCTTGATGGCCATGGGAAGAGTGAACCGGCCCAGTTTGATGGTGTACGGCGGTACCATCAAGCCCGGCTGCGCCTCCCTCCAGGGTAACGCCGACATTGATATCGTCTCCGCTTTCCAGGCGTACGGCCAATACATCAGCAAGGAGATTACCGAGCCCCAGCGGTTTGACATTATCCGGAACGCCTGCCCGGGAGGTGGCGCCTGCGGCGGTATGTACACGGCCAACACTATGGCCACGGCCATTGAAGTCATGGGTATGACTCTGCCTGGATCTTCTTCCAACCCCGCCGAGTCTCAGGCCAAATACGACGAATGTATTGCCGCTGGTGAGGCGATCAAGACCCTGCTCAAGGAGGACATCCGTCCCTCCGATATCCTGACGCGCCAGGCCTTCGAGAACGCTATGATCCTGGTCAACATCACCGGTGGATCCACCAACGCGGTTCTTCACCTGATCGCTATCGCCGACTCCGTTGGCATCAAGCTGGACATCGAAGACTTCCAGTCCGTCTCGGATCGCGTGCCTTTCCTGGCTGACCTCAAGCCTTCCGGCAAGTACGTGATGGCCGATCTCCACACCATTGGTGGTACTCCTTCCCTGCTCAAGTTCCTGCTGAAGGAGGGTCTTATCGATGGCTCTGGTATGACCGTCACCGGTCAGACCCTGGCCAAGAACTTGGAGAACGTGCCCGATTTCCCCGAGGATCAGAAGATCATTCGCCCCTTGTCCAACCCGATCAAGGAGACTGGTCACATTCAGATTCTGCGCGGTTCCCTGGCCCCGGGTGGCAGTGTTGGTAAGATCACCGGTAAGGAGGGGATGGCTTTCACTGGAAAGGCTCGTGTCTTTGACGATGAGGATGATTTCATCACCGCGCTCGAGAAGAACGAAATCAAGAAGGAGGATAAGACCGTTGTGGTTATCCGCTACACTGGACCCAAGGGAGGTCCCGGCATGCCCGGTAAGTTTCCGCCGCATATGCCTCTATATCCATTGCGGGTCAATTCAACTGACCACATTGTGTGATCCATAGAGATGCTGAAGCCCTCTTCGGCTCTGATGGGTGCTGGTCTCGGAAAGTCCTGTGCCCTGATCACCGACGGACGTTTCTCCGGTGGTTCTCACGGATTCCTGATCGGACACATCGTCCCCGAGGCCGCCGTCGGAGGCCCCATTGGCCTGGTCAAGGATGGTGATGTTATCACCATCGACGCTTCTAAGCGCGTTCTTGACCTCGATGTCGACGAGACCGAGCTTGCAGAGAGAAGAAAGCAGTGGGAAGCCGACCGGGATGCTGGCAAGCTCCCCCCCACTGGCCTGACTCTCAGAGGAACTCTCGGCAAGTATGCTAGGTATGTGGTTCCTCCCTGTGATGCCATGGTATAATTTCCCACCTGGACCCCGCTGATATTCTTTGCCATAACAGAACCGTCAAGGATGCCAGCCACGGCTGTATTACCGACTCTCTCGAGTAGAGTGTAGAGACATTCGTTCTCTTGTACCCTTTGTTGCATCTATAATACTTTTCAAAGTCAGCTCTGTCTTATTTTACGGTTCTCTTTTTCGGTTTCTCGGTCTGGGATGGGTTTGGGTCGATTGAGTCTGGAACCCCTACTGTTTTATATAGGCGAATTTCAAGAATAAAAGCGTTGTTTGTTATGATTTCTTTCACCATCCATGACAATCCGTACCAAAAATAGAGTTCATCATTCTTCCAAACATGAGTTAAAGAATTTGCATTTCTATATCCCCATCTTGTACCTGTACCTGGATGCACGTGGCGGACAGATCACATGACTGTCGCTTAGTGTTTGCAGAGTTTGCGCCCCTGGTTATCGGGCCCAATAATGCGGGGAATCTTTTCTTTTTTCCCCTCAACACCAAGATCAACCCTCTTGTCTCTCGTTCTTTCTCGTTCTTTCCCAGGCTCCATCCGGGCCCTGTCATTAATATGTCTCCTGCTCCGATCGCCCCCACGACGGAGGATGTCGCGACATTCCTCCAACAGGTCGAGCCTCCCCAGATCGCCCCGCACCGCTCTCACGACCCCTCCAACAACCAGAAGCGGAGCGACCCCTTCCAGTTCGGCTCCCGCTACCTGGAGCAGGGCGACGATGTCTACGAGTTCAACGCCTGGGACCATGTCATCCCGGACGACGAGTTCAAAGCCTTCGCGGAGGTCCAATATGCGAAGCAGCGCGAAACCCCGGTATCCGACTTCGACCGCAACCGTTTCAACAATGACCCGGCCAAGTGGTGGAACCTTTTCTATAAGAACAACACGTCCAACTTCTTCAAGGACCGCAAATGGCTTTGCCAGGAGTTCCCGGTGCTCGGCGAAGTGGTCAAGCCTGACGCAGGCAAGCGCGTGGTGCTGGAGGTCGGTGCCGGTGCCGGAAACACTGCCTTCCCGCTGATCGGGCTCAACGAGAACGAGGAGCTCATGGTCCACGCCTGCGATTTCTCCAAGACGGCTGTCAAGGTCATGCGTGAGAGCCAGGAATACAACCCCAAGCACATCACGGCGGATGTGTGGGACGTTACGGCGGAGGCGGACGAGAACAGCAACGGGCTGCCCCCTGGCCTCACTGAGGGGTCTGTTGATGTCGTCGTTCTTATCTTTATCTTCTCTGCTCTGAATCCGGATCAGTGGGAGAATGCTCTTCGCAACGTGTATCGCGTGCTGAAGCCCGGTGGTCAGGTCCTTTTCCGTGATTACGGACGGGGCGACCTCGCGCAGGTGCGGTTCAAGAAGAACCGCTACATGGCCGAGAACTTCTACGTCCGAGGTGATGGAACACGAGTTTACTTCTTCGACAAGGATGAGCTGGAGCACATGTGGGGCCAATGGACCCCGGAGACTGGCATTCCGATCAAGAGTGCGACGCCGGAAGAGGAAGAGACTAAGGAGGAGCAACAGACGACTGACAAGAAGGGTGTCTTCGAGGTCAGGAAGCTGGGTGTTGATTACCGGCTACTTGTTAACCGCCAACGCAAGCTGAAAATGTACCGTTGCTGGATGCAGGGACATTTTATCAAGCGTGACGATGCTGCTGCCAGTGACGCAGTGAAGAGCGAATCCTGATGTTCTGGAAGCCGTCCAGTAACAGCGCGTTTTGTGATTCTCGAGGCTGAAGGTACTATGAACGTGCAAGGCGAAAATCACATGGCAGCCACCAGCGACATCCGTGCCAAGCGGCGATCGTTGTCTGGTCCGCGTGTAAGAGCCAAGTCGCCTTTTTATGTCCCATGTCGAACAGAAAGGCTTTCAAGGGAAGATGTCCAATAGCACGGCTGTGGTGATACTTTTGCCGTGAACGTGACTTTCCCACCTGAAACAAGAAGATAGGCTATACGCCCTTGATCATGCGAGTGACAATCGATGATGGCAGTCCAACAGCCACCCAGACCTTTCAAGCCGGTTCTTGCCGTCATCCAACAGAAGCAGACATGTGCCGGAAACGAAGCCAAAGCGAAGTGCTGATCCAACACTAAGGATTCGATGATACCCATGACGATAAATATAGAGTCTAGATATAGATTTATGCAAGTTATTTTATTGAGAGATACTACTTCATGTGGCTTCATTAGTGGCCTTGCTAATCTGTGGGCCCAGCAGCCCTATTTCACCAAAGTGTCACAGGCTTAGAACTTAGAACACGATGAGACCGTCCGGGATTTTTGCAGAAGCATATTCGGATTTACGACGGTCCTCCCGTCACAATCACCTGAGGTAGCAGCAAGTGAAGATGGAGTGTCGAGTGCGATTCCTGGTGGTGCAACAGATTGCTCATCTGGCATCCGCCATGTGATGCTCACCGGCATCTGCATACCCTGAGCCATTTCCTGGCATAGTTCAATTTGAAGGGAGAATTTGAGATTCACCCACCATGTCTAATTACCCCTTTGGCCGGTATGCCGCTGAGACCAAACCTGTCGCGTCAACCAACAAGTGATCCGGTTTGGGACCCGCCGTTAAGCTGCCGCAACTCGATGTGGGCAGAATAGCCGGGAAATCCGCCCTCGGCGTGAAGAATAAATGCGATGTCTCCCAATGGGCGAGAAATCAAAACAGCCCAGCGGATGCTTTCAGCGGCCACGCGGACATGCCGCAGGGCTGGAATGTTCTGGTGGTGGGTGGTATGCCAGAGCCTCCCATCCCTGCGCTCGTCACCCGCTCACTTGCGAAGATGCCGATGCCATCGGTTCGGGCTTGTTTTTGGTTGACGAAACTCACGATAGCCTTCACAGCTGACGCCTGTTTATCTGTGGCCATGAGGTCAGGGATTCCGACTGGACACATCATCACAGCAGACCCATCGTCCGATTGACAGGTGACCCAGGCCTCTCTGAAAGACGACTCAGCAGCCACGCCATCACGACGGCTTCAACACCGCCGATCCTGCCCCCTTCCGTCTGCCATCCTCCTCCGTCTATCTGAAGCCGATCTGTCCCTGTCAGATAGGCGGCCTGCCTGCCATTCTGGAAAGCAGTGCTTATCGTTCCCATTTGTTCCCGGCTTGGATCGAGCAACGCCTGACGGTCCCAGAGGCGTTTCGAGCAAATCTTATCAAAAATAGGACTCTCAAGTGACTGGCACCACGGCTAATCAAGGGTCCGTGGGCTTTTCTTGTAAGTTCGTCCCTGAAGCAAGCCGATCCCCATTCGCCCATGATGGTATCCCCGCAGACGTCAAGAAATTAGGGCATCCGAGGTTCTCCAAAACTTCCTAATCCAGCTGTCCACGCAGAAAGACTGCTGTCCGCATGCAATCAGTCCCACCGTAGGTGAGACATAAGAAGGCCACACCGCTGCGGCGCGGGCTTGGGCTACTGTATCCCGCACTATTATGCCCCTACTGTCCGAGCTGTCCAGCCCTATCTGTTAGCCGTCCATCCATCATGAAGTTCACCGGTTATCTTCTCGCCACCGCCTCACTGGCCGGCAGCGTCCTGGCAGCGCCTCGCAGCGGCGGCCTGGCGGACCGAATCCGCGCCCGCGCGATGTCTCGACAATCGCACCCTCTTGTGCCCGTTGCGGGCGATGAAAACTACCGCGTGGCCGGCACCGACGCATCGAACGTCACATACAGCAGCAACTGGGCGGGCGCCGTGCGCGAACAACCGCCCCCCAACGGCCCGTATACCGCCGTGACGGCCACCTTCAAGGTACCCGAGCCCACGGCCCAAGCCATGCGACAGACCGGCACGACGGCGGGATCAGCCTGGGTTGGAATCGACGGCGACACCTACAGCGCCGCCATCCTCCAGACCGGAATCGACTTCTACCTGGAAAACGGACAGACGTACAACGACGCCTGGTTCGAGTGGTACCCGGACTACGCATATGACTTCGACATCACCGTGAACACGGGCGACATCATCGTGGCTAAAGTGGAGGCGCTCTCGTCCAGTCAGGGCGTCGCCACGATCGAGAACCTCTCGACGGGCCAGACGGCGTCGCAGACGGTCTCGGCGCCGGCCGCGACGGCCACGCTGGGCGGCCAGAATGCCGACTGGATCGTCGAGGACTTTCAGTCCGGCGACCAGATGGTCTCGCTGACGGATTTCAGCGAGGTCACTTTCTGGGGCGCCCAGGCGGAGGGCGGAGGCGCCACTTGGGGTGTGCAGGATGCATCGATCGTGGAGCTGAAGCAAAATAACCAGGTGTTGACGTCGGTGAATGTGCAGAGTAATTCCGAGTTCACGGTCACGTATTTGGGGTGATGTTGATTGATGATGGCGATGGTGATGGTGATGGTGATCTGATGGGTGTGTCACGATCGGATTGATTTTTCTTTTATTTTCTGCTTCTTTCTGGATCGATTCTTCTTCTGCCGTGTATGTATGTATCGTGGATGTCTGGTCTGATATGCGGTGCTCGGCTATCGTACTACGCTGGCCTCGGGTATATTATGCCTGCCGGGCGCGCAGACATGACCGCATCGCATGCCTTCTGGACCTTCCTTGATCTATAGATCTCCTTTTCTTGGGTTCTCCCTCCTCGCCCACCCCTGGTTATCCATGTGGATCCGACCGAAGAAAAGAGCGCTCATCTTCTAATTAACCCCTCCCATCTCCAATATATCATGTCTCGTACATACCGGTTATGCCGGGCCCTACGGGCAGGCGGCGGGGGAGTTCCAGTGCCGGCGTCGCCCTTTCTACGCGCGCCGACCCCCAGGGGCTTTTCGACCAGCGCCAGACGCCCCCTGATGGAACTGACGGGGTTCAGCGAGGAACAATTAACCGTCCGCGATGCCGTGTCCGCCGTGTGCGCCAGATTCCCCAGCACGTACTGGCAAGAGTGCGACCAGAACGAGCGCGATCCCAAGGAGTTCCATGCCGCGCTGGCCAAGGATGGATGGCTGGGCATCGCTCTGCCGGAGGAGCTGGGCGGCGCAGGACTTGGTGAGGACTTGACCTCCTTCTTTCTTTCTTTTTTCTCTTTCTTCCTATTATTATCTGATGGACCACAGCTGACCTATCTCCAGGAATCTCCGAAGCCACGATGATGATGCAGACGATCACGCAGTCCGGGGCGGGGATGGCGGGGGCGCAAGCGATCCACGCCAACGTCTACGCGACGCAGCCACTGGCGCGGTTCGGGACACGGTCCCAGCTCGAGGAGACGATCCCCAAGATCATCACCGGGCAGTGGCGGACCTGCTTCGGGGTGACAGAGCCCAACACAGGTCTGGAGACGCTGAAGCTACGGACCCTCGCCACGAAACACCCCGCACGGGACACCTACTCGATCTCCGGGCAGAAGATCTGGATCACCTGCGCGCAGATCGCGGCGAAGATGATCCTGTTGGCGCGGACGACGCCGCTGGAAGAGGTGCGTAAGCCCACGCAGGGCCTGTCGCTCTTCTGTATCGACCTCGATCGCGAGCAGCCCGGGCTGGACATGCGCAAGATCAAGAAGATGGGTGCGCGCGCCGTCGACGCCAACGAGGTCTTCTTCGATAAGTACGAGGTTCCTGCGAATACCTTGATCGGGCAAGAGAATGACGGCTTCCGTATCATCTTGCACGGTATGAACGCCGAGCGATGTCTGCTTGCCGGTGAGGCCCTGGGCCTGGGCTACGCTGCCCTGGAACGAGCCGCCCAGTATGCGAACGACCGCGTCGTGTTTGGCCGTCCGATCGGCCAGAATCAGGCTATTGCCCATCCGCTGGCTGATGCTTATATGCGGCTGGAGGCGGCCAAGTTGGCGACCTATCACGCCGCTCGGCTGTATGATTCTGCTGCGTCTGCCTCGAATACCGGGGAGGAAAGTAGTAATACTGCTAAATCTAATAGTGGTGGTAGTAGTAGTAGTAGTATCCCCCTCCACTCCGTGGGGGTCGCTTGCAATAGCGCCAAGTATCTGGCGGCCGAAGCGGCCTTTACGGCGTGTGAGCGCGCGGTGCTCAGCCATGGGGGCATGGGCTACGCGATGGAGTACGATGTGGAGCGCTATCTCCGCGAGTGTCTGGTGCCACGGATCGCTCCCGTGAGTCGCGAGATGGTCTTGAATTATGTCAGTGAGAAGGTGTTGCAGCTGCCGCGGAGTTATTGATTGGGAGGGTGTCTGGCGTGGCTGAAACCCTATATATGTACTTGGATGGATTGGGGGGGTAGATCTGAGCGCCGAAGGTTATTAGTTTGGTTTGATTTGATTGTACTCCGACTAGGGATTGACATGTGCAGATTGCGAAGTGCAGGATGCAGGTCGATCGTGAGAAACTACTCGGGATTTGTTTGATGGATGTTGGAATAGAGACGGATAGGCGAACTGGTAGCGCAACGTCTCGAACTCCCGCCGTGACAGAAACCGTCCGTAAAATCAAATGTCAGCCTGTCTTGTCTGTTACTTACTTGGCTGGTCTAAGCTTAATTAAAACTCCCAGGCAATTGAATAATCATCTAGTAATTTGCGGCATTTTTTTTTTTTTGCTTTTGCCATGAGCTTGTTTAGCCCCGGTTGCCTGTTCGTTTTTTTTTTTTTTTCTTTTCTTTTTTATTTCTTTTTTCTTGTCTGATTTTTCCCCGATCAAAAGTGGACCAGGACGAGTCGAGCTGAGGTGGTCGTGGTTGTCGTGGCCGTCGTCGAGGTGCCTGTTTTTGCCTGACCAAACCCAGTCTTTTGCCTCTCCATCCATTCTTCTCTCCACTCCACACGCAACTCTCCGCAACATTCGTTCATTCGTATCCCAAACACTCCTCAGCAACCCCCCCCCCCCCCCCCTTCTAAGCCACACCACCTTTTCCTTCCTCCATCCTCCACCCTTCACCTCCCACCCCCATTTATCCCTCTTCATATCTATCTCTCCTCGAATCATGCTGGTTCTCGCCCTGTCCCCCAAAAGTGCTGCACTCGTGGGTCTTTGACCGGCCGCGGCCTTTCTTGGTCTGCGTCTTTTCCTCTCGCTCTCCCTCCCTCATTGAGATCGGCAGGCAAACCCCCTTCGGGATTGGTACCACCCCTTCGTGCTGCCAAAATTCCCTCTGTTTTTTCCTTTCCAATCCAGACGCTCTCCGAAGTGCCCATCCCCATCCGCATCACTTCCCTGTCCTCGCCATCCGGAGCGGGTGCGACCGCAGGATGTTTTCCGCCCTGTTGCGGAGGGCGGGTTCCGTCACCTCGCGCTTGACCGCGCGCGTCCCCTGGATCAAGAGCCTGCGCATGAACTTCATCCTCATCCACTATGTCTATATCATCGCGGTCAGCCTGATTGGCTCCATCATCATCTATCCCGGTACTCAGTTATCCTACATCGATGCTCTGTTCCAATCCGCGGGTGCCGCCACCCAGAGCGGGCTGAACACCGTCAACCTTAACCAGCTGCACACCTACCAGCAGATTATCCTGTACCTGGTCTCGATGCTGACCACCCCGATCTTCATCCATACCGTCCTTGTGTTCGTCCGCCTCTACTGGTTCGAAAAGCGCTTCCAGCACGTCGTCAGCGATGCCAGAGCTCTCCGTAACACCCGGTCCCGACTCCGCACCATCAGCGAAGACAAGGATGGACAGTCCTTCTCTCAGGAGGAGGCTGGTATCGCGGGCCGCTCCATCGTCGTCTTGCGCGACACCCTGAACCAACCTCGAGATCAGCAGGATGGCGCCAAGCCTCCTCGCGATGGCGACTCGCCGCCCGCCTCCCCTACCACCGGCAAGCCAGCGCCGCTCCCCAGCGAGGACCCGGATAGTACACTCAATCGCAAGCTGGGCGTCGGATTGGGCAATGGACTCGGCAGTCTGCGTGTGCCGGCGCAGTTGGGCCCCGAACACCACATCGCGTTTTTGGAGAACCAGCGGAGGAACAAAGGGGCTCTGCGCATTCCCAGCCCTCGGGAATACGACAACGGCGGCGTGCCACAGGTCCTGGAGGAGGATGAGCCCGTTGGGCCGTCCCGTCGCTCATACCAGCCCGAGCGGATTCCAGGGGACGTAAACGGCGGGATCAAGGAGGAAAACGAGAATGACGACGAAGACGACGAGGAGGAGGACGAGGTGAACACCCCGCGGAGATTGGATGGACCGCACATCACCATCAACGAGCCGGATATGATGCCCTCGAGGACGCGGAACTCCACCTTCCCCCGCCTCGATACTCGCCCGACCTTTCGGGAGACGAAGGACGAAGGCGATCCCTCCGCGCTGGTCCGCTCCACGACGCGGCGACCCACCTTCAATAGCATCTTTCGATCCCTCACCCAGGAACGCGATCGGCCGACGCAGCCGTACCTGAGCTGGAATGCGACCGTCGGCCGGAACTCCAACTTTGTGGATTTGACTGAGGAGCAGCGCGACGAGCTCGGCGGAATCGAATACCGGGCTTTGAAGACGCTGGCGGTGGTCTTGATATCGTACTATGTCTTTTTCCACATCCTGGGCATCATCTGTCTCGTGCCCTGGATCATGACAACGCATTGGGGCAAGGTTGTTACGGCGGACGGCCAGGGCCGTCCGTGGTGGGCCATCTTCGTGGCCCAGTCGGCCTTCAACGATGTCGGCTTCTCCCTCACGCCAGACTCGATGGCGTCGTTCCAAAGCGCCATCTTTCCGCTCCTACTGATGACATTCTTGATCATCATCGGCAACACGGGCTTTCCGTGTATGCTGCGGCTCATCATCTGGGTGGCATCGAAGGTTGTGCGCCCCGAGACCCCCCTGTGGGAGGAACTACGCTTTCTGCTGGATCACCCGCGTCGATGCTTCACTCTGCTGTTCCCTAAGAACGCCACCTGGTGGCTGTTCGCGATCCTGGTGGCCATGAACGGGATCGACCTGATCTTTTTTATTATCTTGGATGTGAGTTTCCCTTCACCTTACACGTGAGTCCATCCGCATGGTTCTAATTTATCCTGCAGCTGAACGATCCCACCGTCACGTCCTTGTCTCCCGGAATCCGGGTCCTGGATGGGTTGTTCCAGGCAGCCTGCACCCGAACGGCTGGGTTCACCGTGGTGACGGTATCCGACCTGCACCCGGCGGTACAAGTATCCTACTTGATCATGATGTATATCTCCGTGTTCCCCATTGCCATCTCCCTGCGACGCACCAACGTCTACGAGGAAAAGAGTCTCGGAATCTACGCCTCCGCCGAAGACGAAGCGGAGGAAGCCCAGACCGCGCCCAGTTACATCGGGGCGCATTTGCGCAAACAGTTGAGTTTCGACTTGTGGTACGTGTTCCTGGGCCTGTTCATCATCGCCATTGTCGAAGGCAGTCGCCTGCAGTCGCAAAACGAGTATTCCTTCCAGATCTGGTCCGTGCTATTCGAGGTCGTCTCCGCCTACGGCACCGTCGGCCTGTCTTTGGGCTACCCCGGCATCGACGCCTCCTTTTCCAGCGAATTCAAAACCCTCTCCAAGCTGGTCATCATCGCCATGCAAGTCCGAGGCCGTCACCGCGGCCTCCCTTACGCCCTCGACCGCGCCATCCTCCTCCCCTCTGAGTCTCTGAACCAGAACGAGATCGCCGACGCGGAGCGCCGTATGCGCCGTCGCGCCTCTAGTCTCAGCCAGATGTCCATGAGCCCGTCCCAGCCTCGACCCGATCACGGCGCCTCTACCAGTATGGACCCCAAAGACCGCTCTAACCAGCCCTGGATGAATGGCGATATCATTCGTCGCCAGTCTACCATGCGATCGCAACGCTCGCAGCGCTAACTTAACTTCCTCCTCCATCCATCCATCCTCTTTCCAATCCTGCTATATCTCTTATATCTCATTTTTCCATTTTGGTTAGGAGGCCGTCTGTCTCTGTTCTCTGTCAACAATAGACTTGGGTTTGGCCTCGTTATCCATTTCGGGCGGCTTGCTACCTACCTACCTACCACGCCACACCACACCACACCACATGCCGTTGTTAGACTTTTTTTTCTTCACCTATTTTCTCTCATATATCTCCTGTCTTTCTATAGCGACTGTGTCTGTGTATGTGTGTGCGTCTGTCTGCCTATGTGTGCCTATATGTGCCTATATGTGTGTGTCTGTTCTTGAAGCGTGGTGTGATGTATTGATTTTCTCCCTTGCATCGAATCATTGCTCCTCCCCTTTGCTGCTCCCTCCGAGCCTCGAGCAATGCTTCCTTCCCTCCCTTCCCCCTTCCTTTCTTGCTCGTGTACTTGTATATATACATATTTCCGGGGTTGGTCTTATTTCATGCTCTGCAGCGGGCTGTGGGGTGTGATTCTTTTATGGTATTCTTCTTTTGTTGAGAGAAGAAGGAATATTATACTACTTTTTTGGGTATTATTTTGTGCGTGCATGCATGCGTGACGCGACTCCCGACTCACTGTAGCCTGGGGATGTGGGGGTGGTTTTCAAAATATATGGTACCTAGGACTGAGTGAATGAGTGAGTGAGTGAGTGTATGTCTACGCGTCTAAATGAAACAGCTACTTAGTATATATGATGGTACTAGGTGGTGCTGCCCTCCTGTCTACGGTGTATGCACGTATGCATCACGCAAACCACAACCCAACCTCCAACCCAATCCAATCCAAAAGAAGCCCAAAAGCAAATACAAACATCATTATTTATTTCAAAAAGAACATCAACAAAATCTATACAGATAATTAATCTATTTTACACCCCCGACCCCGATTTATTTACCTCAAGGCAACCAACTCCTCAGAACTAGTGGGATGAATAGCAACACAAGAATCAAAGTCCAGTCCTTCTTGATAATATCTATCTATCTTCACCGCAACGCCGAAACTCTGTAATATCTCACCGATATTCAGACCCAGGATATGCAGGCTGATAATCTTAGAGATATAAGTGTATGAAAAAGCTAATGAGAAGATAAGAGAAAGAGAGACTTGAACAGCGAGAGGAGAGCTGGTCTGATAGATTGGTAGAAATATCGGATATAATAGTGAATAGTAACGGAAGAATATAAGGACTGCTCAATGTTAATTCATAGGGGAATGGCTTGGTATCTAAGGAGAGGGATGGAAAGTAAAGTAAAGTATAATTAGCTTGGAATTAGTTAAGGATTTATTAGATTATTAATATAGAATCTGAGAGAAATTGTGAAGATTTTCCGAGTATTTATTGGAAGCTATTGCAGCCCCATGGTTACTTAGTTATGATGCCGTGATGAATAAGCATCGTTTCTAGATACATCATAGTTAGATGCTCTTGATTATTACTACTAGGTGTGGGATACCGACAGGTTGATAATCCCGGATCGATCAATCACACGCCAGGTCTCGATGAACCAGTCATATTTGCACATTTGTATTTACTGCGCATGCCTATGAATCCATGCATGCATGTCATAGTACTTTATACTTTGTATATAAAGATCTTTCTGGGCAGCTGTCACGGACCTCCTCCATCTGCTTCCCCGCTATCGTTGTCGGGGGCCTTTTGATTCCCTGCGCCCTCAGCCTTGGCAGATGCCCCAGAGCCCTTCCGAGAATGCAGCACCTTCTCGTAGACCGGCTGTTCTCCCTCCTTCAAGCCACACCCCGACGGATCTCGGCGAATGAGAAAGTGTTCGACCCTCGCATCCAATGACCGCATCTGATGGACCGTGTTGTCCTTTCGCCCTTTCAGCAACCGCGCCGACTCTTCAGTGAACTCCGACACTCTACTCTCGTAACCATTGTGGAGCTGGGTAATCCAGGACGCCTGAAGGGCGCCGCCAAGCAAGGTGAGAAGAATGACAAAGGTCGCAAAGGTCCGGTGGTCAACGAGGGTTTCCGGCTTCCGCTGATGGCGGTTATGCCATCTCTCCCAGTCCTCCCAGGTGGCGTTCGAGAATATGGGGTCGTAGGCACCTGCGGACTGGGCCGTGGAAGGATGCAGGTTCCATCCCAGGCCAAACCGGTCGTAGTCGGATCGTCTGCTCGGGTCGGAGAGGATTTCGTGCGCAGCGACTATGATACGATATCGTTGCAGTCTCACTTCGGGCGAGAGGTCTCGACACAGTGGGTGTCCGTTGCACGGGCGATCCGGGTGGTAGACTTTGACCATTTCATAGTAGCGGGACTTGGAATATGCTGCCCTCCGGTCTTGCTGGAAGAGCTCATAAGGGGTGAATGTCGGAGAGGAGGGCCATGAGATATCCGCGGCTGGATTATCAGAGCCGGTGGCGTATGGGCGGGCAATGTAGGAATACCGATGGGGTGGTGGGCATGGTGAGCTCAGTAACTGCAGTCCACCACGGTAAAGGATGTTGGGTTTCCTGGGCATGGCCGCATGGTTTCACATGAGGGGACAGATGAGGCCCTCTCCAGGTGCTTCCGAGTGATGGCACGATGGATTGATTTGTTTGGGCCTCCGATAACTCCGCCGGCCGGATCCCCACTTGGAGCTGTCACGTGCAGGCGGTGGGCGTTCTGCCGGGATGAATCATCCGGGCTCATCATCGCTCACGCCCACCCCAATCATTCCCCTCCTTTTCATCACTCCTTGGCCGGACTTCGAGGTGACACTTCCACTGACAGCTCCTCATCATGGCGGCAAACGGGACCGCCGAATCCCAGTGGCTGGCCCAGCTGGAAGCCATGCGCCAGGCTATTGCCGATCTCAAGCTTCCCAAAGACCCCGCCAACGAAACGAGTTACGGAAGCGATTTGGACCTGGATTTCGACGACGACTATTCATCCCCCGGAACAGCTGACGATGACATCTGGGATATCCTCAGCTCTGACGATGAGTCCAGCGAGGCTCTTGACGACTTTGACGACCTCCCCCCTCCCCCGTCCTCGGGCTACGACCAGTTCTGGCTCGAGCAGAAGTGCCAGAGCATCACTGCCAGCAAGCCGGGAATGGACGCCGCAGAGCTAACACAGCAAATTACCGCTGCTCTCGCCACCGACAGCGGAGACGATGAGCTGCAGATGTCGCTGGCCGAAATCGTGGGATTCGACGATCTCGATTTCGTGATCGACTTGATCGCCCACAGGGTGGATATCGTTGCGAGTGCACATACCGGTCCGGAGGCTCAGACTGATGGCCTGATGGCAGGGAAGCTGCAGACGAGGGCGGAGCGGGAGCAAGCCTTGCGACAGCAGGACTATGAACACAAGAACGCGACGTTGCTGCCGGCACAGACCAGAGGGGAACCGCAGTACCCTCATGTCTTCAAGTCCAGTGATTCCCGGAATGTTCTTGCCATTGGGGGCAAAAGCTACGGGCTTCCCTTGGGCAGCAGGCAGTTCGATGAGCAGAAGTACACTGAGATTGAGGTTCCTGCGTCGAAGGTTGGTTACACGAGACCGGGAGAGAAACTTGTGCAGATCGCGTCCCTGGATGGACTATGCCAAGGCACGTTCAAAGGCTACAAGTCGCTCAATCGCATGCAAAGTCTACTATATGAGGTGGCCTACAAGACTAATGAGAATATGCTCATCTGTGCCCCCACCGGTGCGGGTAAAACCGATGCTGCTATGCTTACGATCCTGAATGCTATTGGAAAGAACACTGTTCCGAACCCCATCGAAGAGCCACAAGCCACTGAGTTTGCGGTGCAGGTGGATGATTTCAAGATCATCTATGTGGCTCCGATGAAGGCTTTGGCTGCCGAGGTCACGGAGAAGCTCGGGAAACGACTGGCCTGGCTGGGGATCAAAGCTCGCGAACTCACTGGTGATATGCAACTGACAAAACGAGAGATTATGGAGACTCAGATTATCGTCACCACCCCTGAAAAATGGGATGTGGTTACCCGGAAGAGCACGGGAGATACGGAGCTTGTGCAAAAAGTACGCCTGCTGATTATCGATGAAGTCCACATGCTGCACGACGAGCGTGGTGCAGTCATCGAATCATTAGTGGCTCGTACTCAGCGTCAAGTTGAGAGCACGCAGTCGTTGATTCGTATCGTCGGCCTTTCTGCCACTCTGCCCAACTATGTCGACGTTGCAGACTTCCTCAGGGTGAACAAGATGGCTGGTCTGTTCTTCTTCGATCAATCATTCCGTCCTGTGCCCCTCGAGCAACATTTCATTGGTGTCAAAGGCAAGCCCGGCTCGAAGCAGTCTCGTGAGAACATCGATGTCGTGGCCTTCGAGAAAGTTCGTGATATGCTCGAGAGAGGACACCAAGTCATGGTTTTCGTACACTCCCGGAAGGACACTGTTATGACAGCTCGAATGCTGCGCCAGATGGCGACTGAGGATGGGTGCGACAGCCTGTTCAGCTGCCAAGAGCACGAAGGATATTCAAATGCTCTCAGCGATGTGAAACGTAGCCGTGCCCGCGAGCTGCGCGAATTGTTTGCTGGCGGGTTGGGCACGCATCACGCTGGAATGAGCCGGAGTGACCGTAATCTCATGGAGCGCTTGTTCTCTGAAGGCCTCCTCAAGGTGCTCTGCTGTACTGCCACGCTTGCCTGGGGTGTCAACCTTCCCGCTGCTGCCGTCGTCATCAAGGGTACCCAGTTGTACAACCCACAAGAAGGTAAATTCGTCGATTTGGGAATTCTTGATGTTTTGCAGATCTTTGGTCGTGCTGGTCGTCCCCAATTCCAGGATACGGGTATTGGCTTCATCTGTACGACTCATGACAAGCTTCAACATTATATTTCCGCTGTAACATCGCAGCAACCGATTGAGTCTCGCTTCTCTAGCCGCTTGGTGGATAACTTGAATGCCGAGATCTCTCTTGGCACGGTCACTTCGGTTCCCGAAGCAGTCCAATGGCTGGGATATTCCTATCTTTTCGTTCGTATGAAACGCGAGCCACGCAACTATGGGATTGACTGGGCGGAGATACGTGACGATCCCATGTTGGTTCAAAGACGCCGCCAGCTGATCATCCAAGCCGCTCTCGTGCTGCAGAAGAGTCAAATGATCATCTTCAATGAAAAGACTGAGGAGCTTCGTGCGAAAGACGTTGGACGTATTGCAAGCCAGTACTATGTTCTGCAAACCAGCATTGAGATTTTTAATGGACTTATGAGACCTCGAGGAAGCGAAGCTGATGCGTTGAGGATGATCAGTATGAGTGGTGAATTCGACAACATCCAAGCCCGAGAGAGCGAGTCCAAGGAGCTGAACAAGCTGCGGGACGAGGTGATCCAGACAGAGGTAGAGGGTGGTAATGACTCCCCACATGCTAAGACCAATATCCTGCTCCAGTCGTATATCTCTCGCGCCAGAATTGAAGATTTTGCCCTGGTGTCCGATACAGGTTATGTGGCACAGAATTCGGCACGTATCTGCCGTTCTCTATTCATGATTGCGTTGAACCGACGTTGGGGATACCAATGCCAGGTTTTGTTGTCTCTGTGTAAGGCTATCGAGAAGCAGATGTGGCCCTTTGACCACCCGTTCCATCAGTTTGATCTGCCACAGCCGATCCTCAGGAACTTAGACGACAAGCTTCCAACGTCATCTATCGAATCCATGAAAGACATGGAAACAGCCGAGATCGGACAGTTGGTTCACAATCACCGGATGGGCAAGGTGTTGGGAAAGCTGTTGGACAACTTCCCTACCCTAGGCGTGGAGGCTGAAATCGCACCACTCAACCGTGACGTCTTGCGAATTCGTCTTAGCCTTTATCCCGAATTTACTTGGAACGATAGGCATCATGGAACTTCGGAGTCGTACTGGATCTGGGTAGAGAATTCAGAAACCTCTGAGATCTACCACCACGAGTACTTCATCCTCAGCAGGAAGAAGCTCAACGATGAGCACGAGCTGAACTTTACCATCCCGCTGTCTGATCCCCTGCCAAGTCAGATCTATGTTCGTGCGATATCTGATAGATGGCTGGGTGCAGAGACGGTAACTCCCGTGTCTTTCCAGCATCTGATTCGCCCAGACACGGAAAGTGTGTACACCGATCTCCTCGACCTTCAGCCTCTCCCTATATCGGCACTCAACAACCCGATACTGGAAGAGCTCTACGGACAACGGTTCCAGTTCTTCAACCCGATGCAAACGCAGATATTCCATCTGCTTTACCACACCCCAGCGAATGTTCTGCTCGGTTCTCCCACAGGTAGCGGAAAGACGATGGCTGCGGAACTGGCTATGTGGTGGGCTTTCAGGGAGAAGCCTGGCTCGAAGGTTGTGTATATTGCTCCGATGAAAGCTCTCGTTCGTGAACGAGTCCAAGACTGGAAGAAGCGCCTCACGGTAGCGATGGGCTTGAAGCTGGTCGAGTTAACTGGTGACAACACTCCCGATACACGGACGATTCGCGATGCAGACATCATCATCACGACCCCCGAAAAGTGGGACGGTATCTCTCGTAGTTGGCAGACCAGGGACTACGTCCGCAAAGTGAGCCTGGTGATCATCGACGAAATTCATCTGCTGGGTGGCGATCGAGGACCTATTCTTGAGATCATTGTGTCTCGGATGAACTACATTGCCTCGCAATCCAAGGGATCTGTCCGGCTGATGGGAATGTCCACTGCCTGTGCAAATGCCTCAGATCTGGCGAACTGGCTGGGGGTGAAGGAAGGACTGTATAACTTCCGACACTCTGTTCGTCCCGTGCCCCTCGAGATCTACATCGATGGGTTCCCAGAACAGCGTGGGTTCTGTCCGCTCATGCAGTCGATGAACCGGCCAACCTTCCTTGCCATCAAGAACCACTCTCCGGAGAAGCCGGTAATTGTGTTTGTCGCCTCCCGCAGACAGACTCGGTTGACTGCTAAAGACCTAATCAACTACTGTGGAATGGAGGACAACCCACGTAGATTTGTCCGCATGTCCGAGGAGGACTTGCAGCTGAACCTTACCCGAGTTAAGGATGAGGCCTTGCGGGAAGCCCTCAGCTTTGGTATCGGTCTGCACCATGCCGGTCTTGTGGAGTCGGACAGGCAACTGGCCGAGGAATTGTTCGCGAACAACCAGATCCAGATCCTTGTGGCAACCAGCACCCTTGCGTGGGGTGTCAATCTCCCCGCGCATCTGGTCGTGGTCAAAGGAACGCAATTCTTTGACGCCAAGATCGAGGGCTACAGGGACATGGACCTGACTGATGTCCTGCAGATGCTGGGCCGAGCAGGACGTCCCCAGTTCGACACATCGGGTATCGCGCGCATCTTCACCCAGGATGCAAAGAAGGCCTTCTACAAGCATTTCCTACACACTGGCTTCCCGGTAGAATCCACCCTGCACAAAGTACTCGACAACCACTTGGGCGCCGAAGTTTCCGCGGGCACGATCGCCACGAAGCAGGATGCCCTCGACTACCTGACCTGGACATTCTTCTTCCGCCGACTGCACAAGAACCCTTCATACTACGGTCTGGAAATCTCCGCCGAGGAGCACAACACCATGGCCGCACAAGCGATCGCCCAGGACTTCATGATCGAGCTAGTCGACAAGTCACTAGGCGAGCTCGCCGAGTCAACCTGTGTTATCCTCGACTCCGCAACCGGCGACGTCGACGCAACACCATTCGGAAAGATCATGAGTTACTACTACCTCTCCCACAAGACAATCAGATACCTGATGGCGCACGCCAAACCCGACCCCACCTTCCAGGACGTGCTAAGCTGGATGTGTTCGGCCACGGAATTCGACGAGCTACCCGTCCGCCACAACGAAGACCTGATCAACGCCGAGCTAGCCCGCAACCTGCCCCTCACCGTCGACTCCATGGGCGACCTCCCCCTCTGGGATCCCCACGTCAAAGCCTTCCTCCTGCTGCAAGCATACATGTCGCGCATCGACCTCCCGATATCCGACTACGTCGGCGACCAAACCTCCGTCCTCGACCAAGGCATCCGTGTCATCCAAGCCTCGATCGACGTTATGGCCGAACTGGGCTACCTGCATGCCTGCACCATGTTCATGTCCCTGCTCCAGTGTATCAAATCCGCCAGATGGCCCGAGGACTCGCCCCTCTCCATCCTCCCAGGCATCGACACCGACATCGACCAACCCAACAACAAGAACAAACGCCCCGACCTCCCCGCCTCCCTAACCGCCCTCTCCTTCCTCCCCACCGGCACCATCTCCTCCCTCGTCCGCAAACTGCACCTCCCAATCCAATTCACAAAAGCCACCTCCTACCTCCCCCACCTCTCCCTCGCCCTCTCCACCATCTCCCCAGCTGGCCTAACCCTCACCCTATCCCGCAAAAACCCCTCCCAAGACAAAGAAAACCGGATCTACGCGCCCCGCTTCCCCAAGCCCCAGACAGAGGGCTTCTTCCTCATCGTGTCTACCGCCACCGCCACAGGGCAAGATGGAGATCTCCTAGCCCTAAAGCGCGTGTCTTGGCCGTCGAAATTCCGACAGCAGCAGCAGCAGCAGCAGCAGCAGCAGCAGCAGCAGCAGCAGCAGGAAAACGCGAGTTCTCGTACCGGCGCGGCCGGATCGAGTCGACGACCGAATGGAAACAACCAGCAGAAGGACGGTGGTGGACTCGCGGTCCGGTCGTCTGTCAAGTTTCCTCGGGATCAACTGGCACAGTCAGGGGCGAGGTTCGTCAATGTCAGGGTGATCAGTGATTCGTATCCCGGTATGGAGTGGACGTTGTCTGGGGTGGAGGTGGTGGATGCAGAGCCTGAGAGGCAGATGGTTGCTGAGGCGTCGGTTCCGGAGAAGAGTGGATAGTTGGTTGGTTGGTTAGTTAATTGGGTAATTGGGTAATTGGTTGGTGGTTGTGGGTGTGGTGTTGTTCTGTCTCTCTTACTTGGAAGGTCGTCTTGGAAAGAAAGAAGGAACGGTGTGTTCTTATACATATACAAGACATCCTGGTAGATTAAGTTACTACGAGCGCTGTACATACATACATACATACATACATACATACATACATACATACATACATACATACATACATACATACATACATACATACATACATACATACATACATACATACATAAACTTCTACTTCAATATGATAGATGCATATATACTCAACTCTGTTCTGATATCCTAGCTGGAATGACTCGTCTTGACTTGCGCTGCATCAACAACGAGCTCAGGAGGGAATGAAAGGACAAAAAAAAAAAAACACAGACAAAAGACACATTTGAAACGAAACAAAACCAGAAACCCAGGGGAAAAAAAAACCAAAATAGACATGTCCACCTCATACGTAGTAGCGATATTGCTTGGTATACACATACTCAGTGACGACAAGTCAGTCAGTCACTAGATAGTAGGAAACGATCCCAAAAATGGATACAGGGAATAATAACTCGAATAAAAGATAAAAAAGTTAAGAAACACCCCAACTCTGACGCACCTAGCTCGACGTGGTGAAACAGAACATGGGTAAGTAAGTGAAACGCTACCTGCGCTGTATCAAGAAAGCTGAAAAGAAGGGCTGTATAGGAAATAAAAGTGGGTCCGTAAGGAAGGATTGATAAAAATAAGATGAATGAAGACATATGATCATGACCATGTGCATGTGAGATTGGCAAGAAGAGTAAGAGGAAGAGAAAGAGAACTAGTAAGTAAGCTCATATCATTTCAACGGGCGCATTTCGCAATGGTCGAAGGCGGGGCCGTGGGGGGTGATGCTGGTGGTGGGGGTGGTGGTGGTGCTCGCCGTCGGAGGGAACCGGGGGTCGCCGGTCCAGCGGTCTGTCGCCGGGATCCAAGCGATCCGACCGGGGTCTGATGGGTACAAGAACCTGCCTTCTACCGCGTGAGACGGAGACGGATCGTGCGATGGAGATTTCGACGGCGGGGGCGGGGTTGGTTGGCTCGGTGGGCTCGGTGGGCTTTGCGTCGGTGGCGTTGTTGGTGCTGCTGTTCCTGTCGCGGCGGGCCATGTGTTTCGGCGCGACGGGAGAGGATCTCTCACTTCTGGTGGGGGACGCGGACTCCTTCATTTCTTGGGGGCCGTGGTCCGGAGCAGGGGTGTTTGCAGGAGACGGAATCGATTCGCTCTTGGCGGTTTCAGATGAAGCGCACGTTTGGGTGTCGATGGCTAGTTTCGGCGGCTGTTTCGACCCTGGTCCTTGCTCCGTCGGGGATGTGCGCCTGTTGATGATTTCCCATTCGGGCTCTTTCGCGTCGAAGTAGTTGCGGACTGGTTTCAGCTTCTGTAGAAGCAGTTCTTCATCATCTGAACCGATAGTGGTGGACGAAAGGAACGAGGACATCGAGTTTTGCGGCTTGTGTGAGCCGTGCACCATGAGGACGACACTATTCTTTTCCTTCGACATGTCCTCCTGACGGGACTCGGCCAACGACGCCTGGCTTTTGTGGATGGGACTGGGACCACGGGGGATGTTCTGACTACCAAGGAGCTTCGAGGCTTTGGTGACCTGTGTCGCGGGGAACAGGGTAAAGCTGGGAGATTTAGACCGTGTCGGGGAAGACGCCCGTCGTGGAGGCGGAACCAAGTCCGGCAAGGCCGCAGACTGGTGGGAGGTTAGTAGATGTAAGGGTAGTAAAGAAGGATCTCGAGGGAGTAAAATACATCTGTGTCTGGTGCGCTCACGCCATGGAAGGCTTGGCTTTGCCTATCCACCGAGGATGACCTGTTCTTCCTGAGAACGCCTCCGAACATGACACTATATCGCTCCAGTTGGATATCCGGGATATCGACATGCAACAACGGCCCGAGGCCAGAAGCTTGCTCCTTATCCTGGGGCGGCACGTTCGGAGGACTCGCATCTTGCTGCTTGGGCTGTGGCACGGTTGGTTGGATCTCTGATGCCACAGACGGCCAGGCCTCCAGTTCAGAGCTAGGACTGGCAGGGTGCTCGAGTTTGGCTCTTGGCTGGGGGTCAAACGAGAACGTAGAGCCTTGCATTGGAAACTCGTTTTCGAGCTTGACCTGATAGAAGGGCTGGTTGGGGGCGGAAGCCAGGGCGTTTTTGGCTTTGAACAGGCCTCCGATTTTCTTCCATTTACTTGGCTTGCGCTGTAAAGTCGGTCGCGGTTGGGGTTGGGGTTCTGCGGGCTTTTCTGCAGGCATCACAGGAGGGGCTTCCTGCACTTGCACCTGTGCCAAGGGACTGTGCGTCTCGATCATCCGAGGACTGCCTAAAGCGACACCGATCAAACTTCCATTCGCGGCATAATCAGTGCCTGTCGGCGAGGAAATGGGCGATGCCGGAAGCGGGGGGTATTGCGTGATGAGACCTGGGCTCAGCGCCTGAAGCTTTTTCTTATGGCGACTCTCCGATGTCCCAGGGCGATGGAAATCGCGTGGCGGCGGTGGCGGCGGAAGGCCCTGGTTTGCGCCATCCTCGATACACTTGAGATCTTTGCGTGGCTGCGCATCGGAGTGCTTCAGAACTGGGGCGGAGATGCCCTCGGCTTGGCGGAGTGTACGCGACCTCCCGAGAAATGTGCCTCTAGCCATTCCTCACGGTAATAAAATCCGAGGCGTTATCGACGGCGAAAAGCGGGAAAAAAAATCGCGACGGTAAGGTTGCTAGAAGATAAGAGAAAAATGAGATGTAAAGAACGTTGGGAGGGATACCAGGCCCCGTCGTAAGCGGAATCAAAAAGGAATGGACGGCCTTCCAGAAGGCCACAAAGCGAACACAAGCAAACTGTCAGGGAAGAGCAGAGTCATCCATGATGGAGGGAAAAGGAGACCAGAAGATAGAAGGTCGGGGCAGCACAAGACGTTGCGGCGGTTGTTGTGGAGCATTGGTATCGCGCTACATCTAAGTGAGACGGGTGGCAGGGGTGGGCTAGTGTGAGGGCTTAGATTACCATAAGTAAGATCTGACGAAGCGCGACGGCCAGCGCAGCCAACGGGATTTGACAGCGAAATTATTCAGGAGAGAGTGCTCGGAGGTACTGCGTGGCCAACCCAATCGCGTGCGATGCTTATTTTGGTAGCCACAACACTGAGCATGGATGGATGATGTCGCGAGGGGCCAAGGGCAAAGCACGCACACATCAGCGGGGGGCCAACCAATGGGGCCCGGAGATCCTCAGCAGCCTGAGACTGAGGCCGGAGAGGCTGAGACAGGCATGTCAGAGTCTCAGAGAGCAGATCCAGACTTGCCGTGCTGTTCCAGCAAGCGCTGAACCTTGGGACAGTCGCACTTCCGAGCCCGACGGGCGCGAGTGGGCGAGAAGTCGAGGCCCGCTAGATAAGAATTAGCCCACGGGGGGAAATTAGGGTATGGAGGCTGCCCAAGGAACTGGGCCAGCGCCCTCGCAACCTGATGGCCGTCAGTCACGCCCACGGACCATGCCTCTCTCCTTATTGCTCTTTCCACAATCAGTCCGACCGTTGGGGGTGATCGTGCTTAGGGGGGTGTGGTCTACGATGGACGGGGCAGAGCCGTTGGAAAGAGGACGAAAGGGGGGGGCCCGTCAGGGGATTAATATGGAAGCTGGAGGCGGGCAGCAGAACGGATGGCTGCAGAAGTGCAGCAGCAGTGCAACGGCAGTAGTGCAGCTGACAGGTCAGCATGACAGGCGGCCAGGCACGTGGTTGCCTGTTGACTGCGTGCCACCGTTTGTCTCTCTTCTCATTATTCCACTCCGTATAGGTCCTGGGTGGTGTTGAAGAGGCGGTAAAGAGGAACCGGTGAGAGAGATCCGCAGGTCTCAAGCCTAAAGGTGTCTAGCAGGGTCTAGCTCAGTGACCATCAGGGACTAGGACGGTAGATATCCATCCTGGATATAACTACTCCCAGTGACTAACAGTGTCGGCCTACCGCGGGCCTCTCCACCTATCGACGCGGTGGCAGTATCACCTCCTCTGCCCTTCTCCTGCTGGATGAGTTGCTGTCTGTCTCACGGCAAGCTCTCTGGTACCAGAGGCCGATGACGATGACGTAGAGAGGGACTGCGTATGCCCCGGAAAAGGAGGGTCTCAGCGATGGATACGGGCCGGAAGAGTCCAAGCTATTTTAGATCCCTGGCAGGAGTATTTCATGAGAAACATTCGTACGGATTAGATAGACGTGAAGTACGGAGTACAGAGTAGAGAGAGAGAGAGAGAGAAAAAGTCGGGATGATGGATGATGGATGGTGGATGGCGGGGCAGGCGGTGATGGTTTACTGTTTGTTCGACGACCCCCACCCGCCTTAGTAACTCACCACTCACCTCATCGCCGGCTTCTTCCCCTCCTTTCCTTCCCACCAACTTTCTTCCATCTCCATTCTCCTCCTCCCCTGATTTCTCTCCCTCCCCTTCTCCTCCACGCATCCCAGCTTTCATCCCGGAGTCTACCCCCCATTTCAGCTCCCACTACCTTCTGTCTGTCCCTGGGGAATCGCTCCTCCTCCTCACCCCTCCGTTCCCCTTTCCCGACCGTCCCGTCGATTGTTTATCCGCCCGTCACCATGGGTCAGCACTCCGCTATCTGGCAAGGTACGATCATGACACGCCCTCGCGAGCATACCCTTTCCCTGCTGGCATCTTCCGAATCCCCCTGAGTGACCCTAAGCTAACCTCGTCTCCTCCGCGCTCAGGCTATGTCGATTCCAGGTCCGTCTAACCCAACCCATGTTTACCCCGCTTCAACCACAGCCCACCGTCCCAAACTGCGTTCGGATTCTGACACGAGACCCTCCAGCCTGATGGGATCCGGCCAATTTGACAAGGCCGCCATTCTGAGCCACGACATCTCCGGCGTTGAGGCTTCCTCGCCGGGCTTCTCGGTATGACACCCACCAAGTTTACAAGTTTACATACACCCCACCTGGTGATCCGATCGGCGTCACGCTCCGGCCGGAAACAACCTCCATTCTTCTTCCTCTTCTTCCACCACCACCACCACCACCACCAGCCCGAACTCAGCATTAACGACCCCCGCAGATCTCCCCGTCAGAGCTCCAGGGCCTGGTCTCTGCTTTCGCGAGCACCGACAACGCCTGGGGCAGCGGTATCACCGTCGGCGGAGAGAAGTTCGTCACCATCAAGGCCGACGAGCGCAGTCTGTATGGCAAGAAGGTACACAGCCCGGTTCCGGTATCCAAGATGCAGCACTAACATGGAGGGTGATTAGGGTAAGGAGGGTATCGTTGTCGTGAAGGCCGTGTCCTGCGTGATGGTCGCCCACCACGCCGAGAACGCGCAGACCACGAACGCCGCCACTGTCGTGGAGAACCTCGTCGACTACATCAACAACCCCCGGTAGATGGGGCTAGGGATCGAATGAAAGTGCTTTGTCTCGTTTCCTGGAAGGGCAGTGGTAATGCTGGTTACTTGAATGTAAATCACGATGGTGGTCTCTTCTCGATTGTCTTCTCTTCCTTGTCTATTCTTCTCATCAATCATATACCTCGTAGATGGATCTGTGCTTGCACACAGTAGCTATCATCATGTCACATACTTCAACCTTCTGAATATCATATCTATCCGACCCCCCCCCCCCCCCCCCCCCCCGGGATTCCTTGCGATCATACCAACCGAACCAGATTACTTTAATCGGAATAACCATCTGAACCAGACTATCACTCCGATGGTCTCAAAGAACCAACATCCCTTAGCCCGAAGTCTAATATTCATCCAACCAAGCATCGTTACATACCTATCGCCAGAACCAAACCAATAGAAATATATCCAATTCTCTTTCCCTTCCCCCCAACGTATTAACAATTAAAAGGTCTCTAAACCCGAATAAAGGTAACCCATAATAACACCCCGCTAGCCCTGAACCAGTAGCTGCAAACCCAACAGTTCATAGCTGATAGCTCATAGCTCATAGCCCACAGGTCAGTCCCAATCCCACCCCTCCATCCATCCATCCATCCATGCATCTTTTCTCATCATCATCATCATCATGCAATATCGTAAAGAGGCAATCGCATAGTCATACACATACATAAACAACGTGACAGATCCAGAAAGAACCCATCTCAACTCTTCCCATCTGATCTCATTCCATCCCATCCCGTCCCATCCCATCCCCACCAGCCTACTCCCCAGCCTCAACCCGCACACTCCCCAAAAGAATACTCATACTCATATATTCACACTCATACAGGCAATTCTGCATTCCTCCTCCCCCCCGCCAGCGTCTCCAAAACCCTTTGCACGAACGGCCCCACGACGGGCACATTGCCCGCGAACTGGCCGATGGTGATGAGGAAGTCGCCGAACAGGATGAACAGGCCGTACAGCTCGATGATGAAGCCGGTGAGCGGCCAGCGGAGCAGGATCAGCATGATGCCGGTGGCGAAGGCGGCGGTGCCTTTGAGCTTCTGGCGGCGCGAGAAGAAGGCCCATGTTTTTTCGAGCCCGATGATGAGGGTTAGGCCGATGAGGAAGAGGATCTGTATGGATTTTGTTAGGTGTTGGGGTTATTTGGGGGTTGGGGGGCGTACGTTTCCCATGGCGAGGCTGTGGGGGTGGGTGGGTGGTTAGTATGAGATCTGAGATAAGATATGGTATTTGGGGGTTGTGTAGAAGGGGGGGGGGACGTACAGGGAGCGGTCGAAGAACATGAGGACGCCGCCGAAGAGGAAGAGGCCTCCTGTGGATAGTAGATAGTGGTTAGCAGGTGTACGTGTAGGTGTGTTTGTAGGTTGGTGTGGTGGTAAGGGTAGCCATGTTATGATTGGGGATTGGATTGGGGTTGTGGTTGTAGTTGGGTTGTAATGCGACGGAGACTGGTAGAGGGTGGTTTCGAGTGTGAAGCAGGAGGTGCATACCGGCTGAGCAGAAGATGACTCCGATCTCTGTCGCTCGCATGAAGCATGTTAGCGGACCTGTCCTGGAAGGTTGGTTGGGAAGGTGTTGGGATAATCTCACTCTGGTTATCTGTAAGCCACATTGTAGGCATCTTGACTGTTGTTGTGCTGATGCGCGTAGGAAAGAGAGAAGATAAGATACAGCACTCCGAAAAGAAGCTCGAACAGTTACACAGGTAGATAATTCCACCGGATCAGTGACAGAAGCAAGTCCCACGCTGCGAGGCTGCTTTCGGAGGTTTCGGGGGTGCGCGGCGGTCGGGATCGCGTGCGCGCGGCGGTACACGTAGCAGATGCGAAACAACAGACAAGGAACAGATACCCACAAGCACCGGGAAGAGGTAAACAGGGCAGAGATGGGCGATGATAGCTAGTAAGCCTGGTGTTTCTGTCAATTCATGCAATTCTGAAGCTGAAGGCCCGGGCAATGCGAATAAACATTTCGCGAAACCGCCCCGTTCTGCCACGTTCCTTTCTAGGCTAGATCGGCGCTAGGCCCGGCCGGGAGGGCGGTCGGGCGATCCACCACTTCCCTTTCGCACAGCTTTTTGCCTCCCAACCGAACGCAACCCCCGACAAGGACTGCCTGCTGCCAAAGCAGCTCCCTCCCGACTACGCGAGTTGGTCGCGATCTTGTGTGCTTTGATCACAGGTCTTTTATGATGAGATGACTGAGAGCTACACGCAATTGTCGACGTTATGTCTGCCACTCGAGCTCGTCTGAGGCAGAGCAGAATCCTACCTAGGGGATAACGGGCCGTCTACTCCCACACAAGCCATATATCCAGGCGAGCCTCGGCTCAGCTGATTCACGCCGCGGCGACAGCATCCCCGGATGCTGTAACTGATGCTCCGTCCGTGGGGCATCGGTACTAGTCGAGTGCCCAGCACAAGGCGAAGATTGACACCATATATAATACGGTCGCGAATAAGCCGGAGCGCTTTCTTGAACCTGTCTCGAGAGGGGCAGGGGGGTGGAAGAGCTTGACTGTGTCGGCCATACATAATACCATAGAGATCCTAGGTATCAATTCAATCGATCCAACCATATAACCATTGGTATTGTCCAAATATCGTACACCGTAGAAACAAAAAACAAAACATCCCGTCCGTAGCACGCAGCAAGCAAAGTCGTAACCTCATTTCAGCACCACATGCGCACCCCGGAGTTCCAGATAACTCTCCGGCACGCCCTGCCCCAGGGTGCGAATCACCCCAAACACCTCCTTGTCATGATACCGCAGCCGGGTCTTGGGATCCGTGTACGGCGCCGGCAGGCCCGTGATATCGCAGTAGCGGGTTTGCTGGGACGGGTGCAGCGAGGGCGCCGACTCGATGTTCGTGTAGGTCACTGCCGGCCCGGAGGTGTATGCGGCGGCGCGGGCGTTCTTCTCCAGCACCAGCGTGGAGAGGTTCTGGGCGGCCTGCGCGATGTTGGTTCGGGGGATGCCTTCGGCAGGGGTCTGGCTGCCGTCGGTGGTGGTGACCGAGGTCGCGGGCAGCGGGGTCGTCGCGCCGGAATTGCTCTGCGTGGCCATCACCGACGCTTCTTTGCGCGAGTTCTCCGAGATGATCTGCTTGACGTTCTTGTTGCGGCGCTGCGAGGGCTTCCAGTGTGAGTTGCGGAAGGAGCGCGGGATGGCGGCGATGTCGAGCTGGTCGAGCAGCGCTTGGTGTTGCTCCGCTTCGGCGGGGGTGAGAGGGGGCATTGTGGTGGTGGAGGTGATGAAGGTGGGGAGGGGCCTGTATAGGTGCGAGGTGGAGATGTCGAGGGAGGTCTGGAGGCGCTGTGTCTGGTCAGTTGTGGTGTCTGGTGTCTAAGTAGATGAGCCCGTACCTGCCGACGGAGCTGTATGCGACCGACCAGCTGAATGGGCGGATTGCACCAGGGTCAGAAGCCAGCCAGCTAAGCAATGGCTACCAAGGTAAATAGAGGATTTGTCCGTAGAGAGAGCAGATGATCAACGCTGTGCCATTCAATGTCGTCCAGACCTGCCCGTAGGTACCATCCTTTCAGCGGAAGACGGCGGGGTCACGTGGCGAGCCACATTGGGTTGCCGGGCGTCCAGAGCAACAAACAGAGCCGTCGGGCGAGGTTCTATCCACATCGCATCGCATCGCATCGCTGCATAATACATCATAATGGTAGGCGGAATCATCTCATTCATATCCTTTTGTCGATGGTATGCTAATGGTATATGCAGGAGAGCCCCCACGAGCACCAGCAGGCCTTGCTGCTGTCGCGCATTATCGGCAACATCGTATGTCATCAGGAGGGAGGCCATGCGGATCGATCATCGGTAGCTGACCATGAACAGGAGAAACTGAATGAATCCATCATGGTCATGAACCGAAACCTCCAGGTACGACGCTGTGATGCCTGCTGTGCCAGTATATCTACTAACACGGCCCAGGAGGTCAACATCCAAAACATGAACGTGGAGCTCGTCGCGCAGATGTTCAAGAACTACCAGTCGAATGTCCTCTTCCACCTAGAAGGTATGTTCTATTCAACCGACATGACTCTACCAAGCTGACCAGTATCAGCGACGGAGAATCTGAAGGATCCATCCTAAGGCCCGCATGCTGGCATCTCATAGCCCTCGTGCAAGTGCGCAGGTTTTTTTTTTCTTCGTAACGAGACATGAATTCCATGAAATAAATACCCATTCACTGCAGCCAGTCCCCCCAAGCTAGTAAACCCGTAAAATCCTGTAGCCAGCCACTCTGTAGCAACACCTCACGGATGGGCCGCTTGGCAGCGAGCATAGCGACCAACCCCGATGGCGGTGACGGCGGCCATCCTCCGCCCTCCACGGGCCCGACCACCGCAGCTGGAGGACTTTCAGCTCCAGTTTCCTTCCCACATCCTCAACACCAACACCTCGTCTCCCTCCTCCAGCGCCTCTCAAGCCCGCTGTCTACCCATCTCCCATATTCCGTGGTGTTCCCACCCTCGCGACACACTGCAATGCAGTGAATCCGTTTCTGCCGGGAGCTCCTGAGTGTCTGGTAATCTAGGCCCGCACCAACCACCATGGCCATCACGTCGGTGCAGCCGGTCGTCCCGACCCGGCTCGCGATCAATTCTTCAGAGAGGAGCGTCGCGAAGCCCGCTCCGAAGGGGTACGAGGTGCACGACCATCCGTTCAAGGGCTACCACGCCCCCCAGCCGGAGGGCTACGCAAAGAGCAAGGGCACCAGCGCCATCGTCATCGACAATGGTGAGTAGGGGATACAGGGAGCACGCACGATCGCGAAGGAGCGTCTACTGACTGACTTGCGCTTCTCCTGCCAGGCTCGAATCTGGTCAAGGCCGGCTGGTCGTTTGACAAGTCCCCCCGTTTCGTCATCCCCCCTGTGATGAGCCGGTATCGCGATCGGAAAATCAACAAACCCTACCAGTTCATCGGATACGATTCCTACGTCGATGCTACTTCGCGCGGACAGCTGCGCTATGCTTTTGACCCGGGCTCCAGCGTGGTGGGCAACTGGGATGTCATGGAGGGCGTGCTGGACTACCTGTTCATCAAGCTGGGGGTTGACGGCGATAGCAGTGGAGGTATTGACCGGCCCGTTGTCATGACGGAGCCGATCGCGAACCTCAGCTATCCCCGGAAGAGTGAGTTTGTTGCAGGTGGGCAGGTGGCGGTGGTGGTCCTTACTGACAATTCGCAGTGATGAACGAGATCCTGTTCGAGTGCTACTCCGCACCGTCGGTCGCCTACGGAATCGACTCCCTCTTCTCGTACCGGTACAACCGCGGAAAGGACGGGCTGATCGTCTCGTCCTCGCACACGTCGACCCACGTGATCCCGGTCCTGAACAACAAGGCGCTGCTGTCCAACTGCTCGCGCCTGAACTGGGGCGGACTGCACGCCTCCGAGTACCTGCTGAAGCTAATGCGGCTGAAATACCCGACCTTCCCGCAGAAGATGACCGAGAGTCAGATGGAGGATCTCGTGCACAAGCATTGCTATATCTCTAAGGACTACGACCAGGAACTGAGTCGCTACCTGGACTGGACGGGGCTTGAGGAGCGGGACTGCATCGTGCAGTACCCTTACACAGAGCATGTGGTGCCGGAGAAGACGGAGGAAGAGCTGGCGCGCATTGCGGAGCGGAAGAAGGAGAGCGGACGTCGACTGCAAGAGCAAGCCGCGAAGATGCGGCTGGAGAAGCTGATGAAGAAGGAGCAGGAACTAGAGTACTACAAGGATCTACAACGCGGGCTCGCGTCCGAGACGAAGAAGGAAATGCGGCGCATCCTGGAGGCCGAGGACTTGAAGGATGAGGCGCATCTGGATCGGCTGGTCCGGGACCTGGAGCGGTCCATCAAGCGGTCTCGGAACCGGGATCTGGGGATCGAGGAAGCCGAAGAGCCCCAGGAGGAGATGTCGTTCCCGTTGTTGGACGTTCCTGACGAGGAGCTGGACGAGGCCGGGCTCAAGGAGAAGCGCCACCAGCGACTGATGAAGTCCAACGTGGACGCTCGGCAACGTGCCAAGGACGAGAAGGAGCGCGAGAAGGCCCGTCGGGAGGAGGAAGAGCGACTCGACCGCGAGAAGCGCGAGAACGATTTCGACAATTGGCTGGCTCAACGACGGGCGAACCGACAGGTAGGTTGCCCGCATACCGTGCACCTTTGTTTCCGGTCTAATATGCTATAGAACATCCTCCAAAAGATTAAGGAGCGCGATCGGTTCAAGGCGGACCTCGGCAACCGCAAGTCGCTGGCCAGTCAGATGCGCATGAAGACGCTGGCGAATCTGGCGGCGGACGGCCCCAAAAAGCGGCGACGAGGCGGCGACGACGACAACTTCGGCGCCAACGACGACGACTGGGGCGTGTACCGGACGGTAGCGACGGGCGAGCAAAGCGACGAAGAGGAGGAAGAGGATCTCGGCGGGATGCTGGACGCGGCGGAGAAGGAACTCCTGGAGCACGATCCGGATTTCACGGAGAACCACACGCTTGCCGCGCAATCCGACTGGACCAAGAGCCTGGTGCACGTCTTCCTGCGGGGGCCGTGGCCGTTCGACCCGGAGAGCCAGCGCGAGGCTCACCAGCTGCACCTGAACGTGGAGCGGATCCGCGTGCCGGAGGTGGTGTTCAAGCCGTCGATTGCCGGGATCGACCAGGCCGGGCTGCTGGAGGTGGCGGGCGACGTCGTCAACCAGCGCTTCTCGAACCCGGCTGAACAGGCCAAGCTGCTGCGCGACGTCTTCCTGACGGGCGGCAACACCCTGTTCCAGAACTTCGACGAGCGCTTCCGCAACGACTTCCCTGCCTTTTTGCCGGTGGACTCGCAGCTCAAGGTGCGGCGCGCGGCCGACCCGGTCCTCGACGCCTGGAAGGGCGCCGCGCAGTGGGCCTCGGGCGCGGAACTGGCCCGCTCGTCCATCACACGGCAGGAGTATATGGAGAAGGGCAGCGAATACCTCAAGGTGAGTGCAGTATCCTTGTCCCGAATGGAGAGCGAGAGCCAGAGCCAGAGCCAGAGCCAGAGCACAACGGGCTAATGCGTCATCAGGAACACGATTTGGGCAATGTCACCACGTGGTAGGCTGACTGTCTCATCGCGTCCGGATCCTTCCGGACCATGGACAGAATCCGTCTTCCACTGGACGTCTGTCTACCAGGTAAAAGGCACGAGGGTGCCGTAGTAGCTTAGGATGGTGTCCACGGCGCGAGGGAGGGAGTCCGGCGTACGCGAACTGAGCTCGGAGGGAATCACACCCACTGTCCTATCCGAGCGAGCTATGATTTGATCGAGATGGCATGTTTTGTTTTCTTTGTGTCTCTTGTCCGTTTCGTCATGTCTACGGTTGTACAGTAGCCCATCAATCAATCAATCAATCAATCAATCAATCATATTCCCCGTCACAATCACCCAGTCGGGGAATCACAAGAATTGGAGTGCTGATCTATCTGGCCAATCCCTGCAGATATCTATCCGGCATAGGTATAGCCTGGCCTTGAGCCAGAGATTACTCGCTACTACTTCGTGTGGACAGTAGATCGTACTAGGTGGTAGTGACCGTGGACCGACAGGCCCGAAGACCCTAACCCGGGATCCTCACCCACGGCAAGTGTACTTTCCCATCCATCCAAAGTACCACAAACCGGTACTATACGTAGGGCATTCCAGGGTAGGGGTAGGTAGGTATAAGATCTACTACTGTGCTTTGCAAATCCATTCACCCATCCAGCCCTTACCTTACTTTTTACCGGTCGGCGGATTCCCCATATGTCCAGCGCATACAAAATGCTCTTCTCTTCTTTTGACTTGTCTCCCTGGGGTAGATAGATGGATGGATAAATACTATAGGCAAGTGGGTGGGTAAATAGATAAGTAGGCAGCAGACACAGAGTTCCACACCCGCACACCCAACGTCCTCGGTTCTAACTACCCCTCTCGGTAAGTAAGTTAAGACTTCGGTTTCATGGATTCCTCTCTCGGAAACACGAGGGAAACCAGATCCAGCCAACGGGGCCAACGAGCGGGAATTGGGTTGGGGAGGGGGTTGGGGGATTAGGTTTGTACTATACCTAGCTAAAGGCATGTATGTATGTATGTATGTATGTATGTATGTATGTATGTATGTATGTATGGGGTATAGGTACAATAGGTGGCTGTCTAGTAGGTAGCTTACTTTAGGGGGTGGTACAGATTGTATTGTATTGTGCTTGTGTTGTGGTTGTGGTTGTGGTTGTGGTTTGGGTTTGGGTTTGGGTTGGACATGATTGAAAGGCTGGTCGGTACTCGGGAGGTCAATGGGGTGAGTTGTGCCTATTCAGGTGGATGGACGGGGTGGAAGACAAAGACAAAGAAAGACAAAGAAGGACGTTGAAGAGAGGGGAAGAGTCAGTTGGACTGTGACTGTTTATGCTGTACTTATGTGTACTCTGCAGTGTGCATCCAATACAATAAACGGACGCCAAACCACCCGACCCGACGTCATACAACAACCGCCGTGGCTGGTGATGATCGCCGAAACTGGACGTTGACGGATCAGACAATCAGACAAGAGATACATACACCCTGCAGTCTACAGTCGGCAGTTGCCCAATGGATCAGCGCGGAATAACGGGCTGGGCTGGGCTGTCAAGTCAAGTCAAGTCCGTCAGGCCAACAACACCTTCTTTTTTCTGTCAGCCTTGTGGGTCCCGGCATCCTCGGGTGGTTGATAATCTGATTATTTGGTGGTTTGTTTGTCGAAAACATGGTGAGGAAACAGACCAGGTGATGCCACCGGGCATAAATCTGCAGGATATAGGGCAGCACGGGTGGGGATGAGATCATCATCATCATCATCGTCGTCGTCCTGCCGAGAGTTCCGCGAGGATCGGCAGAGGAGGACTAGTAGAGATAGCTCGAAGCTTCAGGTTGCACGATATGGGTGGCGTGGTGGTCATTGGCCGGGTTGGGTTGAAGATGAGGGTTTGGGGGGGGGGGGGGTTGATGACTGTAGCTGAGTCAGGTGTCATAGTTAACTAGTTATATGGAGGTATCAACAATCAAGGGAAGCTTGAATAGGATTATTATTGTTATTGTTATTGAAAGGTGAGTGGAATAATAGAAGGGAGGAATAAGGATACAATACAGAGTACCGATGAACAGATGTACTGGATACGGCAGACACTGGTATTGATACCGAGTCCAGACCGGGCGATTCCCTACCCGAGCTGGCTTCCTGTTTGGTCGCGTCACACCATCTTCTCTTCGCTCCTCTTCTCTTCAGCTTCAGCTTCAGCTTCATGACCTGATCCATCCAGTCTATCCTGCATCCTGTCTATCCGGCAATCAGTCCATTGCAGATCACCCCCCGGATGCCCGGGTTGCAAGCGGTGTGACGGCCATCCCTACATACTACTGACAGTCCATCCATGCAAGGCCTGATCACACAACCCTAACCACAACCACAACCACACCGATCGCCCGCGACAGACTGACTTCATGCAGAGGCCATGGTGACGCATCTGGGGAAGCTTGGGCTTCCCCTCCCACATCCCTGGGCAGCGGGCACACGACCATGAGGCCAAACTCTGCCCGCACCACCTCTGACGTAGTGGCATTCCCCCCCATCATGCAGCCATCCAGCCGTGTATTCCATTCTTCGGCCACATATAAGAAACCTGGTCCTGGTCCGGGGCCTTTCTTTCTTTTCATCATCATCCACCAGCACAGCCAGTCTGCCAGTGGAATTGACTTCCTCTCGCGCCAATCAGCAACCAGCATCAGCATCAGCCATCCGCTTCATCAATATCTTGACCTGCAGTCAGTCAGTCAGTCAATCAATAGGCAATCAACGCAGCCATGTTCTCCAGTACCGTGGCTCGTCCCCTGCAGCTGGCTGCTCGGTTCATGCAGTGGGCCAGTGCGGTGATAGTCATGGGTATCACCTCCTACTTCATCCACAAGGGTCCTCGCGGCCAGCATATCATCTACCAGGAAGTCATTGTATGGTGCCCTCGTCCATGAACCTTGAATATCAATCAATGCCTCGATGTATCATACTGACCTCTTAGGCCGTCATTTCCGTCGTCTTCTTCCTGCCCGCCTTCGTCTCGCCGTTCATGCCCCAGGCCCTGAGCAAGTTCGTCCTCGGGATTGACCTCGTCTTCTCATACCTGTATGCCCCCCCTCTCTTTTTGCTCCACGGCTACTCCACACCAACACTCAATACTTACTAACCGACTACCTTCAGCTGGCTCACATCCTTCATCTTCGCCGCCCAAGACTACAACTGGCACAACTGCTTCTTCGACTCGCCCGCGGGCATCTCCTGCTCCAAGAAGAAGGCGAACGAGGCGTTTATCTTTTTGGCGTTGTATGTGCAATCCCACCGAACCGCTATCTCATCCTCCCATCCTACAATCCCCCTCCACCCGTAACGTATCTAATTATTTATTTTGTCATACAGCATCTTCACCTTCTTCTCCATCTTCCTCGAAGTCGCCGCCCTGTGGGCCTCCCGGCGCGAGAACGCCCCCGTCCGCGAGAAGAGCACCGGCGGCGCCCACGGCGGCCCGGCTGATGCGCCTGTCGCGACGGCATAGATAGCTTGTCCGGGGGATGATGGTTATGCTGATTTGTAGCTGCGTTGTATCTGCAGTTACACACCCGCATGATCATCGTCCATCGGAGAAGACATGCCCATCCATGATACCACGTTTGAATTGAATTGAATCGAATCGAATCGACTAACCCCTGACTGACGACGTTAATACTGATATCCCCTATTTATTTACTAATATTCTGTTACGCACATATGTGGTTGGTTGGGGAGTGAGTGAGTGCACAGTGGTGGGGGGGAGTGTGGAGTGTGCATAGATGGGTGGATGGTGGATGGGGGGGTGTATGTGTGAGGGACTTTTTATGAGTACTATCTTATTAATGACTACCTACCTATCTTATAGTACTTTGGCTTTGAATATTCTGTGTTGTAATTAATATTATAGCTACCGATAATGGATTTTAGGGGTGATGCTGTTTTGTGTTAGAGATACGGAGGTGGGATATATATCTCCCGCAGGTATAGTACAGGTAGGTACCTACCTATCCATCCGTGTGATTCATCCCATATCCTGTTCTTTCATTTTGTAAAGGTCACAATCCATCCATCTAGTTGGAACATCGTGGAATGTAAGGATGTAGTGGTGCGGGAATACTAGAAATAATAATCCATACATCATAGTCTTCCTGCAGGTGTTCCTCTCATCTTGTTGTTGATCCTACTGATATACTAACTATATATCCATCCATAACCCCTATTCAACCACACACTCTCCCCCCTCCTCCCTGACGTGTCTACCAACGCAAGGAAAGCAAGGAAAGATAGAGAGTACTTAAAAAAAAAAAAAAAAAAAAAAAAAAAAGTGAAAGATAGATAACTTAACATGTTACATTAAAACCTTCATCCCAGTAACAAAAGAATACATAATAAAATCATACACAGACCTTCTAAATCCCTAACCCATACTTCCTCCCATAATCATGAATCATGAATCATCCACCAAAAACGCCAATTGTCGACCATCACACAGCCCGTATAAATCGCAATAACACTGGCGAACGTTGGGACATCTATACACACCCCCCCCCCGGGGCAGCCAGCCCAAAGGCATGGTAGTTAGTAAGTGGATCTTAATCGCAATGTCAACAATAAGGGTTTATAAAAAAAAATATAGTGATAACCACAACCAAAACCACAACCAGAACAAAAACACAAGACGAAAAAAAAAAAAAAAAAAAAAAAAAGAGAGAGAGAAAGGGAGAGAAAAACTCACAATATCCCCATATTATCCCCCCCTCCAAAAACCAAATGCCAAACCATCTCAAACAGTGACCCCACCGCAAACCCATCCAACTCACACCCCAACGCCCACTCCCTCATGTGGAGATACTCCTCTCGACTCCTAGCCCGGATCCTCTCCCGCGAGACGACAAACTGCCCGCAACACACCCCGCCAATCTCCCTGGGTACCTGGTCCCGCCCCACACCGAAGAGGTCCATGTACAGGGACGAAAAGTTCCGATACACGGGGTTATGGTTCTTGGTGAGGGCGGGGTCGAAGGGTCGGATGGAGAGCGGACAGCCGGGAGTGTGTGTGCAGCGGAGGTTCGTGTAGCCGGCTTTGTGGAGCGGGGGGGTGTGTAGGGTTGTTAGGAGGTGGGGGGTGGAGGGTTCTTCTTTTTCTTTTTCTTTTTCTTTCTCTTTCTCTTTACCTTTGGCTATGGCTATGGGCATGGGCATGGGCATGGGCATATTTCCCTCCCTGTGAAAATCCATCCTCCTATCCGTCGGCGCAGGGAGGGAGGAATGATGAGTCGACTCAGCCTCCGACGACGACGAAAAGGGTAAATCATTATGCCACTGTCTCTCGCCCGCATGCATAAACGCCGTCAAATCCGCCAGGTCGTCGTAATGCTCGATGATATGTGTTAGGTAGGCCATTGCCTCGCGGGCTTTGTTGGCGGGGATGGGTAGGTAGCCCGGTTCGTGGTCGGTGGTGTAGATGTAGGGGGTCCAGCTGTATATTATTTCATTTATTAATTTATTCATATATTCATTTGTTCATTTGTTTGTTCATTATCTAGGTAGATAGGGGAGGTGGGGGAACGACTAACTGGGGCAGGGTATAAGCCCAGGATGTGTCCTCGGCGCGGGTCTTGGCGAGGACGAGGGCGTGGTTATGGTTATGGTTATGGTTATGATTATGGTTATCTGGATGTTTGTCCATGTGGTCTGGTAGTAGCGGTTATTATTATGTGATTGGGGGATTAGGATATTGGGGTGGGTTATTAGGGTTGATATGTTCAGGAAGAGAGTACTCACCAATCACCAAAGTAAGATCATCCCTCAACAGCCGATGGAAGACCAACCCCAACAGACCCAGACAGAGCAAGATGGCACACCAGGTCCGCAGCACCAGGGCGCGCACGGGAAGACCCGCTGGCATCGGAGTATCTATCTATCTGTCTGTCTGTGTCGGTCTATCTAGGGCACGGGACCGTGGATGAGAGAGAGAATGATGGATGGATGGATGGATGATGGATGGAGGAACTGGAACAGCACGGCATGGTGGGCGATATGGATGGGGTTAGAGTTTGCTTACAGGCGATGAACCCTGGGACTGCAACTCGGCAATCCAGTCGAAGATCCCATCCTCCATCGCAGCTCGCTGTCTGACCGGCCGCGTGGCGCGTTTCGGCCCGGCTAGCAGGGTCGAGACCGCGAGCGCCTCCACATTTTCTCTTACAGCGCCCGGAAATGGATTGGACCCTCCGATCCTTGCCGTAAGAAACCTCTATCTTTCTATGTCTTATGAACATACATCCATCCATCCAATCGAGTCGGGGTATACAGCAGGCAAGCAAGTAAGCAAGCAGAATATCAACGCCGAAACAGGAATCCATCCTCCAACGAAGTCTAGTCCAGTACAACATGGCCTCATGGTGAAGTCTGTTCAGATACTCGCGCGCCGCGGCGCCAGCGTCCGTTGCAGCTTCTTCTTCTCCTCCGTCTCCTCCGGCAGCGGCAGCGATCCTTCGCTCTTCAGCTTCTCCAGGAACTCCTTCCCGTACGCGTACCCCACCTGGTAGATCTCGTCGAACTTGCTGAACTCGAGCGTGCCGTACTGGTCGACGGGCGGGCGCATGTACAGACAGCCGACCGTGTTCTTGGCGCGTTCGAGGTTCTCGATCGACGACACGTACGCCAGCCGCGCCTGGATCTCCGACAGCGTCGGGGGGTTGGGGCACGACGAGAACGGGTTCCAGCGGTTGACCACCGCCCAGAACCCCGACAGCGAGTCGCCGTACCCCTGCGGCGTGTTGTCGTCGATCGAGCCCACGTCGACCGCGAAGATCACGTCCGCCCCCAGCCCCTTCATGTAGCCCACCGTCAGGTTGTCGATGTACCCGCCGTCCAGGAGCATGCTGCCCTCGTCGCAGATCGGCGGGATCAGGCCCGCCAGGGACATCGAGGCCCGCACGTACCGCCACGTGTAGCCGGACGAGTGGTATTCGGCCCGCGAGCGGCTGATGTTGGTCGTGTTGCAGTAGAACTCCAGCCAGAAGTCCTCGATCTGGCTGTCCCCGAACGTTTTGAAGATGCCCCGGTTGAACTCGTGTCCCGTCGTGTACGACACGGTCGGGTACGTCAGGTCCAGCGCGAACCGCCAGATGCTGCCCATGCGGCCCGCGAACTTCTTCGCACGGCCGTACATGGGCACCACGTCCGCGTCCCGCGCGTAGAGTGCCCCGATGAAGGACCCGATCGAGGTGCCGCCGATGATGTCGATCGGGATCCCCGCTTCCTCCAGGGCCTTGATCACGCCGACCTGGGAGATGCCTCGGGCCCCTCCGCCGCCTAGCACCAGCCCGACAGACCGACCACAGAGCCGCCGCGCCAGGCGGTGGAAGTCGCCCTTGAATGGGGTTTGGGGAGAGTAGAGCGCCGATTGGCGTATCCGACGCGATGTGTACTTCTGGATCTCAGCCTGGAGGACTTGCACCCTCTGTTTGAGCACGGTTCCAAAGCGCTTGGCTTGGGGGTGAGAGGGCTCCGCCGTCAGCCGGATAGCCATTTGGATGTGATGGTGGCCGCCGTTGATCCAGACCCGGTTCTTCAGCCACTGGCGCGTGATTCCAGGGGGGCAGTACCGCTCCCCGTGCAGCAACACCAGCTCCTTTCTGGCCGTTGTCTTCATGCCAAGTAGGAAGCGTTCGTATTCGCCGATATTGGGCGAGGATTCCGCCAGGCCGACCAGCAGGATACAGTCGGCCTGCGTGATGCAGGTTTGCGTCCACGGAGAATTGACCGTTGTGTCGGCAATATAGAGAACCATGCCGTACTTCTCCTCCAGATCTGCCAGATACTGCGACAGCTTCAGCTTTCCCATCTTACTGAATGCATGTCGGCCAAGGTGGTTCAGAATGGCTGCCTGATTGAGTGAGGTGGCGCCGTTTGTGACTCCGATCTGGTGCAGGGCCTGGAGCAGTCGGTTCCCAAAGTCAACGACTGGCACGCCAGCGGTCACGGGGAGAATGCCAACGGTGCGAAGATTGAGGGTCGACCGCGCGGTCTTCACGGTGCCAAAGGTGCTGGGCTCAACGCCCTTCTCGGCCACCGGATGTTCAACCAAATCCCGCATCCGTTGCGCAATCAGCTTCGATACCTGGATGGTAATCCCAGGGTGCTCCTGCGCCAGACTGTTGAACAGCGTCCGGGGAAACTTGGCCAATTCGGTGTCACGAATGGCGTGGAGTGTTGCCGGACGGGTCGACTCGGTCATCACCTCCAACTCACCCACACTTTCTCCCTGGCCATACTCGCCAACAACCGTCATCTTTCCATCCGGGCCTTCGAGCACAGACCGCAGGCGCCCGTTCAAGGCGAGATAGATCGCGTCGCTCTCATCGCCCTGGTGGTATATCACTTGGCCGGCGCTGACCTGCACCCATTCCAGCGCGAAATCGATGTGGAGGAGCAAACGCGGGAGCACGCTGGTAAGCCGCTTGGCTAGTGTCAGGAGGGCAAGAGGGTACCGCTCCGCAATTCTTTCCAGGGCCGCCCTCGGAAGGAATCCAACGTACACGTCCGTCTTGGCGACGACGTCAGTGTATGAGCGATACGACGCCACGGCTCCGACATAGCCTTGGATCCCACCGGGTTTGATGAGGTAGAGAGATTTCCTGGATTGCTTCTTCCGTCGGGGATCGTTCGGTGCCGCTGTCGTACTCGACACGCGAGAGGAGCTGGTGTTGGTGCGCCTCAAGATAGGGAAGAACTCCTCTTGAGCCGGCCTCGACGATCCCACCAGGTCTTCCTCCTTCTCGTTGGCGGGAATGCCGACGTCCAAGAACCCATCCACCACGTAGTACAGACCGGGATGGCGCTCACCCTGCTCCACTAGCACGGAGCCCTGGGGGAAGTAAACGATCTCGATGTCGTTGCGGAGCTCTTCCCTCAAGCTGGCAACAGGCGAGGTGCCACCAGCACTAGTTACCGACATAGACATCATGGACTCCGTATCTCCATCCGCGGAACCTTCGTACGGATCGATAAAGCCAAATGCGTTGTTGCTGAACACCGCCTTCTGGCGACGAGAGTCATAGGAGAGGAGTTTCGGAGACACGTCTCCCGAAACATGGCTGCCTTTGCGAAGGAAATCATTACTGCTGCCGGTCAGACCGATCCCTTTCATGATGCATTCCAGGATTGATTCGCGGAAAAGCGCATCCTCGTCAATAGAATCTTTCCGATGGAACGACCCGCGACTTGGGATCATCGGGGACGGGGATCGTAGAGGGGATTGCTCTTTCTCTGCCAGAGGACTAAGCAACCTCGGGGCCAGATGCTCGTACCGAGGACCAAACCGCGAGAGCTGGATGGTGGACAGGAGATCCCCTGGGCTAACTCCAGCATTCTCCCGGTCGTTCATGAAGGAATTCTCCTGGGTAATGGAAGAAACCGGGCGTCTCGAGGTCGCCATCTTCGCTTGCAGGGCGGCGTCTTTCCTTCGAAAGCTGCTTGACCTGGGCCTCCTCCCGGAATACGGGTTGTGCAATGCGATTCCCTTGGTCACTTCCTCGGGCCCCAGACGGTCTCGCTCTTTGATGAACTTGTCTTTGAGGCGGTCCAGCGCTGCCCCACGCAGATCATTCGGCAGATCGTAGGTCGTGAACTTCGTCATTTGCCTCTCAATTCCCAGCACCTCGTTATTGAGGCCCAGATAAGAATGTGCCGTTGCAAATGTCACTCTCTGCAGACGCGTAAGAATGACCTGGACGATATGGGCGGTCGCTTTCGGATAGACCCTGGTCAGGCGACGGAAAGCACTGGCGGGGATGATAGCGATGGTCGTGTCGACCATTGCCCGTGCAACAATGTCCGGGTGAACCGACTTACGACGTGCTTTGGTCGGATGCGTCTTGTTGTGTCGAGAGGTGTGCGTAGGCGGGGTTTGACTTCCCCCCAGGTTCAGTGGAGGCACGGCGGGCAGGTCATCGGCACCGATGTGGGGGATCGAGTCTGCATGATCCTGTGGGAATGCACGCGGGGAGCCGTCCGCCACTCCCTGTGGACTGGCAGGGAACGAGTCAGGAGCCAAGGCCGGGCCGGGCCCTACGCTGGAAGCACTAGAAGTCGCGCTGTCTGCATAGCGCAATTGAACATCCTCCGTGAACAGCGACAGGATAGAGAACAAGGACGACATGGAGGCACCATTCTTCACTTCGGTGAGCAGCTGGTACCCTTGCTTTCCATCCATGCGATGATCATCCTCGTCGGAAGATTCCCCCTTCATTTGGCTGGTTTCCTCCTCGGCACCGGACTTCCCGTCCCGTATGGATTTGACGAAGATCTGGACCAGCCCGTCGACGACCAAGCAGAAGCCCTTCTCTTCCTCCAGCAAGAGCGTCTCGCCCGCGATCAGCTTCCGTGTCTGCATCGTGCGGGTCAATTCGTGGAACACGGGCCTCTCGAGATATCCGAAGACTTTGATGGCGCTTAGGAACTCATCCAGGTAGTTGGCCAGGCCCGGCTTTATATCACCTTCGGGAACATCGGGGAAAAGGTCGAGCTGGGGTTCCTTGCGTTGGGGCTCCGGGGGGAGGCGGCTGTACATGTTGAGGAAACGGTACCGAACGAACCAGCTGAGGGTCGAAACCACGACCAGCGCAATCAAGAGACTAGTCATTGGAGCAGTAGTTAGCATGGGATCTTTGGGGGGGGGGGAAATCGGAAGCGGTCCGAACTCACAGGGTGGTGAAGTTCATGGTGAAGGTGAGGCTCATGGAGAAGAGCGTGAACAGCCATGTGGGCAGCGTGATGGTCGAGAAGGTGACAATCCAGTAGAGGATGCTAGGGATGACATAGAAAACGAGGGTAAACACCCATCCGATCCACCCCACCATGGTTGAGGGTGTCGGAGGGGGTGTCGGCGGGGGAGGGAGGTGTGAGGAGAGGCCGGCGACGGAAAAGCTGGCGGTTACGGCGGGGATGGAGGAGGATGCGAGGGATCGTGCGGAGGTCAGGAACGGACCCAGGCTTGAAGGGTCAAGCGAGGGAGTCGGTGGGATGCCGTCATGGGCCATGATTCCCAGGAGTTGGCAGCAGGATGGAGACCAGGCAGCCGCTAAGAGCTCCGGAAGGCCCAGGCAGCGCCACGGGCTCGCTGCCCCTCTCCTTTGTGTGGGATGTGTTGCTTTCGTCCGGAGAGCTCAGGCTCGACCGCAGGGCTTCGAGATGGTGGTTGAGGCAGAGGGAAACGTGCAGCGAGGAGGGCCTGTGGCTGGTTGGTGGTTTGGAGGTGGCCATGAGGGGGTGCACGCCGGGCAGAACCAGGGCGGTGCCCCGGTATTGGGTACCGACCGGGGCGCTGTTGTCATTGACGGGCACCACGTACTGGGTACATGCATGATAAATGCTATACTGATATGTGTATTAAACTCCTGTACAGTACGGAGTACTCCATGCTGGGATCAGTATTTGGACTGACCCACTGCTATCCATAGTCGCTATCGGTAGCTGTTACATAGTACCAATGAGAGAAAGTGATCAGGATGAAGTAGTATACTGACAGCTCATCTAGTCTGTGTCTGCTGCATGAGCATGGAAAGAGCTCCGCTATAGGTAGGATCCTGCGTAAGGTACTACATACAGTACTCCGTAGATAGTACAGTAATAGGCAGCACCAGTCAGTGCCGAACCCTGGGCTCACCGCCCGGGCGGGCCCCCGTCTTGCGCGACCGCCCAGCGGCCAGTGCCCCGGCAGCCGCGTGGACGTCGCCCGCCAGCGCTGTATCCCAGCCTCCCCTGCTTCCTCTTCTCGATCCCATGCTCCTGCTCCTCTCGGTCCTCGACCGTCCGTCTCTTTGTCTTTTGTCCCTCCACTGAGCTGTGGCCTTGGCTCACCGGCCCCGCCACAGTCATGTTCCAGGTACGTGTCGATTACCCGTTTACCCGACTCGGATCTCCATATCTCCCCGTGCATGACTGACTGACTGATCCCACTTGCTATCCCACAGCGCCTGCGCGAGGCAATCGACTCGCGGATTGCAGAGGAACAGGCTCGCCAACGCACCGCCCAGACTCCGATCTCTCGCTCCAACTCCGCCCGTCATCCCACCGGCCGCAATCTCTCGCCCACCCGACGGACCTCCCGCCCGCGCCGCAATACCGGCACTCCTGTCCGGGGCCCTGATCCGAATGAATTCGAGCCCGAGTTCGCCATCGGCGACGATGAGGGATCCAGCAGATCCGCTACTCCGCGCCTCGAGTCCGCGGGCGGCTCCGAAGCTGCCCCGGAGGATGGTGCCGCGCAGGGCAAGCCCCCCGCTGACGACTCCGCCGCAAAGGAGTCGGACGCCCAACCCGCGACGGAGCCGAATCAGTCGTCGTCGGAACTTCCGCCAGAGATAAGGGTGAAGCTGCGGAGATTGGGAAAGTTGGAATCTCGCTACCAAGGTGAGGAGCTTGCGATAAGGGTGTTGTGATTCTATCTAACTCGGTGCTGCAATCTAGAACTGCTCAAGGCCTATCGCATGGCCCATTCGCGCGTCCTCTCCATCGAACCGTTCGAAGCTGCCCTGCGCGAAAATACCCCTCTTACGTCGATCAGCGAGCCGAAGGCGTTGACGGAGTACCTGAACCAGATCTCGTTGAAAGGGGACATGGTCGTTGAGGAGCTGAAGCGCGTAACGGCGGACCGAGATGACTACAAGAAGAAGCTGGAGGAGGCCCAGAAATCCACCAAGGCCGCCTTGGACGAAGTGACCGAACTCAAGAAGGACAAGGCCCAAGTGAAGGAAGACGAAGCATCGGCAAAGGAATCCGCGACAGATAGTCCCGCGAAATTCGGAAAGTCCACCTCCAAGGACGATACCAAGGCTTCCAAACAGTCCGAGCCGCAGGGCGAGAGTGAGGAATTCTTTTCTTTCGACAGCGAAATACCCCGGCTGGAATCCGAGTTGAAGGAAAAGCAGGACGAGATCGAAACCCTCAAGACGCAAACGGACTCGCTGAAACGCGATCTGTCGGTCGCTCGCGAGTCAACGGAAGGCATGGTTGTGAACCTGGAGTCTGCTACTCGAGAGCTTACGGAACTGCGTGACTTCAAGGACAAGCAGGACGCGGAGGTGGAGAAGCTGAAGAGTTCCCACAAAGCGGAAGTGGACGAGCTCAAGGCCAAGCTTGGCAAGTCGGAGGAGGCCGTGTCCAAGACTGGCGCCGAAATCGAGAAGCTGCAGGCCGATTTGAAGCAGCGTACCGAGGAAATCGAGCAACTCCAGGCCCAGACATCCAAGCCCGAGAATGCTGACCGACAGGCCGAATTCGAAACCAAGCTAGGGGAACTGAAGAAGGAGAAAGAAGCCACCGAGAAGCGCCTGGGTGTTCTACAGGGATTAGTCGATAGCTTGCGGTCCCAGCTGAAGGAGACCGAGGAAGCAGTGTCCAATCTGAAGTCCGACATGGGCCAAAAGACCGTGGACATGGGCAAGTTACAGAACGTTGTCAGTTTCATGGATGAGAATCTGAAGGGCAATGCGAAGTGGCAACAGGTCAAGGAAACAGTTGCCGACGGAAAGGAAGCCGTGTGGAGTGAGCTACGCGACAGCTTGGCACCACCGCCCACTCCAAACGTCAAAAATTCCACTGGACCAGCCACGCCAGCTGCACCAGCTGCGACAGCAGGTGGTACCGGAGGGGGTAAAAAGAAGAATAAAAAGAAGAAGAAGGGTGGCAAGGCGGGTGAGGATACGAAGGCAGCCGAGGTTGCTGTCCCCGAGGAAAAGCAGGAGCCAGCGGTTGAGCCTGTTGAGCCGGTTGAGGCCGACCAGACTGCCTCGAAGCTATCCGAGCTGGAGGAAAGCATTGAATCACTGAAGAAACAGTTGGAAGAGAAAGACGCGGCCATTGATCGTCTGAGCTCTAAGCTGAAAGGAGAGGAAGACCTGAAAGAGGAGATCGAGACTCTCCGGGACGACCTGCTTCACCTGGGCGAAGAACATGTTGAGGCGAAGGATAAGGTCAAGATGCTCAGTGCCGAGAAGACTGCCCTTGAGGGAGCAATCTCCAAGCTAGAGAAGGAGCTCACGGATTTGCGCACGAGCACCGAATCCAGTTCCGCCGACTCCAAGAAGGCCCACAGCGACCTGAAAGAGGAGTACGAGAACATCAAGATCAAGTCCACTACGCTGGAGACCGAGCTCTCCGCTGCCCAGCAACTGGCTGCGACGCGCTTCAAGGATATCACCGATTTGAGGGAGACCCTGCAGAAGCTGCAACCCGAGCTGAAGAAGCTGCGAAGCGAGTCATCAGAACTCAAGTCCACCAAGGAATCGTTGACGAGCAAGACGGCCGAGTTGAGAACTCTCGAGGGCAAACACGACGATCTGCGCGCCGATCTGAAAGCGCTCAAATCCACCATATCCGAGCGGGACAATGAAGTGAAGACGCTCAATCAGAAGATCAGACAGGAAACAGAAAGCCGCCTGAAGGGGGAGGAGAAGCTGACGGTCGCCCAGTCTGACCTGCGATACTCGGAGAGCAAAAAGCAAGAAGCAGTGGAGGCGAAGGAGAAACTGGCGACGGACCTTTCCAAGGCACAGGACGAGTTGAAGGCTGCCCGTGCCCGCCTGCGTGATGCTGAAAGCCAGGTCGCCCAGTTGAACAAGGATCTCGGCGGCCTGCGGGAGGAGATCCAGCTGAAGACAGCTCAACACTCCAGCGCGCAAGGTCTGATGAACAGCATGCGCGACCAGGCTGCAGAATTGGGTATGCAGATGAAGGAGGCGCGGGAACGGTGTGAGAGCCTGGAGGAGGAGCTAGCGGACGCCCACCGCTTGCTGAGCGAGCGGACTCGGGAGGGCGAAACAATGCGACGCCTTCTTAACGATATCGACGGCCGCGCGGAGGCTAAAGTACGGGACTTCAAGGAGCGCATGGAATCTGCCATCGAGGAGCGAGACCGGGCCGAGGACGAAGCAAGTGCGCAAGGGCGCCGTCGGGCGCGTGAGTTGGAGGAGCTGAAGGGCAAGTTGCGCGAGGCGGAACGGTCCCTGCGCACCATCGAGGAAGACAAGGAGGAACTGGAGCACTCGCAGAAGGATTGGAAGCGTAGACGCGACCAGCTGGAGGTTGAGTCCGAGAAGACGACGCAAGAATTGGGTGATCTACGCCAGGCCATGGCCCGGCTGCGCGATTCCTTGGATGAGAGCGAGAAGCAGGTCCGTGACCTGGAGAAGGAGAAGGCCGAACTGCGCCGGTCGGTGGAGGAGACCAACGCTCGATTGGAAAAACTCCGCAAGTCCAACAAGATGCTCCCCGAGGATGGCCGTTTCGGCCACACATCGCAGTCCTCTCGGTCCTCCATCGACTCGGGGTCACGCAAGCTGCTTGCCTCCCCGGTCGCGAAGGAACGCAGCCCGTCGACCCGGCGAAGCGAAACGCCCACCGGCGGCGGTGCCATTGATTACATCTATCTGAAGAACGTCCTCCTCCAATTCCTGGAGCAGAAGGACAAGAGCTACCAGAAGCAGCTGGTGCCTGTCCTGGGGATGCTGCTGCATTTTGACCGGTGAGCCCCGTTCCGCCCATTCCTATCCTTTTTTATACCAGGTAGCTGACCGAAACAGGACCGACGAGCAGAAGTGGATGGCGGCCATCGCGTCAAGATAGGACCCAACACTTTCTCCGCGGGACCGAGGACGTACTTGTAATCATACCTGGGTAAATAGCATTCTTATTCATTTCTTCCGATACCTTATATCACGCATTTTCTTCTTTGCTCTTCCACCTGGTGCCATTGTCACCTTAAGGGCGTGGCTAGTACCGACCGCCCGCCGTTCCAGACCACACGGTAGGGCCGAATCTCCGGACCCAGGGATCGGTCCTACTCTATATATCTACGGCCTCCACTCTGCCTGGACGAGCTTTTCTGAACTTTCATCCATTCTCTTCCATCACACTGCTACTGCTCGTAGTCGCTACACACACACACCTGCACCATGTCTGCCCAACCTACCATTCGTCTCGCGGCTGCTGAAGGTCAGTCCATCCCCCCGGCCCCGCGGGCCCACAAGGATGCGCCGATTGCGGCCCAGTGACTAATTGTGCCATCACAGATGTCCCCATCATCCTGCAGTTCATCCAGGAGCTTGCGGACTACGAGAAGGCTCTGCACGAGGTCGAGGCGACCAACGAGTCCCTCCTGGCCACCCTGTCCTTCCCCGACACCCCTCCCAAGCGCGGGTCTGTGTACACCGCGCTGATCATCCCGCCCGCGACGACGGAGGACCCCACACCCAAGCCCGTCGGCATGGCCATGTTCTTCTACAACTACTCGACCTGGCGCTCCGCCCCCGGCATCTACCTTGAGGACCTCTACGTCCAGCCGAGTGCGCGCGGCAACGGGTACGGCTTCAAGCTGCTGAAGTACCTGGCCGCTAAGGTCCTGGAGATCAAGGGCAGACGACTCGAGTGGAGTGTGCTGAAGTGGAACGAGCCCAGCATCAAGTTCTATGAGCAGGTTGGCGCCAAGGGCATGCACGAGTGGATGAAGATGATGGTGGAGGGGCCGGCCCTAAACCAGCTGGCGGAGGGTCGGTGATGGGATTGTGATGGGGAGGATGATTTGACTGAGCCCGAGGGTGCTTATGATCTGAAATCAAGCCCTGGCAGGCTTGTTGGCACAGGACTGCCATCACCACCATAGACATGCCCACACCGATGAGGCTTCTCGATCCGCCGGTCGCATCTGGCCCGGGAGAGGGATATACTGATATACTACTTGTAAATAGAACAACAATTTTACCCACGCCAATGGCTATTTCCCACACAAGCAGCAAATCCCGTTGCCACCGTAGAGCGACAGAGTTTGGATGATGGCATGGCGCATTGAGATTGTCTTTCGATCTCAGCCGCGGGCAGGGCTAACCCTACAAACAAGCTCGGGCGGTGGTGACGTCGTCCGCGAGTCGCGCCCCTGGAAAAGCTACTCCTCCTCATCCTCATCCTCAACCACTACATAATCCCCCCCCTCCTCTCAACCATCCCCGGTTTCCCCTTCCTCTCGATCGCACCCATGATACTCTGAGCTCTGTCGAACTCCGCTCTCACCAAATGGCTTCCACCGTCCCCCCGGACCCCGTGCACAGCAACCACTACGTGGACTACGTCATCCGCTATAACTTTGGCGACACCGGTAAGAAGATGGCGGCGTGGCTGCATCCCCCCCTTCCGATCCATCGCATGTGACCTGACCGGACCTGACCGAATAGACTCCGTCCAAGCAACAGAGCAGCTCGACCGGCTGCTGCGACGACTCTTCGACGTGGGACTGCAGACCGAGGTGCGGCAGGGCGATGAGACCTCCCTGCTTGTGTTTGTCCGGGCGTCCCGGAAGAAGAGCCTGAAACGCGCGCTGTATCAGTCTCGGTAAACCTCTACCCAGTCACTCTACATCTACAGTATCTACAATACACATACCTCCAGTATACTAACACGATGTGACTCGACCAGCATCCGCGACTGGCTCTACGGCGTCCGCAACACCGAACCCGAACCCGAATCCTCCGCCGAGCCGCAATCCGAATCGGAGCGTCTGCGCGTCATCTACCACCTGATCACCGAGCCCAAAGAAGCGGGCGGCGCCGGCATCACCCCGAAACACGGCGAATGGAAAAGTATCGATGCGATTTTCCCCCTCCACGATGAGGACATGAATCGGCAGTGCATGAAGGATTGGAGTCGGAAGACGTTTCTGTCGCCTGAGGATCTGGATCAGATTAAGGATACCTTCGGGGAAAGTGTATGTGTGCCAGTCACGACATTCGGGGGTTTCTTGTGGTTTAGGTTGGGGAAGTTGGGTGATGTGGTGCTAACTATGGTGTTTTGTGTCTAGGTCGGGTTCTATTTCGCGTTCCTGCAGTCGTATTTCCGCTTCCTGCTTTTCCCGGCCCTGTTCGGTTTCTCGTGCTGGTTGCTGCTGGGCTCGTTTTCGATTATCTATACCGTGGTGAATTGTCTGTGGTGTATTATTTTCATTGAGTACTGGAAGCGCCAGGAGGAGGACTATAGCTGTCGCTGGCAGACGAAGGGGGTCTCGGCGGTGCGGCCGAAGCGACGCGAGTTCAAGCCTGAGAGGGAGGTCCACGATGAAAGCACCGATGAGATCCGCGGCGTGTTTCCGGCCACGAAGCGAATGTATCGCCAGCTGCTGGTCGTGCCGTTTGCGATGCTGTCGGCGGTTGCGCTGGGGTTGATCATCGCTACGTGCTTCGCCATCGAGATCTTTATCTCGGAGGTGTATAACGGGCCGTTGAAGACCTATTTGGTGAGTTTTGGTGGGTGACACGCGGTGCATGTCGACTGACGGGTGTAGATTTTCATCCCGACCATCTTGCTCTCGGCGCTGATTCCGACGATGAGCACGGTTCTGGTGTCGATTGCCACCAAGCTCAATGACTACGAGAACTACGAAACTCAGCCTGCGTATGACGTGGCGCTGACACAGAAGATTTTCGTGATCAACTTCATCACCTCGTATCTCCCGATCTTCCTCACGGCCTTCGTCTACGTCCCCTTTGCCAGTCTGATCGTGCCCTACCTCGACGTGTTCCACCTGACCGTCCGCCCATTCGTCTCCAAGGAAGACGCGACCTCCCTGCGCACCGAGTTCAGCATCGACCCCGACCGTCTCCGCAAGCAAGTCATCTACTTCACCGTCACCGCGCAAGCGGTCAACTTCGCCATGGAAACCATCGTCCCTATGCTCAAGCAGCGTCTCTTCCGCGAATACAAGGACTACAACCGGCGTAAGAACGGGAAATCCGACCCCGGCGCCGACGGCAGCGAGACGAAGAAAGAGGCGCTCTTCGACGACCACCCGGACGAGACCAAATTCCTGACACGGGTCCGCAACGAAGCCGACATGGAAGACTACGACGTGACGGAGGACCTGCGCGAGATGTGCATCCAGTTCGGCTACCTAGCGCTGTTTTCGCCCGTGTGGCCGCTCGTCCCTGTGTCCTTCCTGATCAACAACTGGGTCGAGCTGCGGTCCGATTTCTTCAAGATCTGCATGGAATGCAAGCGCCCGTGGCCGCAACGCGCCGACACCATCGGCCCCTGGCTCGAGAGCCTGGGCTTCCTGTCCTGGGTGGGAAGCATCACCAGCGCGGCGCTGCTGTACGTGTTCAGCAACGGCCACGAAGGCCCGAACGGCGAACCGACCGCCATCCGCGGCTGGGCCCTCCTCCTCACCATCTTCTTCTCCGAACACATCTACCTCATGGCGCGGTATGCCGTGCGCGCAGCCATGTCGAAGCTCGAGCCCGCCAACGTCAAGACAGAGCGTACGGAACGCTACATGATGCGGAAGAGGTATCTCGAGGCTACGGTCGGTGCCAGAAGCAGCGACGACGAGGGCGACGATGATGCCGGTAACGATGGGAAGGATCGCTCGATGGAGGTGTCTGAGATCACGCGCGACTCGCTGGAAAAGGACGCCCGTGACTGGTCCAGCCATGATGTCGACCCCGCGGAACGGTTCTGGATGCGCCAGAAGGGCTGGAAGGAGTCGGCCCATGTTGGTGCTAATATTATCAAGGTCGCCGATCCGCATTCCAAGAAGGAGCAGTGATCAACCGATCGGTCTTGGAGTTGGATATAGATAGATATCGGGCGATGTCCCGTCTGGCCGGGCCAGTTGCGGTATATAGAGGGGGTTTGTGTGAAGGTCTCCGGATCCACATACGCCTTGATGTATAGGAGTACTATCTATTATTGTTATTATGATGATCTTGGACAGATGTGATCTTTGGATAATGCCCATCGCGCATAGTTACTAACTAGATCATTAGTCTGTTTGCTGTTTGTTTGCCTGCCTGCCTATACCGGCTATCGGCCCGTCCTTCTCCCGCCGGACATCCGGATTAACCCCGGAACTAGAATAATCCGCTCCCCGGCAGCTGTTCTTCCCAGCCAATCGGCGTCCGCTGAGTCAGATCGGCTTCGGCGTTCCAGCGCCGGGTCCCGACATTCCCATCCATTCGAGTCTAGGCAGCCTTCGCGCCGTTCGGATGCTGGCGGAGGGGATAACATCCAGGCAGACAGAGCGAACGTAGTAGTGTAGGTTTCCTGGGATGATATTGTCATATTGAGAGCAAGCCTTGAGAGGAAATCCGGTGATTCGATGGCGAGATCATCCTGCCATTTTACTGGGTGCTGGATCTGGACGGATTGGGTTGGCCGGACGCGACGGACGCGACGCTCGGACCGGATGAGGGCAGGAATGAGTCAGCACATGCCGGATCAGTCAGCGGGGGGTCGGAGGGAGTTGGAACGCAACGGGGATTGTTTCGGGGGGGAATTTAATTGAAGATGGGGTTGTCAATTGGCAGTTGAGGCACTGTGTAATGATGATGAGCAGGATGGGAGACCCTTAGACCCTTGGGAGGGAGAGGATGGTGGTGTGAACCTGTTCCGTACAGTAAGTACGACATCTGAAGGGCCAGGCAGCAGGCCCGCCGCAGCCGGGGGTTCCCGCGGCGTGAGTGGCCAGCGACCTGCGCTTTTGCCCTGCAATTGCCATTCCCGCCCACCGCCGCAGCCCACCGCCGCAGCCCACGTCACCGTCTGACTGATACTTTAACTAATCCTCTCTCTCTTCCCCCCTTCACCTCATCCTGCTTACGAGATCCCTCTTTGTCCTAACAGTCAGCATCAGAACTTCTCCATCCCACTCCTGCCTTAGCTAAGGCCCTTCCTCCGCGTTTTCCTGACCCGCCCAGCTGCTGCTGACTACTGCCTCTCTCCATCTCTCTCTCTCTCTCTGTCTCTCCTCTCCACTGCTTACCTCATCGTGCTCCCCCCCATTCATCCTCATCGCTCTGCCCTGCTACACCCTCTCCTCTGTCTCTTCCTCCCCCAGAGATCGTGCATTTATTGTGTCCGAGCTCCCCCGGTGCCCCTCCCGGCTCGATTTGAATTGATTGTGTCGTGTCGTTTCCCGGCGCGTCCTCTGTTGTTTTCAGGCCCATACTCTCGATGCAGCCCACACTAGCCCCAGCGCCGCATCCAAGCATGCAAACCTCTGCTCAGGTAAGCAGCCCATGCTGGTCGCGGTTTGTCATCACATCGCGTTGTCCCTGCTTCCCCTTCCCCGTTCCCCAGATTCATCGCCCGGTGCCCGAGCTGGGGCGCCTGTCGTGGCATCGCCATCGCGACCGCCGTCGCCCCTCGCCCCCAGGGGGGGGGGGGCGGCGCGACCTCGGATCCTGCCATGTCGCGACAGACGCCTGCAGCCGTCGCCGGTCGCATCGACGCGACATGATCTGATGGAGTCTCAACGCTAATATCGTTCTCCTCGTGTAGGATCATGCGGATCAAGGTAAGCACGTCTTTTGGAGTAGAGGGAGGAGACGCGACCCGGATGCTGGGTGATCGCGTCGCGTAGGCGGACGGCGAATCGCCTCCCGACCGGCTTATCGCAACAAGTTTCGAGGGAGATGCTGACATGCACGTTCCCCAGTCCTCCACGACCAGCTGCTAGCGGCTCACCAGCAGTTGTCGCATTCGCAGCAAGCGCGCCCGCAACCGCCGACCGCGCAGCCTCCCCACATGCAACCCAACACCGCGAGCCCGCGAGACCAAAACAACATCGACCCGGCCATCTCCGGCGCTTCCATGATGAGCGGTCCCCCACAGACTCCACCCCAGCCCGAGCCGACCGGCGGGGAGTCCCCCAAGACGTACGGCAAGCGGCCGCTCTCGACTTCCAAGCGTGCTGCCCAGAACCGTGCCGCCCAGGTAAGATGCATTGTCCTGACACAGCGGGGTGCATGCTGATTCGCATAGCGGGCGTTCCGTCAACGCAAAGAGAGTTACATCCGCAAGTTGGAGGAACAAGTCAAAGAGTATGACCAAACGATGGAGACGTTGAAGCAGCTACAGACCGAGAACTACCAGCTCCGGGAGTACGTCATCAACCTGCAGTCGCGGTTACTGGACTCCCAGGGCGAGGTGCCCGAGCTGCCTGGCAACATCGACCTGAACCAGCCCCGGGCGGACATCCCAGTGCCACCCAACGCCTCCGCGACGACCTCGGCGGCCGCACCCACGGGCCCGCAGCCCATGCAGGTCCAGAACCAGGCCTCGGCCTCGAACGAAGACATGAACTCGCTCAACCGCATAGCGGTGGCCGGGCTGGGCATGCGCAAGCACCCCAACGAGGACACGAATTTCCTCGGGAACAACTTCCAGGCTCGTCGCGCGCGCAATGACGAGGGCCAACCCGACGGGTCAGACGTCACCAAAACGGAGCCCACGCACGGGCTGCCCGTGGTGTCGTGAGAGCAGCTGACCTTCCAACTCAAACCAAATCAAGTCATTTTTGCCGTCATTCCTGCGTGCGCGCGTGTGAATCCAGTCCTACTATTCAACCTTCCTGTTGCTTGTATTCTCCGGTGTATTGGCGTGATGTAACTAGGTATCAATTCCGGTCTCGGACGGAGCGGTGTTTTGCGTCGTCGTCGTGTTTCTTCTCATTCATTCGTCTTTTTCCGGGGCCTGGCCGGACGGACGCACGGAACTGCCTGCTTTCCTATCATTTCTCATCCTCATCTTAGACTTCTGGGCTTGGCCTTGCGGTTGGTTCCGCCGTCGTGCTGGGCTGCTGACCTCGTTCATACCCGCGCAATTCCACGTTAATCGAGTATTGATTGTCTTCTTTCTGGGGCTCTGAGAACAGACTGCTGAGTCGTGAGTCGTGAGTTGTTATGATAGGAATCGATCGTATTGAGTGTACTGTCTATCAATCAAATCGGCTGGAGAGTTCTCACTTCGTCTACGCAGTATGTGTTGGACAGATACATGCAGATTAAGTGTGCTGTCATAATTCCCGAGAATCTAGCACCACTGCAGGGGACTTAGCACGTCATCGGCTCTTGTATCTAGACATATTACTTCCCCGGCGCACTATGTCGTAGACACTCACGGGTCGACCAGGCTGTGTTCCAAGCGAGGGAGGTTTGCCGGGTTTGTTACCCCGCCCCCACTGCGGAGAGACCCCCAAGTCATGTTTATTTATCTACGCTGCTCTCCTCCTCATCCCCAGATAATCTTTCTTTTCTTGCATCCATCTATGAACCCACCATCATGGCTGCCTCCATCCCCGCCGACGACAATGATGCGCCTACGTATCGCCCGCGAAGCTACCAGGTCGAGATGTTCGAGGCCAGCCTGAAGGAGAACATCATCGTGACCGTACGTCCACGACCCACTCATTCTTCCTTCCTTCCCTGTCAGTCAAATCTCCAGCGATCTGATCTAACACTCAGCTGCAGATGGGCACCGGAAGCGGAAAAACTCACATGTACGTCGTTTTGACACTCCCGCCCGCAACCCACACCTCTCCAAACACCAAAAAATTAACACCCTCTTTTGCCTCGCCCCTAGAGCCCTGCTGCGCATTGTCCGCGAGCTGGAGACAAATCCCCACCAGGTGAGAATGTCTCGGCTCCCTGGTAGCTTAGCTCAGCTTAGGCCAGCCCAGCCCAGCCCAGCCCAGCTCCGCTCCACCTGTCGCGCGACACACAGCTCACAACCCGTCGATCTATCTAGTTGATCTGGTTCCTGACCCCCACGGTCGCGCTGTGCCTGCAGCAGTACAAATTCCTCGCCGAAACTCTCCCCACCCTCAGGGCTAGAACCCTCACTAGTCTGGACAAGGTCGAGCTATGGACCGAGCAGTCCATCTGGGACGCCGTCCTTAAGGATACCCAGGTCGTCGTGTCGACTCACGCCGTGTTGGCGGACGCCATGACCCATGGCTTCGTGAGGATCACTCAGCTGGGGCTGATGATTTTCGATGAAGGTAATCAATTAACCCTCCTCCAACCCCGTGGGCTGAGAGCTGACGAGCTAGCCCACCATTGCATGCGACGCCACCCGGCCAACAAGATCATGCAGGACTTCTACCATCCGGCTCTGGCGGCGCATGGGCCGGATGCGGTTCCCAAGATCTTGGGGCTGACGGCAAGCCCCGTGATGAGGTCGAAGCGGACCGAGCTGTTGTAAGTGGGGTGCTCCGATTCGGATATTGGGGGGGGGGTTTTCGCTGACAGCCCAGAAAAATCGAATCCAACCTCAATGCCCGTTGCAGGACGCCGCGCATGCATCGCTCTGAGCTGTTGACGCACACCCATCGGCCCCTTCTGCAGCAAATCCTGTTTTCGCCGCACCGTGTGGAAGAGGCTGGAAGCAAGACGTTACGAGCGCTTGTGAACGCCTGGAACGCCCTGGATCTGGAGAACGACCCGTATATCAAGCAATTGAGGCGCAGCCCGCTCGATGGGAGAGCGTTGCAGCAGGCGCTGCTGACGCAGAAAACCTACTGCAATGACCAGCTGAAGCGGTTTGTGGCTAGAAGTCTGAATATATACGAGGAGCTGGGCGAGTGGGCGGCCGATTACTTTTTCCTGCTGTCGTTGGAACAGCTTAAATCTAGGGCTAACGACTCGCGCGTCGAGCGCGGATGCAATGACGAGGAGAAGGCCTATTTATTGGAGATACTGTCTAGCTTGCCTGTGCCGAACATTAATCTCACATCCTCCGACCCCAATGCGTTTCCGGTCTCGCCGAAGTTCCAGTCTCTGCTGGCGTTTCTGGATGTCAAAGGTGAGCTGGAGTTCTCGGGTCTGATCTTCGCCAAGCAGAGATCAACGGTGAGTGTTATGGCCACGTTGCTGGCGAGCCATCCTCTCACGAAGGATCGGTTTCGATGCGCCGCCTACGTTGGCTGGTCCAGCGCTAGCGGCCAGAAGGATGTTCTGGGTGAGCTTCTCGACTCCCGGATGCAGCGCGACACACTGAGCGACTTTCAAAGCGGGAAGAAGAACCTGATCGTCGCGACGGATGTGCTGGAGGAGGGCATCGACATCAGTGCTTGCAGCGTAGTGGTTTGCTACGACAAGCCTCCCAACTTGAAGTCGTTTGTGCAGAGGCGAGGGCGTGCGCGCCACAAGGAATCCACATATGCCATCATGTTTGCGATAGATGACGAGTCCGCGGAACTGAGCAAGTGGGAGGATCTGGAGAAAGCCATGATCGAGGCGTACGAGGACGATGAACGGGATCTGCTTGAGGCCAGGTCTCTGGAGACCAGCGACGAAGAAGTGATCGAAAGATTTGAGGTCAAGGCTACTGGGTATGAAGACATCATCTGTTGGGCTTGCAGTCGCTGACTTTCACAGTGCTGTTCTGACGGCGGATACTGCCGTTGCACATCTGACCCATTTCTGCGCCGTCCTGCCGAGGCAACGGTACGTCGACACTCGGGCAGCATATTCGTTTGAAAAGGACGACTCGGGACTATTGAAAGGAATGGTGATTCTGCCGGCTTGCGTCCACCCTGACGTGCGCCGTGCCGAAGGAAAGATGTGGTGGAAGACTGAGCGGGCAGCACGCAAAGAGGCGGCTTTCCAGGCATATAAGGCTCTCTACGAGTTTGGTCTTCTGAGCGACAACCTGCTTCCATTTACCGGGACCGTGGAGCCGGCAGCCAAGGGCTTCGCGGCCCTGCAGTCCATCTTGGAGGTATCGGAACAATATGATCCCACGGTCGACTGGGCTTGTTCGTGGTCATCGCCGGATCTCCACCAGACTCGCATCGCCGTGCGCCAGAACAACGCGCCTCCTATGTTCATCAGACTGACTACCCCCACTGGCCTTCCTCCGATTGAGCCCATAACGCTGTTCTGGGATAGCGAGACGACATTCACGTTGACCTTTGAAACACCAGAGCGGACTCCAGGGGTCAGCTATGATGCTATCGCCAATATGAGGGAGGCAACCGCGCTCTACCTCCAGGCGGCCACCTCTGGCACGCTCGGTCGGGGCCGGGATTTCGTGACCTTATTTGGGCCAGATGTGCATCACTCCGAGATCCCCGACTGGATTAATCGCCACCAAGGAGACGAGCTTGCGTCGGACGTCCACTCCCGCGGCGATTCGCCCGGTATACTGGGCCTGGTCCGGGATCGCGCGCTGTACGGCCCTCTCATGCTTTTCCGACGGTGGATCGTGACGCAGGAAGGTGAATCACAGGTTCTCAAGCTGGAATGCGACCGGGCTCCCCGTCGCAAGAACCTTCTGCATAACTGTAACCTGGCCATCGGCTCGACAGAGAAGGGGATATTGTCTGAGGCGTCGTCCAAAACGCGCGTGATCTCCGCCAGCACAGCCACCATAGACAAGCTGCCTTACTCAGAGAGCAGATTCGGTTGGTTCATCCCGGCATTGACCGACAGACTCGAAGCAAACCTGGTTGCCGCGCGACTCGCCGAGACGGTCCTGCGCGACATCAAGTTCTCCGACGCGCGCCATATCATCACGGCCATCACAACCCCGTCGTCGCAATCCCCAACCCACTACCAGCGATACGAGTTCTTCGGGGACTGCGTCCTCAAATTCACCGTCTCATGCCAGCTCTTCTTCGAGCACCCCAACTGGCACGAGGGCCTCCTCTCCGTCGGCCGCGACGATATCGTGCGGAACCCACGACTCGCGCGCGCCGCATTAGAAAGCGGCCTCGACGCATTCATCATTGACAAGAGGCACCTTCCGCGCAAATGGGCCGCGCCACTTATATCCACCAATCTCACCACCACGTCTACCCGCCGCAAAGTCTCGCTCAAGGTCCTCGCGGACGTCGTCGAGGCGCTCGTCGGCGCCGCCTACATTGACGGCGGCTTCCCCCTCGCGCACGAATGCATCCAGCGCTTCCTCCCCGAAGTCAACCTGCAGGGCCTGCACCGCAACGAGAACCTCCAGCCTAAACCCACGACACCACAAACAACCCATCACATCCTCAACGAGGCCGCCCTGATGGACCACATCGGCTACACCTTCACCGACCCCTCTTTCCTCGTCGAGGCCCTCACCCACTCGTCCTGCCAGTACGACTCCTCCACGCAGTCCTACCAACGCCTCGAATTTCTTGGCGACGCCGTCCTCGATATGATCATCATGACCGTCATCCTCGCCCATCCCACCCAGGTCTCCGCAGGCGACATGAGCCTAATCAAACACGCCGTGGCCAACGCGAACCTGCTCGCCTTTTTGTGCATGGAATTCGGCTTCCAGGAGCCCTCTCCAACCTCAACCCAACCCCCCCTCCCGATACACAACTACATGCGCTTCAGCGCGCCCCAGCTCCATGTCGCCCGCGCCACCGCCCACACCCGCCACCTCACCCACCGCCCCACCATCCTAGAAGCCCTCGCCCACGGCCCCAACTACCCCTGGCTCCCACTCAGCCAACTGAACGCCGACAAATTCTACTCCGATCTCGTCGAGAGCCTGCTGGGCGCGATCTTCGTCGACTCGCGCGGCGACATGGCCGCCTGCGAGCGCTTCCTGGAAAGAATCGGCCTGCTGTGGTATCTGCACCGCATGCTGGATGAGGGAATGAATGCTCGGCATCCGAAGAATACAGCCCAGGAGATGCTTGCGCGTCGGGGAATAGGCACGCCGATATTTACGAAGAAGAGGTGTGAGGGCAATGCTAATGCTAATGGTAATGGTGATCGGGATAGCGATGGCGATGGCGATGGCAACTCCGATGCCGGTACCACAACCTATAAATGTGTGGTGGACGTGGCTGGGGAGCAGGTTGTCGCTGTGGAGGGGTGTATATCGTCGGAAGAGGCGGAGCTTAAGGCTGCCTTGCAGGTAATAGACATTTTTGGGGCGGAGGAGGGAGGAGGAGAGGGGGAGGAGTTGATTGAGTGATTGATGTATGTATGCATGGGATCTGTGGTTGTCATCATGTTGTATATAATAGAATAGAATCTAGGGGGTGTATGTGCATGTGCATGTGCATATGAATGATGGTTATGATTAGGATGTGCATAGCCATTGGATGTGGTTGGTGATAGTATAGTATATAGTGACTGTGACCGTGATTGTGATTTTGATCGTGACAGAGATAGTGCTGTATATATGGATGGATGGATGAATGGATATTGTTTATAGTTCAAGATACGAATAAGCAGGGTCCGAATAAATAAATACCAAGTCCCGGACATGCCGAATGGATTAAATAATTAACAAGCGGGTTGGTTGTTGTCCGACCCTGATAATGGAATAGAGTACAGGTAGGTTATAGATAGTAGATTCACATCACCCCTTCCTCTTTGCACGAGTCGATCTCGTCTGCCGGCGCGGAGGTTCCTCCTCCTCTTCATCTTCATCTTCAGCTTTGACCTCCTGGTCGTGGTCCTGCTCGTCCGGAGTCTCAGCCCCAGAACTGGTATGCGAGCCGCCCTCGCCCTGCTCATCCTCGCTAGCAGCCACCAGGACCCCCTCATCCGTGACGTCCCCGCCCGCGCCCGCGCCCCGGGATGCGCGATTCTCGCGATCGACCGAGACGGGTTCCCACGCGCCGCCCTCCTCCTCCTCCTCCGATAGCTGCGGCTTCTGCGTCTGCTTCAGCTGGCGCTGGGGCGTCGACGGCGCATTTCGCATCCCAGCCAGGACCTTCTTCGCCACGCTTTCCTCGCCATTCCAGGCTCCGCAGCTGCCACAGCGCCAGCGGCCCAGCTCCTCCAGGCTCTTCACTCCGGGCGGTGCCTGGCCGTTGACCTGCCGGCACGCGACGCAGATCAGCACGAGTCGGTTCTTGGGCTGCGTTTCGTCCTCCCCGAGTAACACGTCCAGGAGCCGGTCGTACCAGTGCGAGGACTCGATGTACTGCTGCGGCGCGGCGGGGAAGGCGTTGGGCGCGAATCCGGGCTCGAGCGCCCCTGGCCCTGGCCCTGCCCCGGTAGGATTGGGGAGTGGGGAGAGAGATTGCTGTTGTTCGTACTGGTGCTGGTTCTGGTGTTGGGGTGGGGGTTGGAATGCCGGAGGGGGGACACGGGGGTGGGTCGACGGATGTTGGCGGTGGGCGGTGGGGGAAGGCCGGTGCGTTGCACGGGGGCCGGTTGGGGTTGTTTGCGTTTTCCGCCTGCTCCTCCGCCGCGTTTCTCAGCTGAGGGTTTGTTGTTGTTGTTGGGGGAGGAGGTGGTGGTGGACTTGGGAGAGGATTTGGGCGATTCGTTGCCGTATTTCTCGAGGATCTGCTGGGTGGTGTTGAAGAGAGTGGCCTTTTTCAGGCGCTCGATGGTCTCGTCGCGCTGGGAGTGGAGGGCGTCGAGGTAGGATTGGGTGTTGTTGACGCGGTAGTCGTAGTAGAGAGTGGCGGTCTTGCGGACGAGATAGATGCTGGAGGAGGGGAGTGGTGGTTAGGGGGGAAGCGGGGAAATAGGGTGTAGGGACCGCGGGGGGGGGGGGGGGGGGGGGGGAAGGTTCGTACAGGACAGGGCCGCCGAGAATGGCGGCGTATTCGGAGATGCCCCAGTTCTGCCATCCCAGGACAAGGGCCAGGATGATGGAGTAGAGGAGGTAGGCGAAGGTGGTGTAGAGGGTCCAGAGGGCTTTGAAGCGGCGGGCGTGTTGGCGGTGACGGTCGAGTCGGGTGGTCGCGCGGGCGATTTTGGTAGAGAGAGTGGCTAGGGCCTTTTCGAAGGAGGCCGGGGAGGTGTCGTCGCCCTGGGATGGAGAAGGAGAGGAGGTGAGTCGGAGGTGTGGGGGTCTGGATGGATGGGGGACAGTGGTTTCGTTCGTACCTTGAAGGGCCACAGGGACACCATGCTGGAGATGGTGAGGGATGGATTCAGGCGGTTAGAGCCAGGCCATGGCTGTGTGGTAGTGGGCGGGAAAGAGGGACAGGGAGAGAGAGAGAGAGAGAGAGAGAGAGAGAGAGAGAGAGAGACAAGAGGAAGAAGAGGAAGAAGAGGAAGAAGAGGAAGAGTCCCGAAAGCGCAAGTCCGAAGTCGACGTCAGCAGCCCCCGCTGAGTCAGCCGGCTGCAGCCTGGCCCTTCACCGCCCAGCAGCACTTCTACTTAGTATTTCTACCGCATGGAAAGCACTCCCTCTCCGACTTCCTCTCCGACTGAGACTACGAGCTTAATTCTTTTCCCCACTTACGTTTCGTGACAGGGAATTCTGGGGAGTGAGTCAGAAATTGACAATTACTAGCCGCGATGAATGGGAGCGAAATTAAAGCAATAAAGAAAGACGCCTCCGGCTATGCCATACTCGGACCTCGACCCGATATGAAAACCCCAAAGCTGGCCACAGACGTCGGGTGGGCCGCTTCTTGGGCAAGACTCGCGTCCAGGTCGCCCTCGCCATACTCGTCTTCCTGCGTCCACTGCTTTTCCCATGGGGAGCAGCTGCAGGGCCGGTCCTGGAGGGGAGGGGGCAGGGTGCCCTCCTCGCGGAGCTTCTTCCGAAGCTGCTTCATCAGTCTCCGGCTCAGAAGTACCTCACCGGCCAGCTGAGCCTCGATGATGGGGTGGAAGCATGGTCGCAACTCCCCGAGTTGGACTCGACCCGTCTTGAGAAGACGGTCCTCCATGAACTCCAGCCAGATTCCCCAGTGGTCCTCGCAGTGGCTGTGATAGTCCTCGTCGCGGCATCGAAGGAGAATGAGGGCCTCCATGAGCTTCGCCGGGGTCGGGATAAGTGACGGGTACCTGACGCTATCCGAACTGAAAGCACCGATGCTCTCGGGACTTGCGACACATACTCCAGCTGCCTCGGGCTGTCGAGCCGGAGCAGCGTTTGCTCATGAATCTGCAGCCGATCGTCGTTGGATGACATAGAGTACGCGTCGCCCTGTGGGGTAGCCTCGAGGCCAATCGCCGGGAAGTCCCAGAGGAGCTGCGATTTCTTGAACAGCTTCAGGACGGTCCCGGAGCAGTCCTCGCAGTCATCCTCGGGATGGTGGAGGGGGGACGGCTTAAGGGGGAAATGCACAAGGGGGATCATCTCGTTGTGATAGTAGGGCCGAAAGCAGCCGCAGAAGTAGTCTGGCGGGTTTGACCCGGGGCAGATACGAAAGCCGGTCTAGGTCAGGGCGTCTACTGCCTGGGTTAACTGGTCGTCCGGGACGATGAAGGAGATGCTCAGGTCTCGTCTGTCGAGGGAATGGTTGATCCGGTCCGCGTTGCGAAGCTCGCGGTGCAGCCTCTCATCCGGATGGTGTTTCAGAAACATTTCCTAGTCAGGTCAGCCAAGATTCAAGGGAGGGAGCCAGTACGGGACTTACAGGATATGGCCTTATCCAACAGGTAGGCAATCTTGCCACACAGCTCGCGGCCGATGATTTCGTGGTACCCGGCATCCCATGACGGGACGTAGTGACGGGGGGCCATGTGGGCGATGGTGGTGAGAGTACGGTGGGGGAAAAGCTCAATGATGAATCTCAATCTCCAACGACGGGCGTGTCGAGCCTTCTATAAGTGAACGCGGGTTGATGGCTACTGGCCGGTTCATGGGTGTTTCCTGCCATAGGCACTGGAGGACGTCGCCGCGTAGCTTTCAGGGGAGAGTTGCCCCCAGTGCTTCCTCCGATACACTCTCTCCGTCGATTGCAGTGCCTATGGGGGTTGCCATCACCCTTTGTCAGGAAGGCACCGTGGTTCCACGGATCCTGTCAGGCTCGATCATCTAAACACAAGGGAGCCACCCGACACTTGCTTATTCCCGGCGACGCGGCTGAAATCCATTGAGCAGGGTGGACTCCTTGTACCAGGGTGCGAGTCTTTGTACAGGCGTCGGACGGAGTACCTCGGTAGATGGACTCATACCGAGAGGATAAAGTGGACTCACTATCAAGAAGATGCTGGGGCCCGTCCTCTCCGTAGGCGAGGGAGTAAAGAAAGGGCCGCCCAATGAGCACTGCCTTGGCTCCCAAGCAAAGCGCTTTCAGTATATCAGTGCCACGGCGGACTCCTCCATCGACGTAGACTTCGACCTGACTAAGAATGGCAGGTCGATGCCGTCGCAACTCCAGTAGTGTCAGCAGGCCTAGGTACATATCTGTGCATGACAAGCAATGATTGTAATTTAGGCAGCCGTATTACCGCGTACTTTGTGCAGAGGGTTCATCTCGGCCTAGTAGTACAAATGGATGGCAACGCTCTGGTGACCAATGGAGATACTAGGGCCTAGATTCGCGGATCCCTGCAACCTGGTACCTACAATGTACCTACAATACCACCCCCCCCCCCCCCCGCTTCCCCAACAGGGGCTGAGGGCTAATCGGACATTTTACCCTTTTCCAGTTAGCATGCGGACCGGGAAATCAAGCATATCGCCCAAGGAACCGATGGTGCTGCCCCCCCCCCCCACACCCACTCTTAGTCTTCCCTCCTCCCTCTTTGCTCAGCCGGTGGCTTCACTTTTGATTCTGTTCTACTCGAGGACACTTGATCTATCCTTTACTGCCATGGAGCCGGCATCAGAAGCGAACGAACTTTCCGCTGTACCCAAGCAAGAGAACCACCGAGAAGGCCACCCGCTCTCAGAGCAGGAAGTGGCCCTAACTGCCGCCCAAAACGCACTTGGTGATATTTTGCATCTCCTGTATCACCCTCATTAGCTCATACTTAGGTGGGATTGTCACCGTGTCTGTTCCGCAGATCTCCTCGGATTTGCATCTCAGTCCGGGGATGGAACTATGGTCTGTTATCTAGAACTTATTATTCCGCACATCGAGTATAACTAACACAATATGAATTCATATAGGCCGGTGTCAATGTACGCTACTTATCTCAGGAGCTGTCTCCGATGTGGTGGGCAATAAGCAAACCTTTCTGACAGGCTGCTTTTTACAAAGTATCTTTTCCATGGCCTGTGGCCTTGCTCTCGCTACATAGAATTTGAAGTTCTACTTGCTGACAGTGCCACAATCGAAGTGAAACTTATCCGAGTCAATAGGATAACAAATATGAACTCTAGATTGTATTGATATACCTCCTTGGGTTCCCCTTTTTCTTCCTCCCTTTTCCATGGGAGCCAATAATTCTACCCAAGAGCGCCCTCATGTTTAATCCATGAAAGAGTCTAGACTAAAGCGGAAGGTTTAGATAGAGCCATGCTCATGAACACTATCCTTTGATTTTTTTTTTAGCTATTGAGAGAGAAAGAATGAACACCGAGCATCATACCCCGTATCCAGAATGACAGACCCCGAGAGTTGCCCTTTCTCACGGATTGGAGGGTACATGGCTTGAATATTCGAGACATGTGCCTGGCTTCGTATCAGTGCTATCTATTAATTGATCTTAATACAAAACTGGGTGGTTATAGCATATCAAATCCCCGATGGTCTAACGGTCATGATTTCCGCTTGTCAATCCTGAACAGGAACAAGCGCGGGAGACCTGGGTTCGACTCCCAGTCGAGGAGATTCTTTTTTAGTCCGAACATCTCGGCCTCCGGAACATAGATCGATGGCAAAGACGATGGATGGAATGTCGCACCTACTACGCACGCACCTACAGCAACTCGCTCCCTGGGGCCTGCCGTTTTGATATTTTATGTGAAGTCATTATAGCAACTGGTGATGGAATATCATATCATACGATAAGCCCAGGTAGGCAGGGAGACTACCTGAGTGATGGAATTGCTAAGGAACCAGTAAACCGGCGATCTTGGAGATTGACGTTCAGTAGACCAGGGTAATAATCAACATAAGGGCAGCACCAGAAAAAGCAACAGATAGCCTGTCCACGCAAGGCCGTTGAACGGGAGAATTAACAGCACCAATGATCAGGAAAATGGATATACAGAACAGTCAGCAAAGACCCCCTCCTCTCCGTTGATAAACATACAAAGAACACAGACCGTACAAGGTCCGTCATCCAATCATCCAACTACCCCCTGAAGATAGCCAGTCCATCACAACGCAGCCTCCCCCTTCCCTCTCCCATTCCAAACACCACTCCCATCCAGAGTCCAGACCAGACCATCCAGGCTGTCGAAGCCCTACTTCACCATCCCAACCCCACCCCCATCATGCAACCATTCATTCATTCACCCACACCCCACTTCCCCCCCATCCCCCCTTTAAAATCCTCTAAACACCCCCTAATTCCCCTCCTTCTTCTCCCCCTCTTTCCCCTCCTCCTCCTTCTTCGCCCCCTCCTCCTCACAAACTTCGTATGCGACCCCGTCGCCACCATCCACCTCTTTCCCTCCCCCTCCCCCTTCTCCCCCCAAATCTCCACCCCGGTAAACGCCAACGTCCCACCGACCTTATTCGCGGTCGCCACGATCTCCAACACATCGCCGACGGTGGCGGTGCCCAGGAAGGAGACGCTGAGGTCGGTGCTCACGCCGGAGTAATCGCCGCCGCACGAGAGGATGGCCATGCCGGCGGCCCAGTCGACGATGCACGCGGACACGGTGCCGTGCAGCGTGCCCTTGGAGTTCAGGTGGTGCGGGGCGATGGGCAGGCGGGCGCGGATCTTGCCGTGCGTGGCCGTGTGCAGGGTTAGGGTGGAGAGGAGGTGTGCATAGATGGGGCTGTGGAGGAGTTGGGTTTGGTAGAGGGGGGTGAGATGGGGGAGGACGGATGTTTCTGGGGCTGGGGTGGTCATTTTGATGTTGTGGTGTGGTGTGATGTGGTGGTGAGGTATGGAGAGTGTGGATTTATGTATGTATGTATATATGTAGTGGAGGGTAGGGTGGAATATACAGAGGCAGGTGTATTTCAGGACGATGTTGATGTTAAATCGGACGATGGCGGGTGAGATCCGAGGTTAAGAGCGGGTGGGCCCCGATGGGTTGGTTAGGTAGTTGGGGACCGGATGGATCCGACAGCCGAAGTCCACTTTCGGTGGGCTGGGCTGGGCTGGGCTGGGCGATGCTGTTGGGATTGAGTGATTAAAACAAACATCTAAATAAAAATCACAAGTTGCATCCCTAGAAACATTATCCCTGAAGTATATCCCTCAATTCCAATCAGATATTATTTCCTTCCTGACATATTCATATCTCTTGTTAAATCCCGCCCTACACGTAAAATATATATCAAAGATAGTAGTAGTAAGTACATAACAATACCGTAGTATATTCCACGCACCCACCAAGTCAAGTCGAATTAAGCATCCATCAGTGTCACCAACAATGGGTACCTGCATGGTCCAGGATACTGCATATCCGACAGCACGATCGGTATCACGGATCGAAAACCCGTGCGAGGGACCGGTTTCGCCCCCCGGATTATATGTCTTGGCTGTGTTAGCCCGTTGGGGTGAGTGGGTGGGTTTATGCAGGGATATACCTTACCTTACCTTACTTAGGTAGTAGGGTTCGTGGTTACGGGTACTGTACCTACTGGGAGATGACGTTGGCTGTAAATATTGGAGGAAGGCGGGATGGTGTAGTGGTATGTATTTTGGTGCGTGGGTGGTGAAGTGGGTACTTTGGGTCACTTGTGAGTTTGTATGCTGGGGGGTTTGGGGGTGTGTTTTAGTTTAATAGGGGGAGTGGCTATTACGATGGATGTTGATTCAATGTCAAATTAAACAGATACTCAGATGGTGGATAGCAGATAGCTACAGAGTAGCACTATATTTCTTTTCTCTTTTTCAAGTACCGCCAACTCAACACAACCCACCAAAACCCCCATTAACCCATCTAGGAAAGGTTAATCTGCAACCCCAAAGTCGAGTTCATCACCGCATTGCCGTAAAAGAACTCAGTCCTATACCCCGTTAGCACCACATCACTCCCCAAAACCACCCAACCCAGCCCATCTAACATGAGGGGGGGGGGAGAAAGAAAGAAAGAAAGAAAGAAAGAGAAACTCACCCCGCATTCCCAACATTCACATAAGTATCCGCATCAAAGATACCAACCTTGACCAACGCCTCCAACCACTCCTTCAGATCGCCATCGAAGGTACCCTCGAACTGCGTCTCCGGGAGCAGCGAGCTCACCGTGATGCCGGTATCCGCGTTCGCCTCCTGGTACAGCTTCCAGGAGGTGCCGAAGAGGTCGTCGATGGTGTCGACCACGCCGTTGGTCCAGCCGATGGGGAGCTGGCCGCCCTCGTATTGCAGCCACAGCATGAGCTCGTGCGAGGAGGTGGACGTCGAGTCGCCCTTGATGTCGTTGGTCATGAAGTCGAAGCAGATGTTTCCTGCATGATCCCGGAGAATGGGGGGTTAGTGGGGTGTTTGCGGGTAAGGGATGGGAGTAGGCAGGCAGGGAGGGAGGGGGGAGGGAGTGATACCCTTGAAAGCGGTGGTGTTGGTACGGCTCCAGACGTATTCGGCCGGGATGGAGTCGATGGCCGAGAGTCTGGTCTCGAGGTTCTCGGTGAGGCCGACGAAGGAGTAGCCCTTGGGGACGTTGTTTCTGTATCATCATCAGGGTCAGGATCAGTATCATCATCATCATCATCATAACCCGCACCCAAAAAGGCCTGACATAAGACAGAAACCCATAACAGCTCCGAGGAAAATGCAGGGGACATAAACATACGTGCTCTCCACATATTCAATATCGGTCACACTGCTCCAGACGACCTCCTGGGTGCCGTTGGACGTGGCCGTCACCTCGCCGTAGTTAGTGCACTGCGAGCCGACGATCTCGTCCGCGTTGTACAGCATGTTGTACACGATCCACGGCGTGTCCTCGAGGATGATGTAGTCGTAGTCGCCGCAGAGGTCGGTGGAGGCTTGCGTGTTGGAGGAAGTGGTGGTGGAGGCCTCGTGCTGGACCGTCGCGGCTGCGGCGGTGGTCGGGGCAGCGACGGCGGACTGAGTGCTGGAGCTCGAGGTCGAGGTTGAGGTCGAGGTTGAGGTCGAGGGTTGGATGTTCACGGGCGCAACGCTGGAGGGCTGGACCTGGACAGGCGCAGCACCAGCACTGGAGGGCTGCACACCGAACGGCTGGCTCCCGAATGCATGGCCCGAGGGCTGCGCACCGAATGCCTGTCCGCTGGGCGCGGGAGACACCTCATCCGACCAGTCCTGGTCGCAGTCGTCGAAGTCAACGTCCTGGTGGGTGGGCAGCGCCAGCGCTGAAGCGGACAGGAGGAGCGGGACAAGGGAGGCTTGGATCAACATGGTGTATAGTAATGAATGTATGAGGTGACTAGCACCAGGCAAACAAAAAAAAAAGAAAGAAAGAAAGAATGAATGAATGAAGGAAGGAAGAAGACGAGACTGCCTCTGTTGACTTGGATTGTTGACGGCTGACGGGGTGAGACAGGCGTGGAAGAGGTTTTATATGCTTACCTTAAGCTTAATGTCTGTCCTGGTTGTATAGTTGAAACCGGGTGGATATTAGGGACGGTTCTGGACTCAGGATGAAACGGCTAGGCCGATCCCGAGATGAGCTGATTTACGGGGGTTTGGATGGATGGATGGATGGTTGGATGTTGAACTACAGCTGGGGATGGGATGGGAGGGGTTTCTCTGTTGGCTGGAGAGTGGTACATAATGATTATGTCTGTTGGCATACAGAAGCAGTCCAGCAATAATCATGGTGGTCGTGGTGATAGTATCGTAAGTAGCGATGGCATGTACCCAGTCAAGTAGTCAAGTAGGGTTATGTATAGCGGCCCCGCACGGATGAGTTCCGATCCGCCTGCCCCAGATAAACAGCGACAATCAGCCATGGGCGAATAACCAGGACCCTTGACGTGTTCATCCAATCTATCGACGTGATGTGCCTACCCCGAGCAAGGAACGTTCGCGAGTCCCAACCCACTGTAATCACCGGCTTACTATATCTTGTACGGAGTACTTGCGGCAATATGTCGAGCCGGCCCCGGGTTCAGCTTCAGGGGCACAGGCGGATGGAAGGCCATCCGCCTAAATGATCTGATGAGCTTTCCTTGACAGCCCCCCTTGCCCCTTGCCGAGGAAATTCTCACCCATGCTCTAGCCCATCCATCCGGCAAAGGCATTTATCCACTCCGACGAAGACGTCATGGTGGCTGGCTGGCCGGTGGCAGCAAATTCCGAAGTGCGACGACAGGGACGAAGGGTGACACGACAGATGATAGTGCAGGCCTACATGCATGTAGATGTGGATATAGTGGAAGGACGGGAGCATGGAAATGGTTGAACGTCGCACCATAGCGTGGCAGGCGTGGCAGGCGTGGCGATCGAGGTTGTGCTTGCCGGACGCGGACGCGGACACGGACACGGACACAGACACAGACACGAGGTCTCTGCACGTGTATCTGCCGTCACACACATGGGCGCCCCGATCACACCAGATCAGGGTCAAGCTGGGCCGGAAGATCGGTGTTCTCAACGCGAATCCCGAGGATTATCAGACTAGAATAAATAATAGGCATTGTGCTCAGCCGCGCCAGGCTGCTTGGCGCTTGGCAGGGACGGTCCAGCCGACTCGGGCTTAGCGGGGAGCCATCCACGTGATCCGGGTGGATGTGGTTGGCCGGGAGGGGCGATCGGCGATGCTTTTTGGTGCCTTGGTGCCGCGGCGTGCAGGCAGCTGCAGGCAGCTGCAGGTGGCTGCAGGCGGGGAACTGCCACTGACTTCAGCTTCTCCCCTCACTTCTCCTTTCACTTCTCCTTTCACTTCTCCCCCTTCACCTCCCTCGGACCCCACCCCTCACAGCCGGATCATCCGCTAGACTATCTATGCCCTGGCGGTGTGCTGTCATTTCCTCCCTAGACCAGTTTAATCACCCAAGCAGGATCGCCCGGTCGAGCGGAATGGGCTGAACGCTGGTGTCGATCGGCGGTGTTGCTGGAGTCAGAGAAGAGAAGCAAATTGCTGTGGCGCTGCTGTGGCGCGGACTGCCAGTCGTCGGCGCTGCTCGTTCGCATCGGAGTAAGTCAACCCGTTCGAGTCGATAGTACTATGCGCTCTCTTGCAGCTGCGGAGTCCCCCCTCTACGGCTGACGGCACGAATCATTCAATAGTCATGATATTCTGGTCTTTTCTTAGCTACATAACAGCCAACGCAACACGAGACGTGACCTGAACAGGAATCACTGTAGGTGGGTTTTCATAAATACATAGCGGCCAACGCGACATGAAAAAGAGTCGGAACAATAGTCGAGATATGTGGTTTTCAGGTTTTCATGGATACGTCAAGCTCACGGCACAAAGCATCATCTGAACAAGAATCATAATATGTGGCCTTTCGTGCATACAGAACCTTGGCGACACGGGATCGATCCGAACAACACCGCAACTCACATAAGAAAATGAGGCGCATACGACTCCAGGTCGCAGGCGAGCAAAGAGGATCTGGACAGGCCGGCTGGGCAGTCCCCACCACCGAGGGTCTCCTAGCACCCCCCACGAGGAGGCAAGCCCGCCGTGTTGGTCACCCGATCCCGGAAGTGCTTGATGGCAAAGTCGAAAAAGCGATCGACGTCCGCCGTGTTCGACACCAGACCGAACGACACGCGGATGGCGCCCCCGGACGGCAGACCCGCTATGTCGATATATGTGTCGATGGAGGTCAGACTCCTCAAGCGACGTCGGTGGGGCCGGAGCACGCGCGCGTCCATGTTAAAGGCATTCTCCGCGCCGCCGGGATTGCAGAAACAACCGGTGCGCAGGGAGATCGAGGCCGCCGCCGATTCGCGCCCGACAATGCGCTCGTCGACGATCTTGCCGTGGGCGTCCAGGAAGTTGAAGGACACGGTGCCCCCGCGGCGGCGAAGATTGGATGGCCCGTAGATCTGCGCCATGGGGGTCCCGTCGCTGTGCCGCAGGGCCAGCAGCCGCTGGATGAACCAGCCAGTCAGGCACTTCACGCGGGTCGAGATCACTGACATCTTGATGCGCTGCAGCCACTGCAGACCGAACTGGATATCCGGGATGGACAGGAAGTTGAGAGTTCCGTCCTCGAAAGCTCCCTCGTTGGCTGCCATCTTATGCCAGGGAATGCCCACCGCCGCTGTGAGAACGCTGCCACCAGAGAACCAGGGCCGGGCCAGGCGGGCCAGCGCGTCGCGTCGCGCCACCAGGCAGCCCACGCCGGTGGGATATCCGAACAGTTTGTACCAGCTGATCATGAGGAAGTCGGGCTGGGGGTTCTTGTCGGACAGGTCCAGCTCGTTGGTGGGGAGGTAGGCCGCCGTGTCGAGGAGGACGTCGAAGCCGCACTGCTGTGCCAGGGTCACCCATTCCAGGGGATGGCGCACGCCGCTGAAGTTGCTCTGGGCGGGGTATGCAAACAGGCCACGCTCGCGGGTTCCGGCTCCCTTGGCCAGTCCGATCTTGTCGATACCCCATTCCCACCAGTGACCCCCGAGGGCGGTCGCTAATGCGCTGGGGTTGACGCGCAGCTCCGTGCCCTGAAGCGGGACATACACGGTGCGAGCATGGCGTGCCTTGGCGAACTCGCGGATGCCATTAACGGAGTTGTGGTTGTCGGCGGTCAACACGAAGGTCTTGTTGCGCGAGAAGGGATATGCTTCGGCGACCAGGCGCGCCGCGCCAGTGGCATTCTGCGTGAAGATCACGGTATAGGTGTGCGCTGAGGCCTTCAAATGGCGCAGCACCTGAGCGCGAGCGTCTTCGACCAGCCGTGTCGAGCTCTCGCTGGTGGGGCTGACCGAATGGGGGTTGCCAAAGACCGTCTCCGACAGGCGCGCGTTGTGTGCCGCATATTGCGCTTTGGCAGCGAGGCCTGCCCCGGTATAGTCGAGGTAGATGTGGCCCTGCTCGTCCAGGTAGCTGTATTCGGTCTCGCGCAGCCGATCGAGAGCGGCGGTCTTCCGATACTCGGGAAAGGACTCGAGAATGTCACTCATCGCGATGGAAAGGGGCGAGAGAGAGGCTGAAGATAGGAGGTAAGGTGTTGGAAGGGAGGAGATATCTCCGCAGAGATAAGAGATGAGAGGCACGACCACTAGAGATGATCGATGAGGCAGATGAAGGTTGAGATGTGGAGGTGGAGTGGATGTTGGATGGGAGGGATGAGAGAGAGAGAGGGAGAGAGAGGAAGAGAGAGAAGAAGATATAAGAGAAGGAAGGGTAGAAACAGGTTTACGAACCAGAAAGATGGCTGCCTGTTTTGTGTCTTCACTATCCACGGCTCGATAAACTTCTCAGTCGGTGAAGGACGAGCAGAACAGGCTTCGATGCTGCTGGTGATCGGCTGTGAGGAATTGAATGCATCAATGCGAGCGGAAGAGAGGTTCCACCCGGCTGCAGAATGGCAGACCGACAGATACAAGCTGTCAGACTAGGACAACAGCAAGACAGACAGCAAGACAGACAGCAAGACGGACCGCCGACAGACAGACATCCCCCCACCAATAATGCCATCTTAGGAACGGTTCCCCTCAGCCGCAGAGTGAACGAACGGCGGGTCGTGTCTCTTTCAAGGTTTGTTGCAACGCGCAGTAGTCTCCTGCAAGCCACTTTCACAGTAGCGAAGTTTGAGCTCCTCATTCATCCTCACTCACAGCCCGACTAAAAACCCCGCGGCATCAGCACTATTCTGCCCCGCCATCCCTTACGGGCAGGGGAATGGGGGCCTGATCTGGATCCGTTGTAGCTGGCTCCCCTCAGGTCGCCACCGGGCACCGGGCCGGCCACGAATGGGAGGGCCTCATGAGCGTGTATCACTGGCGATGGGCTTCCCATGGGCTGACCATGCTGGGCTAACTGGGCCTAACTTTCCACCAGCTGGCCTAGGTGTGACAGTGTGCAACATTCACCGTGGATCAGCGCCCTGGCTGTTTCTGGATCGGATTCTGGTTACGCATGTCAGAACAGGGACTGCCACTGCGCCTGCCTGTACGATCCGGGCAGCGGAGGCCCCTTCACCTAGCTGGGGCTGCATGAGGCAGGAACAACCGGCCAGAACATGGCAGGATGGCCCGCGTGACGGCCAGACAAAGGGATTATCCAGGTTGAATCACTAGCTCAACCAGACAATGGGCTTACAGCAACGTCCCGCCTGTTCCCAGCCAGCCATCCCTGTCTGGCCCCAGCTATGAATTCCCCGTCTGGGGGCCCGTTCATCATCCAAACCATGGCGGTCGACGAACTATCGGATCGATTAACTTTGTGGCAGATGACAAGGGTATCCCAGTGAGATCGAGGGATGCAGCTAAGGTCTGTCACCAGCGATGGCCCCGCCGATCCTGATGGCCCGGAAAATCTTGTCGCGGGGGAGAAACTGATACCTGGTAGCCTGAAAGACATTCATCCATGTGGGGCAATTCTATGAGTACCCCGCACGCGAAGGCCCCTCAGTGAAGTGATTCCAGTAGTCAGATCCAGTATTTGCTCGGGGAGAATACCTGGCACTCATCGTTATCTCAGGCCTGGCCGTGGAAATCCACCACAAAGCCAGCCACATAAGCTGGTTTGTTCTAAGTTCGCACATTTTTCTCCAGAGTGTACAGCCTGACGTGACAGGTCTTTGCAAGTCATTGGTATCTCAATGATGTACATTCCTGGTGGACCACTGGAACCCTACTAGTGTTGACTCAGGGGAAGTAAGCCCACTTCTCTGTTAGACAGCGTTGCGGTGGATTGGGAGATTGTAGACAACGCATCGAACGTCAACCTGCAGGCCAGCATAGAACGTGAGGCTGAAAGAGGGGTAAGGAGTGGCTATTCCCTTCCTGCCCCTCCTTTGGTGTCTACCACATCATTCGGGCTTGTTTGCAATGAAGGTAACGCTGGTTCATGTTTCTCTTCCATACCGGTAACGTCTCCTGCAAATCTGGGCTCCTCCCCACACCCTGAGGGGGATACTCAACGGGGGATACATACTGTGGAGGGAAACCTCCTGCCCCATCCCCCTCGGTCATCCTGCCCAGTTTTGCTTCTTCCGAGGCCCCAGAAGCCTGTTCACATTTCAAACCCCGGGCAGCAGAGTGCCGCTCCATTTGGAGTAGGACACTGTCTCCGACTCATCTTCGCGCGTATCTAGTGATTTCTGGCGGGGGTTTCCGACCAAGAGTATTTTTAGCAGGCATACTGGTCTACCATGAATGACCCAACGGGCCAATGGCAACAGACGGGGTCGTGCGCAGATACAAGCTAGTCGGACTCCAGCCCCTGACACTTCGCTGTGTGATTTACCTCCCAATTGGCGTCTCGTGGCCCAAAGCAGATGCCTCATCAGAGAGATTTGTCAACAACCCGGTCCATTGCGATCGCGACTGGCTACTTGGGGATGACGACGCACCACTGTCACCACCACGTGGACACGACCACGAAAGAGGAAACGGTGAGATAAGACGGTGCAACGGGCCGAAAGCAAGAGTTTCCGTATGGTGCCGAAGGAAAGCCGTGCCAGAAAGATTCTACAGCTGGTTCATTGTCGTCCCATCACCGGTGCTGTCAAATCGCCTGACCCAAAAATGGACGCAGGTGATGGATGGATCGTCGGACGTCGAACGTCGAACCGCAGATGCCAGACCTGCAGGTGCCGCCGCATTGCATGGTGTGATGGCCAACGTTAGATAAGCCTTGTGCCATCGTGCAGGGACCCAGGTAGCGCTCGGGTCTCGCTTGCGAACACACCCACCATATCACATGAAGGTCCTCGGAGCCATCTCGCCTGCGGTATCATTCCGGCGTATCTTTCGCCTCTGCCCATTTTGCCACTAGTCCGTCAGGGTCGGAAAGTATCCGATACTGCGATTCCACTACAGGGGAATCCACGAAGCCTCGCGAGCGGAAGCAGGACTAGTCACACTTACGATACCGGCGGACTCGGGGAGAGCCAAGGGTGTGATAACAATGCAGGAGAGATCGAGGTTTGGACCGGCGACAGATGGTGTTTGCTTGAGCTGCCCAGCGGCCAAGCGGTTGAATTTGGATCCGGCGCCTATTTCTGCAGGGCGCAAAAGCAGTGCCGAACAGCAACGCACTGACCAATCACGTTCGATCCTGTTGAAATCACATACGATGCCCTGATGGTGGACTAATAACGGGGTGCTACGCTGCAGCGCTCCAGGCTGCCGTATCGCGCCGAAGGCCCTCCACGCAACCGCAACGGGATAGTGAAATGGGCCGCAGAGTGTTCTATGCACATATTTCCTTGGCGGCACTGCATTGACATCTGACGTGACCGGTCGAAGACCACAACGACCATCTTGCTTCATGGAATATCCTGGAGCACTGCGTGTCGGTTTATTGGTCCATCTGGCTCCATTTTTGTGCCATTGGTCAGAATAGTCGAGAATTGATCACGTCGCAGATGGCGGCAGCCATTCACCTGTGTGGGCGTTCTTCAGTACGACATCTGGCTGATTTGTCGGCGACATGACTAGACATGGTCTGTGAGATCAGCCCGGTCGGAGATCTGGGTTGCAACGCGTGGAATATTCTGACTGCTCCGGTTAACAGGTTCTTGAATCCTGGACTGGCCGGCTGTTATCGCTGTCAGGGCAAGGGTATCTAGATACCCATGACGTCGGTTGAAATAACGGCGCAACCGACACATTATGTAACGATAGTCGTTAGCGTCTGACTCGGACTAAGATCGAGTCATCAAACGATGAGTTTCTTCATTTCAATCCGGCCTGGGTGTCGATGCGAGGCCTCCAACTCGGAGCCGAGGGGGTTGGCTGATTGGAGGAGGTTGTAGGGGGGGGGTGCTTGACTGCCAACCGCGGACCATTTCCTTCTGGTATGATCAGGGGAAGGGGAAGGCAGCGCCGATCGCAGGCAACGGTGAGGATGTTTCCCTACAGCGGTGATGACTCCGTCAACAAAATGATTGAGTAGAAAGACGTCCGAATCTGGGATCAGTGTGATGGAACTATGTGTGCCGCCGACTATAGTATGCTGCGTATCACCAGCCTACAGGGACGAACGAGATAGCGGTTTGGAGCAGCACTTTGTCTTTGTCGGTATTGGGGATTGGAGACAGGACTTGGTCGGCAGCTAGTTTGAACTGCCAGTGCAGCTGGCTTCACTAGGTAGCCATCAGGCAGTTTAACTGAGCTGTGCTGTGCACTTGAATGACCGAAGCTGTCCCGCTGGCTGGCTTCCATCTCAGCAGCAGTATACATGAACTTATTTTCGCAGCCATTGTGGTTGCTTGTCCCTGGCAGTGACCCGCCTGACAGTGGACATCATCCTGCCTGAGAGTCAGAACTCCAAGTGAACCCCCGCAGGTTGAGGTTAAGTTTGCCTTGAATTGGGTGATCTCCACCATGATCTCATGCGATGCCTGGTTGGACGAACCGCCCGGAGTTAGAGAATCGATCTCCAGGCAATCAGAGTTAAAGAAACATCCGCTGCGGAATCCGGATGGTCTGGCCATCGGCTTCGTTTCACCCTCGGTCTCCGGTCCATAACCCCGATATATAGCTTCCTCGAGGTATACTTACTCTAAAAATCAACAATCAGCCACTCCCAACCACTCCTCCCACAACCCCACTCCAACAATGTCTAAGCTTCTCGTCGTCGTCGGCGCGACCGGCCAACAAGGCGGCTCCATCATCGACACCGTCCTGTCCGACCCCGAGTTAAGCAGGGAGTACACCATCCGCGGCACAACCCGGGACCCCAACTCCCCCAGCGCCCAAACCCTCGCAGCCAAGGGCATCGAGGTCGTACCCGCCGACTTCAACGACCCATTCTCCCTCCAGCATGCCTTCACAGGCGCACACACCGTCTTCGCCACCACAACCACCATCTACGACGGGCACACCTACGAGCACGAGATCGCCCACGGCCGGGCCCTCGCCGACGCCGCCGTCGCCGCCCACGTCCCCTTCTACATCTTCTCCACCCTCCCGCACATCAAAACCCTCTCCCACGGCACCCTCACCCACGCCGGCCACTTCGACGCCAAAGCCGACGTCCAGACGTACATCCAGACCCTGCCGCTCAAAAGTGCCTTCATCGCCCCAGGCTCCTTCATGTCCAACTTCCACCACTCCATGGCCCCCTATCCCGTCGACTCGGACAGCAAAACCTACGCCCTATCCTCCTTCGTGCCCCCCGACACGCAACTCCCTCTGATCAACACAGCCGGCGACACGGGAAAATGGGTCGCTGCCATGCTGGCAGATTTTGATAAATATGAGGGGAAGGTCCTCTGCTGCGCGAGCGGACTGTATTCTTTTACGGAGATCGTGGAAACAATGAGTCGGGTGTCGGGTAAGACGGTGGTTTATCGTCAGTTGGAGGAGGAGGTGTGGAGGGGTTTCTTGCCTGGGACCATGGTGGATTATATTGCGGATATGATGAAGGCGATGCGTGATTTTGGGTATTTTGGGGATGGCACGGGGGAGAAGGTTGATTGGGCAGTGGGGGAGGCGAGGGGGCGGGTGACGAGTTTGGAGGAGTTTTTGAGGGAGAGGCCGTTGGGGTTGTGATTGGGTTGTGGCAGGTCTTACTTGGACAAGGGTTATTTAGTCTGTGCTAAAAAGGTCGAGTTGAAGGATGTGTAGCTCGGGTTGTCTTTTAGACTTTTTTTTTTTTTTTTTTTTTTTTTTTTTTTTTTTTCCCTGAATGATATCGGGCAATCTGGGTATGTCGTTGAGAAACAGTACCCCAATAATAGCCTTTTATTACTAGGATGATACACCTAAGAATGTCTTTTAATAGTATTTCCCGCTTGGTACAAGTTCGAAAACACGCAGACAATATTCATCGGCCGGGGAGGAACGTTGTGCAACAGCAAATTGAGACAAAGCAGTCGCTACTAACTACAGTCAGCAAACTAGGGTTACGCCCACTTCCCATTTGGCTTCATCAAGAACAAACACTGCATATACTCGGGAAGTACCCCTTAACACAAGAGATGATATAGCTTAACTATCCCACTGCCCATCATATTGCCAGAAAGACAAAAACAAACAGACATATCCCCGAAATCCATCAACCCCTCTATACCAGACCAACTCCAGCCCACCCCCATCCATCCCAACCCTAACCCTCCTCAAAGACTCAGTCCCCCCACCCCCAATCTACCAGGACGTACCCCCTACCCAGAAATAAAAAAAGATCAAAAATCCCCCAACGCCCGCCCCAAAAACCCCGCCAACAACCGCATATGCTCCCCCGCCCTCATCATCGTAAAATGATTCACGCCCTCCAACACCTCTATCCTCAAATTGGCCCTGCCGAGAAGCTCCGCCCATCCATCGGCCTGCAGATCCCCGGGGGAGCGATTCTCAATCAACCATGTCATCTCGCGGGGATCATCTCGGCTGATCTCGGGCCTCGGGACGGTTTCATCGTTACAGATGCCGTCTTTCGCGTAGAGGAGGTGGGTTTGCACGGTCTGGTGCGCGGGGGGTAAGGCGGCGATGGTGTATCGATCGAGGAGGATAAGAAAGGCGTCGAAGTGGGGTCGGAGCCAGGATGGGATGTTTTCGTTTTGATTTCCATGCACAGGTCCATGTTCATGTACATCTTTCTTACTCTTACCTCCCTTGCTGTTTGCTGATCCGGACCCCGATCCAGAACTCAAGCCAGACCCAAACAACCCCAGCCCCTGCAAAAAGTCATACATCCGTCCCGGCGGATTCTCCAGGCCGATCGGATTCGGAGAATCGATCAGGATCAGCCGCGCGATGGTCTCCCCTGTCGCTGTTAGTTGGCGGATGGCCTCGTAGGCGCAGATGCCGCCGGCGGACCAGTCGCCCAGGTAGTAGGGTCCGGTTGGTTGGCGGCGGCGGATCTCGAGGAGGTATTTGGCTGTCAGTTGGGAGAGCGTGATGGTCTTGAGGTGGTGATGGGTTTTGAGCCATGGGCAGTTGAGGGCGTAGGCGGCTGTGTTGGTGTAGTTGCTGTTTGTGGGTGAGGAGGAAGAGGAGGAGGATGGGGGCTTGGGGAGAGAGGCGTAGGAGGCCGCGGAGCCGGAGCCGTCCGGGAAGAGGAAGAGGGTTTTGCTGGCTGTGCGCGGGTTGCCCCAGAGGAGGATGGAGGTGGAGTGGGGTGGGGAGGTGGGGGTGAATTTGGTGGTGGTGGTGGTGGTGGTGGTGTTTGGGTCTGGGTCTGGGGATGGGGATGGGTTAGGGCTGGATCTTGATGATGCCGATGGGGAGATGAGGACCGGGCCTGGGTCCAGGTTGAGCGTTTTGCGGACTTCTTCGAGGTTGCGGTTATCCGTGAGAACGGTGGACGGCAGGGTAACCTCCATTGTCTCGGCGAGGGTGCCGACGATAGTCAGTGCGAGGAGCGAGTCCACGCCTAGCTCGGTGAAGGGGGTGGTGGGCGTGATTTCGTCCGCGGGGATGCCCGTTTCCGTGGCGATAGTGGCGCGGAGGATATCCATGATGGAGGACTCGTGATCCTGCTCGGGCTCGGTGACGATAGTGTCGTAGCTGGAGCGGGATGCACTGTCGGTGCGGTGCGAGGATGATGAGGTCGGCTGGCTGGACTCGGCTTCGGCGCCCCCAAAGAACGATAGCAGGTCTTTCGGGGTGGGATAGTCGGCGAACAGCGAGGAGGGCACGTCGGCGCCGACTTCCTCTTGGATGCGGCCACAGATCGTCAGGGATAGCAGCGAGTCGATCCCGTAGTTGGCGAATTCTTCGTTCGGGCCCAGGTCGGCCGGGTCAATGCCCGCTTCTTTGGCGATGATGGCCATTACGCGGGCTGCGATGCCGCCGGTTGATGGGGACGGGGCTGGTGCTGGGGAGTTAGGGCTAGTCGGCGGCTGGACGGGCTGGCGACTGACGGGTTTTGGTGTTTGGATGGTGATGCTGTCTTTGCTGGCAACGGGGGATGGACCCTTGGTCGGCAGTAGCCGGTCGAGAAGGCGTCGAGGAACTCCTTGGAACTGCAATAGTCAGTCAGTCTCCCCATTTCTAGGCTTTGGGGTGAGTGAAATACCCGGATGCCCTGATAGACAGCAACCACCGTGTCGCCCTCCAGGATATACGTATCGCCCACATACGTCGTGCCCGTCTCCAGCTGCATCCGATTATACACCCGATACTGCTTCCCCTTTGCGAACCTGACTGCACAGCGCATCCGCTCCCAGCCATGGTTGATAAAGACCTGGCCCTTCGATGGCGAAGCATCACTAGCATTCATGATAAAACCCGCAATATGCCCGAGACTGTCGACCCAGCACGGATTAAACACAAACCCGTTCTCACCGACCTGGAACGAGACCCGGGCTGTGGCTTCATGGTGGTCGCCGTCCAAGACGACCTCCTGCATGCCCTGATAATCAGATCCGTACTGCACGAGTGACGCGAAGAGCTGATACGCGAGCCGTCGCTTGAGTTTGTGGGCGTCTCCGTCCTCCGCGCTGTCGTGCAACGCGTGGATTCGGCTTTGGATCAAATGTGCGGAGCGCTTCCATTCGCTCAGCCAGGCCTGGATTCTCTGAGTGGTCCGAACTACAAATGCAGCGTGGTCGGCCATCTTCTGACCGGAGGAGGTGACGCTGAAGAGCCGGAAGGAGATGATATTGTCTCGCCAGTTGGCGGCGGCGGAGATGCGGAACAGCTGAGAGTCTGCCTCGGGGCGAGACACCAGGGGGTTCTGCACTTGCATATCGGCCACATCGAGTCCGACAGTCTCGGCGTCCTTCCCGATAGCCTGCAGCATGTGCTTCGCAATCGTGAGAGCGATGTCAGCATACAGAGACTGTCTCGTTAGCAGAAGGCCTCTCATATCGGGGGTCAGGAAACACTTACCGACGGACACAGCATCGCGCCGTTCACAACATGCCCCTCAAGAATCGGCGCCAGCCGTCTATCATGGACGTCAGACTCGCCGAGGAAAGTTGATACCTCCGGCCCGTCATCCTGCTCGAGGATGCGCTGCACAGATGGCGAGAGGTATCGTGGAACGCGCACGGTTTCTGTCTGTGGGACTGCGGGAGCAAGGCCCTCGCCTTTGGTCAGACAGAAGTTGTTCTTGTACGGAATCCAGTAGTTCTTCAGATCCCAAGCGTATCGCGGAAGGAGGAGCACCTCGCGCTGGCCGGCCACGCCGCGATGATACTCGGTCCAGTGGATGTCGATTCCCTGGGAGTAAAGCACTTCCAGGCTTCCCGAGAGGACGGACCAGGTGTCGGAGCCTTTTCGGAGGGAGGGGACGGTGGTACTGCCCGGTCCTAAGACCCCTTTTACCATGCCGGAGCAAGCGGGGTGGGACCCAATTTCTACCCAGAGGGTTTTCTCATTGACGACGGCCTCGGTCTGCGCGGCTTGGACGGCACCTTGGAAGTTCACAGGTTGACGACATGCGTCTGTCAAGTATGCTGCGTTCAGGGCTCCTGTGTCTCCAGCCGGAACGACCTTTCCGAGCAGAGGAGAAAGATATGCGATGGATGGAGCGCGGAACTGGACTTTATCCGCAATCCTCTTGAAGTCGTCCAAGATCGGATCGACCTGCGCGGAGTGAAATGCGTACGGGATATCAAGCTGGACGCACTCCACGCCGTTCAATGTCAACCGGGCTTTTAGCTGTGCGAGTTGCTCGACAGGCCCACTGACCACGTTGCTCAACGGCTGATTCAGACAGGCCACACCGCAGGCAGGGTCCAGCTCTGATCGAATGGCATCAGCAGCACTCTTCACAGCCAACATGCCATGGGTGCCCGGGGTGGTCCTTTCAGATAGCAGTTTTGCTCGCGTCCCCACCAGATATATCACGTTCACGGCTGCCAGCACGCCAGCAGCATATAACGCGGGATACTCGCCGAGGCTGTGGCCGATAGTGGCAGCTGGAACCACCCCCAACGACTTCCAGTAATTGTATAGCGCCATCTGGATGCAGACCAGGGCCAGATGCGTCACCATTGGCGAGGCATCCACATCTTCAGTGTTGTGGATCAGTGACAAGAAGCTGGGGAAGCCCAACTGTTCGGCAATATCGTTATACCGACTGACGCACTCCCTGAACGAGGGGATCGTGTCAAAGAGCCGCTTGCCCAGACCAGCGTACACCGTTCCTTGTCCGGTGAAGACCATGACGAGATTCGGGAGCTTTCCCGGGGGCGGAACGGGTTTATGGCTGTCAAGGCCGGGGAGAAGCTCCTGCAGACGATGACGGATCGAGGCAATATCGGACCCCGACACGACGACACGATAGGTATGATGGGCTCGTCGCGCGGTAGTTGTATATCCCAACGACGCCAGCGAAACATCCGGGTTCTGTTCCAGATACGACACCATCGCCTGGACATTTCCCTTCAAAGCCCTGCTTGTCTTCGCCGTCACCGACACCAAATGCCTCTCCCTCGGATCCCTCCCCTCCCCTTTCTCCCTGACCGGCGCATCCTCCACCAGCATGGCGGTATTCCCCCCCGCGGCACTGAAATTGTTCAAAAACACCACTCTCTTCCCCCCTGTCCCATCCTCCCTCCTCCACCCCGTCGGCCTAGACGCAATATGCACATTCCGCGCCGCCAGATCCGTCGGATACGTATGGTTGATCCTCGTCTTGATGCCACAATGCGGCGGAATGGCATTATGCCGCATCATCAGCAGCACCTTGATGAGCGACGACACGCCGGACGCCGACTCGGCATGGCCCATATTGGCCTTTGCCGTGCCGAGATACAGCGCGTTCTGGCGGCGAGCATGCGGCGCAAACACCGACAGCACCGACTTCATCTCCGTCGCGTCGCCGGCTTGCGTGCCCGTGCCGTGCATCTCGACGTACCCGACATCCAGCGGGTCGACGCCCGCGTACCGCATGATGCGGTTGAAGACGGCCGCCTGGTCGCCTTCGAAGGGGCGGGTGATTGAGTCGGTCCGTCCGCAGTGGTTCGTGTAGGCGCCGCGGATGACGCCGAAGATGGGGTCGTTGTCTTCGAGGGCGTCTTCGATGCGTTTGAGGATGACGGTGCCGATGGCGTCGGAGCGGCAGTAGCCGTCTGCTTCGTCGTCGAAGGCGTTGCAGTTTCCTGGTTTGTTTAGCCACCCCCCTGGTCGACAGATCGCCGTAAGTAAGGAGAGGGGGAACTGTTACCTTTGGCAGTGAGAAAATGGCCCCGATCCAGCCCCGCGAAGTTATCCGGGTTCGTCAACACATTCACCCCCCCAGCGAGGGCTGTATCGCATTCGCCGCGCCAGAGATACGCGCAGGCCGTCTGGATGGCCGCGCAGCTGGACGAGCAGGCTGTGTCGATGCTGAGACTAGGACCACAGAAGCGAAAGAAGTAGCTATCTACCGCATTAGCACATTGCATCACCTCCCCTGAAATGCCTTTCAAGCAAGAAGAATCCCTACCTGATCCGCCCCGGAATGAACGCGCGATTCCCCCCCGGAATGAAATACGTATCGACATCCTGCCCACTATTCACCTCACGCCAATCGTCACTCGTAGCGCCATAGAACACCCCGATGCGATCGCCCTGAGTCGACGGGGTCGCATTCGGGACCAACCCAGCCATCTCCATGGCTTCGTACGCGGTGGTGATTGCCAGTCGCTGCGCCGGGTTAGCATTCTCGGCTTCGCGCGGCGACATGTTGAAAAACCGCGCATCGAAGACCCCGGGCTCCTTGATGAAGCAGCCGTACTTGACGCGGCTGGTGTTTTTTGTTTTCCCGGTGGGATCGTAGTGGGCTTTCCAGTCGAAGCGGTCCTCGGGGATGGTGCGGTGCACGTCGCGGCCGGCCAGGAGCATGTCCCAGAATTCTTCGTTGGAGCTGGACTCTGGGAAGCGGCCGGAGAAGCCGATGATGGCGATGGAGGCTTGTGAGAATTTGCCGGTGGGAGTGCTGGGGGAGTGCAGGGTGGTGGTGATTTGGAGGGGAGGGGATTGGGATAGGGCTGTTGAGAGGAGAGGGCCGCTTCGGGAGGAGATCTGGTGGATTGTGCAAGAGGGGAACTGCTGGGTTTGCAGTTCCTGGCTTAGGGAGGAGGTCATCCTGTCCCAGTGCAGGGGCGAGCATAGGGCTTCCTGGACGGCGAGGGAAAGGAGGGCCTGCAGGGTTGAGGAGCGGATCAGTTCTCCCGATGCGGCGGAGACGATGGGGATCCGTTGGGTGTAGTCGAGCAACGAGGGGTCGTGGAAGGGTTTGATGATGTCGTCGACGTCGGATTCGCGGAAGAGATGCGCGGCGTGATATGGAAGCTCGATGGGGAGGAACGAGTGCTTCCATGGACAGGACGAGACGAATTTCTGCAGGACACGCGGAGGGCCGCTGACAGAGACGCTGTTTCGGCTGACGGAGCTGATGTACAGGCGCACCACGGAAGCAACATCCTGCTGTCGTTATTATCCGTTCTCATGCCCGATGTGGGCTGACGTGGATACGTACCTCTTCAGCGTTGAAGCTCTCAATTGCACGTCTGGCTTCACTCTCGTCAGTGCCGATAGCGACAGACCACTCCCTCCTCCCCTCGACCACCGGCTCGAGATCATTCTGCAGAGCGAGAGACCGAACTGCCGTCCGCACAGCAACAATGACAGCCTCCACCGCAGCCGGGAGCAGCTCAGTCAGGGTCTGCGCAGACGCAATGGCAGCGGCAGCAAAGGACCCCGTGCAAGCACCCACCAAGTAGGTGGTCTTCGCGGCTGGATATGGCCTAGAGCCCTGACCAAGGTATCTGCACCAGTCAGTATGGTTCTGTCGATCCTTATTTCTATCCCACCACACCCACCTGATAAACTGTCCAATCTCCGTCAGACACAACAGCGGAAACTTCAACGCCGCTGCCGCATCGCACTTATCATGCTGCGCGAACAGGTCAATCAGGGTCGTAAAATACGGGAACCATTCCTGCTGATGGGCCGGCAAACAGCCCACATATCGTCTCAATTGAAAGCCAACGCGGTCGAATAAGTCCGTCAGAAGAGCATCGTCCTTGACATGCAACAGGCCATGCAGGGTGTGCTCGAACGCGATCGTCTGATCCCCGAACAGGAACACCGCGGCCGATCTGTCCGTTTCCACGTCCATGTCGGATCCGTCTATCGGTTCATTGGCGTTTTCCATCGTCCGGACGGGCATACTATCCCGTCAAGTAAAGCGGGAATGGGGGACCCGGCTGATATTAAATGCCACCATTGACTGAGAAGCTCGCGACCCCCCTTGCCCCCTGACGTCTATTCATCAGCCGCGACGATCCGCAGTCTGGGACACTGTTCAAGGAATAGGAGAGAAAGGTCCAAGCGAGATGGCTGGGACGCGCAATCCCTGACGCGAGTGCGATGTGACGCGCTCAGCCGGGCTGGTGTGTACGGGATGCAGGGCCGTGCGATGTTGGGTCTGCTTCGACGGGGGTCTGCTGGTCTAGATGCACTACGATGGTGAGGTGGTGTCTTGGATGGGGTCGTGGAAGTGGATTCCATCGGCCACCCCGAGGCTGACAAGTGGATTTGCTCTGCATCGGTGCCTATTCTGTCCTACGGAGATGGCAGATCAGGTGGCACATATCGGAGGAGCAAGGCTGTGCGGATACAGCAGAGACACCGTGATACGTGCTGTGTTGCAGGTTGATCCAGATCCGTGGACAACGTGCTGGGGGCTTGATGTCTCGGGCTTGATCTTAGCGGATTTATAAGATATTGCAAAGCATGATTGTGTGGATATGAGGTATGCATGGCATGATACACTCGCGGATAATCCTGGAGGGAGGTAGCCAGTTCTGTCTACTTGGATAGGAGGCAGGAAATCACTCACCATGATGATATACAGATTGCACAACGTCATGCGATAGAAGATAACACCCAATGAACTGTCTGTAGATCCTTCTCAACCCTGGCCTGTATGGCTGCAACCGTCGACAACGTGTCTCTCGGCTCACTGCATCCAAGTCAGTGTTCTCTTCGAGCTTCCAGAACTCGCATGATGCAGAAAAGGCATACTGCTTTCGCTCCCAGATAGCCCTGCATACCCGCAAGATGAGAACGAGCCAAACAACCACAACGAGCAAGACAGCCACAATGATATGTATGATGTCCATGTAGACGCTTCCTCAAAGCCTCTCCTGTTGCCCTCCGCACCTCGGTGATCTGGACATCTCTCACCACCCAAACCTCCCATTTCCGTCATACAACCCGTACCGTACCTTGCAAACATCCCCCCCCCCCCCCCCCAGCGCCCTCATTCGCCACACGAGTCTTGCTCAATACGGCATAACGCAGCGGTATCCAAGCAAGGCCAGAAGACGATGGCTGCATCCCGGCGACACCGCACAACAAAGCGCGTGGCAGTCTTCCAGCCGCGGTGCAAGACATATTTCCCCTCTAGGCATCTCGTCCGATCCGCTCGGGGCGTTATCGGGGACGATCCCTTCATGGCACGGCGCACGGCGCACGGCGCACGAGACTCCGCGTGGCTGGCCGGGGAGAGGCCCTGCTCGGAGACCTGTGGGCAGTTAGAACGAGGGACGCTGCGTCGGCCTTCATCGGAAGATAATCGGGATTCGGAATTGCGCGGGACTGTTGAGCTGGTGTGTTACCCTGGGGAGGTGGGCGCTGTGGTGGAGAGGTTTCGAGGCTCGTATAGGTGGACTGTGGCGACAGGGGGGGGTCTTTGTCTTTGCTTTGGGGAGATGCAGTCGTGTCTGAATTGATGGGTTGTTGAGGGGAGGCGTGGAGAGGAAATGGAGGGATTGATAAGCAGTGCTGGCGGGCGGCAAGCCCTAATTCCGCGATCGCTCGGACGACCTGCCGGACTTGGCTGCTTGTGTGACGGTGTTGGTTTCGATGGGGATTTACAGTGGCCGGGATTGGTAATGTGCTTAGAAATAGGAGGTGGTGCAGACATGTGGGTTTGTCTGTCTTGGGTGTTTGTATGATTGCAGTGTTGCAGAATGATGGTATGTTTGTCCATATTGCAGCCCAAAATGAGTACGATGATCTTGAACAGCCTCTCCCGTCCTGTATACTGTATACTCCATCCTATGTACCTCCCCAGTGTGATATACCGCAAAGAGAAATAGTCTTATTAAGCAAGGTCAACTCTGAGTACTTCCATTCTGGCAAATATCTCCGACATCGGCGATCTTGAACCTCCCAATATCAACCATATCAACTTGCGCGTTGTACAAAATCCATGGATCATAGTCCATGCACGCCAGGGCAGTGTGTGGGAGGCCAAACTGCCCAATTAACCATCATCAGCACACCCATTTCAATATGTCTAGCCGCATCATTATTTCATGAGTAGTCAAGACCCATTTCCAGTCAAGTTCATTTCCCACCCACCAAGATCGACCACTCCAGCATTGCCTGATGAATCTCTTCGTTCCGCATCCCAGACAGGTCCTATAATACTACCAGAATACGCAGGAGATCATCTTCCTGCCGCGCGACAACACCTTGCCCATGTCCAGACACCAACCAATATGCAACGTCCACCGCATCATCACTCTACCGGACCTTGACACCTAGGAATCAGAAACCCGATATTGCCTCCCTGCTTGCTCCTTCTGCTGCAAGGTCCTAATATCAAACCATTGGATCTCGGCCACTCCGGCCCGCAAGGGGGTGTGTAATCCGTTTCATCGCGACTGGGAAGATGTTCACTCGCCACCGGCGGAGATGAGATGCACAGCCTGCAGCATGCAACATGCAGCAATGCAGCAAATGAATCCAGTGTGGCGAGGTGGTCGGCCAGGAAAAAAGGGCGACGCGCAGAGGGCTGAGCTGGAGAGGGTAGGGGGGGGGGGGGGGGGGGGGACAGTCATGTTTGGCTGAGACTTTGTCTGATGTCTCGACTCTCGAGGCTGGATTGAGGATCAGACGATAGTTGGGCTGTGGGTTGTTCGTTGTGGCTTGCTGCTAGCATGGTGGCGCGTCAGTCGACAATCCAGAGTGCGTGTAGTATGGTAGTATTCAGAACCCACCTATAACCTATAGATATCCTTCCTACAAGATAAACTACCCTACCTTCCTTCCCACGCGAAGTGTAAGTAAGTAAGTCATATCATGATACCAATAACCTAACCAAGCCACGCCCCAGTCAACGAGGATATGTAGCCACCTTTCTTCCGGCCGACTGGCGAGGTACTTACCACCTCCTCGCTCTCATCAACACTCCACTCAGCAACAGAAGTAAGCAAAAACAAAATACCCACCCACCCACCTACGGTAATAATTCCCCCCGAACCTCGTATACCCAACACCAGTGTTCCACAATGACACTTCCCAACAAGACAAGATGTGTTTTTGCTTTTTCACCCCGCCCAGGCATCCCGGACTACGCGCCACAGGGTTCATTCCGAAACGGAAGCTATTCAGTGAGCGATGACTGATTGAGCAACTGGCTGACTCCACGACGTGGTTGATCGGAGGGGAAGAAAGGGAAGAAGGTTAGGGGACAGGGTGTCTCTTTTTGCTGGAGATATATATATATATATCAGAACTGCATTTCTCTCTCTCTCTTCCTATTCTACAGTTGGTCCTATGTGAAGTGACGCTAAATGTTCTTATTTTCAGTTATACTTCAATTTTCATCATAAGTTATCTTCTCGATGGAGTTGATGGTCTGATAACATGAGAGGAGATTTCATGCTGGCTGTCATGGGAAGGGATGTGGAACGCAGGATGTGATGTGGGTATAGCAACCTCATTCCTGCTCGCCAGTCTTTCTGCCCTTCCATTCGCATTTTCGTTGGGCTATCGTGCGCCTCAGGGCCAAGTCATGTATTTATCAAGTTCGTTGTGCCATTCTGCGCTGATGCCGATAGAAAATATCTATACAACAGGTCATGGAAATGTGCAGATTGCTCCTAGAACAAAATATCTGATCTGTTGCGGCTTTGCGCAAGTCGTGCTGTAGAGGATAGCCGCATTCACAGCCATAACGAAAGAGCAGTACATGTATTGTAAGAGTGAGAAATTGCAACAAAACAATCTGCATCCCTCACATCGGGCTCATCATAGTATTTGCAGCACTCTCAGGGCTTCCACGTAACCCGGTCGGCGCTGGGCCGTCCTCGCCCATAGCCGGCCAAGGCATGATTGGTTCTCCGCCACTATGCCCCTGGATATTCACTAAATTCCACGCGCCCATCGACGTGCCGGGTTCAAGGGGAGTAAGCCCCAGCGAAGATGTCCCCGACAGCCAGCTATCCCATGCCAACGAGACACCTGCCGGGGGCGGCGGCGCCCAATATGACGGGCTGGGTGGATCATTAGATTGGGGAGGAGAGGTGGATGGTAACGCCGGTCCATCGCGCGGAACAAGCTCCAGCAGTGCCAGGAGCTGTGCAAAGACCCATGCAACCTTCTGGTGGTGGTTATTCGTCCGTGATCGGCTCGCGTGGTCGGTGTAGCAGGCGGAGACTCGTCGGAGCAGGTCCAGATCCGTCGCTATGTTGTTTATCCCGCTCGATGGTGGTAAGATGATGTCTTGGAGTAGGACAAAGAATGCAGGGACGGGAAATACATCCAGCACTGTTCCGAAAGGTGCCGCTCCAGGTGGTGTGGTACTCTGCTGGGTGTTATTCCGAGATGCGGTTCCTCGTGTCAGGATGTTGAAGGTATTCAAAATGGTCGGATCTGGGTCCCCGTAGGCCATCAGCAGAAGCAGGCAGCTGGTCCGTGCGTCTTGTCGCACTTGTCTCGCGTGGCGCTCCTCTCGACCATGTTGAAAGGCTATGATGCGTGTGTTTAGAAACTCCATGGCAGCTAAAGCACGTGTTCCATTATATTCCGAAGCATCATGGTATTGGCCCTGTAGCAGGTCAAAGGCGCAAGCATAGTCCTCGAGTTGCTGCTCAATGGTCTGTAGCAAACCCGGTGCAGATCGAACTGTCAGACGTGCAGAGCCTCCATGCGACAGATGGTAGACGTCTTCCTGAATCAAGGCCAGTCTGAGTCGGTCTGTATACAACTCATCATGGTCTACAGTTAACCGTAGCTGGGCTGTGATATTAGAGTCTTCACTAGGCAGCCACGAGACCGACCCCCGCGTCAAGCACAACATGCGATCGCGGACATATAATGCTCGAAGAACCTTAGCCCGTTCAACCTGCACATCACTACCATTATTTAGGAGGAGCGGACTGGCATGCATATGCATGGTCCGGGCCAGCATACAGGCATGGGCGAAGATCAGCTCTGCCCACCCGGGGGGGTCGAAGTGCTGAGCCGCGACACTCTGCAACCATCGTCAGCTAGTCTGACTTGAAGATCGTAGAGCACGATTTTCATACAAGTAGGATCAAGGTCTGCACATTGATCAGCCGCGGCGTAGTTAAAAGGCGAGAGTTAACCAGCGCTGCCCGACTGGGTAGAAATGAGCGTGCAGATTCGCCAAAGCCCGCTTGTGTCGATGTCTCCAGCCGCAGGCCCAAAATAGTAATAGCCTGGAAGCATATTGCCCATGTATCATCGTCTGGCTGCTGCGGATGTTGCGAATAGACGCGTTCAAGGTTGGCCCGAAGACTCCCCGGAACGAAAACATCCGTCTGACAGTCTTGAGACTGGAGGAAGCTGTCAACGGCGGTGATAGCCTGTTCCTTTGGGAGGAGAGGAGCAGCTATGCGGTCGCTGTATGGCGGGAAAGGCTCTACCGTGCCGGTTATCTCACACAGATGCTGTAGCGTGTCACAGAGAGGCCTCCATGACGGATCGGCTGTATTGGCCGCTTGAACACGTCTCCAGAGCTGGTCGCATAGTCCTGAGATGGATGTCAATCCAGCCGACGAGCCCTCTATCTTTGGATCGGTGACGTCCTGAGTCGCATCTTCTCTTCGGCTCTCATCTTCGTCGGTATAGGAGGAGTAGTTACTGCTCGTTGCTGACTGACGCCCACCCAGCAAATATATACACGGCGCTGTCCGGCCTTCATTAAAATTCGGGGCCCGAAAGCCGGAGCCTTGCAGCCGGTGGAGGTGGGATTCAATGTTGGTTAAGCGGTCCTGAAGTCGCTCGACGCTGTCACACCTGACCGTACTGGATAAGTGCCGACTCCCCCTGAAGAGCTGCGACCAACTTACAGTAGCTTGAGATGGTTGACGCGTTTTGCAGGGACCCGATAGATGCAAACAACACCTGGCTCCCTCTCACAGTTCCGGCATTCTGGACGCTCTCTACCACAACGTATCTTGCGTTCCCGACATCTGGCGCATGCCAAATCCGGCATGGCATAATCAGAGCGACCCTGCAGGGCATGGCCCGTCAGTCTAGTTGCACGATCCGATCCGGCAGCCGGGGTCGTACCTTCTTGGACTTCATGGTATCAACCAGCTTACGCGTACCAGACTCAGTACGCTTGTCGTGGTCAGTTAAACGGTTCAACATGCCCCTTTTGCTACAGTTGAAGTCTGGGGCGCGCGATATAGTGAGGGGGTTTCCAAATATTGGATAATGTCCTGACCGGGGCCCGTGAAGGTACTCTATTATACGTGATCGTACGGGGTTATCCCAAGGCAGAATTTGTTCCAGGGCCAGGATGTCCCAGGGCAGCTCGATGGTTGTTACGCTTGGCATTCCCGCCATCTTGGCTGGACGGGAGAAGTAGTAACCTGGATTTCGCTTGGGTCTTTTGGAAGGATTGGTTGTCACCTCATGCAAAGGGCTACTTCCTCACCGAACCTTTTCTGGGGTTGCTTCGCTGGGTCTCAGGTGTTCCAATTGGAGGAGGGCAACATCCCTGGCACATGAGGTGGGGTGGGAGCAGTATCATGGATGCCGACTCTAGCCATCGTCTTCCGAACCAGACCGGGCACGCTTCGGTGACTGGTACTGGGGCCGTGAGGATTCACACTGTGGCTGAAACTTCCGAGCCTATTGACGTCTTCATCAAATCCCAGAGTTAGAGTCCAACACGATGGTTGGTGGAGGGGATGCGAGTATCAGCACAATGTGAGATGCACCTGCTGCCACTGTCATCATGATCAAAACCCGCACAATAAGCGTCGTATCCCAACCTTAGCCCTGATCGGGTAACGCAAGAGTCCATTTAGTTCTAGAATAGGCAGCGACCGAGGATCAGCGCGATATCACCAGGAAGTCGCAGTAACAGTGGCCATTTCCGCCATGGAGTGGGCGAATTGAGATATGCAGCAGAGGCGTTTCATCGCGGAACAATTTGCTCGGCAGCTCGTGAAGCCACACGGCGCCCGTAATTAAATCGGCAATCTGTGTGCAGGCCAGAAGTAAAGCCCTCCTATCCAAGCATATGCGTTCGCAGTGCCTCGCCGTGGCCAGTTAACATGCATGCCCCGACCAACCAGTGACGCGAACAGTGCCAATAGCCACATTTGCACCATCATGGGTCACCTCGTGCCAAGTTGGATGGCTGAATTGTGACCATCCAGACCGCCTCATCCTCTCCACCAATCCTCGGACTCGTTTACATGTTACGCAACTACATTGTCAGACGAGTTTCCTCACAAGATATACTTCCTCTACGACAATGCTTCCGAATGGCTTGCGCGAATTCCAAGACCCGTGTCGATCTCTCGAAGCCATCCCAAGACACTGGCTCTCTCTCCCACGATGACTCTGCATCGATGATGTCTGCTATGCTGGCTCCAAGCGGACAAGCGCTCTCCTTCGATATGCCGTTCAATCTGCACGGAACTGGCCTTCGTGTTATACCATTCCGTCACTTTCCGGAGTGTCCCGGGCACGGGATCCACGGGTAAACTCCAAAGCCTGCATTTGCGCAACCTCAGCATCCCGGGACGCCCCCGCTTCGTGGAGCAGCTTCTCTCTGCCTAGGCGCATTACGGTCATTCAGTATCGCTGTAATGATTGCCCTAGATACTCAACTGAGTGCTCCCATTTGTGCAAATGGGTACAGACACGACGGTAGCCGCAGCATGGCCATGTTTGAATATCACGCGTCTCGTCTATGAATCGAGAATGGCATATAATCCTGGTTCTCGTCTAGATGCCGCCTGTTCGTGTGGCATGCTCCTCAAGATCCTTAGAAGTTCCGCAGGCAGGATTTTCTGCCATCCCGGCCTGGATGAGAAAGGGGGTGCATCGTGTGCGACGCTACGTAGGCCTTGTAAAGCTGACCAGAATGATGCGGCCAAGGGCCCGTGCCACATCACTCGGTGACCACTTCATCTCGCGTGCGTGTTGCCCGTCTTATAACTGGCGAGGATTCCCTGACAATGCGGTACGGCTGGCGAATCCACTTTATAGATGGTCATTAGGGACATCCGTCTTGGAAAGTCGCCGTATTAGCCATTCACTATGAATGCAACAGGGAATGGCGTTGTATTGTGGGTGTGCTTTGCTTTCAGAAACGTGTTGAGACTCGACATCACCAATCACCTGGGACATCAGTAATGAGTACCCATCCTCTGTACGAGACAGCCCTATCCACACGGCTGGATACTTTCCGACAGCTTATGCCCCGGAGTGCGGATGAGGACAAGCTCTCACATTGCACACCAGGCCAAACAGATCTGCAAGAAAGAGAGATCGCACCGGATGTCCTGTAACATTGATAAAGTTGCAACATGATAAAGTTGCAGAACGCCATGGCAGTGGACCACTAGAGCACTGAGCCGAGGTATCACCTGTACGAGTTGTGTGCCGTTATGCGCCCGAAGTCATGCGCGAAATGATGGTGTTGGGAGAGCTCAATGGGGGATGGGCGTCTGCGATTCCAACCACGACCGGGATGACACAAGCTGGGATTGAAATGAAGGGGATGGCCCATGATCTTGTCTCACTCAAGGATCTTGTCTGACTCGGGGCTTGAGGATTCCCCGATGAAAGCCGGTCAGCTACGGAAACTGGCCAAACCAGGCCATTAGTGCAATATCAATAGCTCAGCTTGAGAATTGGGACTCGAGCGGTGTCAGTAGCTGGCTGTTTGGTGGGTCTCTGTGCCTTGATTTCACAATCCTTCCCAGCGAGGAATGCGATGCCGGTGGGCCCTCGTCCATCCTCGAAAGTCGCCGATCGGGCCGAGCAACTTGCCGTGGCAGACGCTCGCAGGCATGCGGATTTCAGGCAACGACCGAGTAGTCTGACCAGAGACGGGTGGATGACTCTGATTCTCGTGGCTAGATGAACGGCAATGCCCTTTCGGGCGCATCAACTCCATGTAGCACCGGAAGAAACAGAATCGGACGATATTGACCGCGGATACGAGGGCGATGGAGAGGCAGAACGAGAGGAACGAGAGGAACGAGAGGAGGAACGAGAAGAACGAGGGGAGAATGTCGCCGACCGTCGCCCACAACAAGCCACGCACGTGATACCCTCCTGCCTGAGGCCAACAGACGCGTGTTGGACTGCAGGACCAGGCATCGCATCGCGTAAATAGGAGCCAGGATGGATAATCTAAGACCAGTGTTCTATACATATAGGTACTACCTAACACGGTATGATATACTATATTACGGGCTCTGATAACCCTCCCCCATCCTTCCGCCCCCCTGAAATTATTGCGGATAATTACCGAATTATTATTCCATTATATCCCATTCCATCAATCCTATGAAACCTCTCCCGATCGCCAACAGCCGTACAGCCATGTGACAGTGGATTTCACCCCAGTCCAGCCAACTAAGCGTTGATGCTAATAGTGTACGGCGCGACGGTGAACCACGCATCGGAACCCGTCTTGGGCTCCGTGCCGGCACCCAGGGTCTGCAGATAGTAGGTATCGGGGACGCCCTCGTTATCAATGAGGTAGGTAAAGAACTCCATGATATCACCGTCAAAATCGGTGATGGTCTCGGTGGCGACGAAGCTATACACGGTCCAGTCGTTGGGGCCCTCGTACAGGTCCCAGGTGTAGCCGGCGATGGTGGCGGAAGCGATGGGGCCGTCCTCGTTGCCGATGGGCGCGATGCCGCCGTACGCGGCCAGCCAGATCATGACTTCGTAGTCGTGGGCGGCAGTGGTGGAGTCGGAGGAGGAGAAGAAGGCGTCGTAGGAGACGTCGGCGACGAGGTCGGTGCCGGTGTAGCTGGGTGGGGGCCGTTAGCACTGCTGTCTCGGATGGTGGAAAGAAGGGGAGGGATTACCTCCAGCCCCAGGTGGAGGGGATGCTGGTGATGGTGCTGAGCTGCTTTGCGCCCACGTTCAGCACCGCGTTGGGGTAGCTCTTGACGTAGTCGGCGCCGCCGGCCCAGGTCCACGAGGTCTGCCAGGAGATGGAGTTGCCGCTGTCATAGTCCAGGTAGGTGCATTCGGAGCCGGAGGTGGCGTAGTCCTCGCCCCAGAGGTTGTTGTAGAGGATGAAGTCGGAGGTGGTGATGATGTTGTTCTGGGTGCAGATGGAGGCGATGGCATCGCGCGCGCCCAGAGCCGCTAGTGCAGGAACGGCGCTCGCCAGGCACAGGGGGATCGAGAGGTATCGGTTCATGATGACGATCGGGTTGGTTGGTGGTCTGCGGTGCGGTGTGGTCTGCCGTCCGGGTCTATCGTGGACGGCGACGGACGGGTATTTAATTCTCTGCTCACTGCACTAGGGGGTAGCTTTGGCCCCCAACGATGGCCCGCGAATGTCTCTCTTTCCTTGGACGAAGACCTGTGCAGAGTTCGCCCATTGCGGAGTCCATGTCGGAGCAGGGTGGCGGAGCGGGTCGCCTAGGCTGACAAGCATCATCAGCCGGGGTGAATCGGGCATTTCCAGAGGCAGATCTGGGAGCTTACTGCTTTGGGGGGGGGTGGGTTTGCTGCTCATTTTAATTGTGTAGTGTGCACAGCCTCGACCATCGGTGGGACTGGGGGCCGCAGTGTTGTTCGGGTGTTGGGTTGCCGGTCAGTAATAGTAAGGTGGGATTGCGGATTAATGGACTCCGTATCTTCGGCGATAATACTCAAGGCATGAAGGTTATTTGTTATGGTGATGCTCCTTGACACGGAAGATACTCGTGTTCCGAATAATGATGTGGGGTGGGGTGGGATCCCACGCTGCCGGCAACTGGGCGATGGCCAAACACCTGACTCGCGCGGCTGCCTGGCTGCCTCACACTGCTGCACTGGGCGCCTGAACTTTGTGCCGGGTAGTGGTGCCTGATATCGATGCCTGGCCCGTGACTGCCGAATGTCTGCCTTGGTGCCTGACTGTCTTACTGTGACTGCCTGACTGCCTTAGGCCACCAACATTCGGAACCATTCCGCAGCCTGTTGCATCATCGCATCCATGTGCTAATCAAGCATCCACCAACTTCCCTCACCATCTCCTCTACCCCTCAATCCCTCCATCCTCTCTCCTCAATCCCAACCCCACCACCACCACAACAAAACAACCAACCCCAAAATGACAGACCCCAACCCCCCGCACCACCCCACCTCGACCAGCAGCTGGCACGGCACCATCCCCAGCGCGACCTTCCCGGCCTCCCCAACGCGCTACCACCTCTACATCGGGCTCTTCTGCCCGTTCGCGCACCGGGTCAACTTCGTCCGGCACCTGAAAGGCCTGACCAAGATCCTGCCCACCAGCATCGTGCGCCCGTACCCGAAGGGCGATCTGAAGGGCTGGCCCGGGTGGAAGTTCCCCGCCACGGACGACGAGTATGCCGGCGCGACGGTCGATCGGCTGTACGGGTCGGAGTACCTGCACGAGGTGTATTTCCGGGCCGATCCGGGGTATAAGGGGCGGTATTCGGTGCCGTTGCTTTGGGATGTTGAGGGGGGCGGGGCGGTTTGTAATGTGCGTTATTCTTTATTACTATTATGTTGTTGTTGTTGTTGTTGTTGTTGTTGTTGTTGTTGTTGTTGTGGGGTTGGGGATAATGCTGACAGAAGGATGTGATTGTGGGAAATAGGAAAGTCTCGAGCTCCTGCGCTGGCTACCGCACGCGTTCAACGCGCACATCCCGCCCTCCCTCGCCTCGATCGACCTGTACCCGGCGCACCTGCAGACGAAAATTGATGCCATCAGCCCGTGGATGCAATCCGACATCAACACGGGGGTGTACAAAGCCGGGTTCGCTGATTCGCAGGAGTCCTACGATAAGAACGTGGTGCCGGTGTTCGGGGCGCTGAATAAGATGGAGCGGATTGTCGCGGCAAACGGCGGGCCGTTCGTGCTGGGCACGGTGATGACGGAGCTGGATGTCATGCTGTATGCGACGCTGATCCGGTTCGATGTCGTGTATGTTCAGCACTTCAAGTGCAATCTCGGGACCATTCGGCATGATTACCCCGTGCTGCATAATTGGTTGAAGGGGATGTATTGGGATGTGGAGGCCGCGAGGGCGTCGACGGACTTTAGGCATATTAAGGAGAATGTGAGTGTTTCTTTTCCGGGGAGGGGGTTGAGGAAGGTGCTGACGGAGTGTGTAGTATACGAAGAGCCATTGGCAGGTCAACCCGACGGCGATTACCCCGATGGGCCCGTTCCCGGATATCGAGGAGGGGGTGGAGAGGGATTGGAGTGTGTTGCGGGTTGGGGGGGTGAGGCATCCGGCGGTGGTGGAGTACGAGGCGGGGATTCCGGATGTTGTGTAGTGCATGATGATGTGGAAGCTATCTGTGCATGGGAACGCAGAAGATAGTCTGGAGAATTATGAAGAATGCACTATTTATGAAGAAGCCTCGGTCAGGGACTGAGGAAGTCAGGAACGCGTTTGGGATAGATTGGTTCACATGCACCCGAGCCCGTCAGGGAGATCGGCACGATCGCCTGGATCGAATCTGAACTTAATTTGGTCGTCGGGAATGGTTCAGGCACGCAAGTCTATCTGAACCGGGGGTTCCATTTCGACATCCGATGATTATCCGTTCGCAAATGCGAGTCGTTTTAGACCGGAGAAACAGCTCAGGGTCGAGGGCTTGTTTAATGAGGCGATGAGTTATGCCGAGGAGATCTTAAATCCAATCCATTAGGGGACTAGATCCGACTAAGTATACAGCGGTGGGATACTTACAGCGCCGTTTGCACGCACAGTATCTCCTTTACAGAGATATGATGAGATGAAGTAGAACAAATGGATTTAATATAAGAATTATAATCTCCCCACACTCCTAAACCATAGTAACCTAACGTGTATGGACGTGACCCAGTATCGATACATCACGAACCGCGGCCCAACAATATATCATTCCCAGCAGCACCAAACCACCAAACCACCAAGTCCAGCAAACTACACAACCCAACACAACCCATGAAACAGCGACACCAAACCACACCAAACCCCTATAAACAGTATACATAGCCCCTGTATGAAGAATAATGATCCAAAACCGAACATCATAATCTTTCCTGCCCATCCCCATCCCAAAAACTGGTCCCTCCCAACAGCCCATCCCGATCCCGAAATCCCAAAAACCATCCTCCCCACCACGCCATGAATATCATTTCCCAACCCCATAGAACTGCAACGAACATGGGCAATAAAGAAAGGGGCAAACACCCTGAAAAGGGGATATTGTTCCCCTCCCTGCCCTGCAGCAACAGAAAAGAAATATAAACCGCCCTTACTCCCACCCGACCAACCCCAGCTCAGTCTTCAGTGTGCAGTTCTACTCTCATCCAAATCCAAACCATCAACCCCCCCAGCCCTATACACGCATACCTCCTATCCTCCAATCCAATACAACCCAAGTCAAACTAAACCAGATAAGTCTGTCTATACCTCCCCTCACTCCCTCACTCCATCCATTCATCCATTATCTATACCCAAAAAAGAAAAACATGCTAACCAACCCAGACCGAAGCCAAAATGAAATTCATCCTCCTCTCCGCCATCTCCCTCCTCGCGGCGTTCGCGAGCGCGACCGCCAGTCCGGATCCCGCGGGGATCAACTTCGGGGTGGGCGCCAACGCGGCGGCCGAGGCCGAGGCGGCGGCGAACGCGGGCGCGGGGGTGGGGATTGAGATTTGATTTGGATATCTGTGCCTACTATTCCATATTCTTTCCTTGAATGTATGATGATTATGTGTGGATGTTGCGGTGGTGGTGGTGGTGGGGATGTGCTGATTGTGGATGTTAGAAGGGTAGTATTAGATGGGTGTGGGTATGGGGATGAGTATGGGGATGGGTATAGGTTTTGGGGTGGGCTATCTGAAGGGGGGTTGGGGGTTGGAAGTTGGATATCAGGTGTGGATAGTGGTATTTTATTATTAATGGGTGTTGTGGGAGGGGCGGGTTGGTTATATGTTCGAGGGATGAGGTACGGTATGAACATAGAACAGCACCCCAATTTAATACTTTACAATAGAAATGAACTGAATACCACAACCAGACAAGGCACATAGTCAATGAGAAGTAGTACTACCCCATTCTGACGAGGATTTAGATAATTCAACCGGGGAACTTATAGTAGACCCCTATGTAAAAAGATATATATACGAACCAGGGAAAATCCATCCCTGGTCCACAAACAACACAGCAAGCACATTGCTCCACAACATACAACATTCTATATACAGGAGATGTAGTTTAAAAAACGAGAGACAAGAATTGAAAGCCTCATCCACCCCCCTCCCCCCCGAATTTCCCCACTAACACAGGACCCAACCCCAAGCCTAACCCTTCACACCCAGCCCTAAGAAGAAGAAGAAGTGGTGCTCTTCAGCACCGGAATCACCGTGTTCATGTACGAGTCATAAATGGTGTAGGTGCTCGTATTGCCCAAGAAAATCTGGTCGGAGATATTCCCGACCTGGGTCAGAAGAGTGGGGAGATCAACAGAGTCCGGGACGGAGTAGACCATGGAGGCGAGGGCGGAGTGGTTCGTGCCGTTGACGATGGAGTCGAAGGTGCCGGCGGCGATGTCGCTGAGGAAGGAGTCGTAGGGCGATTCGAAGACGACGGTCGAGTCCGGGATGTCGAGGTAGGCGGCGTCGGGGACGGTGCCGGGGTTAGTCACGACCTATGAACAAGAGATTAGGGTATTAGGGCTGTGGAATGGGATGGGTGGATTGTGGGGAGAGAAGGAGGGGAGGGAGGGTAGCGTAACGTACGTAGTTGTCCGGCCCTAGACCCGAACTGTCCTTGACCAGGGTGGTCAGGGTCTGGTAGTAGGAGACCAGCTCGGCGCTGTAGGCGTTGGGGGCCTCGTCGAAGAAGATGCCGTGCACGGCGAAGGAGGAGTTGCCGGACGCAGAGGGCCAGCCGGCGTAGGTGTTGACGTCCTTTTCGACGTCGGCGATGGCCCGCGTGCCCTTCTCCGTGGGCACGTAGCCGATGGCCAGCACGTTGCTGTGGCTGGTTAGGGCCGGGACGGCCGTCAGGAAGCTGGCGTCTGGGAGTGAGCTGGAGCCGGGTCCGCTGTCGGGGTTGATGATGATGGTGAATTCGACGTCCGGGAACTCGGTCACACTGGGGGGGATGGTTAGTTGGGGTGGCGGCTAAGAGGGGAATGGGGATGAAGGGATCGCGTACAGCTCCTCCATGGGGGTCCAGGCTCCGGGGCTGGGGTAGACGTAGAAGGGGATGATGACGCGGGCGGAGGTGGGAGTCTTTGACACGGGGGAGGCCGAGGAATAGGCGGGTGAAATGGCCGACGAGGTGGCGGAATAGGAGGAGGAGGACGACGACGATGACGACGAGGAGGAATAGCTGACCGCAGCCACTCCAGAGGGCTCGGAGCCATTGCAGTCATCGCTGGCCCCGTCGGTGGGCTCGCTGTAGGGCTCGACCGTGCTGGAGGCGGCGTGGTGGCCGCCATGGTGGTGGCCCCGGGCAAACTGCCGGTGGGCGGCAGAGACAGGGCTGGACAGGAGGGCCATGCAGCCCAGCATGCCGATCAGCACGCGCGAGGGGGTTTCTCCGAACATGGCGACAGGTGACAGACAGACAGGAAAAAGCAAGAATAGGCAGAAGTAAAGCAAGGAGGTAACTATGCGGGAGGTCAAGGAACGACTAGAGGTGGGATGCAGAACGAAAGATCAGACGCTTGCCAGAAGCTGGGGAGGAGAAAGGGGAAGCCATCAAGGCGCCGGGCGCGCCGGAATGCTTTATATACGGCGCGAAGAATGAGGATCAAGCCGGCGGCGGCATGGCGATGACGATGACAGGGGCCGCAGGGCTTGGGATTTGGCGCCGGCAGCAAACGGGAGGCATCGGGCATTATTTTACGTGAAACGGCGGGCGCGCATCCGATTCGAGCATCAACGGGCAGATCCTGGCCGGGGTGGAGATTGCAGGTCGCTGCCAACACCAGGCACATCCTGTTCATTGGCGGATCTGGGGAATGACGGGGGGGGGCGATGGAAATTACACGATCCGGGCGGGCCAGCCAGATGGTGGCCACGGGGTTTCAGGCGCGGGCGTGCCCTAGTGATGAGTCTCTTTGTTTGTCGCGACAGGACAGGCTGTGGAGATTGATTGTACGGCTGCCCCTGGATCAGGGCACAGTGCAACCATCGGTTTGGAAGTGGCACCGAGTACAGAGTACAGAACAGAGTACAGCACCGCCTGGAAGGAAGCGCGGCGGGAGGAATGGCCCCCTCCAATTTCCATCCTCAACCCACCCGAAGGCGCCAGCGTCAGCATCCGGGGGGGCCGTAGTATACGAAATAGAGGACCAACGCCGCGACATTTGTCATGGTGCCCTCGGACACGGCACTTCCGGTACGCGGTACCAACCCTGGGTCCAACTGCGCAGATGTTAACAAAGAAAAGGAATGGGACAAGGGGTGTGGCAGGGAGTGAGGGCGGTCTGCCAAGCAGTAACTAATACATCACGCGCAGACATGGTTACAGATTGCCTGGTCGTCTGTGGCGGTTTCTGTTCTTCCTTCCCCCTGCCAAGGACAGGTCGATGGACATGGTCTGGGAAGCTGCCTCGAAGAGTCCAGGTATAGTACGGAGTATCTCCTCCGTACTCCGTGCAGGACAGGAGAGAGAAATGGATCAATCTCATTTCGCCTGTCTAGATCAGCCCGGCAACGCGATATCCTAGCCAGGTGTGGGCCAGTGTGCTGATCGGTATTTACTGTGTAGTTGGTCCCAACAAACAAAGATCCGAATCCTAAGCAATTTGCCCTGCCCGTCTGCTGGACCGATCCTTCCTCCTGGCGGGACATGCATCCGGGGGGAAGAGTGACTCCATTCCGATCCGACCCAGCCCCTGAGGTGGTACAACCCCAGAGTTCCAGCACATCAACGGCACCACCTACATCGCGGTGCCAGACTGTAGTGTCACTGTCCAGACGGAGAGACAGACGGTCCAAGTCGGTCTAGTTCGTCCGGATGTGGGCGAACCATTGGCACTCCCGGGGCTAGAAGGCCCGGCCGGCATTCTCGAACATCTGGCCAGAAGACCCGACCCCGTCACCCCTTTGCGTCATCGATCAGCCTGGTGCGCTGCCTCGGGCAAATATTTTTGCCCCCGGCCTTTCTTTATCTTTCTTCTTCCCACCGTTCCCCTGCTGGCCATTACATCGGTGCAGCGAACAAGGGTTGGGCGGTTACACGCTGATTCTGCTGGCCTCTGCGACCCAGTGAGAGAGAAGAGACAGGGCCCCCGATCGGACGCGCCCGTCGGAGCATTGATAAGGGATCTGTTGGTCAGACTGTCTGTCAGACCGAATCCAACCTGACGGTCGCGGTTTGCCACAGCGGTCTTCTGGCGGCGGTGGTTACTGGAAGAGGCGCATCAGGCCGATTCTGGTGAACCTGACCGCATTCTAACTCCGGACTCCAGGCCAGTTGGAAAACCAGCGGATAGCCGAGATCTGGGGTGGAGGGGAAAGACAGGGCAGGTTGATATGACGATCTACTTACAGAGCAGATGATTGAGATAGTTAGAGATGTGTCTGCTCCCCTGCCCTCCCCTCCAGGCTCCAGCCAAGGCAGATTGGAGCGACCCAATCCTCCGGCCGTGATTGGCGGCCAGGCGCCGAGTGTCCGCCCCACCGGAGCTGGCCGTGTCTTGCCACTGTGCCAGACTGCCAGAGCCACTCCCAGCCGGCGAGCTGTCTGTTCGATGCTATCAGAATCTGCAATACTTGCGATGCTCTGCCAGTCTGCTATCTAGTGCCAGCATGGCCAACTGCCAAGCCCCCGCTGGCGCCCGTCATGCCACGGGGGCGAACCTGGCATGACTGACTGGCATGGCGCGACTGTTCGGGCGCACTTATCTATCTGGGATCATCAGACGGCGGGCTCCACCCTCAGACCGTTTGAAGTTTTGAACACTTTTGCCCCACGCCTGGGGAGATCCTCGAACCGCGCTGAGTAAGCCCCAGGGCTCCGGAACAACGCGGGGCCGGCCACGAGAGTCATGCGCGTGGCAGGCTTATCTTTCGGGTCTAGCGCCGGGGAACGGCGGGCGGTGATAGGCCCCCGGTGACTAAGATAAACATCCATGCAAATAGGGTTGCAACCTTACCCCCGCCACCAGGCCGGAAAGGGAAGGGCGGCCATCTGGGAGCTTATCACGCACTAGGCTGCATGGGGGGCCCAGTGGCCGGGCTGGCCAATGTCGAGCGAGGCAATGGGGCATCGCAGCATCGCCCCCCACCATTATCTCTGGCTGGCCCCGCTCTCCTTATCACCTGCACCTTAAGCCCATTAAGCCTAAAGCGGTTGCAAATCTCTGTTTCCTCCCCCCCCCCGGAATAAAATCCTGCGGCCGCCGCGTACCATGCGACCTGTTTCCAATTCTTCGCGGGCTGGTTGACGCTGACAGACACCCGACTCCGACACAATCCTCCCCTTGTGCTCTCGTTCCTCGACTGTTCGTCCGTCCTCGCACGACGTCCCCCCCCCGCCATGGCCGGATTCGGTAGTCGAGTGGTCTCGAAGATCAAGCTGGATTCCAGCCGCGACTCGCGCTGGTCCAACGAAGGTCGGCAACCCTAAGGCCATACCAGCCTATACCACGCTATACACGCGACTCGCGACTCACCTCACCTGTCTTGCAGATCTGCTGCCCACCCCCCCGGAGCAGTGCAGTAAGTCCACGCCGTCTGATCACCTCCGCCTCCTCCTCCGTCCCCGGCTAACGACTCAGCCTGGCGCTGGTGGAACTATGTCACCTTCTACTGGTCCATCTCCTTCACCAACTGGACCCTGGGCTCGGTAAATTCATTCCTCGCTCCCCGCACCTGACACGCGACCCCCTGCTCATTGCTCCAGACCATGATCGGTGTCGGCTTGAACTGGTGGCAGGCGATTGTCGTCATCTTCGTCTCCCAGCTCATCTCCTCCATCGCCATGGCCTTCAACTCCCGCGCTGCCAGTGTCTACCACATCGGATTCCCGTGCGTGGGCCGCAGCGTGTTCGGCATGTGGGGGAGCTACTACTTCGTCGGGGCCCGCGCCGTGCTCGCCATCATCTGGTTCGCCGTGCAGAGTACGTTCCGTTGCCCGGGAGGATAGGCAGAGAGCAGTGTTGACCCCCTCGCGCAGTGGACTTCGGCGCCGAGTACATGTACAACATCCTCCGGGCCATCTTCGGCCACCACTTCACCGACATCCCCAACCACATCCCGGCCAGCGCGGGCATCACCACCCAGCGCATGCTCGCCTTCTTCCTGTGCTGGCTGTGCCATCTGCCCTTCTGCCACTTCCGCCCGTACCAGCTGCGCAAGTTCTTCATCTTCAAGACCTCCATCTCCCTGCCCGCCATGTTCGGTCTGTTCATCTTCGCCATGTGCAACACCAAGGGCCAGCTGGGGACGCTGTACACGGCGGAAGCGCGCTCCTCCACGGCCACGGCCTGGATGATCATCTCCGGAATAAACAGCGGCCTGGGGTGAGTTTGGATCCTGCCATCGCGTGCGCACGCAACGCTGACCGCAACGGCGACAGAAACACCGCCACCCTGATCACCAACCAGCCCGATTACTGCCGTTGGACGCGAACCCGCCAGGCGCCCCTCTGGACGCAGCTGATCTCCAACCCCATCGCCACCACCCTCTCCGCCAGTCTGGGTATCCTCGCCACGGCCGCCATCAACAACAAATACGGCACTGATATCTGGTACACATTACTTTCCCCCTCTCCATATCCCTCCCAACCCCGCTAACCCCCCTCAGGAACCAATGGGACATGATGCAGTTCATCCTGGACCGGTACTGGTCCGGCACGACCCGGTTCGCCGTCTTCCTCGTGGCCTTCGCCTGGCTGGTGCAAATCCTGGGCACCAACGTCGCGGCCAACATGATCTCCTTCGGCGCCGACTCCTCCATGCTGTTCCCGCGATTCATCAACATGCGTCGCGGCCAGTACATCGTCGAGTGTCTCGCCTGGGCGGTCGTGCCGTGGGAGATTCTGACCTCCGCCACCAAGTTCGAGACTTTCCTTTCCGGATACGCCTTGTTCATGGGTGCTGTCGTCGCCATCATGGTGTGCGAATGTGCGTTCCCCCTCCCCCAAGCTAGCTCCCAAACGCGCCCCATGCTAACCAGACCATGCAAAACGAAATAGACTTCTGCTTCTCCAAGGGCAACATCTTCATCTCCGCCCTGTACGACGGCACAAAGCTCAACAAGAGCTACCGCTACCACAAGGGCTGGAACGTCCAGGCCGTGATCGCGTATATCATCGCCATCGCGCTTCCTTTCCCTGGTTAGTCCCCCCTCCCCCTCCCCCAACCCCCAAATCGAACAATCCCATCTTCCTCGTAACAAAAGAATAAGCAACAATATACTAACAAATTATTCTTTCCAAAAAAAACAGGCTTCGTCGGCTCCCTCGGCGCCGACGTCTCCACCACCGCCGCCCGCCTCGGCTACCTAGGCTGGATGCTCTCCTTCACGACCGGCTTCGTATGCTACTACGTGATCTGCACGTTCTGGCCGACGGAGAACCAGCGCTACATCAAGGCGCAGGGCTACACGTGGGAGCAGACCGCGAAGGAGGACAGTCCGGATTTCTACCTTAACGGGGCGAATGTGGGCGGTGTGACCTGCGAGGAGGAGGTGGTGTTGGAGAAGGGCGCGGAGAAGCCTGTTTATCGGGGGTGAAGAGGATAAGAAAATTTCTTGTTTTTTTTTTTTTAATGGATTTGCTTTTGATGGGTATGAGGTATGAGAGAGAGGGGGGATTCCTTGGAAAAAGAGAGGGGAATAAATGAAGGGATTGGATTGGATTGGAAGGGTATATATAGTATATAGATGGATGGATATGGTAGTAATTTATTTAGGTAGTAGTTATCTACGACATGATACGCAACTCGACTCTACTCGACTCGACTCTGGATTGATATGAAATGAATAATACATTTTTGAATAATATATGCTTCTGATTCTTGGTTCGGGGTTTATGTGTGGGGCGCGGAATGGGATGGTGTTATTATAATGTTGGTTGGTTTAACACACACACACACACACGCCCATTAACAACAAACCGCTCCTGCCAGCTAGATACAAAACGTCGGTACCATGAACCACTCCGGAGTTGATTTCACTGCCAGGACTAAATAGGAGGGGGAAAAGTGGAGACCCCGAAACAAAACAAACTATTATGATTGTCCCGAACCCTCACAGTCTCATGTCCTGGGGCTCTGATTGGCTGTGTAATGTCTCCGATGCAATTTGCTGCGCGTCGGTACTACTGTAGGGAGTGACTACTATACTTACCTGGTCTATTGCGGTGAGAAATGGCCGGTATACTATCTCGACTAATAGGTCTCTCCAGACCCTGCGAGTCATGGAAATGTAATGACTGGTTTAATAGTTGCTTCTACACGGGTAGGGCAGGGAAGTGAAGTTTGCTGTAGATAGGTTGATTCTACGCCCAGAATACAGATTCCAGAGACGAAGAGAAAATCTAACAGTGATTCATCTTCTCAGGAAAAACCAAACTAAATCTGAGTCCTGGCCATCATGATGCATCGTCCATTCCAAATGAAAAGAACGCAGCCCAGGGAAGGTACCACAGGATATGCATCCACCCTTTGGCAGAAAGTGCAGGCATACCCCCTCGCCTAAACAGGTGTCTGGAAAGCCTTCTGGCGAGGAAGGGCCCATTTTCTTTTTACCACCCTTCCCCCTCTTGGAGCATCTCGCATTTTTCTGATCAAGGGGTTTTGTTGGGCAAGAAGCAACGCCCTTGTCTGTCTGAGATTGTCAGAGCGCTCCGCCAGCAGACCCAACCCGCCATTACAGAAGCCCAGGAACATAGGCAGAGGCTTGACCCCCCGCTGGATGCCCAGGAAGACCAAGACCCTGAGGCAATCGTATTTCGTCATCTCGGCCGCCTTCCGCTGACCGTACTGAAGCTCTTTGACATAGACTTTACTTTTCAAGTCGAACATGTTCCCCAAATCCCGCCCGATATCTGCCCACCCATTGGAGATCGCCAGGGACAGCTCTGATACTCCATAGACCCCATTCCCACCCTGCAATGGCACACCCTTTCTAAACAGGTATCTTATATTCTCCTTGCGACCCGCCTGGTGAATGTCCGGAGAGGTGGCAAAGGAGGAAGTCGAGGAGGTAGAGTTGAGGGTAGGGTTGTAAAGTGATGATGTGATGAAGTTTTCATGAGCAGTTGAGGCCTGGAGACTGTACTTTGGGTGAGATGTGAGTGGGGAAGAGTAGCTTGACTCGGTACGTACATGATAGGCGATTATTGCTCCCGCCAAGTTTAATATTGGTGAGAAATGCGGTTGTCGATGTTCAGATCGAACGTGTGATGTAGAAGTCAGAATGTCAGATATATTCTTATATTTGGTCCTAGTCGGGTATTTCACGCGGCCTTGAGACTCTATTTCATCTGAGAAATTGGTCGAGGGTGTCGCCAGTGTTGCAGTAGATCTTATAATCAAACTTCTTGAATCCCTTGCTATATTCTCAAAAACCTGTCTGAACCACTTTCTCACAGCCCAGGGAGCATGGGTGCAGTACCCTCACACAGACACTGATATCTCATCATGCATCTGCAGTATAAATACTATACCATCAGAGCTTGGCTTGCTAAGTTGGATACATGGAACTGCAGCTCTGCAGGGCATGCGAGGTGAAACCGCGCAGTCGGCAACTGTCAGGAAATGTATTCCGAGTGAGTTGCTGCGCCACAATAGATAATCACGGTCTTGGGCCAGGATCCTGCATACTATACGGCTCGGGTTATGGCAGAAGGATCCTGTGAGCCATAGTGAAAGAGGAAAGTGGAGACAGCGCTGTGCACACAACCGGTGCAGTGGTTTGTCTCACTGCGCGCAAACAGGTTAGTAGAAGCTTTTCAAAGCTACTGGATATTGTGTTGACTTGACATGCCTGGGCAATATTTCCACAGCCTCGATGATATCCACCCTCACTCAGCCTCATTCGTACCCTGAGTCAGACCCTTAACACTAGTCCGCAAACAGCATCGACGCGGGGCTGAGCACATCACCACATCACCAACCCGCTCCACTCACCATTTATATAACCGACAGGCCATCTCCCCCTCCTAACCCCAACCCTAACCTCAACTCCATCCAAAACAACCACCACCACCACCACCACCACAATGCCCAGCTCAATCCCCCACATCCACCTCCTAAGCATGGACCCCACCTTCGGAACAACCCTACAAGCCCACCTCCCTCCCAGTTCCCCCATTAGCACAACCTCCCCCCCCTTCCCCACCATAACAATCCACCCCTGCGCCCTCTCCTCCCTCCCCCCGACCACAACCGTCACGGCGATCGTCTCCCCCGCCAACTCACACGGCCGACTAGACGGGGGCTTCGACGATGCAATCTCACGCTTCTTCTCCCCCAAGGACGACTACATGGCGCTGACCCGCCACGCACAAGCGCACCTGTACCGCACCTGGCGGGGCTATCTCCCGCCGGGCCACTGCGACCTGATCCCCATCCCGGGGGACTTCGCGGCGCGGTCCAAGAACACGTTCGGGACGAAGTTCCTGGCGCTGTGTCCGACGATGCGCGTGCCGCGGGACGCGCGCTGGGATCGCGAGATCGTGTATAATTGCGTGTGGAGTCTGCTGTGTGCGGTCGAGAGGCATAATCGGGTCGCTGGGGATGGGGAGAGGATTGAGAGTTTGTTGATGACGCCGTTGGCGACGGGGTGTGGCGGCGTGTCGGAGGAGAGGTGGGCCAGGCAGTTTGTGCTCGCGATTAGGCATTTTGAGTTGGCTGGGGGGGCGGGTGAGGGTGATGGAGGATGGGAAGGGCTGGATTTGGTGCAGGCGTCGGAGGTGGCGAGGGAGGTGGAGGAGACGTGGGCGGTTTGAGCGGGGGGGATTATGGTTCTGGTCAGGGATCGAGGGCTACCTATGACTAAGTGAATGAGGGTTCCATCGGTGGAATATGAGTCCCCCCATGGTTACTCTGCCACTTGTCCTGATTCAGTGTGGGTTGCACAAAGATCGCGGTTACCCTTGAGCGACAGCTGCGAGCCCTGGCCCTGGCGGCTGGATTGTGCCGCCTTCATTAGAGGTCACTGAACATGTTCAAACGGAAGCTCCTATTTAGGACTCTGTCTATACAAATTCATTTCTCGGCGTACACTACTCTGCATCCTTCTGATTACAGAGCACGTAATCCTGCCTGTTTGGTTTCTTGGTAATATTTTCACATTGACCACCTCTGCCTATCCAGGTTCTGCGTACTGCTCCGTCCTCAAAAGACGGCTTCGTAAAGGAAACCGCCATACTGACACGATGGCTGGCTACCTGCCAAGACGAAGGAACATTTTGATAGCAAGCGACTGTCACCTGACTGCCGTATCCTGCTGGACTCTCACCAACAATCTTCCTGTCACTGTGTGAAAAGCGTGCTTCTAGCGGGGACTGCGCCGGAGGCCCTTTTAATGTGCCTATGGAGGGGAACAGTGACCGAAGCCATGAACCCTTTGGAGCGAATTGTGGGTATAACAAGCGCGGAAGAAACCGAGCCTCCTCTCTGTATCCTCCCCAGGAATTCCCCGAACGGATCACTGTTCGATACTGGCAAATGCCGTCGTGCAAGATCAATCAAGAAGGAGCTTCCCTTGACCCAGGTCCTGTGTCCACTCCTTTGAAGGAGGATATCCCCCCAGACAAGCCCCGAGATGCACCTATCCATTCAGGATATATGGCCTGCTGTGAGGGCCGGAGGACTCCTACAAGGAACTTTCCATTCGGCAAAATGAGTTATCCCTGGTACTACTTAAACCCCCTGCCCCCACCTTTCGTCTGAAGATACAATTTCCAGGTCTATGCACGGAGATTTCCCACCAACCTGACACCATGTCTGCAGACGAATCCATGCGGGATGGCAGTGTGCCGGTGGAGCAGATGGATGATGAAGGCCGATCGGTAGAAAGAATGATGACAGGCTATCTCTCAGAGGAAGAAATGGAGGATCTCACTACATCCGTGGACATGATGGAGGTTAGCAGTCCACCGCAGGAGATGGAAGACGACAACCCATCGGAACAGGATATGGACTACCTTTTTGAGCCACTACCGACGTATATCCTGTACCCACTGATCCAAGCCATGGGGAAGGAGAGTGTCTACCGTGCGTTCGATCGCTGTGAGCCCGTACGCGAGGAGTTCAACACACAGGTGAGAGACAAAGTATTGAACGACATGATGACATACGATGCGCCGGCGGGATACAATCCTCACGAGCAGACCGACTTCAGCAGCAAGTGGTGGTATCAATACATCAGCTCCGGGGCTCCCGTACAGTTCATCTTGGACGCCATTGACAGTGGGGACGAACAGGCCGTCAGACGCTGGCTCGACGGTGAGATGGTTGACAATAATGCCAACCCCGAGGATAGCTCCACGATGGCCAATCTCACCCTGCAGTTTGGCCAGCTTTCCGTTGCCAACCTCCTGCGAAGCCGTCGCGCCGAGGTCAATAATGGCTACCCGGGGAACATGACGGATCTGGATCACATCTTCTGGGATCCCTTCCTGCTGAAAATGGGGCGGCACGAACTGATGCGCGTTATGCAGCTGTTGATTGGTGTTGGAGAACATTTTACCCGCCTTGAAGTCATGGTTGCTCTGCTCCGGAACCCGGATGCCCGTCAGCTGCTGAGCAAAGCCGTTGTCAATGATCAGGGCATCCTGGATCTGAGGAACCGCACGGGGTACACGGTGCTCCACATGGCGGCAGGGTATGGCACTCTGGACTGCTGCCGTGATCTAGTCGAGCAGGCCCCCTGGCTGCTGACTGCTGAAAGCTGCGAAGGTGTCACTCCCCTGCATGTGGCAATAATCCAGGGCAATCAAGACACGGCACTGTATCTCATCGAAGGGGGGACGCTCCTGCAGAGATCCACGTTCTGTGTGTATACAGAAGCGTTCATGGCCTGTGTTATGAAGAAAAAGCGTGTTGTCCGCGAACTACTTCACGCACGACACTGGGACGCCTATAGCAAGGCTCAATGGGGGTCGGATGCACAGCTTGGATCCATCGTAAGCTACCGCTCTTACGACGATACGCTGGGAACGTGTATTGACGGTGCACTCGGAGAGCATAGAATGTAAGTGGTTCCGCGATCATGATTGATACATGTATGGGTGCTAACATTGGTCTTAGACACTGGCCCTCATACAGAAACCAGCTGGTTGCAAAGCTACGTGACATTGCTTACCACGGGATCCGCTTTGATCGGGGGAATTGGTGAATCGACGCCCGGTCCCCGAGTACGGTTCCACTTTGAAGCTTTTTTTTTTAGCCCCCGGCCATTGATATCGAAATCAGTAACTCCAATAGTTAGCTGTTCCTTTTCTTGTTGCTATCATAACTATTTTATGCAGACTTTCTGTCAAATTGCCACCGTCCGTTGGCCGATCAAAATTCCACCATCGTAGTCTGTAATCCCTCTACAATTGCCCCAACAGGGTCTGAGGCATTCCAACCTCCAGGAAGTCTCCAGTAATGCCGTAATACCCTAATGCCGTAATGCCCAGTTTGTACGAGGGCCACCCATCATAATTCTTACTATGAGTATACCACCCATAGAACGAAACAGCTGTAGCCATGAATCATTTTTTTTACATCCATCAAGTCAGCCTACCCGTCAACCGGCGCTTAACAGAGAGTGAACAGTAGGCTCCTAGTTGGTAGTTTGTGTTGAACCTAGTGCACCTCTATGACGAATGATGTCGAGACAACTTTTTAGCCTAGGGGAGGATACCGGGAAGCTTCCAACAGTTTGTCAGGTGTGTGACTGGACCAGTAGTGTAGATAGAATACGGAAACTACAGAGATAGAGCTGAAGTCGAGACTAAGAGGATATTGTTCATAAGAGTTGCCATCGACAACGGCGGAATCCAGGGAGACCAAAACGTAAGCAGTAAGACGGGAAAAGGAAGAAAAACAGCGCGTCTGGGCTCGGGAACTAATACGGTACGAAGCCCCGTTAGAAGAACCATCCAAACCCCCCTGTAGCCCTCATCACCACGCACTGCAGGTTTCTGAAGTTGATTATCACGCGCCGCGTTTGACGTACAGCATCAGAGTCCGAGGTACTTTCGGTTGAGATAGCCCAGGCCTGCAAAATGAGCACGCACACGATCATTGATACGACTTATTGTTGACAACGAACTAAAACCAAAGCGTAGAACAAACCGAAAGGTGACAACGAGACCAAGAGAGCGACAGAATAGAGAGGTAAGAAGAGCAGAGGAGTAAAAAGGGAGAAACAGACTTTTGACTGGTGGGCAAGGTTGAAATATGAAAGGAAGAACAGAAGATCGAACAACAGAAGACCTACCCTCCCCGGAATTACCTATCCGGGTCAACGTCTATAACAACTTCCGCCGGCATCAAAAGCTCCCTCCCAGATGGGTCATTCATTCCCCCACAGATATAAATAGCCGGTTTCATAACTGACAGAATCCGATGTCCTTCGAAACGCTTGCGTCGTGTGAACAAATTGTATCTGTAGGCCATTGCAAGGTTCGCGTCCTCGGAGGAAAACCGATTATTCAGGTTGTTCAGTGTCCCAAACTCCAAATGCTGAACATGCGACCAAGAGCGAAAGCTCATATCAGCCGCAAGTTGATAAACATGGTCGAGCGATTGCCGCCTCTGCGCGATGGGTTCTGGTCCCTCGAGAGGTTTGAGCATGGACTGTAGGAACTCCCCAGCCAAGACATGGTCACACATCGCGCTGGTCATGGCCTTTCGATGCGCAACTTCCTTGTCACCAAAGTCCTTACCACCCCAATCACTTCCCATCCAGGTGGGATCGGAGGGGTTGCAGAGACGCACGGCCCACATTCTCCAGGGTTGGGAATAGCGCTTGTTTTCTGGGAGGCAAGATTTGTCAGGACCTGCAAATTGGAAAGTTCCGATATGATGTGAAAGGGAAAGATTCATCTTACCTGGCTGTACGGTCTTCCAAAAGGCATAGAGATCGGCCCCGAAGGCAGTTGTTCCACGTCGCACTTCATCCATGTTGATGTTCTCACTGTCTGGCTGTATGTCAACGTACCAAAACGGGTTTGTGAAGAACCGGCCAATGATGTCCTTCATAAGCCAGGCATACACAAGAACGGACAGGTATATCTCGACAAATTGGCCAGGGAGGCCAGACTCAATAACATCCAGGTCATCCTGTACAATGAAGCCATCCAGATCAGCAACAAGCTTCCTTTTCTGGTCACTTGAAAGGATGTCAGTCGTCGGGTGGGCATAATTCCCAGTCCAACTAAAGAGGAAGAGAAGAACCGCCTCCATTGACTTTCCCAGAACGCCGACCGGTTGGACATTCCATCCCAGCGCACTTCCTTCGAGCCAATGATGCCTCGTCATAGTCTCGTCTCGCCAACGAAGCCAGGACTGAACTCTTCCTTCCAAAACCTCAATCTGTCTCCTCAAAGATTCATTTTCATCAGTTGCAGTTACTGTCAAGGTAGCCACAGTTGCATCAGTAACACCTGTCTCGGGTGTCTCCTTCCCCTTCGGTGGATTAGCAGTCGTCCTTGCCGAAGTCACCGCTGCCTTGTCAACGGCCCCCGTCTCCGATTTGTCTTTGCCTTTCGATGGATTCAGGCGGCTAGACCTTCGCGGCTCCGGTACGGGCGGCTTCGCTGCCTGTTGCTTTTTAGCAGGACGGGGACGTGAAGGTGACTTCTGCTATGTACTAGGGTATCAGCACGCATGACCTCTGTCACGACTGAGGAGGAGGGGCTTGGTATAGAGCCCGTGGACGGGCGCAACATACCTTGTTGGTTTGGCTGCGTTTCTTAGTTGACTTGGATGCTTTGCCTGCCATGATGAGCCAGAGCCGGTCTCAACGTGAAAAACAGAGGGAGTTTGTGGGGGGGGGGGGCTGAATGGGAATATGAGGGATGCGTTACAGCAAGTGATGATAGATAGTAGTAGTGGTGGTGGTGGTGGTGGTAGTATGTGTGCGCGGGTGCGGGTATTTGGAGGGAGAGGGAGGCACTTACTTACCTACCTATTCGGCACATGACTGTGGACAGACAGCACTCTGGCCCTTGGTCCTACTGCGTGTTTTTCCTTTGTTTTTCGTGCTTTCTTTTGTCCCATGTTTGGCTGCTAGTGTCTGCTCCGCCCGCCGCTTTGTCCCACCCCCGCCACAACGGTGTGTTTACTCGGTTCCCTTGGAAGTTTCAGAAAGACCCAGGCTATGGCGTTAGACTTTCCTTGGCAGCGCCCGGTAAACATCGCTGTCTATTGGAGACCCTGGGGGCAGAGTGAGCTCCAGGGAGACACCTGTAAGACACAACAGAGAAAGAGTAAACCCCACGATGCGTGAAACTCCATGAAATGCTGATTTCGGGAAGCGACCTCTGTCCAGATGATACAGTTGACGGAGAAGGGTACGCACGTGGACAGGGCGTAGCTGATATATAGCTGAGGCCTTTACGCTGTCTTCAAGAGGTGGCAATGAGTGCAATCAACCGCGTTGGTCTTCTTTATCTACAATATCACGCTTGATATCCGGGAACGGTGAAGTCCAAGAAAACCCCAAGCCCCGAACACCACCACCCCCACCACCATAACAACAATCATAAATCCGTTATATCATCATGCAGGAACCTGTCACAAAGGTGCTTGTGGCGTTGGACTATGGCACAACCTACACAGGTGATCACTCCATCCCCCTCCCCTCTATTGGACCCTGATACCATGAAGACAAAGAAGACAAAGCTGACGTAAAAAAGGGGTTGTGTACCGGGTCTGCAGGCAGACCCACAGTGACGAGAACGAAGTGATAACCTGGCCTCGCCCTGAAGAAACGACTATCACCTATCGCAAGGTTCCTACGATTACATGCTACACGCTCGGTCGCCTGCGACATCACGACCCCATTGTCTTGTGGGGCAACGAAGCCAGGAGAAGGGAGAATTCCTTCGCGTGGACAAAGCTGTTGTTGGATAACACCTTGGATCGATGGGACTACCTGGATGATACTCTGGAAGCCGCTACGCGCCTAGGGATTTTCAAAACTCCCAATGGCAAGGGAGCAGTCGATGTGGTCACAGACTACCTAACCATGGTACACGGACACGCATGGGCCCAACTTCGAGCCGAGATAGACGACATCGTCGACCATATTCCGGTCGAGTTGTACGTGACCTATCCCGCGCAGTGGTCGGGCCCAGCAATCGACGCGACTTTGGGCGCAGCCCGAAGGGCTGGATTTCAATCCAAGCCTGGGGACTCGATTTTTGGGCTATCCGAGCCGATGGCGGCCGCGAGGACTGTTTTTGACCAGTTCCCCCACGTTCTCAAGGTCAGTATTAACACGTTCCCATCTTTGTGACAGACGAACATTCCTGATCCAAGGTCGCATGAATAGGAAGGTGACATGATGTTGGTGTGTGATGCCGGAGGCGGCACAGTAGTAAGTCTTTCCATCTTCTTGCCTGCGTACCATCTGAGTTTCGCTCACTGTGCTGCAGGATCTAGGGGCCTATCAGGCATGCGATGCTGAGCCCCATCTCTATATGCGAGAGCTTACCACCGCACGAGGTAAACCGCGTGATGTCTGTCTTTGGCATAGTCTCGACTGACCACCTACAGGGGCCCGGTGTGGAAGCACGGCCGTGGATAGCAGGTTCTACGCGCTCATGGAGCAAAGATTTCAACGATCGTTCTCCCAATTGCCCCTGCAGCATGTTGGCCCCGGTAGTCCGCTGATGGAGAGATTCGAGTTGTACAAATCTCAGGTATCATTGGATACGGCCTCGGGACACCTGTTTTATCTGCCCTTAAACCGGTTGCTGCATAATGCGGACCCTGCCCATTACCGGGCTGAGAGCCGGCATATTGTGATTAGTGCCGGCGACATGCGCAGTCTGCTACAACCCGTGGTGGGCCGGATCCTGGCTCTCCTGTTTCAGCAGTATCGGGAAGCCAAGGAAATGTGCCGCGCTGATGCCGTGGTAAGATTGCCGGTTGCGGCTTACAATCCGGGTGTCATGGGCTGACGTTGAGTATAGCATATCTTCCTCGTAGGCGGGTTTAGTAGGTGTTGCTACCTCCAAGAATCTGTCCGCAGGCACTTTCGAGACCAGGCAACGGTCACAGTTCTCAATGAGCCGTACAGTCAACCCCCCACCCCCTTCTTAGACATGCTCTCAGGGGACTGACCCTTCTCAGAGAATTGGCCGTTGTACGTGGCGCTCTCCTCTATGGCTGTCGGCGTGGACCGCCCTTGAAGATCAAGTGCCCACGATGGTATGGCTTCGGAAACCCCCACGATTGGTTCTTCGCGAAGGTATGCCGACTCTTCCTTTCTTTCTAATCCTTCCTCTTCAGTCACTGACATTGAACCACCCACAGGGGACACATTACGCGGATGGAGATCAAGTCCGCAGAGCGTTCACTCATTTCTACGGCGAGGGTGAGCCATTTGTGGCCACAAATTACATACACGCCTGCGAAGAACCAGCGGACCCGGCCACCATGAAGAGCTCTTGTAAGTCAGCTTTCCAGTTCACAGTAACCCGCGACTGACGACCCCAGTGCTCCAGCTGAACCTCGAAACTATCGACATGAGACCCCTTCAACCTCTGATTGTGGATGGCCGTACGAGGCTTCGGGTGGCCTATACCGTCCAATTTACCTTTCTAGGGACCGAAGGCAGAATTGCCGTCCAGGCCGAGGCCTACGGACGCCTCATTGCGGAAACGTCCTTTCCAATCAGAAGGTGAATGACTGCGTGGATTTCCCGGCTCCTATTTCCTTACTGCTTCTACCGGTTGGTCCCTGAGAATGATATTATTTTCTTTTTTTTTTGCAATTGGATAGATAGCTTGACCTTTTGTTTAATGTTACTGGAGTTCGTCTTGGTGTTTCTGTCGGTGTGAGCGAAAGTAGCACTCGTAGTGATTGAGCATCCGAATGTCTGTCCTCTCTCGCGGGTCTAGACCGCTCCAGATGCTAGAGTAGAGTGTCTACCTAGATACTATTGACGTGGTCCTATCATTCTGTCATACCCTGTCTCCCCAACCACTGTCGACGACCCTTCTCCAACTCAACTGCCGCGGACATGGAGAAAACCCGAAGATCAAACCAGGAAACATACGGAGATGATGATTGAACAAGCGAAGGAGACAAAAGGGGGGAAAACAAGGCTCCGGGTGGAGCGTTGCAGAGCAGAATAGCAACCCAGTCAGCCCCAGCTCCAGAGTGACGGATCTATCTGTTGGCGCGGGGTCGATCGGGAGAACTGAAGGGAGCGATCGATCGCAGACGATGACGCAACCGCATCCAAACGAGCTTCAAACAGAGTGCAATAGTCGACAGCCCTGTGCGACCCCGCGGACGGCTCCCGTTCGTTCGGGGAGGGGGGGAGTCGGCGATGTTTCGGACTTCGTATCTGCAATTAGCCATGCACCGGAGATCGCTTGGGAGGGAGAAGAAGGGGGGTCTGGCATTGCGCCCCATCTGAAAGAGAAGAGGTTCAGAATACAAGATAGAACTGATGCATGAAGCACGAATATTGGAGATGCGGTGGATTTTCCGGTGAGGCCGCGCTTCACCTCGCCGCGATCGGAGCCACCTGATTGGCGGTGCTGCGGCTCCGCTGAGTCAGCTTCGGAAGACGGATCGGGCCTTCCGGGGCTCTGCGATTGGCTGGCGGGGGTCACCGGATCCGAGAAGTCCTAACATCCAGCTCAATAATGGCAAGGCAGAGGGGGGCAACCTGCACAGGCAGGAGGCGAAGGGGGGAAGCAACGGCGGTGATTCTTTCTACCCGGTGCCACTTTCCCGATCCCCATTCTGTTTGGTGAGGTCTTGCCAGCGACAAGCACATTTCATCCGTCGGCCAGACAGCAGGACAAGAACCCCGGAAGCGAGAGTCCAGGCCCGGCCCGGAAGATGACAGGCGGTCCCGAGTGCTGAAAGCAGGGGAGGCGGTCAGGGAATGGTCTAGCCCGTGTGGGGATGGGGGATGGGGGAGGATGGTCAACCTCTCGTCGCCACACGTGTATTGGCGTCTGGTTTGCAGTTTGCAGGCAATAATCGATGCTGAGTACTCTGGACTGACACAGCCATACCCAGTAGTTAACTGGTTAATGCCCTGCTAGGCTGCCACGGAGCAGACTAGAGGATAGTTTCTGGAACAGAAACTCCGGAGTAAACACGCCCAGGCAATCATCATGAATCGCAACCCGGCACCAATCCCACGGGGGCAAAAAAGCCACCTTCTGGAGGGTTATCCCCATTCCAAACCGGGGAATTAGTGGAGCACGCACAGCACAAATTCTAGAACCGGCATAGCAGTAGCGCCCAGGGGACGAGGGTGAATTTTTCTGGCCGCCGCCTGGTATTTCTACGGACGGTGAATCCTCGCAGTCACAAGTTGTCCCTTGTTCCTCCTGGAAATGAACGCCGAGTGAGTGATTTGGGTGCCAGCAGAACATTCGACAACCCGGCCAACTCAGGGGCTCCCACCCGCTTTCCGCCTCCTCCCGGCCATGTCGGCCCAACAGAAACATGTCTACGACATCCAGGAGCTGCCGCCGGATCGGCGCATGCTCTGTGGGCGACAGCATCGCAGGGGGCTCTACGCCGTGGCCCAGGCCGCGATATGGAGCTTCAACCTCTACTTTGTGGTGCGCCTGACGCTGTGTTTCTCGTCTCCGAACCCCAGCTGGCGGATCTGGGCCACACTGCTGGTGGAAGCCGTGCTCGCGCGTAAGGCCTGATGTTCAACCTGTGTTATTGGGGGCCAGACTAACCGAACCGGCCATCAGACATGTCTCGTCACGACCAGCGACTCACGGTGGCTGCTGGGGACGGGGCAGGCGAGCAGCCACGCCAACGACTGCGACTGCAGGGGACGCAGGATCTCCCCCGGGTTGATGTGCTGGTGCCGTGCTGCGGGGAGCCGGTGGAGGTGATCGTCGACACGGTGCGGGCTGCGTGCACGATGGAGTACCCGCGCTCGCGCCTCCGGGTGCGCGTGCTGGACGACGGGGCCTCGGCCGCGCTGGAGGCGGCGGTTGCTGCCCTGCGCCCGCAGTGGCCGCATCTGTTCTACCACACGCGGGGCAAGCAGTCCGGCAAGGTCTTCGCCAAAGCCGGCAACCTCAACTACGCGCTCTCCACGCTGCAGGCCCAGGACGAGGTCCAACCCGACTTCTGCGCCGTCTTCGACGCCGACTCCATCCCCATGCCCGACTTCCTCCGCGCCACCCTGCCCCATCTGCTGCGCAACCCCCAGACGGCCCTGCTCACCACCCGCCAGTACTTCCTGAACCTGCCGGCCGGCGACCCGCTCTCCCAGTCGCGCCTGCACTTCTACGCCTGCGAGAACGCCGAGCTGGACGTCGGTGGCCGGGCGCGCGACGCCGGCTCAGGCGCCCTCTTCCGCCGCGCGGTCATCCTCGAGGCCGGCGGCTATCCCACGTATTCCTTCTCCGAGGACTGGCAGCTGTCGCTGGTGCTGCAGGGCCTGGGCCATCCCACCATCCAGATCCAGGAACCGCTGCAGTACGGCCTGGTCCCGACCTCGCTGGACGGTCACATCGCCCAGCGCAGCCGCTGGCACATCGGCCACTCCCAGCAGATCCGTGCCCTCTTCCCCCCCACCAGCCACTCCCTCCCCAGGCCGCTGCAGTGGAGCATCGCATGGAACGGCACCTCCATCCTGGCCCGGTCGCTGGGCTGTCTGCTGGCGTTCGCGCTGGTCCCGCTCCTGCTCGCCTCCGGGGGGGCTCTGATCCCCGTGGCCTCGCCCGTGCTGGTCCAAACCCAGCTTCTCCTGGCAGTGCTTCACGTCGCCTTGACGTGGGCATACGGATGTCTGCAATCCGCGCACACGGGCTTCCAGACCTCGCCGTTTGCGCATGTCGAGAACACCTGGCTGGCCGGAGGTACGCCTGCTCCCCCTCCCCGTGCCCTAACCCCCGTCCCCCCTGACGACTAACCCACCTGTAGCCCAACTCCACGCCGTCCTCCGATTCCACCTCTTCGCCAGCCGACCCAAGGGCTCCTTCGTCACCGGAAGCAGCGCCAACGCCTGGAACCGCTCCTCCGCCCCGTCCGCCCTCCAGCAGCTGTGCCACAACCTCTGGCACAACGGCATCGCATACAGCGTCCTCCTCCTGCTCGCGACCCTCGGCGCCGTCGCCTTCTCCATATGGTCCACCCTCACCGCCACCGACTCCGACCCGCTCCTGCGGCTGTTGACCACGGTCGCATGGCCCCCGATGCTGCACATCCTCTACCTCGCCGTCATCAGCTACTGGGCGCCCGTGTCCTATTTGCTGAACCCCCCGCGATATCCGGATCGAAAGGCCGGGTTGGCGCTCTCTCCGTCCGGCGTGGCGTTCCCGACTCGCGAGATCCAGGAGGGCGTTCAGCCGCAGGGCAAGCCATCGGTCGGATTCTATCGCCACTGTATACTGGCTACTCTTGTCCTGGTGGTTTTGTTGGGAGCTGGGCTGATGTTGTAAGGTGGAAGATGGGGGGGTTAGATAGCGTGCGTAGCCTGAGGTTTATTTCTGCGTATGCCATACCTTCATAGACGACGCATCCTTTTATCGCTGTTCTCTTTCAGGTGTCTGCAAGTCGTATATGTACCTTTCTTTATCCCGATGCCCAGAAATCATTGTCCACCCAACGCGCCCGACAAAGGCCCCTCTTGGTACCATGGTGCTACCCCGACGAAGCATCCTCTAGACCGGCTTGGGTAGTTCTGCCCCCCACACAGGATATACAGACCACCAAACGGAGGTTTCTAATGTCGCACAGCATAAACCCAGCCACATTATAACACGCGCATAAGGAAAAAAGAAAGAAAAGAAAAGCAAATAAAGTCAAAAAAGCAAGTACAAAACCGTATTGTAATACCGTATCTCAATACCGTCATAAGCGACACAAGAATACCCCCCCGAGGCACCACCAATATAATCCCACCACCGTCACACAAACCAGCCGTGTGCCACCGGCTCCACCACTTACTACTGTATTGTATTACTAGAGTAATATCAAAGCTGTCAGCTCTCATCCAAACAAGCTTCCCTGCAGAAAACCACATGCATGTTCCTGCATGCCGCGAACCCCGGTCCGACTCCGACTCTGACTTGACTGCTGCCCACCCACGCTGTGAAACAATGTCTCGGCCCCTCGGATGGCCATCGCGTGCGTTTGCAGCCTGCCAGTGGGCTGGCTGGTCGTGGGCCAGGGTGTTGGGAAAGCTTAATCTGACATGTTCTCGTGCGACGGGCATAGATGGATGGATGGATGGATGGATGGGTTTAAATTGGCGATGCGCCCTGCACCAGCTTCGCTCGGGTTGGTTATGCTGCGGGTTGATTGTGCTTTGTGTTAGTATGGAGATTATCTGCATTGTTATTTATTCAAGTTGAGGATGAAGTTGGAGTTTTATGATGGAGATCTTTTCATTGATTGTACTTGGGTATTCTGAGCACTCTCGGCTACAATAGTATGGCCTGCATGAATCTCGCACCAGGTCGACCAGTCCCCGTCGCCTATGACACTTTTCTTTGCCTTGTAAACCCTCGCAACTTTATCTTATGTGTGGCATTCATGCCTTGCGCTATTGAACTTACTTCCAGGCTGATAATCACAAGGTGGGTTGCTCAAACTTTAATAGCGCAAATATATATTTCTCTGCGCGCGATCAGAGACGCATCCTTCCCTCAAAGCTCCGGTCCGAGCTATCCGGACTACATGAACATCAGCTGATTTATCACTAACTGTCATGACAAAGGCATTCAGACTTTGTCGCCACAGACTGAAATGCGGTTCGGGTCGGAACCAAGACACGGCAGACGCCCATGGAAATATCCCCCGGCTTACGGGTACGACTTCATCCGCCGTCGACCATGGATGAGGATGCGAGTTTGCGCTGGTTGGTTCTGTCATAGGTGTTGAAGTGGCGCACGTGGAAATCCTGCAGGGAAAACAGCCGCTGCACTGCGCAAAGCCTCCCCTGATACTTGGCTGGGTGGAATGCCATGATACAGACCAAAGCCCCAAGGCATGCACATGCACGGCAATAATGCACAACACCCACCGCACAATCATCCAACGCACAAATCCCCAGAAAACACATCCCAATGCCGTCTATCCGTCCCATCCATCAATACCCACCCACACGCACCATAAACATCCAACCCGTCCCTGCATGCCACCCGCCCGCCGCATGATGATGATGATGATGATGATGCATCCGCGCGGCACCATCCGCCATCGGCCCTGAACCATCCCCGCGGCGCAGAATCGGCCAGACTTTATCTCCTGATCGCCCATCCTCACTGGCCGCTCAATTCCAGCGACAGAAAAGTTTTGCAAAGATTTTTCCAGATCCAGACGCCTTCTGCATCTCGGCAAACCCGCCCCACAGATCTGGGGGCCCTGATTTTGCCGAGCGGGCCCTCCACGCCCGCCTGCCAGCCCGCGTGCCGTCCGAACCCGAGCGCAGCCCTAACCGGGAGGTCCGAGGCCGAGGTCAAAATGGTTCCGTTTCGAACTTCTGCTCGTCGTCTGAGATGTGGATGGTTTTCTTATCTTTCTTCTGACAGCACCGACACGATATGATATGATATGATATGATATGATATGCAGCCGATAATACAAACTCAATCCAGTCACTTCGCATCCAAAATGGTCGTCTCTTATCTCCCCGAATATGAGCAGGAGGAACACGACCACCACCTTCATCATCGCAGCCACAGCCACAGTCACAACCACCATGGCCTCGAGCCCGTCATCCCGCCCTTCGCGGGCCGCGTCGGCGGAAACCAGGACTTCGTCGTCGACCGGAGTGATCCCAAGAACTCGAAAGTGCTTGAGAGAGTGCCCGACGCGGCGCCCTGGATGTCGTTAGCCGAGATCTTCGACCTCCGCGGCTTTCTCAGTTTGGATTTATGGAAGTTTGCTGTCCTGGAATGTATCGGTAATCACCCCTCAACCTACGACCCATCCATCCCCCTGCAACACCACTAACACCGCCCCAGCAAGCATGCTAAACACCTTCCTCACTGCCTGGGTAACAACCCACCCCCTCTCGGCCACCACCTCCCCCACGACCCCCTCAGGCATCTACAGCACCGTCACCTTCTTCTCCCCGACCTTCGGCGGACTCACCAACCTCCTCCTCACCCCTCTCCTCATCTACACCTTCTCGCCCTCCAGCGGCGGCCACATCAGCCCGACCATCACGCTCTCGACCTTCTTCGCGCGCATCATCTCCTTCCCGCGCATGGTCCTCTACCTCGCCGGCCAGACCCTCGGCGGGGCGCTCGCCGGCTTCGCGCTCCGCGCCGCCTACGGCACGCGCGCCTTCACCGTCGGCGGATGCCACATCGATACCACCATGGTGCCGGTGCGCGACGCCCTGGTGATTGAGTTTTTCGCCTGCGTGATTCTCATTTTTCTCGCGTTCGGGGTTGCCTTGGATCCGCGCCAGGCGAGGGTGTTTGGGCAGGCCGTCGCACCGTGGTTGGTCGGTGTCGTCGTGGGGGTTGTTACTTGGGGGACGGCGTGGACCAGGGAGGGGTATATTGGGGCGAGTAAGTCCGAGGTCTCTTTTTTTTTTTTTTTTTACTGGGGCTTCCTTATCAGAGAGTCATCTCTTTGTTGGGTGGTGTGGGTGGTGTGAATGTGGGGGCGTGCTGTGCTAATGATGTGGTGCTCGTGGTAGGTGTTAATCCGGCGAGGTGTTTCGGGGTTTATGTTGCCAGTGGGTTTCCGAGCTATCATTGGATTCATTGGGTGGGTTTCCCGTGTTTTGATCCCATGAGGGAGGTGAGAAGGCTGGCTTGTTGATGCTGATTGATGATCGTGCAGGTTGGGCCGTTGGCTGCCGCGGTGGCGCATGGGTTGGTGTATTTCGTGGATCCGCTTTGGAAGGATCCCAGGGCAGAGTAGGAGTAGGAGTAGGGGAAGGGAGGGTGGAGTTGGTTTGTATATAGCGTGGATTGGGTTATAGAATGTACGATATAGGGGTTTCTTGCTTTCTTTCGGTTTCTCGATGAAGGGGTGGTGGTGCACCTTTTGCTGCGGACAGTGTCCATGATGAACCATGATGAACCATGATGAACTACACAGAAGCTCATTCTGACAACCCCCCCCCCCCCCCCCCCCAGCTGCATCCATGCTACTTACTGACCAGCAGAACAGCATTTCCCATCCACCGCCGACAGCCGACAATAGCACGAGGTGGTGATGGGCACATCGGCCGACCCAATGGCAACATCCCTCTGCACCTCGACACACCTGGCCTCGTCGACCTTGCCCAACGCCACCAAACACTCATGCAACCCATGCAACCCCCACACATTATTCAACCGGCCCTTCCGCCGCGGGAATCCCTCCGCCATGCCGACATCTTCGCGAAACACCCTCTCCGCCTCGCCCACGCGCTTCTGCTCCAGCAACAGGCCCCCCAACGCATGTCTCACGGGCAACATCCACGCGGGCGGATCGCAATACGGCAACGCATCCTCCAACTCGACGCCCTTCCGCAGCGCCGCAAACGCGACCTCAAAGTTCCCCTTCCGATACTCCAACTCCCCCGTCAACATCTGCGACGCGACCGCCAAAACCTCCACCTCGCGCACAGGCAGACTGTTGATCCTCGAATCCGGCACCTTCCGCCTGGCCGCCTCAAACGTCTCCCTCGCCTCCTCCGCCTCGCCCACCCTCCCCAACGCACTCAACGCAATCGCCCTCGCGTACAGAATATTCGCCGTCTTCGTACAATACAACTCGCGCGTCTCCTCCGCCGGCAACTCCAACGCCAGAATCTCCTCCCACCGCCCAAACCGCACCAGCACATGCGCGATGTTCCCGAGGAAACTCTCCGTCCAATCCGCCATCGGCGGACTCGTCGTCGTCAGCACCTTCAGATCAATCACCTCCTCCAGCTTCTGCGCCGCCGAGACCGCCTCCTCCGACCGCCCCGATATAAACGCCGAGTACAGCTTCGCCATGATATTATGCACCCGGTACGCCACATACAGCGCGGACCCGCTCATCGACGCAAAATACTTGTCGTCCGCCTCGATCGCCTCCTGGTTCGAGTCGATCGACCGCCGGTAGTCGCCCACCGCCATGTCGATGTGCGTCGGCATGTGCAGCATATGCGACGCGTCCGGCGCTAGCCGCCGCAGTCGGTCCGCGGCTGGCAGCGCGATCTCCGGGTACGGCGACATCTCCATGAGATGGATGTAGAGGTGGCAGAGCGCGGGGTGGTGGCGGCCGGAGGGTTGCGCGAGGGCCTTCTCGATCACCGCCCGCGCCTCGACCGTGTGCGGCCCGCTGGGTTCCCCTGTCTCGAGGTTCCAGAGCGCGCGTGGGCTGATGCACATGAGCGCTTCGACGAAGAGCGCGGCGATGTCCATGTCGTTCGGGTGGGCGTGGTAGACGGGCCGCATGGCGTCCGCGTACGCGTGGTCGTACGGCTTCATGTCGGCCGGGGAGGGGATCTTGTCGAGGGCGGGGAAGCGGGCCAGCAGCGCGGTTTGGAGGGTCTGTTCGAGGGGCGTGGCTGGGGTGTTGCTGGCATTGGCGTAGAAGGTCGATTGCGCGAGTGCCTCGTGGGCCTTTTCAACGCTGGTGCGCAGGTCGGCCGGGTCGAAGAAACTCCATGCTTTGTTGTAGTTCGGCCCGATGGCGTAGGCGATCCCCCAGTGCGCCAGCGTGCAGGTCGCGTCGTATTCGGTCGCCCGGGTGAAGCATTGGACGGCTTGTTCGTGGTTGAAGGAGAAGGCCCACAGCAGGCCCCGGTCGAACCAGAGCTGGGCGTCTGGGGAGGTGGTCGTGATGGGTCGGCGGTGGGTGCCCAGGTTGTAGTCGTAGGGCGGCGGGAGAGGAGGGGAGGAGGGGTGGGGGGTTCTTGTGTGGGTGTGGACTCGGTCATGGTGAGGAGGGATTAGATGGAGAGGAGAGGAGAGGAGGGGAGGACAAGGGGGATACAGAGATGAAGGGGACAGAATAGTACGATGGATGATGATGGCCTGGAGATCCAGGCGGATAATAAAGCAGCGGAAAGCGGGGTAGCCAGCCAGCTACGTAAGGCATCGGCCATGGCACTTTCTGTCCCCGCCCCGATTGGCGGCCGGTCGCCGTCTGTGTGTTGGTTCCGCCCCGCGCTTCGTTCGCCGATCGCCCGCCCGTTCGCCGATTGAGGCCTCGGCCGGGAGATAGAGAGATATATATCCAGTCGATCGAGGCCAAGATAGCATCAATCACTACGTAAGTAGCGATATCCTGCTGGAATAGGGGTATCTGAATGAATATCCTCCAGGTTGGTGACTCTTAAGTTCCAGACACGGCATTCCCATAAACATTCGCCAAGACCCACCTTAATGGTGTGCTCTATCTAGCCTCCATGCTACGAAGAAAGCCCATCCGATATCGCTTGCTTTACACAAGACTTCTTTTGTTGCACATATGTATCCAGACCACCGGAAGTACTCCATGCCTCTCAGCTACTCACCACCATCTAGATTCTAGTCCATCGTCGCCGATTCATCATATCATATCTGCCAGGACGCCCCTCTGCCCCCCCTCCCCCAGATCAACCTCTCACTGTCTGCCAGGTATCTCGATGGACACGCCAAATGAATAGAATACTTTCGTGGTATTCTGGCCGTCATACACCCGATCGAGTTTCAGATCAAGACTGGACTTGCAAACCTGAACGGAGCGGGAAAAACAACAACAGCCAATTAATTTACTACGCTTGGGCAAGAGCGGTCCTTCTTGTGAGCCTTTCTTGAGTACTGCAGTTGAAACATTACTCATCAAATTGGCTGGATGGTGTAGTTGGTTATCACGTATGCTTCACACGCATAAGGTCCTGGGATCGAGCCCCAGTCTAGTCATTTTTTGTTTTTTTCTTTTTAGTTTTGGTGGTAGTGTGCCGCATTGGTGGAGCGAGCGGGGCCTGGCGTGCCTAGCAGGACTAAGGCGGGACCCGGGAGGGACAATGGAGTACATACAGGTTAAGTTAATTCTCTCTGAAAAAAAAAAAAAAAAAAAAAAAAAAAGCACGTGATGGAAACCAAATCTTATTCTATATTCTATTCCTTACTCGGTCTCTGGGTAGTGACAATCCTACTTTCAGGTGGTTAACACACCGGTTAAGGAAATTTATTGGAGTGACTGATGGTTATTCTAACTTGAAGTATTATATTCTGTGCACATTGTCATTTGCATCTTAGATATATATCTAAGAAGAAATTTTGGCTCGTAACGTCTCCATACTTCAACGGAGGTATGTCCTAGGGTGTTGGGGTATTGGTAGTAAACCATCTACTTATCATAGTTTTTTTCCAAGATCTTCAATCGTTGCGCCTTTACCTGTCCCCGAAACAGGAATGGAATTAAATACCAGAGCCATAGACCCGACCCGTAAGAAGGAAGAAGAAGCAGGAGGCAAAAAGAATAAAATAAAGAAAAATGCCATTATGGGAATCGATCAACGGAAGTCGAACCACAGACTAACAGGATACATATGAAATGGTGTTCCCTAAAGTCTATTTGTTCAGAGCTTTTTTTTCAGAAGTGGTCTGTGGGGAAGGGATATACATAAGACAAGATATACAAAAAGGCACTATACACCCCCCCGCCGCCCTTCCCCTTGATTGACATCGACAGATTACACGGAATATGTCCAATCGAGCGACTACGAATCAGAACTGGTGCCACTTCTCTGCATGCAATCTAGTGTCATGTCATGGTATGACTCGTGTCCAGAGAATGTGAATATAAGGCAGAGATGTTACTATCATTCGTTAATTGCAACGGACTGCTACATACACAGCTTGCTTTGCTTTCCTCATCCATGCCCCTCCTCCCCTGCGGCCCTTCATTCTCATCAAGAAGCTCACTAGGCAATGCTATAAACCACCTATTCCTCATCCTCCCTCTTCTCCACAGTCCTAAGAATCGCAGACTAGAGGATCTCATCATCGCGTTTCTCGCGGATAATCATCAGATCATAGATACTAAGATCATCGTCACGCTTCTCAGCCGTCTTCACCAAAGGGGTATCCACGTCATCATCATCGCGCTTCTCGCGGATAATCATCAGATCATAGATACTAAGATCATCGTCGCGCTTCTCAGCCGTCTTCACCAAAGGGGCATCCACGTCATCATCATCGCGCTTCTCGCGGATAATCATCTTATTATAGATACTAAGATCTTCGTCGCGCTTTTCGGCGGTGCGGAGGAGGGCGGAGTAGATGATCTCGTCGTCACGCTTCTCCTCGGTGCGCAGAGTATCGGGACGGTAGACGTCCTCGTCGCGCTTGGTCAGGGCTGCGGTGTCTGTAGGAAATGAAAGTTATTGACTGGAACCTGACAGAAACCGGTAGACGAAGGGAGCCGCTGGGGGAATACCTTGAATAGGGGCACCGAGGGCCAGGGCAGCCAGAAGGCCCAGGGAGATGGATTGAACAGCAAGAAGACGCATGGTTCTCGAGATCTGAGTTATATATACACTGGAAATATTTCAAGTGATTCTATACTGTCTGTCCGATTTATTCCAGCCTGGGTACAGGACTTACTGGGGGTTTTATAGTGAACAAAGGAGGGGGGGGGGAGGAGAAGCTCGCGCAGCGCTCACACCGATCCCGTCATCATCCATGGTGGTGATGTCGGATAATCGAAGAATGAAGACCGCGTCAAAGATTACCCAAAATGACATAGTGTCTGGGTGTGCAGAAGGAGACGGCCGAGATAGCCACCCGTCTTACGGAGTATCGATGAAGGATTCGCACGCACTGACCACAAGGCGGAGATTCGTCACGACACTGCCAGTGTGATTGGATGCGGGAAATAGACTAAGATCTCACGGAACATCTGGCGTGGCGTGGCATTGGTCGGGTGGATCTCAGCTGTATGCAGCCTTGGGGTTGGTTATCGTGATGTGCTTTCTGGTGTCCGGTCTCCGACGGGGAAGTCAGACAGGAGAAATGCAGAGACCGAGTGTGTAGCCACGAGGGGCCAATTGTCATCGTCGTCTTGGATACCTCGCCGAGCAGGCGACCGGAGAAGCAGATTCAGATTGGTCGGGTCGTCTGGATAAGCAACGGATGAGGGCGACTATCCGCCTGGGGTCTCCGCTCGGCCCCCGAGGCATCATACATATGAAGGATGGAATACACGAGAGTCAGTTAGATTGACTTCGGCTTAAGTATCTGCCACCTTGAAGATAACGCATCGGTATCAACCCCGCTGCGGAGCATCTTCGCCCGATACTCTTGTCGGCAGTCAGCATATAGTCCACCGGTCATGCTCAGTGATACAGAAATATGCACACGGCTAGTCTCGGATATCCACGTTGAGGGCAATCCACCAGGATAAGAAAGATCTCGGCCGGAGAGGCATCATTGGTTTTGAATTGATCACATCATAGCAGCCCGATTATCCTCAGCTTATCCGGAATTCATCCAGCCGCTCCGGCCATATCGACGTGGGCCTCTGGTAGCCTTGCCAGATAAGACACCATCGCGGCTCCAGAGGTGATTCTCTCCTTTACTTTTGCTCACCCGAGACAGCATACATCCCTGACATCGACATGGCGGACTTTGAAGACGAAATCTCCCGAGGGTCTGGTAGTCTGGAGGATGAAGAGAAGACATCATTTCTGCCGCGCCAGCTTCGTAGAGGCTGGACGAAGCCCAGCGATCAACGGCAGCCATGGCTGTGGACGCTGCTTCTTCTGAATGTGCTGGTGCTGCTTTGCTCCCTGGTCACGCTGTTCGTGGCATTCAGTCTTCGCTCCGGCCCAAGTGTTGGAACCGAGAGAAATGCACTGCTGAAGCAAACCTCCGCGTACTGTATGCCATCCCCCCTTGCCCATCACTGTTGTCCTGTATACCTGCGCTCTGGAGAAACCCCATTCATTATACCCCATCCACGCCCTGCCCTAGCTGACACCCACAGCGCCCATCCTCGACGAATTCGACATCCCCCTCAAGCTCGTGCAGAGCAAACTGGACTTCTTCGACAACTCCTCCATCTTCTCGCAGCTCCCTAGCCCCGAAGTCGACGAAGCGTGGGAGAAGATCGCCCCCGCGAAACGCGTCTACCTGACAACCGAGCAAGTCATCAAGCTAGGCAAAGACCCCGCCCTGACGGTGCGCGCCAACAACCACCCGGACCGGCACATCGGTGTGCTCAACGGCATGCACGAGCTGCACTGTCTGAACGAGATCCGTCGGAACCTGCACCGCGACTACTACTGGCCCGATGGCATCCGGAGTCCCACCCACTGGATCCATCTCTACCACTGCGTGGATGCGATCAAGCAGGCGCTGACCTGCAGCGGGAACGTGGACGTGGTGACCTTCAACTGGATGGAGATGGTGCAGGAGCCGTTCTTTGATTTCTCGGTTAATCGCGTGTGTCGGGATTTTGATCGCATTCTGGAGTGGCAGACGGAGAATCTGGGGCCCCTGGAGACCGATGCCTGGAAGGTCGGCGGGGAGGTCGAGATCCCGGCGCCGCCGACGTTGAGGGCAATGAATGCCCAGGATTCGGAGGCGAGAGTGTTTACTCATGATGATCCGGCGTTGACGGGGACGATTGGTGTGTAGTTTGATGATAGGGTCAGGAAATCTAGAAATAAATGTCGTGTTATGGGGTTTTACCTGGGAGAGGATGAGACAGGCGTAGAGTAGGCGCTGCAGTTGATGGATTAAGAGTCTCTGCATGGTCAGGAGACCTGATCGCCATAAAGCGTTGAAAAAGGCCGTATGGACAGTTGATGGAGATCGCCCAGGAGACAGGAAATGTCAACAAAGATACGGCGTGCACAGATGGCTGAGAAGACCGATTTTCGAGACAAGTGAAGTGAATTAAACATTCGCTCCCTTGACCCTCATACTGACCGCCCGCGTGTTCATGAAGTTCCAGGGTGTGTAGCTGTTAGAATATGCTGTGTCCAGCCAAGAAGCTGTTTAAAGATGGGGGTGTCGCAAAAGCAAGAGCTCCGCGGGTAAATATAACCACACCGAATCCACATCGGGGCAGGGGTGTTACGGGATCGACAATCTTCTTATGAAAAGCCAAAGATCTACTCTCATGAAGTGAAATGCACGACAAAGTCAGAAAATCATCCACGAGTTGATCATTTCGTCTGGTTCTGGCCATTTCTGTCAACCTCTTCATGCAAAAACCATGTACAGAAAATCTCAGGATACATCAAGCGGCGCATGACAGAAGTAGAGTAGTCGATGCGCCTACGAGCCTCAAATGAAGGCGTGGAACTTCTCTTTCTCGCACGATGGCCATGACAATATCTGGGAGAAACATGATTTCCAGGCCATAAAGTATACCCCACCCTGTTCAGAAAACTTCATGTCTGATGTAAAAGGAATTCCTACTCTGCATCTATTTACATTTATCCCCCCGGATTCAACCATTCTTCCTCAACTCCACCCCCTATAAGGCTTGCAGATATCAAGTACCCAGTGCTTCCTACATAGTTTGCATACATCCTTGGCCACCACACCAACCCGTCAATTAATAACCTAAATCAACCGCCCAAATCCTCCCCCGGCCCTCCTCCCTATTCTAAACCGACGAACCAACCACCCACTCCCCCTCCAAAAAAGAGTGGACCCTCCACGCGGAGTACTTACTGACACAGTAGATAGATATTCCGTACTTAGACAGTCCCTCCAAAGTCCAAATTCCAAATCCCCATCCTGCACACGGCACGCCAAAAAGCCAAACCAAATGCCGAATCCCGCAGGATCCGGACGCAACACCACCGCAAAGCCCCATTTTCCCACAGGTATTTTTGCATTGGAACTGCGCAGTACGGAGGACAAAACCCCCGAAACCAATAATAAACAGACAAAGGGAGGATATACTTCCCGACTCCCGCCCAACAAGGACAACAGACTTTTCTGCGCCCGATGTGGCTTGCGCGCGAGATTCGATCGATCCATTTGACGATGTATGCAGTGGGGGACTATGTACGGATCCAATCGATGAGAAAAAGGTACATGGAGGAGGGGGGAAGGTTGCCGCTGACATGAAATTGATTGAAGTTTGAACTTATCTAAGAGTAACAGTCTAGGAGCGATGAACAGATAGAAATATAAAAAGTGAACAAAGAACCAGTGGCTAAGTGAATTCTCGGCAAATGCCTAGACAGGTATAGATAGAGACTAGAAACCAAGCAGCGAAGCAAGTGTAGACCCAAGTCAGCGCCCAGAGCACAATGCACATAGCATGCATGCCCAGAGCACTTGCCTAGGTAGCATATACCCCCCCCCCGGCAATGCTAATATAAGATAATTTCATTTTGTCCGACCGACCGACCGACCGAGAACACAGTAGTGACCATTAGCTCAGCTTAGCTTAACGCGCCATATCTAGTGCCAGCTAGCGCTACCCATACCCACCTGTCATAAAAAAGTACGAACGCTACTGTCATTCGCCCGGCCCGCACTAAGGGATGTTAACCATTTATCTAGCGCACAAGCCGGATTACCGGAGCGCAGAGGGAAAGTGGTGCGATGGTAGATAGACCGTGGATAACTTGGTGTTCACTATGTTGTGGATTGCTCCAGTCTCCACCGTGGGCTTGGGAGGGGAGGGTGGCAGAGTATCTACTGTCAGGAGCCTATGGTGGCCTTCTAGGATGACCAGGGCGGGGAGTTGCCCTTTTGTCCTAGCGGTTATTCTTCTGTTATCTACCTAGTTCCGGTAGTGGTACTTTGTCTATTTAGAGTCTATCTAGGGGGATGGATGGATGGATGGATGGATGGATAGAGACTCCGTCTGGGCGGATGGAATAGGTAGGTAGTCTACGACAGGCAAGGCCACTAGATAGATAGGTGATTGGGGTATTGGGGTTTGCTTGGTGTGGTGTGTCTGTGTGTGTGGAGACAGTTGGTGTATTTAGTTAGATGATAGTTAATTATAGTCCTCGGTCGGTCGGAAGACGGTCGGGGTTGCCGCGGTGGGGGCTCGGGGTTTTGTTTCGGTCCTTTTGACGGGTGCATGGGATTGAGTTGGGCATTGGCATTGGGATTGGGACTTGGAAAACCGGGAAATGGAGTGGGTTTATGATACTCCGTTTAAGCAGGATGTATCGGGTGTGGCGGTTTCAGGTTCAGGGTGTTTGGAAGTTGGGGCGATTGGCTGGGGTTTGCTTGGGGTTGATGAGGGTTGATAGATCGAATTGCAGGGGTCCCGGGCGGACGGGCCCGGTTCGTGTTTGCGGGCGGGATTTGGAGTTGTTAACTGTATGGAGGGCATGAGAAGATTGGCGCGATGGCTTCGGGAGAGGTGGATGGATCATAAAGGCTGGATGTATGGCGGTGGTGCCTTCAAGGGTTCTGTTTGGTTATGGTGTATGCGGCAGGTTCGTATAAACCACCTTGGTGTAGGTTGAGGGATGCGGTGAAAGGGTCATAATTATTATTGTAAACAACAAACAAAACAGACTTTTAGTAGGTCTAGGGAGGAGGAATATCAAGAATAGAAATCAGGCATCCCCGATGTACCGAATCACCAGGATGTGCGCGGCTCGCCTGGCTCGTTTTGCGGGCGAGTCTCATACTCCACCGTCACATTGTCTGTGCGTCGGATCGCCCCCAGAGGATGGCAGTCCGTGCCCCGTTCCTCGGCGCCGAGTATGCTCTCCTGGCTTTCGACCGTCGTGATCCCCCAGTCTGGCTTCCGGGGCTTGGACATCTTGCTGGCGTCGTTTGACGAATCCGGCGGCTGGGAGCTGCCCTTGTAGCGGTTGCGACTGTTGTTGTAGGAGCTGGTCGTTCGTCGTCCGAGGATCAGTTCGAGGACTGGCTGGAGGGTAGGGATGCAGGAAGCGATGATGACGACGTTGGATTCGATGCTGGAGATGAGATGGTTAGATCGGTCGCGCGACAATGGAGGATGTCTGTCTTAGTCTTACTTGGTCCAGATGACGAGCTCGGCCGTTCCGTCTGGTCATTGTTAGCGGCGTGTCTTGGTCCAGTGATATGCTGGTGCCTTACATGTGTAGTCGCTTTTATCGGCCAGCCCCTTCAGCTGGGTGCACTTGACGATTGCCATGGCGGAAGCACTGCAAATGTAAGCGGTTGTCTGGTGGTACGGCTGCAGTACGTACATGGCGCCCAGGCCCAGGGCTGCGCACAGCGCCAGTCGCTTTCGCAGTGACATATGAAGTTTCATCAGCACGGTGCTAGGGTAGATCGCCAGCGCGAGATCAACGAATGCGGAGAGGGCTGAGTGGTCAGTCTTTGTCAGGGTGTGGGTAGAAGAGACACACCTCCGGTGAAGATCGCATAGTCGATCAAGATATACACATCCAGGCACTTGGCCTTTCCTTCTGTCACCAGATGCGTCTCCCACAGTGCCCTGGGCGGATCGCACATCGTGAACAGGATGATGATGCATATACCCGACACCAGGGCTGCGAGGCTGGTCAGAACCCACAGACACACCCGGTGGAGGGTACTTGGGTTGAGGATGCGCGTCAGCATGGCGGTGACCGCCAGCTTGGGCATTGCGAATGACACGATGCCAAACAGGAAGCTCAAGGAATTGAGGAAGCTGGCCTGTTCGACGGTGCTGTCGCTCAGAAGCCATGCGTGCTTGCCGTACCCAATCCCGACATTTGCCGCGGTAATGCTGCAATATACGAGGCCCATTATCTGCCGGGGTTATTAGAGATGACCGCCGCGTCCGAGGGCTAGCACATACCATCGATCCTGCGATCAGCCAGTCGTCAGCCCCGAGGTTGTGCAACAGCCTCGATCGAATGTACATCCGGGCGATAACCAGCGCGGTGGTGATACCGGTCAGGGACCACATGACGGCCATGATCAAGGGCCCCTTGTCATCGGTGGCATTCCCTTGGTTTGTGCTTGCCATCTTATCGTTGCGGTACGGCGCCGGAGTTACAGAGCCTGGAGCAGTGGGGAAGAGACTGGACGCGGTGAAAATAAGAACGCAGACATAGGTAGACGGTTGCCAGCGACACAGGGGTACCAGCAGCAGATAACTCCGAAGCGTGGAGGACTCGTGGGCAGATAGGACTTCGTTGGGACAATCTGCGGACGATCCCTCCAAGACTCGATAGCTCGCATGCGGCTGGCATTAAACCATATCCTCGCCACAGTCAGAGTCACCCCTCTGCTTTTGACAAATCGCCTGCCACCGACATTGTTTTCGCCATTTGCCGCAGTCGGGGAGGCCACCAATCCAACTAGGGCTGCGACAGGCACCCAGAAAAGACGACATAGCGGCCAGGCCCTGCGGGTCTAACACGGGCAGGGATCAGCCAGACGTCCGTCCGTTTTGGTAAGTGTGCAGTAGATCCAAACTGGAACAGGGAAGCAGAGGTCACGGCCGTCTCCCGTTGGGGGGGGCCTTGAGGGCGCTGACAGCCGGGGAGTGGGGCCGCTGCGCACCGTTGAAAGCGGGGCTTAACAGGGGATTTAACCCTGACTTCATTTCTGGCTTCGTTAGTGGGAGCCAGTGCCATGGGTCGGCCGGGTTGGACCACTCACGGCCTCCTATTCCAACTGGTGCCTGAATTCTTTGTTCGTCTGTGTTCCCTGCTGCTGTTCCCCCCCCCCCCCCAAGCAGTCTCGACCTTGGACAACCCTGGCAAGTCCCGACCCTGTCATGTCCACGCCGTCGGACGATAAGTGATGCTGGAAGAACGGACAACGATCACGCCAGAAAACCGGGGCAATCTCCGAATAGAAGCATGGATCAGCGAAGGAACACCGACTAGCCTGGTCTGGAGACCCGTCGGTGCCTAGCTGCAAACTGGGACCTCAGTAGCGTTATCTATGCGGGCTTCTCGTGGTGATGGTAAACAGCTTGATGCCTATTGCCTATTGCGACATGCTCATGTCATCTCCATGGGCGTTTGAGCTTCCGACACCACCGTTCAAGAAGCCAGCCTGACGCAAATTGGACAAACCCCACGTGCTGGGATGTCCTCCAGCCACGGGGGGGTTCGAAATTACCCCATATCACGAGGGTGCTAAAGACTGGGTTCCTCTTTAGCCCGACCAACTCGCGCTATGCGGCAGTCATTAAAGATAGCAGCAGCCGGACGTCCAGTCGGGCCCTCCGATGGAGCATGTTGATCGCGATCGTCTCCCAGTCCGGCCCACGACGTGTGGGATGACATTCTTTGTGCTCGAGTTATCGATTCCGAGCCAGTGTCCTGGCCAGGGGCTAGTCCCGCATGGCGACGCCTCAGTCCCCCGCTATCACCCCGTTCCCTCCTATAGCCCATGTGTAGCCCGTGGTGAGCCAGCCATGGTCCCAGGGACACCCCTGCAGGTATATCAGGGGCGGGTCGACCACGTTCGGAGATTTTTCTGTCTGCAACTCTCTGTTCGTCCCTCTCCTCTGCCCAGTCCCACCAGCCTGATCCAACACAATGCCTCCCATCGCTACCGGAACCGATGCCAGCGGGCCCATCACCGTCCACATCAAGGACTCGGTCCAGATTTCTGTCGAGGAGCCCGTCCAAGAACCTATCCAGGAAGCTTTCGTCGACGGCGACGTTGCGATCTCCCCCAACGTGCCTGACCAGATCCCCGCGCTGCTGAGGCGGGTGGCCCTGCACGGCGAGGCCTATCTCACTGAGAAAGACGAGGAGGAGCGCACCACCGTCCTCGATGCCGCGCGGGCGTTGGTCTACGCCCTCGAGACCCCTCGGGAGGCCATGATCCGACACACCTGGTGCCAGGTGAGTTTTCATTGACTTTGCAATTGACTTTGTCGCGAAAGTTAATAGTCCCGCTAGAGCAGTCTATATGCCGCCCTCGAGACCGCTGTCGATCTGGGCGTCTTCCCCGCCCTGTCGAAGGATGACAGCCCCAAGACTGCCGCGGAACTGGCTGCAGCCACAGGCGCCGATCCCACCATGCTGGGTGCGTGGAATCAATTCACTTACCTCCCCTCCACCCTCACCATCACTGATATTCCCATTTCCATGCCACACAGCTAATAACCCTCCCAGCTCGCATCCTCAAACACCTCAACGCAAATGGCGTCATCACCGAGACCGGCCCTGACGAGTACCGACGCACCGGCTTCACCATCTCCATGTGCTCCCCTCGTTACAGTGACGCCTATCCCTGCATGTACGTCCTCCCCCCCATCCCAAAACGAACAAACAAACAATTAACCCCCCCCCCAAGGACCGGCTGCATTACCGCGGGCGTGCTCTCCCTCCCCGCCGCGCTCAAAAAAACCAACTACGCCAACCCCCACAACAGCACCTCCTGCGGCTTCCAACTGGGCTTCCAAACCCCGCTGCACTTCTTCGACTTCCTCAAGGAAAACCCCGTCCACGCCGTCCAATTCAACAACCACATGACGGCCTACCACCAAGGCCGGCCCAGCTGGATGGACATCGGCTTCTACCCGGTGCTGTCGCTCGTCGCGGACACGGGCATCAACGAGCGCGATGCCCTCCTGGTCGACATGGGCGGCAGCATGGGCCACGATCTGTCCGAGTTCAGAAGAAAGTGGCCTCAGGTTCCGGGACGGCTGGTGCTACAGGACCTCCCCGATGTGGTGCAGCAGGCGAGGGGAATGGGGCTGGATGCCAGGATTGAGGTCATGGTGCATGATTTCTTTGAGGTGCAGGTTGTGAGAGGTATCTCCCCCCTTTGTGATTCCATCCTGTCTTTCTCGTTCACTATGCAGTACCCCCCCCCCCCCCCAACCAACTCCAATCTCCAATCCGGGAATCCACTAACCCAAAATCACAATCGATATAGGCGCCCGCGCATACTACATGCACTCCGTACTGCACGACTGGCCGGACTCCGACTGCCTGCGCATCCTGCGCAATATCGTCCCCGCGATGAAGCGCGGCTACAGCAAGATCCTGATCAACGAGAACGTCATCCCCAGCACGAACGCGTACTGGGAGACCACCAGTCTGGATATCATCATGATGGCGGATTTCGCGTCCACGGAGCGCACCGAGACGCAGTGGCGGGCGCTCATCGAGGCTGCCGGGTTGAGGGTGGTGAAGGTTTGGACGGTTAGGAGAGGGGTGGAGAGTTTGATTGAGTGTGAGTTGGCTTAGTGGTTGGTCTTTTGGTGAGTCTGGAGAGGGGTGGTTAGGGGGTATATATTGTGTTGGGTATGTATGCTTTGTATGCTTTGTAGCTGGACTTCTGGGCAATGGATTTTCTTTTTTTTTTTTTTTTTTTTTTTTTCGTTTTGGGGTTGACTTTGAACTTGGATTTGGGTTGGGTGCTGTAGTTGACTGCGTGGTTGTTTAAAAAACCAGCTAACTAACTATCTCTCTGTCTGGTCAACGTGTCAACTATCAGCTCCTTGAACATTTCCCTCTACCTTACACGTTCCGCCTACAGCCCCCTAAACTATAGCATCTACCGAACCCAACCCGCAAATCCAATCAGTACCGAATACAACGCCCCTCTCCCCAACCCATCCCCATCCACCCCCCCCCCCCCCCCAAAGACCGTACCGAACCGCACTCCCCAAATCAAAGCATATACCTAAACGTTGGCGACTTATCCCCCATCTCCGCGAGCTCACTCCCCGAATACTCGGGCCGGAGTCTCACCAACTTATCCACCCGGCGACGATTGATCCCGTCGTATGCGAACCGCGTGACCAGGATGACGAGCACGCCGAGAACCCCGAAGGCGAGCTCGAGGGAGTGGCCGAGTATGTATCGTGGGGCGTCGGAGGTGCGGTAGAAGTGGGAGGCCATTGCTTTTTTTTTTGGATGTTATAGATGTTAGTGGGGGGTTTGGGAGGGGGGACAGGGGATGAAGGCAGGAGAGACATACCGCCAGCGAAATTCCCCAGGCCAATGTGGATGGCCATTCCGGCGGATCGCTTGTGGTCGGCGGCCAGGTTGCTGCTCAGCCAGGTTACGATGGCGGGGATGGCGGGGTAGATTCCTTTTTGGAACTTAGTAACTTGCTTGATATCTTATTGTTGGTGTCGTTGCAAGAGGGGGGGTGTGGTAGGTAGGTATAAAGGGTAGAGAGTATAGAGAGGGTATAGAGGGGACACACCGAGGATTGCAAGAAACACCCCAAAGTAGATCAACCCCGGCACCCAGCGCTGCGACCCCGCGAGACAGACGAGAAACCCCGCGACGATGCATCCGATGTGGAAGAGGAGCAGGGGCGAGCGTTGCCCCATTCGATCGGAGTACCATGCGGCGAGGATGGCGGCGACCGCGGCGGTGACGTAGGGGGGGACCTGGATGCATCAGAATCGATGCAGAAGCAGGTGGAGCTGTGGGGGTGCGTTTGGATGAGGGGATTACCGTGAGCAATTGCGCAGTCGAAGACGTATATCCCAGATCGCGGATGATAGTGGGAAGGAAGAAGCTGATTCCGTACAGGGGACACATGGTGGAGTAGTACACTACATCCCTATCAGCCAGTGGAGGAGGATGGGTGGGTTTTCTGGAAAGTGCCGGACGCACTCAAAACAGCCATATACACCTGCCAATCCTTCACCGCATCCCAGACATACTTCCACTTAAACTCCACCGTGTCGGGAACCACGTTCCCATTCTCGGAGAACTGCATCTTCAGGCGCCGCAGCACCCACGTCTTCTCGTCGGCGGTCAGGAACGACGCCGTGTCGGGGTAATCGTACAGCGCGAAGTACGCCACCACCGCCACGATCACCGTCGCGATGCCCTCGAGGATGAAGATCCACCGCCACCCGGAGTATCCGCCGACGCCGTGCATTTTCTGGTCTGTCAGCGCGATGCACAATGTGGGTGGGCGTGGGGAGGCGCACCCCGATGGCAAAGGCCAGCAGCCCCGAAAAGGCGCCGGCGATGCTGGCGGCGCTGAAGAAGATGGCTTGGCGGAGTTGGGCCTCGTGGCGCGAGTACCACATCGTCAGGTAGTATGTCACCCCCGGGTAGAGACCGGCTTCTTCGCGGGGTTAGAGGGCTTTGTTTGTCTTTGGGGGGGGAACGGGGGACGGACCGGCGACGCCGAGGAATAGTCTGGCGATGAGGAGACCGTGGTAGTTGGTCACGATGCCCGTTAGGGTCTGTTGGCATTAGACCATGTTCGCGATCATGACGATCAGGGCAGGAGACAGACCATAACCACCCCCCACGCCACCATCAGCGACGGGATCCAGACGGATGGCCGCACCTTCTGCAACACCAGATTCGACGGCAGCTCGAAGACCGTGTACGTGAAGAAAAACACCGTGACTGGGCGTTGTTAGAATGCTCGTCCCTGCTTCTTCTCGACGGACCACATACGCGCCCAGTTATACTGCGACCCCTTCAAGTGCAAGTCATCCTCCATCCCCTCGATCCTCGCGTTGCCGATATTCCCCCGGTCGAGAAAGCAGAACAGGTACAGCAGCGTCAGCACCGGCATGAGGTGGAAGTCCATCTTGCGCAGCAGCCGCTTCTCGTTGATGGGGGCGGGGTCGGTGTCACGACATGTTTGCGATTCGTGCTGCTGCTGCGATGGTTTCTCTGTGGTCATGGCGGGCTCGGTGGAGGTCTGGGATGAAGCTTGGAATTTGGAGAATGGGGGAGGGGTGGGTGACCGCGGTGATCAAAGCTTTCGCGGCGGGCGGTGGGTGGGTGTTCGTCTTCAGGTTGGCGTCCTGACTGAGGTTCCATGCAAGGGGGAGGAATGCGGGCAGGCAGCGGTGATAAGCTGTCAGTGCGGAGGGGGACGCTGCCGTTGTCTGATGTGGAGGACTTGGAGGTGTTGCCATTGCTGTTGACTAGGTCTTTGGATATGCTGTTCAGTGAGAGTGGGTCATACGAGCAGTGTTGACAGGAGTGCTGTTGGGATTTGAGATGAGATGTTCGACATTTTAGCTGGCGATCCAATGGTGAATTGATGGGTGCAAAGGCGACAAGACAACACCACCGTTCCACCAGGATATGGCAACGGATCGATCTTCAGACAGCCGTGTAACCTCCCTTCGGCAGACATCTCCAGACACCCGGGGCGACATCAACCGATATTATATGCTCCGAGGATAAGTACTTTCCATGGCGGTGAGACGACAGTATTCACAGCCGGATCCACCTTGCATCTCGCCTTGCAGTTGGGATCGAACGTGCCATTGGGATTGGCGGGGATTTTAATTGCGGTGGTGTCGTGCGGCGTCGGAGCAATATGGGGTGTACCGGACTGGACATCTGGGTGAGGTGGAAGCGGGGGGGTTGAGATATATATCCACTGCTCGGTGGTTCGGAGCTGTCATGAGAGTTATTTTCCGGGTGACAGGGAACAGAAAACCTTCAAAAAAGGGATTGGAACGAGTCTGTCGCCAACCGGGGGGGGGTGATGTGAGGGTTTACGGATCTAGCCCTCATCCGCCAGACTCCGGCCAAGTTCTCCCGCAGTGTCACCCTGCCCATCCATGCGTGAGCGAGCCTCGGTTGAGCGACGAACGACGGACGGACGAGTCATGGACTTCGCGCTGGACCAGCTGGAAGAGCTGGACCAGTGAACCAGTGATTGACCGCCAGTTGGATTGCAGTGGAGCGCCCCACTGCGGCACGGATGGTGATTGTGTGGAATTGGATTTCCTGGGCGGAAGAACGCCTCCATTTTGGCCCAGCCTTGCCACCGAGCGTGACCTCGCACCACCAATTGCCACTCCGGCCAGGGACACCCAGGACATTTAGTGCTCCTCCCACGCCCTGGCCCTGCCCCCGTTGCCCGACTATTGTTGCCCCCCAACACCATGCGAGCACGGAGGCAATCCGGCAGCCCCGGGAACCCCCCCGGCCCGCCGACTGGCAAGATGCTGATCTCGCGCGATCGATCGAGGGTTGGGCTCGGGAGTGCCCGCGTGCGTACCACCCGCGCCTGCGATTCCTGTCGCCAGCGCAAGGCCAAGTGCAACGGGGAGAAGCCCGTCTGTGGCCAGTGTGCAGGCCTCCAGCTGGAGTGCGTCTACTCGGAGCAGGCCCGCATGAAGGACCGTCGCGAGCTGGATATGTTGCGGGCGGCCATCCGTCGCCAGGAACGCGCCATCCAGCGCATGTCTGCTGCGTCGTCGTCGTCGTCTTCTTCCTCATCCTCAATCTCTCGTCGTCCCTCGGACCCTGCTGCCCTCCCCAACAGCATGGATGTAAGTCCGACTCCGACCACCGACAATGCAGCGGTGGCCGTCGTCTCGGGGACGTGCTGAACCTGTCTTCCAGTCTAACATGGTCCCCCACTCACTGCCCGACACGCTGGACCGCGCCCTGGCCCTGGTCCACGTCCAGCTGCACGAGCTGGGGCAGGTCTACCAGGCCGTGCACGACTGCGATCCGGCAGCACTGCCGTCGGTGGTCAGCGCGATCCGGCGCAGCGCCTCGGTGCACGAGGCGGCCACTCGGCTCACGCAGCAGATGTCGGGGCAGCGGCCGGGCATCACGCTGGAGCGCATGCAGCGGGCGTGGCTGACGCGACTCTCCGGCAAGCCCGAGCTGGTCAGTCGCCAGCCCTCGTACAGCGTCAGCACCGCCGACATTTGGACCTCCGTCGTGGGCAACGCGGCCGCCTCGCACCTGTTCTCGTTGTTCTTCGTGTGGGACAATCCCACCTGGCACGTCGTCGAGCCGGGCGTCTTCCTCGACGACTTCCACTCCGGCCGCACGCGCTTCTGCTCGTCGCTGCTCGTCCACGCCATCCTCTTCTACGCCTGCGTACGTATGCCTCCCCAGGCCCGGCCCCGCTGACCAGCCCTGCGCCAGCACCTCTCCTACGACTTCGAGAAGCCGTGGGATCGTCGCGACGAGATGGCCACCGCCAAGCAGCTGCTGCGCGAGATCGAGCGCCTCTGGCAGCTCGACCACGCCACCCCGAGCCTGCCCACCGTGCAGGCCAGCCTCCTGCTGGGCGCCTTCTTCTGCGCCGCCGGCAAGGACAAGATCGGCACGGAATACGTGCAGTACGGCGCGCGCATGGCCCTCCATCTCGGCCTGCACACCTCCGTCTGCCCCGTCTTCCAGAGCCCCGTCCTCGTCGAGGCCGAGCGCAACCGCCGCGCCCACAAGATCATCGCCGGCGCCGTCTACGACCTGCAGACGTGAGTATTCCGACCCGATGCATGGTGCATGGCAGCCACTGATCCCGCAGGCTCGTCGTGCAACTGTCCCGCAAGCCCACAGCCTGGCCCGGCCCCCCGGAACTGTTCCTGTCCGCCGAGGAGGCCGCCGCCGCCGATATCCAGCAGCAGTGGGCGCCCTACCCGTTCACCTCGCCCGTGCATCGGCCCTTCCTGCATACGAGTCTCCGCGTCCGACGGGATCTGTTGATCATCGTCAACGACGTCGCCAGTCTGCTGCGCGAGTTGGATGGCCACATCGATCTGCATGCCTGGCAGCGCGGCGCCGTGCTTCATCAGCGTTTGGTCCATTTCGAGCGCGCATTGCCTCCGGTGCTGGGCATCCAGCGGAACCGCACGCCGCATAATCTCTGTTTTCAGTGCGTGTTGTCCCTGTCCCTGTTGATATCCTATCCTCCAGCACCCACCCCCGAACAGACACCCAGCCAGCCACTGACAGCACCAGCATGTACCACCACATGACAATCGTCAACCTCTGCGGCCTCTTCATGACCCGCGACCCCACCATCCCCACCGAAACCTACCAGCAAGCCACATCCTTCCACCCCCCAAAGGCCCTCGACGAAGCCATGGACGCCCTCGCCACGCTCATCCTGCTGTACCGCGTCTCGCACGGCTGGAAATCCACCCCCATCGTCATGGTCCACTACTTCCTGGTCGCGGGCGTGCACGCCGCCTCGCACCTGGAGTCGTCCAAGTGGCGCGAGGTGCTCGTCAGCTGCGTCTCCGGCCTGTGGCACATGGGCCTCGTGTGGCGCGTCTGTCGCGCCTTCTTGCGCACCATCCAGCTGGTGCTCAAGGGGGCCGATCCGGCCCTGATGCCCGCCGAGGCGGTCTCCATTCTGAAGGAGTTCGATGAGAAGGTCTGGAATCAGGATGAGGTTAATGCCCTCGGCTCTATCTATGTGGTGCATCATCATCCGCGGCAGTTGGCGATCGAGGCTGGTGGGGGCAGTTTTCAGGGGGAGGGGTTGGAGGATTTGATTCGGTCGTTTGAGAGGTTGGATACGGAGGATCCGGAGGATGAGGGGGGTAGGGGGTAGAGTTGGTGTGAGGGGTGTATGATAGATTTTCATTCCTTTCAGCTTTTTTTTTTTTTTTTGTGTTGTTATTTTGTCTTGTGTTCATGTTCATCTCGTGGGGCGTCCGAGCGATGAGAATACACGCCTCATGGCTGTTGGCGCGATTTTTGGCCCTTTTGTATCGAGCAGAGTCCGGCTCTGCTTCGACGTTGATTCTATCTATTCTATCTATTCTATCTATTCTATTATATATTCCATACCCTCTGCCCCCTGTGCACGTAAGAATCTAAAAAATCTAAGCATGCACAATCAACCCCTCCCCCTCCCCCACCCTCCTCGTCCACTCCATCCAACTCCCATCGTAAATCCTCCGTCGCCCCTTCGCCCCGACCAGACGGAGGACCAGATCCAGCGCCGCGGCCGTGACTCCGGAATTGCACGTGAGGATGTAGTCTCTTACCTCACTATCCCCATCCCCAGCCCCTTCCCCGGTTTCATCACCATTATCAGGAGGATGGTCAGCAGGATGATCGGTAGGATCATCATGACTGTGAACCAGAATTCCCACCGCCGCAAGCACCCCCCTCAACTCCCCCACCGACAATATCGCCCCAGACACGGGGTCCAACACCCTGGCCAGCGGCACATTCACCGCCCCGGGCATGTGTCCCGCGCGCAGGGACGGGTCTGCTTCGCTTTCCGTGCCGGAGAAGCGCCCGGGGATGCGCGCGTCGATGATGCATACTTTTCCAGCTGCATCTCCAGCCGCATCTCCAGCTCCAGCTCCGGATCCAGATCCGTCTCCGTCTGTGTCTCTTTCTTTTTGTTTTTGCCTTTGTCTCTGTCTCTGGAGTATGATATCGCGCACCTCCTCAAACTCAACCACGCGGGCATAGTCCACTCCGGAGGCGGGGAGGATGTATTCCTCCCCCTCCTTCCCACCCATCTCATCTCCATCGCCATGTCCATCCCCTTCTATACCCAACTCCCCCTCCAAACAGCCAGAAACAGGAAACCCCTCCCCCACATACCCCCGCAGATTATTCAGCACGTGCACGTCCCCCCGATGCCCGAAAAACTGACACATGAATGCCACGCGCGGGGCGTGGTACGTCCCGATGGAGACGGCGTCGTAGATGACCAGGGTGTCTGTGGGGCGGATGGCGAGGGCGGTCATGATCGAGCAGAAGTGGCTGAGGGTCGGGAGGGTGCAGGGGTAGGGGGATGTTGAGGAGTAGGTTTTGTGAAGAGGGAGGAATCTATGATTTATTCAGTCGTTCGTTCGTGGTTAGTGGTATTGCGGTATTTGGTAGGGGGACAGACCTGGTATTCGGAAGATGGGCCGCGGAGAAGGAAGCGTGCAGGGAGGGGAGGTAGGCGGCGATGGGGATGATGCGGGGGAGATGGGAATTGGGATCCGATTGGGGGGTGGTGGCGGTGGTGGTGGCATGGTGGTATTCGGATGGGGTGATGAGGGGGGTGGAGAAGGGCATTTTGGTGGAGTGGTGGGCTTGGTGAGGTTGAAGTTGGGGTTGGCGATGAGAGGAGAGATGAGGGGATTGGCCGTCGTGCCATTGTGCAGCTGAGTCAGCTGTGCATTGCATAAATATATGCCGGAATGGAACAACAACATCAGAATCAGTCGAGAGGTTGTTCCTGGCTGTTGCAGAGGGGGAAAGTTGGCCTGTCTGAAGCAACGCTCTCACTATGGGCCATTGCTCAAACGGATCATTGGTCGACTGCCAAATTGGCCGTTGGGGGAACGTAGGTAACAGGTCGATATATCTCAGCCGGGTAACCGGGTAATCTTTGGCCATGACCAGAGACATCTAACAAATGGAATCGCGTTGAGCTAGATGGAAATAAGCAGCAGACCCTGCGTCAGGACCGCCGATCATTCACCTCCTCGGCAGGAAGCGAAATTAAGAGAGCCGATCGTGGATCCGATGAGCAGGCAGTCAACAACAGCCGACAAGGCAGAGCTGCATGCCTCCTCGATTTTCATCTGACCATGTCCTCAGCTGCACCAAGCATTGCCCGGTTTCTTCCCCGTTGCTTCGCCGGTTGACTCGCGATGAGGTAGCCCACCTCTGATCAAGGAAGCGTGCCTGTCCCTTGAAGCTATCCACCCGACCCACTCCCTCACCACCACCAAATCAGCTCTGCTCCATGTCGATCACCAATGACGTATGGAACAGCCCAGCAATCAGAGCGTGCCAGCTCTTAAAGCCCTTGCAGCGGCGCAGACCGCATCTTGGCTGACGCTTGGGCTCCATGCAGGTGATGTAATTGTGCACATGGATTCCCAGTTCTCGGCAGAGTGCTAAATATACATCTGTCTATATCAGGAACTACTACTTTATATAACATCCCAAGCCACCCTCTACCACCACCCCCAATCCTCCCCACTCACCACCATCATGAAGCCCTCCTCCCTGCTGCTCCTGCTCCTCTCCACAACAGCCAGCGCCACCTCCCCCTTCAACCCCCTGCACCACTCCGCCGGCATCGCCCCATACTTCACCCCAAACGACCCCCCATCGACCCTCACCCACCCCCCAGCTGCACCGTCACCCGCGCCGCGTACCTCGTCCGTCACGCCGCCATCTACGCCAACGACTTCGACTACGAGACCTACATCGCGCCCTTGGTCGAGAAGCTGCGCAACACGACCCAACCCTGGCCCACCACCGGCCCCCTCTCCTTCCTGTCCAACTGGACCGCCCCCGTCGATGATGCTCATCTCGAGAAACTCACCCGCGTCGGCCTGCAGGAAGCCACCACCTTGGGCAGCAGCTTCCGCCAGCGATACCCGGACCTCCGTGCTCAGAAGGTCTGGTCTTCTACCGCGGACCGCACGGTCAAGTCCGCCCAGGGGTTTATAGCCGGTTGGACCAATACTACTACCACCAACAATGTCTCCCACGCGGACGTGGACGTGGATCTGGTGCAAGTCGCCGAGAGCGCCTCCCTGGGAGCTGACTCTCTGACGCCGTATAAGGCCTGTCCCGCGTATAGTTCTAGCTATGGGAGTGATTTCGAAAATGTACCCTACCCTCCCCTCCCCTCACCCTAGCCCACAAAACAAACCAACCCACTACTAATGCTCCCCCCCCCCCCAACAGACGTTCGTAAAAACCTACACCCGCCCCATCCTCACCCGTCTCAACACCCACCACCCCTCCTTCAACTTCACCGCCACAGACATAACCGCCATGTTCGAGCTGTGCGGCTACGAGACCGTCATCCGGGGTCATCTCCCTTCTGCTCCCTGTCTCTGTTCCCCACGACCGAATGGCTCTCCTTCGAATACGCGAACGACCTCATGTATTTCCATAACACTGGCTACGGGAGGCCGGTCACGCCCCGCATCGGGTTTCCGTGGGTGAGGGCTAGTTATCGCGCTCTTGCTGACGAGCTGGGTTCGAATTCAACCGGGGGGGATGCTGCTGCTGCTGCTGCTGCTGCTCAGGCTGAAGATGGAGGTGGAGATGGACGACAGGATCTCTTCGTCTCATTTACGCACCGCGAACTCCCCCCGACTGTCGTCACAGCCCTGGGTCTGTTCAATAATACGGCGTACACGTCCCCCTCGTTCCTGAATCAGTCGATGCCGACGGATGAGGTCAACTATTACCGTGCGTGGCGGAGCTCGCACATCCTGCCCTTTCTGGGCAATGTTGGGATTGAGAGGTTGGAGTGTGATGGGGATGGGCAGGGCGAGGGCGTGTATTTCCGTGTCCTGGTCAACGGGGCCGTGCAGCCGGTCATTGGGTGTCGGGATGGGCCCGGGGGGAGTTGTTCTGCCGGGGGCTTTGGGGAGTGGATGCGTGGGAGGGAGGAGGAGTTTGGGGATTTCGGCGCCGCGTGTGGGAATGCGTCTGCGAGTGGGGAGTTGGGGATCTATGCGTAGGTTGGATGATTGGATTCTTGGGCTTTTTTTGGGGGGTTGGGGAGCTTATAGGTATGTGATTTGTTGTGAGGAGGGTTGTTTTGGAGGTCCAACTGGGTTGAATATTCGTTTTCGATTGGGTTATATACATGAAGCGTGTGCTTTCTTTTTTTTTTTTTTTTCGAAAGCGGAAGTATATAAGATGTTCATGACATCTGGGAATAAAACATAAGAATCATAGACAGGAGCTTCCACAGTCCAACCTCTAAACAGACAACCTCGTCGTCGGCCCTGCAACAAAACAGTCTCTCAATAATCCATATGATAATCATCTCCATACCACACCATAGGCAACAGAAAATTCGGTAAGCCTCAGACAGCGCTGGGTACCACAACGTGAACCATCCACGACCCCATCTAAGTAAACATGAACCCATCCCACCGCCCCCCTGCTCCGTCATAACATACCCCGTGTCCCAGCAAGGAGAAAAAAAAAACATGTCTCGCGAATCTGGCGGAATGGACTGCCTGGGCCGCTGCTTGCGACCCGATATCCCGATAAACATCCACATGCAACAGCCAGTGTTCTATTAAAAGCGTGGAGAATCACACACCAATACCCTTTGCTGGACCGCGAGGGATCGACCAGAGCGCGTCATGGCCGCGTCAGCACAGCTCAACACAACACCAGATGCGTCGTGGACAGCAACGCAGCGGATGCTCCTGCCTTCCGTTGTAAGGCGCGGCTTCGAGAGTTGAACTTTCCTGCCACAACTGAAATGGTTATAGCCAAATCAGTGCCCTCGTCTGGATGAGGCGAGGGGGACGGCCAGCCGTGATGGCATGGATGAAATGTGGTGGATGTGCAGTGCCAGATGCTGCAGTCTGCTGGGTAGATGCTGGAAGATATTCCGGGTGATGGACGCTGGTCACTGGGATTTAGAATGTAGGTTGGGAAGTTCAACGCTCCTCCAACCACACCACGTAAAATGGTTACAGGCGAACTGGTGCGCTTGATGATGCGAAGGAGCTTCACCTTCCACCCACTGAGAGTGGAGTAGAACGAGATTGTTCATCGCCTTGAGCATCTCTGGAAGATAGAGTGATGATCCGTTCGGCCTGAAAATGCAGCTTGGAAAGTTCGATGTTCTTTCCAGCACTTGGAATGGTTACAGACGAACCAGTGCCCTCGATAGGACGAGGGAGGCAGACCACGCACTGATGTGCGGTAGAAGGAGTTGCACCACAGTGCCAAATTGTTCAGTTTGTAGAACATTCATGGAAGATATGTGCGGGTTACTGGCGTTGCTCTCGTAGTTGGTGAAACGTGGCTTCGAGAGCCGCAGATTGTCGTCAATGCTCGAAGTGATTACAGCCAAACCAGTGCCCTTGAAGACACGAGGCGGGAAAACCACCCACCCACCAATGGTAGTGCGGATGGAATGAACTGCATTTGCAGTATCTCATTCCCCGGTTCTTCATCCGTATCGTGGGAGATATGTCCCAGATACCGCGTCAAAGTTCAAATTGATCAAACAAACACCGGACTGATGATCAGGTTGTGCCTGATCCTCCCTGAGACGGGACATGGCAGAAGTTATGTCATTTGCCAATGTGGCATGCCGAGGACCATACTGGACGGTAGCGAAACGATTTCACTGCTTCCAACCTTATGTTGGAAAGCACCACCACCAACCCTGTGACGAAAGGATCGACAGGGCAGCCACACAGAGTGTGCCTTCATTAGACTGCTTGGGACTTTATCTTGGAAAGCCTGGACACCCGCCCAGTGCCAATGCACGATTCATTGACCGGGCCGCACACCGACGGTTACCGAGTTCCTTCCATCTGGGAGTTTGCTGTAAAGCGCACCATCAACAGATGGTTCAGCAGGCGGTTGTGGCGTATGGAATATTCTTCATCTTTGAGAGGAAGTAGCTCAATGGCTCAGCGGATGGAATAGACAATATCAGTCATATCTGAAGCTTCATCCTCCTGCCCCCCAAACAAAACCTGCACAACTGTCTCCATATCAACCGCGACCCAACCTCTTTTATATATATGCTGGAGGACAGCAACTTGCTCTGTCAAGATCTGATGTTTGGATCTGTACTCGTCAAGCATTTCGTCGTATTCCTTCTGGGTCACTTGAGTATCCTGGCATCTTTTATCATTCTCTGCCTCCAGCAGTGCCCTCAAACTCGGTGACATGTTACAATCACGCATTGTGCAGATATGTTTTGCACAATTCCTTCAGCCACCGGCTAGTAGACGGTTCAGTGCAACAGGCAGGCCACGGACCAGCTGCGCCGTTGGTCTCGACAGATTATCTCGACGTAGAGAAAGAGGGTGAAAGGCCGAGTAAATGAAGCCACAGACGTTGGCGGGTCTTGAAGAAGCATTTCCATTCTGTGCAACCTTGTGTTGCAGAGCGCCCCAGCACCGCACCATCATAAGATGGCTCGACAGACCAGACCCCCAGCATCGATAGATGCTGCTTCTGCTGCTTCTGGTGAGGATAGTAATACAGAACTATCTTTCACCTTCAAAAGTAGAATGAAGTAGCTCAATAGCACAGTGCATGGAGCAAGAAAACCAGACCGCGAAGCTGCGAATGCTGCTGCATACACCCCGACACCGCCCCCACCCCCACTCATGCAGCAGAGCAACAGGGTAATGCCCCGATCGGTGGGGGGGTTGACTGACTGAGTATCTCCACCTTGGGAGTAAGTCGCTCAATGGCTCAGTAGATGGAATGAGGGAACCACACCGGGAACGTTGCATAAAGCAACACAAACCATACCCCCACCTGATGCGGGGAAAAGAAGGGCGAAACCACCCAGATGGGTTGGGGGCTTTCTGCACAGGACCCAACACAATGAGAGAATGATAATTGCCATTGTGATGGGTCCTTCTCTTCTGCGCTCGGTGATCAGCCATTTGGCGATAGGATGTGTGGAGTACGAAAAGCCACATCGCGCAGCCACCTTCATGGCATCGAGGCCGACAGCACCCTAGGAAGGGACATGAGACTGTTTTCTTTCCCAGGGGTGATGGGTGAAAGAAGGGATGGGCCGAGTGAAATGGGTCCTTCAACTCTAAGGAAGAGAGTGACCGTCGTCATTGGTTCAGAGTGGGAAAGTTGATGTTTGGTGGCGTGTGTTGGGCGCTTTCCCGACGCTCGCTTGGGTCTGAGATTATGTCTGAGTCGGGGCCCAGAATGGTGTCCGGAACAGCCAGCGCAGCAGCAGCAGCTAGTACGTGCTGCCGCCGAATCAGGCGGAGAGCCTAGAGAAGAGAAAGAGGCGCACAGCCCTAGGGAAAAACCCCGGATGCAACTGTGCATCGGGTTTCCGTCCACACCCACAGATGTGGTTGTTGTGGTCGCAGATGAACACACTACCGACAATCCGGTTCGAGGCTGCTCCTGGACGTGCTGTCTAGCGATAGCGACGCGCCAGGAGCGTATTGCGATGGAGTTTCTAGGCAAGCCATTTGCAGACTCACGTTGCAACGAGCTGTTGCTAACTTCCCTAGCAAATAGCGCAATGCGCTTTGCGAATTGCCTTCGCATCCTGTGGTAAATTCATTAAGGAATTTCAGACGCGAATTGCTGTCGCGAGTGGCTTTTTGCAACCGAGTGTTGACAAAAATCTCTTTCAAAATCCCCTATGCACTTTGGCATACCCAAGACCACCACGGATTGCTGTCTCCACCTCATGCCCGAAGGCACGGGTCAGACAGGACAGACACCAACCGGCCCGGCCCTTGGGCGAACAAAGCCCATTTCAGGCCTGCGGCCGACATCGATGGAGCGGAAGACTTTTCCCTTTGCTGGTTATAGCGTGATCAAACAAAGAAGCCCCACTGGAAAGGAGGTTGGGGGGTCGAAACACAATATTTGATAGGTGCCTCCTAAATGGAGGACACCTAGGGTCCTTCTTTGGTAAGTCGAGCAAAGAGCGTTGCGGAGGTGCCATCGGTAGGCCGAGTAAAGAGGCTCGCAGAAGTGCGATTCGACACAGCACGATGTGAGATGCCCATATTATGATGGCCGAAACCGGACCATTGATAGGTGCCTACTGGCCGGAGGTCACCTAGGGTGCTTTGTGGCGGGCCGAGTAAAGAACCTCATTTAAGTGCCATTCAGGAGAGGAAATTTCCATATTCATATCCGAGTTTGGATGGAATTTGAGACGAGAGCGTTCTCTTTCAATAAACAGATGGATAGCAACACCGAACGTTATAGTGGCAAGTGACGGGGACGACGGGCCGGGAGACGCATCGTTTGGCGATGGACCTCCCAGCCACGCACCGGGACATTCCTCAGTGCATCAGACCATTGGATCACGATCGAAACCTCGTAGTGGCGACGACAGATGAAGAAAGCCGTTTCGCGCTGCACAACAATATCGAGGAGCGTGGGCTGTGGGGCAGAGAAACGCCAGGTGACATTGCGTCACTTGGATGCAGCCAGGCGCCGGTGAGAAAGGAGTTAATCCTTCTCGTTTCTTTATCCCCTGGTTGGACATGCCAGTGACCATGTCAGTGAGTACCCAGCGTGCCGGATGTAGAAATCATCGGGGCGGTCTGGATAGATGAGAGGCCCACTTGGTGGACCTGATGAGTCCAATTCCATTGTGAAGGGGCCAGTGATCTGTGATTACCCTGTCCACCGTGGCCCATAGGTCAATTCTCGAGAATGAGTCGGTAAACGGCAGACGACCACAATCACCAGGGTATCGAATGGGACAGGTGTCCCACGACACTGTCCACCTCGACACCAAGCAGGTTTGTCCGGGCTTGGGAGCGTGTCGTCTTTTCAAATGCCTTTGCATTTGGAGCAGAGTCGAACAATTCATAACTTGCTGGATAGGTCAAACTTTAACGAAACCGGTAGAAACTTCAGTGCCCAACAGGATCGTTGGGGCTTGGATCTTCTCGCTTGTTCAAGTGCCTTTGCACTTTGAACAGAGGCGGGCAGATCTCCAGGTGTCGAATCGGTTCAGGTGACTTAAGGCCATGGAAACACAGACACCCACAAGAGTCATCTTGGGGCTTCGGAGCGTGCCCCTTTAGTGCCTCTGCACTTCGAACAGTGTAATGTAATCCAATCCCGACTCGAAAGTTGACGAAAGACGGTATATATACACCCAATCGCTAACCAAATCCAATCTCGAGCCCGGTAAACCGGTGACAGCGTAAATAAACCCAGACCGCAAGGAACTGGATCATCATGGCCGACCCGGTCCCTGTGCCAATCGAGTTGGCCTCCAAAAGCATCATACAGCGCCGGGATGATCCCAGACACCGTGCCGTAGGTCTCACGTAGTAGGACGCGGAGATGCAAAGCCCGTCGACAAAGCATTATGTCGAAGCCTGTTGAATGTCGAACCCAACAGTTGTCCTTAGATTCAACACCAGCATTCTGCCCACTGGCTATTGAGTCGGACTTCAAAACGAGGACTCTTTGTTGGGCCGCTTTGTCGTGACAAGTGGGGAGATTTGCCGCCGCAGCTATCGCCTGGAGATGACGCAGCCTCCGACTGGGCTCTCGAGCCCTTTGCTGACCCGCCCATGTCGGTGCCACCAAGAGACTCATTCTCTCCTGACGGAGACACTTCTTCCTCGAATTAGCCGCAAAAGCGACTGTGACATAGCCACTTTCGCTGTTAAGATGGCCCGAAGCCGCAATGCTGCTGTCGAGCAGTTTATTCTCCGAGTGAGCATTCCAAGGACCGGCAGCAACGCCGGTCCGATTCAAATCTTCTTCCCGCGATGGCTCTACGCCTTTCATCTTTAGACCATGCTTCATGTTGGACATAGCAGATGATCGAAGCTTCGAAAGTCACTTCCGGCAACGCTTGGAGCATTGGCAGGAAGTATGCCAGTTTCTTCCGGTGCTTGGGAAGAAGAATGAGAACCCCTTGTCAGGCTCAGGACGTTGAGATTGAATCAGCCAGGGTCTTTTGTTACTGACCCGGCTCACGAGTTGGAACTTCTCGAAACGGCTATTCCTGTTCGAATATGCGTATACGTCCGGCACACATTGCCATCCTTCGTCGGAAAGGCACAGGCGCCGCAGCTCTGGCAGTCGCCTTTGGATCAACATCTTTCATCTCCGGTCGTTATCTGTCGATTGTCAAACCGGGACCACATGTCCAGAAACAGTACCATGTCTCCGACTGCATCTTTCATTGGCACCTTGTGTCTGTTGACACATGATTTGACACCTTGTATCTGGGTCAATTTGTCTCCCGTTTGCATTTTGCATGCATCTATCGACTGCCCACTCCGTTGACTGAGGCGAACTTGTTGAGGCGGTGGGTTTGTCCTCATGGCGAGCTCCTCGACCACCCAACGTAAAAATATTACATCAACAGTCTGGATAGAAGATTCTCTGGGATGCTCAAAACACCAGCCACCCCCCCAGCTAGTTGAGCTAAAGAAAGAAGGCCAGACCCTGGGGGATCTGATTGCTATGGCGCGCCATGACAGGCTGGTCGGGTAAACGAAGTCTGTAGAGACCTAGATTTGACATCTATATCGATCGACTAAGGCAAGACGACGCCCAGTCGTCCTGGGTGTCGTTCCTGGGCCATTACTCTTTTTGAGTCAACCGACAACAGCCGCCACTAGCGCGCTGATGGTTTCATGAAGATATTTCGACGCCTTGTCGATCATGTTGAGTCAAGCATGGTATGTCGAAAGACAGACTCAACGCGAGGTCTATGACCTCGGTGGCCATCTCCAGGTTGTAACTGGTGGTTTAGAAAAACAAAGCAAGCAAAGCTTTGCTCTGCTGCTTGACGAGCTAGCTTTTGCGCTTCTGCACCGTGTTTGAAGACAATTCTTCTTCAGATCATCCGGGGGGCTTTTCATCTTTTTGATGATGACCTTTCCGGTGGATTTCGGGAGTTGAGATCTGTCGTGATGGAAGAATATAGGACGCGAAGCATTGCTCTGTTGCTTGAGCAGTTTGTGGAAAACCCCTGTCTTTATCAAGGGCGTCGAATGCCCCGTTTCCCCTTTTTCCATCATCTTCCGCTGTTTCTTTTTCTTCGCCAAAGCCGCAGCACCTATATATTGTGCTGTTCTCATGACCTTCCTTTCATTTCTCTTCCATCCACACGAGGCCATTTCGACTTTTTCTCGCGTGCTTTTCTTTTCCTCTTCCCGTTTCAACTTTTTTTTTTTTCCTTCTTGACTTCCCGTTTCCAGCAAGCCACAACCCATTTTGGGCTCCTTTGATCATCATCTTCTGATGTTGATTCCAAACAAGCCGGGCCTTTTCGCCTGAACTCGCGCGTTTTTGATTTTTCATTTTGCTTTGTATTCTTTCCTCATCATTTTTCCTTTTCCGTTTCCTTTTTGCATGTTCCACCCCCCCCCTCTTGCTTGTTCACTTTCTTTCCCCCTCCCCCTCTACCCCCTTTTCTCTTAAAAGAGCACCAATTTTATGCCTTTCTTCTGGATATTCGGTCGAGCACCCGTCTACCTCGTCTCTCTACCTTGGTCGTCGAGCGTAAACGGGCGCTTAGTCTGTCAAAACCCTTTCCACACACAAAGTAGCAGCTCCTCTGCAAGCTCCAGCGTCTCACCGTGGCCTCGAGAGAACACAGCCCCCCTCCCCCCCCTCCCTTTCCCTTTCGCTCCAGTGGAAATGGGATAGAAAACCCTCATGAGGGCGTACTAGATGGACGTGCGTTGCGCTGAGGCAACAAGTCGAAGTCGCCAGTTGGAGAGTCTCGGGAGTCTCTCTTCCTTGGCTATCCCGTTCAGAGTCTGCGGCTCGTGGACATTCCTTCTGCTTTTCATGGCGATTGCTGGAATCGGATGAGGCGAAAGCGATGGGATGGTGTGTCGCTTCGTTGCGGAAAGTAAAGTAAAGTGGCCGAGCGAAGGCTCGTACGCCGTTCTCCATGCTGTTGGCATTTTGTCTCCGTTGCTTGTCGAGACGCCCTAAGGCGTTCCTTTCCACACTTGGTTGTCCGATTCTGCTGTGTGGAGGATGGGCTAGTATACCGCAGTAGCAGAGGAATATACAACCGCAGACCACAGACACCTGAAACGAGGCAAGAGAGCCGCCACCACGGTGGGCGAGTTGTATTTTCACATTGGTGAGAATGTATCACCCAGCTTTCTGGCTTTAAAGCGAGACGAAGTCGAGCAGCACAGTAGAATGAGCGAATGGAGCCCTTTTACCCAAGGAAACGTATGTCCGTGTGGATGGATGGGTCAGTTCCATATCGAATCCCTCGCCCAACCCAACCCTATCCACCCCGGCACACCGACCCTGGCTTAAACAGCATGATAAAATAAGCTTGACATACAAGCTTCGACTGGTATGTCGATATCGAAAGCGATATGCGAGCTCTCCTCCCGGGAAGAGCCTCACTTCCTTTTCCAGCGCGTTTGTTTGCTGCTCTTCATCATCCAAAGAGGCAATATCACAGCGATGGCAGGAGTATGCAACGCGACACATCATGTGTCCTTGTAAACCACGGCACACTCTGAAGTGAGCTATGCCTGCTCACATCCCTGGAAGAGCCTCACTCTTCTCTTCTCTGGGCCCGTTCGCCACTTTCATAACGGACGAAGACAAAGACGAAAACGGTGAGAGATCGCAGGAATGTGCGATCCGACACACTCTGTGTAAACAAAGACCAGCACCGCACACTACCAGGTCTAGCATATGTAGCTTCCGGATGGCCATGGGGCTGCTCGTCGCTCGAAGCATCTTGCATTTCTTCTTCTTCTTGTGTCCATCTTCGTCGTAATGGTTGCAGGAAGCGATAGTACATTGCAGGAATGTGTAATGCGATATACCCCATTGCAAGCGCACAGGGACGGCCCAGTGCTGGGTGGAGAATTGGTCGTTGAGGCGACTGCTTCGTACAGCCCTGAGAAGAGTGGAGCCCTGCTGCTCAACAGAACCCCGCTGCTCAGTGATGCTGCCATGGTGACGGATGGTCATGTGGCTATTCATAACTGAAAGCGCCTTGCGCTTCTTCTGGTCTCGTCGCTCTCGTCTTCAAGTTTGAAGCAATCGATAGTACATCGCAGCAGTGTGGAAAGCGAGACACCCTGTGCCAACCAAAACCCAGACAGCCCAACGCCGGTCCTAGGATGAGCATATTCTCCACCGGCCATGCGACCGCTCATTGCTCGATGCGCCTTGCGCTTTTCCTTGTCTTGCGTCTCTTCATCTCGGTAAAGGGACGTAGAGCCACTATGCTGCGAATTGTGAGACGCGACGCATCCGAGATGGGAGGATGCTCCCTCTTTCCCCCCTCTTCGGTAAAACACCAGTGTGCCAATTATAGGAACCAGCAACCACCCATTGGCAGAAACGCACCATGGCGTGGACACCGTTCATTGACAGTGCGACAGTGCCCGGCGCCAAGCAGGTGCTGAAAAGACACGAGCCGGGCGCCATTGCCACGACGCTGGCAGCACGGTTAGTAGTTTGTCACAACCACAGCTTCGGCTTCTGTGTCCCAATGTGAACCCGAGGGCGCTGCCGGACAGGTGTTGGAGATACACGAGCCCGGCCCCTCACAAAGGGAACACAACGGACGGCCGTGGCTTGTTGCCATGAAAGTTTCTCTCTGTCCAGATGGACGATTATCAAGATGATAATTGAAGCATTCAATACGGTCTTTCTGTTTTGTCAGTCTCGAAAGACGCGTTGGCGGCGGGGCGCGCGACAGCCACGGAGTGGCCGGGAACTGGGTCTGAGAAGCCCTGCTCGGCTTCGGAGTGATGGCTAATGTCTCTGGTGAGATAATCCGTCTTGTAATTCATGGAGGGACTTCCCTCGTGTGATCGGACAAAGGACACGCTGACTGGGGTCCGGAGACAGGCGCAGACCCCAGTCAGACTGGAGACAGCTCAGGCAACCGACCCCAGATGGACTTCAAAGTCCCTGGGGTCTCCAGTAAGAATTTCCATTCCACACTCTACCGAGGCGTAACCCTGCTGCAGCAGTCGATCGAGAGACGACGATCGTCCTTGGGAAGAGACGCTGCGGCGCCTTTCCCGAAAGAAAGCCGAAACAAAGCCATAGCAGGCTTCTGCGTTTGTTTTTGATAGCGTCCCGGGACACCCAGAGAACGTGACACAGTTGTGCCACGATTGTGGCAGTTGTGTAAGAGTCTTACTCTACCTGGGTGCAATGGTGTGCCAGAAACAGGCACACGGGCACCCAGGTAGTGGCCGAGCCGCGTATGAGGAGAGACAGAGAACAGAATATAATAAGCTGCCTCTGATGGTGATGACGTGAGTAGATGCGAGTCTGGGTTTGGTTTTGGGTTTGGGTTTGCTCTGGCAGCTCGGTGTAGACGCGCAGAGCCAGACGCAGATATCTGCGGATGGGTAGGCGGATATTGCGAGGGATCTGGATTTGGATGTCAGGGTGAGACTGCTGCCTCTACCCTGGTCCGATCCCACAACTCGAGGGGAAGATGGGTCTGGTCTATCTCGACTGGGAGGTGCATCCCTCCCCCACCCCCTACATTCGGGGTGTTGATAAGACCAGGCCACCATCACGGTGAGATGTATGCACGATATCTGGTGGATAGATCCTTTTTCGAAATAAAGGGAAAGAGTCGTGCCAGTTAGGCAGCCACAGCGAACAAGGCACCTCGAGACACGAAGCTCGAATTTTGGCTTTATATGTCTTCGTTGTTGAAGAATGGCGACGAAGCAGCCACTGTGGCTCAAGACATCCTACCGCGTCTGAGAAAGACGTGCTGTTCGCTTCTTTCCACACATCCGACCCCCCAATCCAACCCAAACCGAAACCCAAACCCAGACCCAATTGGGCCATCTCGCCCCAGATGTTACTGGGGCTGAGGTGGGAAGCATTCTCTGTGGTAATTCACACCCACGACAAACAATTTCCAGTCGGATGAGCAGGCCGACACTGAGATTGATCACCAAGTCGACGTGACCACGTTTGGCGATGAGCACCGTAGAGATGGAATGCGACAAGCGTCTTGCGCAAGCTCGCCCCAGATCGTACTGGGGCTGAGGTGAGAGGCACCCTACGGCAACTAACGGCCGACTGTCAATGTGAATTGTAGCAATCGGCGCGACAGACATCGCTGGGTGGGGAAAGCAAGACGCCATTGTGGCCGGAGAGCCCCAGTTGAGATGACCAGATTTGGCCATTTGCACCATGAAGATGCCGTGCTGATGAGCATGGTGCGCAACGGCACCCCAGGCCCTGCTGGGAGTACCAGGAAAAGCATCCTCCGTGGTAATAAGAAGCCACGACATTTGAGTCAATGCCAACTAGCTTGAGAAAGCCAACACTGAAATTGGCGAGTCGACAAGAGACGCCCGGATTTGGCGCAGAGCACCGCAGACCGAGGCCGTGGAGAACAATGTGCCCGATGGCGCCAAATTGGCCAGGCACAGAAGCAGATTGCAACATGCCACAATAGTCACACGCAGCAAACATGCCAGCTATAAGCCCTTTCCTCTCAGTCATACTTCGCAGGACCGTGGGCCCTGGAGTTTGCTTTGATGATTACATCCTGGATGTCGTGGGTGTCGGACGACGGCAGATTGATCTGCTTCTGACGAGCACGGCCGCGCATCGCAGTTGGAGCAAGTAGCCCACTACTGCGATGACGGAGTTGACAAGACACGCCCAGCGCAGGTTTGCTGCTGGACGTGCTGCCCGTCAGACGCAGATTTGCTTCGGGACCGCTGTCGCTAGAACGGCAGCAGGTACACCGTGCAATGCATCGTATTGCCAAAGACCAAGATGGTCGGTCTTGAGGTGGATCACACGCGCTGGATTGCAGCGTGGATATGGAGACGACGCAGGTGGGCGAAGGGTTTCGCAATCTACACCACGTAGGGCGCTTTCGAACTCGTAGTCACAGACGACAATGGGCCGGGGCCCTGTCAAAGCTCTGATGAAACTTCGTGTCGACGAGTGGACGAGCGTCTTCGACGCCGATTCTCAGTTGCACGGCTTGGCAGATGCCGGCCGAACGCAAACCACTATCGGAGAGGTGGTCAACACAGGGCCCGTAGACAACGGAGTCCTGGAGAGCTTTCTCGTGTCGGCGCCGGGTGGGAACGAAGTTTTAAAAACTAACATTCGGAGAACGAGGTAGCTTTGGGGCGGAAACCGTCTTTCTTAGACAAGAAGTCGGTAAGAGGCAGAGGGAGGGACCGAACCATTGTGTCCGGATTCAGTAGCTCGTCACATTAACGAGACTCACAGGGGAGCTCGTTGTCGAGATACTCGAAAGTCAAGACTGCCTCGGCGGTGTTCCCAGACCCCCCGAGGCAGCGCCAGTGAGACAGTGTGCTCACAGGACCAGATATCTTGAACGTCGACGACGACGCCAACTTGCACTGGAACCTACACGACCCGTGCCTGTGCCGCAATTGCAGATTAAAACACTTTCGATCAAACGTTGAATGAAAAACCATTTGTCGAGCATGGAAACAACATTGTTGTCGCGCCAGCGCAATATAAATCCCGGGTGCCGATCACGGTTCCCGGAGCAGCGAAGTAGCATTGAGATGCTCTGCGGAATTCAGTTTCTGGTTCTGGGCAAGAAGGAATTCGTTCTGGGCCACGATGACTTGGGTGTCGATCGTGGGAAGGGTCACAGCAGCGCCCAGTTCCTGGGTCTCAGTGGGAACCGGCCAGTTGGTTGTTGGTGTGTCGGCATCAATGTTGACCTTCTCGTGAGTCGTCATTTGAGATCTCATTGTCTGAGACATCAATTGAAATCTCGTTGTTTGACAGGTTAGGGTGTCTCTAGGAAGTCGGTCTTCCGAGTCTCGACGGACACTGTCGAATGCCAATGGAAATTCATTCGATGAATCCAATCAGTGTGATTCTGGTGGAAGGTGCCGTACTCGTTCAGGGGCGGGGAAGCCAAAAGAACCAACTCTGTAGTAGTTGTCCTTGATCAGTAGACAGCGTCTGAAGGGCGGCAACTTGCTGATGTCCCCCCACCCCCAAAGAGTGAGGTGACACGATGGGTGTTGTGTCGTACCAGTTTCCAGTGCCCAGTGGACTACTGCTTCATTGCGAAGCGTTGGAAAGCCGAACCCCCAGGTTTGTATGGGAGGCACGCGTACCTGTATCTCTCAGGGAAAACGTCTGACTCGTAGGAAGCAGAACAGACGAAGCTGTATTGACTGCGGAGAGTCGATGGCCGCAGTGTCTATGCGGACAAAAAGAGACGGAATATCCAAAGGGACGGTCAATAGATCCATCCAGGAGAAGGGGCCCTTCCTGATAATGAAGGATGCCCCTTCTCCAGGCTTCGTTGTCGACTTTCTTGTCATCGATGGGATGTCAGACGAGGATGTTTTGCTCTATTTCATCATCGCCCCCTTTGGGCTCAGAGCATTTCACAAGACAGCGAATATCGTTCTCCAGGTTTTCCTTGTCGATTTGGTTGGAATCGAATGCATCATCATATCTTTTCTTCTATCATCGCCGCGTTACAGGTCAGATCATTCCACAAAGAACAACTTGGCGTGGAAGATGACGGCACCCCCCCACCCCCCACCGGGCCATGAAATGCCCTGTTTCTTCAAACTCCCATTTCCCATTCCTCCACTGAGTCAACCATGAATGATATCCCGGAACGGTCATAGGGAGAAAGAGTTCATCCCCCCCCAGTAAAACCAACACCAACACCAGCACAAGAATGACCCTGACCTGGTAGTCATTCTATGTGCTGGTGTATGTGCGGTTTGCGACACCAGACGAAAAATCCGACAGATGTCGGTTTTCGTTTGCCAGAAGGCACGAAGAAACATTTTGGCCTTGTCCGAAGGTCGGGACTGCCATTTTCTTCGACTCCAACAGGCGAGCAAAGGACGATCATAGATCGTATCTATCGATTCATGGATGGAGAGAACCAGGCAAAACGCCACCCCATGTTGGGCAGACGCAGACGGACACCCACACACCCGCACACACAGAGCATGGGAGGTGATGATAAGGTTACTTTCGAGCCACCAATACTTTGATAAACTCATTTTGCACTTCCATGGCAGTTAATGCCGAGGCCGAAGGATTTTCAAAAGCACGCCGCAGCGCAGTTATGAAACCGAAACCGCAGGAGACACACACCCTACAAGGGCGTATTTTCCAGTTCAACAGATGTTGAAATTTTCCGTGTGCTGTGTGGCAGGAGCAATTGGCTCTCTTGGCCATCCGTCATCGACCCAAGACATGAGGAGTCTCGCCGTTTTCATCCGAGACGCGTTGATCGAACAACCGCCGACTTGACCTGTCTGGCTTGACCGCCAGAACAACCGAAGACCGACCCCTATCCGGGGTGGAAGGAGACAAGAAGATAGGAGGTTTCGTTATTTCTGTTGCATGTGTCTCCTTGCTGATTCGTCGCGCAGCAGACCGGGCTGTGGGATGGTGGAATGGAAAACGAACCATAACCACCACCACCACCACCCCCGGCCCCCCTAGCCAGGGAGCAGTCTCACCATACATTTGGAGATTGTCGCACAGGACCCGGGACCCGACCCAATGTTGGGTGGATCGACAGACCGGAGGCGTCGTCGCCGTCAAGGATCGACGCCTCACGGTGCATCTCGACCTCCATCCGACGCAGACGGTCGAAACAGGATTTCTCTATTCTCGGCTAAGGTAGTCGAGAGCCATGCAGCGAAGCATCGCTTGGCCACCCTGTCCATGGGAGCGAAAGGACGAGGCGATGTTTGGGATCGTCGTCGTCATCTGCAGTAGAGAGGAGATGCGAGACGAGATATATCCACGACCAGCGGATCGACAACGATGTGTCAGTACTCGCAGCACTGACCACGGCAATAATGTGCCCAAATAAAACTTCTCTAGTGAGAAAATATATTTTTTTCAGTCTCACTTTGTAAAATTTCCAAGCGTTGTCTCTGCTCAGTATGAGAGAGCACAAACACGAGACCCCAATGGGTTCTCGTAATCGTCCCCGTGAGAAGTAGAGAAGAGCAGACAAACGCGGCCCTTTTCTCATCATCGTCATCGTCTCCCATGGAGACCTCTGCATGATGCAGGTCGAAATCGAGATGTCAGTGCCGCGCACCGACCACGGCAAATCTACGCCCGGACGTTAACGTTGTCCAGTAGGAGGTAGTGCCTTTTCCAGTTCCACTTTGTCGAGTCCCTGCCGTTGTGGTTCCTCTACACACGACGGCGGCGGATTTCTCAAGGGAGTCTTTGCAATGAGACAAGCTGCGGGGCGGATAGGAAGGAAGCAAGCACGCCGCCAGTGGTGCTGAGGTAGCGCCACCACCACCACCGGTGGCGCGTGCTGTTCGATGCCATATTAGCCTTGGTGCTTCCGGGTCTTTCTGGATAGTTGTTGCAGAGCAACAAGCTAAAAGCTGGCGGGATCCACAGATCTAATGTAATTTGCAGTGGACAACATTTCCGCAGCCATCGCAGACTATGCGAGAGAGCGCGCCAGTAAGACAGGTCGTAATGACCACGAGAAGGCCGAAGCTGCTCCTCCAAGAGACATTACTCGTCTGCGGCAGAACGGACCGACGTAGGGAGAAAGCAGCAATCGCGCCGCTAGCCCCGGGCTTTCCCGGCTGGGGAGCTGTGGGTTGGGGATTCTGAGCCTCAGCTGGCACGCTGCTTCGAAGACACGCACCAAGCGTCAGATAATATGACGCAGGAATATGTCTTCCCGCTGATGGGATTTAGACCCGTCGAGGGACCGTCAAATTGCTAGAAAGTGTCGTGCACGCGACATGTAGTCGGTGAGGAGCGAGTATCCAAAGCCGGAGATATGTTGAACCAGCGCCAACGGGTGGGATCGGGGGGATTCCGCGAAGCAGCAATGTTTCTTGCGTTGCTCTTCCGAGCCAGTTTTCAAAATGGCAGAAGCCATATATCCCAGATGGATATGAAGAGACAAGGTTATGCAAATTGTGGTATGCTGATCCCACCCGGTGGTTTCTGGCGACTGCCAGCGACGACAAGGTAACTCGATATATCTTCCGCAGAAGATATAGAGACTCGATGGTGCAATTCACAGCAGGCCCATACGGACCCTCCTGAGTAGATTTCAATCGCGAAACGCTGGATCTTGGCGCTTGCCAGCAACGAAGGCCGCAACGCCACTGAGAAGAAGAATCCGAAACTACCCCCCCGAGTCAGGATGCAGAGTACATCGCCGACCGGGGGAGAGAGGCCGCCCTGGGCGGTAATCAAAGTCTAGCCACACAAGGCCTAGAGCACAAAATTCTTGGCTGAAGAGCTGGTGGTGTTGCTGGTGACCAACGGACGGCAGACAACTGATGTTGAATGCCGAAAAAGGCGCATACTGCCGCTTGGGTGCGACAGCACGCGGCCACGATAAAACGCAACCCAAGAAAGATTGTTGGCTGAACCGCTGGTGATGTTATTGTAACGGAGCCCAGCAGCGAAAACGGACAGTACAGCAAATGCCGAAAAAGGCATTTCCTGCCGCTTTGCGAAGACAGCACGCAGGCGCGATGAAACGCGGGCACCCAGGGAGACCCCATTTCGCATCGGAAGGGAGAGACAAGCACTGAAGAAAGTGGCTTGCCAATATTCTCTGCGGACATTTTGCACAGCGACAGACACGGGCTCCGGGACGGGCAAAGGCACAGTCCGTGGGGCACTGATGGCCCTCTCTTCGACCCAGAAGCTGGGTTCGGTGTCGGATAGCCAGCCAGTCCAGTCGGACAGCGACAGAAGGCAAATTTCCCCATTTTGAAAGAGGAGTTGGGCGAACAAAGCGCATTTCAGCCGAAGAGAATATTGTATCATGTGGGGACGGCTTTGGAAAGAGAGTAAAGAATCGCCTGCGATGGCGTCCAGCTGTACAGCACAGGACGCCACGCCCTTCAGTGGAGGTATTTCATCTGCCCTCTCCGAATTGTCTCCGTGTCACTTTTCGGCGGGAAGACGGCAATTTCTTCGTCATCGTCATCGTCATTGTCGTTGTCCTCAGTAAAGATATCGTAGCTGTATTGGGTCACGTGCTGGGGGAAAATGTCTGCTTGCTACCTGACCAGTACAATGCGGACTGACTGGACTGGACTGGACTGGACTGCGACCTCCTCGTCGGGTCCGAGCCTGCTCTGAAGCCGGAGTGATCACCCACTCCTGGCTGAAGACCTCGAGTGGGCTATCTGCTGTGAGGAGCAGATAGTGCTTGACAGCCTGGATGTACAGGTTGTCGACAATCGCCTCCGTGCCACTTTGTAATAGGACCACAGAATGAGTCTGTGGTGTGGTCTTCGGTGACCCTGTCAAGCTGCATCGAACTGATGAACTTGGCGTTGTAGGCTGGGCCGTATCGCTCGCCGGCGTAGGGTAGGGGTTTCCAACCATCTCAACGAAGAGGTAATCTGAGACCGTTCAGGAGAGTTGTACTCTGCTTGCCCAACGGGAAGATATCCCCCAGATCAAAGGGGTCCACACCAATATGATGCGCGACAATCGAGCGCGGCAGCAGAAGAGACGAGCCGGCATAGTGATACGTACCACTGCCGGGGCCAAGACAGTGTTAAAAGAACTGTCTGGCGTTGGAGGCCGAAAAAGAACCTCAACCGAGGGTTCAGTGGGTCGAAGCCGCACTGACGTTGCTGGTGACTCTTGTGGATGACCAAAGTCTGCTGAAAGTGGCGTTGGATGCCTTTCTCTTTAGAAAGGACCAACAATGTAGCAATTGTCCTTGATCTGTGCGTTGCAAGGAGGTACCCAAACACGCGCGGTTTCGAGGGGACGCAGCCCTAGTGCGGCAGTTCCGATGTTGAGATCCGATACTGATTGCCAGATGGCGGACACAATGTGTCTGACCATGGACACCAACCACATGGCTCATGCCATTTGGCGGTCTTCGGACAGTGGGAATGGGGGCATCCAAACAGCTGGACTGCCCCCATGGCTTCGTTGCCCTTGTGGTGGTGATACTTACACCGAGGATTTCGAGTGTAAACACCGGCAACGGCACACCGGGTTGATCGCAGTTTAGAAGAGACTAGCCACATATTGTCGCGAATCTTAACTGATCTCGACCTTTGTCGAAGACCAACCGGGACCAAGAAGGAGTTGAGCAGGAGCTCGTTGGCATTCCAATACCCGTTCAATGCGCCGCGGCGCACGCTTTAGGAACCTGCACGTGGCAGGAAGGGATGCCGAGAAGCACGACAACGATAGCGAGTTGCTATGCGTGTCTGCCTGGCACAATTGGAAAGGTCCGTCTGGCACAGATGAAAAGCAGACCGACCGACGGCCGAAGATGACCGAGCCGTCGCGCATTGGGCGACGTTTGGAGAAGCAGCTATTGACATGTCCGCCGAGGACGACAGCATAGAAGAGAGCAGGGAGTCCTTTGAGTCCAGAAGAGAGTCATCGCCTGAGAGGGGAGATGTCTCCAGTAGGAAAAGAGAGAAGATAAAGTCGAGTAGGGAAGAGAAATATAAAGACCCCGTGGGGAAGGGAACATCAACAAGCTGATCCGGTGGGGAAAGGGAACAACAAGACCCGGTAGAGGGGGGAACCGTAAACAGAGCAATAGAAAGGGTAACGCCAAACAGGGGCAATACCACGTTGTTGCCGGCGGCGATACAGGAAACAGCGCGATGCAACACGTTGTGCAAACCGTGCACGTTGAAGTGGCACCAACCATATTTCGGTCCTGGGTAGCCCGCACACTCGTCCACTTGCTGACAACATGGCAACTTGTGGACAGGAGGATACAACCAGATGAGAAGACGGACGATGCAGCATAAGTACAGACATCTCTTGGATCCTCAATAGACTGGTGAGAGACGAGAGGTGGAAAACATAAAATATCAGAGCGATGATATATGGTGACAGAAGACTGCCAAGGCAAAAGGAGACATCCTCTCCTGGGATTCAGGGTATCCTTCGGACGTTGGCGTGTATCCCAAACAAGAAACAAAGACGGATCAAGAAAACAGCCAGATCAAAAGCTATTGTCAGTATATAACAATCCTCAACAGCAAACAGAGAGAAGGAATAAGAAAGGAAACATATCAAAGCATATATATCAACTCCTCCCAGGACCAGCAACAATGAGTCCTTCCATGACTGCACACGAGATGGTTGAGACAGGATATCGGATACACCTGCAAGGTCAAGGCATGAAAGACGAAGAAGAAAAAGAGAGCGGGGGAGAAGGGGCGCGATGGGGTATTTATATTCGCACTTCAGGCTTCTGACTAAGATATATTCGTGAATCTACAGCACACGGAGCACCGTGCCCGGCAGTGTTCCAGAGTTGAGGACGCAGTGCATGGGGGGTTCCCAAGTTGAAAGTCCAGTGCATGGGGGCGTTCCAAAGTTGAGGAAATAAGTGCATGGGCGTTCCAGACTTGGATGAGGGGTATATGGTGCTCCAGCCAGTCTGTCCCGTCAAGATTCACGGCGTGAAAAATCTATCGTAGGGCATCACTACAAGCGGGATGGGCGACCCAGGGATGGGTGAGGTAGGACAAAAAAACCCCTATACCCGATTGCGTAAGGTGCAGGGAGGAAATGCTTGGATGCCTGGGGACGGGCAAGCTTGGGAAAATGGGAACCTGGAATCAGGGGAATATAACATCATGGGAATCGTTGCACTAGCATACATTCATTCGAGGAGGGTCGGATGTGACAAGCAAATCATATGCCGCATCGGCGACTCGGGAACCACTAACAGATCCACTGGAAGAGCAGCTACATATTAACAGGCCCGGATGGCGGTGCAGGTTTCGAAGGGATTATCAAGGAGGGACAGATGCCGTCCGGGGTCCGCCAGCAAGCTGCGGCGATACTTCGGGCAGTGGCCGCGGAGGAGAAGTTGTCCCCGACAGGAGGTATCCAGGGCGTATTTGAAGAATTGACGATTGTTTCCGGCTCTGCCGTTTCGACGGAACATGGCATCGACGGCGCGGACATAGGCCAGGCAATCGGCGCAGAAGTCCACCTGGTCGCGCGGGGAGCTCCTCGCGTAGAGGAACCCGGCTGGTCTGGGGTGAGCTGGAGGGTCGGAGTGAAGGCGGACGAACGTACCACATGCGAGGAGGAGCAGGGCCAGGGCTCCGAGAGCGACGGGGACCTGACGAAGTCTCATGGCGCCAGTGATGGATGTTGAAGGTAGGGCCAAGTGACGGGGTCTCGGGTCTACGCGCGACGCTAATGTCAGGGGCGGGTGGAGGCCTGAGGGGCGGCGGAGCGACGCCGGTCAGGGTCCGGCAGCTGCCTCAGGCCGCAAAGGTACCGTGGTGGAGGGCAATTCGGCACTGATGCCCAGCAGTGAGAGCCAACTGCAGTCGCAGGAACGCCTTCTGATACACCAACCGCTCGTGCGCGCTGAGTCGCTCCGAGGCCACCAGGTGTCCGATCTCCTCCATCTGCTCGTCCAGACCCGGGAACAGCCCAGGTCCGTCGGGGCGCCGCACGTCCACACCATTTTCGGCAGATGTATATACACTTTCTGTTTCTTTCCATCTTTCTGGCTTCCTCTTTCGGTGGGGTCATGGTAGACTTTACTAGATATACGGTCTTTTTTTCTTTCTGTGGGATTAAGATCGACTATACTAGATAGACACACTTTCCCTCTTTCTTTTCACCTATACTCTTTCCTTCTTCTGTCCGCCCTCTTCCTTCCCTCCCCTCCACCATTTCCACTCATTCTTTTTCCCCAGGCCGTCCAGTTCAATTCCATATAGACCAGATTCACCACCTCCTTCACTCAATCTCCCCACCCAGGCATACTCGGCAACTCGGTTGACCAGTAAAGTCCATGCCAGTCTCAGTGAATCTCGCCTTCACTGCCTCGTAACGCCGGTGCAGTGGGCCATGCCTCACGATACTGAATACGGCAGTCACTGTTGCAGCGATTCTAGGGCAGTGACTGCCTCATTCACCATCGCTCCTGCCCTGTTGACCCCCCCAACCCCCCCTTCTCGCCGCCTTCGACGCGAGCATAAATACCCCTCAACCCCCCTCTGCCTCCATCATCTGCTTTCTCCCCTCCACGCTTCAGACATCCCCTGGCTGGCAACCAACAAAGACCTCTTCCACCTTCCGCTCATCCCTTCCTCCCTTCCTCCTCGGAGTGGTACACAAGAACAACATCGTCTCTCTCTTCCACTTCTTTCTCCTATCTTCGGAGTGTGGCATCAACATCATGTCTCCCTTCCACTCGTCTCTCCTTCCTTCATCGGGGTGACTACCAGATCATCATCATGCATCCCTTCGACTTCTTCTCTCTCCTCCTCATGTACTCATCCTCCTCTCTTCGACCTGCCTCACCCACCCGAAATTTCATCTCCTTTTCTACCCATCTTCTCATCTTCGACATTTCCTCCACCTTCCTCCGCATCTTCCGACAATACCACAACCACAACACGATGAGGTCCGGAGTTGGCGACTGGTCTGGACCACACCCGACATGGGCTAAACACCATTTTAAGACCCCCTGGCATCCGACGCTCTTTATGAACGTTGTGGCCAACAGTCTTTGGGGCACTAAGGTGTGGCCTTGTCGGATGGTCTTCTGATCTTTCCGTCCTTCTTCGGCCGATTTGTCTTCCCTTCCTGTCGACCTGCGCCTGCACGGCAACACATCCGATACGAAGTCGAGTTATTCCTTTGCGAATTGCCCAACTTTCCTTTTGACCACCTAGCTTCTTCTCGTCTTCAACACTTGGCTTGGACATGCCTCCCCTTGCAACTCGATGCGGAGACTTAGTCATGTCTACGGTGCAATCCTTCTGGTACGTTTCTCCACCTTGCCTGCTGTGATGGCCATACTAACCTCATGCCTCGTCGGACTCCCGAAGTGACAGGAACTGGCAATACGGATGGACAACTATGACTGACTTGGCCACCACTCCCTCAGGCCGGTATGTCCTCCCGCCTGCGGTTGAGACAGTTGACTGACCTTCAGAGTCTTCGGCAGGGACACGCAGGAGACAGGCTGCAGCGAAATCGGGATGGCGCGAAGGGACGCGACGGGATGGGATACCGGTTCAGGGGCGGAGGATCTACGGGCACTGGCTGGGATAAAGGGTCCGGGGATGGAAGGCTGTGGGAGGATTGGGGGGGAAATGGAGGATCACGGGTCAAATCATGTATATAACACTTCGCCTTGATGGCTGCCTGGCCGTCGGCGACCGGACCGCGACTTGCTCGTGCTGTACCCGGGTATCGGCAAGCAGCAACCCATCTGCCTATCCAACATGAACACTTCCTTCCGAAACGGCCTCGGCGATAGTGACAAAATCGAACCACAACCCGACCAACTACTTACTCATACTCCACCGCGATGCCATCCTATCCCCCTTCCTTTCCTTTATCAATGCTTCTCCAGACGCGATAGCGACCCACAGTATTACTTTCACGGTGATTATATAATTATATAATCTTAATCAATTTGCTTGATCGGCCAGACCAGACCGTCCGTCACTGTCACTGTTAATCTCGAGCCCGGACGGTCGAATCGAACTTCCCCGGGCGGATTGTGAGCGCGCGGGCATCCAGACTGGTTTACTGATACCCGGTCTATTCCAAGACAAGGGATGGTATGTATGGTATGTATGGCATGTATGACATGCATGGCATGTATGGTATGCATGGCCTGCAATTGACTGGCAGTTGAATGACCGTTGAATGTTTGATTTTAATGTCTGCCATAGGTTAGATGAAATCACATCATCATATACCTAGACCAGGGTGCTGTGCTTAGGCAGGTTTATATATACTATACCTACGTACCTATCTACCTATCTACCTACTTACCGACTGAGTGCAAATGCAGATACGATACGATACGACACTTCGATCGTGGGATGGGAATGAATCTGCTTCCCGCCGCAAGGATATTAGCGGGGGTACCACTCATTGTACGAATAGGTTCGCGAGAGGAATGCATTGGCGAGGGTCATGTTGGATTGGGATTGGGCTGGGATATTAAATAAGGTAAGGAAGGTAGGTAGTTTGGATGGATTGGTTGCGCGGTCGGGAAATACGATACGGACGGGGATGGGTACGGGTACGGGTACGGGTATGGGTTTACGGGTCCGGTTATTGTTATTTATTATATAACAGGTTGGCTGACAGCTCAAAAAAGATCAAAAGAAAGGAAAAAAAAAAAAAAAAAAAAACTCAGTATTCAACTACATCCTAGAAAACATTCAGAGTCGAGACATCCATGCATACATTGGACATTATTTCCTAAATAGTTACTTGTACTCGTACGCATACCCATACTCATACTCATACTCAACAACGGTCGCGACGCTCAACGAGGCGAAGAAAATCCATCCATCCATCCATCTAATCTCAATCGAACCGATGAAGGCCACATCAATCCCGGACAGACGATACCAGACATTAGCGAGAGATCCAGACATAAGCGGGAGATAGCAAGGGGGGGGGGGCAGTTCGATAAGTATAGAAGAAAGAACATCACGCCGGCCTCTGCCCGTAAACAATGTGCACCTTCGTATATAGATGCAGATTCAAGTCGCACAGTTCCCGCCTCATGCCGGCGACGAAGACCTCGATCTCGGCTCGTTGCCAGCCCATGACCCGTGTGAAGAGCGCATAGCAGTATGGCCCCAGAGCCTCGAACATGTTTTCCTGGTGGCATCGGCCGAGTTCTTTCATTTTGCGGTCTCTCGGCCAGGGGCTTTGAGGGAGCTGGGAACGCCAATGTCAGTGATGCGTACGGAGCGGGTGGGATATAGTAGAGCGAAAAGGGGGGGGCACCTTGTAGATATCTTCGCGGACATTGACGAATCCCGTCCGGTGCATCATTTCCTTCCAGCCGAGCACACTGGCCATGTTCTTGCCGCTTCGCCGGGAGCAGTCGTGCATGAGCGAGATGCCCTCGAGCAGGTTCCTGGCACCCAGATGCGTGCCGTCGTCCGAATACGTGTTGACCTCGATTGACGCCATCTCAAGCCATCCGTTGGGCCTCAGGTTGGCGTACGCCTGCGAGAATAAACGGCCCACGTCGCGGATGCACCCCTCTAATTCACGCCCGTGGATGTAATCAAAGGGCATTTCGTATGACCATGGGGCCTCGAAATCGTCGACCTCGAATCGGCAGTTGGGCGAAGTCCTGCGCGGTCAGTCGCGCCCGCCCGATGGCAGTCGAGGGCACTTACCAACACGGTTGGATGGCACTCAGATCGTTTCCTACATCGCCCGGTCAATGGTCCGCCTTCGTGGTAACTAGGGACTCATCTTACCAATCACTAGGGACTCGGGGTGCTCGCTGCAGTCGAGCGTTAGTGCCCGCCACGGGAACATCTGTCTCATCGGTCCGCTCACTCGGCAAAGGCCAGGGCCCAAATCCCCGTGCCCGTCCCAATGTCCAACACGCGCGCTGGATTCTGGACGGGGGCTTTCATCAGCTCCCCGCGGAGGACCATGCGATATATGTGGTGGCTCTGCTCCGGTCAACATTCTGCTTGGGTCGGTCGCTCCGGGGGCGCCACTAACCAGGTCAAGACGGTCTTGTTCTGCTTCGTCGTTGGGCTGTGAGATCAGTTCGGTGACTTGGCATGGAAGGGGCGGTCGGGCGGCGGAGCATACCAGGAAGTATTCGCCCTCGTGGTAGGAATGGTATCTGCGACCGTTCTGCGAAACTCAGCCAGGAAGTCGGCGGGGTGGGGTGAGCGAGATTCCATGAGATACCTCATATCTACGGGGGGTCAGCGGTCGCACGGAATTCGCGAACGGGGCGGGCCATACGTATAGTTCAAGGCACTGGACGTGATGCTGGTGGTGTAGCTGGCATCGCCGAGGCTAGATAGGTCGGAGTCAGCGCGAACCACCGGAACACACCGTGCGGTCGCGGCTATGAACTTACGAGCCGGGATAAGTGGAGTCGTTGTCATTGTCGTTGTCGAAGTCCTGTCACAGCAAAGGTTAATCCCACCCGCAGGCGCAGGGCGAAAGGGGGACAAACGTCAGGTTCGATGACCATAGGGTCCACGTCGTAAGGCTGTTCGGAATCCATGCTGAGAGGCGAAGACGGTCGGAGGTGCGAAGCGGGAAGCGACCAGATTAAGAGGAGATGATGATGAGGGGAAGGGCTAGACGGATAGAGGATGGACTAGGGTGAGTGTGAACTGCGAAGGGATCGGATCCCCCACTAGCAGAGTCGACACACGAGAATTGTCGGGGGGCAGACCGAGAAAACTCCAGAACTCGAAGAATCAAGAATAGGGGGGGCCGATCGAGACTCCCCACGGGGCGAGGGAGGGGGAAGAAAACAAATAATAATGGGGACACCGAAGGAGTCGGGGGGCATGCAGTCCAGACCGATCCTGGATGAAGAAGAGACTGAGAGATGCAGGCAAACGATACTTTCCCAGGTCAGGTCCTTGAGGTCCTTAAGTTCCCACCACCAAACCCCATGCGGGATAACCGTTTTTCACTGGAACCCTGGACCAACAGTAGTGCCCGAGTCTCTTTCTTCCTTCTTTGGCTATTTCCCTGCTGTCCGGGTGGCGGTCGCTTACGGATGCAGTAGCCTTTGCCGCGGAAGGGATCAGGTTGCCAGGGATTCGAGGCAGACAAAGGAATCGGCTCGACTGCATCCTTCAGCTGACATTTCTCCTTCCACGGAGATCAGGGAAGCCATCGCACCCCTGAGGACAGACCGCCGAGGAAAGGCCCTGCGGAAGCAACGGGGCCGCGGAAAGCCTGGACGACTGAAGAAACCCACCGGTGACACATGGCCATCTGCACTACCCAACTGGGTACCAGTCCCGCTACCCTACCGATCAGGATCGACAACGCTGCCCCTTCACACCCTTCCACCCACTCAGTTCCTTGCCATGTCCTCCGTACCTTGACCTCGACAAAGGATCAGCTGGCGACGGGTGACCCGCCTGAAGAACTGCATCCCGGACACAAGTTTCTCCTGGAATTTGGGATGCCATGATGCATCCTGCATCCTGCGTGATGCATCAGAACCAAGACAAGCAAGCGTGCACGGTGCCCCTCAGCTGACATTCGAATTCGGCCTGGAATTGAATGTCGGTGACATCGTGGGGGGAATCGAACTAGTAGGGAGCTATTAGATATTTAACCACCACCCAGTGAAGACCTGGCGCGCTGCCTTCTTCGAGTCTGCTTTCCTTCCTCGGACTGCCTGCCGCCGTGCAGTCTGCATCTCCACCCCCCCGTGCCTTCCGTCGGGGAACAACGATCCCCTCGCGCCCATCCGCGTGAAAAGGATATCTAAGGTGCATCATTATCCATACTAATAATCAAAACCCTGCCCCTCCAGCGATGGTGGAGCGTTGTTGATGCCCCGCCTTGGACCGAGTCTGCACCAATGAAGACGCGCCCTGGCTGTCCAGGAATTCTTCGCGCCCCGTTCATTCACCCAGTTGCCACCGTTGCAAAGACAAGATTGAGGTGAACAGCGTCCAAATGGGTCCGACGCGATTCGGCTCGTCCCCTGCCTGCCGTTGGATAGTACACCGTATCTCCGCCGCATCTTCGACCACTGACGACACCGGTCGCCTCAACCCAGAAAACGAATTTCATGATGCGGCATGTCATTGGACAGGATGGCCTGGTTCTGCCGCCCTGCTCGTTCTAGGCCTTGTTCTCCCATCCGGATGATTCCCCCGTGCAGGAGACTCCCTCGCTCCTGGACCAGACCTCTCAACATATGGGAAGGTAGAATCCCGGCAGCGTAATCAAGGCAACCACCCCAACCCTCATTGACCACGATGCCAGTCAATACACGGTACTCTGGAAACTATCTCCGATCGAGCAACGACTGCCTCTTGTGAGCTCACGATATCTCTCCGCCATCTTCCTGACCAACTGCGTCGTGATTCCAGGCCACCCCGACGGCGACCGACGTCTAGTCCTTGCGCGGGACTTTTAAGCGACAGGGGCATCTGATTCGCGGGGTCGCTCCGAATCTGAGACACGGTGGTCGGCATGAAGTACAAAGTACATCATGTGGTGAGATGTCCTCCCGCCTCTGGTGTTGAAGCAAAACTCCGGGATCCCATCCCAGTCTATCTACAGACTGAGGACTAAGTGGCACGAAAGTACTTGCGTTATGCTATGCACCCACGCCCTTCACATCGAGGTACATGGGTAGTAGCAGCTTCTGTTGAGCCGTGGGGTCCATCTCTTGGTGTTCCGTCCCCGGCATTTGCGGCGAGTCAGACGGATCGAATGCCACGTCATCCAGTCTACCGGGATACAGCCAGGGAAAAGTGAACCCCAGTTAGTTATGCCTTTGTACTGTAGACTAGCAGGAGGAGGGTCACTCAATCCCTTCAACGGTCTCCTCACCACCCCGGTATACCGCGTCCCGGCAAGAGCCAATCCATGTGGTTGACGGGCTGGGTGGGGAGCCAGTAGCCGGTCGATGTCTGTTACTGGAAGTGGTAACTAGTCGAGAGGAGGGAGGGGGTGTTCGGTGAACTTTGGAGCGCCCCTGTTGCAAGGTTGCCTATCACAATGGCGGCCGTGACGCACCGCCGCATCTGGCAGCTTATCGGATGGTTAGCCTCGGATAGTTCCCGCGGATGGGGGGTGGAGCACGCAGTAGGTACTGGAGTACTCCGTACATACTCACGAGTCACTGGCTGTCACGCTGCCTCTGCTCGTATCGCGGGATTTGCTGGACTGGACGGATCGAAAGTCGAATCTGCTGCGGGGCTGACTGGGCGAAGGCCCATCCATGCCAGGCGATGATGGGGGAATCGGAGAGCATCGATGACGACCGCCGAAGAAGGACGCCGACCGAAGAACCCCGGCCGCAGTCACGGGACCGCCCGTGACTCTGCCTCCCGCGCCTTTCCTTTCTTTCCTCTTCTGCTTCCTCGCATATCCTCTACCTGCCTGCCTGTCTGCCTGTCTGCCACTTGCTGATCCACCCGTCGTTTTCTGGTCTGCTGAAGATGAGAGCTGCTAAACCGTCTAACGGAGGGATATCCCTCACACAACCCGTTCCCGTGCCTGTGCGGTGGCAGGTGAGCGCCCTGTCCTACCCCCGACATGCTGACGAACGCATTGGAAGTCAGAGCCACAACCCGCGACGACAGGCATCATCATGCGCCAATGAGCTGTCCCCTCTCTTGATAACCCTTGCCCCAATCCCTCCCAAGCGACCGAAACCGGCGACACCGTGGACACAGGCACGCATAGCATAGCATACATGTCACCTGGACGACTATCCGTCTCCTCTGATACTACCTCAGTCCGGCATTGAGGATACCTCCACGTCGGGCGCGCTGCATCCCAACTGTGAGAAGTCGTCCGATATGTCCCTGCGGTTATCTCCCCACAACAGAATAACCCGCATGAGACAACTTGGCAGCTCCCCTTGTCGGTCGCAGGAATACCCTTTTGATGGATTGTCCAAGTCGCCGGGATCTCGTGTATGGGCACAAAGTACCTCCCTTTGGATTGGGGCTCAATGGCACGCCGCATGAGGCAGAACAAGCAACTGTCTGTGCGCAGCCAATGTCTATCAGCAGCTGCGATGACGATGGGTGTATGACGTGTCTAAAAGCTTAAGCACTATCTTGCTTACTCTGATGGGCTTCGACCTGACATCATTCCGATCAAGACATGAATTGGAGCCCATATTGTGTCGCGTCCGGCATACCTGATAAATGGCACCCTTTCCGTGAGAAATAACGGTTCTTTGTCGTGTCGGGAAAGGGGAAGCCGAATGTGACCAGCCAAGGCGCTGAACGGATAGTTCAGGTTGGCTGGGAGACTTTCTGGGTAAACTTCCGGTCAAGTATCGCTGAGATCACTCTCCGCCGTAAGCACTTATGACTCATGTTACAGACCATCCAGGTCCTGCTTCCGAGATGACCCGCGTCGCAAGGCTCTCGGTAGTCTGGGCAACTCTACGGGACATTGTAGATTCCAACATACGGAGCCCGATTACGCGATAGAATTGATGGTTCTGACAGACTGTCAGCACCACTTGATCCGGCAGCGTCTTCCCATCCGGCTTTGCTCCTCGGACAGGCTTAATACCCTCATCCAAACACCAGGGGGGCCCCTCCATAAATCCCTGGGTCCCCTGTCTGCATCCTCGTAGCCATGGTGGCCCCAAAGAGTGACGATGTTACCCGACCCACGAGCGACCCTAACCCCTGATCATAACGCATGCGTGTGAAATCGTCGGAAATGACAAGATGTAGATCGTTACCGAGGATCATCATCCCTGATCTTCCCCGTCCCCAACGCCAGTTCTCCACGTGTCATGCCCGCAAGTCAAGCTGGTTGTGCTCAGTTGCATTATCCCACTCACATAGCTGGACAATCAAAACCGAAATACTACAATAACATCCAATCCTCCTCCATCCTCCACCATGTCTCCTCAACATACAGAGTACTACCCCTTCAGTGCCAGCAGGCATCATTGCCTAAAATCACACTGTACCCAACTCGACGTTGAGAAATGAATCGCCCCACACTGTCTTCCTGCACGTCGTATTGTCGTATAAACCGTATCTACCCAAGGTACCTAGGCACCAATAATGTCTCCCTGGAAGCTGGTCAGATTACTAGTTCTCTGGGGAATGCATTTACCCTAGATAAACCGAATTCGGGGCCGCTTTACTTCCTCTGGAATGGGTCTATTGTATTTCCCTCTTATATAGTATTATTTGAATTTGTTTTGTATGTTCGAAATAAATTAAATCCTGGTCGTGTTCGGTTCGCATTCTACGGGGAATGGTAAATACACGGTCCTGCTTCCCGATCACACAGTCTAGATATACTTCCCCTCAGGCTTGATAGCTCGGGGACGGCGCCTCATGATTCATGATTCATCATTCGAAATCAAAGCAAATTAAACCGGCATGGATTTCGTTCAATCATCAGTGCCCCTCAATGAGCATAACGGGCTGACCTCCTTTCGTCGGAAGATATATATATATATGGACTATCGACATTTCTCCTGCATAGGTAAGAAGATATAGTTAAATCAATTCGCCGCAGAAGAAAACATTTCCAAGCTACCGATTAAGTAGACTCTTTACAGCCGAGGACGCGAGATATATCTACCTACGTTTTTACTGTCTCGTTGCAGATGAAGTATTGTGGTAGTATTGGCATTTTCTGTTGGAAGCACTCGAAGTCGGTCGCCTGAAGAAGGATTCGGTGAGGGGTCTGGATGGTGAGTCTAGTCTTTCCTGTCCGAACGGACTTTCCGGATCTCTAGAGTGGAAGTTGGCGAACGCAGTCGGTCTACCTGTGATGCGGTATTTAGGAACAACTCTTTGGAAGCCCATAGACTGACAGGAGTGGCTTACCGCTTGGCTCGAAGGTATTATAGATAGTCTTCGCCTCATCGCACCAATTCTTCGTTCAGGTGCAAGATTATATCCCCCTCTGACCCCAGTATCGGCAATCTATCCGTATCCCTAACTATTATCATCTGCGCGCTGCATCTCAGTATATCACAGAATCCACAGTAAGAACTAAGCAGCCAGCCAGAACTCGTCATCGCGGCCCCATCATGACTACAGTAGTAGACAATAGACAGTCGACACTAGATAAACAGATAAACATCTCGTCCGTCCGTGCCACAGCTCCCCCCCATCCCCATCACAAATCTTCCGTTTCCAGCACGGCCACCCAAGCCGCGTATCTACTTACTTACTCTACCACGGATACCCCTTGGAAACGGGAATCTTCACCGAGATGGTCGATCGATAGCCCCCCATCCACGGTCAGTGTCCCAACCACCCATGTTTCGCCCTACAGCCACCCCGATCGGGCAATCATATCCGACGGAAAGCGGATGTTCGTCTGTCATTCGAATCCAATCCATCCTGAAACAGACTAAGATACACCTCTTTATCCCCACGGCCCCCGTCAGCCATGTGTTGGCGAACACGCGGTTCATCGGAGTCCTTTATTCTGGCAGATATCGCCGAGTCAGTTGGTCTGGTTTGGTTCAGTATCGGTCGTCGCGAGGATCCGTCATCCCATGCGAGGCAGATGTCATCCGCGTAACGGTGGGGTGGTAGAGTGGAGCGGAGTGATCGAATAGTAGGTAGGTACAGGATACTCCGTAAGGTTCACCGGTATGACGGTAGTTAGACTACCTACCTAATTCCATGCGTAAAAGCGGCCTCCAGCCGTGCTGGGTTGGGTATAAATCTTGTGAGAGGGATGAACTGCATGAATCCACCCTCCTGCTCCATCCATACGGAGACCCCCGGCGACATTAGTAATTTGATTCATCTGCGGCGGTGTGTCGACGGGTGTAGTATTTTCCTCGGGGATATATATATTCTTCTCCATGTGAGACAGGCCCCCATCGCTGGGATGGTTAGTCGGGCTTGGCGGGAGGGAGGGAGGACTGGGTGTGGTGTGCGGTGTCAATGTTGAGAGATTGTGTGCATAGCGTGCTGCCTAATGTGGGTTTGGGTGGGTGGGTGGTCGGTCGGAGTATTGTATACCCTGTACGGTAGATGGCATCGATTCGGATACTTCGCACTTCGTACTTCGTATTCATGGCGGATGCCTATTGTGGACTGAGCAAGACAAGATCGATAGCAAGTAGGTAGTTAGTAGTGTAGGGCTGCCCCATCCGATGGAAATGGAAAAAAAGATGGGCGGTTCATCGCTGTGGCTGAGTCAGACCGAAGGGTGACGTTTCAACGATTACGTGGGACTGTGTCTGTCTCCGGAAACATCTCTCACATCCAGCCCGGACGGGAGGAATGATTTTCAATGTCGAGGGTCCGGAGGCGAGGCGAGGCAAGGTCGACGATCAGCACGCGACCGTGTTTCAGACGATCCCGAACTCACATGTCACGATGACCGGGTGGGTGGCTATGAGAAATTCCAGGCGATGTGCATCCGCTAGTACTTGTGGTGGTACTTCCTTCCGGCAGGGATGGACGGCCAAGTCTTCCAGGCCTCCGACGCCCTCCACGGGGCGGTGATGGACAGGGGAGGGGAGGGGGAAGGGAACGAGGGGAGTGTGACAGGCCACAGCGAAGGGTCGTCTCATCATCGATTGAGTTTCGTTGTATGGAGTAGCATCCCAGCTGTAACTGTAAGTTGTTTCGCAGGGACAGGTACAGACCACCCGTTCGTACGTTCCGCAGGTACCCGGTCTCCAGAACCGCAGGCACCGCAGGCACACCAGGCACATCCAATGATCCCCAGCGGCCGACCGAGGCGCTACAAAGAACAAAGTTTGGCCCCGGTTATAAATAACACGCGGTGCCAGGAACAGCAGGTACGCAGCCAATCCAAATGACGGGTGCCTAGACCAAGTTGTAGTACCAGCAGCTCACTCGCCACACAGCCCCCCCTCGGGGTGTGCTTGCGCGGCCCCTGGGGGGATCCCCCATTGGTGGCGGCTAGGGCTAAGCCTCGGGTTTTCTGCAGTAGTGGAAGCTTGGCAGGCGGGGATGACCAATCAGACCGACAGTCTCCGAAGGCGGTGGGCGGCCAACGTCACGGGGGGCCCCGGACGGCCGCGTCACAGGTACAAGACGAGGCCGTCACAATCCCGTCACAGAGTGGCAGGGCCCATCTCAGCCGGCCCAGGAAGGGCAGGTGGCCGCCAAAGGCAGCAAGGCAGGCAGGCTCATCCCTCACCCTCACCATTATTGGGCGCAGTTGCGTGATGCAGGAAGCGGCACCACTGCAGCACTGCAGCACTGCAGCACTGCAGCACTGCAGCACTGCAGCACTGCACCACTGGCAGCCCGCTTCCAAAAAAAGGTCCCAGGTCGCTGACTTTCTCCCCCCCCCCCCTCCCTCCCTCCCTCATTTAAGTCCTTTTCTCGCCTTGAATTCGGGCGTGTTTCTGGTTGTCCCGTCACTCTGCCTTTTAGCTCCCTCCATACTAGTCTATCTACCTACTACTACCATCCTCGCTCCACCCGCCGCCCGGCCCTCCATCACCTTATATTCCACCCACGGTTCCTCGCCTTCTCCCCCAGATTCACCACCACACACAAGCAACCATGTCTGCTCCCATGGCCGCCCCCATGCCCCCCCAGGACCGCCCTGATACCGGCCACTCTGCCGGCAAGAGCTCGCTGTCCAGCAAGTCGGACCCGAACCAAGCCCTTCGGGGCGAGGAAGCCAGTACGTGCCCCGGAGATTACCCTTGGCTCGTGAGCCGCCGGACTGACTTGGCACACAGTTAACAGCGTGGGTGGCTCGACTAACGGCTTCTCCCTACGCTCGATGCAGCATCGCGACCGCGAAGGCAAAGTGATCAGTGCGTCTCCCCGGCAAATCTCCGTGATGGTGGTGGTGATGGCCTCGTGCTAACATGATTTTCTCCCCTCTTCTTTTCAACAGCCGAACCCGACCTGTCGAACCCAACCCGATACCGATTCGAGCGGCCCTTGGACACCATCCGGTCGTTCGAGGCGGCCATCGAGCGCCGTCGGCGAGAGAACGCCATGTAAGGCATGTGCTGTGCATGCCATGCGACCGTGTATGATTGTTTTATTTGTTTCTGGGATTCTTGGGCGCTGGACGACTTATGGATATGGAAACGCATCTGGATCTGGATTGGGATACGATACGGGGAGGGGTCCTTGTTTGGGTTTGATTGATTGAGCGTGTATGTACATTATTGTCTATGACCTCACTGGGTATGCTTCTGGAATGCCACTACTCAGAAATTGTCTACTTCTCATTCATGATTCATCCTCTTGCACTTGCACTGGCACTTGTTTCACTAGGGGATGGTCGCCGGGGCTGCCGAGTTCCGTCGAACCGAATCCTCCGCCACAACACACTTGATCGACGAACAAACTATAGAACTTTACTTCAACACTCTCTCCCCCCATCCCAGCTTGCCAATATCTTGGCAGCTTCGCTTCGCGTCCCGATTATTGACTCCGTCCAGTCCCTCACCTCTCACCCAACCAAAAAAAAAAAAAAACCTCGCCTGGTTATATCGTCTTCCCTGGACGCTGCCCGCCCCACTCCAAGGGGGGAACATTCCAGACGGCATCCACTTTACCAAGCCGCTATAGGGCTTCCACCACCACACCTGCTGAATAGCGTCCCACTCCCACCTCCCACCACGGTGCTGCCTACGCCTGCTCACCGCAGTCAATCTTGAGTCCCCCACCGCTGCTGGCGCGCGCGCGACAGAACGACCTCCCCTCGCTTGGCCGGCCATGGCTAGTTCCCCTTGGCATGGTTCCGGGGCGAGGAAAAGAGTCAATGCCATGGTGACGGGTGACGCGTTCGGTGGTATAGCGGGGCGGATGGACTCAGGAGTCGAGCAGCACGGATGGTGAAGTCTGAAGAGGGGTGGTTTTAAACCAAATCGTCTGCAGCTGGGAGGGCGTGGCCGCCGTCGTGTCTCTTTCCATCCAACCTCCAACCCTCAGCGTGTGTTCGGGGTCGTCATTCGTTTTATCCAGTCATTCCCTAGCTTTCTATCTTTGTTTTATTTGTTTGGAGTGCCCACTACGCTGTCGTCTCGGCGTTTCGACATCATGAAGTTCTCTCTGGCTGTTGGGGCGGCCTTGTTGGGTTCTGCTCTGGCAGTGGAAATCGATCCCATCGTTATCAAGGTGGGGGTGCCTTGGAAGAAGAAGAAGAAGAAGAAGAAGAAGAAACTGACATGGACAGGGCTCCAAATTCTTCTACAGCAGCAACAACACCCAATTGTAAGTTATCTTCTACCTGATCATTGACCCCCTGCTAACATCTCCCCAGCTACCTCCGCGGTGTTGCCTACCAGGGCAGGTTCTCTCCCACCTCCATCTAGGACGCCCACTGACCAGCCCTAACAGAGGACTACTCCTCCAACTCGTCCGACAGCACCACCAGCTACACCGACCCCTTGGCCGACGCCACGACCTGCGAGCGAGACATCCCCATCCTGCAGGAGATCAACACCAACGTGATCCGGGTGTACGCGGTCGACCCGACGAACAACCACACGGCATGCATGAACATGCTGGCGGAGGCAGGCATCTACGTGATCTCCGACCTCTCGGACCCGACGCAGTCGATCGACCGCGACGACCCGACCTGGGAGACGAGCCTCTACACGCGGTACACCGACGTGATCGACGACCTGATCCAGTACAACAACACGCTGGGCTTCTTCGCGGGCAACGAAGTGTCCAACACGGTGGACACCACCGATGCCAGCGCCTTTGTCAAGGCCGCCGTGCGCGATATGAAGGCCTACATCAAGGACGCGGGCTACCGCTCCGTCGGCGTTGGATATGCCACCAACGACGACTCCGACATCCGCGTCAACATGGCCGACTACTTCAACTGCGAGGAGGAGGACGAGGGCATCGACTTCTGGGGCTACAACATCTACTCCTGGTGCGGTGCCTCCACCTACGAGGAGTCCGGATACGAGGAGCGCACCGAGGAGTTCCGCAACTACTCGGTTCCGGTCTTCTTCTCCGAATATGGCTGCAACACCGTCACCCCCCGCAAGTTCACCGAGATCAAGGCCCTCTACGGCGACAACATGAATGATGTGTGGTCCGGTGGTATCGTCTACATGTACTTCCAGACTGACAATGACTATGGTAAGCCCCCCCCCCCCCCCCCCCTTCCTTCCCCCTCCATCTTTCCCCTCCATTCTTTCCTCTCCCCCCCCAACTAACCACCCACCCAGGCCTCGTGTCCGCCATCGACAGCACCAGTGTCAGCAAACTCACCGACTTCTACTACTACTCGTCCGAAATCCGCAACGCAACCCCGAGCGGAACCAACAAAGCATCGTACACACCCACCAACACGGCCCTACAAACCTGCCCGACCGTCAACTCAGAGTGGCAAGCCGTCGCCTCGCCCCTGCCGCCGACCCCCAACGCCGAACTGTGCGACTGCATGAACGAGTCGGCCGGATGCGTGGTCAAGGCCTCCGTCTCCAGCGACGACTACGCCGACCTCTTCAGCGTCGTGTGCGGCTACACCTCCTGCGCGGGCATCTTCCACAACGGAACCACCGGCTCCTACGGCGCGTACGGCATGTGCACCGCCAAGCAGCAGCTCAACTTCGCCTTGAACAAGTACTGGAAGGAGCAGGACAAGGCGGATTCCGCGTGCAGTTTCGGCGGCTCGGCCACTACCACCTCGACCACGGCGCCGACGGGCACCTGTAAGAGTTTGATGTCCGAGGCGGGCACCGCGGGCACTGGCGTGGTCACGTCGGAGCCGACGGCCGCGGCGGGGAGTGCGAGTGCGTCGGGCAGTGGGGTTAGTGCGTTGAGTTCGATGGCCGGCGCGTCCAGTTTGGTGGTGGGTGGTGGTGGGGGGTTGCAGTTTGGTGTTTATGTTGCTACGGCTGTGGTGGCGGGGTTGGGGATGGTTTTGTTGTAGGTGGTTAGTACGTGAGCTGGATGCAGGGAGGATGGAAGGGAGAGAGGGGTGTTCTTCTTCAGAGTACTGTTTTATATATATATATATCTACTTGATTGTGATGATGTCTTCTTCTCGGGAGACGATGAGCGGGAAGCTCGCTAGTAGTTACTCTCTTTAGCCCTAGATTATATAGTATCTCCCGTTGCCGAATCTTACCTAGATAGTCGCCGATATATCGGGAGATGAAACGAGCCTGAACCGATGATCTCGACCACTCAGTTTGCAGCACAGTGGAGGGATTACATTCCAGAGTGAATAAAATAGAGAAAAAAATAAGCTGCCTGTCACACGGAAGATAAGATACCTGTCTGCAAGACGCAGCTTCCAACCCCCTTCAGCAAACTTCAGGGACGCTGTCTCACGCCACGAGGAAGATGTCGCTCATAACACCCCAATCCCATTTCCCCTCCAATACCCCACACTGAGCCATGGCACCATACGTCCTGGATCCCATGCCTCACCTAGCCCGCGAGATACAATCTTCGCCCTCGGTCTGACACGCGCCACATACCCGTTCCTCTAATGGATATGGATACTCTTCTTATTGTCTATGTGGAAACAGAACCTAATATGTATACCACAGATTCCTCCTGAGCCACCACATACAACTATATGAAAGGTCGGGAGGGTGAAAGATAAAACCCATACATCGGTGACGTAGGAACGTCAAAGCCCGTGGTTTCATACTAACTACCAAGACCGCCATCTCACCAACCATGAACCCACACATGTTGAAATGCCAATCCCCCCCCCCGGGAGCCTTTCTCAACAGCTCTCTCACCCCACAAATCTGACCAATCGTCTCCACTCCCCGTCCCTCTTCAAGGCCTTGATATCCTCCTCGGGCAGACAAACCACCAGCGGAATGGCATTGGCCTCCAGGGGCTGAAAGTACACGCAACCGGGAATCACCGCCGTGCCGGGCTTCCTGCCGAACCTGCGCGGGCCCAGCAGGGGCCCAAACGACAGCCCCTCCTTATCCTCGACGGCCTCGAGATCGAGCAGCGACGAGCCGCCGAGATCGACGTCGGGGTTGCGCGGGCCCCCGTACAGCAGGACGCTCTTGTCGGGCTCGTTGGCGAGGAAGGTCGCGTAGCTGCGCAGGGCCCAGGCGGTGTTGGCGGCCTGCAGGTCGCGACGCATGGTCCGCGCGATCTCCGCGAGGGGCGCGCTGGCGACGGTGGAGAGGGGCAGCTGGCTGATGGCGTGGTGGACCAGGTGGCCGAGGTAGCCGGCGGGGAGGCCCATGGAGGCCCGGCCGTCGATGGCGCGCGTGTACTTGGACATCCGCGACGGGGGGATCCCCCGGGCGATGCGGATGGCGCTGACGCGCTGCCAGACCCAGGCGCTGAGGATATCGTCGTCGGACAGGCGGGGGCCGGCGGGGACGGTGGCGGTTTGGCGGAGGGAGGCCAGGCCCGAGAGGGGGAAGCGGAAGGTGCACCACTGGAAGGGCGAGGAGGGCAGCGATGGGGTCCAGCCTGGGGGGCGCCGCAGGTATGAGAAGTCCTTGATGGGCTCGTCGGCGGCGAGCAGCGGGATGATGTCGGTGCGCGGGCGGTTGGCGTGCTGCAGGTCCGCGGCCGACAGGGACCGGCCCTTCAGCAGGGTTCCCAGCAGCCCCAGGATGCGGGCGAGGGCACAGGCGTCCAGGATGTTGTGGTGCGTGCTGACGTTCAGGATCAGGCCGCCGCGGATGAAGTTCGCCTGCACAATCAGGATGGGCACTGGGCCCGTCAACCCGTGCGGGTCCGGCAGTCCAGGGCAGGGCAGGAGGATATCCCCCCCCAGCAGCCCGATGGGCACGTTGGCCCGCGCCAGCTGCGTGAATGAGGGCAGCTGGCTCGAGCAGTCCTTGACGCGGACCGGCTCGTAGGGGGGCGAGGCCGGCCAGGGGGCTGGCAGGTATCGCCCCGAGCTGCCCGGGGCCCCCGGGCTGTGCACGACCTGCCCGGATAGCAGGGGGATCTGCGTCACCAGCTGGGTCACGCTGCGGCAGAGCGATGTCACGATCTCGTCCACTGCAGCGTCGGCCGCCAGCTGGAAGCCGCAGGCGGCGTGGGTGTAGCCGTTCAGGAAGGGGAACTGGCCCAGGATCTCCTGCGTGAGGTCGTTCTCGCCGGGCTCGAAGCTGCTGCTGCTGCGCATGATGTCTGGGTTGGGATGGTGGATTCGTCGGGATGGATGGGAAGCGTTCCTCACCTTGGACGTCTTCAGCACGGATTGGGATGGGAGGAAGCCATCTAATGAACCTGGTTCCAAACCAACCATCCATCCAGCCCACGATGCCCTCGTCGATCGCCCCCGATCTGCACGCCGGCTTTCGGGCAAACTCCCACGGGTCAGCCGGCCGGAGGATGATGCTGAAGATATGCCGATCACATCGTCGACAGGGTGTGCTGACGGTCGATCCCTCCGGCCAACGGGACCAGATGCAATAATTGCTTCCTCGCGCTCACTCTTCCCGGCTCCGCTCGGATACGCCGATGACGATGACGTGAGACCATCTGCGCAATGCATCAAGGACATCACGTCCTGCCTCCCGGGTGAAATCGCAGACGACACCTCATCCACCTCTATAAGAGAGATGGAATGCTCACCACTGCATCCAGCGTGCGTACACGTCCGTCCACCCCAGCAGCAGGAATGCGCCCCTCTTCCCTCGTCTCTTTCCTGGCCGTGTGCGGCTTGGCCCTGACGCAGTCCGTCAACCTCTCCTCCATTTATGGGCCTGGTCTGTCCAGCGGCGCCGAGATCTTCTACGCGTCTGACCCCGACTGGGCGTCCGAGGTGACGCCCCGGTGGACGCTGTACCATGCCCCGACGTTCTATGGCGCTATCAAGCCGGCCACGGAGGCTGATGTGCAGCATATCGTGAAGACGTCTGTCGCCCGCGGCATTCCCTTTCTGGCGACCGGGGGTGGGCACGGTGTCACGACGACCTTGGGGCGCGTGCGCAATGGTATCGAGATTGACCTGAGCAATTTCCGCACGGTGGAGGTGTCGGAGGATGCAAGTGAGATTGTTGTCGGGGGGGCTGCCATTTATAATGACATTTATGGGCCCATGTATAAGGCGGGGAAGATGATGGGTCTGTTTTCTATTCTGTTCTTGTCTTCTCTCTCTCTCTCTCCTCTCCTGCACCATGTCAACCATCGCTGACCTCTCCCCAGCGATGGGCAACTCCCCCTGCGTCGGCGTCATCGGGGCAGCCCTCGGCGGCGCGGTGGGAATGTGGCAGGGCCTGTACGGCGTGGGCGTCGACTCCCTCCTGTCCGTCCGACTGATCACCGCGGCAGGCGAGCTGGTGATCGCATCCAAAACCTCCCACGCGGACCTGTTCTGGGCGATCCGCGGCGCCGGGGCCAACTTTGGCATCGTCACGTCGGCGACCTTCCAGCTGCACGACGCCGTCAACGACGGCCTGGTCGCCAGCACCAACTTCGTCTACCCGGGGTCCGCCAACGCGTCCGTGTGGGAGGCCATCGCCTCGTTCGACAAGAACATGCCAAATGAACTGGCCATTACGGCTGAAGCGTCGTTTAATCGCACCTTGAATGAGGTATTTCCCTTGCCTCTGTTTTCTTCTTGCATACCCACCCCCACCCCACTAGCCTTTCTTGTTCCGAGATGGTACATATATATATATATATATCGATGATACATACACACTAACCCAACACCCCAGCCCCTCATCCTAGTCAACGTAAACTACTACGGCCCGCGTCTCTCCGCGCAGCCCTACCTGGAAGCCTTCCACGCGGCCGGCCCGGCGCTGGTGATCCCGCTGGACCTGCCATGGGTAACCCTACAGGCCCTATCCAGCACCGTCGACACGACCGACTGCACGCCCGGCCAGAACGCCAACGAGTACACCATCGCGCTCAAGACCACCGACGTGGCCACCTACACCTCCTTCTTCAACGACCTGACCGTCTTCTGGCAGCAGAATCCGACCTACGCCGGCAGCTTCGTCATCGATCGCTACCCGACGGCTGTCATGCAGGAGGTGCCGGATAACGAGACGGCCTATCCGTTGCGAGACGCTCTCACGCAGATGTAATTGTCTTTCCCCCCCCGTGCCCATGCCCCTGCCCCTGCCCATGCCCCTGCCCATGCCCATGCCCATGCCCGTGCCTCTATCCGGAACATCTCAGAAGAATGAATAATGCTGACGTGATGGTTCGACAAGTCTCTTCGATAACATCTACCCCTCCCCCTCGCTGAACCCCACCGTGAATGCATTCATGCGCGCCGCCCGCGCCCGGTTCCAGAAGACCTCGGGGTTTGACGAGTTGGCCGTGTATGTGAACTTTGCGCAGGGGGATGAGGGCCCCAGGGCGTGGTACTCGGAGCGGAAGCTGGGGAGGTTGCAGCGGTTGAAGAGGACGTGGGATCCGAATGCGGTGTTTAGTTATAGTAATCCGGTGCCGGTTTAGGGTGGTAGGTATGACTGGGTGGGTGGGGTTTATTTACTTTGTTGTAGATGATGGTGGGGGGGATGATGGTGGGGGGAGTTGAGGGATGGAAGTGATCGGTGATCTACGTAACTGGGTGGGTAGATGGGGATGGGAATGGGAATGTGCCGGGAACAATTCAATCCAAGTCAAGTCAAGTCAATTCAAGTCAACTTCGATTAAAAGTAACTCAACATAGCCACTCACTAAACACCCCCAGAATGAGATACAGAAAAAAAAAAAAAAAAAAGTAATGTCCTATGTCCTCAGGGAGGTTCGAACTCCCGGCCTTGGGATATCCAAGAAGTTGTTACTTCCTAGTCATACTATTCATATGAGACCCACGTGATAACCAACTACACCATGAAGACTTTATTCTTGGCAGTGAGTGCGGATGGAGAGAGAGGTATGAGGGCAGAAGCGGGCAGGAGGAGGACTAGTTCCAGCCTGGTCTTTCCGTCACCATTGCCCTAACTAGTTACAACACAAGGTCTAAGGGAGTCAGTCATATAGTCTAGATAATGTAAAGCAAGTAATTCAATTTCCACTCCGGTTTATCACACAACGAAAAATACATCCACAAATACAATCTACTCCAATCCCCCCACATCAACCAACCCACTCCTCCCCAGCACCTCCCCGGCCAACTCCCTCAACGACCCACTCTGCATAATACTAAAGATACTCACCTCCGCCGCGACCTGCAACGCCAACATATTCCGCAACTCGACCGCCACCAGCGAATCCACCCCATAGTCCGACGGCGTCTTGCCCGCATCGATATCCTCCACAGGAATCAGGAAGATCTCGGCCAGTTTGGCAATGATGGCGGCCGTGACGAGGGTTTCTGCTTCGGCGCGGGTCCGGATCTGCGAGAGGGCGTGTGCCAACCCGCCTGAACTACCGTTGGTGGTGGAAGAGGTGGAGGTGGAGGTGGAGGAGGAGACGCGGGCTTGCAGGGCGATGTATCTCGCGTCGCGGCCGAGTTGGGACTCGCTGTCCCGGTCCCAGTGTTTCCCGGGGCTGCTGTTCAGGCCGACGACGATCTGGCGCGCAAAGGGGTTCAGGATGGCGGACTCGAGGAGGCGTAGCACCTGCGACTCGGAGACGGGGAAGTGCCCGGCGCGCGTCATGCGGCGGGCGATCTCGGTGTTGGTGGCGAGCACGCCGACGCCCTTGACGGGGCCCAGGTCGAGGGCTACGGCGGGGAGGCCGTGGGTGACCCGGTGGTGCGCGAGTGCGTCTTCGTAGGCGTTGCCCGCGCCGTAGTTGGCTTGGCTGCCGTTGCCGTAGACGCCGGACATGCTGGAGAGGAAGATGAAGAAGTCGAGTGGGCCGGATCCGTCGAGCTGGGAGTGCAGGTTCCAGCTGGCGGTGGTCTTGGGGGCGAGTGCCGCGTGGTAGTCGGACAGGGTCATGCGTTCGAGCACCGTGTCCCGGAGGACCATGGCGGCTTGGATGACGCCGCGGATCGGGGGCAGGGTGGATCGGCAGGTCTGGAGGGCCTGGGAGAGCGAGGAGGGCGAGGTGACGTCGCAGCTCAGCGCCAGGACGCGGCAGGTCGGCGCCAGCTCGGCGGTTAGGGCTGCGGCCGCCGGGTGGGTGGCTGCACTGCGCGAGAGGATGATCAGGTTGCGCACCCCATGCGCCGCCAGCCAGTGCGCCATCGACCGCCCGATGCCGCCAGCCCCGCCCACCAGCAGGTACGATGCGTCCGGGCGGAGCTGTGCCGTTGGGCCCCGCGGGAGGACGCGGACCTGCTCGGTCGGGGATACCGTGAGCACGACCTTGCCCGTGTGTTTGCCCGCCTGCAACAGGCGGAAGGCCTGCGAGATGTCGGCCAGTGGGTAGGTCGTCACCGGGTGGACCGGACTGAGGGCGCCCTGCTCGAGCAGTCGTGCGATCTCGGCCATGGCGCGGTGGATGACGGCCTGCTTCTGGCGCGAGTAGGCCAGCAGGTCGATGGCCGAGAACGAGATGTGCCGCGCGAACGGCCGCATCTCGAGGAAGCTGTTGGACTCGAGGTCGCGTTTGCCGATCTCGACGAAGTGGCCAAAGGGCGCCACCAGGTTGAGACTCTCCTGGAGGAGAGGGCCGGCCAGGGAGTTCAGCACGACGTCCACGCCCGCCCCGTCCGTGGCAGCCCGCACGCCCGCCGCGAAGGAGGTGTCGCGACTGTGGAAGATGTGGTCGGCGGGGATGCCGTAGCGGTCCATGATCAGGGCTCGTTTCTCGGGGGAGCCCACCGTCGCGAAGATCTCCGCCCCGATGAGCTGCGCGAACTGGATGGCCACCTGCCCGACGCCCCCGGCCGCCGCGTGGATCAGCACCGTCTGGCCGCGCTCCAGCCGGGCCACCTGGTAGAAGGCCAGGTAGACGGTGATGAACAGCACGGGCACCGAGGCCGCCTGCGCGAAGTCGAGGTTCGGGGGGAGGTGCATCGCCAGCTGCCACTCCGTGCGCGCGCGGCTGCCGTATCCGCCTCGCAACATGGCAAACACCTCGTCGCCCACGGCGTATCCATGGGCGGCCGCCCGGCTGCCCACGCGGGTGATGACGCCTGCAGCGTCCAGCCCCATCACGCGCTCCTCCAGCTGGCCCATCGCCACCATCACGTCCCGGAAGTTGACCCCGTACGCCCGCGGCTCGATCTCGATCAGGTCCGGCGGGAACCGCGTGCCGTCGGGGGCGTCGACGTCGTCGTCAAAGGCAATCGTGTCCAGCAGACCGGGCATGCCGACCCGGAGGGCCAGGGGCCGATCGGCCTGGAAGAGCGGCTCGACGGGGATCGACTCGGGCGACGCCCAGTCGACCGCCGTCGGGTTGATGGCCCGGTTGCGGGCCCCGTCGCGATACATTCTCGCCACCAGGATGGAGCCCCCGCGCTCTGCGTATTCCAGCTCCTCCGCCGACGCCTGCGTGGGAGCTGGCTGCGGGACGCCGAAGCTGGCAGTCACGACGCGGGCGATGGTCTCCACGCTGGCGTCGGCCCAGAGATCGGCCGTGGGGTCCAGGTCCAGCGTGACGAACTTCCGCCCGATGTACTCGTGGCGCAGGGTGCGGACGAAGCCCGGGGCGAGCCCCATCTCGGGCCTCTCGCAGTCGACGGCGCCGCCGCTGGTCACCCACAGCAGGTCGCGGCTGTGGATGGCCATCGCCCGGACGCCGTCGAGGCCGGCCTCGTCCAGCCCGTGCAGGAGCGGCCGGTCGATCTCGCCCACGAACAGCGCGATCTTGCCCTGGTAGGCGTCGACCGGAGCGGTCTCGAGGGCCAGCACCTCCGTCACGCCCAGCCGGGCCTGCAGGGAGGCCAGCCATCTCGCCTCCGGGGGGGCCAGCAGCCGGGTGACCAGGACGAGGGGGACCGAGGCGAGGGACCTGACCGGCACGGGGCCAGCGACCGACAGGATGGTCTGCGTCTCGTGTCCGACAGCCAGCTGGACACCGGAGAAGCCTGTCGTTCGCAGCGTCTCATCCCAGGCCACGGCCTGCCGTCCCTCCCACCACTCCGGCAGCAGACCCAGGGTACACACCACCTCCGCCTGCTCACGGCTCTCCAGCAGCAACAGGGTCCCCCCGGCCTTCATCAAGCTGCGGACATTCTCCATCGACCCTGCGACGGAGCTCCCCGGCCCCACAAGCACGATATCAAAGCTCTCCGGCTCGAACCCCTGCGTCATCGGATCGGCCTGCACGTCCAACTTGCCGACCTGCAGCACGTCCCCCCAGGCCTGCAGCTCGGCCTGGATCTCCTCCAACGCCCCCGTCGCAGCAGTGACGTGATACACCTCCGCCCGGGGCCCCCCGTCTCCGCCGTGCCCAGGGCCTGCAACGCCTGCCGGGTGATTCCCGCCGCGGCCGCCCCAGCCCCGATCTCCAGGATGCGAGCCCGCGGGTTCTTGTGCACGAGGTGCTTGAGGAGCTGCGCAGCCGGGCCAACCGCCCGGCCACCCGACAGACTGCCGCTGCGATATCTCCCCAACAGCCCGTCCTCATTCATCAGATCCGCGGCAGCAATCTCGCGCCGCAGGATGGATGCGAGGTGCGGCCCCACCCGGCAGAGGAGTTCGCCGTCCACGCTGCCCTGACGCACCCGCTCAGTTAGGGCCTGTCTCTCCCCCGCCTCCATACTCACCCTCGCCCCCCCGGACGCTCCCTGCGTCTTCATCCACGCATAGACCCGCGCAAGATGGCCCTCCAGCCGGCCCACATCAGTCGACGTCAGTGACGCCAGCGCATCACCCACAAACCACCCGGCGAGACGGCGCAGATCATCCACCGCCTCACCCTCACCCTTCCCCCCCTCCTCCTCCTCCTCAGCAGCAGCAGAAGAGACCAGCCCCGTCAGCGTCTCCCGATCCGCAAGAGAAACGTCCACCCCCCACTCCAGCTTCATACAGATCTCCTTCTCCGCAGCATCCGCATCACCACCCCCCGCGCTCCTCCCCAGCGACTGACAAACGGCGTCTCTCATCTCCAGCACCGGCGCTCCCTCCCCATCCCCCTCATCCGCCATGACCACATCCGCCCGCAGCGTCTGCGCATCCGCATGCCTCAGACTCGTAAACGCCCGGAACCCATGTCCCGGCGCATGCTCGATGCCAGCCGAAACCCACAGACTCCCAATCGACCTCGGGACCTTCGCGCCATCATCCCCCTGCGTGCCCAGCAACGGCGCATAGATCGTCTGAATGACCAGGTCCAGGGTCGTCGGATGAATGACCGCGAAATGCGGCAGATCGTCCGCCATGGCCGTGTCGGGGACGAAGAGGCACGAGTCGGCGCGCGAGTTATCGCCCGACTGTTCGATGGCGGTGATCCCCTGGAAGATCTTCCCGTGGTTGATCCCCACCGCGCGCAGGGAGGTGTAGAGGTCGCTGGGCGCCACGTGGCGGGTGTACCCCGTCAGGCCGGCGGGGCGCGCCAGGGGCCAGGGTGCAGCGGTGGCCTGGGTTTCGGTGATGATGAGCCCCCGCGCGTGCACCGTCCAGTGGTTGTCTAGCGTGACGGAGGCGATCTCGAAGGCCTTCCAGCCTCGGGCGCCGATTTGCCGGTCGCTGACGGGGTGGAGGGTCGTTTGGACCTCGATGCCCTCGGCCGTGTCTGGGACGACGAGGGCTTGGAGGATGTCGATGCTGCGCAGGCGGAAGCCACTGATGGTCTGGGAGGGGGCGAGCAGGGTGGTCTGCTGCCTCGCGGCCTCGATGGCCAGGCAGATGAAGCCCGCGCCGGGGTACAGGATGTTGTTCTGCACGACGTGCTCGCGCACCCACGGGGTGTCGGCGAGCTTGAGGATGTTGCGCCAGGAGGGGGACTCCGGGTTCGTGCCGAGGACCAGCGTGCCGAGGAGGTTGTGGGGGGGGAGGGCGCGCGCGCGGAGAGCCCGGTTGAAGCGGCCTTCGAACCAGTGGCGCGTCTGGTGGTTCCAGGGGTAGGACGGGAGGGAGGTCAGCACGGACAGGGACGCGGGACGGCCGTGGGGGAAGTTGACGGCGTCCAGGTTGAGGGCGTACCCCTCGGCGAGTAGACTCGCGGCCAGCGACTGCATGCTGGCCAGCGCGGAGGTGTTGCGCACCAGACACCCGAAGTAGGGCAGCGTGGCGCCGGTGAATTCGGGCAGGGACAGGATCTGCTTGATCGGGCCGCCCAGGGCCGTGTGCGGGCCGACTTCGAGGATGAGGTCGACGGCGGTGGACGAGGCGTCGCCGTCGCCGAGCACCATGTCGGTGAAGGCGTCGATAAACTGCACCGGTTGCAGCAGGCTGTCGACCCAGTGGTCCGGGTCGGCCAGCTGGTCCAGGATGGTGATGCGGTTGCCGGTGACGGGCGAGGAGAAGGCGATCTGGGAGGAGTCGTCGTCGTCGTCGTCGCCGTCGGACAGGCCGGAGGAGAGGCCGGCCAGGGCATCGCGGTAGGGGTCGGCGATGGGGCTCATGTGGTGCGAGTGGTAGGCCGTCTCGACTTTCAGCCGGCGGGCGAAGACGCTGTCTGCCGAGGCGAGCGCCTCCAGCTCCAGCACGGCCGATTCGTCGCCCGAGACGGTCGTGCTGGACGGACTGTTCACGCAGGCGACCACCGCGGTGCCGGACCCGGTCAGACGGGCCAGGTAGGCCTCGGACTCGTCGGCGCCCACGCCCAGCGCGATCATGGCGCCCGGGGACGGCCCGCGCAGGCGTTTGTCGGAGGCGAGCACGGCGCGGTGGTAGGCCACGGCCATGGCAGACGCGTAGGTTAGGGCTCCCACGGCATACGCGGCCGCGATCTCGCCGCTGGAGTGGCTGGTCACGGCCTCGGCGCGCACCCCCCAGGAGTGAAGCAGGCGCACGAGCGAGATCTGCACGGCGATGCAGAGCGGCGTGCTCAGCTCGACTTGGTTGATGCGGGAGCTGGCCGCGTCGCGGGCCAGTTCTGTCACCAGCGAGTACGTCGCCCCGAGGGCGCGCAGGTAGCCGTCGCCCTCCTGGAGCGAGGCGCGGAAGACCGGGTACGCGGCGATCAGCTCGCGGCCCATGGCGTGCCATTGCGCGCCCTGGCCGGTGAAGACCATCCCGATGCGGGGGGCTTTGGTGGTCCGCCGGGGGGTGAACTTGGGGGTGGATAGGGCTTGGATGACGCCGGCGAGCCCCGTCGTGGTGGGGACCGGCTGGGCCGCGATCCACGGGAAGCGCGTGCGGCGTTCGCCGAGGGTGTAGATCAGCTCCTGCAGGAAGTGGGATTCCTCGGCTTCGGACAGCTGCTTCTGCTGCAGATGCTCCTTCAGGTTGGCGACCATCTGCTTGCAGGCCGACTCGTCGCGGGCACTCAGCACCAGCAGCTGCGAGTCCAGGGGGGCAGGGCCATTCGCCCCCCCGGTGGGGATGCGCTTCAAGGCGGCGGAGGTATCCTCCACAATAACATGCGCGTTCGTGCCGCCATACCCAAAGTTATTAATCGAGGCCCTCCGCACCCCGTCGGTGGGAACCTCCCAGGCCTCGAGCTCAGTCACCACCTTCAGACGCCACTCCTCCAGCGCGAGCTTCGGATTCGGCTTCTCGAAATTGATACTCGGCGGTATCATCCCCTTCTCCATCGCCAGCACCACCTTGATCAGGCTCGCCAGCCCACTGACAGACTCGGTATGCCCGATATTCGTCTTGACAGACCCGATCCGGAGCGGGTCAGACTCCGTCCGCCCCTCCTGGAAGACGGTCGCGATGGCCCGCGCCTCGATCGGATCGCCGGTGAGGGTGCCCGTCCCGTGCGCTTCGAAGTACTGCGTGTCCCGGGGGTTGAGGCCTGCGCGCCGGTAGCAGTCCTGGATGACGGCGACCTGGGCGTCGCCGCTGGGGGTCGTGATGGTCTCGGTCTTGCCGTCCTGGTTCAGGCCGGTTTCGCGGATGATGGCCCGGATGGGGTCTCCGGCGGCGAGGGCGTCGGAGAGCCGTTTGATGACGAGGGTGGCGATGCCTTCGCCGCGGCCGTAGCCGTTGGCGCGGCTGTCGAACGCGTAGGATTTGCCGTCGGGCGAGAGGAGCCTTTTCGAGACATTCTTCATTAGCAGGACGATATGATGTGGTTGTTCGTGGGTGCATGGAAGGAGCTGTCTGCATACCCAACCGAAGCCATCACCTTGAAATTATCCGGATTCAGCATCACATTGGCGCCACACACCAGCCCCATGTCCGACTCGCCTGAACGCAGACCCTGCACGGCCTGATGGAACGCCACCAGACCGCCCGAGCACCCCGTGTCGAGGGTGAAGCTGGGCCCGCGAAGGTCGAAGAAGTGCGACACGCGGTTGGATGACATGGCGTCGCCGTTGCCCGTGGGGTAGAACCGCGGCAGCGACTCCTCGTCGCGCATCATCATGTCGCGGTAGTCGCGCACAAACAGGGCGGCGTACACGGCCGTGTTCGAGCCGGTGATGGTGGGGAGGGGAATCCCGGCTGTGTGATATACGGTCAGTACGTTGGAATTCGGAGGGATTGGGATTGGGATTGGGATTGGGGTCTAGGATCAGAGGGACTCACCGTTTTCCAGCGCCTCGTAGACGGATTCCAGTTGCAGGCGGAATTGGGGGTCCATGGTCTGAGTAGCAGTCAGCAGAGTCATTGTATGAAAGTAGGGCTCATCATCAAGATGGGCAGGGAACGGGTAAGAAAGTGCAGGAAGAAGGCAATACCGTGGCCATCTCCGCCGAAAAATTAAAGAACGGAGCATCGAATAACCCCAGATCCTCATCCATGAAATGTCCGCCGCGGACATCAGTCTACACATACTGCATTAGCACGCCGGTACAACAACAGCCCGATCCAGATTGACACGCACAGTACTCAGCTTATCGCGCTTGGGATGATACACGCCAGCCAGGTTAAACCGCTCCTCAGGGATCTCGGACCAGCCGCTCCTCCCCGCGGCCAGCATCTCCCACAGCTTCTGGGGACTGCTGGCCTCGCCGGCCAGCTTGCAGCTGAGGCCGACGATGGCGATGGGCTCGGTGGCCCAGTCCTGGGAGGGGGATCTCTCCATGGTGAATGTTGAGCGGGTGAGCGGTGGTTTGGGAGGTTAGATGCGGCCGAGAAGGAAGCAAGCAAGCACGCAGGAAGAAAGAAGGGAGTCGTGCGGCTTCTGCGGTTCGGCTGGGGGTGGTTTAAGTAGGATGTTGATGGTGGAGGACAGCGGGGTTTGACTGGGTCTGGGTCAGGGTCAGAGACGTGCGTCTGACGGGCTGGCTGGCTGGCTGGCTGGCTGGCTATCCTCTTGCGGACAGGTGCCGAGGGTTGTGATCGCATCGCATCGTCGGGCTTGCGGATGGAGAAAATAGCTCGTGTGTCCGGATCAGATGGATTGGTCCATCGCCAGGGCGCCGGAGTAAACCTCGCCGTGTCGTAGACGGGCAAACCACCGGTAGGTAGAGTGCTATCTCGCTCCGGGTCTTAGCCGATGCAACTATATCCAATAGCCCATGCACGGCGCATCAACACCAGCCAGCCATGTGACGGACAGGTGAGATCTGTCTGCCCGGCTGGCCCCAATTAGGGAGGCAGATCGTATGTCCACTACTCACTACAACTATCCTCTGGCAGCTGCCACATCCCGGACATCCACTCGAACCAAATCAAGTCCCTTGCCCTAACCGAGCCCGCCCACTACCCGGGAGATCTACAGTCCGAGCAGCATCACCGCGCTATCGACCACGTCCGATATTCGCAGCTGCCTCACTCGGCAGACCCGAAATTCGGGCTGCATCGTGCCTCCAACTTTATTCCGGATTGCAGGACGGCATGCAGGGGATCGGCACGATCGGCGGGCATGGACAGTGGGGCCGGGGCCGGGCTGACACGGGGGGGAATTACTCCGTAACACCGGAGATATGTGATCGGAAGAGGATGAGACACAGGTAGATACTGTTCGAATAGAGTGGCTGTGGAGGTTCCTGTGTGATGGTCTTCCTGGCGGAGCGGCATCATTAGAAGAAGACAGCTCGACTAACTCCGTGAGGCCCCCGTTTCGTGTGCCTTGTCGTGTTGTCATCGATCGCACTATGGATTGTCCAGCTTCCTCTGATCCGGGCCATGCCCTCGAGATGGTGAACGATGCCCTATCCCCCTCCCCCCCGGACCCCGTCCTCACCCGCCCTTTCAACCAGGAGAATGACCCCGTCCCCCTCGAAATAGCCATCATAGGCGGGGGCATCATCGGGGTCATGCTCGCCCTGGGCCTCCTGCATCATGGCATCCAGGTCACGGTATACGAACGCGCCTCCACCTTCCCCGAGATCGGGGCGGGTATGGCCTTCACGGCGGTTGCCCGCGAATGCATGCGCCGTCTGAGCCCCCAAGTCCTCGCCGCCTTCGAGCGCGTGGGCTCTCCAAACCCACACCCCCAGAACCGCTACTGGGATGGCTTCCACCCCACGACCAAGGAGGAGGCGCAGTCGGCCGACGCCCTGCTCTTCCAGCTGTCGACCCACGATATGGGCTTCTGGACCTGTCTGCGCGCGGGGCTGTTGAACGAGATGAGTCGCGAGTTGCCCGAGGGGACGGTGAAGTTTGGGAAGCGGCTGGTGAGTTATGAGGATGATGAGGTGGTGGAGAAGGTTGTTCTCCGGTTTGCGGATGGGAGTGAGGGGCGGGCTGATGCTGGTTTGTTCTCTCTCCCCTCCCTCTCGCTGCAGAAGACATGAACTGACTGAGAGATTGCCCTGTAGTAATCGGCTGCGATGGCCTGCGATCACGCACCCGGCAGCTCCTTCTGGGAGAGTCCAACCCGGCGGCGTATCCGAGCTACTCGCACAAGGTGGCCTACCGGGCCGTGGTGCCCATCGCCGCGGGGATGGCCGCGCTGGGCGAAGACAGAGGGAGTAACCAGTGTCTGCAGATGGGGCCAGGGGCACATATGCTCACCTACCCGGTATGTTCCAGCCCGACCCCTTCTCCAGGCAATATTCGCTCCTCCCAGATAACCATCGTCCCTGCACCACACTCTAACCGTATCCCAGCTAGCAGGCTTCACCCTCATGAACGTCGCCATCTTCACCACAGACCCAACCCCCTGGCCCGACGCCAGCAAAATCACCATGCCAGCAACCCGCAGCGAAGTCGCCTCCGTCTTCGCAAGCTGGAGCCCCTCGGTGCGCGAAATCATCGCCCTCCTGCCCGAGAACCTGACCAAATGGGCCCTCTACGACATGTACGAGCACCCCGCCGCCTCGTATTGTCGGGGCCGCGTGTGTCTGGTCGGCGACGCGGCGCACGCCAGCAGCCCGCACCATGGGGCGGGGGCGTGTATGGGGGTGGAGGATTGTTTGGCGATGGTGACAGCGTTGGACTCTGTTCGGGGGGTTGTCCAAGAGAGGAAGGCCCTCGGTGTGCGAGGGGCGGTGCGGCAAGCGTTTGAGGCAGTTAATGCGGTGAGGTGGGAGAGGTCGCAGTGGCAGGTAAGGAGTGCCAGGGAGACGGGCGATATCTATGAGTGGATGTATCCTGGGTCGGGGGACAGTAGCGAGAGGTGTAAACAGGAGATTGAGGGGAGGACGAGGAGGATTTGGGAGTTTAGTGTTGAGGAGATGGTGCGGGAGGTGAGGGTGTTGATGGGGGAGGCCAGGATTTGAAGCTACTTTGGTAGGATATTTTGGGGTTGGAGGGAGCAGTGAATGGTTCAGTTTGGATAGTACTGAAACTTATTAAACTCGTGTTGTGGGAGTTGACCTTCATTCACTCATTGCTGTACTCGACGAAACATGATCGTCCGGGTCAGGATATATTTTCCAACAGCCACCATCAACACCACCACCATCTCATCTTTCTGTCTTACCATTGAAGCCGTATATTCTCCTCAGACAGACCATCTCCATCAAAAAGAGATCCAGCCAGCCCAAGAGAATAGAAAATCATGCGTGTCCTTTGCTAATTCAGGAACTTGCCCTGACCTCAGCAATGATCGCCCTCGCCTACAGATGCCCCCTCTGTCCGCCGATCCTACAGCTGCAGACCTGCATACGGTACTACTGCACAGTACATCTGCTGCGCCCACTATAGTCCGTCCGCCGCTTTGAGCACTGACAAACATCGCCTGGCTCCGGTGCGGCTCGGTGTAGATATCCTGCGAGGCCAGTCTCCAGCCTCGACTATCGCAGCCCTAACTTCTTACTGCAGCCGTGGCTGTCCAGGCTTGAGTGGCGCTGCCGGACTCCCCGGAACCTTGATCCCATCATGGACCCCGAGCCTACTATCCGTCACAGAGACGGGAACAGAGAGAGGGGACGTATCGCCCAGTTGGGCTGTCTCCTGGGGAATAGTCGGGCCGTCGTTGCCCGCCCCGGAGACTCGAGGCTCCAGTCTCCAGTCTCCTGCAGTCGCGAGGCCGAGACTTACTCCGTGCCGACTGCCCGATGAGATGCTATGCCATGCTATGGATAGGCTGAACGTGGAGAATACTCGATCAGCTCCCTCCGACGCGGCTCGTCAAGCTGCTCCGTCGATCGGTAATCATATAGCTTGTTGATTAGTAGCAGCATCTCAGCATAATACGCCCCCATCCTCTCCCCATTCCAGCCCAGCAACCCTCATCTATCGCAGACATGGCCACCACCGACTCAACTCCCCGCGCAACCATCCTTCTGTTCGGCCCGCAGGCGCTCTCCTTCACCGGACAGTCGCTGGCCCAGCTACGTCAAGCCGTGCCCAACGACCACCTCCGCCGATGGATGCTCGACACGGTGGCCGGCCTGCCGGGCTACTGGCAGAGCCTATGTCAGAGCCTTCCCTCGCTCGAGACTCAACTTCCTCAGGCCGCATCACACCTCGCTCGCCTGGACGCCTGGCTCCGGGGGGACGAGGAATATGCCCCCGCAGACAACACCAACACCCTGCCTAGCATCGTGCTCACCCCGCTTGTGGTTCTTGCGCAACTGCTCCAGTACTGGCGGTATCTGGAGTGGACTGGCCCGTCCGACGCGGACCGCCAATCCGCTCTCCTGGCGCGACATGCGGGGCAGGGCCAGGGACAGGCGGAGGCCATCGGCTTCTGCACGGGCCTGCTGAGCGCCTTCGCGGTGGCCAGCTCGACCTCGCAGAACAACCTGGAGCGGTACGGCGCGGTGGCCATCCGACTGGCCATGCTGGTGGGAGGACTGGTGGATGTGCAGGAGGCCGAGGGCGCCTCGGAATCGTACGCCACGGCCTGGCAGACCGACCACCAGGCTGCTCAGATGGCAGAGATCCTGCAGCAGCTGGCCCCGAACGCCTACCTCTCTGTCCGCTACGACGAGTCCCGCGCTACCATCACCGCGTCGGCGCCCACAGCCCCGACGCTCGTCGAGAAGCTTCGTGCTGTCGGCATCACCGTCGCTCAGGTGGCATTGCGCGGATACTTCCATACCTCGCGGGCCGAAGACCTCACCTCCGCCCTTGTCCAGCTGTGTGAACGCACCCCGGACCTGCAGTTCGCCGATGCAGCCAACACCGTCCTGAGAACCTACACCAACGCGGGGACCGGGCCCGTGCAGACCGGGCCGCTGCACACGCTCGCCATCCGGGCCATCCTGTTCGAGCAATGCAACTGGCACGGAACCCTGGCCGCCCGCCTCGCCAAGACAGAGCCCGCCTCCGCCCCGCCAGCCCTAATCTCCTTCGGTCCCGGACGCTTCATCCCCCCTCCCTCCTCCCTGCCCTCGGCCCCCGCCTGCTACACTTCCCCGACACCTCCCCCGCCAGCACCCCCTCCGAATCCATCGCCATCGTCGGCCTTTCCATCAAAGTCGCCGGCGCCGACTCGGCCACCGAATTCGCCTCCGTCCTGCGCAGCGGCCAACCGCAACACGAGCAGATCACCCCCGAACGACTCAGCTTCGACACGCTCTTCCGGCAAGGCGACTGGGACGCGTCGCGCAAATGGTTCGGCAACTTCATCCGCGACCCGGACGCCTTCGACCACAAGTTCTTCAAGAAGAGCCCGCGCGAGTCCGCCACGATGGATCCCCAGCAGAGGCTGTTCCTGCAGGCTGCCTATCAGGCCGTGGAGATGGCGGGGTATTTCTCGTCGTCCTCCGGGGGAGCGGAAGCGGGAGGCCGAGGATCCTGCATTGGGGGGGATGGCGGAGACACCACTCGGGATACGCACCACGTCGGTGTCTACGTCGGCGGATGCACCGGGGACTACGAGCACAACGTGGCCTGCCACCCGGCGAACGCATTCACGGCGACAGGCAACCTGCGGAGTTTCATCGCCGGCAAAGTATCCCATTTCTTCGGCTGGACCGGCCCCGCCATGATGTTCGACACGGCGTGCTCCGCCTCCACCGTGGCGCTGCACACAGCCTGCCGGAACCTGCTCACCGGGGAGTGCAACGCCGCGCTGGCCGGCGGCGTGTCCACGATGTCGAACCCCCTCTGGTTCCAGAACCTGGCCGGGGCGACCTTCCTCAGCCCGACGGGGCAATGCAAGCCGTTCGACGATGCCGCCGACGGCTACTGTCGCGCCGAGGCCATCGGGTGCGTGTTCCTCAAGCGCATGTCGGATGCGGTCGCGGACGGGAATCCCATCCTCGGGACCATCGCCGCCTCCGCCGTGTATCAGAACCAGAACTGTACGCCGATCTTCGTTCCCAACTCGCCGTCGCTGTCGGTGCTGTTTGGCGATGTGCTGCGTAAGGCCGGGCTCGAGGCACAGGATGTTTCGCTGGTCGAGGCGCATGGCACGGGTACCCCCGTCGGCGATCCGGCGGAGTATGAGAGCGTGAGGCTGGCGCTGGGCAAGCGGAGCAGCCCGGTGATTGTGGGCTCCGCCAAGGGGCATGTCGGCCATGCGGAGGGCGCGTCGGGCATTGTCTCGCTCATCAAGGTGTTGGTGATGATGCATGAGGGGTTCATCCCCCCCCAGGCCAGCTTCACCACCCTGAGTCGGCATATCAAGGCCGACGAGCTGATCCGGATCTCGACGGCGTTGCAGCCGTGGAAGACGCCGTTCAAGGCCGCCCTGATCAACAACTATGGCGCTTCCGGCTCGAACGCGTCGATGATCGTGACGCAGTCCCCCTATAGGACGGACGGTCAGGATGCGGCGATCAGAAAGAGTGCGGCGGCCTTCCCGTTCTGGATCCCTGGGTTCGATGCACGGAGTATCGGGGCGTATGCGGCGAAGCTGAGGGAGTTTATCGCTGGCCGGGGGAGCGTCTCGCTGCCGGATCTCTCGTTCAACGTGAACAAGAAATCCAACCGCGCGCTGCCCCAGGGGCTGATCTTCAGCGCTCGCTCCGTGGCAGAGCTGGAGCAGAAGCTGTCTCATGCTGCGGCGTCCCCCGTCGAGGCTGGTGCGGCGGCTGTCAAGGGGGCAAGGCCGGTCATCCTGTGCTTTGGTGGACAGGTGTCGACCTTCGTCGGCCTGGATCGGGCCCTCTACGACAGCATCCCGCTGCTGCGTGAGCATCTGCACCAATGCGACGAGGCGGGACAGGCCCTCGGTCTGAACAGCATCTTCCCCGATATCTTCGCGCGCACGCTCCTGGGCGACCCCTTGCGGCTGCAGCTGGCACTGTTCGCCGTGCAGTATGCCTGTGCGCGCAGCTGGATGGACAGCGGGCTGGCGGGCAAAGTCGTGTCCGTCGTGGGCCACAGCTTCGGCGAGATCACGGCGCTGTGCGTATCCGGCATCCTCAGTCTGGCGGATACGATCCGGCTGGTGGCTGGGCGGGCGACGCTCGTGCGCGAGGCCTGGGGAGGTGACCCTGGCGCCATGATGGCCGTCGAGGGCGACGAGACCGCCGTGCAGGGCCTCCTTGCGGCAGCCAACGCGCAGTACGGCGGCGAGTCCCCCGCCAGCATCGCCTGCTATAACGGTCCGCGCAGCTTCACTCTCGCCGGGTCGACCGAGGCGATCGACGCCGTGGCGGAGGTGATCTCCCAGCAGTCCCAGCCCCTGCGCAGCAAGCGACTGAACGTGCAGAACGCCTTCCACTCCATCCTGGTGGAGCCGCTGTGCGCGCGCCTGCAGGAGGTCGGCCACGGACTGGCTTTCCAGGATGCAGCGATCCCCCTGGAACGCGCGACGCAGGCCCGACACACGGGCCGGTTGACGGGGCAGTTCGTGGCCGACCACATGCGCCAGCCGGTGTTCTTCAACCAGGCCGTGCAGCGGCTGGCGGCGGACTATCCCGAGGCTGTGTGGCTGGAGGCCGGCTCCAGCTCGACCATCACCGTCATGGCCGGGCGTGCCCTAACCAACGCCCACTCCTCCGGCCACCACTTCCAGGCCCTGTCTCTGACGACAATAGACAAAGCCCTCGACGGCCTCACCGACGCCACCGTCTCGCTCTGGAAACAGGGCCTCCCCGTCACCTTCTGGGGACACCACGCGCGCCAGACCCCCGAGTACGCCTCGCTGCTGCTCCCGCCGTACCAATTCGACAAGACGCGACACTGGCTGGACCTGAAATCCCCCGTCCGGGCCATCGCCGACGCCGTCGCCAACGCCGTCCCCAGCCCGACGGCCCCCCGATGGCCCCCTCCGACGCGCTGTTCACCTTCACGGGCTACCAGAACAAGCAGGACGCGCTCTTCCGGATCCACACCTCCAGCCCCCGCTACCAGAAGTACTTCCTCCCGCACGTCATCGCACAGACGGCGCCCATCTGCCCCGCGACCGTGGAGATGGACATCGCCATCGAAGCGCTCTTCAGCCTGCACCCCGACTGGGCCGCGGAGGGCCGCCAGCCCATCGCCCTGGACCTGGTCAACCAGGTGCCCATCTGCGCGGACCCGACGCGGACCGTGTGGCTCGACCTCTCGCCCGTCGACTCGGACTCCTCCTGCCCCCTGTGGAGTTGGAAGATGCTCACCTCCTCCTCGCCCTCCACGCCCACCAGCAACCCCACCGTCCACGCCGAAGGCCGTCTCCGCGTGCCCTCGCCCGCCGCCGGAACCCTCCACGCCGAATTCGCCCGCTACGAGCGTCTCGTCCCCCACGCCCAATGCACCTCCCTCCTCAACCCCCCGCCCCCTCGCCCACCCCCCTCGACATAATCCAGGGCCGGAATATCTACCGCACCTTCGCCGACGTCGTCGACTACGGCCCCATCTTCCGCGGCGTGCAGCGCATCGTCGGCACCGAGAACCAAAGCGCCGGCTACGTGACCCGGCCTCACGCCGCGGAGTCCTGGCTCGATGTCCCCCTGCTGGACAGCGTGTGTCAGGTCGGCGGCCTGTATCCGAATTGTCTGGTCGATCGCAACCCCGGCGATATGTTCATCGCAACGGGCATTGAGTTGCTGATGCGGTCGCCGAGGGTGGCCAGGGAGGATAAGAGGCCCGAGGCGTGTCATGTGTTGGCGTGTCATGCGTGGGTTTCGGAGAAGGTCCTCATGACGGACGTCTTTGTGTTTGATGCGGACACCGGAAGGCTGGTGGATGTCGTGCTGGGGATCCATTATGCGAGGGTCGCCAAGGCGAGTATGGTTAGGGTTTTGGGCAGATTGACCGGGGATCAGGGCGTTTTGAGGGGGGGTGTTGCTGGGGCTGGGGCTGGGGCTGGGACGGGAGATGAGGGACTGGTGCGGCCGGTGGTGCAGGCTCAGGCACCGGCTAAGAAAGAGAAGAAAGAGAAGAAAGAGAAGAAAGAGAAGAAAGAGAAGAAGGAGAAGAAGAAACCGTCTGCCCGCCCCGACATCACCGACGACGTGCGCAAGCTGGTCGCCAACATCTCCGGCATCGAGGCCAGCGAGATCGCGCTGGATTCGGAACTGGCCGACTTCGGCATCGACTCGCTGATGGGCATGGAGGTGGCGCGCGAGGTGGAGACCGTGTTCAAGTGCAGTCTGCCGCAGGAGGATCTGCTGGAGGCGACCAGTCTGCGCAAGTTTGTCGTCTGCATCTCCAACGCGCTGTACGGGGCTGCTTCGGATCCCCCTGCTGCCGCAGATGATGAGGTCGAAGATGAAGATGACTCCTCGTCTGACGACGGGGCCGCAACCCCCCGGAACTCCTCGGACAGCGAGACCAGCGTCGAGAACAGCCCGCCTGCTGCTGCTGCTGCTGCTGCTGCTGCCAGCAAACCGGTCGAGAAGCCCCCGGCAACCAGCAACCTGAGCCTCTCGCGTGAGGACGTGCTGGAGAGCTTCGGGGCCGTCAAGCTGCGCGCGGACCAGACGCTGCGCGACCACGGCATGCACAGCTTCGATCAGAGCGTCGCGGCGTCGAACCAGCTCTGCGCGGCGCTGATCGTCGACGCCATGGAGGCGCTGGGCTGTGCCATCCGCAGCGCGATGCCCGGGCAGATCCTCCCCCGGGTGTCGTTCCAGCCCCAACACCACCGCATGATGGACTTCGTCTACGGCTTCCTCTCGCAGGTGGCCCGACTCATCGACATCGACCCCTCCGGACAACTCACCCGGACGTCCATCGCTGTCCCCCGCCAGTCCAGCCAGGCGCTCCTCCAGGACCTCCTCCAGCGGTACCCCGAGACCACCGTCGCCCATCTGCTAACCCACTACGCCGGGCAGCGTCTGGCCGACGTACTCAGCGGCAAGACCGACGGGATCCGGGTCATCTTCGGCTCGCCGGAAGGCCGCGAGCTCGTCCAGGGGCTGTACTGCGACTACATCCTCAACCGGGTACACTACAGCAACATGCGCGACGTGATCGGGCAGCTGGTGCAGCGGAAATCCTCCTCCCTCAGCGCCTCCAACCCCCTCAAGGTCCTGGAAATGGGCGCCGGCACCGGCGGAACAACCTACGTGCTCGCGCCCTTCCTCGCCTCGCTCCACATCCCAGTCGAATACACCTTCACCGACCTCTCCCCGTCGATGGTGGCCAACGCGCGTCGCAAGTTCGGAGCCCAGTACCCATTCATGCGCTTCGCGGTGCACAACATCGAGAAGCCCCCCGCCGAGGAACTCTGCGGCGCGCATGTCGTTATCGCTAGCAATGCCATCCACGCGACGCATAGTCTGCAGGCGTCTGCGACGGAGATCCGCAAGGCTCTCCGCAACGACGGCTTCCTGATGATTCTGGAGATGACGGAGGCGTTGCCGTGGGTGGACGTCATCTTTGGCCTGCTGGAGGGATGGTGGCTGTTCGACGATGGGCGCCCACATGCCATCGCGCCCCCGGAGGTCTGGGAGCGCGATCTCCACGCCGCTGGGTTCGGGCATGTCGACTGGACGGATGGTGCCTTGCCGGAACATCGCTTCGAGAAGGTCATTCTGGCCATGGCCTCGGGACAGCAGCAGGCTCGGCTCCCTGCTCCGGTCCCTGAGAGTGCCCCCACGACGGCAAAGAGGGATATCCTCGCCCTCCAGGCCGAAGCAGACCAGTACATCCAAACCTACACATCCACCTTCCTTCCCCCATCCCCATCCCCCTCCCCCTCCCCCTCCCCCACAGAGAAACAAACAGGCGCAGTCATCCTCCTCACCGGCGCGACCGGCAGCCTAGGCAGCCACCTCGCCGCAACCCTAACCGCCCACCCCTCCATCGCACGGGTGATCTGCCTGAACCGGCCGAGCAACACCGACGCGACAACCCGGCAACTCAACGCCTTCAGCACCAGGAACATCGCCCTGGCCCCCACCCAGCAATCCAAGCTGCTCGCCCTACAATCCACCACCTCGCAGCCCCATCTCGGCCTGCCCGAATCCGAATACAACGATCTCACCCAGACGGTAACCCACATCATCCACAACGCGTGGCCGATGAGCACCACCCGCCCCTTAGCCTCCTTCGCGCCTCAGTTCCAGACGCTGCAGAATCTCCTCACCCTAGCACGCGACGCAAACGCCCACTCGGGGGGGGAGATCACCTTCCAGCTCGTCTCCTCCATCGGGGTGGTCGGTCATTCGCCGACCCCCCTGGTGCCGGAGAGTCGGGTCCCGCTGTCGTCGACGTTGGAGAACGGATACTGCGAGGCGAAATGGGTGTGTGAGCGGATGCTCGACGAGACGCTGCACAAGCATCCCGGCCGGTTCAGAGCGATGGTCGTTCGCCCCGGGCAGATTGCCGGGTCCCGGGAGACGGGGGTCTGGAATGCCGTCGAGCACTTCCCGTTCCTGGTGAAGAGTGCCAGCACACTTGGGGTGTGGCCGGATCTCGAAGGCCGGCTGCAGTGGGTTCCGGTCGAGGATGTGGCGTCTACCATGCTGGATCTGCTGAGCCTGGATTCGGCTCCCGGGGTGGAGGGGAAAGGGGGGGAGGATACGAAGGATGGGTATCCAGTCTATCACATCGACAACCCCGTCGGCCAAGACTGGAAGGAGATGAGTGCCGTGTTGGCGGGCGAGCTGGGCATTCCGAGGGAGAAATGGGTTGGGTTTGATGAGTGGATCCGGCTGGTGAAACGGTCTCCGGTCTCCGAGGCCGAGAATCCGGCCGTTCGCCTGGTTGGATTCCTGGAAGGGAACTTTGAGAGGATGTCCTGTGGGGGACTCGTTCTGGATACGAAGCTCGTGAGCGAGCATTCGGCTACTATGGCGGGCCTGGGGCCCGTCCCGGAGGAGGTGGCCAGGGGGTATGTGCGGGCCTGGAGGACGGCGGGGTTTTTGGTCTGAGTGGGGTGGTGGTGTATCTCTTTGATGTTGTTTTTGTTGTTGTTGTTGATATTGTTCATGTCGCTGAAGTGCTGTTTTGGTGCTTTGTATTGCTATTGCTATTTACATTTGTAGATGATGTTGCTGGTCGGATGGAGTTTGGGCGTTGTTGTGATTATATGCTGGCGGACGGTAGATTGCAATAGTGCTAGGGAATTGAATCAGGTTGAATATCTCATGACGTATCTATGTATTTGGATGATGGGTTCACGGTAATTCTGTCCAGAAAGGACCGGGCAAGGTCCCATGGATAAATAGTTCGTCGGCTATGAAAGTCTACTTGAAAATGCCATATTATGAGGAAGACCACAGGAGGAAGGAGAGTTTCACTGCTTAGAGCTGGGTGATGCAATCTATATATGTTCTATATCTCTTGCATAATGTGTATTTGATTTCGATTCTTCGTATTTTATGTAGTCCACACCAGGCCACCTATCTGCATAGTTGTGGTGGGTGTGGAGTCAATCTTATTATAGGTGAACAGATTCGCCATATGCGGTTATAATTGAGATTCATCCCATCATATCAAAGAACCGCTCGCTTGGATATCAAAAGGGAGTGCTGGGGTATAGCAGATGTCTCAGACCACATGACGAGATCTCTCATAGTAGAGAAAAATACTAAATGTGTGCTGCATGCTTCAAATATCATGGGTAGCCCATTTACTTTTTGATATTCTGTCATCCAGAAATTGCCGCCGTAGCCGAATTTCTCCAGACTCCTTGAACACAATACAACTTTACTGATGATCCATCAGATATCATTCCTCGCAGGCTGTTACACCTGAACAATCTGACCGGACTCATCTGCCCCGGTTTCCCCGAGGGATTGGACCACGGGTGATATTTCAGGCAACCTGTGGTTCGGTTGCCGGATATAGTGGGAATTATTGTCATTCCCGAGATCCTTATCTGGTAGGAGCCACCGTCTCTCTCCCAGGAAGAACTGGTGGGGATGTCTCTTCTGTCTCTTTCACTCGCTCGCCTTGAAGCGTATACCAGTCTGTGGACATATCATTCTCCCGGCCACACCCCATCATCACTAGACTCAAGCTCGCACTCGCGTCCACCTTAATCCAGATCTATCGACTCGCCAGATGACACATTTGCAAGATAACGACTACCACCACGCCACCCAGGACCTTCACCTGGAACCGAACCGTGCACGTCCTCGACTCGCCAGCCTCATCACCCAGCCTAGCCCACCCGCTGCATGTACCAGCCAGCCAACATCCCATCCGCTGCCTTCCTGATCAGTAACCCCGATATCCCTCACTCCCACACCCCCCCTCATACCCTCCAACATCAGCACCCCTACCAGCAGCCCGGCCCAACAGCGCTATCTCCAACAAACCAACACCCCTCCCTCCAGCACGCCTTATCTACTCCACCCGAACGCATCAAGCCACCACTGCACCACCCGCATCCATAGATCCGTCGATCATCAGCAATGCGAGATACTCCGGAGTCCGACCAGAGTCTCGGGATCGCCGTTGCACGGACTCGGGGCGATGGATAGCGCGGTGGCGCATAGGATATGATCTATGGTGGGCTGTTCTGCGGAGCTTGATCTGATCCTGCAGGAGGCAGGATTGTCGGGCGAGCTGTCGTGCCGGGAATCGGGAGGAAGATGGCTGATGCTGATGGATGGGAGGCCGGAGATGGTGGTCACGGCCGGAAAGAATGGCCGGTTGAGAGGAGAGGATGGTGAGGTGGGTTTTGTGGATTCATATTTGGATATTGCCCTGTCCTGATTCTTCCTGTCTGGGTCTGGGTTTGGGTCTGTGGAAGGTGGTCGAATCTGGCAGGAATTGGCTATTAGACTGCCTGTTCTAGACATCTATTCTCCTGAAGATAGGATATCAGATCAATCTTTCCCATCCTGCTCTCCTATACTTTGTCAGTCAAGAATATTTTGCATCCTCCACTTCTGTTCCAGTCCGAACGCCGAGTCAACCAAACAAACCAACTCCATCGAGGTCGATTCTGGGTCCACAATATCGAAGCGGAAATCACAATGCTCGAGACCGTCTCCCCGTGGCCTCTGCCGTCCTGGCACACGCCAAAGACACAGTCCTATCCACAAGACACAACAACAACAACACCCGTCTACACGAAACCTACGACAGATTCTATCTACACGCAGCCGGCACCTCCATCACCTTCTCCTCAAACTTCACCGACATCACAACCACCCACAGCCTCTGTTTACGACCAGAACCCTCGATATCACACGCAGCCAACACTTCCAACCTCTCTCTACAGCCACCCCCTCCCTGTCGCCGAGACCAAACCCTCGCAAGCACAGGCACAAACACAAGAATCCACACCAACCCCCACATTCACCACCCGCTCCCTCCCGCCATCCCTCTCTCCAAACATCCCCCCCAAACCCTCTACCCTCCACCACCACCACCACCTCCCCCGCCTCCTCCTTCTCCACGGCGGAGGCACCAACGCGCGCATCTTCCGCAGCCAATGCCGCTCCCTCCGCGCCGCCCTTACCCCCTACTTCCGGCTCGTCTTCGTCGACGCGCCCTTCCCCAGCGTCCCCGGGCCGGACGTGATCAAAGTATACGAGAAATGGGGCCCCTTCCGGTGCTGGATCCCGCAGCCGCCGTGCTCGAATGCCGTCCATAGCAGGGGGGAGGTGGTGAGGGGCGTGCAGGGGGCGTTGAGGAAGGCGATGACCGATGATGATGCGCGGGGTGGGAGGGGCGAGTGGGTTGGTGTGTTGGGGTTTAGTCAGGGGGCGAAGGTGGCGGCGAGTCTGTTGGTGGGGATGCAGGGTGGGAGGAAGAGGGAGGGGGGGATGGGGTTGAGGTTACGGTTTGGGGTGTTGTTGGCGGGGAGGGCGCCGGTCGTGAGGTTGGGTTTTGGGGGGAGGTTGTGGGTGAGGCGGGTGAGGGAGAGGGGGAGGATGAGGATGAGGATGAGGATGATGGTGAAGGGTTGGAAGACTACGGCGCTGTGTTGGAGCTGCCCACGCTGCATGTCCACGGGATGAGGGATCCCGGGCTCTCGCTGCATCGGGAGTTGCTGGGGATTTGTGAGCGAGGGACGGCCCGGCTGGTCGAGTGGGAGGGGGAGCATCGCGTGCCGATTCGCAGTGCGGATGTTGGGGTTGTGGTGACGGAGATTCTGGGGATGGCGAGGGCGGCGGGGGTTTTGGTTTGATGGCCCTACAGTCAGATTGGAGGATGGAGTGGGTGGTGTGTTTGGGACTTGAGGGTATAGATGGGTATACAGTCTCGGTTGATCCAATCGTATTATTCCTACAGTCTAGGGGTTAGACGACATTGACAGTTCGTGGAATCCTTGGCAAGATGAAGATATAGTTCGCTGGTGAATTACTTCTTTTACGACGTCGAAATGGTATATCACTATGATATGGCGAATATTCCAACAGCGTCGCATACAGGACTCCTAGCTCACACCTCAGAGACAAGGGTACCAAGGGTAGCCTCTAGCTGCTCCGGATCGATAATTTGGGATGCTGTCAGAGAGACACCCCCAGTCAAAATGTCTACTTAACAGTGAGCTCAAGATTGAGTGTATACTCCAACCCAGCCCAGTCCAATGCAGCCCAATGCAGTCCAATTTCCAATCCCAGCGGCGTCAATCCAGTGGCGCATTCTTCACGATGACCGACATCCGCCGCAAGAAGCAAACAGCAACAACAAGCCACCAACCCATCTTCAGCCCAGGAACCATACTCCGGCCGAACTCCGCCAATCACCTCCGTCCCAGCCATCCCGCAGCCCTAACCCAGCCATCATCCATCCATCCATCCATCAGCAAGCTGCATCACCAGCTGCAGCCCAATTTCCATCCCGACCAGCACGACTGAGTACTATATAGCTCCAACACTTGATAACTACTGGTCGTGGTACAGGGTACCACTTCCGTGCGGTCTGACAGACCCACCGCCCCACCGCCCCACCAATGGCTCCATCGCGGACCGTCGATCGCCAGCCGCAGGGCAGACGAGCGGAGTCCGAAAGCCGGTCCGGAGATATGCGGTCCTGTCTCCTGTCTCCTGTCTTGTCTGTCGCGCAGGTGGGATTGGGTTCTTTCTTTCTCTCCTTGCTTTTACTCTTTTCTGGACTTCAACATCGACACATACTCCCACTCTTCCTGTCGCTTCATACCATCGCCATCTTCCATCCACGAAATCGAGTAGTACAACATACTCTCATCCTTTTTGCATTCAAATCACCATCGCCGTAACATATAGTATATCACCGCCAGGATCAGAAATACCACGGGAACATCACCACCATGCCGCCCACCAACCGCGCCTCCTACCTCCCCTCCCCCAAAGCCCCCTCGCCGTCCAACCAGCCCCCTACACCCCCCCGGGCCCCACCGAAATCGTCACCCGCAACCACGCCCTCAGCATCAACCCCGTCGACTGGGCCAAGCAAACCCTCGGCAACATGCTGCAATCCTTCATCAAATACCCCGCCATCCTGGGCAACGACGTCGCCGGCGAGGTCGTGGAGGTAGGGAGCGCCGTCACGCGCTTCAAACCCGGGGACCGCGTGATCGGCCAAGCGTGCAGCGTGGTTCCCAGCGCGAATCGCGCCTGCGAGGGCTCGTTCCAGCTGTATACCGTGCTGCGCGAGCATCTGGTCTCTCGGATTCCGGACGGGATGGCGTTTTCGGATGCGGTCGTGTTGCCGTTGGGGGTGAGCACGGCGGGTTATGGGCTTTTTCATGCGGAGTTTTTGGGGTTGAGACTTCCTGTGCCGGTGGCGAGGGGGGTGGATGAGGGTGAGGGCGACGGCGAGGGAGAGGGCGAGGAGGCAGGGGAAGAGAAAGAAGCCGTCCTGATCACCGGTGGCGCCTCCAGCGTAGGCAGCTGCGCCGTGCAACTCGCCACGGCGGCCGGATACGCCGTGTACTCGACGGCGTCGCCGAAAAACCACGCCTACGTGCGGGATCTCGGCGCCGTGGCGGTCTTCGACTACCGGAGCGCCACCCTCACCGACGACCTGGTCTCCGCCCTTGCCGGCAAGAAGGTGCACGGCGCGTACGCGATCGGCAACGGCGCCGTCGAGACCTGTCTGGCGGTGCTGGCGCGCAGCAACACCACCAAGCGGTTCGTGGCGTACGCCGCGCCGCCGTGGCCGAGCGAGTTGCCCACCAGCACCGCCGGGGTGGTCTCGATGGTGGGCTCGACGGTGTGGTGGATGGGGTCGACGGCCCTCAAGTCCGCCACGAAGAGGATCAGGACCCGGTTTGTGGATGGGGATGAGTGGACGAAGAGCGATGGGGAGATGATGCGCGTTTGGAGGGACTTTTTGCCCCATGCGTTGGAGTCGGGGCAGATGAGGCCCAGGCCTGAGGCCCAGGTCGTGGGAACGGGGTTGGAGAGTATTCAGATGGCCATGGATGTGCAGAAGGGGGGGGTCTCGGCCAAGAAGATCGTTGTTACGTTGTAGGTTTGGGGGGGGGAGGGGTTGTTTGCGTTCTCTTGTTGCTGTTGTTTCTGTTGTTTGACACACCAGTTTTGTCGTTTTGAATGGGGTATAGGGATTTGGTCAGGTGGAGGTGGGTAATGATTTACGTGGGGATTCTATATTTGAAGCGGTTTATATGCTTCCTTTAATGACGGGGTTGTCTATACACCGGGGGGAGGGGAAGGGTCATACATCCAAGTCATATAAATGGCGGTCGATATACGATAAGATGGGGCATGCCCTTGGGATAGTAGGACGGGTTATTATACATCTCGGGTGTGGCGATTAGGTATTAATTTCATTATAATTATAGGTCAATAGTCCCCGCTGGCAGATCATAGCTGCCTGGTCTCCGACTTCGTCTCCATATACACCGTCTCGGACTGAACCATCTCAGACGAAACCACCCTCTGTTCCAGCGTCGTCCGACTAACCGCCCTCCCACTCTCCTTCTGCCACGCCGGCACCGTCTGCTCTGCCTCCTCGCTCCCAAGACCCCCGCCCCCATCCACCGCTACCTCCTTCATCTGCTCCTCCTCCCGTCTCAAACTCCCACTCCCCCCGGTACTCCTTCTCGCACTTTCCCCCACACTAGCTCTATCACTAACCCCTGGCATCTCCCTCTCCCCTTCCTGCATCACCCTCTCCCCTTCCCCCCTTCCCACCTCTCCCTCTCCCTCTCCCTCTCCCTCCCCACCCGCCCCCAACAACACCTGCTCCTTTTTCCCCTCCGCGACCCTGATATCCCTCCACCCCAACCCCCAACAAAAAACAAACGCCATCCCCCCAGCCCAATCCCCATATACATAACCCGATCAATAGCGGTGCTATACGCCTTGAGCACATCCTCCAGCTGCGCCCCCGCCACAACCTTCCTGACCGACCGCGCCCCCGCCGCGATGATGACCGCCGCGTTGACGCCCGGCACGTGGTCCTCCAGCTGGTCGCGCAGCGTGTTGCTGAAGATGGTCTCCGCGGCGGAGAGGAAGATGGCACCGCCCAGGAACTGGAAGAAGACGACGATGGCCATGGCGGTGGGGATTTTAGGCTTGGGGACGCGGTGGGGGATGGCGATGAAGGGCTTATGCGTTCATGGTTAGCGTGGTGGGGAAGAAGAATGCAGATAGAAGACATGAATGGAAAGGGGCGGGCATACCATGCTGCTGGTCATGCCGCAGCCGGCGCCGAAGAGGATCTGGTATCCGATCCAGTCGCGCACGGCGGTCGAGGGGCTGAACGTCGAGAAGAGCCCGTAGGCGGCTGTCGCGAGACACGTCCCGATGACGATGGATGGGAGGTAGAAGCCGAAGCGTTGTACTGATCGGTTAGTCAGTATATATACCGAATCAATATTAACGAAGGGAGAGACATACCCAGAGCCCCCGCGGTCAGCGCCAGCACGACCTGCGCGATGATAGTCGGCAGGAGATGCACCCCGCTCATCAGGGCCGAGTCGTCCTTCACCACCTGGAAATACAGCGGCAGATAATAATTAACGGTGAACAGCACGCCGCAGACAAAGAACATCGTCCCGGCGGCGGACCAGATGATGCGCGTGCGCAGAAGCGGCAGCGGGATCATGGCCTCCTCGCCGCGGGTGTATTCCCACGCCAGGAAGACGATGAACACCACCCCCGACCCGACGAACAGCCCGATCACCCGCGAGCTGTCCCACGCGTACTGGTTGCCGCCCCATTCCAAGGCCAGCATGAGCATCACCACGGACGGCGCGATGAGGCAGAACCCCATCAGGTCGAGTGACCGCACGGCCGTGCGGAGGACCTCCCGCGGAGGAGGCTTGTTTCCTGCCCCGGGGATCCGGAGGAAGAAGAGCAGAATGGCGACTGCGCCGCCGACGGGGAGATTGATGTAGAAACCTGTATGTGTCAGCGATGCACCCAAGACAGCCCGGCAGACGTACACCAGCGCCAGGAGACCTTCTCGGTGAATGCGCCGCCCACGAGCGGCCCGCAGGCGACGCCTAGCTGACCGAAGGAGATATTCAACCCCATCACCAGCGGCTGCCGGTGCGGCGGCACGCAGGCCGACAGAATCGTCAACGCCCCGTTCATCAGCCCCGACGCTCCCAGGCCCGCCACGGCCCGGCCCACGATCAGCATCGTGGACGACTGCGCCGCGCCACATAACGCGGACCCCAGCTCGAAGATGCCGAAGAAAGTCAGAAACACCCACTACCACAGTTAGCCCTGCACCCTATCTCCTGCAGCGCGAGACCTACCTTCGTGTTGAAGTAGGTGTAAAGCCGGCCGGTAAGCGGCTGCACGGCCGAGTAGCCCAGCTGGTAGGCGCTGCCATACCAGCCCACGTCCAGCAGCGAGTTAAACTGCGAGGTGATCTCCGGCACCGCTGTCGACACAATCGAGGTATCTAGCATGAGAAGGAAGTATGCCAGCGTGACGGGGAAGATGATCGAAAGCACCTGCGGCAGGGACAGCGGGTACTCTTCGTCCTTCTCGGGCGAGGGCGCCGCCGGTGAGGGACTGCCCTCTTTCTCGACGTCCATGCTGGTGGTGGTCATTGCTGCACGCTCATCTGGTCCCGCACGAAGCTCTAGATACACAGAATTTGTTATATACTCCTAAGGATAGTCGTACAGGGGTATGGCCAACTAGGCCCCACGCTCGGAGTCGGAGTCTGAAAGCCGGTCGGGGGAAAGCTATATATGCAGGTATGCGTCGATCACACGCACGATGCCGGAGTATAGTATCCAGGGGCCTCCGTCTGGCCTGCTGGTCGCGGGCTGTAAATAGTCCGACGAACCTGCCTGTCTACGCCCCCTTTATTCTCACTCCAGCAGCAGCTTGCTGAGCCATCAGCATGCCAATCAAATCCTCCTCCTATATGTCCAGGGTGACATCCGATCGACCACGGTGCTTCGCTAGCTGAAGCGACCCGGCGACCACCCAACCAGGGTCTCCAGCCAATTCTCGTTCCCAAAGTCGATGGACTGGAGCAGCGTCGCGTCGATGTCGCCCATGAACGAATCGCTGGAGCCGAGCGTCGTCTCGGTCGGCCAGCTCGCGGGTTCCTCGCGCCCCATCTGCATCCGCACCCACGCCCGCACCGCCCGCCCCAGCCGGCCGATTTGCAGCCAGATGTCATCCGCCACGGGGTTGTCCACGGTGCGGGACACCTGCTCCAGCCGGTCGCCGACGCGATCGATTACCTCCAGCACGTCGATCGTCTTGGACACCGCGCCGCGGTCCCAGGCCGGGTCGACGCGCGTGGACAGCCGATACAGGGTGACGATGCTGCGGTTCAGCTGCGACCACATCATGATTGTGAAGCCCAGATACTCCGCCGGGCTGATCCGGTAGAACACCTCGAACCAGGCCCGGATCGCCTCGACCGAGTGCCACAGACAGCCCAGCCGCTCCCAGCCGGGCGCCGTGCTCGGGCCGCCGGGCCGGGGACTGACCTGCAGCACAGGGTCCGAGTTGGCCGTGAAGGCGGTCTCGTGGATGCTCAGGTCTACGTAGTGCAGCTGCGTGAGGATGATATCTACGCGCCAGTCAGCATGTGCCCGGGGGGGGGACGGCCACGGTACTTGCCATTGGTCAGCAGATGGGGCGGCATGCTGTCCTGCAGATCCCGGACCTGCGCGCTCAGGGCCTTGGTGCAGAAGGCGATGGGCAGGTCGGTCTCATGCTGATCGCGGACCTGGACCGCCTTCTGCGCGACGAGCTGCAGGCGGACCTGAAACGCCAGCACGGAATCCGCCGGACACTGGGTGTTGGCCTCGACGCTGCAGAGGTTCTGCTCCAACTGCGGGGTCCAGCGCAGGGCATCGATCTGCGCAAAGTACGAGGCGACACTGCCTGGTCAGTCGCTACGCTACAAGACGGACCGGCACACTCACAACGAACTGATCAGGAAGCAGGCCAGGGTGGCGCGTTCCACCTCCAGCGAGCGCTCGATCGCGCTCTCGCAGTCATCGTTGTACCCCATGGACTGCACCCCCACGCTGGTCAGCATGTGCAGCTCGCGCGGGACGGGCTTGGTCAGACGCGTGTCATAAACGATGGACATGGCCAGCTGTACGAGGCGCGACAGGGTGGAGGAGCGGTGGATGACCTGGTCGTCGCCCCAGGCCACATAGGTCAGGATGGCGAGCAGCAGGTCGATGCTGGAGCGGTTCTCCACCACCATGGTCTGCCCCAGGCGCGTCTTCAGATTCCGGGCCCGCGTCCGCTTCTCCTCGATGGAGCGCGTGGTGACGGCGACGATGGCCTCGACGAGGAACGGTCGCTCGCGCTGCAGCTGGAGGGCGGTCACGTGGGGCGAGAATTCGATAAAGGGGCAGAAGCGCAGCATCTGGCTGCGGAAGATGGCGAGCGCGGCGGCGACCTCGGGGGGGGATGGATGCGACCATCCGTTGCTGGGGGCGGGAGGTCTGGGGGAGGCTTGGGGAGACTTGGGGGAGGCTTGGGGGGAGGTTTGCGGGGAGGTTTGCGGGGAGGCTCGTGGCCAGGGCGGGCGACGGGGGGTGGGGACGGACGAGGACGAGGCGGACGAGAGGACGTGCTCGAGATGGGCTCGCGAGGCTCGGGGGTCGTCGCTGTGGAGGGTCTGTTGGATGGCGGTGGTGATGGGCGACGGAGGGAGGGTGCCGATGATGGAGGCGAGACTGTCCAGCCTGGACTCCAGCTGGGCGATGCGGGCGTTGGAGGTGGTGTTATTCTGGGCCTTGCGGCGGCGCACGGAGTCGGAGGGATAGCATTGCTTCTGCAGACGATGGCATCTGAGGCGATCAACAGCTGAGATGGGAGGCAGCAGCAGCAGCAGCAGCAGCAGCCACGCAGGACTCACCTCTGGCATCCACCGCCCTCCGGCCGACCGACGCACTTGGATTTGGCGACGAAGCAGTTCATGCAGGCCAGGCCGTAGGGGCCTCGTCCGTCCATATTTAATAAATGGCGGGGAATGGGTCACATGCCTTGCCTTGTCGGAGAGGGTGCAGTTGAGGCAATGAAGATGCAGATGAAGGCCGCGGAAACGGGAGCCGAGCTGAAGGAAGTGAGTTGAGTTGCTGGCGATGGAATGGATCCGCCGGTATTATATGCCCGCCCCAGGGAAACGGGGCCCAGCCGGCCCGGTTTGCAAACTTACGATACCGACCCGACACGGGCCAGGCCATGGCCGTCTCCCGGCCGTCTCCCATCCGTCCCCCCATTTGCCGGATCGATACCGAGCTCGTAATCTGGTAATCTTCCCCCGGATTTGCAGTCCACCACGCTCGCGTGTATACGAACCACGACGAGCCTGGCACCGAATGGGTCACACGTCCAGGCCCCGGCCGTCCGCAGGGTCGATCCCTCCCCGCCTCCGGATTGGGCGGTGGCCTTCGCCCTAGGATGAAAGCGGGCATTAGGTTTGCGGCCGGGCTTTGCTTCCCTGGCGGCTGGCCCCTTTCCGGGCCCCTCACTGGGCGATCATCGGGACTGGACTCATTCTCTCCTCACCGCAGGATTGCTAACTCTTACTATAGCGAGGATGCGTGCATAGAGTTTGTTATCCTCCCAGAGATTGGCTTGGTCCTGGGGGTTACTAGGTCCTGGTATACTCCTTAATCCAAGGAAGATCAACGGGTGGTATCTTTGATAATGTACTATACCTAGCCTGTTTCCTTTCCGCTGTCGTCCCGCTGACAGGGAGAGGAGAAAGGATCCCTCCCTTTGCAAAGATACCCCCGGCACCTGGGTGCGTAATTTAGCATACCGGGCAGTCACACCGGACCGCCCGGGCAAGGGCTTCATGCTGTATACCCGCTTTCTTGATGGTTTCCTGGGATTGGATGATAGTAAGCTTAATCAGAAGGCGTTCTTGGCTGCGAAACATATAATCACGTGAAAACAGGGTATTCCTACACTCACAACTACAAATGATCTAATAACCACTCGGCTAAGAAGGTGCGATACTGAATGAAACTGGTTTGACATCTAAAGACCAGCTATCAAACATCCATCTTATGAGACCAACACCTCTATCTATCCAGATCCCCAAAAGCCAAGACGTCCGTCACATTCTCCAACACTCCCCAACCAACCCGTGGATAGAAGTGGATATCTCCATCCCCACCACAGCTTCGCTGCTGAATAATAACACCCACAATTGATCTGAAGAATTAAGATTTTGGTATATCTCCCATTATGAGGCCGGTACTCATTGACACATCCCACAATATCGTCTTATTCGATGATCCTTACAAATCCAATATCAAATGCCCCCCCACCCCCCTGATGCGGGCCGATCATATTATCTAGATACCAGTATCTGTATAAGAATCCTCTAGATGCCACGTTTCTTCAACCCACACCAGGATTCCCCTGCAGATCTAGCCCTCAAGTAAGTAACATCCGGTGCAAAGCGACCCTAGCAAACAAAACCATGCCCATCAGCCCGCACCGCACCATCGCCTCCAAAATCCAATCGCACCTATCCCCGGGATCGCAATCGCAAACCATCTACCGCGTCGCCGACGCCAGCTCACCCCCCCCAGCCTCACCGCCGCGCTGGACTGGTGCGTCACCCAGCTCGGCCAACCGCTCGACTTTCTCCTCTACAACGCCGCCCATGTCGCCCCTGTTTCTGGTTACGGGGGGGTCGCGGGGTTGTCGGTTGTGAAGGCTGCGTCGCAGACAGTGAGTCGGTTGTTTGCGATGGAGTTCGCCGCGGGAGTATGGCATTTTGGTCGGTATGCCCCTCGTGTCTGGGCAGATTGGTGAGGAAGGGGGGGGGGGGGGGAGTGGGTAGTTGAGAGGGTGGTTTAGAGCATATATAGAGACGGGGACAGAGGCTCCCACTGACTGGAAAGTAAGCAGTCGGGATAATCCTTGCTCCCTCCCACCCTAACCAACCAGCAACTGCAAATTTACAACACGTTCCGTAATGTCAGATACGCGGGCAATGCTAGCCTAACTTGGCCTAGCCCCGAACCCACTGACAGGTTTGAAAACCCGACCATGCCGTATCCAGTCTAGCGCCATCGTAGCACCAATCCAGCCTGCTTCCACTTCCATCATCGCGCATCTCCCCTTTCCCCTTTCCCCTCTCCCCTCCTTGTGCCTCCTCGATACTCTCCACCTGAAATTTGAGATCCGACATCCGACCCTCAACCTCGGATCCATCAATTCCCCCAATCACCCCACTCCATCATCCACCATCCACCATCCAGCGCATCTGGTTCTACACCACAGCGCCCGCATCGCGCATCGAGTGCGTGGCTCGCGTCTCGCAAGGAAAAGTGCCCGATGACAGTACCCGACGATGGGGCCATCGGGAATACCGAGTTTAATGCCGGCTGGGAGGAGTTGAAGTCCAGGTATGAGGCCTTGGAACTGTGGAGATTGAGGGGGCCGCTTGGGTTGAAGGTGACCATGCAGGAGGGGTTTTTTGAAGGGCGCGCCGCAGAAGTATGTCTGCGTTTCGCCAGGGGTGATGGAGAGGTATCCGCTTGCGCGGTGGGAGTTGGCTTCCGGCAAGGGTACGGCTCAAGGATACGTGATGGCCGGAAGGAGGGATGATACCTGACGGCGAGGAATGGAATCGAGGAAGCTCTGGAGGTCTATACCGTATCTGGGAGCAAATATACCTGATATGAGTGAGTCAGATAAACATGAGGATAACAATATACTAATCTACGTCTAGTGAACTGCATGGAGCATCCCACGCAGTCTCAGCTGCCTCTCAAGATACTCTACAGAATAGTTCCGGAAAAGCCGGTATGGCTGATCGATCCACCCTCGCACTTCCCGGCACAGCGCCTCAAGCCCCCCCGGGTATCTTAGGAACATGTCCGCATCGACCATGTACTCGCGCCTCGTCTCGCACAGATACTGATACGCACCATCCCGAACACGTTTGGTCTTGGACAGCCTCGCTCCCGACCAGTCCACAACCAGGGGGGCGTAGAAAAAGATCGGCGCATCTTCTGGCTCATCCAGGAGCCTCCAAACTAGCTCTTCGTGATAAAGACCGGCGTGATCAGCCCCAGTGCACATGATCCACGAGGCCTGTTTATCCCGACTGCAGATGATAGCCCGAATGAGATGTCGGAGTGGCGGACCGAGCTCCATTCGTTCCACGTCTGCATTGACGGCTGGGTTGATGTAGAACATCCCATGCTGGGGACAATCACAGCTAATGCGACCGTCGGGATGATACCCGTTCTTGACACCGTCCTTGTCCACCAGCCCACACTCGGGGCAGGCTACACGAATGGCCAGCTTTCCTGTCGTCGGCGAAAGGTGCGTCCCGATAAAGCGGCGATACTTGACGCACTCCATGAGGGCGTCGGTGAACTCGGGATTATGTTGCCAGAAATTCGGCGAGCAAGTGTCGTAAGAGACATCGAAGAACTCGGCCAACCGCCGGATCACTCTCCTGAACGGTGTCTGGTTTAAGCCGGAATCCCCGGGGCCCGTGAGTCCCTTCTGGTATTTAACTCCATCGATTGTGAGCAGCTCGTGATGATCCGGCCCTGGATCCTGATAAATGATCCTCACCCTGACATTACGCGAGCAGCTGTGCTTTAGTGCAGCGGCGAGAGCAAATCCCGTGGCAAAGGTGACAAGGTTGCCGATGTGTGGGCTTGAATTCGGCCGAGTTTCAAGATGAACGTAGAGTGTTCGTTGTCGACAATGGTTGTTCAGATATCGGATCAGTGTCTCTCCGAAGTGCAGGGCTCCAGGAGCAGGGGGGTAGTGGACTAATCCATCATGCGATGCCATGGTGATATTAGGCCTGAGAAAGGAGCGATTGTTGCGACTTGATAGTTATTTTAAGGATAGGTGGATGGTTGAGATTTGATAACGATCTTAGGGATAGATGAATGCTTGCGCTTGGTCAATGACCTGGAGGAGAAGAGAAGAAAAGAAATTTGGAGCGAGGATTTGGAGGTCGCATATTTGAGTCCGACATGTTGCTAGACCTGGAAAGCACGGTTGAAGCGTCAGCTAACGGAAGTATTCGTGATATCAGGCAGGCACGCAGATCGCCTCGAGTTGAACACCATTTCGCGCGGAATATGTGCGACTTATCAGACCCGATACAATTTCCATGACAGGCACATGCGATGATTATTCGATTGGCCACTACAAGATTCCTGATACTCCATTGATCTTAACAACACCTGCAATGGATCTGACCGATCTTCATCCAGAGGGGGTGCCAGAGAGGTCACCTCGTGATTAGCACCAGTTGACAACGGCCGCGCAACAGGGTCCAGGTCGTATTGTATCTAAGCCTTCATCTCCCGCTTCAAACACCGGGAGACCGCTGCATCCGAAAGGAACTCGACCAGCGATTTTCCGAAATGCAGCACACCCAGCGCTCCCGCGCGAAATCCGTCATCGCCCTCGCCCTCGAGGCCTATCTGGCCGACCACCCCGAAGCCAAGCAGCTCAACGCAGCCCCCCAACTTGACGACCACTTCTCCGATTACGCCACCTACCAGATCCGCCTCTTCCTCTTCGCCGGAAACGACACCACCTCCAGCACCATCGTCTACGTCTACCACATGCTATCAAAACACCCCGACGCCCTAGACCAGGTCCGCCAGGAACACAACCGAGTCTTCGGACCCGACCTCTCCACCACCGCATCCCTCCTCAAAGCCACCCCCGCCCTCCTCAACCAGTGTCGTGTTTCTCTGGCGAGGTAGAGAGAAATTCAAGGGAGGGTAGGGGGTGGTCTGTGCGGACCTGTCAGATTTAGCGCTATCACATCACACGGACATCTGGATAACTACCTATCTTAGTGCTTACTGTACTCCGTAGATATAGTTATGATCCTTTGGTAGAATTGTTTTGCTTTACCTGTATAGCCCCCTGGATATGGATGGATGGATGGATGGATGATACACTTGTTTTCCATGGCAATGGTATGGTATGGACTTGGGCCAGAGTATATATACTATAGATTAGATTCAGACGATGTCAGAGTATCTATAGTATCTATCTCACAAGGGGTGCCCTGTATAAAATAACAAATTAATCAAATATGATCCCTGCCGTCGCAACTACGGTTAATAATAAGAACTTGACCTATTAAATAATAAAAATGGGTCATGCTGATCCCATAATCCCCTCCCCTCTCTTTCCCACAGAAAAAAAAAAAAAAAAAAAAAAAAAAAAGAACTAATAGTATAATGCACACAGACTCGCAGGTCTGCAAAGCATAATCAGTCACCCCATCCTTCCATCCATCCATCCATCCATAACAATCACAAAAAAAAAAAAAAAAACACTTAGAAAGTAAGGAATCACTGCACCCAAAAAAACTTATACTCCCACCTCGGCCTCAGCCTATCCCCATCGGTATCTATATCGTCATCGTCATCCCTCTCCCCATCCCCATTTCCATCCCGAGAATAATAAACATACCCAACCCCCACCCTCCTCGACCCCCCATCCTCAGTCACAAGCCCCAAGAAAATCGTATATGTGTCCGGGACCTTGGTGATGGTATTCCCCGCCACGACGGGGACTAGCTCGTCCACGCGGGTAGCTGGGCCATCGAATCGGAATTTGCCTGTGTGGGTGGAGGAGATGGATAATTTGCTGTCTCTGTCTCGGGCGTCGATGGGGGATGGAGCTGTTGTTTTGGCTGTCTGGGCTGAGAGGGTGAATTTTGTGGAGGGGAGGTAGGCGGCGTGGAAGCCTAGGGGGGTGGCGTGGTCGTTATGTGTAGGTTGTGGTGGTGGTGGTGGGTAATTCAAGAGTCGGGGAACGTTGAGGCCGATTTTGGTGAGGAAGGCTGTTGTGTGGGATAACTCGTCGGTCTTGGAGTTTGCGTTTGGGGGGTCTGGGTCTTGGTCTTGGTCTTGGTTCTCGCTCGCTGTTTTCCATAAATCGTGGGACCAGACTTTGTGGGTCGTGTCTCCGAAGTACCAGGCTGTTATGGCTGTGTATAGAGGCGCGCGCTTGATCACCCCGTGCGAGATATTTCGCGACAGCCAGAGACTTTCAGCGAAGACGAATTCGATGGGGCCGATCCAGGATACCCTTTATTTAGTTATACCAACTGGTTAGTCATGGGTGCGTAGTGGGGGCATGAGAGAGCAAGGAGGTAGGTAGGTAATTACCACGACCACGTAGCGAATTTCTCCGACTCCTCAACCAGTCTTCTCTCGCAGCCATCGCCTGGGAACCACAGTAAAGCCAGATGCATGAACTGGGTCGGGATGCTTTGCGTATCCCGAATGCTCAGTTCCGGGGCGTTGCTCAACTGCTGGAAGCGGTGGAAGATACCCTCGTACGCGCTGAGGATGTCCTGCTGGTAGGTGAGGTTTCTGCGGCTGTAATCCTGGACTGCCTTCTGGTAGCCCATGCTGTTGAGCCCCTGACTCCCGTGGCCCAGGTAGTGATAGGGCGTGGGATCTGGATCCTTTCTCAGATTCCGGTTCCACCAGGGCGGTCCGGTTCGGATTTCCAGCGCTATGCCGTCGCTGCGCGCTTCCTCGCTGTAGTTGTATCCCTCTCGCCACTGGGCTTCGCTGCAGTTGAAGAAGAGTTCCGCCGGCGTGAGGTACAGACAGCGCTGCGAGAGGGACTGTTCTTGGAATGTCCAGCCCCGGGTGTTCCATGTTGCGCGGCGGATTTCGTCGCATAAGGACGGGAGGCAGAGCGAGAGGTTGAGGGTTGTTCCGCTGGTGCTGTTGGTGATTTGGGCCGGGCTGAGAGGTTGGCCGGTTCGCGGGCTGATTCCACTCAGTCCGGCGTCTGCGTCGCTGCCTGCTGCGGCGACGAGGGTGACGGTCGCGTTGTCGTAGACATCCGCCATTTGTTCGATGATCCGTGCTTTGTCTTCCGGGTCGTCTTGGATGATGCATAGGGTGTCGACCCACAGGTATCGCATGCCGATCTGTCGGGTCATCTCCATTGCGTCGCGGACTGTACGAGGGATTCGGCCGGTGGTTCGTGAGACGGGTTGCGCTTGGGAGAGGCTTCTTGGAGCGCTGCATCGTGAGACGTTTTCACGGGTCGTGAGAAGAATTGGAATCTCTTTCTCATTGTTCCCCGGGGATAGGAGTGTTGGTATACGGCCCCATACGTAAGATAGAGCGGCGTATTCACATCTACTGCTCTTGAGCACCAGGCACTCGTCCACCACGTCGATGAGTCGAAACGGGTGGTCCTCGTGGAAGAGGCTCTCGCTCCCCAGACTTGGTAGCTGTCTGGGGTGTTTGTGGTTTCGACATTCGCTGAGCCAGCTTTGGATGAGCCCGACATCAATCCGCTGAGAGACCTCACGCCGGGGGAGGAAATTGGCTGCTGCGGACGAAGGGACTGTCTCAGGCAAATGCTCAATCTCGGCAATGATGAACCGACTCTTCCCGCGATCGAGCTGTCTGAGCGTGGCCCTGTTACGCTGAAATGTCGGGGGCTTCTGGTCGATGGCCAGCAGGATGCGTGGCTCAGGGTGTTCCATCCGGCCATGGATCCTCGCTGACAAGGGGCTTTGGCTGCGGATGAATACCCGGATCGATGCGTTGGTTTCGCAGCACACTCGACTTGTAGACCAGTCATCACCCCAGGCGATACGGACAGACTGGCAGATGAGGCTGCAGAAGGGACAATCGGCGTCGAGGTAGTCTGTCAGAAATCCGATGGCCTGTTCCTCGGTTTCATGCTGAAGCATTGCTTCCAGGTCCAGCTGGCTGCAGGCGCCGCAGAGCTGCGCTGGCAGGGATGGACTGGCATCATTCTCAATCGGCAGTTGCTCGACCTCTTCTTTGGGCTCTTCTTCTTTTCTGCATCTTTTGATTAAGGAAATAATGCCTCCCATTGTGGTGCGGTGTCAACTGGCTAATGCAATGGCCAGAGTGGTCATCACGGCAAATCCATTGAACGGACAGACGACTGCAATACCGCATCAGCCTCACATGTTCGCGTGAGGGGTCAATCCTCTTTGCTTCTTTGACGGGGCCCAAGTTCTGCTTAAAAGTTAGTGGCTGGCTAGAGACAATCAACACCCCAGTCAGCTCTACGTATCCGGCTGCCGGGCGGGTCAGCCTCTGCGTCATCTCGGCCAATTCGAAGAGGTTGCAGCGCCGATCATCTCCTCTTGGGAAGACCTGTCAATCAGATGCAACAAACATTTTTTTTGGCTTTGGTTCAGGAAAGCGCTGGGATAATGTAAATTCAATTGTCATTTCATTCGTATTCATCATGAGAAAGAGTGCTCAAAAATATAGTGACCAACGCACGGGAAGGGGCTGACACTCCTATTTCCTCGCAGTATCCAAGATCCCAAACAACGATATGGACGAATTAAACTCGATAAATAGGGCCGTCATTGTCGCAACCAGCTCGCGTGATAAGATATCCTCGAATCCTCAATCCAAAGCTAGATTCCTCGTCTTTCCAAAAACTTCAAAATCGTCTGACCAATGAATTCCGTATCGCTCTCGACAGCAAAGTGCCCGGCATCAATCAGATGCACCTCGGCATCTGGCAAGTCCCGCTTGAACGCCTCCGCTCCTGGGGGTATAAAAATTGGATCATTCTTACCCCATATCGCCAGCAACGGAACCTGCGACTTCCGAAAGTACTCGTGAAATTCGGGGTACAGTTTGACATTGTTCTCGTAGTCCTTGAACAGGTCGATCTGGATGTCTGGGTTTCCGGGACGCTGCAGCAACGCATAGTCCAGGTGGTACGCCTCAGGTGCAAGGGCGGTTGGGTCACGAGTGCCCTCGTCGTATTGCCACTTGGTCGCCTCGTAGGTCAGCATGGCCTGTTTCAGCGGGTCGCGGTCGGAGGGTTCATTGCGACTGGCCCAAAATAGTTTCACCGGATCCCAGAAAATGCCAAGGCCTTCCTCATAGGCATTGCCGTTCTGTGTGATGATCGCCTGGACGGCTTCGGGTCGCTGAAGGGCCAATCTCAGACCGGTCGGTGCTCCGTAGTCGAAGATGTAGACTGAGAATTGGGAAATCCCAAGGACATCGAGAAATTCGGCGACGGTGGATGTCAGGTTGGCGAATGTGTATTCGAACGAGAGCGGAGCCTCAGTGAATCCAAATCCAGGTAGATCAGGAGCGATGACCCGATATTTGACGGCCAGCAGGGGAATCAGATTGCGATACTGGTGAGAGGAGGAGGGGAACCCGTGCAGAAGAAGAATGACGGGGGCTGTTGCCGCACCCTGTTCCCGGTAAAAGACATTGGTCTTTGACTCCGGCAGAGGGACCCTCTTAATCTGTGTCAGGGCGTTTGACATGATGTTTGTCTGCCGGGGAACTTGTCAGTGGGTTGCCTTGGCTATGTTTTCATGTTTGGTGCTGTTCCGCGCCCTTTATAGGGAGGAGGCTGGCGTACCGGCCCCGCGGATGATCCCGACAGCCAATCCAATTGCCAGCCATCCGGTGGTGTTGATGACGCTGGATGACCATAAGATGATTCCATTCCCCCCAATCGCCAGGATCGGCATTTGCTGATCAGGGTTTAGCTGGGACGCGGATGCATTCCCACCAATGACTGCCGGCGCGACAACCCTAATTACGAGGACTAGTCCGAATCGGAATGCCCTGGAACAAGGTGGTGGCACAGTGGGAGGGAGGGGATGGTGTCATCGTGGCTGAAATGCGGAGGTGTTAAGAACATGGATCAAAATATGTCAGCCTAGCATGTGCTTCTGTGGCGAACGTATAAAAGGTCGAGATCCCCGTGCAACCATCCAGTAACACCCTCCAGAGCCGAAATCCGCATTTGGCTTGACATTATTAGAGCAGTACCTGAGAGGCAATCGAGGCCGTTTTATAATCCTTGATTCCAAATCTACACACACCACGTCATGCAGAGTGCACAGATGAAGGCTGTCGTCATCGAGAAATTCGGAGGCCCAGACTCTTTGGTCATTAAAGAAATTCCGAAACCAGAGCCCAAGCTCGGTGAAGTGGTGCTTAGAGTCAAGGCTTTTGGTGTCAACCATGCCGAGATGCACATGCGCAAGGGAGAATGGGCGGAATGGATGCCTGTGAGTGGCATTGAATGTGTCGGGGTTGTCGCGGCCTGTCCCGGGGGAGAATTTGAGGAAGGTGCCCCGGTGGCCAGTCTGATGGGGGGACTTGGCCGCACCATCAATGGCAGTTATGCCGAGTATACAAGAGTACGAGCATCCAATGTGGTCGCCTTGGGGCCTGCAGCGTCGGAGCTTGGATGGCATCAGCTAGCAGCAATTCCTGAATCATATGCCACCGCGTGGACATGCTTGTTTCGAAATCTCAACTTGCAGAGTGGACAAAAGATATTGATCCGGGGTGCGACTTCGGCCTTTGGCCAGGCTGCGCTGAATCTAGCGGTGGAGAAGGGTGCCCACGTCATCGCAACCAGCCGGAAGCGAGAGCGATTTGCACATCTGAAGTCCTTGGGTGCCGACCGTGCAGAGATCGAGGGTCCTAATCTCTCGGACCGCCTCCCAGAGAAGTTCGATGCCGTCCTCGACTTGATCGGAAATAGCACCGTTGTGGATTCGCTCAAGATGGTTCGCCGGGACGGCAGAGTGTGTCTAGCTGGTTTTCTCGGAGGACTGGCGCCCATTCAAGATTTCAACCCGCTCCTCCAGATGGCCAGTGGAGTACACTTCAGCTTCTTTGGAAGCTTCGTCTTTGGGACTCCTGAATTTCCGTTGTCTGACGTTCCCTTGCAGTCAATTGTGAACATGGTGGCCGACAGGAAATTTCAGGCAGAGCCATCGCAGGTTTTCAAGTTTCACGAAATCAGGGAAGCACATCGAATTATGGAAGCCAACGAAGCCAACGGGAAGCTTGTCGTGGTAGTCGAGTAGAGGTCATCTTCTTGGCTCCTGCACTTGAAAGAAATTAGCTTGCTGTGTCTTTCTAAACCAAGGCATGTGTGGCTCTCCACATGCGTTGCAGAACGATGCCGGCAAGTCGAGCACAGTCCTAATGGCACTTACATTGAGTCCGACAGTCAACCCTTTATTTATTTGGGCACGAGACGCGGGTATAAAACAACGCTGTCCAGGCAAAGACATAGCCAGAGTATATATGGGCGTGTTCTATAGTATACGAGTATGTGCATTTTGACCTTGAGCTGACTAGGGAAAGCCAACCTTCCACAGAAATTTCGCTTAGCCACCTGCAGCACATCAGAGGGATCCCTGTAGCTGTGCCTCCCCGCTGTCACCAATTGTGCTCCCAGGTTAAGATAGGAGTAAACCAGTGAGGTATGGGACCCGGGAAAAGGAAGGTTTCTCCAGATATCCTTTTCGGTAGGTAGGGTTGTATGTTCCAATTCCTCCTGAGACCCCTTCTATGCTTGGAGCTCTGCAAGCCCCTCTTCAGTGTCCCAGTATCCGATGTCTGGTCTAATCGACACTAACCATAGTATTAGGGGATCGCTCGCCTGGGCTGTCCGGACCACACGCTGTCTTTGGGGTTGTTCGTTCGCTGCGGTGATGACTGTAGGAGAAAAACACCTAAGAACAAAATCGTATCAGCTTAATGGTCTTTTCCTTGACTAGGGGACTTTACTGCCGCTACTCAGCCACTTAGCATGGTTTACCATGGTTCACAGTCATCTGCTCCAGGACGCGAGCAACTCGAACCGGAGGCTCGGCGTAGAGGATGGAGACTGTTCTTTGGCTGGTAGTGACCATATTATCGTGCAGGTATAATATAAGGCAGAATCCCCCGAGCAGGGGATTTTTCAAGGAGAGTCCGACCATGCTGGTGGAGAGTGGAGGAGTGAAGTAAGGCGAAGAGTGTTTACATCTGAAGCAATGACTAAGTCGAGCACCCAGCCAATAATTGTACCTGGCTGTTCGCTACTGCAAACTACGCCTCGAGCCTCCATAAGTGGAAGGTCGGTACACGTGACGAGATTATTCTAGGAGGGCCTCTCCTCCTAGTCCGCCTCACATTGAGGGCAACCGTCACGACATATCGGATATCCGACTCGTTTCACCCACCATATGCTTTCGTACCCACGCCATCCCTGTAGCTGTGTGAGGAGTTTACTTGCAAGTTTCGGGCAGGTCGGGATACCGACGACGGGAGATCCCGACCCCAGGCCCAGGCCAGGGTCCAGCCTAGACAATGCAAGGGGCCATTCCAGCCGTGCATCTACGACATACTGACAGGCTTCTCTGCACAGAAATAGAACACGTGGAGAGGTCCACTGCGACCGTGTATTAAGCATATTATCCGCATCCTGACAGACACACGCCAGGTCGACTATTAGATAGTACTGTTGGTATTGATCCCATAAAAACGCCATCGCTCCCATCTTCCCCCATCGCCATCGAGTACCGCCCCGGGGTGGCTTTGAAACCGGACATATCAAGAAAAAGCTCAGCGAAAATCCATGTCAAATCAGAAAAGAAAGAAGCAACAAAGGTGTGCCCCGCGTAACCCCGTAAACTCCACGCTGAACCTTTATCATTTTCCCTGCTGCTGGTTAGTCGGCGCACAGTCATCGACAGGGGTAGTCAGCGCAAACCGCCTTACATTCACGGTACCAGTGGCTGGCTTCTGTTCGTCCGTCGCATGGGTGCAGTCTCGGGCATCGTGGCCGCGATGATAACACTTACGACAAATCTGCTCGGGGCAGACACGCGCGGTGTGACCCAACGTCCAGCAGGTATAGCAGCGCGGGACGGGGCAGTGGTTGGCCTCGTGGTCGGTGGCGCTGCAATTCTCGCAGGGCGCCATTGGAATAGTGAGTGGAGATGCTCGGGTTCTTTGGGTGGTTATCAAAGAGGATTTGAGTGAAAGTACGGTGGTGGCGGTGTTGTAGCGGCAAAGATGATGTCAGTAGGAGGGAGGAGGCAGACGGAAAGCCGGGATAGATATCGGGGAGTCAACCGTCACGGGGCTATTCAATCCCCCCAGCTGTCCCCAAACACAGTCTTTATCCTAGCAATCAAACAACAATGCGATCGATGTATACCGGCACGGCACGGGCAAATTCACCAGGTAGAGAGAAGTGAAGATTCAAGTACCTGCATTGCCATCTACATGCCGATCCCATCAATTTCAACGGTCGGGTGGGGTTCGTCCCGGGGAGAAAGACAGAGTAACGGTGCCACTGAGCCCCCCCGGCTGCCCTCCCTTGCCTCTTCCGCATCCGCATCGTGATGTCATTACTATAACTCAGGCACATGTCGGATTGATACGTAGTACAGGAAAAAGCCCCCGGAGACCCCCCCCCCCAGTAGTTACTCGGTGTGGAAACGCTGGAAAGCAGTCGAAAGTGATTTGGGGGGGACGCCCAGGGCCGCTAAACGGCCGCTAACTCTATGGAAGGAATGGGTCCGCCGATCCCCAGTTCCTTTTTCTGGGGCTTCTTCGCGCCTTCACTAACTATATTAATATTGCTTCCGTGCTACCCGTCCCACTGGTCGGCCTCGGCTAACAATGGCTCGCCCGAGAGGGAGAGGCAAGGGAATGACCGACCACCTCGTTCTTCGGAAAAAGCGAATGAGGGGGAGGCCCCCAATAATTGTGCGCTGGGGTAATCAACGGATGGGTCGTCATTCATTGGGCCGGGGCACAGTGAGGGAGGGAGAGATGGAGACAATGGACCGGACAGCCTCGGTAACTAGATCTCAAAAAATAGAAGCTTTCCCCGCACATTGCAAAGCCACCTGCAGGCGCTGCGGTCGCTGGTCGCTTTACTAGGTAACTAGTAGTACTTATATGTCTCCCCCCACGCCCCTTGGGGTGCCACGACATCCCTCCCTCCTTTTCCCTCCTCTTTTCTTTCACGCCATATCACTACGGACCACCCGACCGTGCCGGTTGAAACATGGTCTTCCACCCCCCCAAAGATTCAGGCGTCCTGCCGCCCATCCCGGACAATATTCCAATCAGTGAGTTCATGCTCACGGACCTTTACGGACGCACGCCCCTCGGTTACTCAAGAGACCCCTTTACCTGCGGCATCACCGGCAAAAGCTTCTCGGCGTTGGAGGTCGTGGATCGCGTCGACCATCTGGCTCGCGGCTTGGCCAAGGAATTCAACTGGGCCCCCAACACCGGCACCGAATGGGACAAGACAGCAGCCTTGTTCAGCTTGAACACGGTGCGTTTGCTGACTGTGACGCTTTGACGCCCTCACTGCTGACCAATCCCGCGCACAGCTGGATACCCTGACTCTATCATGGGCCGTACATCAGTTGGGAGGCGTGGTGACACCAGCGAATGCGGCTTACTCGGCAGCGGAGCTGAAGCACCAGCTGCTTGATTCCAAGGCCCAGGTCCTCTTCACCTGTCTCCCCCTCCTGCAAACTGCGCTCGAGGGTGCCGCCCTCGCAGGCTTTCCCAAGCATCGCATATACCTCTTGGAACTCCCGCCGCCGCTCACGGCCGGCATCCAGGCCCCCGCCCAATACAAGACCGTCTCGCAGTTTATCGAACAGGGCAAGTCGCTCCCGAGGCTCGAGAGGCTGAAGTGGACCGCCGGGGAGGGCGCTCGTCGGACGGCGTTCCTCTGTTATTCCAGTGGGACGTCTGGGTTGCCTGTAAGTGGAAACGATCGGAATGGGAACCTTTCAGGGATCCCAGCTGACTGGCTTCTTATGCAGAAAGGGGTGATGATCTCACACCGCAACGTAATTGCCAACGTCCTGCAGATCTCGGCGTTTGAGAGCTCGTGGCGCGACACGATCAAGGCCCCCGGGACACAGTCCAATCACACGGAGATTTCGCTGTGCCTGCTGCCTCAAAGCCATATCTATTCCCTCGTGGTCATTTGCCATGCGGGCCCCTTCAGAGGCGACCAGACGATCGTCCTGCCCAAGTTCGATTTAAAGTCATACTTGGCTTCAATTCAAAACTTTAAGATCTCGGGATTGTTTCTGGTTGGTACACCTCAATCCGCACGGAGACTCCCCTGGGCCGATCGCTCATCGTTTTGTCTGTCTAGGTTCCTCCGATCATTATTAGCATGCTTCGGAACCACAATATTTGCTCCCAGTACGATCTGAGTTCGATCACCACGCTTTTTACCGGCGCCGCACCCCTGGGTATGGAAACCGCGGCGGACTTCCAGAAACTCTATCCGAACGTGCTCGTGCGACAAGGATACGGTCCGTTTCCCCAGTCCCGGAAGACATTACCCACACTGACAGCCGTTTTAGGCCTGACTGAGACATCAACCGTCGTGTGTTCCACCCACCCTACTGACATCTACCTTGGTTCGTCCGGCTGCCTTATTCCTGGGGTTCAAGCGCGCATTGTGACCCCCGAGGGAGAAGAGATCACAACCTATGATACTCCCGGTGAACTGGTGGTCTACAGCCCAAGTGTTGTTTTGGGCTATCTCAGGAACGAGAAGGCCGACAAGGAGACGTTTGAAAACGGGTGGATGCGCACCGGTGACGAGGCCGTCGTCCGGCTGGGACCGAAGAAGACGGAGCATTTCTTCATCGTTGATCGCATCAAGGAACTGATCAAGGTCAAGGTACGTATCCCACAGCACATCCCTTACTTGCGCGAGCATGGAGTAACAGGCCAAACCCATCAGGGACTGCAAGTCGCCCCAGCAGAGCTGGAAGCTCACCTTCTCACCCACCCGGCTGTCGCCGACTGCGCCGTCATCGCCATCCCCGACGACGCGGCCGGGGAGATCCCCAAGGCCATCGTGGTCAAGTCGGCCTCTGCTAGTGGCAGCGACGAGGAGATCACCCAGTCGATCAAGAAGCATGTCGAGGATCACAAGGCTCGGCACAAGTGGCTGAAGGGCAGTGTCCGGTTCATCGATGCTGTCCCCAAGAGCCCGAGCGGCAAGATTTTGCGCCGACTCCTCCGCGACCAGGAGAAGGAAGCAAAGAGGCAGGCTGGCCCCCGGCTGTAATGTCATGATGATTCACGAAGTATCCGTCTAGAGGGGTCTGGACCCCATGCAAGATTTTCTGCTTTCAATGTATGCTTCGGATGTAACCATTGTGTACCCTTTATATTTCCTAGATAGTACCCCACGTATCAGATTCCAATATAGAGAGAATCCTTGTCTGCAAATAATAATAATGATGCACCGAAATCGCCGCCAGCTTCTGCAGGCGGCGGCGGCGGCGGTGTTTGCCGCGTTTGCATCGATCGCGGGGAAGATTCGAATTTCTAAGCGGGGGTTGATCGGGCGATTGCTCAGCAACAGAAAAAAATAATAGCTAGCCATTCTTCCAGCTTCGCCCCTCTTCCTGCCAACCCTCTTTGGAATAGACCTCGGGGAAGTTTCCGGTTGAATATCTCTTCCTCAGACCGATCAACCCCGAAAACACACCCTCCCCCATCCTCTGTACTCCTCGACTCCCTCTTTTCTCGCACCATACATCACCATGTCGTCGTCCCAAGATCCCACCCGCGACGAGGACGCCTATATCGAGGGCGATGAAGCCGATGAGGTCATCAACCGCGATGAGGACCACCCCATGGAGTCCGACGGAGAGGATGAAGACCAGGACATGACGTTTGAGCAAGAAATCACCCTCGAGAACGACTCCGCCGCCCACTTCGACAGCCACAACGACTCCGTCTTCTGCATTGCTCAACATCCCATTCACAACCACATTGTCGTCACGGGCTCCGGTGATGACACCGCCTACATCTTCGATTCCACGCCGAATGAAGCGCGCCCCGTCCTCCCCAAGAGCTACGAGTCGGATCCTCAACCGAGGCGCGAGCGCGATTCGCTGAAGCCGATCTTGAAGCTGGAGGGCCACACGGACACCGTCAATGCGGTCGCATTCACCGAGCCCAAGGGAGAGTATGTCGTGACGGCGGGTCTAGACGGCAAGCTGCGTGCCTGGCGCGATGCGACGGCCCAGGGAACCGGGGGCGCATGGCAGTATGTCGCGGAGATGCAGGAAGTGGAGGAGATCAACTGGGTCGCTGTGTGCCCGTCCGAGAAGGGTGATGAGGGCAAGAGCAACGTCATCGCTCTGGGTGCCAACGATGGCAGTGCCTGGGTGTTCCGTATCGACCACCGGGACGCCTCGCAGCCCATCTCTATCGTCCAGTCTTTCTTCCAGCACACCGGATCCTGCACGGCTGGTGCCTGGACCCCGGACGGAAAGCTGCTCGCGACCGTCTCGGAAGACGGCAGCTTCTATGTCTACGATGTCTTCGGTGAGGCTGCCGCCGCCGGCGTCGCCTACTCGGCTGGAACCAACGCCGTGGTCGGTTTGACCGCGGAGGATCAGCGCTTTGCGGTCGAGGGTGGATTGTACGCTGTTACTATCTCTCCCGGTGGCTCGATTGCTGCTGTTGGTGGTGCAGAAGGCCACATCAGGGTGGTCGGTCTTCCTCGTCTGGCCCCAGCCGGGGGCCCTGCTGCTGCCAAGGTCAAGGGCAAGAACGTCTCCCAGGCGTCGACCGGAGCCTCGGCTGCAGGCACCATCCTCGCCTCTCTCCAGGCCCAGGGTGACGGCGTCGAGACCCTCTCCTTCTCTTCCCCTCCCCTGACCCTTCTAGCCGCTGGTTCCGTCGACGGATCTATCGCCCTCTTTGACGCCGCTCATCGCTTCGCCGTCCGCCGCCACATCCGTGATGCGCACGAGGGCGCCGTGGTCAAGGTGGAGTTCCTTCAGAGCCGTGCTCCCGGGGGCCCCGTGCCTCGTCCCAACCCCATTGCGTCCGCCGCTGCGGGCCAGGGCCAGACGTGGCTTCTCACCTCGGTCGGTATGGACGGTATCGTCAGACGCTGGGACGCCCGTGGAGGAACCGCGGCCGCTGCCCACGGTCTGCTGAAGGAGTGGAAGGGCCACCTGGGACTCGTCGAGAACTCCGAGGGAGAGCAATCGGGCGGTATCATGGCATTTGTGCAGAGCACGGACGGAAAGCGGGTCGTCACTGCGGGTGATGACGGCATTTCCTTGGTCTTCGAGTGATTCTGGTAACGATGGATAGACAAAAAAATTATGTATAGATGCGAGTGCCTTAAGGGCATATTATGTTATGCGAATCTGATGATCATGTTTCTAGCCAATTGGGCCATGTTACCGTTTTACTTAGTTGATAATAGTCAAAGACTATATAAAAAGCGCTTTCTTTAAAAGACCGGTACTGAACACCTACTACTAAGCCAATTCCATCACACCAACGAACAATGCACTTAGTAATGTTATGTGATAAAAGAACAGATACTACCTATGTACACCCGACAAATGAAACAACCCAAGCGCCGTCTAGAGAGCTGGAGGGGGCCATCCAGGACAATGAGACCACACTCTATCTCCTCTCCTTGCTTCAGCCGTTTCCGGCTTCATTACACCCACAGATCCCCGATTCCTTCAATCACATACGGATGCCTCCAGTCTCAGCAATCCGGGGTATCCTTCGACTTTTCTACCGCATGTCGGTTCCCGCCGCGTCCGCGTCGCCGATCGTCGTTCTTTAGTGGTGGGCGTCGCCGTGGTGGTGGTCGTCCTTCAGGAAGAAGTGCTCGTAGGCGCAGTAGCCGGCGAAGGCAACGGTGGCAATGCCGAAGCCGGGGAAGATGCGCTTGAAACGGTTGGCGCGGCTGAAGGGGCCGGTGTATCTCCAGGTCTCGCTGGAAGGGGTCAGTAGGGAAAATTGTGTCATGGGAGGGTCGTGAAGCGGGGGAGATCGTACCCGCGACCCCAGGGGTCCTTCTTGGCCCAGGATGACTGGGGGTGGGCGGCCTTCTTGAATTCGCTGAGGTCGAATCCGGTGAGGTTGGGAGGGGCCATGGTGGGCGAGTGGGCGGGTGGGAGAGGGGAAGCGAGGAGATAGCGTGGAGATTCGGTAGCGGAGGGGGCAGCGAGAAGGATGAGTGCGTGATCCGCAGGTTCCGGGCAGACAATGGACGGCAAAGGGAGGGGGAAAGCGGCGGGGAGAGAGGCGGGAGGAGCGAGAGGAAGTTGAAGCTGTACAGCCCGAGGAGAACGGCTTGGCGCGCTAGGCCGCATCCAGCGACGGCAGCTTGTCCGCCTTCTTCGATCGGTTGTGTCCCTCCTGCTGCTGCGGCTGCTCCTCCCTCTCCCAGTCCATTCACCTCCCCTCCCCTCGCCTCGTCTCGCCTCTATTCCTCCCTTCTCAGATGCATGACCGTTAACCAGCTCTTCGCCTCGCTGCCTACACCATGCCACCTCCTGTCGGCAGATATGGCCCCACGGGCCTAAGCGCCTCCTACTCCCACCTGCAACAAGCCCATCTCCAGCAGCACCAACAACAGCAACAGCAACAGCAGCAGCAGCAGCAGCAGCAAGCCCAGCATCACCCGGCTCATGCCCAGTCGGCCAACACCGCTCTTCCGCCTCCCTCCCTGGGCGGCCACCCCGGTTTCGCCGCCGGCAATCCCAACACTAACATCAACCCTTTCACACTGTCCGGCACCGGCATCGCAAATGGCATGTCCGTCGCAGGCTTCGGGGCCGCCGGCGATGGAGGTGGCACGGGCCTGGCCAGCCACGCTGCGCAGATGGGCTTCGCCAGAGGGGCGCAGATGCAACAACAGCAATTACACCAGGCTCACGACGGTCGGCTTGCGCTCGAGGCGAAGGCCGGTACCGTGAAGACCCGGATACGTGACGTATGGAGCCACAACCTGGCCCAGGAAATGGCCATCCTCCGACAGCTCGTCGAGAAGTACCCGTATATCAGCATGGTAAGCCACCAGCGAACCGGGGGGGCCTTCCGGAGGTCTTCCACGTGGGGTTGATCGGGGCCTCGCTTCGACGTCATACTAACGACTGCCAGGACACCGAGTTCCCCGGCATCGTCGCACGTCCCATCGGAGCGTTTACGAATAAGGCGGACTACCATTACCAGACCCTGCGGTGCAACGTCGACCTCCTCAAAATGATCCAGCTCGGTATCACCTTGTTCTCCAACGAAGGCGAGGTATCGCCGCCCAACGCCACGGATGCGAATGGCCAGCCCCTCGGAAACAGTCTCGTCCCCGCCCCCTGCACATGGCAGTTCAACTTCCGGTTCTCGTTGGAGGAGGATATGTACGCACAGGAGTCGACGACGATGCTTGCCAAGGCGGGTATCGACTTCGCGATGCACGAGAAGAACGGCATCGACCCGTTCGAGTTCGGCGCTCTGCTGATCAGCTCGGGGCTCGTGCTCCTGGAGGATGTGCACTGGGTCTCCTTCCACTCCGGATACGACTTTGGCTATCTGATGAAGATCATGCTCTGTCAGGCTCTGCCCGAGAACGAGGAGGAATTCCACAAGCTGCTCAAAATCTTCTTCCCGTCATTGTACGATATCAAATACCTCATGAAACACGCGGGCCGCAACCAGGCGGTCAACGACTCCCCGTTAACGCCGGCCGCCATTCAGATTCTCACGAACCTCGGACAGAAGTCCGGACTTCAGGATATCGCAGACGAGCTCGGTGTCAAGCGTGTTGGCATTGCCCACCAGGCCGGTTCGGACTCGCTCGTGACGGGAGAGATCTACTGGAAGATGCGTCAGATCATATTCGGTGGCGCCATCGATGTGTCGAAGTATTCGGGCCAGATCTGGGGCTTGAACGGGCACATGCCTGCCTTCATGTACCAGATGCAGCCGCACCAGACTCCGAACCTCAACGGGGCCACCATCTACTCTGCCACGGGGACCCCAAGCACGCCCAACGCCGGTCACGTCGGCGGCAGCCAAACCCCGCATACTATGACCCCGGGCGCGACGGGCGGAGTGCTGGGACAGTTCCACCTCGCCAAGTCGTGAGGCTCGCTCGCTCGCTCGCTGCGTGCTGTCGGTTTTCGTCTTCCTTTCTCTCGGGTGTTAGATCGGGCTCGGGGCGTTCGTGCCGTCGTCTACGTTTCCAATTCCCCTGACTCTCTTTGCTTTGTACAGGCCCCGTGCTCCGTGGACCATGGGATCTGACGATTTATTCGGAGCTCCGGCCTCCTCTCCACCTTTGAACGTTTGCGGGCGGTTCTGGTTCTGGTTGCTGTTGCGGTTTTCTTTTTCTTTTTTTTCTCTTTTCTTTCCTTGACTTGTTTCTCTCGGTGCGAAGGGCAAGGAATCTATATGATGTGATGGATGTACATAGCATGTGGCATCGGTTGTTGCCTTCTTGGTGCATTGTTTGTTTTTGTCGTTTCTTCTTTCGTCGCTAGTGCTCGGTTTGACCATGGAGTTCCTCGCCTACCATGCTCTCTCGTCGTATTACTCTTGGAGGTGGGTGTTTGCAGTTTGCAACAGGTGTATGGTGTTCGTCTCCGGCGGAATGTGATCTACCTCATGCAGGCGTTTCCATTGTTTCCTTCTTTCCGGGGCCTGAGGGCTTGCTCTGTACGCGTAGGGGGTTGGATTTTCCTTCTTCTGTGTGAGATAGTTACCTAGGTAGGTAGGTGGATTTGGTTGGCATCTCATTCTAAATCTCCATTGCTAGACTGCCCCCTCCCTGTGTCTGGGACCTACCTCATCCTTGGCGTAGCGAGGTAGCTATATCTATCCGGTGACTCGACTCCTTCACTCTTTCATTCACTCACTCACTCACTCACACTCACCTACTACCACTAGGTAGCTATCCAGAACACTCGTTTGGGTTATAGTTTGGTTCATGGTTCCCTTTGTCCCCCTCAGTGACAGACCTATCTCCCACATCACTCCCACACCTATATTCCCCTTTGTCCACCCCCCACCCGTTACACACACCCAGCCTCATTCTCTCGGGTGAATCCTCACCCAGACTTCCAGACCCCATGCTAACACCGTCACCAGATCCACTGGTCCACTAGCTGGTCTGCTGTCCGTGTGAATCTGTTGAGGTTTGCTGGTTCCGCCAATCCCACCCCTCCCCGAGTTCCCTGATCCAACTCAACCCGGGATTTGTGAATCCGGACCGGCGTTCCAGTCTTTTGGGTTCGGTTACTGCGGGGAACTGTCGTCCCCGGCGATTCGGACGGGGGTCAGCTGACTGGCTGGGTGAGGGGTATATATAGGGGCTTGGGACCCCCGCTGCGCTGGGGGGTTCTGCTGCTTGTGTCTTTCTTGTGTTTTTCTTGTTGCGGGGAGAGGAAAGAGGAAAGAGGGGGGGGAGAGGGGGGGAAGAATTTTTCTGTTGGTTTGTCTTGTGATGTGGTTTGATTATCCTGTGTCTTGTCCTCTGTGCCTCTGTGTTCAACATCCTTGGACACATATCTTGCCTTTCTATTGTGCACTGTGGGTGATGCTTATGTCCTACATGTGCTCTCTCTCTATATGACTTGCTGATGGTCTTGGTGATGTTTGGTCTTGTGATGTCTCCGGTCTGTTGGCATATGGATATGTTGCCTGTTAAAAGATTGGGGTGTTTGTTTGTTTCCAGTTTCCGGTCCGGACTGTCAACATATCTTGTTCTTGGTCTTGGTTGTCCGACTGCAAAGCACATGTTCTCGCGTGGTATACCCTCTTTTCGCTGGGTTGGTTGCTTGGTTGACCGGTCGTTGAGTCCGAGCCGATGTTCTGTGGATCTGCTTCATGTCGACAGTCGAACATTACACTCGATCTCGGGTGAACACTGTTCGCTTCACCCGATCATTTTTTGTTGCGCGATCATCAAGCTGGAGGCTGCCACTGTGGCTGACATGAACTGAACCCGATATTTTGTTGAAGGAGATCGACCAGATTGGGCGGTCACTGGCGTGATATCCCATCTGGGTGCCTTCGGGTTGCTTTTGATCTCCCCACAGGTCAATCACTGGCATGATATCCCATAGTTGAAGGGCCACTGTCCTGGCATCCCCTTTGGGTCTTTCGGCTTGCTTCCAGACACATGCGACAGGCCCTGGGCCCGGAGCTGTTCTACGATCTAGGCATCAAATGTCCTAATGGCGACCTTGATCTTAATCCGACTACGGCGCCGGTGCACAGCTTCAAGTGACCCCCAAAACCAGACATGGCGCAGAATCCGTCCAAGTTCGGAACGACTGACTGCCCCGTATAATTTCCGGCTCTTCGACGCAGGACAGTGCTAATTTCGGCTTGTCCTGTTTTTCCAAAGAAAAAAACTTTTCGATCTGGAATTCTTATCCCACTCATGACCATACCCATGGACCAATTGCTACTGGACCAGAATATGGTACAAGGCGCGCGCGACTCTTCGAGTTCCCAAGACGCTGATGCTGTTATTCCCTGAAATCAGCCCGGTTTCGGCCGGTCGCAAAGTGGTCTGTGTGGCCTTTTGCGGCTTGTGGAAGGGTGGCGAGCAATCTCTGTTGCCTCGCACGGCTTCTTGGTTTCCTTCCTTGTTTTAGGATCAGATTCAGCTTCAATGTGATATGTGGTCGATGCAAGACTGGGCCCAACTCATTGCTTGGGGTCCCCATTTGGAGATCATACAGATGGAACGCTTGCCGGCGTGATGTTTTCCAACTGCTGGCGTTTTGAGTTTCTACAACCTGGTATGGATCAGTTTGTATTGTCCACCCTACATTATTTACATTGCACTCGAGCAGCATTGCTGGGGTGGTGGTCTTCCACAACAAGCCGAAGACGCATGTCTCGGGGATGGGGATGGAGTCGATGATGAACTCGGCTGAAGACACTTGCCTCATGGAGGTGGAGTGGTCTCCGGGTGAACGCGGCCGAATACAGCCGCCTCGGGGACATAGGAATTGATATCCTGATGAGCACGACTGAAGACACTCGGGAAGATAGAACTTGGCCCCGTCAAGAAACAGGCATCATCTTCGGTCAATGTTGACGATTCTGTCATCGACATGATCCTGATACCGATGACTACAACGAGACATAGGTGCCTCAGCATGAAGTGAACCTCCGTCCCTATTTCATGGGACCCTGGTTACCTCAATGTCGGCATATGCCAGCAAATTGTGGCATGCACTACAGCATGAATCCTGGCTATGTTTCTGTCTGGTTTCTGCGCTCGCCAATCTACGGAAAGCTGGCCAGCAAACAGCCCGACGTCAACTTGGCAGAACCTCATGCCCAAGACCGAGTGTTATCGGTTTTCGGTGGATCAGAGAAAGATTCACCCGTACCATCCAAGTATCGACAGAGATACTTGAGACAACATGTCTATCACAACCGGCAGCTCCTAGAAGCTCGCTCAACAGTTTATTGGGCTGACCATCCCTCAATCACCATCACCATCACACCAGGATTCCCCCGATATTGCCTGCCATACAGACATTAATCGAACGACGAAACAGAAAATGCTCAGGCATTCGATGTTATGGCCTTCCTTTCGATATTGGCGGCGACTCTACAGTCACCACTTACGACCTCGATCAAGTACGAGACTTTCCTCGTGATATGACAATCAACTCAACCGGAGTTATCGTTCGTCTACCGGATGAAGTCGTTGTATTATGTTCACTTTGCAGACCAGGATATCTGGATCCTGCGGCATTACCTCCAGCAGTTGCTCTTGTGGTTGGTTTTTGGCCTCCATCGCAAATCACAGTTACAAAACGAAGGTATCGTGGGAAATAAACTCGACCGTCTTGGCAGATGGTACCGGAATTGCCAATCGCAATTTTCGCAAGAATCGTTCTTCATTTACAAAGTGGTTATCAGACACAGTTCAGCGGGCTCCATTTCATCTATGTTTACATATGCCGGTTTTCATCTTGTCATCTTGGTTGCACGGTCCCAGGAGCACTCCTATGCTTCCTGTGGTCGTTCCGTTTCGAGATATACTTGGTAGTATGGTGTATTAAATCCATCGCTGGTGCAACGCATGCGGCACTTCCTTTCCAAGTTGTGAAAGACGAAGTGATGGTGGTCAGTGAAAAGATCAAGTGACAACGCTTTTGGGTTCTTCCCAATGGTTCTCTACTTTCACCATGAGATCATCAAAATGATGCTCTTTTTTAATTCATTCCTCCACTGGACATCGTCAACGCCATCATGGGACGCCTCTTCTGCAAATGGGTCTCTAAAAGACGAAACTCCGCACTTCTACGACTGAAACCAGCGTTTTTCCTGTGCGTCTTGCTGTGTTTGCATATTCCTGTTCCACAAGTTGTCACAGTTTGCTCTGAACCTTCAGCAATTTGCGGAACTGAGCAATAATTGAATATGTTGCATATTTTCCTTTTTCGAGATCGGATTCCAGTCGACCTGTTCATGCGTTATTCGTGCTAATTTCCATTCCCCAGACCATCTATCTGGTGGGCTATGTCAACGGCATTCAGGAATGCGAAGTTGGTTGGCTAGAAGGAGCATTTTTGCTCCTCCCTCCTGAATGGCAGACAAGTTTTTTGATACCTCATTTACCATGCGCTTTCTATTTTCTTCAAACACGGGACATGTTATCGTCATCTGCATTAGGAGATCTGAAATTGTTCATTTGGATCATCTGTCCTTGTGGGATATGATGTTGGTCATACGCTGCGTACTTGCCCACCTCGCTTTGCTAATTCTGGAATTGTCACTCGGACGTGGTCCATTTCAAGATATGCGTCGCAGCTGATCGACGGCACTACCAGGTGATGTCCCAATGAAACTTCAGCATCCGCGTCTGAATATATTTTCGACCTTGGCTGCTTCCCCGACTGTGTCAGGAAGCCTTTGATGTATCTGGGGAGCCGACTCAGCCATCGGTCTGATCGGCTGCTGTTTCCATTTTGGAGAATCAGAACCTTCTGCACTGGTTGTATGATCGATACAGAGGACAGCTCAAACAAAACTGATTTCCCCATGTAGGGGCTGGTTGCACAGCGGCTGTTTGCTGTCGACACCGTCGCCAATTATAACTTCCTCCTTGGCTGGTCTTGCTCCCTAGACACGTCCTATCGGTCCCAGAAGTTGGCCTTCAAGATCGAACGCAGATGCCAAAATGGAATTGACCAGTTCCAACAGTTAGAACTGGTTCCCTCTTGTAGGGGGTGTGGGCCGTACAGTGGGTCGGCTCATCGATCATTCGGCCGTACGACTTCAAGGATCGATCGAGATCTGTGTGTCATCCGGGGCGCCCTGTTAGAGATCGTGATCGAAGAAGAGTTGCAACCGGGGCACGCTATACTCCCAATCGACTGGATATTGTCTACGCAGTGTCGACAAAATCGATACAGACACGGCACATGGTCGACCCGACTTGGCGCCTTCCTTGCCCCCCTTCCCTCCGGCTTACCCTTTTACTCTGGGGTTGTTCTATCGATCCCAGTCCTACTGGGCTGGTGTTTCTCGATGCCGATTTCAAATCGCAGAGTGGAACAAGACAGTTGGGACCGGACGGATTCCGCGGACTGCACAGCGGCACCTCGACATCGAAGACTGATCTGGTGCTTTTCTCACCCTCCTCATTTGCAGCTTGTCGTTTTACTCTGAGACAACTCTTGTCTCTTTCAATATGGCGGCTGGTGCCTTTCACCCGCCAATAACAACTTCCTCAATACCAACACCTCCAAGTGGATGTCATCGGCGCCCCTGGTGCTGGATGGGACTGTCTATCGCCTTCCATCGCGACAAGAGTTGCCGAAATAACACCGTCAACTGACATATAAACGTCTTGAGCTGGTTCAGGAAAACATCATCGAAGCCATCCGCGACCTCGCGGAGCTTTGCATGTTCCCCTAGCATCTTCCACGCCTGGAAACCAGGCTTCTCCAAGTCTCGCCAGAAGGAACTGTGCGAACAGTACCATTCATTCTGCCTCTCGAGCAGCCGCGAAAGCCAGAGCAGTCTGATTAAGTTCGTCATCAAGGTCTATCAAACAACACAGGTGTTCGATTTCGATATGTTTCTTCAACATAAGACATATCCGCATCATTCGGGGGGTAGGAGGGGATCAAGGATCTCATTCCCATCGACATCTATCATATTTATCCGTTTCATACCGACGTCGCATCTCCATACTAGGTGCAGGTCGTGGTCTCGATAGGCACAACACTGGCTGTGCTTCTTTTGTGCCTGATATCTGGGGTTTGCGATTCCCAATGCATATTTTAAATGGTTTGATTTATTCCGGACGGTCTGTTCTGTCTATCTCATTTCAAGGAGAGTCAAAAGCGGAGGGCGCTTCAAGTGTCTGGCTTGTTTCTTTTTCTTGGGTTTATGCATAACGGTGCCGATGCCGATGCTACTTACTCGGTCCGGGCGGATTTGACCTCGAGGCAAAGACATAAATTGTCAGGAGCAGAAAGGGGGAAACGACAATGTATCATGTGGATTATGTGGACAGAGACAGAAAGTGTCATGGCATATTGCGCCTTATTGTGTACTGTGCAGATTTATCTGGCATGTATGTATGTATCTCACACACCAGGATAGCTCGATGGGTGATGGTTATATACGTATATATAACAACCAAACCACCTCGGCATCCCGAATATATGCCAAAATACTCCGTACTACAACCGACTCGATATCTCTTTCTTCAATAACCCTGTACAGTATCTATCTATCCCCCTCACCCAGGTGGGAAAAAAAAAAAAAAAAAAAAAAAAAAAAAAAAGGAAAGAAAACCGCCCATAAGTTACATCATCTGTACCATGTAACTACACCCAACTCCAGCCGGTCGATCCGGTCGTTCGGTCCCCACCCACCCGAACCAACAAACCACAAACCACACCCGATAAAAATCTCCTTCCCATAGAACCCACAACCACACCCATCCCTCCAACAAATTCCGATGTGGTGTAATGGCTAACATCGCTGTCTCTCACACAGCAGCTCGGGGTTCGATTCCCCGCATCGGAGAGATTCGATATCTTTTTGTTTGTACATTTACAGAAAGCACTCACCCACTCACTCACTTTGCTTGCGCTATCTATGAATGTTATTTTTTTTCTGTGTGTGTGCGGGTTCAGCCTTATGGCCTGGGGCATGATAAGGAAGGGGATGATATCATGATATCATGATGGTTGATTGATGTTCGTTCTTGGGTGCTTGTTTCACTAGACTGGTTTTGGTTAGGGATCCTCGAAAGGTTATCTTGGGTTGTTATTGTGGCACGGACATTGACACTGACAGCTGCAGTCTGCTGGATGATGTGGTAGTTTGTTTTTGGTGGGTGGGTGGGTGGGTGGGTGAATGGATGATGATGATGTCAGTAAGAGTAACTTTATCAGTGACAGGAACAGGAATGATATCTAGACCGAGTGTAAATAATAAATCCATGCATTTATATTCATACAGCCATAACGCCATTAGGAGAGTAAGCAAACCCCCATCCAATCATCAGCACCGCCCATCCTCATCCACACCACGGTAGTATATAGAATAGAGTCAGGAGTAAGTGGTTTGTTTACTCGCCGCATCACATCGCATCGCATCCATCTCACTGATTCCCACAAACCACCCTCCCCCCCTTCAATCCCAATCCAATGCAATCCTGATTTAATTCCCCTTCACAGCCCTCTGCGCCCTCTTACTCCCCTCCTCGACCTCCCCAAGCAAGCCCAAAAGCTCCTTCCCGCCATCCCCCGCCCTCCCCTCCACCTCCAAGCCCCTCTCCACGAACTCCCTCGCCTCATCCCACCTCCCCATCTCCGCCAAACACTTCCCGCCCCTCCACCACGCCTTAACATTGCCCCCAGGTTTACACTCAACACTACACCTGGCATCAACGACCCCCTCCACCCAAAGCCTCTGACTCATCCACGCCTGCGCCCGATTCGAATACAGCCCCGCCAACTCATCCCTCGCCAGGGTCACCGGCTCCCACCCCGGCCTGCCCAGCGCCATATCAATAGCGTAGGTGTAGAGCCGGGCCGCCTCGGCGAAGGCCGACTTGCGGAACGCGGCGTTGGCGGAGTCGCGCAGCTTGGATATTTGCGCGCTGCGCTTGGGGTTCATGGGCAGCGGGGGCGGGGGATGTTGGGCGGGTCGAGGGTGAGGAGCGAGCGGTGCAGGGCGTTCAGGTGCTCCAATTCGGTGGTTATTGTTGCTGGGCTGGGGGTGTGTGCGGGGAGGGGGGTGGAGGGGGACAGCGTGATGGATTTGGAGGTTGGGTTGAGGTGCAAAGGGTATTGGTTGTAGAGGTCGTCGTCTATTTGGGACATTGTGGGCGGGAGGTGGTGTGGGTGGTCTGGTCCGGTCTGGTTGGGGGATCGCGTGTTTCGTGTTTCCGTGTTGTGTGGTTGATTGTTGTATGTATGAGATTGCGAGGTTGGTCTGTGCGGCGGATGTTAGTATGTGTGAGATTTTTGACGGAGGGGGGTGGTGGTGTGGGGGGATGCACCTTCGGGTTGGACAGCTTGCGATGGGAAGGGAAATGACACGATGACAGGGATCGAGCACAGGTGGACAGGAGATGAAGATGCAGGAGATGAAGATGCAAGGCTGGGGCAAGCTGTCCTTGTCCAGCGAGCTGGCCGGGCGGTGGCAGAATCCCGCAGAAGCCGGCAGAATGTGTCTGGCGGTCAGCTGCTGAGTATTACGCTTGGTTGATTGGCAGACCATGAGGTGCACATATATAGTGAGAGTACAAGATACAGCAGATTCGTGAAGAGATATCTATTTCAAGGATCCAGTAGGGTCATCCAAATCGTCAATAACCATGCAGACATCATCACGTCCGTACGGACGGCCAGGAACTCAACACAGCATACATACATCATCGCCAGACTGAAAAAAAAAATAAAATAAAAAGCAACAATCAGACAGAGAGACAGAGAGACAGACAGACAGACAGACAGACAGACAGACAAAAAGCAGGAAATGCGCCCGCAACACCGCTCCATGGTCGTTTCAAGAGTTACAAACGCAGATCAATCCCGGCCACACACGCTCAGCGCCCGTAGCCACTCACATTCGTCCCGAATTCCGACGGCGTGCCGTAGTGTTGCCCGTGGGCGCCGCCGTAGCTGGTGCTGTAGTCGTGCAGCACACTCGCCCCTGCGGACACTGTCGGGTCGTATGCCCCCGACAGCGCAGACCGCGCAGCATGCGAGTTCCCGAACTCGTCCACCTCGCTCTGCTGCAGCAGAGCGTAGTCCTCGTCGCGGTCGCCGCGCACCGAGGTCCCGATTCCGGCCCGCGACCGGAAGTCATCTTCCTCCTCCTCAAAGTCGTGCGCCGGATTCGAGGAGAACGCCGCCTTCGACTGCGCCGCGAACGTGGGATCCGAGACCGCATCGGGCAGGGTGCCGGTGCGGCGGAAGTGCGCCACATTGCGGAAGGACATGAAGGCGGTTACGATGAAGAGCAGACTGGAGTCGTTAGCGCCGTGCTCGGGGGCTTGCGATGGGGCACTTACAAGATAACCACGCCCATGATCACCGTCGCCGTGCTGATCTTGCATTTACTGGCGTCTCCGTAGGCCCAGTTATCGCACCCACTCTTGCTGGTGCTGGTGGAAGTGCTCCTGCTGGACTTGCTGGTGGAGGTGCTGGTGCTGGAGCTAGAGGTGGTGCTCGAGCTCTTACCCTTGCTCTTTCCCTCGGCCACATAGCTGGCCACGCAAACCCACGCCGTGAACCACAGGATGGCGTACAGACAGTCGATGGTCGCGAAGGCGTAAACGTTTCCGAAGCGTCGTGCGCGCGGCCACATCGGCACGGCCACGAGGTAGATCAAACCGGGGACACTGAACCAGCACTAGACAAAGGAGACATATCAGTATGGAACTGGCATGCGATTGGAGTCCGACGGTCGCACGTACCAGAGCCCAGTACCAGGCCGAGCGCCCATCAATACCATCGCCCCTCGTGAAGACGGCGATGGTCAGGGCCCACGCCAGGAAGATTATGAAGGCCTGAAGGCCATGGATGAGGTTTTTCGTCCGCCCGGGGTTGAACGACGGCCTCGGGAGCTGCATGGTGCGGGACGAGGAGGGAAAGGGAGGGCGGAGCCTGACGACAAAGGGCGCTTCCCAAAAGCGAACGGGGAGGACAGAGCGACCTGACGCTTTGATGGATGGATCGGAATCGGGGGGGTCTTTTAAGCGCCTGGATATGAGGCGACAAGCGGCATGGAGGGGTCGTGGAGGGAGTGGAATGGAGGGTGAAATGGATTGTTTATGCCGATAGCAATCAAAAAACGACGGCGAGGTAAACGGGGCAACCCGATCGGTGCCGCGCGGACGCTAAGGTGGGCGGTTTCAAGGTGAGGACGGGCGGTTGCGACAACAGCCAGGCAACACAACGGCAGACTCTGATGAGGAGGGACAACTGCTTGATGCGATGGAGATGTCAGTCGGGAGGGGAGGAAAGGGGCGAGAGACAGGAGAGTTGATCGTGGAAGCGATTGTGGCTGAGGCGAAGCTGGAGTCAATAACAATAATACTTCTGGTCAGGTACGGTACGGTCACTGGGGGAGCCGATCGTACCGCTTGGCTCGAGGCAGCCTAGGCCGCAAGTCGCCCTCCCGAAATAGAAGCTGACACGGGCATCTGCAGACTGAGAGTACTTACTCGATTCGACTGAGTCTACTCCCTACTCAAGCCTTATAAGGGTCTGGTGATCCCACTTCTGTTCCTGTGTATAGGCATCAACTGAACACTCGATTCTATCGACTACAGTGTCCTCGTCATTGCACATGCTGTCCACCTGCCATGTGCCCTCCACCTCCCGCCAATCGGAATACTTTGGGGGGTTTCCTCAGGCTGACGAATGCACGCCCGGCCACTTCAGCAGAAAGCCTAACGGGGCATGGCATTCTAGGCAGCGGCAATGGTATCCTTTCTTTGGACCACCTGGACTTCAGGCCACTGAATACGGTTGTAAAAAAAAAAAAAAAAAAGAATCCCTCCATGATGATTGCGCCAGGCATTACAGCTGCCATAACGCTCAACTCCCAAGACCATCTGCAATGAAACAATATGATACCGTTTCACATTCATTATGGCGATGATATCATACCACCAACGATCTGCTGCGAAAGTGGGAATCAATTATACTACTTTGAGAATTCAGGGTATCCCTAAAACCCACTTTGCTCCCGCTTCATTTATATATATAGTACGGAGTATCTACTCCAGGAGTCCACGGTGCCCAACTGTTGCGCATCCCTCCTCCTCCTTTACAGACAGGCCCAAGGGGAGGAACAACAAAGATCATGAGATGAATTCATTACCAGAAACCGATCTGGCATACGGAGTACTCCGTACATGACAAGATATACCACCTTGCATGAAGCATGCTGCGGCGCCTAATTGGTGGGCTAGGCCCTCCATAGCCAAAGTGCAATGCTAAGTTAGGTACAATCACCACCCGCTCGAGGATAAGTATAGTAGTCCATTTCGCGCCCTCGTATCGGTCTCTTCACAAGTTCAATGATATCCACCGCTGTATGAAGTACCAGTGCTAGGTACAGCAATAATACGAGTATTACATTTCCGAGGGACTGCAAGGGAAACTCCATGCATAATAGGATAAGACTGGTCACCGGGAATGCATCTTCTGGACATGTCGATGTGGGGGGCATTCATAGGGCTACAGGATGAATTAACGAGGCCCGCATGAGACTGGTGATACGTCATGCAGAGACGGGAAATGGAAATAAAGATGGGGGCATCCATATCTCACTCAAATTTTGTTTATCTTCGACGGCGAAAGGGACAACTAGGTAGATAGCATCTAGGTCCCTGGAGGGTTGGGTCTTGGAATTGGTATGGTTATGTTTAGAGTCCCCGTAACCCCCTTCCCTCTTAAGCGGAAGAAAGACTCAAATGATAACGGCGAGACTGTACCCTCTAGACCCGATTTTCATACATGAAAGTATCGCTCGATCCCTGTAAATTAACTGTCAGAACTAGGTACTACATAAACAGATAGCAGATACAAACACACATATATAATATCTTACTCCATGGATAGAGAATATGTGGAAATATTCCCATCCAAAAAGCACCAAATACTTTTCTTACACAGCCCCAAAAACGAAAACCCTTACCCTATCCATCCCACCATAGCGAAAAGAAACACCACAAACACACCATCATCCAACCTCACCTCCCCTTCCCCAATTTTTTTTCTAAAAAAGAAAACCATAACAAGAAAAACAAAACAAAAGCAAAGCAAAAAAGCATGAGCCCAGCCCGAATCGAACGGACAACCTTACGATCTGGAGTCGTACGCGCTACCAATTGCGCCATAGGCCCATTTCCATGACATGGGAGTGACACCATTGTTACATAAGCAATCGGCTAATTGGAAGAAACTCCCGCCAAGGCGCGGTTCTCATGGAAACTGTTGCAGCCACCGGGGCCAAGGCTGGGCGGTTTTCTCTGATCGATCGATCTTACAGGGGATAGGCAAGTAAGTAGTTACTCCGTACTTGTCTGTACTCTGTGGTGTTACGAGGACTGTGAATGGTCAATCAGGCCAACTGTCAAGACGCAAGACATCATATCAATTCAACCACGGCAATTGCAATCAATCATAAATATAACCAAGTATCCCTATCCCAACGCCTCCTAATGCTCCTGTATCATCTCATCGTGTGCCGTATCTCCATCTCCTCATAACGTCGTGCTGACTGAATCAAAGCATTAAAAAAACAAGAAAGAAAAAAAAAAAAGAATGGACGGACCACTTGCGAAACCTATCATGATCATGCCCTCTTCACCTGTCCGGCATTGACTATCATCTCCAGCTCCCTCAGGGGCCGGTAGATATGAGCCTGCCACCACCAAGGCAACGGATCGAGGTGTGAGAACTGCCGGTTCTTCCAGAAAAACAGCATCTTGCTGCCCTCGTGAAGAGCGTGGTCCAGCTGTTCCACCACCGGATACAGTGTCGGCAGCACCCTCCTCACATCCGACCTCCTCACGACCTGATACAGCCCAAACTCGTCGTCAGGCGGCGGCGGCGTCGACATCTCCGCCTCCAGGGACGACAGCTCTGTCTCGGGCCCCCATTCACCATCCCCATCCCCTTCCCCTTGGCCACCCCGTTCGTCTGCGGCGCCAACACCCCCAGATACCCGGCCACCACCTCGCCCGTGGCCTCGTCCAGCAGATGTCTGACGGCCGTGGCGCCCTGCACGCAGCTATCAATCTGCACCACATAGCGCAGCGACCCCTCCCCGATCTCCTCGTCCACCAGCAACCTCAACCGCAAATGGCCCGTCATCCGCGGGCCTCCCCGCTCCGCAAACCGGTCCACCAGTGCGCGAATCGCCCTCGCCAGGCCCCGATCCACCGGTGACACCCCCCAACCCCCACCACCACCACCACCAGCACTGTCGCGGTGCCTCTCATCCTCCGGATCCGGATACACCTTCATGGCCTTGACGGCGCCACAAACCACAACCAGCTCAGCAAAGAAGGCTCCCAGCCGACTCTGCTGCACCAGCACCCACGGCTTCTCCCTCGAGATCTGCATCTCACTCACCTCCGAGTACGTCAAACTCAACGTCCTCTTCGGCAACATCACCCCCTCCCCTTCCCCCTCGCTCATTCCCACCCCCAAACTCCCCCTCCGAACCCGATACACCTTCCCAGGCGACCGATGCAAGATCTTATGAATCGCATCCCGAGAGACAACCTCATGCCTCTCCACAACAGGCAGCCCTCTGTCGCGCAACCAGCCGAGAAACTCCTCGCGGTCCCCAAACACCCCCGCCATCTCCCCATCAAGCGTCACGCACTTGCACTCCGTCCTCCCCTCAATGACTCTCTTCGCCGCCCCGTCTTCCAGGCCCAGGTCCACCCCCAGTCCAAACTCAGAACAGGGTATCCAGACATCCACCTTCTCCCTCTGCACCACATCCACCAACCGCGCCACATACCCACTCCCACTCCCAGCACCAGCACCAGTGCTAGACGCCGGAGCAGGAATGCGATAATACCCCCCCAACACCCTCGACTTGCCCCCTCCACTCCTCACCCCCAAACCCAACCCCAACCCCAACCCCTTCCCATATCCATGCCCATATCCATGTCCACTCCCCGCCACATCCACCCCAATAACCCGATACCCCTCCCAATACCACCGTCTCGCCAACGCCAACCCATGCGGCGTATTTATCCCCGTGATCAGCACCGTCCGCGCCTTGAACTCCCCATTCCCACTCCCATCGCAACGACGTCGATCCGCATGCGTTCCACCACCACCGCCGCCGCTGCTGATACTGGTGGTTGGTGCCCCCGGCAAAGGTATATGGATATACTCCGACGCATACGCCGCCAGCAAGATGGTATTATCGAGCGGCAGGAGCGCCAACGAGATGGCGATGCGGAACAGGTGCACGAAGACTTGGATTTGGAGCATTGAGTGCGTGAACTGTAGGGTTTGTTGGAGGGCGGGGGTTTGGGGGATTGAGATCGGGAGCGGGAGAGGGAGAGGGATCGGTATGCTGGATGTTTTTGTTGTTGTTTTTGGTGTTGGTGCTGGGTGGGGAGGGAGAGAGTGCGGTGGTGCTGGTGGTGGTGGGTGGGCATTTTGAGGGGTTTTTTATCGATTGGATTTAGTTTGGGGGGGGAGCGTAGGTTTGTTGGATGGGATGGGTTGTTGGTTTGGGGGTCTTTGGTTGGTCAATTAGTCGTGGGTGGTGTGGTTTCGGGTTCGTTTTCGTGAGCAGGGGTGGTGGTGTGAGGTATATCCGTGTATCCCCTCCCTGGGCTGGGCGAGATAAGATGATGAGATGAGGTGAGAGAGTCGGGACGGGATGGGATGGGATGGGATGGGAGGGGAGGGGAGGGGAAAGGAAAGAAGGAAGGGGGAGGGGGGGAGGGGGGTGTTATTTAGTGGTGTGATGTACAGTAGTACTACTCCCTCCCTCCATATGTACGTAAGTACCTAGGAGTAGCAGTAGCAGTACTCCGTCGTAGCATGGGATGAATGGGTGGATGGATGGGTAGATGGATAAACGCTGTCTGGAATGCTGCAGGGCGACCACGTCAGCCCGTGCGGAGCGGAGAGGCGATGGGAGGGATGTGTTGCTCGGCTCGTGTGAGGTGGCTGGGCTGCACACTGGAATCTGGAATACTGCTTGGGGGGGGGTGTGTTTCCCCAAGACTGGACAGGACAACAGGGGGTTAGGCCCGTAGGCAAAGAAAAAGCAAACTCATCTGAACCTGAAGTGTCCGTCCGGGACGTTTCATGTACCTTGACGCAGGGGAGAAGGGATGATCGGTCCAGCGGTAGGGCAGGCAGGCAGGGCAGGGCAGGGCAGGGCAGCCAGTCGGTCGTGTTGTTGAGGATTGACTGCCAGACATAGGTGAGGTAAGGTAGGGAAAGTACTATAGGTAGCTAGGTAGTAAGGTAGGTTCTGAGTTGATACCCAACTCGCTCAGTTCAGCTCAACTCAGCTCAACTTTAGTGTGTTTTGCTGTCGACAACACAGAACAGAACAGAGTGAGGTGAGGTGAGGTGAGGTCATTGTGTAGAGAATCAAGGTACTGTCTATTATTCTCTTCTCTTCTATTGTATTGTATTCTATTCCATTTTGGAACTGTATAGATATCTGGGAGATGGATGGATGGATGGATGGATTGAGCTCCGCACTGCTCCACAGATGGTACTACCGTTTACTACCGTTTACTACCGTGCACTATTTATTATCTACCGGGAAGTAGTGTGTACCCCTAGATCCCATCTCCTCATCTCCTCCGCCCGTGTCCGACGTCCAGACCTCCGACCCAGAACGTATCGGAAACCAACCACCGAGGGCACAGCACATGCAATCCGGGGATCCATGCACGGTTGGATCCCCGAGCCTCGGATCAGAGTTCTAGTCCGGTTTATCTATCTTGTCTCGGACTCGAGATTCCTGTCGCTTTTCCTACGGAACTCCGGCCTGGAGGGGTTTGGGAAGGGAAGGATTCGGTTATCTACAGCGGATGGATGGTCGGGCATGGTTCTCGCTTGAAGGAGGGAAATAGCACGTAGATATGCTGTCTGGTCTGTGACGTAGAACGTTGAGGGTGGGGTGGCATGGGATGGATGGTGACACGACTGCCCCGCACTCATCTCATCGACTTGTCCAGCCTCTGCCGTCTGACTCACTCACAGGCCACCACAGACAGATAACTACACTACTACTTGGTACGGAATGGAAGCACGAGCATTCTCCGTCGCAGATAAGCAGGAGATGAGGGGGAAAGACTTTATCAGATCGACTCCATACAGAGGAGGGTTCGGGAGTCGGGACCGCCAGCCCTGCGAGCGAAACTGGTAACCATCTCCGACGGCCCGCCCAGGGAGCCAACAGGGTCGCCACTAGGTACTAGATAGAGCCGGAGTCGCATTGCCCCCTCCATCCTCGCAATCAGAGAGAGCCCTCCCAGTGCCCGTCTTCTCAAGGTGGACCAGGCCATTGCGACATCATCGGCGTTATCACCTACCAATGTCGCAGTTTGCGCCGACTCGACTCGCCCGAGGGGCTCTCCGGACGTTTAAATATCGTGGCCTCTCGCCCGCTGGAACCAGCAGCTCCCGCCCCTGGCTGAGTATCCGTAGACCTCCTACATATCCCTCATCTCTCTCTCACCGTCTATCGTCGACCATGGGTGACCACGCTACCCCCGAAGCTCCCGTCCACCCTCCTCCGGGAGAGCGCTCGGTAAGGTCGCCCCGAACCCCCCCTGACCCCTGACGGGTGGTCCACTCCGATTCTGATGGTGGTCAACAGCGCGAGGAAGGCCGAGAGCTGAAGCTGCTTCACTTTATCTACAGCCACCCCAGCCGGGAGGAAGTCCAAGGCAAGCCGGACAAGGTTCTGGACCTGATCGAGGAGTTCGGGAAGAAGTACCACTTCATGAACATCGGCCGCGACAAGGGCAAGTTCATCACCGATATCATCGAGGAGCAGAAGCCCCAGACGATGATCGAGCTGGGCGGCTATGTGGGCTATTCCGCCATCCTGTTCGGTGACGCCGTCCGCCGGGCCGGTGGAAAGCGGTACTATAGTCTAGAGCTGAACCCGGAGTTTGCGGCCATCTCCAACATGCTGCTGGACCTGGCGGGCTTGCGCGACTTCGTGCAGATCATTGTCGGGCGCAGCGACCTGGCCCTCCACAAGCTGCTGACCGGCGGGGAGGTCGACCAGGTCGAGATCCTGTTCATTGACCACTATAAGCCCGCGTACACCACCGACCTGAAGCTCGCCGAGCAGCTGGGCAAGATCGTGCCCGGGGTGTCGGTGGTGATCGCCGACAACGTGCTGTACCCGGGCAACCCGCCGTATCTGGAATATGTCCGCAGCACGGTGGAGCAGAAGCGCGAGGAGGCCAAGAAGGGGCCCGTCCAGAGCTTCGACACGACCGGCCTGGCCCCGAGATCGGTCAAGTCCTTCCTGGGCGAGGACGCCAAACCGGCCTTCGAAGTGACTGGAAACCCGAACTTGGTGTATGAGAGCAAGCTGGTGAAGCCGGAAACCACTCGGGTGAGTCGGACTTCCCTGTGGATCGACGGGACGATTATAGCTGACTCGGGATATTTTGCAGGATGCCATTGAGGTGACGCGGTGTGTGGGAATCCAGGAGTAGATATCTAGCTGTCTCACTCTCATGGTGCCAGGCCCAGAGCGGCAGCGGCAACCCCAATCGAGGGCGGCAGCGGGAAAGGGAAGGGAAAGCAGTAACTAACCCGATGGAGGGCGGGTGGCATCATCGGCAACGGGCAACACGAAGGAAAAGTGACGACACATCGGCCTTTGCCGCTTGCCCCGCCCGACCCAAAGGTTTCCGTCGCCAGGACCTTCCAGGCTTCCCCCCCCCCTCCCCGCACCAGCGGATGGTCGTTTGTAATCATCACTCGTTTGCTTTTCAATGATATCCATAACGTATATAACCCGACGCCTTCGCCGTTCCTCCCTCCCCTTCTCCCCGCAAACCCTTTAGCCCCTCGCGTAACAAACACCCACAATGGCCTCGAAGACCTGGAACGTCGGAATCGTCGGCTACGGCCTCAGTGCCAAGACCTTCCACATCCCCTTCATCCAGGAAGTCCCCCAGTTCAAGATCTACGCGGTCGTGCAGCGCACCCCCAAGCCCGACGATGATGCGGAGAAGGACCACCCCGGCATCAAGTCCTACCGGAGCACCGAGGAGCTCATCAAGGACGAGAAGGTCCACGTGGTGGTCATCACCACTGCCCCCGACTCGCATTACGCGTTGGTGAAGTTGGCGCTGGAGAACGGAAAGCACGGTGAGCTGAACCGCAGACGCGCCATTACACCGGAGACCGACCCTTGCTAATGCTGTTGTCGTCCGGATAGTCGTGTGCGAGAAGCCCTTCACCCCCACCTCCCAAGAGGCCGACGAGCTCGTCGCCCTCGCCAGCAAGCAGAACAAGCTCTTGGCCGTTTACCAGAGTACGTCTCCTCCAGTTTCATGGATGATTTACGGAAGTGATGGACCTAACAATGGTGTTGCATAGACCGCCGGTGGGATGCCGACTTCGTGACCCTGTCCAAGCTGGTGACCAACGGCTCTCTGGGCCGGGTGGTGGAGTTCGAGACGCACTTCGACCGCCACCGCCCCGAGGAGCCGGCAGCGGATGTGTCCAAGTGGAAGAACAAGGTCATTCCTGGTGGCAGTGCCATCTACGACCTGGGAACCCACCTGTTGGATCAGACTGTCCATCTGCTCGGCAAACCGGACCGTGTCACCGCATTCATTGGCACGCAGAGAGAGATAAACACGAACGGATTCGAGGATTCCTTCACCGTTCTGCTCCACTACCCCAAGGGTCTCCTTGCCACAGTCAAGGCGGGCGTTGTGAGTCCCGAGGAGGAACAGCTGCGCTTCTGGGTTCGTGGAGACAAGGGCAGCTTCAAGAAGGTGAGACAACCCGATCATTCACGGAACATCGCCAAGCATACTGACAGCCTTCCGTGTTAGTACCACCTCGATGTGCAGGAGGAACAACTCAAGGCGGGAGTGAAGCCCGGTGACAGCGGGTATGGCCGGGAGCCATCTGAGAGATACGGTATGCCGCCACGTTTCGCCCGGGCACTGTTTTTGGAATGCTGACAGCTCTCTAGGCACACTCACTACTATACAGAACGGCAAACCCGTGAAGGAAGTGACTCCCACAGTGGAGCCGCCGACCTGGACGGAGTACTACAGGAAGTTGGCTCGGGCGCTCGGCGGCGAGGGGGTTCTCCCGGCCAGTGGAGCGGAAGCTCGCGAAGTGATCCGGCTGATCGAGTTGGCCCAGGAGAGTTCGCGGCTGGGCAAGACGCTGGATGTCTAGAAAGGATGAATGTAGTCGGCCATGATATGATGATAGAATGAACATAGAACCAAATAAATGTACGGGAGAGTGTATGCAAGTTTGACTGGTGTTTCATGATACCGTAGCTTAGCCACCACGTTGCTAAACATTAGTGTGCTCCACCGCATGCATGGGAAATTGGATCTTCGGCTGCTCTGGACCAGTTCCCAGTTCCATCGTATGACCAGGAAGCCAGGACGGAGAGGAAACCCTTCGCCCGGTCGCATCCTCGCCATGGCGGCAATGCATGCCGCGGGAGGGGGGTCACGCGTTGCTGGATTTGCTTTTTGGGTACCCCAGATTGATCGGCATCTCGAGAAGGGGAAGGGGGAGGATCTTAGGATTCCAATTGGAGTTATTGGACCAGAAATGCTGCCGGCTCGGGTAAGGGTCGGCGTACTGAAACGGAAACGTGACCTCATCGCCGGCAGTCTCGGCACTAAGCCTGACTCGGAGTTTTCATTACCCAACTCCAACCTCGTGAGTGGCAGGCAGCCCCCTCCTTGGACCAGTTCCAGCGCGCAGCCCCGAACCCTCCTGGCCAGTATACGGATGGTTCACCCTGCTGACTTCTATACTCCGCGGAGATGCCCTGAGTTGCAGGAGTGGAAAACTGTCGCTTGCCGATTCTTTCCCTCTCCTCGTGGCCCTCCGCGCTGAACGATGGGTCCCGTTCAGTATTTTAATATCCAGCATCCCTGTAATCCCACCTGTCATGCCCACTTCTGCATCGTATGTTCCAATGGGCTTGCGCCGTTATATTTAGTTCCCCCTTCCTTCCTGTCTTCCACGTAGTCCAGGCAAGTTCTCGCTCCAGGAACCCCCCCCCTCCCCTGACAGGACCCCGTCGGATCTCCTCTTAATGAAATGGATGCCTGGCCTGTGTTGTTGTGTTGGGGCCACTCCTCGAAATTCTCTTCATGCTATCCTCATTGAACCTATGTGCCCAATTTCCCGTTCATCCGAGGTCTTGCTGACTTCCAATGCCATTTCTTTGTGTGCTCGCTTGATGTCTGATGGCTGCATCTGACCTCTTGACTTGATTTAGATGAGTGTGTGACATTGAGAAGCTTTCGATTTGGCCAGTGACCAGCTGGAGCCATGGGTACACAACCCTCGTCGTCACCGTCGGTGCGTTCGAGCATCGACTTCTCTCGGTTCCATGTGGACATTGATGCCTATATCAATCCTTTCCTTCGGCCTCCACCATGGCGCTGGCTGCCACGGCCCGTCTCCCACTTTTTCGGATATCGGGAGACCCCCCCGAAACCCCTGGGTAATCTCGTTGTTGCCTTCTGGGCGTTGATCGGGGTCTTCTGCGGTGTTCTCATCGTAGCCGAAGTATCCGAGCATGTCCCTCTGTTCGAAGCCCACCATGCCCCTATCGTGGTGGCCAGTTTCGTGCGTACTCCACCCCGGTGACCAAACACTGGTCATGCTGGACAGAGGCTAACAGGTTCACAGGGTGCTGCGGCTGTCCTGGAGTTCTCTGCCATAGAATCGCCCTTCGCCCAGCCACGAAACGCAGTCCTGAGTCAGCTGATTGCGAGTACCACGGGGGTCATCATTGGAAAGCTGTTCGCCCTGAACGAGCATGCTCACCACGTGCCCCAGATCGGAGGTGCTCTCGCCTGCGCCATTACCACCGCCATCATGACCCTCACAAACACGGTTCACCCACCGGCCGGTGCGACAGCCCTTCTCGCTGTCACACAGTCCTATGACGTGGGCTGGTGCCTGATTCTCATCATGCTGCTGGGGTGTGTGCTCATGCAGGCGGTGGCCCTGCTCATCAACAATATCCAACGTCGTTTCCCTATCTATTGGTGGACGGCGCAGTCGTTGGAGCGACCCAAACCCGACGATACCGAAAGCGCCTGGCGCGTCAAGGAATCAAGCATCGACAGCATTCTCACCCACGACAATGACACCTTATCGGGGACGGTGCAGATCATCATCAAGGAGGGCCGCGTGGTGGTGCCGGATCACATAACCGTCACGGAGGAGGAGATGTCTGTTTTGAGGAGCCTTTGCGAGCGACTATAATCATTCATGTGATAGGGGTTAGCTAAGTTGCATCGCAGCAAGCCTGACTTTCCGAATATAACGACCTGCATTCGGTGCGCGGCATCGAGGTTGATTCAGCTGTAGATGAGGTTAGAAGTAGGTTGGTGGTGGTGGTTGCCAGTGCTCATGCCTCCAGACACCAGGCTAGCCGGAAGGGGTTGTTCCCATGGCAAGTGACCTTTTGGGCTTAGTGGCATGGCATTCGATTCAATACTATCCATCTTAGATAAGCAGCAGCACCTCTACCTGCTTCTGTAGTCTACACGGCCAGGAAGAAGATTGCCTTGAATACAAAGTACTACTGCTTGCTACCTATGGAGTCATCACGATGTGCTGTATGTATGCTGATGTTGGTTTTGCAGTTTCGCCAGCGTCATCACCATGCCCGTGGTTTGGCATGGCAGTGTTTCGCCCTCCCCCACTCTGCGGTGCTGACCATTAGCTGCCCGTGCCTTGGGCGCCAGGCTCCAATGCACGTGATCGTTGATGCCCAATCAGGCAAGCGTGCGCCACGTCCCGTGCGGTGACGTCGACGAGCCAATCAGCGGAGCCCTCGGAAGCCCACTGAAGGAATTTTCGAGGCAACTTAACTCTCTCTCCCTCTCGCGGGCTCGCCTTCCCCTTCCTCCAAATCTCTTCAACGGTCCGTCTCTTTGTTGCCTTCCACAGTAGCAACGCCCGACCACTCAGCCAGGGAGCCGAAGTTCTCCCTCGTATATAATCTTCCACCCTCCGTGGCGTTGTCCGAGCGTCCTCAGCCTAAGATTTTGGCCGAAACGCAAGTCTAGCGCCAGCCAGTATCGATAAGGGCTACCATCATCCAAGGAACGAAGCCCCCCCACTCAGATTCGCAGATTCTCAGAAGCCTTCGGTCGCCCCCTCCCCACCCCGCTATTACTACTGGTCCACCCTCTGTCGAGTTCTTTTTTTCCCTTTCTTCGTCTTCACGGAATCAGCTTTTGGTTTCTGTCCGTCTTTCTCCTCTCCGCTCTTCCACCCACCCCCCCCCCTCCCCCCCTTCTATACCCAACCACCCCGCCCACGACCGACAAAATGGTGTCTGCTTCCAAAGCCGCTCGTATGGCCAAGCGTGGCGATGGTGAGAAGAAGAAGGTCTCCAAGTCCTCCAAGAAGGATGTCGTCGACGATGTCGAGGGTGATGCCCAGGAGCAGCCCGCGACCACCGACGAGAAGATGAAGGAGGTCGAGAAGCTCACAGCCCAGATGGACAAGCACGGTCTGTCTGACCGTGTCACTACTGGTGTCCTGTCGTCCCTGCCCTCCTCCCGCGACGTCAAGATCACCTCCGCCTCCCTGGTGTTCCACGGCAAGGTCCTCATCACAGACTCCACCCTCGAGCTCAACTTCGGCCGTCGCTACGGTCTCCTGGGTGAGAACGGCTGCGGAAAGTCCACCCTCCTCAAGTCCATCGCGACCCGCGAGTACCCCATCCCCGACCACATCGATATCTACCTTCTGAACGAGGGTGCCCCTCCCACTGATCTCGGTGCCCTTGAGTGGGTTGTCACCGAGGCCCAGAACCAGCTCGACAACATGGAGAAGAAGGCCGAGGAGATCCTCGAGCAGGAGGGTCCTGACAGCCCTATCCTGGAGGATCTGTACGACGTAAGTCTTTCTCCGTCATCTTCTCTCGTCGTTTTCCCTTCTAACATGCCTTCCAGCGTATGGACAAGATGGATCCCTCCACCTTCCACACCCGTGCCTCCCTGATCCTCACGGGTCTGGGTTTCAACAAGGTCACCATCAACAAGAAGACCAAGGACATGTCTGGTGGTTGGCGTATGCGTGTGGCCCTTGCCAAGGCCCTCTTCGTCAAGCCCTCCCTGCTTCTGCTGGACGACCCCACCGCTCACTTGGATCTCGAGGCCTGTGTGTGGTTGGAAGAATACCTGAAGAAGTGGGACCGTACCCTGATCCTGGTCTCCCACTCCATGGATTTCCTGAACGGTGTCTGCACCAACATGCTGGACATGCGCATGAAGCAGCTCCTCTACTATGGTGGTAACTACGACTCTTACCACAAGACTCGCTCCGAACAGGAAGTCAACCAGATGAAGGCCTACACCAAGCAGCAGGAGGAAATCGTTCACATCAAGAAGTTCATCGCTTCGGCCGGTACCTACGCCAACTTGGTCCGCCAGGCCAAGTCCCGCCAGAAGATCCTGGACAAGATGGAGGCCGATGGTTTCATCCAGCCGGTCATTCCCGACCGCGTCTTCAGCTTCCGCTTCGCCGATGTCGACAAGCTGCCTCCCCCGGTTCTGTCCTTCGACGACGTCTCTTTCTCCTACTCCGGAAAGTGGGAGGACACTCTGTACGAGCACCTCGACTTCGGTGTCGACATGGACTCCCGGACGGCCCTGGTCGGACCTAACGGTGTCGGAAAGTCCACCCTGCTGCGCATCATGACGGGCAAGCTGAACCCCATCGGTGGTCGTGTCAGCCGTCACACTCACTTGAAGCTGGGCATGTACAGCCAGCACTCTGCCGAGCAGCTGGATCTGACCAAGTCCTCCCTCGAGTTCGTCCGTGACCGGTTCCCCGAGAAGAGCCAGGACTACCAGTACTGGCGCCAGCAGCTGGGCCGTTACGGTCTCAGCGGTGAGGGCCAGACTGCCCTCATGGGTACCCTGTCCGAGGGTCAGAAGTCCCGTATCGTGTTCGCCCTGCTGGCCATTGAGTCGCCCAACATGATCCTGCTGGACGAGCCTACCAACGGTCTCGATATCCCCACCATTGACAGTTTGGCCGATGCCATCAACGCCTACAGCGGTGGTGTCGTGGTCGTGTCCCACGACTTCCGTCTCCTCGACAAGATCGCCAAGGACATCATGGTGTGCGAGAACAAGACCGTCACACGCTGGGACGGCTCCATTGGTGAGTACAAGGAGCACCTGCGCAAGAAGATGATTTCGGCGGGTGCTGTCTAGAGAAGCAAAAGGCGGGTTGCTTTTTTGTCTTCTTGTTATGATTGGAACGTTAAGAAACGACACATGCAAATAAAAGGCTGTAGGGGGAAAAGTTTCTTACAGGAGAGATGAACCTTCCTGAATGATTTGGGGGGTTGTCCGTTTTTCGTCGCTAAATACCTGGAGATATCTTGCTCATTATTTGGGTGCTTGTTTTAGATGGTCTGCTTCATACCTCATCCCCTACTAGACTTGAGCGTTTGAGGGTTGAATTTGATATTATTCCCTTTTTACCATGTGCATTTGTTCTGTAGGGATTGTAAACCGTAGCTGGTGGCTTTTAAAGTTCCATTAGTAGTCATTTACTGATAAGCATCGTCGTTCTACCCAATCTTTATATATTGCAACCGTGACCATCGATACATGCCATTCCTGTTGCATGATCACCGAACCGTATCCAGAAATTCCAAATGCTTTCCCGCTCGCTGTCAAATGCACACTCCCAACCACCAACCCACCACACCACCACTGACACTAGTAACTAGGCTACTACTACTACTACTACCTTACGCCTCCATCTGCCTCTCCTTTTCCTTAACCCGCTCCCTCACCAACTCGCCCCAAAAAGATCCCTCCCCTTCTGCTCCTGCTCCAACTTCCTCTTCTTCGCTAACCGCTCCATCTCGCTCTCCGACGTCGTCCCAGACTCGCCCCCACCGGCCGCACTCGTACTCGCCGCCGCAGCGGCAGCAGGAATCCGCTTCTGGCCGGCAAGATTAGCCCGTTCGGGATTCTGGCACCGGTAGAGCTTCTTACCGATGATGCGGCGGAGAGTATTCATCTGATCTTGGTCTGAGGAGAGGGGCTGGTAGGCCTGCAGCATGGCGGCGCAGTTGGAGAGCGTGACGAGGAGTTTTGTGCGGAGGGCGTAGAGGGGGTTTTCTTTTTGAGTCCGATTCTGATGCTGATTGATAGGTCCGCCGAGTTTCGTATCGAGGTAGAATTCGGCGAGGGGGCGGTCGGCGACGCGGAGCGCTGCGAGCCAGATCTGCGACGGCGTGTACAGGAAATACGCGTCCGTGAGCTGGGCGGCGGATTTGAGAATCTCGCGGGTATCGTGATGGGCGCGGGAGATGCGGTCGTCGAGGGTAGGGGTTGGGATTGGCGAGGGGGAGGGCGCGATGGATTGTAGGGCTCGTTGGAGGTCGGTGGGTGTCTGTGCTGGGAAGTGTGGTGCTGGTCGGCCTTGGCCTGATGCTATGGCGCGGAGTTCCATGATTCCGCCTTCCAGGCCGCGGAAGGGGTGGCGGACGTCGAAGGTGAAGCGGAGGCTTTGCATCACGATGAATTCTGGGGCGATGATCTCTTCGGGTGTGCTGCCGGGGACGCCGTCCGCGAAGCTGGCCAGGGAGAGGTAGTAGTTGTCGGTTTTGGTGGCGAGGAAGACCACGCATGGCATTATTTGTTTCGGGTGGTAGGTCATGGGCGAGTTGGTGAGGTAGAAACGCCGGAGGTATTGGATTGCCGTGGACTGAGAGGGGGGAGGGGGGTTAGTGGTGGTGAAGGTGGTGGTGTAGGATAAAGGACGGGGATGGAGGACATACTCGGACTTGTGTTGAGAGGGCGGGCTTGTAGGCTTCTCCGAGTTGGATGATCTGCTCGCAGTAGTAGTTCACCACTTGCTGCTCTTCCTCGGGCGTGAGGCAGTCGATCGGCTTCTCGTCCGCTGCTCTGGTGTCTGCATCGCCTCCTCCGGGGGCTGGCGTCCCGGCCGCGGAGGAGTTGGCGGACCGTCGGGCCTCTTGCGCTCTGCGCAGAGCGGCGCGTACCCGGTCACTGGCGACGGAGTTGGTGGTTGCTCGTTGGGATTTGAGGGATGCTTCGGTGAAGGACCACAGTCGGAACTGGGAGGATGTGCGGTAGACGTCGTCTTCGATCATGGTGACCAGATGGCTGTGCCGGTTTGCACAAGATGTGTGGAGCGGTTGGAGGGGTCGTGCCTTTCGGATGGGCGCAGACTGAGTAGTGTGTGACTGGATGGGGGGGGGGGGGGGGGAAACTCGTGCGACGAGGACTTAGATCGAGCTTATTGGTCCATGGTAGTTGGGGATAGAAGATCTGTGGAAGGCGAGGAGAAGGTGTGGCGGAGAAGTTGGAGATGGACTTGGCGGATCTGAAGTTCTGCCGCCGATCCACGTGCTTATCGATATGCCCCAACAGTGAGCAATGGAAAAGTCGGAATGAGTCAAAATGAATGACCTGTATGACAAGGAGATTCTACAGGGCTATGCATAAATTTTTAAAAAGATGATAACCAAGGCCTGCTTCAGATTCAAACTGCGTAAATGCTAATGCGATCAACGGCAACCAGGTACTATCTAACAATGCCGCAAGAAAGATGGATATATTTTAGACCCGCCTCATGGGATCTCAAAATCTCAAGTCTTTGGTCTCAGAACGCAATCAAATCAGCCCGACGAACAAACCCAGCACCGTCGCTATTGCAGAATCCAAACCAGCCTGGCCCTGTAGTTCTCGCCCCGGACCATCTACGGCTCGCCCAGGAGCCGTGCCGTGACATCGCCCATGTATGCCTCCTCCAGCTCATAGTCTTCGCCCTCCATCCGATCAATACCGAAGTATCTGAACGCGGACACCACGCGGTCCACATCGAAGCCCATGCTACAGAACCGATCGATCAGGTCCTTGTTGTATCCATCGTACCTGCACGCAAGACCGTCAGCAAGACCGGAATAGGGCCGAGGGGCCGAGTTCGTACTTAGCCAGGTCCTCCTGCTCCTGATCCTCCTTGGACTTGAGGTCCTGCAGACGGAGAGTCTCGTCTGTAACGCCACCGCTCCCTTCGCCGGCGTACTTACTGGGGGCTCCGGCGTATTTGACAGCCCATTCTTGAGCCACACGCGCAAACTCATTCGGTCTCCGAAGAAGCATTGTGGCGACCTCGGCATCCTGGGGGTCCTTGGGTTCGGGGGTACTGAGCAGGGATTGCAGCGACAGAAGGGCTGACTTGATGGTCAGGACCGGCGACCACGCTGTAGACAGAGTGTCTAGGCAGATGGCGCCCTGTAGGCCCGAGTAATCAGGCAATAATTAGGCGCTGAACCAGATTGAATTTGAATGCGCATCAGATTGAGCACACTCACAGTTTGACTGCTGATGTTAGGGTGCCAGACCCTAGTGATAAATTTCATGACCGGAGGCCGGAACGGATATTCATTTGGTATCCGGACGTCAACAGCAAAGGTGCCGCCTTCATAGGGGGTGCCTGGAGGCCCTGGGAATGAACCCCGAAGGTGTGTAATATCGTCATCACCACCCAGCGGCTCCGCTGTGATCTGGGAGTGCGTGTCGGCATGGATGTCCGCGATCTCCTTGGCGATCCGTCTCGCTCGATTAGAGGCCATGATGGGGGAGTTGGTGCAGTTGGACCGTTCACCAGTGGAGGCCAAGAGAGCAATCTGTCTCAAGGGTGGGTGCGAGATGAGGAGCCGTTCAAGGCAGAAGAGTATAAGACGGGGAGGAATCTTGGAACTATAAGGCTACTGTCTAGCTTGGTTAGCCTCACGGTAAGGATCAGGCGGGGCTAGGATTACAATGAACAAACAGACGAACAAACACTCGTTTGGGGGGCAAAGGAGTGGTGGAAGAGGGAGGAAGGGTAAGGCGAAAAAGAAAACATGGCAGCTGGTGACCAAATATGGAACAGGGACAGCCTCACCTATTGTTGTGGTGGGGGGCGCGAGACTCGAGTGAGGAAAAATGAGGGGGATCACTGCTTCGGCGGGGCGTAAGCGCTCGTCAGCGATAAGTCAGTAGTATAGTTGAGCGCTAAACACCAAACACCTCAGGCCACTGCCAGGGAAGCCATGTCCAGTGTCCAGTGGAGCCAAAGCGAATCGCGGAGAAGAAGAGGGAGGACCCAGTTGTGCTCCGTCGATGCTACAGAAATAATGACCCGTCAACTTGTCAAGCTGATCAAGCTGAGGGAGCTTAAATCCGTTGGAGTCGGTTGGTCCCGGCCTTGGATGCCTGGCTGATCGCCCCATCGCCCAGGCACCCAGGCACTCGGGCACTAAGGCACTAAGGCTTTCAGGCAGAAAGTCCCAGGCTCTCAGGCTGCAAGTTTTAAGGCTCCAAGGCACCTGTATGATGCCGACTCGCGTCACGTGGCCGGGCAATGCGCTGGACCGGCGCCAAGGCCCCAGCGGATGGCGACAACAGCTTCCCAGCTGCTCAACTCATCAGCTACACACCTCCATCCTCTTTCATCCATCCCCCATCTATCCCCCCCCCTCCCCCCGCGGACATTCTTGCTCCTCCGGGCTATCGGATTCAATCTATCATAGTGTGTCTATAACTGCTTTACTCTCTGGTCATATTCTGGGACTATGGTTGGTCGCCGCCCTTGTCAGCAGCGCTTGCTGGCTCCTGATGTCACTTATCTAACCGGTCTCGAAAACAGGGTAACCAGCAGTCCAACATCAGCGGAGGCCCCGGTGGCGATGGAGCCAACGAGAAGGACAAGAAGGTATGCGTGTATCCCTGAAACCACTCTCGTGGAATATATGATCGGCTGACGATAGCTTCCTCTGCGCAGAAGGACAAGCCTAAGTACGAGCCGCCGCCGCCGCCCACCACTCGCATCGGACGTAAGAAGCGCAGGGCTGCCGGCCCAAGCACTGCCTCGAAGCTTCCCGACATCTACCCGACGTCCCGATGCAAATTACGATATCTCCGAATGCAACGGGTCCACGACCACCTGTTGCTAGAGGAGGAGTACGTGGAGAACATGGAGCGTCTGCGCAAGACCAAGGCCCAGGCGACGCTGGATACCGCCCGGGGCGACTTCGATATCATGGACAGAAACGCAGATGAGAGAGGCCGGGTCGACGACATGAGAGGCAGCCCCATGGGAGTCGGCAACCTGGAGGAGTTGATCGATGATGACCATGCGATCGTGTCGAGCGCGACTGGACCCGAGTACTACGTGTCTATTATGTCGTTCGTGGACAAGGACCTTCTCGAACCCGGTGCGAGCATTCTGCTGCACCACAAGTCGGTTTCCGTGGTTGGTGTGCTGACCGAAGAGTCTGACCCCCTTGTATCGGTGATGAAGCTCGACAAAGCGCCCACAGAGTCATACGCGGATATCGGTGGTCTGGAAACCCAGATCCAAGAAGTCCGAGAGTCCGTCGAGCTTCCTTTGCTCCACCCGGAGCTGTACGAGGAGATGGGTATCAAGCCACCCAAGGGTGTCATCCTCTACGGTGCGCCTGGTACCGGAAAGACGCTATTGGCCAAGGCAGTCGCCAACCAGACCAGTGCCACGTTCCTCCGCATTGTTGGTAGTGAGCTTATCCAGAAATACCTCGGTGATGGTCCTCGCCTGGTCCGACAGATCTTCCAAGTTGCCGCCGAACACGCCCCGTCCATTGTCTTCATTGATGAAATCGATGCGATTGGTACGAAGCGTTATGACTCGACGTCGGGTGGTGAGCGGGAGATCCAGCGTACCATGCTGGAACTCCTTAACCAGCTTGATGGATTCGATGACCGGGGTGATGTCAAGGTGATCATGGCTACGAACAAGATCGAAACCCTGGACCCTGCCCTGATCCGCCCGGGTCGTATTGACAGAAAGATCCTCTTCGAAAACCCAGACCGTAAGTGTTGTGTCCACTGGACCATTTGTTCCCCTGCTAACGGCGTCCAGAAAACACCAAGAAGAAGATCTTCACCCTGCACACCTCGAAGATGTCGCTCGGAGACGATGTCGACCTGGACGAGTTCATCAACCAGAAGGATGATCTCTCCGGTGCCGACATTCGGGCTATCTGCACGGAAGCCGGTTTGATGGCGCTGAGAGAGCGCAGAATGCGGGTGCAGATGGACGATTTCCGTGCCGCCAGGGAGCGCATCATGAAGACGAAGCAGGACGGAGGCCCAGTCGAGGGGCTGTACTTGTAGACGCGCTATCGGGGGTGTACTTAGAACTACTTTAGTTCAACCGAGGTAATGATTGCCTGTATTGTATCATCATGATCAGTAGTTCTTTTATAATTTGTTGCCCTTCTTGATTGGCAGAGAGAATCGTACTTTAGTTATTCATTCCAGGACCAGACCCATATGTATGCCTGGGGTGTCACTGTATACCTCAGGCCGACGCGTGCTTATCGACCAGCGTTCTTATCTTATCACCACGTGAAAGACAAACATCGCAAACCCTGCAAACCACGCAAACAGAGCCAACATCGATCTCGCATCTGAAGTCATCTCCATCGATTCTCCGAGACATACCACATTCGCCATCATGGACGGGTTTGACGAGGAGGCCTTCAAGAAATTTTTTCCGACAAGCTTCGGTAGGCAAGAAAAGAAAGCCGATGTTAGCGCGCAGATAGATCGCACCAAGCGGACAGAAGTATCTGCTCAGTCTGATCGCGAGGCGGCTTTGGTCGGCGATGCGAGCGCTGAAGTGAACGCCGAGTCTGAGAAGGAGAGACAACCCGATGGATCGGGTAGTGACAGCGGAAGCGATGACTCGGATGACGACTCAGACGATGATGAGGATGAGTTTCCGGTGTCCCATGAACTCACTTTCAAAACACACGACCGCGCCGTGACAACCTTGACCGCGGACCCCTCGGGATCGCGCCTGATCACCGGCTCCACGGATTGTACGATAAAACTACACGATTTCGCATCCATGACACCGTCGACGGTGCGCGCATTCAAGTCCGTTGACCCGTCCGCAAAAAAGCAGTCCGCCGCGCAGGAAGCGCATGCTGTGCACTATGCCGCTTTCAACCCTCTCGCCCCTGCCTATGTCCTCGTTGTTTCCGCTACGTCTCAACCCAGGATTCTCGATCGCGACGGCGAGACCGTCACCGAGTTTGCGAAGGGTGATATGTACTTGAGGGATCTTCATAATACCAAGGGTCATATATCGGAGGTGACCAGCGGAGCGTGGTGTCCAACGGATGAGAACCTGTGTGCTACGGCAGGAACAGACAGCACGGTGCGCATATGGGATGCCAATAATGGACGGTCACAGAAGGAGGTCATTGTGCATAAGTCTCGGGTGGCGGGTTCCGCTGGTCGGACCAAAATGACCGCTGTCGCATGGGGCTCGCCCAAGCAGGGTGGTCCCAATGTTCTGGTTTCTGCTGCCCTCGATGGCAGCTTGGTGATGTGGAGCGGAAACGGGCCGTTTACCCGGCCAAGCGCGGAGGTCCGGGATGCGCATACTAGAGATACCTGGACGAGTGGCATCGACATCAGCTCGGATGGCAGACTAGTCATCACTAAGGGCGGAGACGACACCATCAAACTCTGGGACACTAGGAAGTTCAAACAACCGATCACGACTATTCATCATCCGTCCAGCAGCAGCCGGTTCCCATCTTCGAACATCGTATTCTCGCCTACCTCAGCCAATGTCCTCACGGGCTCGGAGACTGGACACCTGCACATCTTGAATCCCGCCACACTCAAACCGGAGTTGATCACGCCAGTCACGCCAGGATCGCCATTGATTAGTGTTATTTGGCATGAAAAGATGAACCAGATCATCACCGGGTCCGCCAACGCGGAGACGCATGTTCTCTACAACCCCACTATGTCGACCAAGGGTGCCGCTCTGGTGATGTCCAAGGCCCCGAAGCGTCGGCACATCGACGACGACCCGAGTCTCACCATGGACCTCACGCAGGGCATCTCGGGGGATTCCGTCGTGGTGGGATCCAACGGGGTCCCTCACTACAGCTCGGCCACCTGGTCCGCGCGACACCCGAATGTTGGCCTGACGGCCTCGGGTCGCTCGAGGGATCCACGGAGACCTCACATTCCCGCACAGACACCTTTCGCGAAGTCGCAGCCTGACGAGAGGCATATCCGGGAGAACATCCCTCTCAGTTCCATGCGCGACGAGGATCCCCGTGAGGCTCTGCTGAAATATGCGGAGAAGGCCGAAAAGGACCCCATCTTCACCAAGGCCTGGAAGGAGACGCAGCCTACGCCCATCTACCGGGATCTCAGCGACGAGGAGGATGAACCAGGGCCGGATAAGAAGAAGGCCCGGCGATAATCAGGGTGCTGAAATATGCGTGGGTTTTTACTTTATTTCTTTCTTTTTTTTTTTTTTTTTGTTCGGTCATCTTCCAGAAGCTAGTTGATCCGAATGGGGTGAGACATGAAACATTCCTGGATTCTATGTATATTTATTGCAGCAAGGGCGGCGTTGACAGTGGCTTTGCTTTGCTTCGACTCAGACAGCGTGTTAGTAATCCGACCGCCTCAACATCTACCCTGGTACCATTCCAAGGTTTTTGGATGGATCTTTTCGATTGGAGTCATTGCGCATATTCGTAGACGCAGGACTGACTCGTCCTGCTCGATGACGTTGGACGGGCAGTTGTGGACCGGGATGATAAGCCGCCCATTCTTGGGATCGGCATGGCTGAACAAACCAATGGCCAATGGCACTCTGTATGACTGCACAGCGCAGCTTGTGTCGCGATGCTGCGGGGGGAGTTGGTGAGTGGGCTGCACGTGCGACTGCTCGTACAGTTGGTTCGGAAGTCGCGCCGACTTAGTTCGTCGCTCCGGTTCTCTCGGCATCTCCCATCTCCCATCTGCCAACTCCCCCTCTCCCTCGAGTCTTCTCTCTCCACAGAACAACCATCACCGGACCCCCGTCCACCCTCGACGGACATCCGTAACTACTACACCACTACTTTCGCGATCCGACCGGTGTCTCCTCTTCTGACCGATACGCGACGAGCTTGCCAGCTGGGTTTTCACCTCGACCAGGGGATACGGGCCACAGAATGCAATGATTCACAGCAGCATGAGCGACTCTCCCAACGCTGAAGCCCAGACACTGAAGGAACACCTGTGGTGAAGGAGTCCAGCGGTCTTATCTTTATTCCGGTCGGTCGCTCGGTCGCTCGGTCGGTCTGTTGGATCGTTGGAACGTTGGACCCCCGGAGGCCTGTCGGGTCCTACGGGCAGGATTTCGTTGATAGCGGCGGACCTTTCGGGACCTCCTTTTTCGCTCTCGTGGCTGCTCTTTAATTAGACCCTCCGGCGCCGTCACAACCCCTTGCGCCACCCTCTTATCGCGAATGGCTCATTTTCAAGAGGCGCCCCTGGCAGCCGGCCTGCTCACCGCGCTCGCCTCCTCTGCCATTCCCACCCCGACTCTCACACCGTATCTCCTCCCCTCACCGTCCCAACCCTCTCCGTCCTCCACCTCGACTCCGGGATCCGGCGATGGTGGTGGCGGCGGCAGCGGCGGGGGCGGAGGAATGCACGAATGGTCCTCCCTGATCGGTATCATCACCGCGCTGGCCGGGAATGTGTTGATTTCTTTGGCCCTGAACATCCAGCGCTACGCACACATCCGAATCGAGAGGGAATGGGAGCAGGAGAAGCTACAACGCGATATGGATTGGAAACGATCCAGCCAGGGCCATGGAAGCACCGGTGCTTACGGGTCTGTTGGCGACAACGACCTCAACGGCGAGGTCGGTCGAGGAAGGAATCGGGCAGGTCGTTATCGCGATGAGTCTCCGAGTCCCGAACGCGAGCGTTACGAGGAGCCCCGCGGCAATTCCAGACGCACTCGCCGCTACAGGGACGACGATGCAGACTCGCAGGATCATATGCGCGATTCTATGGGGTCCGACCGGACCGTCCGCCCGGAGGGCGATACCTTGCGCCGTAAATCGTATCTTCGTTCCCCGTACTGGTGGGTAGGGATTGTGCTCATGTCTCTCGGGGAGGTCGGGAACTTCATGGCCTACGGGTTCGCTCCGGCTTCGATCGTGTCGCCTTTGGGTGTTGTGGCTCTGATCTCCAACTGCGTCATCGCGCCCATCATGCTGAAGGAGAAATTCCGGAAGCGCGATCTATGGGGCGTGCTCGTCGCCATCGCTGGAGCGGTGGTCGTGGTTCTCAGCGCCAAGTCCTCGGAAGAGAAGATCGGTCCCCATGATATCTGGGTGATGATCACGCGCTGGGAGTTCGAGCTGTATCTGGGCGTCTCGGCCGCGTTGATTGTCGGACTCATGTGGGCCAGTGGCAAGTATGGGTCGCGGTCCATCTTGATTGATGTTGGACTGGTGGCATTGTTTGGTATGTCGGCCGCGCACCCTATCTAACGTGTCTGTTGTCTGGAAGATTGCTCATGGTTGAATAGGTGGATATACCGCTTTGTCGACAAAAGGCGTTTCGTCACTGCTGTCATTTACACTGTGGCATGTTATCACATTTCCAGTCACCTATCTTCTGGTGTTTGTCCTTTTCTTCAGCGCTCTGATGCAGATTCGGTACATCAACCGAGCCCTGCAACGCTTCGATTCGACCCAAGTGATCCCAACTCAATTTGTGCTCTTCACGCTATCTGTGATCATCGGAAGTGCCGTCTTATACCGGGACTTCGAATCATTTACGGCAGATCGAGGGAGCAAGTTCGTGGGGGGCTGTCTCCTGACATTCCTGGGGGTGTATTTTATCACCAGTGGCCGGGTACGTGCGGACAATGAGTCTTCTTTCTCCGCCGACGACGAAGAAGAGGCCATTGGCCTGCTGTCAGGAGAACGCTACCATGACGATGTCGACATGCCGCCTCCTCATGTGAGGAGACACAAGGGACATGACTTCCACGATGATCACCTACAGTCTCCCTCGGGTTCGCTCCTCAGCCACCACCTCGAGGACGTCGATGACAGCCAGCAGACCCCCCGGGGCGTTTTGTCGGCCGCACCATCTTCCCCAATCGGCTCGTTGACCGCTGAATCCCTCGAACCGGTGTCAGCGCCTTCCTCGCCCTTGCAGGCCCGGTCACTTTTGACAAACCCATGGGCGGACTTTCAAGAGCCAGCCATCCAAACCCCGATGACCGAGCCTGCAATCATTCGTCCGTCCACCCCTCCAGCTCAATCCGGGCCCCCGACACAGAGTTCGCCCTTTCTCCTCCGTTTCCCTCCTGCGCCTGGCGCCGAGGACCATGATCTGGAGGGTCCAACCTCTGGAACCATCCGCACTCACCCAACTAGCCGCCCCAATGTGGTGGTGCAGACCCCCCCAACAAGAACTATCCGCAACTCCTTCTCCAACTTCTCACCCGGCCCCTTCTTCCGACAATCTCCGCTGGATTTAGCGCCGTCGTAGCCGAGTCACTCCGTCGCGGCGAGATGAGTCCCAGCAAGGGACGAAAGCTACGGCAACGGATGGGTCGGAGTAAACAACTCAGCACGACATTCCTGGAGGGGTTCTCCCGGAATCGAGACGGCGAACCCAGAAACCTCGATCAGGAGTCTGCTGGAAACAACGATGGTCATACTTCCCGATTGCCGCTGCATAACAGCGGACTGCATACCACGGGCGAGCTCGCCACAGCTCCTGTAAACACCGGGAATCCGACTCCCACCGAGGATGGATCCAGGAACCCGCGCGTGGACAATACCGCCTCCCTCTCGCGGCTTCGCAGCTTCAGTGACTCGTGGAGCGGAGGGCTGGCCTGGCTCGGCGGCGTTCTCCACAAGCCTGGTGCGAACAAAGGTCTCGATGCGACGCCCCCCCAGGAAAGTGAACTTGAACACGGTGTCGACTCGTCGAATGCCCAAGACGCACAGGGTGCAGGTACGGGTGCGGGTGCAGGCGCAGATACGCAGGCGTAAGTGAGCTCCGATGGTGACGGGCTCTCACTCCTCTTGCTAGTACATACATTTTTTGTTTCCCCATAGATATAATTCGCGGGTGGTGGCTTCACATCCTCCTGATAGCATTAGCGTTCTTCACCTATATATGTGTTTAATAGAAATTGAGGGAACGTCGATCTTTCCGTCACACCGATAGTCCTGGAGAGCAGGATCATAAGCGGAGGGCAGCCTCTCTGTCCAGTTCGTTCTTCAGCCCATCCACCCCATCGATAATTAATATCGGAGCGGGCCCTCATACGGCAAATCCCTGCCTGTCGACCTGCACGCCAGCCCGAGCACGAACAACGATAGGTGGAGAAAGCAACAGCTGCAGGCCGGAGGAGCGCGCCGGTTGTCTGCACGCCCCGGGATAGTGTCCTGCATGGATCACCTTACGGATCTAGTACACAGTCGATACTTACCCCTCCCCCGTCCGCCACTCCGCAATTTAGCCGTTAATATCCTGCTGCTCTGACCGCAGCCACTCAACGCAGACGAACTTCTCCTTCCCCATTACTTCCGGCGCACTCATTCGCTGCTGCTGCTGCTGCTGCTCTCGCCCTCCAACATCACCCGATGCCTGATGTCTACCTGCTGGGCTCATCGCCGCCCTGATCGCATGAGCAGCCTAAATTAGTCTCGGTTGCGTTGCGTTGTGCTTTTTTGCCCATGTTGTTGCGGGCTCCGCTGACTTGCGCATGCGCATTGGGGGAGGGGGATTGGCGGTGCAATGCAATGGGATGGGGTTAAATACTGGGGGGTTCCGTCCTTCTGAGGTGAGGGGATTTTTCTTATTGTATCTTCTGAAGTAGGCTCATTCGCTGACAAGCTGGGGCTGCTGCTACAAAGCCTCTTTCGAGTCAGATATGGTCGTCGCTGGTTTCCTCGCCAAGGGGCTTCTGCTCCTTCAGCTCTTGTCGGGTGTAGCGGTCGCTGCCTCGCAGAATGCCTCAAGACCGCTCTACAAGGACCCCCATGCGCCGGTCGAGGCGCGAGTCTCGGACTTGCTGGGCCGGATGACGATCCAGGATAAGATGGCTCAATTGATGCAGGGTGGGTGTGTTTCTTTTCTGATGAACGTTGACTTTTGTGAATGGAGTCACTCTGTCTCCTGGATTTGGCATTTGGGATAGCATCGGCTAACGGTGTCTGCGCCATAGGGGATATCGGCAATTGGATGAACAGCACCGACGGATCGTTCAACTACAGTGGTCTGGTGGCGAATATGGAGATGAAGGCTGGCGGTTTCTATGGTATGGGAATTGCTCTGAAAGCTCCTGAGCAGACTGTTGACGAGTGCATACAGTGGGATATGCTGTTCCCTGGGACTGGCTTGCGACCAATATCAAGAGAGCGCAGGATTATCTGATTCAGAACACGACGCTGGGTATTCCTGCGCTTGTTCAGACTGAGGGTTTGTCTCCTCTATCCTACCTTCGGTATCGGAAGTTACTAAAGTGTTTGTTGTTACTTAGGTATCCATGGCTTCCTGCTGGAGAACGCTACCATCTATAACTCCCCGATCGCATACGGCTGCTCATTCAACAGAGATGTACGTTCACTTCCACCCCCGCGAGACATCTAGAAGAGCCTAACACGCCTGCAGCTGGTCAACCAAATGGGACAGCTCATCGCGCAAGAAGCGCTTGCGATCGGCGCCAATCAGCTCTTTGCGCCGCTGGCGGATTTGGCACGGGAGCTTCGTTATGGTCGGGTAAGATGGATACATGTCTCTCTGACTGAAGGCTTTTTCTGACGGATTTACTTGTAGGTCGAGGAGACATTCTCGGAAGACTCGTATCTCGCGGGTGAAATGGCCTACAGCTACATCACCGGCCTGCAGAGTCGCAATGTCTCCGCCACCGTCAAGCACTTTGTGGCATACAGTTTGCCCGAGCAGGGGCTGAACACGGCGCCGGTCCAAGGAGGAGAGAGGTATCTCCGTTCAACGTATGTCCCTTGGTGTGTTTTCAAAGATGGTCGACTGTCTGACTCTCATCCAGCTGGCTCCCGTCTTTCAAGCGCGCAATTGTCGATGCAGGTGTATGGAGCATCATGAGTGCCTACCACGCGTAAGTGTCTGATCGGTCAACCACCACCATCACCAGCTAACACCCATCTTCTTCTAGATACGATGGCATCCCCGCCGTCTCCGACTGGTACACTCTGACAAAGATCCTGCGCGAGGAATGGGGCTACAAATACTGGGTATTCAGCGACTCCGGCGCCACAGACCGTCTCTGCACGGCCTTCAAGCTCTGCAGAAGCTCCCCGATTGACATGGAAGCCGTGACCATGATGGCGCTGCCCGCAGGCACCGACGTCGAAATGGGGGGTGGCTCATTGTACGTTCCCCACAGTATACAACAGGGCACACGGCTAACACCTTCCCTCCCAGCAACTACCAGAAGATCCCTGAGCTGGTCGAGTCCGGCAAGCTGGACATCGACATCGTCGACACCGCCGTCTCCAGATTCCTCCGCGCAAAGTTCGAGATGGGCATCTTTGAGAACCCTTACCCTGCTGCTCCCCAGTCCCAGTGGAAGGATCTCATCCACACCCCCGAGGCTGTCGAGCTCGCTAAGACCCTGGACATGGAGTCTATCGTTCTGCTGGAGAATCACAATAAGACTCTTCCTCTGAGCAAGAGCGGCAGTATTGCCGTGATTGGACCGATGGCTCACGGATATATGAACGTGAGACTGCCTTACATTTCTCCTACCCGACCAGCTCTTCCTCTTTCCTCCTCCCTCCTCTTTCTTTCGTCGGTTCTTCAGCCCCTGTGTATATAACCCAAAACTAACCCTCTCAGTACGGCGACTACGTGATCTACAACAGCCAATGGCACGGCGTGACGCCCCTCGACGGCATCAAAGCCGCCGTCGGCGACGCAGCCACCATCAACTACGCGCAGGGCTGCGAGCGCTGGAGCAACGACGAGTCCGGCTTCGAGGAGGCCATCGCCGCGGCCAAGAAATCTGACGTCGCTGTCGTCGTCGTGGGAACCTGGTCGAGAGACCAGACTGAGCTCTGGAGTGGGTATAACGCGACGTACGTCCCTCCCTAAACCTCTCATACTCACCATCCCCTCCTCCCTCCCTTCCTCCACCCTCCCCTATTCCCCATACACCACTCATCCCTCCTCCTCCACCCCACTAACCCCTCTCCCTCCCAACAGAACCGGCGAACACGTCGACCTCGACAACCTCAACCTCGTGGGCGCCCAAGCGCCGCTCATCCGCGCAATCCTAGCCACCAACACGCCCACCATCGTCGTCCTCTCTAGCGGCAAGCCCCTCACCGACGTCGTCTGGCTAGGCAACAGCACCTCCGCTCTGATCCAGCAATTCTACCCCTCAGAACAAGGCGGCAACGCCCTCGCCTCGATCCTCTTCGGCGACTACAACCCCTCCGGCAAACTCTCCGTCAGCTTCCCGCACTCCGTCGGCGACCTCCCCATCTACTATGATTACCTCAACAGCGCGCGAGACATCGGCACGGCCGGACAAGCCTTCCCCAACGGGACCCTCGACTTCGGATACCAGTACGTCCTCGGGGATCCGCACGCGGTCTATCCCTTCGGTTTTGGCCGGAGCTACGTCGATTTCGCGTACACTGGGGTGCGCGTCGACAAGAGTACGGTGTCGGTGAACGACACGGTGCGGGTGAGCGTTGAGGTGGAGAATCTGGGGGACGTGGAGGGCACCGAGGTCGTGCAGGTTTATTTGGTCGATGAGATTGCGAGTGTCGTGGTGCCGAATCGGTTGCTGAAGGGGTTTGATAAGGTCGTCATCAAGGCTGGGGAGACGGTCACGGTGGATGTCGATATTAAGGTCCAGGATTTGGGCGTCTGGGATGCCAGGATGAGGTATGTGGTTGAGAAGGGCGTGTTTGGCGTGTTGGTGGGAGGGAGTTCGGTGGATATTCGGGGGAATACGAGTTTTACTGTTGTTTAGATAGTTAGAGAGATGATTGTTGCTAACTAAAGTGAACTCCGTCTGCTTGCCCGATTGAGGTGCCGCCGCTTTTAGGTATGAGGGCAGCACGTGAGCGATCTGTATATGCCCTGAGGTAGAACTGGTATATATATATATATATATATATCCAGTCATCAATAACAACAACAACAACAACAACAGAGGCGGATTTCATACTTAAAGATTCACGACAATCACTAGTACCTCCACAACATTGTAGCTTACAAGACATCATAAAGTGATGGATGATTTCCTCTGTCCTATTAACCTATACTAACCCTTTCTTTGAAAACTATATAAGGCTTCCCTCGAATCTTCTAAAAAAGCATGAACTTAAATTCCCTGCACTTGCAAGCCTTGCACGAGATATTATATTATCTCCAGCAACCAAAGCAGGGATAGAACGCCTCGTTAACTCGAGATGAATCGGCCGATGAACAGGATAGATAATCCTGATCAACAACCACGAGATGCTGTACGCAGCGACTGATCCCAGGTAGAACCTTTTCCGGCCCAAGGCTTCCGAAAAGGGGGGGGGCATGATCAAACCTCCGAGCGCCTGTCCCTCGTTATATATAAACTAATATATAAATTGGAACCCGGTCAGGGGCACCAGTAGTAGTACTGATGGCTATCGTGTAGAGCCCGAGGATAAGCAGGACAGTCCTATTATTATATAGTTTCCTTTGAAACGGCCAGTTGTGCGGATCGTCTAGACGCTTGAAATCCCACTCTTATTCTATTATTATTCTTGACCCGGTCTGCTGAAGACCCCTCCGGACAGCTTTGTGTTTTTCTTCATCACCAGGCATAGTCTTTATAACCAGAATTCGATACGTATATTAGATAGCCCTCGCCAGACAGAGGGACGCAGTAGCGTTATCTCGCGGCTTTGCGCTAAGATGGTTTCGTGAAAAGGAGGATGATCGACATATTGCAGAGAATATATAGTTCGAGAGATAATAATGAATATATCTATCTATGTTCAGTTCGTCAGGCGTGGAGCTTAGGGTAAGTCCCGCAGGATGATGGAGACTGAAGATAGTTGTAGAGGGATGATCGTTAGTTAGTTATCTGGCTTATGCTTACGTATCTTTGCAATCAACTTACCCTTAACTATCTGATGCATTGAATATGATGTTGGCGAGTGCCGTGTACTGGGTGGGGCTGGCGATTGAGTAAGACTTCAAAGCTCTTCTGTAATTTCTGCTTTCCGGAGGACTAAGCGTAAGATGGGGGGGTTTTTTTTTTGAAACATGTAAGCACGTTGACAAGATTCTTTGATCTATCTAATCATGATTCTCTCTTAAGTGTAGCAGCTGTCAGGAATTACTCAAAACACGCACTTTTATACTCACCCCACGACCCAGTGAGAAAAAAGCGGCGCTAAGTTGGACCTGAAGCGGAAAGGGAAAGCTGCTCGATTTCCGCAGGAATCCTGTTCACTACTGTAGTGCCGGTTGTTATTTGCGGTGGTTTGCTGCTATGCCATTGAGATAGGATGGGATAGGATAGGATAGGATAGGATAGGATACTAGTAGATACATAACAGTCCTGCAGGTACAACTCAAATCATGTGCTAGCTGTTGCAGTAGGACATGGGATATCATATCAGCTGGATAGAAAAACAAAATCAAGACCGGAAAAACAAGACAAAAACTCCCCAGATCGCTTCTCTTTTGTCACGCCAAAGTCACAACAGGTATGACATGTAACAGCGAACCTGCTATACAGACCGCCATGTTATGTAGATACCCTGCTATGCAGCCACCAGACTACGTACTAGGCATCCGCCTTTCAGGCTTCCCCTCCTCGGTAGCATTTTTATCACTCTCAGCCCCCCCCTCCGCTCTGGACTGCGCATCCTCCGCATCGACCTGCGTGCTGGGTTTCCTGGCCAGTGTTGGCGTGGCAGACGCACTGGAGTTACTCCTGCCCTCCGCACGGCGGGTTTTGGCGCCCTCCTTCAGCTTTTCCCACCGTTCGCGGTAGCGGACCAGCACGTCGCGCAGCTTATCGTTCTCGCGCCCGACCTTGCTGAGCTCGATCTCGCGGCGGCGGATGGCCTCCTCGAGCTCTTTGATGCGTGTATCATCCACGGGCGGTGGCGATGCAGGACCAGGCGCCATCGGGGACATGAGAGCCGAGGGATGCTCCGAGGGGGGGTTCTGATGGTGCATGGCCTTTAGGGACTGCTGCAGGGCAATGGATGATGACTGCGCGTTGACCTCCCACATGTGGAGTCGTTTGCTCAGCGTATCGGACAGATGTCGCAGGGCCTGGTTCTCCATCTGCAGTTCCTCCATCGTTTTCGGGTTCTGGAGACTGTTGAATTTGTCCCCGCTGCGGCCCGCCTTGCCCTGCACTCCGGATAGGCTTTGGCGCATTTCCGGAGACGAGGGCGTCTCCCGTGCATCCACGAAGTCCTCGTCGCCGTCCTCGAAGCTGTTCCTTCGCGCTTCCTTTTCGGCGCGCGTCAGGATTCCGGCGTAAGACACCGTTCCGCCCGTGGTGGGCACGACGTAGAATGACTCCGCCGTGCTGCCGGTTCCGCCGGTCGTGTCTTTGATTGCCTGCAGGGCGGCCCGGGAGAAGATTTTCTTGATGTCTGGGTCGGAGGTGTTGGCGCGATCCGACACCGCGTTGTATCGGTCTGTCTTAGTATCTGCGGCGGTTTTGCGGCTGGAGGAGTCGGAGGTGTCGGTGCCTAGCGGGAGACCTGCGAATGCAAGGGGTGCGGAGATCTTGGAAATGAGGCCTTCGAAGGTCGAGTAGAACTTCTGGAAGGGCTCCTCCGTGAGCGGGGCTCTGCTCTTGTGGCGCGTCGGCTCCCCGGGGTCCAGAGGCGCATATTGCTGCGACGTGATGTCGGTAGGGCTGGCTGCTGGTGGAGTCCAGGACGGCTTTGACGTAGATGTGCGGCTCACGCGCTCCTTCATCCCTTGCATCTGAGCCCCTCGGAGTCGAGCCTCGCTGGTCCTTATCTTTGCCGGTCCCTCGGTCATCTTTGCCCCTGCCTGCTGAGCTGTGATTGTCGGCGATGCGGGAGAGGACCGGCGGGGCTGGGCTGGGATGCCTCGTGCTGATGCCAGGTTGCTGGCGATAGTGGATGTCTCCCGTGATGGCAGGCGAGGGTTCCCGGACAGTCGCGGGGGTTGTTGTTGAGAATCTGGAGTCCGTGTCCCTGACTCCGTGGCCGGTGATTGAGCATTGGAACCCGCAGATGCAGCGGTAGGAGGGTGCTCATGCTGGAAACGCAAGATCTGAGCCAGCTTCTTGTGGTGGGTTTCGAGTAATTGCAGTGTCCGCAAGGCCTGTGCCAGTGGATGGTTAGCCTGGCGGTCGGCTATACCAACAGGACAACGGATCAGACACGTACCTCGCGATCGGAACTGTGTTGAGCGGCAGTTGCAAACTCGCCTGCGGCTAGATCATGCTCCTCACTCGCGGCGACGGGGTTGGACTTGCGAGTCTCGAGAACTGCATTTCGAGCGTGGGTATGAGCCTTGACCGAAGGGGGTCTGTCAGGCCGGGATTCCAACGTAGAAGGCTTCCAGCAGGACGTGCACGGCAACTTACCAGAGTGAGGGGAGCTGCCTCCATGGCTGCGGGCGTCGGATAGTCTCACACTGCGAGCCCCTTGATGTTGGAGCCGATCCGACCCCTTCAGTGGTCGGTGGTGATGGTTGTGGGGAAGCAACTAAAGGCACAGTCGATAAGACTCAAGAGTTATCGCCCAGTGACGACATGCAACCGCCGGTCACGGGAGTCGTACCGATGGAACGGTAACATTACCATTCACCCAGTGTACCCCTGGGGGGAGGCGGCTCCCCCCCTAATCCGGTGCGGGTGGTAAGGTACAGAGGATCCGGTATCCGTCATGACACACCCACTGCCGGGGCCAAGAGCGTTCTATAATTATCCCAACCAGATAGGAGGTTTCAGCCCTCATGAGACTCTGCAGGCAGAAAGGAACCATAGGGGCGCAGTCTGGAACATTGCCAACTCATTTCCCGCAGCCTCCGAAGCGTAAAATATCCTGGTCGATCCCAGTGGAGGGGGAGATCCTCCGGCGGAGAATAGATACGGGAGAGTTACAACTGGTAATGCTCCGTTCGGCCTCGTCGTATTCGTACCGGTACCTTGGTACAGTAATATTTTGTAGCTGGCAGCTTTGCCGTGCGGGCTGCGGAGTTGCTACTCGCTGCTGCTGCTCCTCCACTTCCAGGCGCTTCGTTTCGCTTTCCTCCTCCTCACCACTTCCACCCCCTGTTCCCCTCCCCTCTCTATCTCGGTCCCTCCTCGTCCCTTGAAACACTCTACTGCAGGGACACCCAGAGGAAGGGCTTGCGACTGATCCTGCGACTCCCTGCTGCGATCTTACCTACTCAACGTCCGCTTTACCCCCCCCCCCCCTCCTCGACCCTCCTTTTCGCCAGGCTACTTCGAAAATGCATTGCTAGAGAGGTGGACAGGCTCCCTTTTCTAACATGCGCACGCCTGTGACACTCCAATCCTCGCCTTGAACATCAAACAAAGTGTTGATATCCTTTCGCTACTGTCTTTATTTCCCCTTTTCTTACCTCCCGCATCTCGAATCGCCCTCCCAGCATGGACAACTCTGCCATCCCCGAGCCGCCCCCGGTTCCCGAGTCCGATGTGCCCTCCTTCAAGATAAGCCGCACCAAAACCACTCCGGTCGACCTGGAGATGGGGAGCTCAGGCCGGAGCAACGGGCGCTCCCCCTCCATCGACTCCACCGTCGAAAGACCCAAGTCGCAAGCCGGCGACGGAGATTCCACCAAGGCAGGTCCCACCGGATTCTCTAAGCTACTGGCTGGCAGACGCAAGAAAAAGAAGAAGGAGGAACCGAAGGATGAGCCTCTCATAGACCTGGATGGTGACATGGACGTTCAAGAGGTTCGTTCCGAGTCGCGGGACGGAGCTTCGGCTCATCTGTCGGCTACCAATGAGGGTCAGACCGCCGCGGATAATGATGCTCTCAATCTTTTGACGGACGATTCCGAACCGGAGAGGTGAGTTGGCGTGCTCCCTTCCCATTGATGCATTGTCGGAGGAATAAACAGGTTGTCTGACTTCAGATTGCGTCCCTAGGACTCCCCCCCTCACCTCCCACAACTCCCATGCCGGCTTCTACACTTCGTCATCCCCACTGATCAAGACCATGTCGGCGGACGCGAACGATGAGGGTGCGCAAGGCGACGTGGACTCCGCCGTGAGTGGCCCGAGTGCGGCTCCAGAATCCTTAGCGGACACGGAGCTCAGTAGTCAACCCGCCTCTTCGTTAAACGTGCCAGCGGATCGGAACGGGAAGAAGAGAGGTATCTCGCCGGGACGGCGATTCAAGAACGCTTTTACTTCCAGCCAGGACAAGAAGAACTCTAGCCGCGATCGGGCGTCGTCGACTTCCAGCACCAAAAGCACCCGAAGCAACCGACGAGGTAGCATGTCCGCTAAGAGAGCTCAGACCGTCATTGCCGAGGATCCTCCCCCTCTGCCGGCCCCCATTCGTACGGATCTCAAGGAAGACAAGGCTCTTCCTTCGTTGGACATCCCCCAACCGAGAACACCCCCTCATACTGCAATCCCGCAACCTCAGACCACCGTCACGCCACCTACTCCGCACACCGAGTTTCCCAAGCTTTTTACCTCTCCGATCGTCACGAGATCCCCGGACTCTATCAATTCCAAAGACGGGAGCCCGTCCGGAATAGTTGTCAGTCCTTCGGGGAATATGATCTCCCACCGGCGTGTGCGGTCCGCCTCTGCGGCAAGCCACAAGCCGAGTAAGCTGTCGAATTCGATATCTGCTCTGGGCCCGACGGTTGAGGAAAGCAAAGCGATTTCGAAATCGCCGAGTGCTCAGCAAACAGGGTTCTTCTCTTCGATGTTTACCGCCGCCCAGAATGCTGCGTCGAGCTTTGGCAGTAGTATTAACGCACAGGCAAAGGCTCGCAACGCTGGACAGGCAGGAACTGCAGAGTTCGACAACCGGCCTACCAGCGAGGAGGTTTCGAGCTCCAACCAGCCCGCGGACAACAGTCAGGTCGAAGAGAAGAAATCGCTCGCCATTGATACGTTGGGGTCTGGGGACCTGGATTTCAGCCACCTCGACATCGCGATACCCCCCGGAGGATCTGTTTCAACCCCCGATGGGGTTGTGATCACAAAACCGGACATCCCGCTAGACAAACGCAAGAATACTGGGGTTCACCAGCGCGATGAGCAAGCGGCGAGGCTTGAAGATAGCCGTGCGGCACGGGCGGTCACCATGGCCTACGAAAAGCCCTCCGACACATTGCTAGCCCCGGATGATGGCCTTGACGTTCAGTCCACCACGTCTTTAGTGAAGGATACTGGCGGTGATCAGACGCCACCTACTGGCAGTGTACTCGACGGAGAGGTTGGCAACACACGGCCGCATAGAAGTGGAAGCGTGCGGAGCCGACTTGCCCGACGTCGACACCGGGGTTCCTCAGCAACCACTTCAACAATCGGTGCAATTGGCGCCAGTGCTATCGCCCTGGGCGCCCCGGCCGCCAACGCTAGTATGCCCCGTCTGACTGGGTTTGCTGTTGCCAGCAAAAAGCGCAACAGGGACTTCCATCAGTTGTTCCGCAGTGTGCCCGAAGATGACTACTTGATCGAGGACTACAGCTGCGCTTTGCAACGAGAGATTATCTTGGCTGGTCGGATTTACATCTCAGAAGGGCATATTTGCTTTTCCAGTAACATTCTAGGTTGGGTAACCACCCTCGTGATCAGCTTCGATGAGGTGGTGGCCATAGAGAAGGAGTCTACCGCGATGGTCTTCCCGAACGCGATTGCCATCCAAACGCTACATGCGCGCCACACCTTCCGGAGTCTTCTCAGTCGAGAATCCACCTATGACCTCATGGTCAACATCTGGAAAATTAACCACCCCTCCCTGAAGAGTTCCGCCAACGGAACCCGGGTCACTGATGGTACAGGGGACAAGACCGAGAAGGCCGGAGACGGAGAGAGTGACGATGAGAGCGAGGAAGAGGATGAGATCTACGACGAGGATGAAGAAGGCGATAATGCGGACAGCCTTTTCGAGGCGGCGGGCGCTAGCATCAATGGAAGTGAGAAGTCATTGCCTCCAAAGAGCGTCAGCCGCAAGGCTTCAGGGGCTCTCCAGAATGCCGGCGCTGGCACGGGAGGATCCAACGGCAACGGCGATTCGAAGGGCAGCAAGTCGAGTTCCCCGGCTGACAGTGATACGGACTTCCCGGGCCCGCCCACTCATGCTCCAACCGAGTTCACCGACCCTTCGGGCCAGTATGATAAGCTGATCAAGGATGATATAATCCCGGCGCCACTTGGAAAGGTTTACTCTCTTATCTTTGGACCGGCTTCGGGCGCCTTCATACCGAAGTTCCTCGTCGAGAACCAGAAATCCGGAGAGCTTCAGTTCGAAGGAGGAAACAAGGGTCTCACCAACGACAGCCGCACTCGGAAATACTCGTACATCAAGCCGCTGAACGGAGCCATTGGCCCCAAGCAGACCAAGTGTATTAGTACTGAAACTCTGGACTTTTTGGATTTGGAAAAGGCGGTTCTTGTTACCCTAAGCACCCAGACGCCTGACGTGCCTAGCGGAAATGTATTCTTAACTAAGACGAAATATCTCTTTACCTGGGCACCGGGAAACCACACGCGGTTCCTCGTGACCTGTACCATCGAGTGGTCAGGGAAGAGTTGGCTGAAAGGTAAGCTACCCTTTGGGTCCGAATGCACGGATCGTTGACCGACGGAAATAGGTCCCATCGAGAAGGGTGCCATTGACGGCCAAACTACGTTTGGTAACGAACTCGTCGCCGCTCTCAAAGCGGCCGTTGTCCCTCGCGCCCGCACTGGTGGCGGCAAATCCAAAGGAAAAGGCAAGCGCAAGAAGAGCGAGGTCGCTCAGGAAGCGGCCGCCGCGGCCACAAAGGCGGTCGAGGCCCAGGCACAGCAGGCGAGCTCTTGGGGAGTCCTGGAGCCACTCCATGGATTGCTCGAACCGGTCATCGACATCGTGAAACCTCTGTTGAGCGGCAACGTTGTCATTGCGATCGTGGGCATTCTGCTCTTCTTGTTGTTCTTCCGAAGCCCCTCCCAGCCATCCATCGTATCCCACGATATAGGATGTCCGGGCTACTCGCTGCCCCAGCGCCTGGCTGCCTACGAGGAGATGTGGCGCCGGGAGGAAAGCGAGCTCTGGAGCTGGCTGGAAGACCGAGTTGGCATGGACGGCCTGGCCTTCCCGACGGTCAGTCGGCCGATGGAGTCTCGAGTGCAGGGCTCTCGAAAGGTCCAGAGCGACCGCATGCTGGCCAGTAAAGTCGGCGAAGAAAAGATGTCCGATCTCGAAATGGACCATGCCATCCGCACCACCCGCGAACGGCTCGATTCTCTCGAGCGGATCCTGTCCCAACGTAGATCGGCCGACCAGGAGCCGATCCACCCCGAGCTGTGAGATCACCTTTGAGGTGACCTCGATGCAGCAAAAATCACTTCTACTTCCAGTGGAAAAACAACTTTCCAAGGACCTGATCACATGATGCAGGTCCCACATGCAAACACACACGTCCTTCGTTCCCATCTCCTTCTGTCCAATCTTTTCTGTCAGCGAGTTGTGGTGTTTGGGTCATTGCTTTCCACATTGTTCCCATCCATGCATTCGTTCGAGCATCAATCTGGGATTTGCATGCTTAGTATACTGAGCGAGTCCTTTCCCATACTTCTTTTTGCCGTTATACATACATACGTCCCTCGTGTCTTTTTTGGACCGACCGGCTCAAGATGAGCATTTTGTACATGAGCGCCAACTGCAAGTCTATATAGCCTTGAGTTTCTATACTACGCTACACTCTCTCTATACAATTTCTTACTCCTCTGGTACTGCTGTGCTTCTCGTAACGTACGCCCGGTTCGAATAGTGTATTCTGGGTTTAGTAAAAGCGAAGGATGTGCTAGCAAGACAAGTATATCTGAAACTGAAAAGAGAAGGGAACCTGGAGCGTAACAAAATGTTGACACAATGTATTCCGCATGATTACCAAAGCCCAACACCTCCTATTTAGATTAGACAGTATACACAACCTGCAAACAGGTTGATGAGTGCTCGAGAAAGAGCACATGGATATCATTGTGAAGCCAAATTCGAAATAGTCAAACAGCAAAATGGTAGTAGATCTTAAGGTCGTCGTGTGCGTCGTGAGCTGTAAGGTAAAGGGTCGTGTTTACAAGACGAGAAGATTATTAGGGCTGATAGATCATTCGTGAATGGTTTCGATCACTGCTCGCCGCAGAGAAGAGATCGAGTGGGACCGAGACGGCCCCTCGAGCTCCGCGTTGCGTTGCTCCTCTTCCTTTCGCTTCTTTTTCTGGATTTTCTTCATCGCTTCCTCTGTCAATTGCTGGCGGAAAAGGCGTTCCACTACGTCCTTCTTGCGGGACCGGCGGTCCCCGATCATGATCAGCACACCACCGGAGATGTTGCAACAGATGGAGCAGCAGAGGATGACAGTAGTCAGTGCGAATGGGCGGACGTGGTAGCTGATGGCCCAGGTGCATGTGCCCAGGGCGATCTGGAATAGGGAGTGGCAGTCCAGCAGGACCACGATGGCGATGAGGAAGCGCATTGGGAAGGCGTAATGGGTGAAGGTTTCGTGGGGTTTGTAGAAGGTGTGAGAATTGGCGAACTTGGTTTGGTGATGGATGAGCTTCAGCTGCTGAACGGGGTTGAGCACGCTATACTCGTGTTCCTCCTCCTTGGGCATGTCTCCGAGTTCGACATCGACATCGACCTCGGTTTCGTTTCGTGACGGCAGGTCATTTTTATTCTTGAGATCGGGAAGGTTGCGTTTCCGGCGAATTTTCCATGTCAAAAATGTGTAGTGTGCAATGAATATCATATGATAAGTGTCGACTGCTCGGAACGGGGCCAGCCCGTCACCCATGATTGCGAATAGGGCCACGAGAACGTTATCGATGATGTTGATGAGGTACGATTGCCTGCCCCCCACATTGATCCAGCCTGTAATTCATCAGTGTGTGGCATAGAGAGCCATTGTTCAAGGTGGCATACCAATGAGGAAGAGAACCCATGCAAGACCGAAAAGGGTAATGAGAGTTGCATACAAGGTAACCAGGAACCCAAGAGCTGCCAACAAATCAGCACAAGATATCAGCGGATATGGGACAGTACTCACGCTTGGATACATATTTCCCGAACCCCTTCATCGATCGCTTGAACTTGGATCGACGGGAATGCAACATATGCCGGACATGATCGTTAAGCTCTTCGATCTCGTCCGGTGACCAGCCCGCAAGGTTACTTCCGTCCGGAAGCACGGCGAAACGAGACTCGCCCCCCTCATCTATGATGGACGTGAGGGTGTGCTCCAAGGAAGGACGGATAGCAGGCTCTTTTGGCTTTTCCGATGGCTCCTCGCCTTCGTCACTCGTCGTTCCTTCAAGCTCTCTCAGTGGAGAAGGTGGCGAGAGAGTATATGTCTGATTCCGGTTCAGGAACGATCCCAGGTTGGGAATGAACAGAGAATTCTGGACGTTGGTAAGAGTAGATAGAGCGGACACTTCCGGATCTTTTTTATGCAAGTCAGCATCTCCCATGTAGACCAATATAAGACAGCCATGACTTACCGATAACGTCCAGCACATCCACAATATGGGTACGATATTCATCGTCAAGGTCGGGAGAATGAGCCGGGGCAGTTCCACTAACAGTCGATGCGCGGTTCCTGGTGAACCGGTTCGTATTCATCCCACTTGCCCAACGCATCGGGTTTAGACTTCCTCTTCGAGGGAGCTGGGGACGCGGGGAGATGTCGTCTGCCAGGGGTCGACTCGAATCGATTTCGCCGATGGGACTCTGATGCGACCACTCCTCTCTCACGGGGTGCATCTGCTCCCCTGTTGCGAACCTCGTGAGGGCTTGGGGGTTGGGTGCAGACCAGCGGCCCGGTCGGGGCTCGGAACTGCTGCGGCGGCGATTTCCCTGCCATGACTCGTCTTCGGGCGACGCAGGAATGGAGGCAAGAGGCCCAGCGGCGGAGCCGGTGGCCCCAGCGGTCCCGCTGCCATTTTGTTGTGCTTGTTGCTGGGACTGAAGCGCGGACAGACTGGCCTGTTCGAGCGAGGGCAGGCGTTGCAATCGAATGGACGGGCGCCGGGCACGCAGCGACGCCGCGCGCGGGCGAGCGTATGACGTCGGTCTGGGGGGGGATGAGGCGGACGGTTGCGGGCCCTCGCGCGGATCAGGTGAGCCATCGACGGGCTCGATGGGATCCATTGCAGGCGGGCGTCAACGAGGAGAGTTCTCCGACAGGCATGGGGATGGAGGAGGGAGAAGATAACGAAAGTGAAAGGGGCGCAAAGGCTAATTTATTGCAGTGCCAGCAAAGTCCGCCGCCCGCCGCCATTCTTGCCGCTGGAAACGATCAGACCCGTGGTTGGGCCCTGACTAAGCCCAACTGACGGAAGCCAAGCCTCGATAGGCTGGCGATCGTTCGCCCAGCATCAAGCTTGACTCTCGACGATCGCTGGACTGAATTACGCGTCGGGTGATCAGTCCATAATCAGTAGACTAGTAGACTAGATAGAGTCGACCCCGTTTGTAGAATTGTGGAAAATACCACCTCTCTCCACCAGCAAGGATTCCGTCCACATGCTGCTTCTCACTCGGCGGTCTAGCCCCGAACCGAGTCGGCCTAAGGCAGGGAACTGACCCGCAGTGGAATACGATACGAGCGCGGTGGTCGGTGGCGACGCCCGCTGATTGGCCGCCGAGATCCGGGGTCTCGTCGGGTGTAATCGCCCTTATCATCTGATTCTGCCGCGCAGGGCCGCCCTGGCTGCTATTCTTGTTATGTGGACTAACCATCTACAGCAAGATGTACACACTCCTCCTCTACTACGTACTCCGTACTTGATCGCAATTCGCAGTCCATCACCATCGGCTCGCTAGAATCATGATCGGACCACTAGCCAAATCTCCAGCACCTCTTCCAAGCTTCGTCCCACCTGCAGATTATCCTGCATGACCGTTCCCCCTCCCGATCCGGCGCAGATCGTGTCTCTTTGATATTGCTTACCTGGTCTATATCCAATCGGTAATCCCAGTTGGGTGCCGTCTCGTGTCCGTGTGCGAGCCACGAACTAGTAGTCGCTTATTAATTATGAAGAATAGCGGCATCCACGCTAAGCACTAGTTCGTCAGCATACAGATTACGGACGGTCAACTTCCTTTCGAGCTACTGGTGGTGGTCGTCGAATTTCCAGGATCATGGCACCCAGCGAAGCAGCAGGATTGAATCCATCCTCGCGAACGCGACAGCACATCAGAGCCGCGTGTGATGAGTGCCGACGGCGTAAGCTGCGGTGCGACGGACAACAGCCTCGATGCGGGGGCTGTCAAGTCTCCGGGCTGGGGTGTGAAGTAACGCAGCGCGGGACCCGCGGTCCGAAGAAGGGCTACATAAAGGCTTTGCAAAATCGAGTGATGCACCTGGAAGCAATGCTGGAGGGCCGTCTAAATACCCACCCCCAACCACAGGAACACCAGAGCGGCGCGGAACGCAGCAGTGACATCGATATTGTGCAGCCAGCACCCGCTGGGATCTCCGATGCAACGGCCATCGACTACACCCAGTCGTGGATACCACCAGTGACGGCGTCAGTCACTGAAGCCGATATGCTCCAGGTGATGTCGCAAAACTGTGTGCCCGAATTGGGATCCGTGTCCGACTGGTCGCTGGCTTCGACGTTACACTCGAGGTCTGATGCGCCCCTACACATTAAGGACGACGTGCGGGTCGAATTAGACCAGCTCTATTTCGATCGTGTGCATCCATCAATCCCAATCCTCCACCAACGGCGCTACTTGCTGTGGTCCAAGGCCAGGTCTAAAACACCAGCGCGCACCTGCCTGCAGTATGTGATGTGGTCACTGGTAACTTTGCTATCGGCACAGTTTCGGGATCTGACAGAGCCGCTCTACCGCAAGGCAAAGCGCATGTTGGACTCTCACGCTCTAGAAGAAGAGGAGCAGTGTGGTAGTGAAACGGAACTAGCGCAGACATGGGTACTTATCGCAATGTGCGAGTCGATGCGCACCCACCACCGGCAGGCCTGGATGAGCGCTGGCCAGGCATTTCGCTTGGTACAGGCTATGCGCTTCCACGAGATCGATCGTCCCAGAAACAGTAATAGTCACGAGGTTTTGCTGTCCCATGAGAGTAGCGACTTCATTGAGACAGAAGAGAAGCGTCGAGTATTCTGGATGGCCTACTTTCTTGATCATCTTTTCAGCATGCGCAGCGACTGGCCTATCACTTTAAACGAGCACGTGGTAAGATACTCAATCCTTATAGAGGCACTCGGATAGCGTGGGTTGCAGACTGATGCAACTGCTTGACAACCACAGATCTGTACTCGTCTACCGATCCCGGATCGGGAGTTTCAGAGCGGCCAGCACGTCCTGGGGGACTTCCTGTCTGAAGCTATGACCGAATCGACCCCGAAGCTCCGGTCTCCGTTCACCGAGTGTCTCATCCTGGCCACCCTTTGCGGACGCAGTCTGCTGCGAAGCCAGCAGTACAATGTGTCCAAGGCCTACGGCGACATGACGTCAGATTGGCCGGACCAGCACTGGTGGCTGGACAACATCCTTACAGCCCGGCTTGAGGTTTTGTCACAGTGTTATCCTCCACCTGATGAGATCTCCGACCCACTACTTTTGTTTGCCAATGTTCTCGCACAGACCACCATTATATACTACTGCAAGGACATGATGGCGCCGGAACCCATGTCCGCTGTCCACTCACCAGAAAATGCCAAGGTTATGGAGTGTCAGCACCGGGCCTTAGCTGCCACCGCAGCCATCGTCCGTCTGACTAAAGTGCTCTGCGAGTTGCACTTTTCCAAGGCGAGCCGAACCTACAGATCTCTCGTGGTTATCTGCTAACCGATCCGATTTATGCAGATCCATCCGCTGATGCCCATTCCGCTGTTGGTTTGTGCTGAGTTCCTCTATGATCACTGTTCCAGTGACGAGGCTTTCCGTTTGCACATCGCAGAACTCATGCACACCTTTGGTCAGCTGAAGAATGTCAATAACCATGAACAGAGCTACTTGGATTTGATACCGCGATCGTGCCTTTCTAAAACCGCTAACTTGCTAAACAGTCCTGCTGTGTCATGATACTCGCTAAAGATGACAATGCGGAGTTGGTGAGATGAGTGGAACTACTGTCTGTTGCTCTCGTTTGAAGAAAACTATAAATGTATAAAAGCATATCACTTCGCGCAGTCTGCAGATGGAACGCATTTCGGTGACTTATTTGACTCGGGCTTTTCTTACTAGGGGCTTCTGGGCATAATTTCATCAACCATATAAATGTAAGTAAATACAACATTATGTTCTCGGTATAAATTCTTCAAACGCGTACCTGTAGCTACAATCAATAAATCGTAGCAAGGTATTGGATATGAAAGTTAGGAAAGTACTACTTACGGAGTAACTGCGTTTCTCACCATTTTGTGTAGCAGAATATATTCATTCCGCCCTCTAGCCCTAGCCTAGTACTGATCAGAGAGAGGCAGAAAGGAGAGGGAAAGGCAACTCAGCAGCCCAAGAATGAACAACTTCAAGTTCCGGTGAAAGAAGATGGAGATGATCAACTCATAAAATTCACAATTTCAGATCCCCTGGTGCAAAAGCAACCCCCTCATGAAAGAACCGAGGCAGCGTTCAGATACGAAGCAAACAATTATCCCAAACATTGGTTTCATAGCAATGATCCTCTGATAGCTCAGCTTTTTCAAAGAAAACCTTGGTTATTACATCCCGGGAAATGTCAGCCTGCTGTTCTTAGCCCCTGGCTTTGAAGCTTATCTATGTATATTGATGGTGACTGTAGAGAGCATGCTACAGAAGCACCATATAGTAGTTTTGATTGAAGCCAGCCCTGAACCTTATAACATGCCTTAACTGCCATATATACAACCTCAAACAAAGCTTCATGGACTTCATTATCTCAAATTCAGTTGACTTCTCATACAGCTGTTTCTATAGGTCTGTCAGGAGTCATACCCCAGCAGTAATACCTATCACCCTCCCAGTAGAATCAAACAATCAGTACAAACACCACATCTGGCTATTCACTTGAATGCAATTCACTTGCACTTCCTTCTGCTGCCTGGTCTCCTCCCCTGTCCCCCCTCCCATCTTCTCCTTCCCTCTCCTCTCCATCTTCTTCCTCCTCTCCCTCCTCTCCTAAATTCGAAACCCGTACAGCTACTCGATCTTCGGTTCTCGATTTGAAGACTCAAGTCTTCAGCTGTGCTCAAAATCTGTCAAGATACATCGATCCTGCACTGGATACAAGAAACATTCTCTTTTGTAGCTACAAGCTCACGCATCTCGACCGTTGATCTCGTCAAGGTGAGACGCGTCTCTGTCAACAAGCATGTTTCGTCGGAAGCAGTCTAACACGATTGCCAGAATTGACATCTCGGATATCATACTCTCCTTCTCATAACTTTCTACCTTGAGATCTACTCTGTTGCTTTTAGCACCTCTGTCCTGACGATCAGGGTTATCATTTCGAATATCACAACTCGTGATAAATCTCTACTTTTGACATTTACTGTCTGTGCCCGTGGCACTCAATCACATCCTGACGGCCAGGATACACACATATCGAACACTCTCCCCTTCTCTACCTTTGACAACTTGTCTCTCTGTTGCCGTTGGCCATCTTGTCCTGTCGATCAGGGTTAACATTTCGAGTATCACAACCTGTGATAAACCTCTATCTTCGACATCCTGTCTCTGTATCCTGACGATCAGGGCACACACACACACACACACACACACACACGCATTAATCATCCTCTTCTCTCTTTATACCTCTCCACTGTCGACATCTTGTCTCTGTTGCCTTTGGCACTGATATCCTGGTGACCAGGATATACATACTGAACATCCTCATACTCTTCTCTCTTCACATCTCTCTACTTTCCACATCTCACCTCTGTTGCCTTTGGCACCTGTCCTGACGATCAGGGTTAGCATTTCGACCATCACCCCGACCATCCATCTCTCTGACACATCTTCTCTCCATTTGTGAAGACTTCTGGTCTTCATCTCTCCTTCCTATACACTCTCTGCTCCCAGCACGATTTTAGATCTGCTGTAAAGAGCACCCACTTTCCGTTCTCAAGAACATCGACTCTCTCACGAACATATTCCCCCCATTTTCAATCCCATCTCCTGTCCATTCTCCAGACCATCTACCCTCTTCCCTCAAGCGAATTTGTCTCCGTCTCGAAAAGCAACTTCCTGTTGTGAAGAACATCATCTCTCGACCCCAAGTACATCGACTCTGTTACCCAAGAATATCCCTTTCTGTTCCCCAGACCATCTACTGTTCCGTCACTGAACATTGTCCCCCTTTCCGAGCACATCTATCTCCACTCCATTTGTCAACTATCTACTTAATTCCCGAGAATATCTCCCTCCTGTCTGTAACGCAACTCGCGACGGTGAAGAAAACCGTCTCTATTCCCAAGCACATCTACTCTCTGTTTCACATCTACTCTTCTGCACCAGCTACCTCATCATCACCTCCCTTTCAGATACACATCCTTTCTGTTCTCAGAGAACAGTTACCTTCAAATCCCCGGCCCATCGATTTTCTGTTGTCAAAAACATCCACCGTCGAGGCCTTTTCTTTCTGCTCTCAAGACCGTCTTGAAGAGCAACCGTCGTTCCAAAAACATCGACCATCGATTCTCAAAAGAATCATCCACCGTCCCGACCATCCTCTCCCCGTTGCCAATACACCTGCATCGAAATGGCGCTCAAGCATGCAACCAAAACTGTGAGCGAACCACCCAACCCCAAGAAACGGGGACGGCCCGCCAAGGGCGCCGCCTCGGCGGCCGCGAAGACCACCACCACCCGCAAGCGCGCGGCCGACACCCCAGTGGAACCTAACACCTCCAAGAAGAGGGCCCGGACCTCCACCACTGCTGGGGTGTCGCCCAACACCACCCAACCGCAAGTCAATACGCGGAAGCGCGCCGCCGAGGCGGCACTCGAAAAAGAGGAAGAAGAAGAAGAAGCTCGCCCGATCAAGCGAGCCCGGGCGGGGGCCACCGCCCAGGCCAAGAAGAAGGAGGCTGGGGCCGTCAAGGGCCGGACCAGACCCCTCGCTGGTATGAAGACCCTCCCACCAGACTCAGCCAGCGATACCAGCGAGGGGGAGGTCCGAATGACGGCCCCCAGCCACGAGGGGAAGCTGGAGTGGCGACAGAAGAAGGAACAGGCGATTGTGCCCCCCCGCCAGGAAACGCCCCCACCAACATCAACACCAACACCATCACCGACACCCCTCAAGAGCATCCTCAAGAAAGAGGAGCCCGTCCCGGAGGAGCCGCCGCTGTACACCGACGAGTTTTTCGCGGATATCGCCGCGTCCATCGCGCGGTCTTTCCCCTTGGTCGAGTTCGCTGCTGCCCATAAATGCAGCATAAACCAGGTGGCTCAGGCCATCGGCGCCACCATCATCGCGCCCCTGACCGACACCAGCTTCTGCTGGCATGAAGACCCCGACATCACAATCGCGACCTTCGGTCAGCACATGATGGACACCTGGGCGGAACACTGCAAGCGCACCCTCGCGCTGCAGCGTGCCGCCGAGAAGGAGGAGTCCGGGGACACGCCTGCTGTTCCCCCTCCGGCCGATTCCGACTCGGACTCCAGCGCGAGTTCGTCCTCGGCTCCTCCTTCTCCCCCCGCCGCTCCTCTCCCGTCCTCAGGGCCCGGTAAGCCCAAGAAGCAGGTAAGATTCGACTTGCCCTGAGGCTCCGGGGGAGAGAGGGGTGGGGGTGGGGATGGGGGTGTCCATCGATTGTGGTGTTGGGGGTCTCTGTGTTTGTGTCGGTCCGGGGGCCGGTGGGATGAAGCTGATGGCTTGGGTTGCTTGGGTTTGTGTTGTATTTTGGAGCGGCGGCGGGCTCGATCGGGGGATGGCTCTTCCGGGGCGGGAGGGGCTTGGCGGGGGAGGCACAATCGCTTGTGTACAGGACAGGACAATGGGATTGACACATGGTTGTCGGACGGGGCAGCATTCCTATTGGATGTCGGGCGGAGACGGTCGAAATATATGCTTTGGGTTCATGTATTTGGCGGGTTACAAATGGCGTTCTGGTGTTGGTTGGGACTTGATGACAGTGGTGATGATGATGATGATACTCTGATAATTATCTGAATTATTTTATATATAACTTTATGTATATCTTATTTCTGCCTGATTCTATATCTAGTATATAGCCCAGCTGCTTGCGCAGCAGTATTATAGAATCAGATCTGCATTGCTTCATCATTCTAGAGTTGATAGGATTCTAGGGGTCCGCAGGTAACTGCGGGTAATATTAGTCTTTTGGCTCAGTGGCAACAACTCCCCTAGGTTGCTGTCTTACAAATACTGTAGTAATTAGTAAATCAGATTTATAATTATTAATTTTAATAATCTAGGTAATATTAATAGCTAGTAATATAAGATAATAAAAATCTAATTTCATAATACTACTATATAAGCAGATAGACTATGTGGATATAGAATTAAATAAAAATAAGATATGTATAATATAATACAGAAGTAGCCAAGAGATAGAATTAACAGGCCAAGATTGGGTCAACACTCAACAGAACATCTAAATCCTAGGTCACCACCGGGCCAAGGCCTTGTTCCAACCAATATGGTTGGAGCGGGTTGGTTTCGGGGATTTACCTACGTGGAACGCGTCTGGATTGGTCCACGCCGTGTCATGTATCTCGTTGGTCGCTGCAGGGGAAATCACCCATATTGCAGGATGCATACATGAGGAATGGATGACAGTCGGGGATTGATTGATTGACTGATTGTGATTGATCGTGTCGTGTCGTAGATCTGCAGTTTACACTGTAGGATGGGTCCATGCTTGACATGGCTTGTGGGTTGTACTTTGTAGTAGGAGAGGATGTAACAGTACGACTGTAATGCGAGGGCGGTTCTTTGGAGTTCTACAGTGTGGTCCACCGGAGAACTGGGCAGGGAAGAGAAGAACCACCGCGTGGAGTCGCGATGACGGGAGCGAGGCGGATCTGACCAGATACATGTTGGCAAGTGGAGCTGGGGCTCGAGGCACGGTCGGAGGGCTGACTAATGGGGATGGAGGTAACTAGTTAGTTAACTATATCATTCATGTCATGAAGTGTGATATTATGTATCTATACAGAAAGGACTACGGTGATCAGAGGTATAGAGTGACCATTAAAGCTAATTGAAGAGTGGGGATGGCATTGAGGGGGAGACCACCGGTGGGAACGGTAACTACTTGTGTCTTGTACTCAGTACTCCGTACTCTGAGGGGAAAGCTCAGTGAGTCAGGCCAACGCGAGCGGTGATGTCAGATCCCCTGCGACGGCTCCAGCAGCTCCATCGCGCCTAAACTGCAGCAGGGAAGGTGCCTGAAGACCGCCCAGACCGCCGGACGGAAAGTCCACGTCGCTGCTCCCCCAACCGGGCTTAGCCCCGTACCGGGAGTGTATTGCTGCCGTACGGCCCTGTATCTGGACGTATTTCCAGGCATCTCCAGGCACCAAGGCCGAGATCCAGGCATTTTCAGGCACCAGTCACCCCCCCCAGGCATCTTCAGGCGCGCACATGCCCCGTTCGGCTTAGGCGCGCCACCGCCCTCGCTGCCTGCCCTTTTTCTCTCACCTTCTCCTTTCCCCCCCATCGACCTCATCCTTCCTCCCAAGGCAAATCTTCATCGTCTCCAACCCAGATTTCCCCCGTCAACTCACGTATCTAGGGCACCAAGCTACCCTTTTCCTCCCCATCTCCCCCCCCTCTTCAAGCTCTCTTCCCAACCCACCCACGTTTCAAGGAAACTTCAATACTACAGGCAGCCTTAAGCTCCCCTGAGTCCTTGTCTCAACACACCGGTCAAGACCTCCGCGCGCAACCACCCCGTTCAATTCTCTTCAAGCTCGACCCGTTGTGTCCTCAGCCATCAAGATGTCTACTGCCGTCGAAAACACCGCCGACGCCGTCGCCGCCAACCCCGCCACCACCGCCCCCGAGGCTACCAACGGCACTGCTCCCGCCCCTGCGCAGTCCACCGATGCTGCCGCGGCCAGTGCTGATGAGGGACGTCGGTTGTACATTGGGAACCTCGCGTACGCGACCACTGAGGGGGAGCTCAAGGAGTTCTTCACGAACTACACCATGTAAGTGCTGGCTGGCTTGCTTCTTTCCCTGTCTTCCACCTGGCCTTTTCTCCAGATCCCCCCTCACCGGCGGGTCTAAGCTTGGTTGGGCGGGTGTTAGTGGCCCAGCGCCGCTCAGCGCCAAACTCCCAATTCCCGAGCTGCAATCCCAACCACAGCCGAACGGCGACAGTGAGATTGCGGCAGGGAACCTGAGCTTCCCACCACTTGAATTTTAGGCTGTTTATTTCGATTCTGTCTGGCAATGGAAGCCGTGCTGATGATTGTTCGAATCTAGCGAGAGCGTCTCCATCCCCGTGAACCCCCGCACCAACCGCCCCGTTGGCTACGCCTTCGTGGACCTCGCTACTGCCCAGGAGGCTACCGGTGCTATCGAGGAGCTGTCCGGAAAGGAAATCCTCCAGCGTAAGGTCTCCGTCCAGCTCGCTCGCAAGCCCGAGCCGGCCGAGGCTAAGGCCGAGGGAACTGCAAGTGGCGGTGAGGGTGCTAGCGGCAACGAGGGCCGCAAGAGAGCCGGTGGTCGTGGCCGTGGCCGCGGTCGCGCTCGTGGTCGTGGAGGCCGCCTTCCCCGCGGAGGTCGCTCTGTAAGTCCCTCGCTCTTTCCGCTTCTGACCCAGACTAACGTGACGCAGCAGGCCCCGGCTCAGAACGGCCAGGAGACCGCTGAGCCCACCGAGGTTTCCGGGGAGGCTGCTCCTCTGGCTGAGGTTACCGACCAGAACGAGACCGTTGCTACCAGCGAGTCCGGCAAGCAGGCCGGCAAGCCCCGTGCCCCCCGCCCCCAGAAGCAGCGCGGTCCCCCCGAGGACGGTATCCCCTCCAAGACCAAGGTCATGGTGGCCAACCTGCCCTACGATCTCAGCGAGGACAAGGTACGGCCCTGGAATTTCTCATTTGGCGATGTCAGTCGAATGCTAACCCCCTCCAGCTCAAGGAGATCTTCGTCGACTACGAGCCCATTTCCGCCAAGATTGCCCTGCGCCCCATCCCCCGCTTCATGATCAAGAAGCTCCAGGCCCGTAATGAGCGCCGCAAGGGCCGCGGTTTTGGATTCGTCACCCTCGGCTCCGAGGAGCTCCAGGAGAAGGCGGTCAACGAGATGAACGGCAAGGAGATCGAGGGCCGCGAGATCGCCGTTAAGGTGGCCATCGACAGCCCCGGCAAGGAGGACGACATCGTCGTGGCGGCCGAGAAGACCGAGGAGGAGGCGACCGAGGTGCCGGCGCAGGAGAACGCCGCCCCGGCCGCGGCCTAAACGACAAGCACGTTCCCCACTTGAACGCATGAATGCCCCGTGGAAACTCGGGGACTTACCGGAAGGAGGAGGCGAAGTCGGGACCCGTCACATGGATGGTTTTTTTCATAGTGGGCGTCGTCGGGAGGCCATTGTTTCCGTTTTGGGGGAGAACGGTGCAACAGCAGCAAGGAAAAGTTGCAGCGCGTCACAGCCTTTACTATTCTTCCTGTTTGATATGGTCCTAGGGCGGGGGGGGTTGCTTTTTTCCTATGTCTTGTCTGCGGATTCCCGACAGGGCTCCGTGCGGGGAGATGAAAATGCCGTAATGTGTTGTTTGACGGAACCTCACCTTTGCTCACGAATCTTGCCATTCTGCCACACTGTATCTTAGCCTCTATTTATTTAGCTTATGAGTAGCCGCAAGGCTGGCCTTGTAGTGACGGTGTTTTGTCTGTGTGTAGTTTTGTTTCTGGCTGATCATTTTGATTGATTATGTAGATGCTGTATACTACTGTGCAGTCAATCTGACAGCATGGACCGACCGGTTTCGGGTGCTGCAGGGAGCTAACTTGCTCCACTGAGCTGGACCATGGGACCATGTACTTACGTGGTGGACATGGCGTGTACACAGTAGACAGGAGGCGCCGTTGGGCACTGACGCTTTAGCCGCAGATCCCCGGTCTTTTGTTGTGCGTGGGCTATTTACAGAGTACAGTACTTCTAACTGTTACTATGTAGTCGCAGTTAGGCGCCAACTCAGCCGAGTGGATCGATTTGGCCGCGGGTTTCATCTGCGGGTGGAGGCCGACCCGTCGAGTCCAGCCCATCGCATCTGCCATCCATCCGCCATCCATCCGCCATCCTCTTCTTCTGCTCCCCTACCATCCCCTCACCCCAGGAGCCGGGAGCAATTGCACACCATCCTCATCGCGACCCCCCGTCCCGTGCTCCCAGCCCATCCCAACAACCCCTCACCCATCACCATGTCCCGCATGTGGGAAGTTGATCCGGAGACAAAGGCCAAGGTATGCTGCCGCGCCACCCCCTTCAACCCCTCCCTGCTCCTGCTCCTGCTCCTGCTCCTACTCCTGCTCTTGCTCTTCCTGCTCCCCGCACGGCTATCTGGCTGGTTGTTTAGGCGTGCGACTGATCGTCCCGGACTTCTGTCCATCTCTAGCTCCTCCTCTACTCCAAGACCAATGGAAACGACAAGTGTTGCGACTGCGGCGCGCCGTCGCCTCAATGGGTATGCCCCTCCCGATCCGCCTCGCACCCTCGCAATAACCCTCCTCGCAACGATCCCCTCCCAATAACACCACCTCCGCGATATCACCGCTAACACCATCTCCATGCCAGGCGTCCCCCAAATTCGGAACCTTCATCTGCCTCAACTGCGCCGGCACCCACCGCGGCCTAGGCGTGCACATCTCCTTCGTCCGCTCCATCACCATGGACGCCTTCAAGACCTCTGAAATCCTGCGCATGGAAAACGGCGGCAACGAGCCGTGGATCTCCTTCTTCGACGCCCACCCCATCACCCAGTCCGAGGGCCGCACCTTCGAGGACTCCACCATCAAGGAGCGCTACGAAGGCGAGGTCGGCGAGGAATGGAAAGAGAGACTCGCCGCCAAGGCCGAAGGCAGAGAGTACGTCCCCGGACAAAGCCCCCCACAACCCCAGCAGCCGAAGAAGAAGCCCGCCGTGGACCCGTCATCACGGTCAAGCACGCCCCTCGCCGCCGCCGGCGGACGGGGCTCGCCCGCGTCCCACGACGGCGTGTATTTGACCAAGAAGGAGCGCAACGAGGCGTACTTCGCTCGATTGGGCGGCGAGAACTCCTCGCGCTCGGAATCCCTGCCCCCGTCGCAGGGTGGGAAGTTCACCGGCTTCGGCGGCGGCATGCCTGCGGCCCCTGCGTCCAAGTCGTCTTCCTCCAGCGGCGGCGCGATCCCCGGCTTCGACGACTTCCAGAAAGACCCCATGGCTGCGCTGACCAAGGGCTTTGGATGGTTCACCAACACAGTTGGAAAGGGCGCCAAGACCGTTAACGATTCGTATATTCAGCCTACCGCGAAGACGGTATGTTCCCCTTCCCCTCCACAGATTCCAACAACCACCCAAGCTAACCAAATCACCACTTACAGATAGCGGAATCCGACTTCGCCGCCCAAGCCCGTCTCCAGGCCGCCCAACTCGGCCAGAACATGGGCCAGGGTGTCCGCGGCGCAGCGGACCATTTCACCCGGTTCGTAGAAGGACCCGACGAGGCGGCGGCTGCAGCCGCGGCGCGACGCGGACGGGCCGCCGAGCCCGCCCCCGAACGGAAAGATTTCTGGGACTCGTTTTCCTCCCTCGCGGGGGAGGATAGTCATCGGCGGAACGCCTCGCGGTCGAGCGCCATCGGCACAGCGGCAATGAAGCCCGGACCGGGCACTTCGGCAGCGTCTCCCGCTGCGGCGGCGGCGGGATCAGGGTCGGGGGCGTCTGCGAGGAGAACGTCAGCTGCGGCGGCGGCGGGGAGGAAGGATTTGGATGAGGGGGGGTGGGGGGAGGAGTGGTGATTCGAGTACTACTATTGGGTTATATCACCATCACCACTACGACCTGCTATGTAGTGTGTAGTGTGGTCCCCGCTAGGTGGGTAGGGGTATGGTATGGTTTGGCTTGGTTGGTTTATAGAACTTGTCATGGTTTCGCGGTTGGGGTAGATATACTGTACCTTGTCTGTCGGGTATATTTTCTGTGGTGCGGCGAGAAACAAGGTACTTTCTTGCTTGGTTGGAGCCAGCCCATTCGGTTGTTTGTGGATATTCGTGCATCGTGTGTGCCTGTTTCGGGCTGGAGTGTTGGTGTTGATGTTGTCGTTGTTGTTGTTGCATGGCCTGTGCGTATACAATTTTGGGATTTTCAATTTTTGGTACGCGGGTGTAGATTGTAGTCTGTATCATGTTTTTGGAGGCGTGGAATAGTATAGGAGACTGATGGATAGAGGCTACTAGGCTACTAGGCTACTATCTCCGTATTGCCTGCCGTCTCTGGGTAGGGTGTCTCCGTTTGAATTCTTTGTTCGGGGGATAAAGAAGACTAAATATCATCTACCATCTACCATCTATCTACCTACGCTGTACCGTACTAGGTATGAGTTACGAGATCGAACGGATGAATCGGTACAAATAAAGAGAAATTTAAAATCAAGTCTAGTAGTGAAATGTCCGAGATATATGTAGTATATATATATATATATATATATACTATATGAAAAGTCACCGAATCAGACGGGCACCAAACCCGACGGAATAGCACGGGACATCGAGTGAGTGACACAGAAAGGCCATCAAAGATCAACGCTTGCCATGACCAAGGCCAGAGCCTCAGCTTTGGAGGCACTCACGTCCCCGACGAGATTGCGATCCTGCAGGGTGAGGGTGAGCTGGTCATGAGTGAGGGTCCGATTGATGAAGGGACCAGGGGACGAGACGACAAGATCTGTCAAGCGGCGTTGCAGGTCCGCGACCTCGGGGTCAAGCGGGATGGTGGGAGGGGGGGGAAGCTGCCCGATGCCGTTGAGGATGACGTACAGGATGAGGAAGTAATGGTCGACGAGGTGCGGGAGGGAGCGAGCGACTCTCCAGAAGGCGACGAACTGACGGAAGGGGCCGTCGGAAATGCGGTCGAATTCCAGGTTCGGGTTGTTGGCGTCCTCCAGAACATCCATCCACTCTTGCAGGTGGCGCTTCCACCAGAGATCCGTGTGCTGGCCGACAATGTCGCGGGCGCGCATCAGGAGGAGGCCCTCGAGGTATCGGGCAGGATGGAGCATCTTCACCGGGTAGTCCTTCGGTGACTGGGGGCCTCGCGCGTAGGAGAGCCCCGGATTGCTGTCGGGGAGGGCTTCGGAGGTCAGCGTGTAGTATGTGTCTGTGGTTCGGGGGAGCCCCACGGGGGGCCGGGGAAACGTCCAGAATAGCCGCGACTTCCGGTACAGAAAGACCCCGTGCGTCATGTGTTTGCTCGGGTTCGTCGGGTATTCGCTGTCGGTGTGGAAGTGGTAGTCGGGATGGGGGTGGTGTCGCTCGGGCGAGAAAACCGTACACGCGCTCCGGTCCAGTGGGCAGGCCGCGAAGTCGGCTTGCGTTAGGGCTTCGGCGGCAATGGCGATGTCTTCATCGGGGATGACCCATCCAGAGAACTGGGAGTTGTTAGTTGGCTTTCTGTTCGGGGGGGGGAGGTCTTACTTCGACTATGCATGGGCTTCCAAGGGTGGATAGCGCTGACTGTCCCCAGATGAAGGCGGGGACTCCGGCCTCGGAGAAAAGACGAGACACGTAGGAGTCCAGCTTAGGGACGAGGTGGGTGGGGAAGGAAACAAGGGCCATGTTGGACTAGATGCTGCACCAGATGTTGGACTAGATGCTGAACCAGATGGCTAAATCAGCAAAGCTCCCGAATCCCGAATGCCGTTGCAGGTCCTGGTACTACATCCTCCTCCATCATCGGGGTCAAGATGGACTTATATATATACCCCAGTTGTCCATTAAGTTCCCATGGTCGGTCGACTGCCTCCGTTCGAGTTGACTGTGCGGAGAGCGCCTCTCCTCCTGCTGCACCACCGGTTGTAGACCAAGAAACTACCATCGGATGGCCTCGACAGGGACACAAACCAGGAGAGTTGCGACTGGGGGTGCCGAAAGTCGAGAGTTGGCTGGAGCTGGAGAACAGAGGAGGGAGTCGACTACGGTGAGGTCCGAGTGGGTGAATGAGTATACGGACATATCCTCCCGACAAAGGACAAAGGAAAGACAAGACAAAGCATATCATGTCCTGACAAGGCATTGTAATAGGAGGCTCTATCGGTCCTGACACATGGTGGATGAATAAAAAGGGAAGAAGAGGGAAGAAAAGGTAATCCGCTGACTGCTCTCATCAAGTTCCCTTCAGGGCAAATCTACCTCGCTATCCATCGCCAACCACACCCACACATGCACTAAAAAGAAATGTATATCATCTACAACCCCACCCAAAACCTCGTCTTCTCCACCGTGAAACCCTCTCTCAGCTCCCCCTCCCCCGTCCCCGTAACCAATACCTGATACTCGCCCTTCTCCGACGCCCACTTCCCGCGCCGCTCATCCCACCAACTGGTCGCGAGCTTCTTCTCCACCACCACCTGCACCCGTTTCGCCTCCCCGGGGTCAAGGAACACCTTCGTGAAGCCCTTCAGCTCGCGCACGGGCCGGTTGACCCCCGTCACGGGGGGCATGACCCACAGCTGCACGGTCTCCGCGCCGGGGAGAGAGCCCGTGTTGGTGACGGTGAGGGAAGCGGTGATGGGCTCGCCGTCCGCGAGGGTGGCGAGTTCCGGGACGGTGGAGAGGGAGAGATCGGACCGGGAGAACGAGGTGTAGGAGAGACCGTGGCCAAAGGGGAAGAGAGGCGGGCGGGCCAGCTTCTCGTAGTACCGGTATCCGACGTAGACGTCTTCGCCGTACAGCACGCGGCCGCGCTCGGACCGGAAGTTCAGATAGCTGGGGTTGTCCTGCAGACGGACGGGGAAGGAGAGCGGGAGCTTGGCGGAGGGATTGACGTCGCCGTAGAGGATGTCGGCGAGGCCGTTGCCGCATTCATTGCCGCCGAACCAGGCGTGCAGCAGGGCTTTGGCCTTGCCGATCCACGGCATGGAGACGGGGGTGCCGCTTTGGATGACGACGACGGAGTTGGGGTTGGCGTCGAGGACGCGCGAGATCATCTCGTCGCTGCCCGGGGGCAGGTCCATGTGCTCGCGGTCGCAGCCTTCTGTTTCCCATTCGCTGGTGAGGCCGGCGACGATGACGACCTGGGAGGCGGCCGAGGCCTGGGAGACGGCGTGCGCGATGAGATCCTCCTGGCTGAGTTGGCGGGTCGCGCCGAAGCGGAATCCCCCAGGCCCGAAGATCACGATGCCCCGTGTGTCCAGGTCGGAGGTCGGCGCGCTGCCGAATTCCAGCACCACCTTGTACGTCTGGCCGGCGTTGAGGTGCCTGGAGCCGCGCTCTTCGATGGTCGCGCTGCCAAAGAACGCGCTGCCTTGCCGCTGGTTCTTGGTGTTGTCGACCACCACTTCGTCGTCGATGAGGAGCTTGCCCGTGCCGACCACCGTCACCCCGAAGTCGTAGATGCCGGATTCTTCGGGCGTGAAGTAGCCTTCCATGTCGACGTAGAAGGTCAGGGACTTGATCTTCGGGTTGACGTAGTCCATGAGGAAGCCGCTGGAGCGGACCAGGTGGAGTTCGTCGACCAGGGTGCGCTTGGCTTCGGACGGGGCCTCGTTGTAGACCCGGAATCGGAAGCCCGTCTGGCCGTCTTCGGTCTTGAGCAGGGGCCCCAGCAGGGGGAGCTCCTTGTGCGAGTAGACGCCCTGGGCGAAGTGCACGTCGCTGTGGCTCTTGGCCGCGACGCCCTCGAACGGGGAGACGGTGTAGTAGGGGTCCAGGGAGGCGGAGCCGCCGCCGCAGTAGGCGGCGATTTTGGCATTGGGCCCGATGACGAGCGTGGGCCTGTCCTTGCTCAGGGGGAGCAGCTTGTCCTCGTTCTTCATCAGCACCACCGACTCGGCCGCGGCCCGGCGCAGGAGGGCCTGGTCCTGCGGACGGTTGAGCGCCTTCTCCGGCGCATGGGGCGGGATGCCCAGCGGCTCGACCCAGTTGACCAGGTTGAGGATATTGCGGACCCGGTCGTCGAGGACGAACTCGGGGATCTTGTTCGAAGACACGGCATGCGCCAGGGCTGATCCCCGCCAGCGTGTCTTGCCCGGCATCTCCAGATCCAAGCCGGCCGCGATGGCGTCGGAGGTGCTGTAGGTTCCGAACCTGCGCGGGACGTCGGCATGTTTCGTTACTCGACAGGGGGCATCGGATCAACTCACCAGTCGCTCATGATCAGGCCGTCCCACTTCCACTCCCTGCGGAGGATGTCCGTGAGGATCTCCTTGTTCTCACTGACGTGGGTGTCGTTGACCTTGTTGTATGCGGTCATGACACAGGCGGGGGGGCAGATGCGCATGGCCAGCTGGAACGGCAGCAGGTAGATCTCGCGCAGGGCGCGCATGGTGACGATGCTGTTGACGGCCATACGTTCATGCTCCTGGTCATTGCAGACGAAGTGCTTGAGGGTGGCCGCGACGCCCTTCTCCTGGACGCCCCGGCAGAAGTGGCCGGCCAGGGTGCCGGACAGCAGGCCATCCTCGGCGAACGACTCGAAGCCGCGGCCGCCGAGGGGCGAGCGCTGGATGTTGATGGTCGGGCCCAGGATGATGTGGGAGCCCTTGGCGATGGCCTCCTCGCCCATCAGCTGGCCGACCTCGTGCAGCAAGTCGGTGTTCCACGTGGCGCCGAGGGCAGTGGCACAGGGGAAACACGCCGCGGGGATGCCGTTGAAGAAGCGCGTCCCACGCACGCCATTCGGCCCATCTGACATGCGCAGCGCCGGGATGTTCAGGCGCTCCACGCTGGCCGTGTGCCAGAAGTCGACGCCTGGGGGAGGGGGTCAGTGCATGGTGATACCATAACAGATTGGGATGGTACGTACCCGCCGTGAGAGCCACCTTCTCGCCCAGCGTGAGCTCCTCGATGGTTTTGTCCACATCCAGTCGAGTCATGGTGGAAAGATTGGGGGAGGGGAGGGGGAGATGGATTTATAGGGCTGTCGACCGACTGTGACAAGCGAACACAGACTGAAGTGACTCAAGTATAGGGAAACACAGACACAGCGCGGGGGAAGGAGAGAACCATCAGCGCACAGAGCAGATCAACAGTGGTGGGGGGAGGGAGGTGTAGATATATATATATATATATCGAGCAATCTAGGACGCATTCATCCAGGAGGGAGGATGAACAGATGGCAGCTGCGGATTCGGGAATCTCATGGCGAGGCGGGCAGCCAAGCGAGTGGAAGGAAGATGACGAAACAGACTCCACCGAAGATTAGCCGGAGTGGGGGTTTATTTGCTGCGGTGGTGCCGGAGTGTCGGTCCGTACGCCCTAAACAGCCAGAATACAGAATGCATTTCATATTTTAGTTCATGATTGCCATTCGACAGCCATCCAGACAACCTTCATATCAACCACAAATAACACACCAGGAACGGAGGTATAATACAGGCAAATGTCGTGCCCTTGCATATGATGGTCAAAGAAGCTAAATCAGAAGGAGACCACAACACCGGCCAGCAATGCACGAAGATTCCAGTACGTCAAAAAAAAAAAAAAAAAAAAAGAAAAGAAAATAGATTCAATGAGAGACAAGCCAAGCCAAGCCACAATGCAACACCACCCTTTCATTTAGCCATCCAACCATCGGTCCGTCCGTCCATCCGCCAACCTCCCACCTCACGCTCCTCGCCGAGGGCGCTTATTCTCGCTGCCCATGCGCATCCCCCCACGTCCGCTGCCATCAGGCCCCGACTCATCCCCAGGCCGATTGCGCTTGCGATGGTAGTCTCGCTCGCGGGGACGATCGCGCGTGCGGTCTCGATCTCCGCGCGGGTCGCGGCCGCCGCCCCAGCGTCGCTCCTCCTCGGGGCCAGGCACCACGAGCGGTGGCAGGCCCTGGGATGGCGGTCCGCCGAGAGAGGAGGGGGGGCGCAGGCGGCCCTCGTTCTCCTGGCTGGTGGGAGCGAGGTCCGATCCCTCCTCGCGGTCGCGTCGTCGTCGGTTGTCTTCGCGCGCGCCGGGTCCACGGCGGGACGCCTCGCGCGATTCATACCGTTCTTCGCGAGAGGCGCTGGCGCCCGCATCGCTGCGACGGCTCCGTTCGCGTTCGTAGTCTCGCGTCCGGTCTCGAAGGTCCTCGCGTCGTCCGCTACTGCGCGATCCGTCGTCGTCGCCGCCCCGTCGCTCGCGCTCGCGGTCTCGTCCCTGGTCGCGCTCCCGATCAGGGGGGAAGGTGGCCCCCGATGAGAATCGCTGGGTACGCCGGTTCTCGGCACCTGTATCCTCGAGAAGCTCGCGTCCCCCGCCGAGCCGGTTCCGCGGAGGGCCGTCCTCGTCGCCGAAGGATGATCCAGAGGGCCGGCCCTGGGACAAGGGCCCACTTCGAGTCCCATCATCCGATGCGACGGGAGTCTGGGGTCGTGTCGATTGCGGGGAGGGGGCGTTCATGCCGCTCGATTGTCGGTTGGCGCCACGTCCACGGATGCTTGGGCCAGGCCCCCGATCTAGAGCCCCCCCGGATTGCTGCAGCATGTTGTTGATCCCGGCAAATCGCTTGTCTCCGCGGCCGCGTTCCCCGCCAAAGCCACCGGGGCCTGATGGCGGTCCGCGAGGTAGAGAGGAGGGTCCGGCCGGTGGGCCAACGCCACTACGTGGTCCGGTGGGTGGAACAATAGCCGCGGGAGAGGTGGGATGATGTGGGCGTGGTGGACCTGCGTTGTATGGAGTGTCCGGGGTTGGCTGCTGGAAGCCCTTGAGCCGGTCCGGATGGATTCCACTGTTGTCCAGCTTTTCCCCACCCGGCGACGGAGGCCCGGAAGCGGGCGAATCCGGTCCGTTTCGCAGTCCCTGTCGACCTGGGCCAGTGGGTGGCTGACGTTCCGTGGAGGACGGGGGACCCGTGGCAGGCGAGGCCGGCCCAGAAGGGGGTAGCCCGGGCACCATGCGCCCACCGCGTCCAGGGACACCCCTTCCCCGCGGGCCTAGTGGCACATCGGAGGACGGTTCGGGTTGGCGGAGTCGTCCATGGTTCATGTCAATACCAGGCGCGGGATCTCTTGAGTCGGGTCCATCCAGAGAAGGGCGGGCAAACCGCTCGCGCGGCCCGGTCGGCATGTCTTCGGTCCGGGAATGAGGCTGCGAATAGTTCGCAGTGCGGCGATCATCAGGGAATCGTTCAGGTCGTTCCGGTCGCCCCAATGGCTCGACCCGGAGAGGGGACAATGCCTTGGGCGGCAAAGGCCTCCGGTCGTCTCTGTCTGGTCGACCCGGATCACCGCGTCGGAAGGGCTCTGCGGGCCTCTCAGGCTCGTCGATCATACTGGCGCGATCAGGGTGTGTGGGAGGGCCCGAACGTGCACCGGGCGGACCCTCGCGTGCATCCAGACGCATACGACCTGGTCGCTCAGGCCAGTCCACGTCGCGTGGAGGCCGTCCCTCCCGGTGGGGAGGTCCACGGAACGGCTCGTCCATTGGGGGTCGGGGCAGATATTCCCTGTCAAGGCGGCCGTAGTTTCTTCCGTCACCCATGGGCTGATCAAATGGTCGATTGTAGTCATGGTCTCCTCCAAACCGGCCACCGCGAGGATAGTCAGGCAGTCGATCCCGTCGGTCTTCCAGCAGGTCGGGCCGTGGGGGCAACCGCTCCTCTCGATGATGCCGCGGTGGGACTGGAGGTTGGGAACGGGGGTTCGGGATGCCGGACGGGCCTCGTTCAATCTCAGGGCGCTTCGGTATACTGGCTGGTCGGCTAGTGTCGGAGATTTTCGACGGGGTGTGTGAGCCGGCAGGCGACGCTGGGGGCTGGGGCCGAGAAGGAAGGTCTGCTTCGATCTGCGTCGTATGAACGGAGGTGTTATCCTTCTCACTCGACGCTTGTCCGCGAGTAACAGACGACTGAGCTTCGGTGGCCTGGGGTTCAGTAGCGGTGGAATCGCGTCCAGGCGCCGCAGAATCCGCGGTCTCGACCTGCTTCTGAGTCGCCATCGCAGCATCAGCCATCTTGGCGTCCTCGATTTCTCCATCTTCGACCTCGGCCCTCGTAAGGCCCACTCCCTGGGATCTGGAAAGGGAATCAGAATTGGATGCTATCGACCCTGGGATCCGTGACGGTTGCTGTGGACTTACTCATTGGTAGCTGCGGGCGTGAAGTCGACTGCAGCAGCATTCAAGGGAGTCGGGGTACCAGAGGCAGGTCGAGGGGTGCCGGGTTTTCCTGTCGCCGATGCGCCTCGTCCAGTCGCGGGTTGACTCGCAATCATGAAGGCTTGGGGAAGCAACCATTTCTTCTCCCGGCGATTCAAGTCACCGATGAGGGAAGCAGCCGGGATCTTCACATCGTCTCGTTCGTCGTTCTGACTCAGGCTGTTCATGCTTGCCAGCATGTCACGGCCAATCCAGTTCACTGCCGGGAATTGCTGGACAACGGCCTTGAGCACACTGATCGCATTGCGGATGTGCATGTATTCGCCTCCGTTCAAGCACACCTTCAGCGCCGATGCGAGAAGGCGGTGCCATTTGTACAACAGCCGACGGAAGTCTTCGTACTCCAGGAACGTCGTGGGTTTACCCTCGGGATCAACGGTCATGGCGAATCCGGGAAGGTCCTTCCTATTGCCAAAGGCCTCCTTTTCGTAGACTGCCTTGTCAGCGTGCCAACGGCCAAGGTCGCGGATAACCTCATTCAGGAAGCGGCCAAGGTTGTCAGCCTCCCTTGAAGTGCATTGGAAAATCAAGGCCGTCAGTCTTTGCTCCTTGAACAGCTGGTCCAAAAGGCCAACGGTCCGGAAGTTGGGTGCGCCAGTCGTGTGGAGAAACTTGAGCATCTTAAAGCAGTAGAACGCATCAATGGAAGATAGTAACAGGCGGGGAAGAAAGCACTGCTCGAGGAGGGCCACGTTTAAAGAATCGTGCTTGCCGCGCATCCCTACAAACCATCGGTCCTTTTCCTTCTGCAACTTCGCCCTGGTCTGTCCATAAGCTTTCAGGTGTGCCTTGTTTTCCTCCAAGATTCGGTCTTGCAGTTGCGTGATCTGCTTCTTCTCGCGCTCCTTTCTTTGCGTTCCCATCATGCTGATGTCAGATCGATCATTGCTGATGGTAACTACCTTCCTCTTCTGCCGATCGATCTCGTCTTCGTAGGCTTTCTGGGGTATATGCACATCGTAAAGAGAGAGTTGCCAGAAGGTCACGTAGAAGTGTAAGCCCACGACTCCCCAGGTCTCGGCGGTCAGTGCAGTCCGAACTTGGTCGTGAAGATCCTGGATGACCGGATTCAAAAGAGGCGTCTCGGGCGCAGGGGTTCCCGTGGTGGCTTGCTCCGGGGTCGTAGTGTCGGGCTTGCCCTTGTCGACATCCATGGCCGCGTCTGTGGACTGTCCACCTTCGCCAGCGGTCGTCTCGCCGTCCTCCCCTGTCTCCATCTTGTCCGTCTCGGGCTTAGAAGGCGGCGCCTCTGTGCTTTCCCGGGTTTGAGGTGCTGCCACGGCAATCGCGGCGGAATCCTGCGCCTTTTCGGCATCGGCAGCCCTGCGAGCGATACTGGGTCGCCGAATCCAGAAAGCCACTTCGGGTTGAATACCATATTGGCCGACCAGAGCGGCTAGATCGGGGACATAGGAATCGAACTCTTCGACGGACAGGTTACTGCGAAGGAGGTCAAGATATTGGCTAAGAACACGATGGATTTCGTCGAAAATGTTGCCGAGAAGTTTGAGTTCAGCCGCGCCCTCGGTTTCATTGAAGATACAGGTAAAGCGCTCCTGAGCAATGGCGATCAGCAACTGCCCAGCGAGTTTCGAACTGGTCAGTGACTTGAGCAGTCGTCTCGAGGTAGTCTTCGACTCATGTCGCTTGTCCAATAGTTGCAGGATGGTCTGCGCCTGGAGGATTTGGCCACCCGCCATAGCCTGGATCTGAGACTCGTTGAAGTTGTTATCGGTGATGATTCCTGCCATGGAGCTGATCATCTGTTCGAGGATAATGAGATCCGTCGAGTTGTTGTGTCGGAGCTGCTCAACAACGTACTGCAGCACGGGGGTCGGGTCCATTACCGAGTATCTCTTGAAGGTACGTCCAGCAAACGTGGCCAAGGCGTTCAGCCAGCGACTTGTTAGAAGTCCGCCTTCTTGAACGCGGCTTCTTCCCTTCTGACCAAGGGAACTGATCATGACCCACGTCAGGATGTCGTATCCGAGATAGGTGAAATAACGCGCGCACTCGACGACCACTTCAATCAGGTTCTCGTAGGACTCGATTTGGTTGAGAGCAACGGAGATAACGATTCCGGGGTTGGCGTATGCGATCTTGGCCAGCGCACGAGCCATCGGTCGGATGTTGGTTTTGCTGAGTCTCTTGAGTACGTCCTTAGTCTCCGCTCTCGCCTGGTCGAATGCAGCTTTGATGTCGGGTAGTCGAGACGTTTGTCCGGTGTTCCACTCGGCGTACATGTTGTACCGCGTCTCCCTGGGGAAAAGGCTGACGAGCTCGAAAATCTCATTCACGACACCCGGGTTCGCCTTCGTCAGACTGATCGATGGAACCAACAGCCGCTTGCAATGGTCCTGCCAACGCGCCTTGTTTTGGGGCGAGTCGTCCTTGCTCATACTGTCCTTTCCGATTCTCGCAAGCTTGGTCAATAAGCTAGGGTCCTGACCAATCTTGAAGCCGGAGATGTTGAGGAATGACGAGCACAATGCAAAGACGTCGTCGACGCTCTGGCATATCGGAACATTATCGGTCCAATCATCCCAGTAAAACCTGTAGTCGGTGCCATCATTCGTATCTTCCTTGTCGAGCTGAGCCCAGCGTAGGACCCGGCGCGACGGTGCGTTCGCTATCCGGATATGACCCTTGGGTGCGCCGGATTGATCGGGGCTCAAAATATGCTTCTGTTCTCTCAGCTCCTCGACGAAAGAAAGGGGCCGCAATGAAGCATAAACTTTGCTAAGACAGTGGTGAAGAATGCGGTGGATGAATTCGGGGAGCTCGGGATAGACGTCCATGAGCCAAGGAAATTTGCTCAGAATGAAGAGAGACTCCGGAAGCGCTCCGATAGCAAGTAAGCTCTTCAGAAGCATTACTTTCTGGTCCGACGGCTCCGGCAGTTCATCCTCCTCCGTCTTGGGCCCCGTCGATTTGTCCGCATCTTGATCCTTCCCGGGAGTTGCCGAGCGCGTCTCGGATTCTCGCATGCGCGGGATGGGTAGAGTGTCATCCGACAGAGCACCGGCCATCATCAGAGCGTTGATACCACCTCCGGGGCGGGCTGCCCGTTCTCGTTCAGCCTTCTCCTTGTTCTTTTCGTCTTTCAGTGCGTCCATGGAATCGTCGGGTCTCCAGAGGTGAGGATACAGATCACGGAGGGAGATGAACCCGACCTTGATCAGCAACGCCGCCAGGTAAATAAGGTTGTCTGGAAGGACGTCTGACTTGGCACGAGCGCGAGAGGAGTAAAACCGTAGCTTGAATCCGAGTAGCTGGGCCGCTACCCGGCTTCCCTTGGGAGGCAAAGTCCCTGTCTCTTCGATCCATCTCCGCACATCCTTCTCCTCTTCAGAGAGGTTGTTGCTTTCCGGGAGAATTTGTTGTAGCTCCTCCTTGGACACGGGCCGCCGACCAATCTCAAAGAAGGCCCTGGTTCCAATCTCACGGACCCGGTTCCAGAACTCATGATCGCGAGGCTCATTTTGTCGCATCGCCTCGGCCCGGCCCTCGTCGCTTGTCTGCATCACAGTTGAATCAGGCAATGCCCAGATTGGAAGCCCAGAGTCACGGCTGCTACCGTCATTATTGCGGAAGGCATCCCCTTTGGGCCACCAAGAACTTGCGCGAAGGAGCTTCACGAAGAAGCGATACTGCTTCACAAGCACAGCGGCGAAGACGTCGAGGGTAACATCAAGCACACGGCCGACATCCATATCAAAGGCACCGACCATTGCTTTCACCTTCTCGAAAGTATCCTCGACCACTTCGTTGTACGGAGCACCCTTGTTACTCGTGGTGAAAAGCTCCGTAAGCAGCTTCGAGTACCCTTCCGACTCTTCACGCAGCAAGTTGTAGTTAGATTGTCGATACAGAAGGTTAGTCTGTTTGCGGATTCCCATGCGGGTGAATGTCTCGCGAACCAAGCCTAAAGACTGGAGGAGTTGAGTGTCGAGCTGCATGCGCATGAGAGCAGAATTGATCCCGGTAGAGAAAACAAGCGGCCTCAAGGCGGGGTTCGAGGTATCGGAATCGGTTAGGATGGACAGAGTGTCCAAGAAAAGGGACCGGGTATCAAGCAGGGTGGTGGATGGTCCTTCAGTATCCATATCAGCATCTTCCGCAGCAACATCCTCGCCAATAATATCCTTGACTGCCGCGCCCGCATCCCCGGGTGGGAGCCGTCCGTATAGGGCAGATCGAATAAGTTCCTGGAATATCGAGGCTAGCGCGGAGGCGTCCTGGGCGTCTCTGACTTGGACTCCGCTGTCAATCAGGCCCTTTCTCCCTGTTGTGGCCCATTCATCAATGGCATTCTGTGTAACGTATTCATATTCGTACGGCGGTGGAGGCCCAGCGGGCGGCCGAATCGGAGCCGACATCTGGGCCGGTGGAGGAGGGGCAGGAGTGGGTGTCGGCGCAGGCGAAGGTTGATGAGATTGGGATTGAGAGAAAGCTGGAGAAGGGGAAGGAGAGGAGGGGGGTTTTGTTTGGTTTGTCGTGGATTGGAGGCCGTTTGTCTGACTGGAATCGGGAGCGTCTTTGGCCGGAGTCATGCTGGGTGGAGACATGGCGTTATCCCTCCGACCGCCAGGAGCGTTCTGACCATCGCTACTCGGCCTTCGCCCCATGCCTCCCATGCTGTTTCGCCCTCCTCGATTGGGTTGCCTCCGTCCGCGACCGCGCGCGTCGGAGAAATCGCGGGATTGCGGACCGTAGTTGTGTTGCGCCATGTTGAGATTGGTGGGCCGATGGGGGGAGGGTCGTTGCGTGTCGTTGGTGGAATCGCCAGACCACGATCTATCGCCTCTCTTTCTCTTGCCTCCGGCACCTGGAGCCATGACAGCCCGATTGGAGCAAGAGGGCGCGGATGGAGAACCGATGTGTTCCCGACAGGTCGCAATTCATGCGGCGAACCTGGATTGCAGATGGTCAGCTTGCATAGGGGGGTTGGGAAGAGGGGGGAAGAGATCAGAATCGAGGCGAGTAACAGATGGAAGGAGGAGAGGGAAGTGGAGGCAACAACCTGCAGTGGAAAACTCATGCGGCGATAGAGAACAAAGGGCGATGCCTGGGGGGGGGGGGGGGGAGACAGCAGCTGGGGGTGCATTGAGCGGATCAGAGACCTCACGTAATAACGGGCGTGGATTGAAGGCACCGCCGACAATAGAGCCCGCGGCTGTCCGCGGCTGTGGCGCCTCCCTCGCTTACCGCCCTGCGCTCCACTCGAAGTCTTCGGCCTCGGCTGTTTGTTGCAAACTACGGAGTACTATGTACATTTCTACGCATTTCTTACGTCAAATCATTTCATGCATCTGGAGGGTTCGTCATTATTAACTACACAATTTCCTCACGTCAGTCAGTCAGTCAGTCAGTCAGTCTCTCAGTCTCAACATTACGCCAAGCCCAGCTCCTTTGCCTCAATGTCGACGATCTCGGGAATCAGCTCCTTCAGGCTCGGACGGTGAGGCGCCCATCCCAACAGCTTCTTGCCACGGTAAGAAAAGCCGCGAGAGCTACTTCCCCACGCATACAGGCCGAACTGGTTGACTTCCGTGACCTGCGCGTCCGTCAGGGGCTCAACCTCGGGGGACGGGATCAGCTTCTTCTCGTAGGCCGTCTGAGCCACAGCCCGCTGGATGTCTCCCCAGCAGAAGGGACCGTTCTCGGCCAAGTAGTAGCCCTTGTCGTTCCAGGTGGCCTTGCCGCCGCCCGCAGCAGCGGCATCCCCCAGGAGAAGGTAGAGATCGCTCAGATCCTGAACGTGGATCTGGTGCCAGATGTTCTTGCCCTCGCCAACCTGGAGACCCTTCTTATGCTTCAGTACGGCCGCGGCCAGCCAGTAGGCCTGCAAACTCTTCTGGTTTCCGGGGCCACGGCCGAGACCGTAGATGGTGGGGGGGCAGACGATGGCGATCTTGACAGCGTCGGGGGCACGCTTGCCGGCATTGATGACGATCTCGTCGACGTTGCGGTGGAAGGAGTCGGCGGGGAGGTTGAGGAGCTCGTCGACTCCGTCCCAGTCGTCGTGCTGCTTGGCGCGCTCCAGGCCCCAGGTGTTGCTGCGGAAGTCCTCCACGGTCAGGATGCCAGTGCCGGACGTGTGAATCCACCACACTGGTCTCTCGGGGGTGTGGTGCGCGGCCCCCTTGGCGATGGCTTCAGCACCGGCGACGGAATCGCAGTCGGCGCAGTCTGAGGATGTGAGTAAATGATGTCGCACGGACGGTAGAAAGGTTCAACGTACGGAATACAATATCGGCCTTCCTGACTTCCTCCTCGAGGATATCGGCTGAGTCCAGGTCTCCAACAACCACGCGTACGTCGGGGTACTTGCTGGACAGCTGGGCGGCCTTGTCCTTGTTACGAACCAGGACCGAGTAGTGCCAATCGGGGTGCGCCTGGTGTACGTTGTAGAAGGTGTCTCCACCAATGTAGCCAGTTGCGCCAGTGCTAGAGGGGGGAGGGGGGATTATCAATACGTGTACGATTACGCTGGAGGAGGGAGGAGGGGGGGAGGGAAACCTACATAAAGACCTTAGGGGGAGCCATGTTTATTGCACCGAAGGTAAGTAGTGTTCGGATGGCAGGTGATAAGAGGTAAAGTTGGGACGGGATGGGGAGGGAGAGAGAATGCGTGGCCGTCGAAGTGGGGGAGGACAGCTCGGCTTTTATAGCTTGAGCGCCCGCCGCAGAGCTCCAATACCAGGTCGAGCTTAACCTCCGCCGTGCTTTGAAATCAGGAGGGGAAAGGATGGATCCATCGCCAAACAGGGCTCAATCACAATGGAGCAAGAGTGGGGGTGGGGGATTACACCATGGAGCCATGCTCCCATCGAACCAGCAGGCGCAATGATGAATTACGCCGTAAACACAGTTCCACAGGCATCCGGCATGCTGGGGGCGGGGTTGATACTGGCTTCGATGCGTTGTCTTGGTGGTGGTTGTTGTTGCTGCATTTATTACCCCTCATGACGTACAGCCACAAGCGGGGCGGCCGCGCCTGGCTGGGAGGACCCAACAACTGGCCGGTTCTACACGACATCCAAAGGACCAACGATGCAAGGTGGTGTGTTAGAGCACATCTAGCTGGAGTTATATGAAACTGCCTGGCTGCAGGGGAAACATCGATCGACCGTGGCAGAATACAATCTCGGGACACATAAAGGTTGCAATTAAGAACTCAACTGGGTGCTTATAGAACAGAAGGCCGGGGTCAAAGAAGGGGGAATCTCGCAGAATCAGGCCCATAATGTACAGATACTTAGAAGGTGCTCGTAGCCAGGCGACTCGCGGCATTCCGGGCATCTAGCCGGTCATCGTCATCCTCCTCCACAATGGAGCTGACGCCACTGGCGGAGCGCCCTCTGCCCTTACTGCCATTCACCTCTTCGTCGTCTTCGGTCGATGCTGGCGCAGCAAAGCTGCCACTCAGGCTCCGGCCAAGACTGTCGCTGCGACGGGGAATGCCGCTCCATGCATCTCCCTTGGGGCCCTGGCTGGACCCGAGGTTGGGTCGCCGGGCAGTCGGGTGGGACTCACGTCCCAGGCGACTCAGACCCCCAGATGCGTCGATGGCCCGGATATCGGGACGGACACTTTCCAGGGTCGCCAGGGTTCTGCGCTCCGCCTCAATCTGGCGCAGGGTGTATTCGCGCAAGCTCGCCAACATGTCTGTGGATGTGCGCTCGAACCAGCGTTGCTTCTCCTGGAGCAGATTCGACGTCACCCTTTGTGTGCGCTTCGTCAGATAGTCCTCGTGCCCCTGGGCCTCGTCCAACGCATTGATGGCCTCGTCGACTTTGTCGGACCGGACAGAGGAGCTTGTTTTTAGTCGGTCGGCTGCGGCACGCTTGCTGCGGGTGGCCTGCTGGGCCTGGATCAGCTCACGCAGCAGGATATGGCGGTTGGTGAGGGTTTCCTTGACGATGAAGGCATCGGATGAATGGTAGCTCAGCGGATCTCCCAGAGTCGTGGCCTCAGCGGTAGCCTGGACAGCATGAAAGTCTCCGACCGATTGGATGATCTTCCCCAACTTCCGGTATGCGTTTGCCAGTCCAGGGTGTGTCTCCTGCACGTGCATCTGGCCCAGCTTGACGCCAAAGTCCGATTCCGCGAGGCCCAGTCCTGCGTACCCCGGGGTTAGCACGATCGCCATGCAGTATGGAGCCAATTGCAAACGTACCTCGGCGGGCCTTGACCACACGATCCACCTTGTGGCTCGCATCCATGGCTCCAAGATAAAACATCTTCACAGCCGGCCGTGCGTTCTGCAGTTCGGGCGTGTCGTCAGGAGGCGGCGCAAACTGCTTCAAGACCTTCCTCCGAACCCCTGTGGCGGGCTGCTTCATCCGGACCACGGGGCTATAGCCAAAATCACTCTCCACGAACAAGACAACCTCATCATCATGAGTCAGGACCTCGTTGCCCAGCACAACATTCAGCCATCGTTGCATGGAAGACTTGATTCTGATCTCATCTTCCTCGGTGCCTGCGCCGGCCGGGGTGAGCGGTGAAGGGACCGCAGGGACGAATGTTTCCGGGTTAGCCGAAATCAGGTGCTCTGCGAGCTTGACGAACTCGGCATGGGTGCGCCGGACATCGCGATACTGCGTCGTGCGGAACTTGGGGATATTGGTCTAGGCATCTCTCATCAGTAGCCGTGGGGCGAGTTTCAGCAGGAGGCTCGCTCACATGAACATCGAATCGGAGAATGGGGTCCTTCTTGCCCGTTCTTTCCAAGCCTGTGACCTTCGCCTGTATTCTGTATGCCGGCGCCGGCTGCCTCGCGTTCTGCCTGGGGCCGGTTTGGTAGCGGGCGGGGAGCTGGGAGCGAGACTGGGACTGTTGGGCATGCTGTTGCTGCTGTTGGATATATTGGTGCTGTTCGCCAACATAGCTGGTGTCGCTCAGGTGCGCACTCTGCAACCGGGTCGACAGGTCGGGCGAGCCAGGCTCACTCCCCTGGGGCCCATACCCTTCGGTGGACTGCGGGTTCCCGGCGGCGTCATACGGGGAGGGATCTTGAGGGGGCAACGGAGACGGGGGGATGTCGCTGGTGACCGAGGCGGGAAAGGTGGTCTGGTTCGGACGAGGGGACGCCCAGGGGGAACTCCCTGCGGGATGTTCGGGATCGTGCGATATGTCGGAGTAGTCCATGGTGGGTGGCTGTCTTGGTCAAATGGAACCACGTCTACACGGGCGCGCGATCATCAGCCTGGTCTCGTCCAGTGCAGGGGGGCAGGCATTGCGGATCAATGGTTCTCACCTGGTGACAGACCCGGGGGGGGGGGGGGGGGGGGATGGACTCGAAAGCTCGGGGATTCCGGTTGGGGCAGGGGATGTCGGGGGATTCTTGGGGGGTTGAGGGGGGGAAATCGCCAGGCGGAACGGGAGGTTGGCGGCCTTCGGACGTTACGTCGTTGGTGCCTGGCCGGCCTGATTGGCCAGGCATCCATCGGCCGGTCACTGGACCGCCCGCAAGCTTCATCTCCATCTCCCATTGACACCGTTTCCCTCCCTCTAGCATCCCCTTCGTCATTGTACAGTCTTCCTCTCTCTGCCGCATGCATCATGCATCGATAGATTGTAGAGCATAGACCATCCCCCCATCTGTCGACCATTGCATGAACAATCGCCGTGCCGATGGTCGCAGCTCTTTTCTTACGTGCCTCTCACCCGGCGGTGCGGCCAATTGGCCTGCAACAGGGCCAGGGCCAGGGCCAGGCTGCAGTCAGTCGCTTGAGCGGCGCTAGTCGGTCTGCAATTCCGGGGCCGAAAAGATGGTCGTTTTCCAAGATTCGGATGCTCTCGACATCCGCACCGAAATGGCAGGTGGACACGCTTGCCCGAACTAGGAACATCGGTATCATTGCACACATCGACGCGGGCAAAACGACGACCACAGAGCGCATGCTCTATTACAGTGGATTTACCCGAAGGATCGGCGATGTCGATGAAGGCTCCACGGTCACTGACTTTCTTCCCGCTGAGCGCGCTCGAGGGATTACCATCCAATCTGCTGCCATCACCTTCCACTGGCCGCCTCGGGAGGAGGGTGCGCCGGCTCAGAAAGATACGTCTACTCCCAGGTCGGCGTCATCTCACACAGTCAACTTGATTGATACCCCGGGCCATGCCGACTTCACATTTGAGGTCATGCGGTCCCTGCGCATCCTAGATGGCGCTGTGTGTATTCTGGACGGCGTAGCCGGCGTCGAAGCCCAGACGGAGCGGGTCTGGCACCAAGCCAGTACCTACCGGATTCCCAGGATTGTCTATGTCAACAAGTTGGACCGAGACGGTGCGGCTTTTGGCCGTACAGTCAGAGAGGTCGGCACTCGACTGTCAGGCTATCCAGCGGTCTGCCAGATTCCCTGGTTTGAGGGCGGAAACGGCCGTTTCACTGGCGTGGCCGATGTGATCAACTTGCAGGGCCTCCGTTGGGAGGAAGGGGACGGCAAAACAGTCAAAATGTTCAGCCTCCAACAGCTAGACACGGAGGAAGGTCAACTCGCAAAGGAACTCAGGCGTGCGAGAATCGCCCTTGTCGAGCTACTGAGTGAGCACGATGAGACGATGATTGAGAAGTTCTTTGACCACGAGGAGGATCACCTCGCCATTCCTCCTCAAGACATCCTGGAAAGCTTACGTCGGTGTCTTTTGCAGGAGCAAGGTAGGAAAATCATCCCCGTCTTTGCAGGTGCGAGCTTCCGCAACGTAGGTGTCCAGCCTTTGCTCGACGCCGTAACAAATCTCCTCCCGAGTCCTCTCGAGAGCCCTGAACCAGAGGTGAGCATTGGGGGGGTCACGGGAGGTCTCCGGCGCCTGCTCTCTGGTGATCTCCTCGTGGAGCAGAGCCAAAAGGCTGCACCTCCCAAGGGTAAACAGAAGAAAAAGTCCGCTGTGCAAGCCGAGTCCCAAGCTGCGATTCAAAAGCTCCAAAGCTGCGCCTTGGCCTTCAAGGTCGTCAATGATGCGAAGCGGGGAGTTCTCGTCTACGTGCGCGTGTACTCAGGGTCCCTGGACCGAAACAGCCTGCTTTTCAACACCAACCTCAAGGTCTCCGAGCGTGCACCACGCCTCCTGAAGATGTACGCCAATGATGCAGTTGAGGTTGATTCTATATCCGAGGGAAACATCGGAGTCGTGGTTGGCCTTAAGCATACGCGAACCGGGGATACGCTGGTGTCTTACGCCACCAACAAAGCCACGCCGCCAGAGCCCCTCGACACCCTCCAACTACGCCCTATCCAAGTCCCGCCTCCCGTCTTCTTTGCCAGCGTTGAACCACACAGTCTAAGCGAAGAGAAGAAGGTCCAAGCGTGCCTGGCCTTGCTCCTACGTGAGGACCCTAGCCTTCAAGTCACCGTGGACGAAGACTCCGGCCAGACGCTACTGAGCGGAATGGGCGAACTCCATCTCGAAATCGCCCGGGACCGCCTGATCAACGACCTGAAAGCGAAAGCCTCAATGGGTCGCATCGAGATCGGGTACCGCGAATGCGTACTCGGTGCGTCAAGCCCCGTTACCAAAATCTTCGACAAGGAAATCGCCGGACGCAAGGGCAAAGCCGGATGCACCGCGGTAGTCGAGCCATTCGATCCGGACAACTCTCCACCGCCCACCGATGTCCTCCTGGTCGAGAACAAGTACGGAAACCAGATCGTCATCGTTGCCCCGGAGCTCCAGATCGAGGAGAACCGCAAAGGCGTCGAGGAAAGCCCCCTCCTCCCAGCCGGGCTGAATGTCGATTCTGTCCGAAACGCCCTTCAGAACGGCTGTCTCGCGGCTCTCGCCCGCGGACCCCAGTTCACCTTCCCCATGCACAACACCCGCGTCACGCTCACCTTCGACCCAGCCGTGCATCTCTTCGGGAACGAAACCACCTCCGCCGCTCTCTCCTCCGCCGCGCGCCTCGCCACCTCCACCGCGCTCCGCGACGTCGCCGCCCCGTCCAGCGCAGGCACGTCGCTGATGGAACCCGTCATGAACGTCATCATCAGCGTCGACGAAGCCAGTCTCGGCAGCGTCGTCCACGACATCTCCTCGTCCCGCGGCGGGCACATCGTTTCCCTGGACGAAGAAGTCCCCATCACCTCCACAGACCTCTCCTCCTCCCCCGAACCCTTTGAAAACCTGCCTCCCATCGACCCGACCAAGGTCTACGCCCCTCGTGACCCCTTCGAGACCATCTCCGTCGGCGCCTTCCTCCCCGACACCGCCAACCGCCCCCGAACAATCACCGCCAAGGTACCCCTCAAGGAGATGGTCGGGTACCTCAAACACCTGCGCAGTCTGAGTGCCGGCCGCGGTACGTTCGTGATGAGCGTTGATCGGTTCGAGAAGATGAGCCCGCCGCGACAGAAAGCTGTGCTGGCGGACCTCAGGGGGGAGTTTTGATTATCACCCTCCACCTCCACCCTCTCATGTCATAATCTAAAACAATCTTGTACAATATACACAGAATTACTATATCTAATAGCTAGATAATAGATAAAAAGGTTTCCCCCATGCATCCACCCGAATATCAATGTTGACAGTTCGAAGACAATCTTGTCTTCTCTTCTGCTGGCGAAATCCAGCAACTTCAAATACTCAGGTCGGCTGACTTTACTTGCTACCCCCTATAATAATAGTTCAGTCACATTTATATATGCATATATATATATATATATATATATATATATAACTTGCCGCCCAGGGTACTGTATAAAGACTGCCATGGCTAGATACCATGCTTGAAGGTAAAACATTTTGACCCGCTAGCCGTCGAGGGGAGGGCTACTTATTTCGTATTTGGCCTTGGATCCTCACCTCTCCCTGGTCAGATCACGCTCGGAAAAAAACTGCCAGAGTATTTATTATATATGCTAATCCCAAGCAGACTACTAGGTTTCTACCCGTAAAGTAAAATATGTTGCCAGAAGGGGTATGTGTATACTCGACCTCTTGACAACGCTGCTCCCTGGCGTCTGAGGCATTATGATATGAATATGATATGATATGATATGATATGATATGATATAGAAAAAAAGTATTCTCATCTCATGGATAACCAATCCCCTATAGATAGGTATGCTTCGCTAATATGCAGTATGGGTGGTGTAGTCAAGGCTAACTAAGGTAGGACTCGCTAGGGGAATCGATGCATGGGATACATGGACCATTTTGGGGGCGGGATGGGAGGGGAGTGGATGGAATGATGGGGCGGAGGTGGATGTGGGGTGTGGATGGGATTAGATGGGGTGTAGTGCAGGGTATGTAGACTGTGTAAAGGAGATGATGTTGGGGGCGTGGGGTGATTTTGAGGGGGTCATGTGCTGGGCTGGGGTATTCTTTTAGTGGTGGTGGCGCCATGGTAGTCACGGGACAGAACGGGATGGGAAATAGGGGGTGAATAATGAAGTGATTGCACCACATCTTGCTCGATGCATGCAGCGCAGTCAATCAGTCTGTCTATTGCACGACCGGGGGAACGACATTCGCCGGTCTGCGTTTGGAGAAGAAATTGACCAGTTTGCGGAAGACGGTTGGACCGTTGGACGAGGACGAGGGCGAGGACGACGACGCCTCCTCCGTTCCGCAGGGCTTGCGTCGCAGGGCCATGGTAGACCAGGAGGTTTTGAGTCGGGAGGCGTTGGATCCCGGACGGAGATCCGCGGCTCGGTGTTCCCGCGCCATGTCGCAGGCTGGAAGATGCGGGGAGCTGGCGTGGGCGATGGTGCCAGTTCGCATCTTCGCGAGAACGGCTTGCCGTAGGTTTATGTCGCGTTCCGACTCCTCCGCGGCGGTCATGACGTGCGCAAGACCGCTTCGGTCGATGATCACGCCGGGGCGGTGCTCCAGCAGGGAGGCGACGCTGTCTGCGGGACCGGTTTCCGTGGATTGGTTGTTGGAAGGGTCGACGGATACCCCCAGGCTCGGGGATGATTTGTTGAGGTTGGCTTGGGGGGAGCTGAAGCTGTGGACGCCGCCGGAGATGACCATGGCGTCCGGGTCCAGGAAGACTTCCACGTCGTCTTCGGAGAGGTCTTCGTCCTCGTCAGTAGACGGCTGGGACTCGGAACCATCCAGGAACGCTTTTGTTTGGTCCTTGATCGCGGCGTCTGGTTCGGCAGCCAGTTCCTGCCGCTGGGCACTTCCTCTGCTGGGAGGGGCGGTGCAGGAGTGAGCTGAACTGCTCGAGTCGGACGTGGTGGCTGGCCCGGAGGCAGTCTTGTCGGCGGATTTGGTCTGCGGGTTGGACTGGCAGGGCTTGACTCGCATGGTCTGCATGCTGGACTGCTGGGTCAACACCACGCCCGAGTCGTGCTTGTCTTTCAAGGCGGCGACGTCTCGCCCGACCTTTGGCGAGATGAATTTCGAGTCAATCTGGGCGATCGTCGAGGGGTCTTGCGGCGCCGAGCTGGTTGTCATCCCCCGAGACCTCTTGGTGGGACTAGATGGCAGGTGCCTCCCTTGTTCAATCCGGTATACGAGCAACGCGCAGGCGTATCGCATCTCCGCCTCCAGCTCCGTGGGGATGTTTTGACGCTCGATCAGGGGTGAGGAGGGTTTGTAGATGCCGGGGGTATCGACAAAGTCATAGTACCGCGTGGGTTGGCCATTGTTCAATGCGAAGGGGAGTTTCTAGACGAGGCGTTAGCCGGATAAACCCGACGAGTCAATACCAATAATTGATTCGAGATGTGTTACCTGCGATCCAAAGAGGAAAGAAAACGACGTGCGTCTCTTGACGCCGGAGTTTCGCGAGAGGAACTCCATGGTGGTGGATGTTTTGCGGGTGTTCGGACCGAGGTAAACCAGCAAGCAACACGGCTAGGCTAAGAGGAACCCGCACCGGCAGGGGAACGGCGAAATAAGTACTAAGTACCAGGGGCCAGGGGGGGGAGAGATCGGTCGTGCACTAGCTAGCCACCGTCGAAATTTTTCCGGTCTGCTGACAGTCGAGACAGCATAGACAAGCCGGTTGATATGGCGGATGGCGATGGGGAACAAGACCGGCGCTGGGCAACCAGACCAGTATGAAACAGCCAAACAGATTGCTCGTTGGGTGCAATTTCAGCCCTACTAGATTCCAGGCCTGAAGAATGGTTTCCCAGCAGGTGTTGTCCGGGAAGCCGTGGACTGGAATGCGGGGGGTCGCTGGGAGCAATGTTTGTTGACTTGGAACAGAATGAGGGGGCGAGGAGGGAAGAATTAGAAGTAGAGAGAGAGAGACTAGAGGAGTAGAAGCGAAAGACACGGGGGGTGGGGGGGGGGGGGGATGACGATGGGCAGCAGGACGGGCCAAGTGACTCAAAGAACCATGGACGGGCCCATCTGGCAGATGCAGCGCCCAGGGGATTCCATTCGCAAGGAGAGGGCGTGCGATGCAACGGTGGGTGGAACGCTGCGCAATGAGAGCCGAGGGAGGCAAGCAAGCAAGCAAGCAAGCAAGCAAGAGAGGGAGAAAATGGAACGAAAGCAACAGGCCCTGCAGATGCAGAGTTGCAGACTGCAGCCAGCCCAAGACGTCGCACCGCATCACGGGTCCGGTGGAACCCTCGCTGGGCTAGTAGTAGTATGTACCGGCCAGGGTCCCAGGGTACCACCGGGGTCCCAGCCTTGGTTGGGTTTGATGGGTTTGATGGTTTTGATGATTTTCTCGGGCTTTTACCTGCAGTCGACTATTGTCCCAGACGCAGGCCAGATTGGTCGAGATGAAAGGAGTTGAAACCGGCCCCCTAGAGGAGCTGTCGTGGAGCGGTGTTTCAATATGAGTGGGCATTGGCATCATAACGGCGGCGACTAGCGCTGATCATCGGGGCTTTCAGACTGGTCTGGTCTGGTCTGGTCTGGGGCTCGTCCGGCCCAACCCTGAAAACTATCTAGTCCTCCTCCGCCCCGTCCCCGTCTCACGCCATTCCAGTGCCCACCCGAGGGAATGGCTGTCTCTCTGGCTGTCTCTCTGGCTGTCTCACTCTCACGGAGTGACAGCAGCCCGTCTTCCAAGCGGATCGCGTCCCGGGTCCAACGCCCTCGCAAGGGGGGTGTTCGAGACTTGAGGGCTTGGAGGCGGGCGCAAGGGCCGGGATGGATCAATGAATCAAGGGGTCTGGAGGCGGAGGGCCTGAGGGCCCGAAGGCCCGACCGGGAGGAACATGACCATGACCGATCAGATCAGCCGTGAGAATGAGATCCATCATTCATTCATCAACGATCGGCGTGGAGGCCACGCACCAATCACTGTGATAGGCAGTTTTGGGCGCCGCGTTTCCTGCTTCGGGGCGTCGATCTGTTGGATTAGGTTCTTCCATCGTCATGCGGCAGCCGTGCGGGGAGGCCGCAGACCTAGAAGACCCAGTATAATATCATGTCATGCTATATAGTTAACAGTGACTACCTACCTACCTATGAACCCGATCAATCCTCTACCACACACGGGCAGACACCCTGACCGCTCCGTAGCCAGCCGAAGGGGGGTACAGCACAGTACTAGTACTCACTGTACCGAATCCCCATCATCCAATCCCGACAACTTCCCAATCCAGCCGTCGCGACAGTGCGAGGAACAAGTAACGT